ACGTAATATTAATTGGGGTCTTTGCGGGCCTGCTCTCGGACCAAATTTAACCTTGCCATGGTTTCCAGGAGGCCCCTGTAAACTATCGGCATGAGTTCGGAGCCTGACCTAATCCCGGGCTCCAAAAAAAAAATCCCGAGTCGGGTACAAGACCCTCTATATAGGGTTTCAGCTGGCGAATGGCTGGAAGTACAGCCATTCGCCAGTTGGAACCCTTTAGTAGGGGGCAACATTAGGTCCCATACACATCCCCCAAACGTGAATTCCCTGATCAATTCCCACCCCTGCTTCAACCCCCACATATTTTGTTAATTTCCATAAGTCGACGAGTAAAGCAGCTACATACAAATTGCAATGTTTCCAATCTACACGACAACTTTTACATAGCCCAATAAAGATTCAGCACCTTTATACTGAATATGTTTGTTAACTATATTAAAAGTACAAATTACAAGCAAAACTATGTAAATAGAACTATATTATCTTTATTTCAACATAAGACTACGCATTACGACATTTAATAATAAAATTATAAAGAAAACTATTAAAAATTTTATAAAACTGCACCAAATTCGCCATATTATACCATCAATACACCACTTCCTAATCCATCTTCAATTCATCACTTCATACCATATTTCGAACATTAGTAATAACATTTATACAATACGAAACACGATCTCGATTGACACGACCCCAACACGACTCGAACCCGAACGATTTGGCAAGCGAGGTTTCTACCGCTGCGCCATAACGGGACAAAAGGAATCGCATTAAATTTCGTAGAGACTGCAGCGGCAGCTTTTTTACAGTTAAGCCTAAACTTAAGCCTAACATGCTTACAGTGTAAGTAAAAACACGAAACTTTCGGAATAACCTTATAAATTAATCAATACGCATATTTCAAAACTTCAAACTTATATGTCAACTGTAACATAGTATAGTAAAGATACAGTACATTTATAGCTAAGCCTAAAGTTAAGCCTAACACAGTACCAGTGGTGCTATCAGCTCAAAATTTTTACAGTATGCATAATATGGTCTAACAATACTACGTACAAAAAATTTTGAGATTGAGACCATTGGAAGGCAGTCATATTGAAAATGGCACTACTTTTTATGCCAATTTCGAACCCTTAGGGCAATTTTCAGAAACCGAGAGTACGATTTTTGAAATCAGCGTAGTCGATTTGGTTTATACCAATTAAAAAAATGGTATGTTAGGTCTGCCTCAACCCGAGTATATAATAAGCTCCCAATAAGCCTAAGCCTAAGCCTAAGCCTATCACAATTGCAAAAAGCAATTTTTAGATTTTGTGGATTATTCAAATTTGGGTGTGTATAATAAGACCGAAATTTGGGTGTGTCAAATAGGTTGGATGGGTGCTTTAAACAAGGGAGCGCCAAAAAATCTTTATAAGATAGCGTCGAAAAACCATCATAAGATGTCATTTTTGATGGGCTTTCAGAATCTGTATTGGCTGTTGTTGTAACTCCATTATTCATCGAGTTACAGTAATGTAAATTGTTCCATGCTATAATATACATGCTGAATATACGATCGAGTACTACAAAAAAATTCTTTATAAGATAGCGTCGAAAAACCAGCATAAGATGTCATTTTTGATGGGCTTTCAGAATCTGTATCGGCTGTTGTTGTAACTCCATTATTCGTCGAGTTACAGTAATGTAAATTGTTCCATGCTATAATATACATGCTGAATATACGATCGAGTACTACAAAAAAATTCTTTATAAGATAGCGTCGAAAAACCAGCATAAGATGTCATTTTTGATGGGCTTTCAGAATCTGTATTGGCTGTTGTTGTAACTCCATTATTCATCGAGTTACAGTAATGTAAATTGTTCCATGCTATAATATACATGCTGAATATACGATCGAGTACTACAAAAAAAATTCTTTATAAGATAGCGTTGAAAAACCAGCATAAGATGTCATTTTTGATGGGCTTTCAGAATCTGTATTGGCTGTTGTTGTAACTCCATTATTCATCGAGTTATAGTAATGTAAATTGTTCCATGCTATAATATACATGCTGAATATACGACCGAGTACCACAAAAAAATTCTTTATAAGATAGCGTCGAAAAACCAGCATAAGATGTCATTTTTGATGGGCTTTCAGAATCTGTATCGGCTGTTGTTGTAACTTCATTATTCGTTGAGTTACAGTAATGTAAATTGTTCCACGCTATATTATACATGCTGAATATACGATCGAGTACCACAAAAAAATCTTTATAAGATAGCGTCGAAAAACTATCATAAGATGTCATTTTTAATGGGCTTTCAGAATCTGTATCGGCTGTTGTTGTAACTTCATTATTCGTTGAGTTAAACCACAACAGCCAGTTTCAACCTACCAACCCCTGAGATGACACCTATTAGATGACACCCCCATCTCTTAGATGACACGCCCATCTCTTAGATGACACCCCCACCTCTTAGATGACACCCCCACCTCATAGATAACACCACCACCTTAGATGACACCCCCACCTCATAGATAACACCCCCACCTCTTAGATGACACCCCCATCTCTTAGATGACACGCCCATCTCTTAGATGACACCCCCACCTCTTAGATGATACCCCCACCTCTTAGATGACACCCCCACCTCTTAGATGACACCCCCCACCTCATAGATAACACCCCCACCTCTTAGATGACACCCCCACCTCTTAGATGACACCCCAACCTCTTAGATGACACCCCCACCTCTTAGATGACACCCCCACCTCTTAGATGACACCCCCACCTCTTAGATGACACCCCCACCTCTTAGATGGCACCCCCACCTCTTAGAGGACACCCCAACCTCTTAAATGACACCTTTTAATTGACACACCCAACTTTCAGATGACTCACCAACCTCATAGATGACACACCAACCTCGTAGGTGACACACCAACCCCATAGATGACACACCGACCTTATAGATGATACTCCAACTTCTTCGATGGCACACGAAGCTCCCGAAAAGCTGATGAAATCTTACTTGGACGAGCCCATTTTGCGCTACGACAACCGAACTTCACTTCTGGACTCATTTTACAATGGAATTTGTAAATTTATAAATTTGAATAAATGGGTGCTTGAAATAGGTGGTGGGTGTGTATAATAAGGTGGGTGTGTTCTCTCAGAGAGCCCCGATTTTTTTTGTGGTACTCGATCGTATATTCAGCATGTATATTATAGCATGGAACAATTTACATTACTGTAACTCGATGAATAATGGAGTTACAACAACATCCAATACAGATTCTGAAAGCCCATCAAAAATGACATCTTATGATGGTTTTTCGACGCTATCTTATAAAGATTTTTTTTGTGGTACTCGATCGTATATTCAGCATGTATATTATAGCATGGAACAATTTACATTACTGTAACTCGATGAATAATGGAGTTACAACAACATCCAATACAGATTCTGAAAGCCCATCAAAAATGACATCTTATGCTGGTTTTTCGACGCTATATTATAAAGAATTTTTTTGTGGTACTCGATCGTATATTCAGCATGTATAATATAGTACGAAAATATTGTACTTGGTACTAAAATTTTAATTATAATAACTTATTATTGCGATAACAAATACTATTAAAATTAAAATAAGTTTTGTACTTATGGTTTTGGTACAGTGGTACTAAAATTTTTTAATACTCTAAAAAAATGATTATTGTGTTACCTTTTAGCCCTACCCCTGGCCTTTATAGTTTTTCCCATTCTCACCCCTGACTCGTTTAGCCCTACCCAACTATACCATACCCATCCTACGTAACATATCATACCATGCCCTATGTTACCTACTATACCATACCAACTTGCCAAACATGCCATACCATACTCTACCATATTGTACCTAATATTCCATACCGTATTATAAGCTATCCTATCTACCATATTATAAAATACCATACCATACGTTACCATAACATACTATGCCATATCATACTGTATCATACCTTACCTTATCCAAACTTATACAACACTACCGTGAACTATACATGGGTAGGGTAGAGTAGGTAAGAAAAGCAAAGTAAATGGTATAATATATTCAAGTATAGTATTGTAGAGTTTGGTATAGTAGGTGACGTAAGGCATGGTATGGTATGTTATGTAGGACGGGTATGGTATAGTTGGGTTGGACTAAAAGGGTCAGGGGTTAGATTGGGGAAAACTATAAAGGTCAGGGGTAGGGCTAAAAGGTATAACAATAATCATTTTTTAGAGTATTTCAAAATTTTAGTACCACTCAGTACCACTAAGTTGAACTCTAAGTAGTTTAGTAAAAATTAGTACCACACAGTACCATTTTTAATCGCCCGACTCTAAAATAACCCGAATAGGATCGCCCGAGCTTGAACTAACCCGAGGTTAAGGTCGCCCGAGTCTAAAATCGCCTGAGTTGTCATAGTGCCAAAATTTTTTCCAAAAATCCACAGAGGGGATCACGTTCAACTTTTTTCAAAAATTTTTTTCTGGGAGGAGGGGTTTGGTGCAATTCCCTAGTTAGGTTTTTTGTGGTTACTCGTGGAGTTACAATAATAAAAATCAATACCTTGCTATAGTATATAAAATAAATATAGGTCAAATACAACAAAAAGCCTGAATATAAGTTGCGGGTTTGTTCACACACGTCATTTTTGATGGACTTTCAAAATTTATATCGACTGTTATTGTGGCTCTGTTACTGGTGCAGTTACAACAATAAAACGTAATCTCTTTCTATAGTATATAGGGTAAATATACGGTCGAATACCACAAAAAACCTAAATATAAGTCAAGGTTTGACTCACACAGTGAGACGTCACTTTTGATGTGCTTTCAGACTTTGGCCATAACAAAGCACAGATAATTAAGACAGTTAAATCATTTATTCGGCAAATTCACAACGCTTAGCCATTGTTTAATCATGCGTATACCTCTTTTATTGTATATACATAATTTTTCAAATTAAAAACGTTTATAACTTAAGAACGGCGGCTGCGCTTTCGCTCGTGAGAGCGAGAGCGTAGCCTTTTTTCGCTTTCTTTTCTTTCTCTATCTGAACGTACGTTACGTTTTGTATCGCTGGTGCGATAATCATAATTTTCAGATCGTTTATAAATGCTGTCTCCATAGTCATCATAACCACGCCTTCTGTCATTTGATTTTCTATAAGCACTACGAGAACCGTTACAATCCACACGACACTGCCGATCTGAATCCTTGAAACATTTATCTGCTCTCAATTCATCATAACGGTTTGCCTCATTTTTATTGTCGTTTGAAAATCCTTTTCCTAAACGTTCCTTTAAACCAGATTGATGACATCGTTCATTTGAGCTTGATCTTCCAGGGTAAACTCTACTTTCTCGCTCTTTAGAAATTTTGCAACTATACCCTTCAAAATGTTCGTTATCACTAGACCGTCTTGCTTTAAACTTCTCTTCTTGAAAGCCTGTTTGGCCTTTTGTTTTGGTTTCATCTGTATTAGAATGATCTCTAAAAACATTTGATATTTTCACTCCGCCCAACGTGTAACGTTATTTAAAAATTTGTAAAAAAATTAACTTAAAGCGGTGTAATATTTTTGCGTTTGTTATACGTATTTCAGAGTTTTTATTAAAGCTACTAAAACAATACTATAAAAAACAGCTTCACGTACCTTTTAGAGGGGTTGTGCATATCATTTCCTTCATTACGTCCGCAATCATTACCTAAATTGTACTTTAGCTTTTTTATTATTGACTACCTTTATTGGCCTCCTGTTGTTCTTCGGACAAATCTAAAAATAAAAGGAATGTAAATATCTTATCATAAATTTAAGTTGTAGACATCAAATAGAATAATATATATACATATATTTGTGTTTAACACTATGCTTAAAAACTGTAATTGTTTAAAGAATCTACATTAAAAATATTTTTGATGCTTCCTATTCATGTCCTTAGAAGCGTTACAAACTGAATAATGAATTTATAAAGCAGCATAAAAAGTATCTATAATCGAAACTATATAAAAACATTGTAAAAATAAATACGACAACCTAATAAATAATATGTTACCTTTCTCAAGTTTGCGCTTAAACCCCTCACTCAACTCAACTACTCTGTTTTTATCCTCGCTTTTCTCGTCGTCGGTGGTTTCTTCGTCGTCCGTGTATTGTGCTGAAAAAATATTAACATAATAAAGTTAAAAACAGAATTTTTTTGGAATGGTATCAGTTGTAACAAAAAAAATGACAAATAAAAAACACATACCAATCGCAGTTAAAGCATTCGAAGCTGACGTTGATGCCACAACTCTCCTACCTATATTTTTTAAATTCTTTAATAAGAAATGTAATCTCACCTAGTTTTTTGAACCTTTCAAATGCTTTGTTAAACTGGTCTTCGATAGCCACCTCCGATGCTTGCATTAAAATCGAAAACATAAGTCTTTTAACAGCCCGAGTCTAAAAATAACCTACTGTATAAAAAAATTAACTTATTGTCCCAATAACTCAATGCCATAAATGATTGTACTCTAAATCAATCAACAAAAACAATCATAATATCATACTTTATCTCCCTAAATTAAAAACGAAAAGCTACCTTATTTTCCACAAGATCTTCACATCTTACAGTCATCTTCTCCTTAATCACTGAATCGGAAGCAAATACACGTTTCGCGTCCAATTGTTTAAAATCATCACCGTCGTCTTCGCTATCAGAATCCTAAAGATTATTTGAATTATAGATAATACTAATAATTAAAGCAGTTTTTTCTCGGTTTAAAAAACGCAAATTTCCATTTTATCTTTTAAAATTCTTTAAAATATAATTTACGCACAAATTTCCCCTTTCCCTTGGCCCTGCGTCTTGCTTCGCGTTCTGAATCCTTCTTCAAGTCTTCCTGAACCTTCTGCTCTCTCTCCATTTGTTTTCTTTTTTCCTGTTCAGCCTTTTCTAATCCCTCCAAAATCCACTGGGGCAACTTCTTTCGACTAGCTTGATCAATTCTATTGTCGATCCAATGTGCCGGATCGTTGTTGGTATCATTCATCCAATGGGCCATCGCTCCATCGACTTCGTAATCCGGCATATGAATTTCTTCACTATTATTGTTGTTTTTATTCCATTTAGAGTCAGAACTTTCTGCTGTTGAAGTTGCATTAGAAGCAGCCTGGAAAAGTGGTGGAACCGGATTAAACTTTAGAGTCGAGTTAAAAGTTGAGGAAGAATAAGAAACTGGCGGAATATGAGGCTTGGGTGTAGTAAAAGGTTGAGGGCGATTGTTGAAAAACTGTGGTCGAAAATCAGCAGGAGGATTGAAGAATCCAGGTGGAGGAAGTGGTCGAACATAGTACGGTGGTGCTAACGAAGCCGACAAACTTGCACAAGGTGGTATATGAGCTTGCGTAGGATATCCGTAACCTAAATATAAATTATTTTAAAGAATAAATATCATTCTTAATTCCTAAATTCAAAAAAAAATAAAAATTTTACCCGCGGAAGGTCTAACTGATAACGTATGTCCCATTGCTTCGCTTGAAACTCCACGAGCCTCTCCTCCCGTAGATTTATCCAAGACTTCAACATCTCCATCAAATTTGGTTTGAATCCATCGTTTGGCTAAAGACGCCCAATCCACTAAAAATTATTAGATAAAAGTTATGCTCAAACAACTTTCAAAAAAACTCTTACACAACATTTAAATCATGAAAATTACCTTCATTATTTGGAACATTAATATAAGTTGACGGATTAAATAAATTATGATCCATTTTATTTTTTTTCGTGAGGTGCTATTTTATGCGGCCGCTTACGACTTTTATCGAAAAAAACCGAATGTATTTAGAGAAGACTTGACCCAAATATTATATTTCCATGTTGAGTCATGTGTTTTTTACTTTTAGATCATTTATGTATCATGGTACCCAATAAAATCAAAAAACATCAACGGGGATTAAAATTAAAAATTTTTAAAAATTTAAAAATTTTTTTTCGGGCCCGGGCCCAAATTTCAAGCCCGGCTTGCGGGCCGGGCCTAACCTTTGGGCCCGGCCCGTTCCAATTTTAGCTCAAGGCCGGCCCGGACCGATCGTAGGGCCGGGCCTGAAAATTGGGGCAGGCCCGCTCTGTTCCTCATGTCTACGATAAACGTCATAGTCAGTAATCGCCAAGGGAGCCGATGTATATTTTATATACTTTATTTTTAATATTTTTAGCAAAATAACTACGCTTTTTTCGGAAACTTATACACCATGGTCATAAAAATGGCAGTCTACTTTTCTAAAATTTACAGAACCTCTTCATATCTTTACTGATTGTGAGATTGATAGTTAATTTTTTTTATATTGTATCATAAGATCTCTTGAACATTGTTTGTTGACACATGAATCATTTTATTATCAAACAAAAAAAGCGCTTGTATTTAAAAACTCCTCTCTTTCTCCAACTTTCTATCGTCTGTTGCAAAATGTCAGAAACAAGTAAGTTATATTGACAGTTTTGCAATTTTATATTTATGTTTTAGGAATTTTAAAATACAAAATTTTTTATTTTATTTTGTATTTTTTAGAAATAGTGAAGTTGGATTCTGGGAAATCTTTGGATTTGGCAGGTTCCGTCTACTTAGAAGATTTTTATCACAAGCCTGAACTTCAACAACACGAATTAGAGGTTCTGAAGTTATCGGTCTCTTTTCAAAATGGTCCTCCGAAAAGTATTTGTGAATTTTATAAAATAGCGGCAGAACATCTAAGGTATGCTGCTCCAAATTTGAAATCCGTCGTTCTTGATGGAGGATATGTCTTCAATCCTAGCGATGATGTAAGAATTTTATTTTGCTTGGCATGAAAAGTATTAAAATTTTTTGATAATTTCAACATTTTCGTACTAAAGCAAAGTTTTTAAGACGTCAGCTGTTTTTGAAAACGAAATCAATGAGCTGAAGGTGCATTTTCAAACTATTGTGAACAACCTGCAAGAAACAGGACTTCCATTGGAGAGAGTTAGATTTGTTTCTATATACACTTTTCATGTTAGCGTGAGTTTCACTATTCACATGTGATTGTAAATCGATAACTAAAAATCACATTATTCTTATTTTGTGCAAAATTTATCCATGGTTGAAATTCTATATAATTCTTATATTTATAAAATTAAATCTTTAGAGTATTCAAACTGCTCAAGAAGTGTTCAAAAATGTGTTTAACGTAGATTTAACCGATAGAGACGTTGAAGAAAATGTCGTATACTTTACATATCACAGTAATGGGGTGAAGTTTGATGTAAAAATTCAGTTGAGCATTACACTTCTAAAAGCTAGTGAGAAGGATCGGTCTCGATTTTATGATGCAGAAGTTACAACACAATTCTAATATTGATTTTATTACTTTTGTTTTATTTTTCAACATACAATTATAAAATATCAATAAATATCGTTTTAATAGAATTATACAAATTATAAATACTAAGTAATAAGGGACATCGATTAATTGTAAATTGGAAAAATATACGGGAAGGTAATTCTAACCAATTTACAGTGTAACTTCTGTATAACCAATCACTGGGGGATTTTAAATACGTTCGTTATACAGGGATTTCAAAAAGGACAGTTAATAATTGTTTAATTTCTAAATTCCGAAAGTTAGATAAGAAAGTAATATAATATCGAATTACATTTTTTAAATCAGTCAGTATCACATTAATTTTCAATATCGAGTGTATCGTTTCGTTTAGCCGCAACGTTGAGTTTTGTAACCTTCTCAACCAACAATTCATCGGCGTCGGTCAACTCCAGCTTTTCTCTAATTGCAAACATGGCCTCACGATCGTACCGATGTTCGAGTGGCTTGATAGAGACGGTCATTAAGTTGGGTGTGGATCCATGAGCCCTTAAAATAAATATGATAATTAACGTTTACTGGTTTCTCTTTCTTTAGGCCGGAATAGGAATTACTTTAAAGGTGTATTGATGCTTTGAGGAATCATCCCTTCCTCGGCGCACTTTTTTTCTGGTATTTGTTTGGTGTCACTTTCCGTAGCACTTGACGATATTGGCATTGATTTGCGTCTATCCTTTTTTTCATCTCGTTCTTTTATTGACATTCGGCTTGTACGAAGGTTAATGTACTCACGTAATGCTGCTTGTGCTGCCTAGAATAGGCTTGTTTAAATGGGCTTGCGGTTTTTTAAATTTTTTCGTTAAGATGCAAACTAAAGGAGATAAGTATCTAACAATAATATAATTTTTAAGCTTATAAATAAATTACCTCTAGCATTTCGGGATCCGCACAAGAAACTTTTAGCGAACCGTCGTTTCCTGTTTCTATAGTCACGTCGGGTTCTTCCACGTCTACCGCCTGGTGTGGTTCTTCTGGTGCAGGTTCTGATCTTGTTATAGTGTTACATTCCATCTGAACGTATTGTATCATGAAATTATTTGACATTGATTTCCACACCTACCCTATTAGGCGATACGTTTCGTCGAATCGTGTCTTCAATTAGTCGTTTTGCATGTTGTATACTTTCTGATGTGCAACCGCTGATTGCTAGGATACGGTACTTAGAATTGTGGTCCACTTTTTGAAAGCTTATCACTGTTTTACTAAGTTCTTCAACCACAGCCACTCTACGTCCTTTTACACCCATGACTGAAACAATTAGGGCTTATAAACCGTTTTGTGCTAATAAAATATAATATAAAATAATATCAACAATCTTTCGAAACATTTCCTTATTTTTATGAAGATACTAAACCACGTTTTATAAATCTATTCGTTTTATAATTAATATTTTTCTTACTTTTTCCAGAATCCGCGTTTTTAATAGTGATTTCTTCGCGCAGTTGGGGTTGCTTTATCATTTTTGTAAATCCGTCGACTTTAAAATGTGCACCAACCGCCGCAGCTACCGTATTAGATCGCAACCAGTTTGGGGGCCGCATTTGTTGTTGAAAAGGAGATATCATATTGGCTGGCATTATTCCGGTACCCCACGGTGTATTTGTTGGAATTAAAAAGTAGCCAGGACCTACGGGTTGATGGTCGTACATCGGCTAAAAAGTACTGAACATAATGACAAGAATCAAGCATTGAAGTGATTTTTTAAAATTTTATAAAATTGTAATGATATAGTACAAAACGGTAATGTAAGTTTAAATATATTTTTATACAATCACTATTGAATTTTCATGTGGAATTACCTGTTGAGGAATAAATGGCGGAACAAATGCAGGCCCGAAATTCGTGTTATAGTTATTGGTTATAGGCTTATGTGAAGGAACCGCAGGCGGTGGACTGTCTTTTTTGCGTTCCGTTTTCTCTTCCTTTGTTTCTTCAACCTTATTTATGTAGTACTGACTATGCGCCATGTTCGGACGCCACCCCATAGCACGCAACTCAATCAGTTCCATCACCTTAAGGCGACAAGGCGTTCCCAGTTGACCATTATCCCGGCATGAAGCTTGGCGCAAAGATACAAACACTTTATTTAGTTCACCTTTAATTAATTGTAAATCCTTTAAAAGTTGAGCTTACTTTTGTGAGTTTGTTCTAAATGTTGTCCCATTATTTTTAGTCTCTGGCATAACTGGAATATATTGTTTGCTAAATGCGTCCCAAAATCGCCATTTTTCACAGCCGCATTTACTTGGCTCATAAGCTGTAAAAGCTGCTCTAAATGTAAAAATTAATTTATTAATAAAGAAAGAAGAAAAAATGTATGTGAACGCTTATTCTATAAAACTGCTGTTTTAAACTAAATTATTATTTATTCAAATTAGTACCTCTATCATCCATTTTTTCACTACGTTCGTTCGTTAGATTTACAAAAAAAATCGATTAGATAGTAGAACCGTCAAAATCACACACTAAATACTATGCATGTTTGATAACTTTAATCGAACTTTTTTAATTTATTCACCGGATTGATAAATCTATTGCAAGTGATAAAAGTAGTCAGAAGGACTAGAAGAGGGTTAGAGGAAATTGTGTGAAAAGTTATGCAAAACTGAAGTAATCCTTAAATCGCTTTTGGATTTAAAACGAGCCTCGTTTTTTTTGGTTTTAATATTCATCTACACCGTATTTTTTTAAAATCAAAATAAACAAAAGTTGTTCAGACGTTTTTCTAGCTTTATAACTTTTTCCTACCCACACTTTTGACGTCGGCTTGGCTTAGCAGAACGCCTGAATTGCCAATAAACGTTTTTCGAGATTCGTCGTTCGTTTTGTTTGAATGATTTTTTGGTCGTCTGATACTCATTGAAGTATTCGTAGGTAAATATCTGTAAAATAACAGTTAAAATTAAACGTGGACCGTTATATAATATGAATTAAAATCAACAAAGTATTGTAATAAGGATGTTAAAGCACTTTATTAAACGTTTTACAAACCTGTGCAAATGTGGTTCGGGTTACAATCAGGAAATGAATTTTTAATATATTTAAAAATCCAACAGTTGATTACTAAGGTCGTAGTTATTTTAAACAAGGAAACATCTGCGGGAAAACTGAACTATTTACTGTTAATTTATGGTTAATATAATTTAAATTTAACCTAGTGTAGTGCTCTTCCAAGTAGCGTTAAAAACTTCAAGAAAGTCGATATCACTAAAACGGAGCATAATATTTATAATAAACGGTTTTGTAAGAAGAACTTGTGTATAATAAAAACTACCCTATAGTAACAATAAACGTATAATATTACAAAGGTACAGAGACCCAATTTAGCAGTTCTTTAAGATTAAAAATTTTTCTTAGTGGAATAAAATTATTATGCAAAATTAAAAATTTTTTAATATGACATATGGAATCTTTAAATAATAAAAAATCAATTCTCCAATATTTCACGTTTTTTACAAAAATCAAGTACTTATATAATGTAAACCTTAGTTCCATTATCGTAAACTTAAGCAAAAAACCAAGTTAAAAGTCGCCGCAAATTTCGAATAAAATTAATCCAATTAGTCCACAAAAGTTTGTTTTTGCTCTGTCTTAACTCGCCGAGGTTAAAAAAGACTTTTTGTGATCGGATTTCAGTCTCAACAAAACTTAAAAACTTTCCCCTTGGGAATGAAATTACCAACACCGAATTAAAAAAGTTGCGGAACTCTGTTGATCAATTCATCTTACAAGGAAAGTACCCGACCTGCAACGCTCAGATTTCGTGGAAACTTTTTTGATTGAAAGATCATGTAACTGAAAGATCTTATGCAAAATTCTAATTTGCGGTTTGCGGCCAGACTTGAGAAAATCGAGATCAAAAAATCGGGTTGTAAATTTCCCGCCAAATTGGCATAGTGTTTCAAGCTTTTAAATTTGTCATTTTTTAACTTTTAACTATTTTTCTTTAATATAATAATAGAAAAACTTCAAATAAACTTTTAATATATTAATTTTAAAACTCAAAACCGCAAGCTAAGATTTTTTATATGTGCTATTGGTGCTACAATGAATTCATATATTTTTTAGCTAATTCTGAAAGTTGCAGGTTGGGTACTTTCCTTGTTAAAATTATTATCATTTAACCGAAACTTTTGCTAAGTCGTGTTTAAAATATAATATTTGACGAAATTGTGCGTTCAATAAAAGAAATTACAAATAACCCTTTAATTATATACTTTTAATTTTTAATTTGGGTGAAAACCTTAAATCTTGTTCACGAAAAATCTCTCAGTTTTGTGTGATCCCTCTTTTTGTCTGATTCCCATCGGCATTAAAGAAAACAATAAGAATTCAAGGTATTCGTCCAAATTAAAAATGAAAAGTATATAATTCAAGGGTTATACTTTAAAACCCTTTTGTTTAATAAAAAATCATACAAATGAATAAAAATGCCAAAAATGCCCGTCAGCCAAAATCACGTATCTGTGAGGTAACAAAAACACGCAAAATATTTGCAGCCTGTTCCCATAAGAGTTATAATCAAATAAATCAGCTCCGATCCTTCTGGCCAACTGCATTTTTTGAAGGGAAAAGTGATTGATTGTGTCTGTTCACTCCTCACTGCCCAAAATCTTTTTACCATGTTTTCGAGGAAAAAAGTTTAAAACATGATGTTTTAAAATATTGAATGACAAACGAATAAATGCGTTTCTAGAAAATTTTAGAAACGTTTTTTGACATTTATTTTTTAATATTATATTTGTTACAATCACTGCAAAGTTCAATTTTAAATATTTTTTGCTAATCCGCGCTAAATGCCATATATATTTAGAGCTTACTTATATCGTTTATTTATAAGTTTCGTTTTTAAAGTACCTCCTTGGCTTTATGATCATTTCTAGCTGAAGCCCCATATGTTTTGACATCTTTCATAAACTCTTTTACAATTGGTACAGAAATCGGGTTCCTCCAATCTCCATTGATTTTAAAATGAGATCCCACAATAAATCCGTTTGAATTAACGTATTCTCTCCAATTTCCCAAAGTTACACCTGATCCTATTAACACTGGAAGTTTTGCCGCTTTCTTAACATCTAAAGTAATTTGTTTAAATTCAAAAATTTGTGCTATGAATTTGCATTTAATAAAAAAAAATAAAAACCAATAAAATTATAAACAATATTACCTGAAAAGTCTTTGGGAATAGCAGGTTCACCCGTAGCGTGTCCAGTAACAATAAATCCGTCAGCCAAAAAAAAATCTCCAGCTTTTGCGGAGTCACCTAAAGTAATATCTGCCGTCACAGAATGCGAGCTGTGTTTCTTCTTTAAGTCTGTAAAAATTGCAATATTGTCTGCACTAATTTGCCGCCTATAACGTAGCAAGTCACCAGCACAACCGTCCATCCATCCCTCATCAGCTATGTGTGAAAAGGCAAAACATTCTGCTCGGATGAAGTCTAGTCCTACAAAATTTCATTAAATTGCCTAAATACCATTTCAAGTCATTGCTTTAAAATATTTTAAAACTACTTTTTTAATATAGGGACGCCAGACTGTTTTTAAAGTGTAAACTTGCCTGTGCTTTGCGCGACCGCGATTGCCTCCCTATTTCCTTGAGCCAGCACTTGCACTCCCAGCAGGAACTTTTTTCTATCGACACCCAAAACATCAACTCCATCAGCGCATAAACGTGTTACAGCCGCGACAATCTCTGGTCCAATTTTACGCGACATAATATAAGGCACATCATGCATATTTTCAAAAATTATACCATCTACTCTTGCTTCTGCGTACTGAGAAACTTCTTGCCTTACCAATTTCGACATTTCCGACATTGACATATTGTTTAACGGAGTTCTAGTAACATATACTCATCTACGCAGACGTAACTTACCCATGGAGAGCTGGAAAATGAACCATACCAAAAACCAAAGGCCTTTTTGAGGCCAATAATGTTTTAGAAACATCTAATAAATTGCGAGTCATACTTTTTAAAAATTGATAAATAATATAATAAAATATTATAAGATTTTTATAATTTTGTAAGAGTAAAACTTGACACATAGAGAAAGTTGACACACTCATAAGTTTTTTATTTTCATGTTTACTACACACATGCGCAACCGCGCTTTTGCTATAGATGAAGAACGTTTAAATTTTTTTTAATTTGTGAAATGTTAAAATTCTAGTGTGGCATTGTATATTTAGACTACTTATTAGTTTTGGGACACAAAACACCCAAAAATGATTTACGGGAATTGAAATAAAAAAAGTTCAGTAAAGTTTTAAGCTTGGCCCACTTTTCATTATTCTCAAACCCGGCCCGTTGGTCATATCTAGTTTACTAAAACTATTTTTGTTTTGTTTGTTAAGTATTTTTTATTTATTTTAATAAATCGTAGCAATCTACAAATTATACACAGTTCTTTCTTTTCAGTTTTACTTTATTATAATGGGAGCTGATGGAGGAACAATTCCTAAGCGTTGCGAGTTAGTTAAGAAGAAGAAAAAGGAAGAAAAAGTCGAAAGAGAGGTTGCCAATGCGGCTAAATGGAAAAATTGCCAGCTTACCAACGAACCCTTGAAAAAGCCTGTTGTTAGTTGCAGATATGGAAGGCACGTTTATATTGAATTTCTTGTTGAAACATAGTTTTTTGTTTATTATTAATTTAAAATTAATTTTTTGCTATATTGGAAGTTTACCTTTATAAAGTTTGCAGGATCTTAAGCTGTTTTTTCAGATTATTCAATAAAGAATCTATTTTGGAAGCGATGTTGGAGAAAAAGGTAACTCAGAATGAGACTACTAAGCACATTAAAGGACGCAGCGATTTCAAGGAGCTAAAGCTAACGGATAACAAAGACTACAATGACGGCCCAGACAGAGTAAGCGATTTTTTAAAGTTTCAACATTTTAGGTTGTAATCAGGGGCGTCGCTAGGGCGCTAGGGGGGGTGAATCCCCCCCCCCCTACCCCCAGAAAAAATCCGTAGCGACGCCCTTGGTTGACATATTGTACTTGGATTGCTTTTTTGTTCTTAAACAAAGGTTAGTGCACGCTTTTTCATAATACTTGCAAAAAATATCTTAGGGAATGGTATACAAAGATCACAACGATACTCCATGGGTGTGCCCGGTTACGGCATTACCTATGAATGGGATTAATGTGTTTAAAGTCAATTGGATATGTGGTTGTGTTGTATCGGAAAAGGCCATGGTGGAGTCCAAAGCTGATCGTTGTCTTGGATGTGATGGTGCTTTGGAAGCCGAAAAAATTGTTCAATTGTATCCACCAGAGGAATTATTGGATTCTTATAAACGACGGCATACAGAAGAAATAGCAGCCAAGAAAGCAAAGAAATCAGAAAAAGCTAAATGTAAGTAAAAAAGAAATGAATTTAGGCTAAATTAAAAAAAATAATGATCAGGATTTTTTTGTCTAAAAATAATTAATTTTTGGCGTTTTCTTCAATGCTTTGCTACCCAAATTATTTCCTTTTACTTTTATACATTTATGTTATGTTCGTTTCAATATTTTTAGCAAAGGAATCTCAATTAGAAGCCATTTCGTCAGAAGAGCAGGAGGTTCCAGAAGAATCGGCTGACTTGTTAGCTTTTAAAATGCCAGGAGGAACCAGGACTACTACAACATTGAGAATGAAGCCTTCCGCAACAGCCGGTATAACAGAAATCAATGAACGAAAGAGAAAGTTGTTTTTATCAAAAGGCTCTATTCAAGACGATCCAAAGGTTTCGAATGCTGTTAAGTCTATGTTCACCACAAGCGAGGAGGCGAAAAAACAAAAAACTGCTCACTGGGTCACTCATAACCCATTGTATTTCTAGAATACAAAGTATGTATGTCAAAATGCACATGTTTACGAAATGTATAAAAATTAATGATAAACGAATGAATAGTACAAGACAGATTATTATAATTTTTATACATATTTTACTGTTAAAGTATTTACCTATTTAGTAACTTTCAATAAAATTTATTTTAATAAAATTATATAGTATAAGAAAAAGCCCCCAGCTCTTTAATTTTATCTTCGATTTCGCCTAATACTCGGAGAGCGCGTTCTTCTTCGTAAGGTGGGGCGACAATCTGAATTCCAACTGGCAGACCCACCGTGTCTTGCGCTGAATCTTTAGCCCAGCGGTACCATGAGTCGGAAGTGGCGTAATTCTTTAAATTATCTATGTCTTGTTGTGTCACTCTGGTCACAGGAACTGTGCCTCCAGCATAATCCAAACCATTGTAGAGAATAGTGTAGGATACGGTTGAGAAGAGAGAGTATGGATCCTTGTGGCGCATGGCTGGACAAACCTAAAATCGAATTTTTATTTATTTCGTCTTGTAAACTTTCTATAATTTTTAAAAAATAATAAAATTTGACTAGGACCCATCTTCTGGACTGAAAACACAACAATAGAGCATCCGCCCGGGGTAGGAGTACCCCCTTCCCCCAGAAAAAAAAGTGAAAGCGGTCCCCCTGTGGATTTTTGAAAAAAGATGGAGGCCCCCCCCCCTAGACTCCGGCATCCCGCACGGTCCTCAGTATCCAAAGTTAAAATTAAAATCATTACATTTATAGGAGAAAGAACACAGTCCAGCCCAGCATCTCTCCATCGCATACTAAACTCTTTTTGATACGTCTCTACTCCACAATTAGTTAGACGGAGGTCGGTCAAGTCGCTATGACAGGCTTTAGCCAGGTTACTGAACCTCGGGGAAATTTTGCTGATCAATTTACTAACCACTTTTCTAATCCAAACTGGCATACTGGATTGGCGAATCATGTTGCGATAACCATCTACAGGCAAATCCTGAAAATTATTATTTATTCAGAGAAATTTAATGTCATTAAAAACATACTAAAAAATTTTCTTAAATGTCTTTACATTCAAAATTGCGTCGTGAAGAAATTTTCCGTTGTCAAACGTAGTAGCTTTTATAACCAGCTCAATTGCTCGGAAGATGTCATGAGGCTTAAATTCGACGACAGTGTGACCAAGTTTTCTCAAAATATCAGCTGTTTCAATGACTGCACGCTCTACAGCCGGGGTTACGGTAAACCAACCGTCGTCCACGTAAACACCAATCTTTAACGGTTTCTTTGAGGTGTAAGCCTCATTGTTAAAGATAACAGGTGGTACGTATGGATCTCTCAAATGAGTCCAATCGTCTTTCCATAAAATACGGAGAAGTTCAGCACAGTCCTTTATGGATATTGCCATGGGTCCGATTGAGGCAAAAGTGTGAGACCGGCCTGGTACCGATCCTGGCGAACTAAACTTTGAGAAACGGCGACTGCTAGGCTAAACCACATAACATAAAAAATTTTTTAAAATAAAAATATAAAATGCACATTTTTTATCCTTACAAAACTTAAATTATATACTAATTAATGATTACCTACCTTCAATCCGGCGATTCCACAAAAAGCGGCAGGAATCCGAATCGATCCTCCAACGTCACTACCAATACCAATAACAGAGCCTCTAGCACCAATCAACGCAGCTTCTCCACCAGAAGATCCTCCCGGAGTACGATCGGCACGTTCCGGATGCTTTGTGGTGCCGTAAACCGGGTTCTCACAAGAAAAAGTCAGCAAACTTTGAGGTACGGTAGTAGTGACATATGGTATTGCACCAAGCTGCCTGAGCTGTTGAATTAATAGCGCATCCTCATCGCTTGGTTTTTCCAAGTTGTTGGCGTATCCGGCAAAAACGTCGTGCCCCAGGATCTAAAAAGATCATAATAAATTTTTTGTATTTATGGTTACAATTTTACCAATAAAACGATAATATATGACATTTGAATTTCTTTAAATTAACTTACTGGAATGCATGCTTTTATACTAATTGGCAGCCCAAAAAGTGGAGGTTTTGTAAAATTAAGGTCCAATCCAGCTGTATCCATTGTCTCTGCCCGTTTTTCAGCATCCTATAAAAAATTTAGGAAACTTGCAATATGACATTTAAATTAATAACATTTAAATTCCAAATTTGGTTATATATAAATAATGTTAAAGTCATAATTTTTTAAATCGTAAACGTCTGCGGTAACAACCGTGTGTAATCGTATTAACGAGTACCTTTTCCTATTATTCCATAAGTTTCTAAAACTAAAAAGGATTACCTCTAAAAACTCTACCACACAATTAGTTCTTTCTTGTGCCCTAAGAGCGGCTTTTTGAAAAACTCGCAAAATTTCAACGCATTTCCATTCACCGCTCCGAAGTCCGTCTGAAACATATAAAAATTATGCCAACTAATCCCTGCAGCGCATTACGAATTGATGATTAAGTGGTAGAAAGCTATTGTTTAAACATATGTAATGCAATACAAACCTAGTATCTCTTTCATTGATTTCTTCATAACTTGGTCTACATATTCATCTGGAAGATCAACAGTCTTCTCGTGAAGCTGAGCAAAGACCTGTTCTCGGCGCTTCAACCTACGTTTAACTCTGTGTTTTAACTCCTGACTGCGCTGCAATCAAAAATGTTGCATACAAAACCTCAAAAACTTACACAAAGGCTTTTCGCCGTTCGTAAAAGTGCTACCGTAAGTATCGTTCCAAGCACAACAGCCGTAGCTGTCAGTTGAGAAAATTTAGAAGATAATGTAGATAATACACCGTTGACGTTCGACATTATTTCGCTGAAACTATACGTTTTGACCACATAAAAACAAACTATATTTATTTTGAAATCGTAAGAACGAGCGAAAACCAAAATAAAAATTTAATTTTTGAAACTTTTAAAAAATAAAAATGCGCAGATTTTTTTAACTATATTTTTAGTACAAATCAAGACTATTATTAAACAACAAACAGAATTACTTATATTTTTGATTATCTTAATTGTCTAACGTTTTAAATTTGATTACATTAAATATTTTCAATGGATTTTCAATAGTTAAAAAATATTCATTAAAAATATTTTTCTTCTCGAAAAATTGCTTTAAATTTCATAGTGTATTTATTAACAGTTCAAATAAATTGTGGTCAATCAGAAGGAGTGAAGCTAAATGAAAGGTTAAACTTGACACAAAGAAAAACTTAACGCTAGAAATTTTTCGAAGAAAAATTTATTTTAGTTTGGGATAAGCGTTAAATATGCAGAAGTTAAATACGAAATTGGTCAATCTTTATTCAAGAACAATTTTAGCATCGATCAGGTTATAGTAAGTAATTTTTTATATTTTGTTTAAAATTTAGTTCGTCTGAAAATGTTGATGTGGACGAGATATTGGGGCGGAGTTTGCCCAAGGAAGATCGGCAACAGTTGAAAGAGAAGCTCAAGAGGATTGAGAAGGATTCTTTTGATGAAGCCATGCCATCACAAACGCAGGAATTGTTTGCGGAAACTGAAAGTTTGTTAAGCGACATTACAGTGAAGAAGGCTGCGCCTCTGCCTTCTCGCTCGTATTTGCGTCGTGGTACGTCAAAAGCAATGGTTGCACTAAAGAGAGAAATGTTTTTGCGAGCTCAAAGTGTAAGTTTATATTAATTGTTAAAGATTGATTTATTTTCTGTGTCTATTGTTTGATTTTTTTGAATTTTCAGGACGGATTATCGGAAGAAGATGCGCGGAAGTTAGCAGATAATGTTGTAGAAAGAGCAGCGAGACTTTATAACCAAAAGCAGGAAAGTGAGTTGGGTCAGTTAAGAAAGGAACGAGCTGATGAGATTGAAAAGGATGCTGAAATTGATGAAAAACAACAAAAAATATTCGAGTTGGCCTCGGAAATGTTTGAGTATGTTTTGTTAATATATTGTATTTTTAATTTAAGAAATGAACTAAAACGTATGTTTTAACAAAGAATAATATTATTATAACAAAGAATAATATTACCGAATTTTAAAATTTTTTAGGCAAATTGCTGCGCCAACAGCTAGAGTAGTACAAAATCAGAATACTCGTATACGGATTGAGCCGTCAGAAAAGTTACCTAAAATTTTTGCCTCTACAAAAGACGCTTTGAACATTTTTGACGTGGACAAGCTTCGGTCATCTGGCGTAAACTTTTGGAATAAGATGGAAGATAGAAAAGCACAGATAACGAACATGTCAATGGGATGTGAAAATGCGTTTGAAGAGCAGATTCAGTGGACAGAAGAAGGGAAGTTGTGGCCATATCCAATTAATAACGAATATATGTTGGGGGACGAAGAAAGGGTACGCTTTTTAGTAAAATTAATATTAATTTAAAATAACAATAGAGAAGAAAGTTTTTAGTATAAAAAAATTATGCGGCTTATTTTGATATATTATAGCTATGATTTAAGGTACATTTTTCTGAGCACATTTTCCTCGACAGCTACCTCCAAAAACACAAACATCTTCCTAAAACAGGACCAATTGCTCACTTCATGGAGTTGGTTGTGGTGGGGCTTTCTAAGAACCCGTATATGACCTTGAAGAAGAAACACGCTCATTTGGATTCTTTTGCCGAGTTTTTCAATACCGAACGAATTAAGGAAATTGAAAAAATGCATGCTGATGAGCAAGCTGCTGTTATCTGAAAATTATTACGACTTATCTTAAATTGTTTGTTAAAGGTTATTGTTAGGCTTTGTTTTTTACTATATTTTATAAATTTTAAACATGCTAAAGATTTTAAAGGTTTAAATGATCTGCTCAAAATGTTTTGGTCAGTAATTTATTCAGCTTCAACGTGATAAAACTTGAAGAAATCGTTGGAAACCGTCGGCCAGTAATTGTGTTTTATTCCAGTGACGCTGAAGTTTTAGTTTATCAATTTATAATTACAATGTTTTGTATTACAGCTTACAAAAAATTTGAAAGAATAATTAAAAATTTCGAAACCAAGCCTACGTGTTCTTGTTCACATTGTCGAAAGGCAACTTGGAATGCATGTGTGACAGCTGGATACGGTAGTTCGTGAGCCGAAAATGGTAGGTTTTTGTGATACGATCCCAGTCGATCACATAACCAAAGATGTCCCTCGACTTGCAAAGCTCGTGACATCAGTTCCGACCGCAGTTGGGCACAAGACTTTTGTTCGCTTCCGACAATCTTAAATCGGCACTAGACTTTAAAAAAGTGGTAGTATTTAAAAGATAAATTAGAAAAAATCATATATTTATGTCACATATATTACCATTAAACTTAAGAATTTACAAGACCGAACTAAAAAAGCTATTAACCTGACAAAGTCTACTGTAAACGTATTTTTAAAAATTGTTTAAAACTTACCTTAATCTCGACGTTTTTTCTACTTCTGGTTAATTCTATGGTACCATGGTATATTGGGTTATCGTTGTATCTTTCCATAGGTGAAAAAGTTGCAAAACTGTCTGATCTTCCCGTTAATTCCAACCGGTTAAAGATAAAAAATTAATTTTCAAAATTGTTTTGGATTTTACGTGATTTATATCCTCTCTATGTACATCGCTTTTGTAAAAAAATAAAAGATTTGTCTTTGATGAAAATTGCCTCTAAGCAGAAATTTTACATAAAAAGTTGACTTTTATTGTTATTTTTTTGTCAGTCTATACATTCGGATAAACAAAAAAGTAGTAAAATGAAATTTTGAATTACTTTAATTATTTTCTTTATTATTAATAAATGCTCTATTTATGTACAAAGGCAAACAAAGTAATATTCTTGATCGAGACCGGGCGGTATAACAACAAAAGGCATATTAAGAATGACTAATCAGAGTGAGGTTAAGTTTTGGATGGTATAGTCGCTGCAAATTGGTACGGTTTCTATCAGTTCGCTTAAACCGTAGCGTTCTCGTATCAAAGGTCGCACGTCATAAGGCTGAAGCGAAAATTGTATCAATATTGTACAATAAACTGTAATTATAAAACAAGCACACCATTTGAGCTGAATTACCTTGTCTTTAACAATTTTTTCCAAAAACGGAATAAGTTTTGCTAACTCCTCATCTTCCTTTTCCATAAACCAACTTTCAATTGGTACGCCATTATCAACGTGGTACGCAAAAGACTGAGGAGAGTTGTCAATGATGATAGTTTTACGTTCATCTCTCCCCAACACGTTTAAATCTTTAACATAGGTTCCAAAAACACACACACAATGTTCCCGGAAGAGCCGATGATCAAAATATTTTCCTTCAGGATCTAGCAAATCAGCCAACTTGTTGGCATAAACTTTTTTACTGGCTGTAAACAAAATAATTTCAAAATTTTGTGACATTTTCGCCAAGAACTCAAAGAGGTACGGTCGTATTCGTACTGAGACCTCTAGAATACCATGACAGTTGTTTTCTTCAAACTCCACTTCGAATCGCATCTGAGCGTCAGGCAATTCTACTAAGCTACAATGAACTAAAGTTTCGTCTAAATCCAGGACTAACGAGAATTCGGGCGCTGAAGCCGGCTTCAACGGCAAAGCTGGATGTTGAATTCGGAGGTTTTCCGAATACATTGGAAGGATTCGCAAAGCGTGCAAACTAAAAAAAATTTTTACTGCTCATATTTTAATTTTTAATACTTTTTCCTTGTACCAAGATAAATCCTACTTACGTTTCATAATCAAGCGTAGGCAGTCGGACCTGATCCATAAGGTGAGACGAAGCAGAAACTGTGGTTTCGACAACCTGTGTTATCACATCTGGCACATTCGACTGGTCCTTAATCCTTCGTATTCGCCGAGTCTTCTTTGTCACCAGACTAAGGCGTGCTTTTACCGTAAGTTTACGGCGACGCACCGATCGCCGCAACGTTTGACCAATGTCCGGTGTTCGTGTGGCTACCATTGCCATGTTTAGAAACTTGAAAAAAAATATTAAGGAACGACTTTGATTGAAATTAGTTAGATTATAATATTCTAAAAAATTATTCTTAATTTATTTCATAGTGCAACGCCTTGAAAACTATGAATTAACAAACTTTAAATACATTTTAAACTCCTGTAAACCGAAACTCCTTTACAACAAACAACTTTCAAATCCCCGAGCAATTCGTTATATAGGAGTTCCATTGTAATCTTGATTATTTTTTAAACGTTCGCAATACAAAATTAAAAGTTAAAAGTGTTTTAAATCGATACAATACAAATATATCTTCTTAAATAAATTTAAACCTGACACGTAACACCTTAATAAAATGTCAACTACCATACGTTGTAAGCTACCTAACTGTGCAGAGTAGAAAAGTAAGTTTTTACAAAACGTAGCAAATAAAAAAATTATAAGTGTTAAAAAATTACTTAACAATCCCGATTTTCATTCAGTTGCAGTTATCAATCGAAAGTATTTTTAAAAGAAAACAGAAATACAGAAAAAAGAGGCAACTAATTTTGTGAAAAATACCCAAACTACCTTCCTTAATCAAGAACCGTATGAATTGAAAATTACTTTTGTTAAAGTTGTGTGACAGTAGTTTACTTTTATTGTTAAGAATTTTAAAGCTAGCATGATTTAAATACTTACAAGGAAAGTGCCCGACCTGCCCCGCTCTGATTGACTTCAAACTTTTAATAAAGAAAGATCATGTAAATATAAGATCTTCAGCAAAGTACTAAATCGCGCTTTCCAGGAAATCTCGAAAGAATCGAGATTAAAAAATGACATTTTGAATTTCCCGCCAAATTGGCATTGTGTTTCAAGCTTGTAACTTTGTCATTTTTTGACTTTTAATAATTTTTCTTTGATATACTAGTAGAAAACTTGTTAATAAACCTACATTTTTAAATTGGTAAGCGTAGCTTGTCTGGAAAGCCGAAAAAAGTGCTTGAAACACAATGCCAAATTTGCCAAATTGGCGGGACACCCAAATAATTTAAATTTAAAACTAAAAAACGCAAGCTAAAATTTTTTATGGGTACTTTTGGTAGTACAAGGAACTTATATAAAAATTTTGAGCTAATTCTAAGCGGGGCAGGTAGGGTACTTTCCTTGTTAATTATTAAAATTGAAAAAAAACAAAACATTTTTAATTTTTTTTTTCGTTTAAGGCGAATAATATTAACTATAAGTTGTTAATTCATTAAGTATTTTATTGAAACAGACTCTTAGATCTTTTAAAATAATTGTCATTTTGCAAGTAATGCGACAGATCCCGTGATCTTAACGCGTTTTTCTTGCAAAATTAATCAATAAGCCATGAATTTCAATTAAAAAATTCGCCTGGCATGATCATGCCCCCGGAAATCCAAAAAAATAAATATAAGTGTCTTAATAAGTTCAGAACTTTACGAATTTAATTAAAATATGATTAAAGCAAATAAATTTGGAGAAGAGAAATTGCTAATTTTGTCTTTTGCCGTTTATTAATTTTTTTTGCGCAGAAGTTTAATATTATTTAACTAAATTTAAAAGTGAAAACTAATTACGCCCAGCATTACAAATTGTACTAAATTGCACGGTTTTAAAACAATACTTTTGGTATATTATACTGCTGAACCCGCTAAACAATAGTTACTCGAATAATTTAAAGTTTTCAAAATTTTATTCCAAATTGTAATTCCCATTCTCGAATCTAGAGAGCCCGCCAAAAAACCCGCACAAGGGCAGCCGGTTTTTTAAATGTCTTTTGGAACAAAAAAAGACGAGATGGCCTGGGGGCCGTAGATTTTGCTTCTTTTGCGACGGACTCGGAAAAGACGGTTTTTTCGTGGACTGGCGTCGATCGAAGTCGAAGAGCGCTAGTTGAGTCTGGCCGCTATCCGCGAACATTGTTACCTCTTGTCTGTCGCTCTCGTTCTTCGCGGGCATATTTACGTTTTACACTCTGTTTCTTTTGCGCATTTTGCAACGTTGCCTGCATGCCTTCTCGATAATTTGTAATGTCTAACAGGCGCAGAGCTTGTGTGAAGCTATTCCGAATGCCACTCGCTTTCTTTTTCGATCCGTGTGTGAACGCAATGTTGGACTTTTCACGATTGGAAAAATCAATAGCTCATTAAAATAATTGCTAAAAATTTTTAAGTGCACAGGTATGTGTGGGTCAAGAATTTTTTATACTATTTTTATCCAGTAAAAAGTTTATTCAAAAAAAATGTTAATTGATAGTTTTATATTTAGAAAAAAACTATTAAAACACGTGTGTATGTAAACTTATTTTGAAATTGAGAACATCCGCATTATATTTAATATAAATACGTCTCTGATTTTTTATCTTTTTATTTCATTTTTTCAATATCTTATTTTTTTGAAATACTATTGATTAATTAAAATAAAAAACATTACAAAATAATAAATACAACTTTAGAAATTAAAAAATTGAACTTTCTTCAAACTCGTCTAAAATGGTGGAGAATTTACAATTTTAGACAAAAATTGAACAAAGCGTTGATCATCATTTTCGTTGGTCAAATAGCGAAGCCCTCCAAGCCTTGTTTCCAACTGACGCAAGTCGGCGAACACCTGTGGCTCCTGTAGCCACGGATGTTGAATGCACTCGTCAATTGTGTAGCGCTCTTCAATTTGAACTCGCAAAAGTTTCTGGATTAAATCCACCGCTAGTTGGCTGGTATTGCACCACAAATCAGATGGAAACATAAAGGACGCATTCTGTATTTGTTCTGTAATCTCTTCTCCGTCATTGAAAGGAAAAGTACCGGATAGTGTAACGTATATGATAACTCCTACTGACCACATGTCTAAACTTTTGTTGTAGCCTAAAAATAGAATAAATTAGGTTTTTCTATTGTTTTAACTGTGACTTTATATAGTTACTCAACCATATTCATTAAAAGGTAAAAAGTTAAAACTTTTAATATACCTTTTTTCATAAGTAGCTCTGGTGCCATATAAGCAGGTGTACCAACAATGGTTTTCCTAAATTGAGCATCGCCAATGAATCGAGCGTAGCCGAAATCGCAAAGTTTGGTCTGTGGATAACTAGATGACAAATCTGATAACAAAACATTTTCCGGCTTCAAATCACAATGAGCAATAGCGCGAGAATGAAGGTATCTAAACCAAGTCTTTAAAAATTTAAAAAAAAAAAATTTTTTTAAATCGGTCTTTCAATGTGTCGGTTATAAAATGTCACTTATAAGAAAAGTACACAACCTGCCTCACTCAGAATAAGCTAATACAATAATTCTTATATGAATTCTTTGCACCACCAATTGTACACAATGTGTACTACACATGAAATATTTTGCTAGCTTTTAAGTTTTAAAATTCAAATATTTAAATTTCCACAACACAATGCCAAGTTGGCAGAAAAATTAAAACGTAATTTTTTGATATTAATTCTTTCCAAATTGAATGAAAAGCTTTTTAAGACTTAGTACTTTTATGCAATTCTTATATGTATTTATATGATCTTTCAATATATAACAAAAAATAGAGGGAAGTAGATCGGACACCTTCGTTAATCAAAAACGTACCGTAATGCGCTCAGAATTTGCATAATCAAGTACCGTGTTGCGCGTTCGTCTAATCGACCAGTCGCTTGACTCAAAATCATCTCTAACATATCGCCGTTCATCTTTTCCATGACAACAAAGATTTTGTCTTTGGTCTCAAACATACTCTCTAGCTTAATAATTCCAGGGTGATCTACTGCTTGAAGAATAGCAACTTCTGATTTCAATGTTTCTACGCCAGCGTTTGATTTCTTTGAAAATCTGTCTTTAGCGATTACTTTCACAGCCACAGCACGGCTTGTTTGACGATGAATTCCTTGAAACACAGTGCCAAATTGTCCAGATCCCAAAACTTTTTCCCGAACTATCTAAAACGAATGCATAAAATACACTATAAATTTTAGTTTACTTGTCAGAACATTTTTGTTTTTTGCCTGAACCAATATACTATACCTGGTACATTTGAGAAAACTGTAAAGCCGGCTCGGCGTTAGTGGGGTCTGATCTTAATGCGGGCGGCTGAAGAGCATTCTCTAAGGCTTTAAACCAATGTTGCCAACTTCCACTTAAACCATATTGTTGTTGCCTAGCTTGCTTTGATGGTGGAGCACCGCCACTTGCTAAAGCTTCAAGGTTTTCGCCTACACAATATATCAAATCTTCACCCGAAGTTCGAACACGGATTTCAAAACAATGTGCTGGAAATCGAGTGTCAATTGGAGGTCCATTGTAAGGTACTACTGCCAAAATATCGGCTAACGCCACTTGTTTAAATACCCTAGACGGGTTTACGCCAGTCACTAAATATGTAAAAAATATTTATGAGATACGTCGCTATTCCCTAAAATTTCACAGATACTGTATGTGAAAACAGCAAAAAAATGAAAAATGGTCCACACAGTTACCTGTAAACTTAAAAATTTTTTTAAATATGTTATTACCGTTATTATATTCGTTGTACATGCTAATTTGTCCATTCTGTAAAATCCAGTAATGTTTCAGTCGTTTGGCAGGTTGAGTGTACAAAAAGTGCACTACCCAGCCTTCGCAAAGTGTACCGACTTGACCAGTACGGGTGTTGGCTGAGCCAGGCAGTCTGGCTAGTGGGATCATACCCACGGATAATTGACTTTCAACCTCCATTTTTTGAGTTTGCGGCAATTCGCTTACTGACATCTGATCAAATTGAGGCAGAATTCCGTTTCCAATGTGACAATCACTTGGCAAAAAGGCCGCGCATTTTTTATGCACGTTTACCTGCAATTGTATTTTTCACAAATTAAAATTTTTTAAGCGTTTGGGTACTTTTTTATAGCAGCAAATTTGAATTTTGTTGTCAGTGATTAATTTTAAATTTAAAAAAACTGACTTATAAACATTCTGCAAACTAATTTGCATATATTTACGTCAAGCGGCTACTTTGAATATCTGACTCATAGCAATTGCTAAGCACAATAAAAAATAAAAACTGTATGGAATTGCTTACTTTGCAGTCTCGGCATCGCATTCCTTGTTTAACTAAACCTAGCAACAGTTTATCACAAATTTTACAAACTGTTGGCGTACGGTAGCTATGTACCGACAACGTATGCGGCAACTGGTACGTTTGAGGAGTTGATTGCTGATCTGTTAATAAATTTTAAAAGTTAAACATTTTATACTACTTACTTTGATCATCATTGCTTTGTACCATATTTTCGTTGCGAGCGCAGTTGTTCCGCGCCGCAAAAGCGCACTTTTTATGAAAATTACAACTGAAATTGTAAGTTAAAATAAAAAAAAACAAGAAAAATGCCATTTAAATAGAATTTATTTTCGGTTTTAAAAAGTTTTTTGCTTACTTGCACAATGTGCATTTTAGACCTTGCTTGATCAGTCCGACTAATATTTCACCACAATAATCACAAAAAGTTGGTGTTTTGTAGCTTTGAACCTGCACATTGTGAGGTAGCGTAACTTCTTGACGTTCTTCTGACGGTACCCGAATTACTTCTACAACACTTCCGTTATCCTAAAATTTTTTATTTCACTTTATAAACATGCTATGGTCTAATGGATTTTGAACATTTTTGCAAAAAAAGTCAAGTTTTAACTAACAAGGGAAAGTACCTTGGCTACCCCGCTCAGAATCAGCTCAAAACTTTTATATGATTTTCTTAAATTACCAATAATGCCTACAAAAAATTTTAACTTGCGCTTTTGAGTTTTAAATTTGAATTATTTTGGTTTCCCACCAATTTGGCAAATTTGGCATTGTGTTTCAAGCACTTTTTTTGACTTTCAAGTCAAACTACGTTTGTAACTTTAAAATTGTAGGTTCATTTAAAGGTATTCTATTAGTATATGAAAAAAAATCCTAAAAGTCAAAAAATGGCAGTTATAATCTTTGAAACACAAAACTTAGCGGGAAATCCGAAACATAATTTTTTGACCTCGATTTTCCCGAGATTTTCTGGAAAGCGCGATTTAGTACTTTGCTGGAGGTCTTATATATACACGGTCTTTCTATATAAAAAGTTTGAAGTCAATCAGAGCGCCGCAGGCCTAGTACTTTCCTTGTAAATTGTAAATAAAGCAGTTACCAATTCAGCCAAATTAGCAAGTTTTTGAAGCATATTAGCAGATCCGTAGTCATGCCTAAACAGAAAAAGTTCGCCACGCGGATCAGTGGAGAATCCGCTTTCTTCATCTGTATCTTCTACCAGTTTGTACACTTTGCGGCGAAATTGATCAAAAGCCTAAAAATGCCTTCGTAATAACGTATGAAAACGTATTGTATATGTAAAATGATTTTGTGAAACTTTAAGAATGTTCATTATACGCACTTCCGCGTTGGCCGTTCGCTCCAATACGAGCCTTTCACTTCTGGCTCCATAACGCAACGTAATTGTAATAACTTGGCTGCTTTCATCAAAACTATCGGTTGTGAAGGCATTTGGTTGACAATGACCAACCGACATAGCGTTTGAAGTCGATGGATGGAATTGACTGTTAAAGAGATCCATACCTAAAATTTACATATTTTGATTAAAATAAAGTATAGATCTAACAAACTATCGAAAAATATTGTATAAGGAATAGTTGTTCGCTTAATAAACTCGAGTCGTCACTTCAACTTTATGTTTTTAAAGAAAAATAAGTCGTTAACTTTTCTTATACATGATTGAATTGTGTTTTTATTATTTTAATTACTCTTAAAATCCAATAAGAAATGTAGTTTTTAATTGAAGTTATTAACATATTCGCATTAAAAATTGAATACAAGAGATAAAACCAGGCCCAACGGCGAGCGAAGAAGAGGACATGACTATTGTAAACCACGGTTTTTTCAAAACTGTAATTTGATATTACATAGGAAAGTTAAAATTTTTTTTACAGTTTCTTTTACTCTTAATTTTTTTGTAAATCAAAAGTATCCTTAGACACTGTGACAAACTTTAAAATTGATATCATAAGTTATATCAAATAAAAAAAAAAAAAAATTCTTTCTATACCCACTAACCATATAATAAATTCAAGCTCAATTTATTGTTATACACACGTATAATAACAAAATAGAACTGGTATCGAAAAAAAACCATAACCGGTCGAATCCGCCTTTTACGTCTTTTATTTCGGCGACTGTTAACAAATAAAAGTTTGAAAAACACAAAAAGCCGTTCTCTCGCATTTAGAGCGGTGGTATAAGTGAGCCTGGATGGTAGCGAAAAAGAGAATCCAGTCGTCAAATCACTACTCCAAATCTTTTAGATTTTACACAACTTTTTTTGAGAAACATTTAAAGATCGTTTTCAATTTTGAAACCAAAACAACTTACAAAGAATCTTCTATTAAATACTTCAAAGTTGCAAAAAATTTTGTGTTTTTGTTCAATTACATGCTATAAGTACCTACACAACACTCAATAAAAACACAGTAAGCTTTGAACTAAATTTAATAGTACTTTAAATAATAGTAATAATTTATAATATGTCTTTCCCCGCTTGCTAGTTTCTAGCTTACCAAGATTTGAAAACTTAAATCCATCTACGAAAAAAATTTAGAGATTTTTGGGTCAAAAAGGCGCCATAAATACGAAGAAAAAATGAGTAACGTCAAATGACCTTGTCGAGACTAATCGTATACGACAAACTCATGTGCTAAATTTTATAAACTACAAGACATTTACGAAAAGTTCTTAAAACAATTTATATAATTTTAGATGCTAGATGAAAATTGTGGTATACTGTATCTGATGCAAAAATATTTTACTTCCTTAACAACAATACTACAATCAAAATTGCACCTAATTATTCTAAATCTACGCATTATCTTAGTTTTTTATTATTTTTTGAAGAGATGTTACAAATGTACAACAAGAGTGGCAGTATACTGTAATTTATTTATACGTTATAATGTGCATCAACAACTTTTATTTAGTAGTACATATATTAATGGTAAAACCGTACTTTATTGTAGTAAAGAATAAATGACAAAACCTGTTTAAATTTTATCAGGTATGTACACAATAGACATAATTGTAGCTACTCTGCTTATTTTTTAAAGTTACAATTTTGAACTCGGCCGTTCATCGCTTTATATACAACATATATTCTTCATGTGACATGTTACATCTATAAAATAAGTGATGAAATTAAAAAGGGTGTGTTACTTTACACAAAGCGTATTTGAATAGATATGTAACTTAACTTGTGCCTTACTAACTGTGCATAATAAACTATTGAAGTCAAATTTCACTTTCAAAACGATGATTTTTAATTTTTCAAAAAAGTAGTTATTGTAATCTAAAAAATTAATTTAAAAGTAGCTCGCATTTTGTAAGTTGTACGATTCTTGAGTTTAGTGTGGGTTAGTGTGTATAGCTGTCGATTGTTTTGCACAAACTACAATAAGAGATTTTACGTAGAACCGAGCTTGCTATTTTTTAGATATTAATTTAAGTAATATTCTGCTAATCTTTCAGATGGCCGAAAACTGTGTTAACTATTTAAATCAAATTTTTTTTCAAATCATTGCTTTTTTGGCCGTTTTAAGCAACATCTTGTTGTTTTTGTTGACCAGAAACCACACACCGACCATGATGAAGAGCTACCGGAAAGTACTGTACGGATCAAGCATTTTTGACGGACTTGCTGCCTTATCTCACTTTCTAATTATTTCGGTAAAAATATCTAAAATTTAAATATTTGTACTAATCTTGAGCATAAAGAAATTTAATTATCCTACGTCTTTAAATTTTCTGATTTTTAACCTATACTATTATACTTAGCGCCCTTCGATGGAAAAAGACGTTGCAATAAGTAATTTCGACGGACCTCTACCTCACATTATTGACAGATTTGGTTGGTTAGCCGAAGGAAAATTAGCATACGTTCAGGTGTTTGAGTTTGTTTTTCAGTTTAACACATTGACATACTGTTTTGTACCATTTGCTTATCGATACTTTCACATTGTTTGGTAAGACTGCTGTTTTTTTACTAAAAAACAATTAAAATTTTTGTTAATTGTCAACGCCAATTTCAATTTATTACAGTTTACTTTTAATACCACAATTTTCGAAAAAAGTTGAACGTGGTCCCCCTGTGGATTTCTGGAAAAAAATTTTCGCAAAAAATTTTAATGCAAGGCTTTAAAACAATAAAAATAAAAATTGCAGTTTAATTTCCCTTTTAGAAAGTAATATGACTATCAGGGCCGTGCGCAAGTGGGGGGGGCTTTTGTCGATGTTTTAGACCAAAAGTCCCCGCCCGCCAATGACCACAAATCATTTTTAGGCGTGTGAAGTTTACAGTATTAAAATTTGTATTATTATTGGTAGTTTATCTTGCTCCAACTACAGTAATCTCTGTATCATTACCTGTATTGGCTTCACAAACATACAAAGAGATGACCGCTTTCTTAGGCGAGGGAGACACGACATGTCTTCGCCGTATTCCATTCTATGACGACCGTATCTTACCCGTTGAAGTAAGTTTTACATAACATGCGTATGTAGCTAATTTTTTAAATCAAGTTTATGTCTAGCTTGATATCGAATTGTTTTTGTTGGAAAACTTTCTTTTTTATCCAAACTTTTATCAAAGTAATTTCTATTAACTTTTCACTTTTTTTAGCCAATGAAGTCTATATTACTATCAAGTTTTTTATTTATGATAACAGCGTTGATTTTTCCTTTCTTGCTGGCATACTTTTTAGTTCAAATATACCGAAATCTAAACCGAGATGTACAAAAAACAAGCGGAGCGGCAAAGAGGATGCAAAGGCAGATTACAGTAACTTTGGCTGCTCAGGTATAAATTTACGTTAGTTAAATGTTGCAAAAGTTTTTTATACCACAGTTTTATACATAAACATAAATTACAACATTTTCGCGTGTAAATATACAATTCTGAAGCTTTTTAGTCAATTGTACCCGTAATCTTTGTGGCTTTGCCTGTGTTCTACCTCATCTATAACTTATCAACAAACGATAACAAATCGCTGGCTTTAAAAGCATTTTTTAATTCACTTGCTTTTGTTCCGTTAATTAATCCAATAACAACTATTGTTATTGTTAAAAACTACCGTTTGACTGTGTTGAGGGCATTTGGATTAGAGAAAAGAAGTACTACTACATCGGCTACCAGTTCTTTATTTGTGAGCGCAAAAGGTGACGTATCAAGCAGTGTAATGCCTGCTGTTATATCATTGTCTGCTAGGTAAACACATTTTTAACCTAAAACGTTTTCTGTTTTCAATTCTATACTTATAAGAAAAGTACCCAACCTGCGTTTTGTATTTTTAAAACTTAAATATATGTGTTTTCCGCCAATTTGGCAAATCTAACGTTGTGTTTCAAACACTAATTTTAAGTTTCCAGACAAGGTACTTTTAAAAATTTATAAATATATTTATAATTAAGACTTTTATAGTAATACATTAAAGAAAAATGATTAAAGGCAAAAATAACAATGTTGTAACACAAAGCCAATCTGGCGGGAAGTTCAAAACCTAATTTTTAGATCTCGGTTTTGATACTGACTCGAAAGCGCAATTTAGTACTTTTCAGAAGGCCTTATATTTACGATCTAACTATAAGAACTTTGAGGTAAAACAGAGCGAAGCAGGTTGGTAACCTTCCTTGTAAATTCATTAGTTGCGGTTTATACAAAATATTTAAAAAACTACACTGCTATTATTCTTTATATACATATTAAGTTTTAGAAACTTATACCAAAACTAGAGTAGTTTTAATTATAAAAAAGGCAGTATAACTCTATCTATACGACGTAGTGTAATGCTATTGAGATTTTAACTTAAATTTCATGTAACATGTTTCTAAGCAAATGTTTTACTTAATTTTTATTGTAATAAAGTAACTAATACGATTATGCAAGCATTTAAACCATTAATATATTTGTCGCCAAGACCGCTTTTTACGTTACACAGATATCGCACATATGTAGCAGTAATTTGCATTACAAAAGCCTTTGTAATTAAATTATTCAAACCATGAACTTGGTGTAGTCAGACAATCCCAGCCGGTTTCGACGACAGTTTTGGCGGCTATAGCTGAAGTAAAGTCGGAAATGTTGAAGACTTTAACAAAAGCAATGACATTTGTGTACCAAACGCTACAAAATCCGCAACTGGTGTAGCAAGCAACATGACTGTTAAATGCGTCGTCCATCAGCTGATTACAGTCAATCGTGGTGTGATTCTGAAATTTAACAAGTCCTCATTAATGTGGTAAAAGATACTTACAGCAAAATACTCGTCCAAAAACGTTGTCAAACAAACCAATGTACAATTAATAAAATCTTTTCCTTGAGCGTTGAAATTGTCATAGTACACTAAAAAGTATAATAATTGAAAAGAATCAACAATAAATTTTGTATAAAATATTTTAATATATCAAAAAGGATACCTGGATTAATAAAGTTTTCACAATTTCTTTCGCCAAACCCAATCAAATATCCGTTTGGGCCGCATTGCGCTGTTTCTTCCAAGCACGAATATGTCGCACAGGTAGTGCCGCATGCAAAAGTACTATTGCCCTAAATTTTTATTTTTAGAAATTTTTAAAATACTTATTGATAAAAAATAATGACTTTTAAAGTTTTTCGATGTCAAAGCTTACACTGTCTTGAGCAAACACTAAGGTTACTGTAGCCAAGAAGACGACAAAGTGAACAACCGCCATTTCAATTAATGCCCTATTAAAAAACCAGTGCAGTAATAAGCTATGTTTGTACGGTATTGTTCAAAGGCTTTTATATTCATACTATAAACTTAAAAAAACTTTAAAATTGAAAAAAACTTTTTTTTCAGTACAGAAAAGATTAATTGCAGCCGGACCACCAACAGTTAAGCCTACTAAACCTTAAAGCAAATTGTTTTACACTGCGATCAATTATGCTAATTTTCGTATATAAGAAGTGTGATTTTACTAGGCCGTTCATCTAATTCTGCGTCTCTTCTCAAAACAAATAATAACAAACTTTCGAGCTAACTTTTTTAGTTTTTTTAGATACAGTACTCCCACTATATAAGCAACGATAAGAAACCGACATTTTGTGTTTACTATTGAGAGCGTCGTCTTTATAGAGTAATTTTTTAGTGCAATTTGTCTTGCCAAGCCAAATTTTTTATTTACTGTAAGGGGAGTTGCTTATACAGCTATTTTACTACACTTATATGTATATAAAGAGATCACTGTACTTAAAAATAATTAAAAGTAAAGAAAGCACTATAATTCAAAAAATCGAAAACTGCAAAAATTCTAAAAAAAATTATTGGCCAATATATGAGCCTTTATATCTTACTTGGCTTAGTTTAAAAGATTTTCATATTTAAAAAAATATCTTCACGTTGCTTGCTAAGAAACTGATTGATGATTCATTTTGTATATCTTTTTTAATATTTAGTTAACACTTTATTAAATAAACAAAGTTGCAAATTTTAAAGTTTTGGGTAAATATATAATTGTTTTTATCGTTACTCAGAAGCTTGGGTACATCACATTGTCGATCTTGAAAAGTTTATATTCATTTTAGCAAGATGTACTACAAACTAATAAACTTTGCCAATTTAGCAGTTTTTAGTGTCCTGTGACTCTCAAAATGTTCCTTTACTCTTTAATTTATTCTATTGAACCAATGTTTCAAGGACAAGTTCAATGAAATCTCGATGAATTAACAGAGAAAATCAGATTTACATACTAATGAAAATTTTAGAGTATAAATAAACAGTTTTTGAAACGTTCAAATTATAGTTTTTAAATGAATTACAGAATGCGCTACATTGTAGTATTTATAATGGCAGTTTCTGTTTCTGGACAGGTAAGATTTTTGCGTTTAGTATTTATTGTTAACAAAAAATCACAATGTTATTAAAGTTTAATAGAAATTTACTCTACTTGATACTTTTACAAATAAGTCGTTTTAGAAATTAACATGCGGTGAACCAAGTTGCGCTACATACACTTGTTTGGAAGACATTGCCCAATGTGGTCCTAATGGCTACTTGTTGGCTTTGGGGTATCCTAACTGTTTGGCTTTCAATGGTAATTTCTTTAAAATATTGGTTCTTTCTTGTTTTTTACATACTTTACCAGCGAATTGAATATCCCTGGGCTTTTAAAACAAGATCTATATGGGATAAAAGAGCGTTACTAGTTATTGGGAAACCGTTTTCAAACACTACTAAATGACCTTAGCTAGCGGGTTACAGTACCCTCAATATTATTGTATGCTTAAAAAGTATATCCGTAAAACTCGAAAAATAATATTTTTTAATTGCAATATTGTTTGGCTAGCCATTGATACTCAAGGACGTTTTGTATTGATAGTTTTTTACAATTTTTAGAATATTCAATAACTTCTTTAATTTTTAGAGTACTACGATGATTTTGACAATAAAGGGAAAGATTTTGTTACTTGCGCTACTTACTGCTTGCCGGAATGGTTGGAAGTGTACTTTGAGGTACTTTTTTTATTTTTTATTTTGCTTTTGTGTTTTTTAAATTTTACCAAATTTAAAATTATAGGAACACAATAACACTGTCGACTGCGATCAGTTAGAAAAAGACGCCTTAGCTAGCCACGTTAAGTGCTTTTTAGACTGTGGGTTCTGTGGTATGTGGTGGAATAATTTGATTACGTTGGCTAAGGTTTTAACACCTTCCGACTTTTTAAACTTAGATGTAGACTGGACCGGCGTGAAGACTTTCTTTGGATGTGCAACTGGAATTGGTTACTGATAAACTTTATTGCAATTAGAAAAGTATCGTTATTTTGAAATTTCGATTATTTTATCCTTGTGTAATTTAGTTTGCAAATTCATGAAATTTCACGTTGTTTGAAATTTAAAACTATTTAAACAGTAATTAAAAAAAAGTTGACAATTTTTTAATTTGTTTCTAGCATTTTTGTGAGAATATATTGTTTTTATTTTTTTATCATCTACCGACTGGTTGATTTTGTAATGTTGCGAATTCTGCTTATCTTTTTGTTTATGCAGTTATTAAATGCTTACAACGGCACTTTTTTGCCACCTGTGCGTTTGGTATGTCCGGACTTTGCTAAAGTAAGTAGGTTTTTCATCAACTTGTGTTATTGAAATATTAAGTAAAATAATTTTTTCTAAATTTATAGTCGGCGCTTGGCAATGCACGCGTTTGCTCATGGAAGGCCAATGGTATTAACTGCTTTTGCCATGTAAAACACATGAATGGATACTATTGTTTTCATCCGGTTATTGGACCTCCAGGTTATGAAGCTGCAGCGAAAACACGCAAAGATTGCCTTCGCCTCCCGGAACACTTTAGCGTGTTTGACTTGCCATGCACTGCAGATCATGATGTACAAGATTATATAAATTAGTCGTATTTAAGAAATTGTTTTTGCTTTAGTAAAAAACTTTAATATGTATTGTTATTGGAACTAGGCTTTATTTAATTCTTAATGTTACAACAAAAGATTCAAAAATTTTGAGATATAGCTTTCGAATTTTGAAAAAAACACGATCAAATAAATTGTGAAAAATTTTAACGCGTCACGTCCATTAATATTTATTAACTTAAATATGCACAAATTGAATTATAAGCGGCTTAAACTTTTGGTATTCCAGCGACAATTTCGCCTTCTATACCACATTCGTTTCGGCCACGCAGAATACGGAAGAAACCCTTTTCTCCCCAAGTTGGAGTCCATGAGTTGGCGGCCAACCAGTATGGAGTTCCATTGTCTACCCCCCAACCAAGAAGTTTTATAGCATGACCTCCAAGTTTTGAGCCAGCTTTGTGTTGATAGACACCAGTTTTGTACTGCATAAAGTCGGCGTACACGGTAAACGAAGCTTCCACAGGACCATTTTTAAAGATTTCTTCACGAATAGTCTTTTCGTTAGATGAAACCTTGTGCGGATACCCACCCTTTTGTTTATCGGATTCATAAACCAAGTTGGCGCCAGCTTCACAAGTATGTTCACATTTTGGTGTAGAGACTTCCCCTGTGCACTTGTGGTTCTCGTACAGTGCACACGGCTTAATTGAGTAAGTACGGCATCCTTCGTGTGTACCGTAGTCCCCGCCAGACACAACACCGGTCCACCAGTAGTGCATCCAAGCCATATAGGGAAAGCCACCGTTGCATCCGTATCCGCACGTGCCGCAGCACGACAACATATCTTCGGCACTTACGCTAACCTGCTTCTTTCCTTGACTGTGGATGCAAACACGATCAGAAATGGCTTCAACAGCACCAAACGCCCAACAGCTTCCGCAGTTGGCTTGGTCACGAATGTGCTTGATAGTCTGACAGTCGGGCCATTGTTCGCGAGCATCAAAGTTTTCAGGCAGTTCTTCTTGAAGCGATAATGTAGCTGGGCCTTCGAGAACCAAATGACTATATTGTTCCGGCAAATCCAAAACACCGACTAGTTTTGCTTGTTCCGCGGCGGTTTTGTTAGCAGCCCAGTTAAAACGTTCAGCAGTCCAGGTAGTTTTAAGGTTATTGACATAATTTACTAAGTCATCACCTGTCAGTGCTTGAGCGTGGGCCGAAAGTTTCTCATGGCTGGTCAAATGAGGAGTGTACTTGCCGAAGGCTACGACCCAGCCAATAAGGGTAAACAAAGCTAAGGCAGTCTTCTAGAGATTAAAAATATGATTTTCGAAAGGTTAGAGTTTTTTAAAATTTTTCTGAGGTTTTTAAACTTATCTCAGAACGGTAATTTTATAGTAATTGTAAAAAAATAAATATTTAATAACTTTAAAACTATTAACCTACCATTTAGGAAGAAGCCAACTAGTACACGATTGAAAATCATGACATTCGACCTATTTATATTAGTATTTTATCAGTTTTGAGAACAAAGAAATTTGTCGACTGGCGATAACGCCGTTTCTTTGTCTTAACGGTAGCTTAAATGATTGAACACTGTTGGAGTGCTGATAACATTACTAAAAATACGCTTTTGGAAATAAATTATTTTTACACTTTTTTAAATTCTACATGGATAAAATACACAAACTAAAAACTTAATGGCTCATCTTTTTTGAAGAACTCTTTAACACATAATATTTATTTTTGTTACAGTAGCTACACGGTAGTTTTTTAAATTACAAGATTTTTGTTCATTTTGAAAAAGTAATTATTACAAGTTTATCTTATGACGTCAAATGTAATTAATGTTTTATTTCTTTTTGATTAAAAATTAAAAACTTTTTATTATATATTTTATTACTGATAAGATTGCACTGTTATGTAATCGTCTGCAAAATTTTAAATCAATTAAAAATATCCTAAAATTGAAATTAAATTACATTCTTTATTTCAATTTTGTTTATAAAGGTTGATACACATAAGCATTTAAAAATTGAAAAAAACGGGCTTAAAATGACTATCAGTTAATTTACTATTTTATTTTTTACTACCAGTAACTACTGTTTTTACAAAATACTTCTTAAAAGCTGGATATTGTGTCAGTCTGACAAAAGCCTTAGACGGTGGCTGTCGTCAATTACAATTATTTTTATATTTTTGATAGAAAAACAAAGCCTTAAGGCTTTCTTTCCTTGATTTTCTCGTTTTTTGGCCCATCTTTTGTCGTGGCCCGTTTGCTTTATTCGCTTTTACCTTTCAATTAGCCGCAAATTTTAGAGGGCTGTTTTTTTAAAACTTTCTCATAATGTCCGGTTACACTGTTTTTATGATCTCACTGTTTATAATAACAACAGTTTGTTCTGCCTGAATATAATTATTTTTAAGTTTTCATAATTTATTAACATTTTGAGTTTGAAAAATTATCTACAATCTTTTTGTAACATATTTAAAAATAACATGTCACGTGTGAAAACTTATTTAATTCTTATTCTTAAACTGTAACAATTTTTTGATTTACGTAATACCGTAACAGAAATAGGGTTTCAGGAAAGGAGTTTAGTGTGTTTCGGTACGAAACCAACCAATAAATGACTGTTTATTCGGTTTGCATTTGTGTATTGGCCACATTCCAGGCTGTCTAATCCGCTACCTATTTTCTCGTTATAATTCAAATGAAAACTTTATATTTGACCAGCAATAATTACGTGATGATAAATACCGTGCTTTATGATATGATTTTTTAAAATTTTTTACAAATTTCTTTATGAAGTTTTTGTGTTACTGACATAAAGTTTTTAACAAATTTGTTTTTATACTGCAAAAACTATGAGAAATTAATTTTAGGGTGCAAAAACATTATTTACAGTCATCTTTCTACATTAAAAATTATTTAAATGGGCCATAAAGACACGTTTGTGCCTTTAGATGAATACCCAGAAGTCGTGAGTAAGCCTAAAACTAAAGGAATCAAAGGACAACTGCTTAACAAGTTTAAGGTTTGCAAAACTTATATATTGTTATAGTTGAGCTTGCATACGTTATAGTTTTTTCTTCTAATATAGGTTTTCACTTTTTATAAACACCAAAGCGTTCTAATATTCCTATAAAAATTTTTCTTTTTTTTTAATTAAGTATTACAGAATATACAAACTCGGTTTGCGCGAGACCAGCCTGAACCCATTCTCCGTGCACCGCTAGCCAAGCCAGAAGAAAGCCGAGAATGTTCTATTGTCTCAGGCTATCATCAGATCGAAAATCAAAAGCAACACGACGCAAAAGACCGACGATCTCCATTAACAAAGTTAAAGCAAAAGTTACTTTTAAAAGATGACAATTTACAACTGAAAGTTGACTGTATGAGAACTGATGAGCAAAGATCCAGATTCAAAAATTTCCAATCAAAATCAATGGATAATGACAGTTCCACCGACGATTAGTAGGCCATTTTTATTATTTTTTTCATTATTAAAAAAGCTTGACCGTCCCTATGCGGAATAAGTCATCCCCACTGAATAAGTCACAGCTAGACTGGTATAATTTCTTTAACTTTTTAAAAGATGTGTGTAAGATAGTCTAAACGTTTAAACTATATTAAAGCATATTCTTTTTCTATTATGTTTTCAGCACCGAGATACCGATCGATATGTCAATAAAAAGCTCACCTGTAGTTCCGCAACGTTTGACAAAAATGGACCAGCCTCGTCATCATTCTTTAAGCAAAATTCCCGGTAAAAGCCGGGTGATGGAACAAAAAATTTTGTCTGGATCTTATCAAATTCGGGTTGTGAAACGTCCAAAATCTTTGGATTTGGAACGTCGGATTGTTCATTCTTGGCACAGCCAAATTAGCAGAATGACAGAAAATTCGGTTCAAGATTACAGGTAGGCATAATTTAAAAAAACTTGCAATTTAATATCTCTATTAATTTTCTATATATTTTAATTTAAAATATATATAAGCTTAATGCTAAAAATTACAATCTGAAAACGTAAATAGAAACAATGTCATGCTGTAATTTTGACAAAAAGAAAGGCCAGTTATGTTTCAGAGATGGTATTTTTGAAGATTTTTACGATGATGAAGTTGAAGAAAAATTGCTCAAAATTGAACTACCAAAGAAACAGGAAAAACCAATGACAAAAAAAGCAGATCGAAAGTTGGAAGACTTAAAAGAAGAATACGAACCGGACGAACAATTTGTGGATGTTTCAATTAGAAAACCTGAAGAGAAATCGATTTTTCGGTTAAATTTGAGGCCATTGGAACGAGTTAATTACGAGTTAATTATTCAACATAACCCCGTTAAGAAAAAACATGAAATATTCAATCACAATATAATTGAAAACTTGAATAACGATAAAACTTACAATGTCAGTAACAACCAAAATTGTAATATCCATAATGACCAAAACTACAACAATCTTGATAAACAAAACGCTCTACCTAATAAGCCAAAACCTCCACCAAAACCAAAAATACTTTTACTGAAAAAGTCTACCGATTCTTGTGATTGCCCAGAAGGTGAAAATATCATCAGAAATGGCAGAACTAAAAACATAGACAATAAGCAAGTGATTTGCAAGGACAACGCATTTGTTGTCGATAATGCTGTTGATGATATAAATTACAATGATGATGAAATTAATAATGAAGTAGTTGTCATAACTCAACACGACGATAAAACGAGCCAACTTAGCAATCTGGAAAACACAGAAGACGATGTGGAAAGTAAACTGTACGATTGCAGTCATAGTCAAGCATGTTATTCTAACTTTTCCACAAGAACCAGAACAAATAGTGAATGTTCGAGTATTGTTAGCGCTTTGGTAAATACAAATTTATTCCCATAAATTTAAAAAGCTACTTTAAAACATTCAAAATTTTTTTTTCAATTACTCTTCTAATTTTAATTAGTTTTAACATAATTTAAACAATTTTAAAAATAATATGCCTTGCAGCCAGAGTCTGAGTTAGAAGAAAGTGGTTGGATTCACAGTCGTCCGATTGTTCAAACAAGATTAATAAAACAAGATTTAAACAAGTTTTACCCTCGTATCTTACCCTATGGTATGTTGTTACGTTGTGGAAAAGGGTATGTAAACATACCTGCAACAGAATATTTTGTTATTTGGAGCAACGGGTACATTGCAATTGGTATTTTAAAAGAGCTACAATTTTACGAAGGTTGGTTTATGTGTGTTCGATAGCAAGCAACTTTTTATTGAACTTGATCAACTAAAAGTCCTCTGCTTTACGTATAAAAAATTTAAAAATTCGCATTGCAAAAATTTTAGGCCAACCAGTTACTATCCAACTCGGCAACTTTTATTGTAAGAAAGCGGCCCAACTTTACGTAGGATGTACCATACTTGTAAACAGGTACAGCATTGTCAAAGTCAGTGGAAAAGTTCAGAAATTAATAGCGCCCGATTCAATCACTTTCGAGGATCTCGCCGATTCTACCGGTATTTTATAATATCAAATTTACCATTTTTTAATCCAAAATTCAATGTGCCATTTAGTTTTTCCCAAAAATTTACAAATAACGTTTTATAACGTAATAAAAAATAATTGCAGGTATACCAAAGCCTCAAGCATTCGCAATAAAATGGTCGTGTAGCCATGAAACTGCTCAGCGACCTCCAATCTTACGCCATTTAGGAAAAATTGTTGAATTCAGATATTCCCAACGTCACAACGGTAAAGGATTCCGTTTGTTCGGTGTAGTTGTTGACACGGAAACCAATCACACCTACTTTGTAAAAGACGACGCTTTCCCTGGATATATCGACGGTATGAGTATTTTGTAAATATAAATAATATTTGTTGTTTAGTCCGTGTGCAGACATTTCTTACATTTTTAAACACAAAGAAAATCAGTTCGCTACAATATAATTTTTTTATACTAAAATTTCAGAGCCTTTGTCTATAAACCAGCCGGTAGTGCTAAGTTTAGCCCAAATTGATTTCCCTCATTGCCGTGTCAAATGCGAATTTAATGATCTCATCCTACCGGAATGGTGTCGGCAGCTTGATCAAGTCTTATGGACCGACCAAAGCTACGAGTTCTTTTTAAAAATTGATACTCATTATATATAAATTTTTATGTGCTAATGACAATTTTTAACAAAATTTAAGTGTCACAATCCCACAAAAAAAATCGTTCAAATCTGCAACTCCCAAAAAAACTAGATTTTCCGACCGCCAAGACAAAAATCATGATCTTGGTCATCAAAACAATTCCCAATACCTATTTTAAGACACCAAATTTATACATTAGTTTACCTTTGCACATTTTTACAATTTAACTTTTTTGGCTTAAAAAGTACAATGGGGAATTTAGATTGGGCCCGTTTTATAAACAAAAGGTTACAAAATATTCGAATAGATTAGCTTATTTGTTGAACGCCTCAAACACCGCCCAGACCACGTTGTAGTGAGGATTCGGCTGTTTGTCTGCTTCTGATTCAAAATCCAGTTCCAAAAGTTTTCGGACTCGTCGCATCGCTTCCTCGTAGTTCTAAAACACAAAATAGAATTTTCAAAAATATAGTACTTAACAGATTTATTTTACGGCATGAAAATTAGATATATTAAAACCAACTTTAAAAAATGTTCGCAGTTCTTATTCTCAACCATTCATCAAAGCTAATGGACCGAGAGGAAATTACCGACGTTTTAATTTTGCTCCCCTATGAATCCGACACAGCATCTTCAACTGTTCGGGGATTAACGAAGAGCTAACAGAAATGCCTACTAATATTTAACAACAACTATTAACCTTTTAAAAACACATTTTTAAAGAAAAAACACCATAACCACTAAAATCCGCTGACCGGATTCGAACCCAGGACTTTTTGTACGCAACAAATCCCCGCTACCCACTCGACTATTCCGGAACCTCTCTAGAAGAGCTTTCTAAACATATATAAAAATTAAAAAAACGCTTACTTGATCTGAAAGCGGTCCAAAAGCATTTTCCAGTACATCTGAGGCATGTGCGAGAATAATAAGTGACAGTACACGTTTGTTCATTCTATGGACATCATTAGTCCAGCGTTGAAGAACGGATTCTTGAACGCGCTAAAAATTTCCGCGTTATCTTCCCTTACTAAGTATACATATAATTTTCGAAGAGCAACTGAAAACGGGAGTTCAAAAAACATCATCACAAAACACGTACACGGATAAGTTTAGCTTTGGTTGTTCCATCCTGCAGGGGGTGTGTAGTCATGTCAAACACAAAAAAAATTTTGTTTTTCCGTCGATAAAACACCCTTTTCCACCAGATTCTTAGCTAATCGTTCGCGCACATTTCGTAGTTGATACCGTAACTTCAAAGGATTCCAAGTTTCGCCTGAAAGATGTTCGATCCAAGTCACAACAGTTTGAGGAGGCTGAGTTTCTTTAATATGTTTCAGAGTTTCGTCCAGGATTACGTCGCCGGTCGGCTGGTCACTTGTTATGATCACCTAAAACTATATAGTAAAAATGGAAATGTTTAGATAAATTAACAAATAATTTTGAAGACTTATTCGCGTTTCTTAAAAAATGTTTCTGTTACCTAAACATTAACATAAAAACAAAAAATCCTACATTTCTTGAAACAAGACTTTTTTTCCGTAATCCGACATTTTCCAATTCTATTCGTTTTCTCAGGGCAAGCTCTATTAACACACATCCCCGAATGCCAGGAGAAATACAGTCGTTCCAAAATGACGTGTAGCCCTAAAATGAAAAAAACAATAATCATAATAGTATATTTATATTTTATAAAAAAAAGAATAATTTGATTTTATAGTCATGATTTTAAAAGTACCAAAACTTGTTAATAAAGTAAAAACGTGAAAAACAAAAATACCTCTTTGTCCTTTAACCCTAGTAACAAAATCTCTTCCATTAGAGTAAGGCGCGGTGCCGAGCGGTCCTCATCATCGTCGTATTCATCTTCCTGTACTTTTTCTTCAACTTCTTCCGTTTTCTCTTCGGCCGCCACGGGTTTGCGACGACGTTGAACTAGACCGCCGTTCATTGCCAGTCAACTACAAAAAAAATTAAAACTATTATTTTTGCAAACATAATTTTATAGCTCGTCACGTTTTACCAACAAAATTACAAATTTTCCGAAAAAAAATGTTTAAAATATTCCTCAAATTTAATTACAAATTTGACGACACACATTTTTCCTGAAAAAAAAACAAAACGTAACCAAGGTTTAAGCCCCGTACTAATACCGAAATCAATTGTAAGCTTAGTTTTCCCACGTTTCTGTTTCGTTTTTGCTTTAGGATCCACGTTTAAGAGCAGTTTAAGGTCCTAACAACGAGAAATGAATAGGAGAGATCTCTCCTATTCTCTCTTCACTTGTTCGTTGTGTTTTTCCGCCACGTATGAGCCGACTACAATTAATGATATTCAAAACATACAAACCTATAATTTTTTCATGAAATTGTAAAAATAGATCTTTCCTGCTGCTATTCCGAATATTATAACCTTTTTAACTCTTTAATTCCTAGTTTAAACGTTTAAAAAAAGAAAGACATCATTTTTAATAATATCCATTTTTAATAAAAAACGAAATCAATAAACTTAAAATACACAAACAACTCTAAACATCCAAAGAACAAATCATTGAGAACACATCCCGAATAACCTTCACAGAAGCTAGCAATGTCCGATAACTTTAAAGTTTTTAATAGATACATCGAATGAACCCAATTACAAATCTAGTTAATATGGTTATCTTTATTCCTTATTATACTTGTAGCATTAGTTCGTTGAGATGAGTTAGATCAAAAAATCACTAGTTTCTTATAAGATTAACGAAAAGTTGTGTAGTTTAACGAAATATTGCATAAATTAAACCTTTCATCATAACAATTAGTAAATGAATTCACAGACACAATGTTTTTTAAACTGCCCAAATAAAACATTCTCATATAATTTCAAAATTCCTATAAAATTTTTCCTTCATTTCTCGACAAAAAAATAAATTCCTTCTCCATAAAGTCTTTTCCTTAAAAAAATTCCATTTTTCGTTTCAACTTCGGCTTTTTCGGGTCGGGGAGAAAAACAGGAGCATAAAAAGAGAGAGCAAAAACAGCCTGCAGAAAAAGAATCCCGTGCTTGCGTTTATTGTTTGTATGGCTACAATAATCGACCACTTCGAATGCGTTTTCATCTGCTTAAATGCGACTTTTAATTCTGGAGAGCTAAACTCATTATAGCTAAGACTTAGAAATAATACCTGTAAAAAAATAAAAATTTTTGAATATTAGCAGACTAAAGCGTAAAAACTTTCAAAAGCATTTTTTAACTTGTACAATCACCAGACACATACATCAATAAACCACCTAACTGTGTCCTCTGAATACACCTTAAAGCTCCATAAACAACCTTTTAAACAAAACACAATGTATTTATGCCAGAAAATAAATTTTAATAGAAACCGTTATTCACAATGTCTGCACAACTGTCCGTCAGTCTCGAGGTTATTTCAAATTTGCCGTAATTTCGGCAAAACTAAATAAAATAGACGCTGTTGTAAGTTTCAACAAAAGTAAATAAAGAAACGTTTTAGATATATAATTATATTTTAAAATTTTAACTTTCCAACTAAAGACGTCTGAAAATATGATTGAACTTACATTATAAAAAAATTCGGCAATAAAAAAAACATATGCATATGAAAAATTAAACCATGAACTATTCCATAACTTAAACACTAAAGTTGAAGAAAAAATTATAGTCCCCCAACTTATTCACTATCAAACGGACACACATCCCCCAACTCAAAAACGTTTAATTTCAAGTTTCGGCATAAACTGGCTTTCCAACAAACGGTACACGCAAGTTTAAGCGTCAATAACATAGTTTTGAATCTGATAATGAGGTTCGTCAATTTTTTCTCGATTTTGATTCACGATTTTCCGGGCTGATAATGGGGCGCTTAAAAAGCGCTTCTTATGTGCATATTTAGTAATAACATGGAAAATGGGAAAAGTTAATTAGTCGTTCTTCAATATTGCATAAAAATCCTTAATTTAAAAAAAGAAAGTTTTTTTCTCATCTTGCAATAAAAATTATGAATAAAAAACAGTTAACTCTCGATATAACAAATCACAAGGAAATAAAAAAAATTTTCGCTGTAGCGGGGTTTCGTTATATCCTGATCTTTTATTTAAGAATCAATGCAAAAATTTTTCCTATGAGATTTTCTGTAAAAATAAGAAAAAGACCCCAAAAAATGACACAAAATTTTTAAAAACAATATTAAAACTATAAATTATTCCCGCTTAAAAAATGAATATATTACACAAGCAATTTTAAACAGCATAACTCTGATCGTAATATTCTAACGTTAACAACGTATCTTCAAAAATATCACAGACAAACAAGACCATTTTACTACTTAAATCTTTAAACAAATAAAATAAGTGATATAATTAAGTTGATGGAATGGTCTAGCTCGACAGTTCGACTAGTTTTTTGGCCACATCCGTGTTAAAAAAGTCGTCGTTTGACGGATCGTCTAAATGCCCTTCAAAGTCAATCACATTTCGATGTAATTTAGTCTGCAGAGCAGCCGAATATGTAGACAAAGCTTCTTCAGTATTGCTTAAAGTTGTGCTGAAAATAAAAAAATTAATAAAATTTACTGTAACTAAAGATATTAAAAAACCGTATTTAAATTATAAAACGAAAAAATGGCAAGAATTGACTTACTTTACTTGCTTCCACTTTGCAGTATCGTACACGTATGATACTAAACATGAGGTATTAGAATTCGATGAGAGTTTCGTGTTGTCTACCCTAATAGCCACTGGTTGTAAGATTCCGTTCGCATGTAGCTTATCGTAAATGAGTTTGGCCCAAAAATAATCCAAGCTAAATTATCACAATTTTATAAAAACGTTCATTTCTTTTGCTCTTTATATTAATATCACCACTTGAATAAGAATGCTACAAAAATGTATTTTTAGCAAATAGTGAAATACAAGAAACCTTTTTTTATGTTTTAATGTAAACTCCAGTATAAACGCCAATATCCCTTTCAATACCCAAAACGCACGCTTTGGACCTAAAATTACAACAAAAAATAACAAAAACTTACCTATTATCGTTTACTCGCTCATTTGCAACATAGCAGCCCACAATTTTCAATTTCTCTGCATCGCAATACGCTGATGTATGAATCAGACAAGCTTCAACCGGCGCCGCCATGAAAGCTCCATGTAACACAGGAACAACGTCCACAACTACCACCTCGTTCTCCTTTACACGTCCAATCAAAAGTCCTCTGACGGCACAATGCGGATATTTGACCGCGTGGAGCGATATTTTGCAATAAGCCACCGTATTTACTTTGACCATCTTAAAATATTTAAAAAAAGTAATTCTTCAATTAACTTAAAAAAATTATGAATTATACAATAAAAAATTATTTAAAGAAATTTTAAAAACTAAAATTTTAATAAAACAACGTATACTTTACCAAAACCAAACAAAATACGTTGAAAAAAGCCAAAAATTAAGTGGTGGGCGCAGCTTAAAAATAAATTTGCCGCAGATAGCGCAGCTGGGTTATACGAAGCTTATTAAATTTATTAACATAACCGTAAAAATTAAAATTTTCTGCTATATATTTTTTGCAAATTGCCAAAATAAAACACATTTATTAACATCCTCAAATTTATTATATACAGACACGTTTACAAACGGCTTTTATACCTAAACATTGAATTTACAACAAAAAATTAATAAATAATATAATTCAAATCAATTTTAAAAGTATTCACACGCTTAATATCTTTGTTTAATTCTTTTATGACAGGATCTTCAACCGAGTTAATAACGTCCAATGGCATTTGGTCGAGGACAAATCTTCGCCATTCGTCTTTCTGCTTCACGAATAAACAATCGGATTCCATTTTTTGGGAATTGTACAATTTAAATACTGAGGTAGAAAAACGTTCTCTCAATTCTTTGACAATTTCTGCACGGGGTTTAGCGCCAATTTGCTTTAAAGCATCATCATTCCTTTCGTCAAGTTGATTAGCGTTTAGCATTTCAGAATCGTTTAAAAGCCGTACTAAAAATGGTATTCAATAATTTTTGTTTTCAACCATCAAACAACAAAGTTAATAAAAAAAACTTACTGGCGTTAATAGCACACGAACTACGTTGTCTTACATAGTTTAGTTCCTTAAAGGTTTGTCTTACAGCTTGCTCCATTAAACGTTGTCGTTGCGCACGCTGTCTATTAGTCAAAACTTGGCATTGTTGTTCATGACTTTCTATTAGACTTTCCATTGAAGTCTTATCAGTAGGCAAGAGATTTTGTATTAAATATTGACATGTCTAAAATGTTTTAATATACGAGTTAATTTTTAAAAATTTTTATGAATAATTTAAATTAAAATTGAAAGCATTTCAAATTAATCAAACTTACAGTTTCATACGGTAACTTTTCTTCAATCTCGTTAATTTTGTCTACAAATTCTGCCAATTTAATAGGTTGTTGTTGACGCGTAAAATCTGTCTTCCATTTTTGTATTAACTAAAATTAAACAAACACTACATAAAGCCTAAAACCCCAAAAAACTTTCTTACAATTAGCTTTATAAAAAAGTTTACAACATACCATTTTTTTAATTCCTGATCTTCTACTGATGTCCGAACGGTCGAACAGGGCATATACCCGATCAGACATTCGATCAGGCTGAAGCGAAAGACTAGGTTCATTAGAAACTGGCCTAATCAGTGGATTCTCATCCATCACATCAGGCGAATTAGGAATGGATATCTGTGGTGTAGACAATCCAAGGGTAAGGACGTTGTTATCAACCTCTAAATTTCGAGCTGGCGTTTCACGTGTTGTTGATCGACGTGCAGAGCGGGCACGTTTTTCGGCTTGTTCACCTGGAGATTTTTGTTCTTTTTTGGTAGTTTGTCGGGTACTACTGCTAAAAAACAAGTTGTAAGGAAAGGAATTAAAAAATTGTTTAAATAAATATTGACGTACCGTGTAATTCTACCGTGTGCGCCCTTCTTATCCACCCCACCTTTTCTTGGTGTTCTGATTTGCTTTTTTGGAGTTACTTTCGTTTCTTTCGTATTGTCTTCTTCTTCAAAATCATCATCTTCGCCCTTTGGCAGTTGTATACGTAATGGTGGTACACGACGTGAGAGTTCTTCGTTGTCGTCTAGTTGAAGGTCCTGGAAAAGTATTAGTTTAAAAAATCTAATGAATATAAAAAATTGATGTTACTAAATCATTACTTAAGTAATAGTGATAAATTACCGTATTTGCTGCCATATTACCGACTTGAAGTATATTATCATATACATTCAGGTCGGGTTCAATATTGTTAATAGTATCATTAATCGCAGTGTCAATTTCCTCATCTTCCGTTTCCATTACAGGAACTGTATCAACTTGATCCGTCGTTCGAGCTAATGAGTCAATGGCCCCTTCTGGACTTTCCTTGAATTCATAAATATCTTCAGATGCTACAATTTGATTTGTTTGATCGGGCAACTCACTGGAATAATAACGTTTTAAAGAATGATGTAGCTTTTATGTTAAAAATAAGTAGCTTTTAATGTAAACAATCTTTTTCTATTCTAACTTTTATACGAATGAGAATTAATTTTAAAAACCCATTTTTGTGTAATAATACACAAATCCACCTTCCCTGCAGGCCAATTCCAAACTGAGTAAAACTTCGGCGTCCTTTAAGCTCTAAAGTATTAAAAACTTTCAAAACATTAACGGTCGAACTAATCAGGGATTAAATCCGACTGTTAATATTTATTCAGAAAAACACAAAAACTTACTCTTCGTTGGTATCAATTACTTGTTCAGTAGCTACTACAAGTTCTTCGCCGTTCGGCTGGTCGGGGTTTCTTGGCTCAGTGGGATCGTCAAACTGAGACATTTTATTAACCTAAAGTATATACTTATACACCTTTTTTCACTTAAGTGTTGTAAAAATACTTTCTCAGCAGTTTGATTATTTTTAAAAATCTTGGATGTATACATACGATATAACGCGCGAGAGTTAATACAAGTTAAACGAAATGTCACGATTGATTAGTAAGTTTTTGGTCTTTCTCGGTTTGTATGCACTTTCGTAAACAATATGTCTACGCTTTTTTAAGGCGTTTTATGTGGTTCATTTTTTTTGTGTTTATAAATATATTGTAATACTCAAAACTAATTGTATAAAATGTTATTGTGGCAAAACGAGGGATGGTTTATTATTACTACCATTTTTATAAAGCTTTGTAAAATAAAACTTAAAAATAAGAAGTTCAACTTTTAAGGAACTTTTCATGAATTTTTTAATCATATTGTTAATAAATTTAATTTTTCAAAAGTTTGTTTAACTTTCAAGTATATTATGTTTTAAATATATTTACAGTAGCAAATGTGTTAGTCAACTCAAAAACATAAACACGGACGTCACGACTTTGACATGTCTAATTAGTTATAAATTTGACTATTTTTTAACGGAATACACTTCCAATTATCAAGTGTAAAATTACAAACTGCTTGAGTTGAATAAGATTTTAATTTATAATTTGTATGTTTGAAATTTTTACAAAACTCATTTTGTGTGTTTGCAACATTTAATATTTTGTAACTTATGTATGTACTAAAAGCCTCGTTTTAAGCGAGGCTGAAATGGAAATTTCAAACAGAAAAAAAGTTAAAATAAAAAGGAACGTCAGGGCTTTGAGTTATTTGAAAAATATCCTCTATGAAGTGACAAAAAATTTAGGAGCTAAAAACAAGGTTTTTTCCGTTATTTATATTTAATTTTTTATTATTCGCTTACATTTACTTTGATAGTTTAATTGCAATTATAAAGTCTAAAATGAAATTTGAAAATTGTAAACCAGCTTTATAGGAGTTACACTCGTTAACGTAGAAGAACATCGAGATGAAACATCTCTTGGAAACATTCCGTTTGCTTTTTTTCCAACATTGCCCCAGGCCATTTGTGCGTGTATTTTGGGCACGAAAAATGCCTGAAGGGAAGATTGGATTGTCATGGGCCTGCTTTTCCGTTTCAAATCAACCCACAAAAAGAAATGTTTCAGGCTGCCGGCTGCCGAGATGCTCATTTTTATAAGCCTATAACGCGTTTATGGAAATTTAAAATTAAAAGTTTAGATGCAAGGTTCTGTCTTAAAGGTTTTTTAATTGCCATAAAACGGCTCATAAGGCAGAGGTTTTGGTCAATTTTTTTATTGAAAGATTTTGTAAATGCAATTATTATGCAAATTTGCGGGTTGCGGCCAGACTTGAGAAAATCGAGATCAAAAAATCGCGTTTTGAATTTCCCGCCAAATTCGCATAGTGTTTCAAGCTTTTAACTTTGTTGTTTTTGACCACCCCTCAGAGTCGATCCGAAACAATTCCACAGGTACGCGAAAAATCAAAAAAAAAATTTTGGTCTTAACCAAAATAGGCTGAACAACAAAATTGTTTTCAGTCGATCAAGTTTGCGCAATAAAAATATCAAAAGAGGGCATATAAAAGCCTTTCATCGCTCCAGGAGATAAATAACTGTTGAGGGCTAACATTTTAGCACTGGAAAAACTTATTTTCAGCTTTTTTTTACCATAGAAATATTGCATGTTGTTTTTAAATTCAATGATTTGATCTCTATACTTGAACATTTTTAAAAATATTACACGAAGTTATAGAAGTTTTTTTGTGAAAAATCCATTTATGGCTTTAAAAATTTTAAGTACAACTATATCAGTAAAAATAAAAAATACGAAAAGCGAAACCGGAAAAACTGAATAGTTTTTTTGGGGCGATAAAAAGAGTAATTTTTACAATAAAACGAGAGAATTAAAGCGTTAGTTGAAATGATTTTGCGAGGAACGGTTCATCAGATGACAAATATTATATTGAGTTTTTACTGATTATTTATTCACAATTGTTTCAAAGAATGACATTTTTTATATAATAAGGATGAATTAAACGTTTTAGAAGTTAAATACATAATGTTTAATAAAGTTACAACATTTTTTGCGCTTTACTCTTCACTGGTGTAATATATGAACATTGTAAGAATTTTATTATTTTTTACTTTCAGGTATGTTTGACGACATAGACATAAATGAAAACGAAGCACCTATACGGCGATCTTCAGCACAAATTCGACAGTTTAATCCTGAGCCTCATCTTGTTGTCATTCACAAAAGTACAACTGGTAAGCTAACATCTGAAAAGTTTAAAAAATCGTTTTATGACGAAATCGATACAACACGCTGTTATTAAAAAATTAAACTTACGTTGCCAAGTTCCGTCGAAATATGTAGAATTTATAGAGGAACAAAAAATGGTTATCTGTTTGATTATGGTGGTTCAATGTGATAAGAAGAACCACGTTACTAAAGCTTTTAAAAATTTAAGGTTTTGGTTTCAATGTAAAAGGCCAAGTAAGTGAAGGTGGGCAGCTTCGAAGCATAAATGGTGAATTGTATGCACCCCTACAACATGTTTCGGCTGTTCTTGGAGCAGGAGCTGCTGAAAAAGCTGGACTTCTCCGAGGAGATAGGATTTTGGAAGTGTAAGTTTCTGTGTATTTATATAAAAAATGTTTTTCTCTTCCTAGACAACAATGTCTGTCGTCAGACAACACACAATGCATTTTTACCGAGATTATGTGCTCGAGACTAAAAAGATATCCACTAACGGCGTAACTTATATGTAAATTGTGAGGAATTTTTTTGAGAAAGCTTTGATGACGTTGTAGCAAAATTCTATAAGTGTGTTGTTTTCTAGTTTAATTATTGTTTTTATCAGCGTGCTGTTCGGTTCGGGTCTTATTTGTTACTATGACAACTTTTTGAAAACAATTTGCCGACTTTATTCTAATTCAAAACGAATACGAAAAGTTGCGCGTGGTTGCTCAAGGGTGTTACTGTATATTTTTCCTTTATTTTTATTCTTACAAGGAAAGTTCCCGACCTGCCCCGCTCTGATTGACTTGAAACTTTTTAAATAGGAAAATCATGTAAATATAAGATCTTCAGCAAAGTACTAAATCGCGCTTTCCAGGAAATCTCGAGAAAATCGAGATTAAAAAATGACATTTTGAATTTCCCGCCAAATTGGCATTGTGTTTCAAGCTTGTAACTTTGTCATTTTTTGACTTTTAATTATTTTTCTTTCATATACTAGTAGAATACTTTTAAATGAAACAACATTTTTAAATTTGTAAGCGCATCTTGCCTGGAAAACCGAAAAAATTGCTTGAAACACAATGCCAAATTTGCCAAATTGGCGGGGAACCCAAATAATTTAAATTTAAAACTAAAACCGCAAACTAAAATTTTTTATGGGTACTATTGGTGGTACAAAGAATTCATATAAAAATTCTGAGCTGATTCTGAGCGGGGCAGGTAGGGCACTTTCCTTGTTAATGCAGGCGTTTTTGAGAAATTATCATAACAATGTTATGCTTTAATTTTTGAAAAGACTTTACTTTTAAAGCTTTTTATTTGTTAACGTATGTTGTATTCACGTTACGCTAGAGGACCTGTCAGTTTTATTCTTAAACTGTTAAAAAGTGTTTTGGATTTTCTGGTTTTAGAAACGGCGTGAACGTTGAAGGTGCTACTCATCGACAAGTGGTCGAACTGATTCGACAAGGTGGTGACAAACTTCAATTGGTAGTTATTTCAGTAACTAGCGACATGTTGGAAGAAGAGACTTATGCAGATGAGACGCAGCCTAGTCTAAAGTACGACTACACGGAGAAAAGATCGCTGCCTATCACTATACCTACATATCAGAAAGTTCAAACGATCGCTGAAACATTTATGGCTTTTAATTTGCACATGGCTGGACGACATTTAGGCAGCAGGAGGTAAGCAGCCTGGTCTTATGGTTTTGAGTTAAGCATTTTGATTTAATAGCACTTTTTAGATTTTCATATGTATTTTTAGTAAGTTGAGCGAAATAACCTGAAGCTTATAGGTATAGCGAGTTTGTAACATTAGATCGGCTACTTAAGGAAGAATTTCCGGACTTTCAATTTCCAAAACTTCCTTCAAAATGGCCATTTCATATGACCGAACAACGGCTAGATGCCCGTCGTCGTGGACTTGAAAGTTATTTAGAGAAAGTTTGCACAATCAAAGTTATTGCCGACTGTGATATTGTACAAGAATTTTTGATGGAAGATTCTCCACCTGTTACGGCTAACCTTCACGTCGCGCTTCGAGTTCTTTTGCCTAACCATCATGCTGTCGTTTTAAGTTTGAACAGAAATTCCGACACGACAACGGTTTTTGATATGGTCATGGAGGAGCTTGGTTAGTTGATTACCGTATTTGAAAAAGTTACCAAATATATTTATAAGGAAAGTATCTTACCTGTCCCGCTCAGAATCAGCTCAAAATTTTTATATTATTTCCTTGTACCACCAGTAATGCCTGTAAAAAATTTTAGCTTGCGCTTTTGAGTTTTAAATTTGTATTTTGTTTTCCGGCCGATTTGGCATTGTGTTTCAAACACTTTTTTTGACTTTACAGCCACGCTACACTTATAAATTTAAAATCGTAAGTTCATTTAAAGGTATTCTACAAGTATATAAACAAATACTCCTAAAAGTCAAAAGATGACAAAGTTATAAGCTTGAAACACAATGCCAACTTGGCGGAAAATTCAAAACGTAATTTTTTGATCTCGATTTTCTCGAGATTGACTGGAAAGCGCGATTTAGTACTTTGCCGAACATCTTAGATTTACGTGATCTTTCTATATAAAACGTCAGTTGGGTACTTTCCATGTTAAATTTTAACTTTGGAATAACTTTTATAACTTATATCTTCTGAATTTTGAACTTTCATTTTATGATTTACCTTATAATTTGTTTAATTATAGGTTTCTCATCTGAAGCCCGTCGCTACACCGCTTTGTTCGAGATGATTGACGCGACATTCGAACGAAAATTAAAGCCCCGTGAATGCCCGCATAATATTTACATACAAAACTACTCATCCGCCGCTTCATCATGCATTGTTCTTAAAAAATGGTGCTTCGATGTGCGTAAGGAGCGTGAACTTTGTCTTAACGACGCAAAATTCGCGCAGCTTTGCTTTTATCAGGCCGTCAACGATGTGAATACGGCGAACATTAATGTTAAAAAAGACAAACTATACCAGTTGAAAGCGCTACAGACTGAAGACAGCGGCTTTGAGTATCTGGAGGCCTTAAGAATGATGTCTGGCTACGGGGAGGTGGCTTTTCCACCGTCTGATTTTCATGCAAACAACAGGGTAGGAATTGTATATCTTGGCTTCGGGTTTGATAAAATACGAATCTCGCTGAAGTTCGCGGAAAGCAAGAAGGTAAGTGGAACATGACAAGGCTTTTTCTTTTTTTTCAACATAATTTCACAGGCTGTGACAAAAGTATAAATTATATCTTAAAATAATTTTTTTTTAGGAAAAAGAACCTTGAGCTGGAATGGTCGTACCTTGAAGATTATCAACTGAGTAATGACGCAACGTCGGTTTTGCTACGTATAAAACGCGACAATATCGTGGAACCCCTATTTATTAACACAGAATACGCTGAGTATATTTGTGACGTTATTGATCGTATTATGTTTGAGCGAGGAGCCAAGCTTCATGTATTGGACTCTAATCTTGCTGGGTAATCATTTTGGTGACTAATACAAAATAACCTTTCAGAGCGATGTTAGGGAATTAAATTTTAAGCATAATTATTTTAAATTTTCGTTTCATTTTAGGCTTAACTTTTTGAGTCTTCTAATATATTAAATTGATACAAAAGAACTGATTTTTACTATTAATTAATCTTTTGATATAAGGGACGAGCTAAATACATCGGATGGAAAGTATCAGACAAAAAATGCGATTTCTTGTCTGATATTTTCGTCTCTCATTTTCACGCTATCTTTTTTTTCCTCTCGTTGCCGACGGCAGTTAGAGAAAAAAAAAGATCGTTGAAAAAAGTATCAGACAATTTCCGAAGTATCAGACAAAAAAAGCATTTTTTGTCTGATACTTTCCATCCGATGTATTTAGCTCGTCCCTTATATATATATGGATATTTTCTCGCAAGACACGGTAATCTAAACTTAGGATAATGCACAATGAAGATAAAAATTTTAAAGCTTTTGCACAATCGGAAAGTATACTAGAATAACAACGATTGTAGTCTCTCCAACATTTCTACTTAAAAGTTAACATAATAAATATATTTGAATCCAGAATCTCACATTCCGTTAGATTAGCTTTTTGTAGTCTCATATCATATTTGTAACCATTGTAAATGTCGGTATTGTCTCAACCGCATCGTATCAGCGTTTGGTTTGATTTTAGGATGTTGTTGATTTAATACAATTCGAAATGAAAATATGCTCAAGTCATATTGTGTTTACGCAATTGTATATATGTTATCAAACTTTGTTACAGTAAATCTTATAGTTGAAAATAAATTTAATTTATACAAGCATGGAAAATAATGCGGTTGATAAAAAAGTATTAGACGCCAAATTATGTTATATTACAGTACCGGTGAATTTACACATATTTAAAAAGCGACTGTCAAAAAATATACATTGAAGAAATAATTTCAAATAAAAAACACAAATTCAGTGAAAATTTATTGTCAGTAAAACGGTTGCTAGACGTGGCTGCTCTGAAGATTCCGGCGGCGGTTCATGTTGGGGTTGTTGCGGAATGGACCGGACTCGGTGCTGGTCTGAACGCTCACGTTCTGCTCTAAACTAACAATTATTAGCATTAAAAACCGATAACTTGATATAAGAAAACTCAAATAAAAAATTTTAACTTATTTAAGAACTTACCCCTTTAAAAATATACATATTTTCAACAGACTTATGTTACAAAACATTTTATTACACATAACAAACTTACTCATAACATCGTTACTACGGCACTTTTCGTCATACAAGGCGTAGGCACCAATGAGAAGACAGAAAACGGCGAGCACAGACAACAAGAACATCAGAACCCAGCCAATCGGGCTCATTCCAGCACCAGCCAACACGTGCCGCGCTCCGTGCCTGATGGCCTCATCCACGACCTTCTGAGTACTGACGGTGGTTGTGGTAGACTCCACGACGATCGTGCGCAACGTCTGGCTTAACGCCGGGATTCTGGTGGTGGTTTCAGTCAACGAGCGGATAACAGGCATGGTAAGTGGGTTAGTCAATGGGCACACTGCAGACATCAGTTCACAACCAGATCGAACCAGAAGAGGAGAACGCCGCCGTACTCCACCGAGCGCAACTAGTCGAATGAGCAAAAAAAATTGATGGAAAAAAATGCTAAAATTTGAATATTTCAACGTCAGATGTGTATAATTTTTCAACTTTTATGCAAAAATTTTTTCTTGAACATTCTATGGGGAATGACTTTAACAAATACAATAAAATATAGTCAAACTCACCTTCAATAAAAAAATATTTTTCTTTGATTTTGGTCAATGTTAACGTAGAATGCTTTTTCAAAAATCATTTATTGTGGATAACATTAAAAAATAATGAAAAATCAGTGTTACAGAAAAAGTTATTAAAGGTATTATTTAACATTTTTTGAATGTACCATAACACCACAAAAACCAATTTTAATATCTTCGCCTTGGAGACCTTGATCTTCTCCGTCCTCCTCCATATCCGCCATCGTCACGTCGTGGAGGTGGTCCACCGCGTCGCCTAGGCGGAGAGCGACCTCGTCCACCATATAAGCGCCGTCTCAGGTCACGCGAAATCGGTTTCAAGTGCATAAAATTACAAAATGCTCCTTTTTGACAACCACCAAGTTCGTATTGTCGGCAGCATGCTTCTCGAAAGTCGGTTACAGGCGACAGTTCCGCGTATATTGGTTCGCCATTAAACCATCGATTTTCTAAACCCTTCACACAACGCTCGGCATCTTCTTCACGGAAAAACTTTATATAAACATTGCCTATCATGTGTTCTCCAATATTGTCACAAACATTCATTTCTTCAATTCGGCCATATTTGTTATCAATTTCCATAAATATTTCTTCAAAAAAGTCATCAAAAAACTTCTGTTCTTCCGTGTTAGCTTGTCCTACCTGCAAATATCGCTTTAATACTAAATTTTATACAAACAAAGGAATCATATTTGTAAAATGTGTATAATTAAAAAGCGTCATATGAAGAAGCTAAATGACATAAAGTATTCAAATCAAATTGTAAACCTAAACCTTAAAAGTAAAAAAAAGAAAAACAATACCTTTGAGAAAGCATCAGCTTGTCTCATGTCGATGACTGGATTGTGATACAAATTTTTCAACAATACAGTTTGTGAGAATGTGGGCATGTTGTGAGTTCGAGAGCACTTGTCTCCATGTCGGCATGCTCCAATTTTAAAGTAGAATGAGCAATTTACCTAAAATTTCAAAATCAAACCGTTAACTCCTAATATGAAACACCTTGTCTAAATCAATAATTTAATTAGAGCTTTGAACACTTACACACAAACAATTCAAAGCCTTTAATTTACGTCAATCCGCCCTAAAAACCTAAAAAATCCGTCGAATCACCTAAAACCAGCTGAAACATCTAAAATATTCCTCTAAAAATAGTTTTAACAGACTGAACTTCCAAACACAAAAACTTCTTCAAAACATGTACAATGTCAGCAAAATATCTAAAACAATAACATTTTCTTTTGAAAAATCTAAAAAATCAACTTTTCCGCAAAATTCAACACGGTTTGCATGCTGCAACACCATTTAGATCCTCTTAAAAGCCTAAAAAAGACGATAATGTTGTTAAAGAAAAACATTAAAATTGAATAAACAAACCTTATCCTTTTCAGTTCCATAAATTGAAGCCAAGTATTCAGCACCAGATAGTTGAGCCATCCTTCAACCGTCTATGAATGAATTGACAGACTCTAAAGTGGCTTACGAAAGAAAGCAATCGAAAGCGAAAAAAGCGCGCTGACGAAAAGCCACGGAGTTATCGAAAAAGAGAACGAAACGCTACAAAAATTATCGGATATTCCCTTTAACAATTGTAAAACCTACTTAACAATAATGAAACTATATGTAAAATAATCTTTATATAAATAATCTTTATATTACTTTTTTAAAAATTTTAAATTTGTTTGTTACAAAAAAGTTTTGATATACGCAATTTTTAAATGCACTGTGTGGTGTTAAAAGGACGTTTAAAAGCTGTTCGTTATACAAAATTATAGTTATAGAGGAGTTTGTTACACAGGAGTTGGATAATATATATATATTTTTTCATTTTAATAACGTTTTAAAACAAAATTTTACAAATTAATTCCAAAAAATTGTCTTATGGTAAAATATTTTTAGAAACAGGACTTCAATCATTTATGATTTGGCTACATTAATTACACTAATTCAAAAAAAAATAACTTAACTAGTTTTTAATAAGTTTGCTGAAAGTGATTGTTTTACAATTCGAAACTTTTTTATTTTTTTTGAATATTTATAACTTTAAATTTAAAGAAAATAATACAGTAATCATAACAATCTTCCGTTTCGACGAGCTTAATCCTTTTGACGCAACAAGCTTAATAACGAAAGATACGTCTGACTTTATCAGAGTTATTTACGGTTTGTGCTACTTCTACATGTACAAGTTTTGACATTGTTTTTTGAATTGTAGAATTATTTTTAATGCGTACATATTATTCGGTGTTTGCTGTAACGGAAATACTATGTATAAAGCTTATGGTAAAAATCGATTAATATTATTATAAATTAAGTATGAAGTTTGTTTGAGATAGTATAAAATTTCATTTCTTTTTTTACGATTCCAAGGTCAGCTGTTATGTCGTAATATCCAAAACATGTCGGTTCTTAAGCTTTATATGGGTTTTTTGTTATATGCTAGAGTGTTGATTGAGGTATCATTTGTCATTTTATGCAAAACACAAAATTGTAAATTTTTATTTAAACAATGCCGAAAACTTTTATGACTTATTGTGCTATTAAACCAAAGCTTATGAACTGTAATTACTGCTTGCGATACATGTTGTATACTTATTTACAGGCGTTTTAATTACATGTATAAGTCTAACTTGAACAATATTTTCAGTTTCAAAAGCGTTTTTAAAATTTAAAAATAACTTAAAAAGTTAAAGAGAAGCTTAACGGCCACTTAGACTAAAATTTTTTGAACAATCTGTTTCTTTCTTTAGGCTTTTGAAACTTTTCACAGGCTTTGCAACAAAAGTGTCAAAGTGCGGTTTTCCTCGAGGTTTATAATTCTTGTTTTTTCATATTTAACTTTCATTTTTATTTAATATTTTTGGAACGCAATAGTTAGGTTTTACAGATTAACATAGGACGAGTTTAACTAATTAGGTAAAGTTTTTAAATGTATCGTTTGTAATGCATGATTCTAAGTAAATTAAAAATGTAATTTGATCTTATTTTCGGTCACTGGCATGTTTTGATCGTATCAATAAAACTTTAAAAAAGCACTTTGTTTAAAAACAAGCTTTTTAATTATATCCCTTAGTTTTTATGCATTTAACTAATAATATTTAATATCAAGGAGAAGCAGAGCGGGGGGGGGGGGAGTAAGAATTATAAAGGGAACACTAAATTTTGTTTAAACGTGCTCTTCGTATTGTCTTTTTTGAAGTTGATTTATTTTTTAATACTATTTTTAATAGTAGTTGAAACAAAGTTGGTGGTTATTAAACTTGATTAATAATGCGTCGAAAAGCTCGTGTTCCAGCATTGGCTACACCACAGTTAGGCAACGGTTCAATAAGTGGAGATGAATTGCCGCCACAACATGACCACACTTATGATCCGGAAATGGACGAGTATCGACAACTTTTCGACATGTTTGATGCTGACGGTAGTGGAGCTATCGGTAACGAAGAACTCAAGGAAGCTATTCTCAGTCTCGGTCAAAACATATCTGATCATGAAATTGAGGCTTTGATTAAAGAGGTAGGCTAGGAACACTAAACACAAATATCATTATAAGTAATATCATGAATTCAATAGGTAAAATTGTATTTAAATATAATATATCAAAAATTTATTGGCTTCAAAAAATGTAATTTTAGGTTGACGAAGACGGAAACGGTGAAATTGATTTTGACGAGTTTTGTCGTTGTATGCGAATGTCACAAAAACGCAGTTTAGCTAGCAACGAAGAATTTGTAAAACAGTGTTTTAGTGTCTTTGACCAAGATGGAAATGGTGTTATTACTAAAAACGAATTTAAGGTGATTTTTTAAAATGCGTCTTTGTGTTTTTAATTTTAAGAAACTTCTGAAAAAAATGAAGATTATAGTTGGAAAAATCTTAAAGCAATTTTTTTCAGTATATTGCAAAGGAAATTGGCGGGTTTAGCGACGATTTGGCAGAACACATCTTTCAAGAACTAGACGTTTCATCTAATGGTCATTTAAGCGCCGATCAGTTTGCCGCCATCGTTGAAGATTACATGTTGAACGATCAGGGACGGTTGTACGACGAAAAGATAACGGGTCCCCAAAGAGTTTAATTATAAACTAATCCACTATCAATAAGTTTAATTGTATTTTTTATTATAATTATAATTAAAATTGAAGATTATGCAAAAATATCAAAATGTGTAATTGTCGCCACTGTCAAGATGAATTAACGTTCGCAAATTTAAATCATTCCACGTTTGGTCTGCAACAAAAGCCAATGTTTCGTTGTCGCGTTTTGTTTTAAGTTCCAAATCATTAAACATTTTTCGAGTCATAATTTCACGTTGTCGACAAGATTCGACTCCTTTTTCTCCGCAACGTTTGTTATGTCCATATATTGAAATGATGACATTCGACACGTCGATTTCATGCTTTCTGGACTCTCTTAAAAATTGCCGCACGAACGCTTTAGCTGTGTTGTAGTCGGAACGAAGACGTTGTAGCAACTAACAAAAAAACTTTATGTTGTAACAGAAGTTTCATTTACAAAAAGTTTATTTATAGATTACACAAATTTGGCGTTTAATTATAACATACCTTTTCAGTATCGTATTTTGTTTTGTTGACCGTAATGATTGGCAAAAACACCAAGTTACTTTTGTTGCCGACTTTTTCTTTCCACATTAAAACCTCTTCTTCAAACAACTTCCTTAACTTTTCAGGCATTTGATCTGGTGCGTCTGTGTCTTTCTTTAACGTGTCAGGGTACATGGTCACGTTCATTATTATAGTTGTTTTTTCAAACCTATCTAAGAACGGATCCGTATTTAATAATTCACATGATTCTGGTACCAAAAGTTGATAATGAAACGCTAGAAATGAAGTTACATTTATTTTTTGAAAATTTTTTGCGTATACAAAAATAATCAAAGTATAATAGTGACTCACGTCGTATTTTAGGCCCATTAAACAATAAAGAAAAGTAGGTTAACGCATATGACAGTAAATTTTTCAATGAAGGCTCCATTTTTGACTATTGAAAACGAACAAAAAAGACGCTTCACGTACTTATAAACAATGTTTGTAAACAAATATTAAACAAATCATATTTTTATATTAACGTTAGATTAAAGAAGGAAAACTTTGTAACTTTCCTAACGGTAGGTTTATTATATAATATTAAAAAATGAAGTTTGACTTATGGGCACTAACAAAGTTTCAATACTGTCAACAAACTATAAAGTACAAGAAAATTTTAGACAATAATTTATGTGTTTGTATAATATAATGATAACGTATGCATATGTATGTGAATGTATTATGGGTTAAAAATAAGTATTTTACAAAAAATTTTTTATTAAAGACATGCTATATGTTATGTAGGTATGTTTTTCGGATTTTGAGGGCAGGCACGAGCAATATGGTCTAGCTCATGACAAAAGTAACATCCTTCTCTGTTTGAAGGACAATTCTTGCTTATATGAGTGCCAAGTCGGCCGCATTTGTAACATCTGTAATTGCAAAATTTTAAATGACTAAAATAAAATCTAGATTTGACGACATATTATATAGGTATATTTAAGTTTCTTTAATTTACATAAACCACAAAACCCACTTTATAAGATTCTTCTTATTTTTGCTAATAATTGGCCGAACAACATGTCCTTGAAGAGCACTGCCACCTATTCCAGTCAAATTAGTTGCACACAATCCTTTTTCGTTGTACTGAACTGTGAACTCAACATCTTCGTTGTCTTTAATGCTTTTAAATTGTTGCTCACTTATGTTTTTGTAATGAATGAACACTTTTCTCCCACCACGTTCTCCTTCCATCGTCGAGGTCACAAATCCAAAGCCTTTTCGCACGTTAAACCAATCGGAACGGCCTGTCCACCGTTCTCCAATCCAACTTTCTAGTTTTTCTTTTTCTTCCGCACTAATCTGGTCTGGATGCTGATTGGCTCGGGAGTGAGGCTGAGATGATGTTGAAGGTCGGCTACTTTTCACAAACTCGTCTTCACGTCTTGCTGAATCTTCATGTTGTACGTTTGAATGGTGGTGTTGTTTCTCAATTTTTGAAGATCCAACAAACTGATTGGCTGGTTTTTCTTCTTGCTGTTTGCCTGATTTTTGACGTTCCAAACGTTTATTCAGCTCACGATTGGCAGCAGACATCTCTACAAAGATTTCCAATTACCCACTATCCAAGCAAGAAAATACAACCGAAAAAAAATTGTGCCTAAGAAAACAAAGCTTGGCTAAAAAATAAACGTAAAATCGATTTAGCTATTCTATTCTAATACAAGCCATATGGATTTTGATAATAGCGCGCGACCCATAAATAACGCACTCAAATGTTTCATATTTTCCTTTCTAGATCAGCAATGACCTCTCAACATCTTGACAAGTCAAACAATGCTACGGATTTTACAACTATTAGAAATGCTTTTAACGCACACCAATTCGTACAATCATACAAATTGTGAAAACAATAACGGTTAATTTTTGCATACTAACTAAAAATAAACTATTACAAAAAACGTTACTTGTACGATTATACTTTTCTTTGTATTTTATACGATCTTCTTTAAATGTATGAAAATTTAAAGTAAAATTTAAGTTGAATTTTAAAAGTTTTATTTTTGTTTTTTTTTAATTTCATTTGTATATTTTTACAGTAATTTTGAATTATTTTATTTCGTATAAAGTGTAATTTGCGTTTATCCCGCAAGTTGCGCCCAAATCGGTCTTCTTTTCGTCGTTTTTTCCACCAGAATCCAACCAGCTAAAACGAACTGCATTCTGGAAGCCCCTAGTCTTTTTCCTGTCGTTGAACATTTTTACATGGCTTTCACGGGGAATAGTTTTTGAAAACGGGTTTCTGACGTATAATCGAGCTTATCAGCTGATTTTTTTGCTTTGAATAATTGGAAAGAAGGTTTGATAATCTCTTCAGTGTTGTTTTTTAGGGTTAACATTTCTGACTGATTTGCTTTTTAATGGCTAGTCCACGTACGCGACGCGTCCTTAAGGACTTGAGGCCTACGAACGAGAATAATGTAAGTGTTGTTATCTATGATAAATTGAAAGCTAATTATTGGCGTTTCTATGTTATTATTATTACTGGTTTTTCAGCAATGTTTTGAATGTGGAGCTGGATGTCCACAATGGGCATCTGTTTCGTATGGTATTTGGATTTGCTTGGAATGCTCTGGCAAACATCGGTCTCTGGGTGTGCATCTAAGGTAAGGTCGATTTTTTCTGTATTTTAATATTTTAGTTTTGTGCGATCTATAACTATGGATAAATGGAAGGATTTGGAGTTGGCCAAGATGAAAGCGGGTGGAAATAAACACGCAAGAGAGTTTTTTGAGTCACAAGACGATTATAGTCCGACTTGGAACATACACGACAAGTACAACTCTAAAGCTGCCGCTTTGTTGAGAGACAAGGTAGGTAATGATTTTTTAACGCTATAGATGAAATAAGCTTGTTTTTTGTTGATATTGTTTTGTGTCTCATGTGCTTTAAATTCTTGTTGCGAATATTTTTATCAATATAATGTTGTAGATAAGTTGTGAAGCAGAAGGCAAGACGTGGTCTGCCGAAAACTCGACTGCTAATAGCTATAAAGCTCCGTTATCTACCCATTCTTCTTCAAAAAATTCGACTAAAACCAAACTTAATGATAACAACTTTAGCTCTTATTATGGCGGCGGATCTGATGGAGGTTTTCAGAATAGCGGATCTAATTGGAACACGACACAAAGGTAAGAGTATTATAATTTTTTTGCTATATTGTCATTTTTAGCTTTCATGATAGCTATTTATGTATTTTTTGGTGCTTTTCGAATTGATTTTGGTTGATTTTTAGCGGAGATTCTAAGTTTCAAGGCTTTGGGAATCCAAATTATCAATCTCAGCCTAAGAGAGACGACGATTTTATTAGTGGAGCTATGTCATCATTGAGTATGGGATGGTCAATGTTGAGTAAAGGAGCGTCTAGTGCTGCTGACATGGCCAAGGACATAACGTCACAAGCGGGCCAAAAAGCGGCTGAACTTGCCAATGAAAAAGATGGTGGATTGTTCTCCTCGTTGGCGTCCAAAGCTTCGGAAGTTGGCAAATCGTCATGGGGAGGCTTATCAAATTTTGTCAAGTCACCGTCTCTTCAAGGATTTGCCGGCGGGTTTTCCAAAAAGTAGGCTTTTTAAAACTTCTTGACGTTTAGGAATGGATTAAAGTGGTTATGTTGGCAAAAATTTTGCTATTAATTTTTTACGGTGTCAGCATTTTTATAGGTTTTTATATAAATTTTTCAGTCAGTATGAAGACCTTGGTACGCCAACAAGTGAAAAACGGCCAGAATTCCCATCAAACAATTCATTTAGTAACTACAGCCAGGAATATCAAAGCTATAATTCTGATTCTAACGCGTAAGTCGTAATTTTTAAAAAGGTGTAATACTGGTTTGCTATATCTAGCTTCAGAAATTTAATGGGAAAATGTTTAGAGACGCTTTTTACGACGCTCCAGCACCAGAAGAACCAAGAAAGTCTCCACGATCTAAAAAATGTGAGTTTTAACGTTGTATTGTATTGTTTAATTTATATAGAATTATTATAAAATTCAAAATATTTTGGAAGCATGTTATTCGTATTATTCGCAAAGTTTTTTATAATGCTAATACTAAAGATTTTTAGTATGCGAATTTTTTGATAATCGTATTTTAGCACGATCCCCAAAACCGGATTTAGAACCCAAGCTAAGTGCTCCAAAAACTGCTCAAGCACGAGCCTCCGGAAAAATCAAAAAACCCGAGCCCGATGCTTTAATATCATTTGAATCCGACGTGAAAACGAGTAAAGTGAAAAAAGCGGAAAAGCCTAAGAATGCTGACGACGATGCATGGGATCTTCTAAATCAGTAGTTTAAAATTACAGACCGGTTGAAACTTTAATTACTTTAATTCCGAGAAATGTATTCAATTCGACGTTTTTTATTAGTTTTGGTGGAAAATTACTTTATAGAGTATGGCGCGCAAAATTTATGACTAGGTAAAAAAGAAGCTAATTTATTTTGTACTTATCATGTCTGGAGAAATACTCTTGTACTCGATCGTTAATTAGAAATTGTTGTTCAGCAAAATATTAATCATAAGTTTATTATTTCTTTTAACATGACGCTCTTGTAAAAAATCTTTTTGTAAACGTGTGAACTGTTCTGTATTAGAAGTCTGTCACTAAAGCCACTACCTTTTTCTATTATTTTTTATAATAAGTTTACCTACTTTTTAATTCTCCTTTTATTGTTCATTTAACAGATATGTTTCTGATTTTTAGGTATAGTTTTTTATCCTGTATTCAGTGCATACACATTTCCAAACATTCGTTTTTCGATTTCTTTCAAAACCTTAACTTATCATTCGCAGTGAATAAACATATTTACTATAATACATTTTAAATAATATGCTATTTTTTCATCCCTTTTGACGATTTAATTAAAATTTATAACTTCTTTGTAAATAGAATCCCACAGTCTACCGTGATATAATGTAAGTAGAAAAAAATTAATATAAATTACGGGTGTTTTAACGTAAAGGTTAAAGTTAAAAATTTTTTTGGTTTTTAAGGCATAAAGTAAAAAACAACATCTGGGTCATTGAATTCTTGTAGGGCATCGGTTGGTGTAGTATTAGGGTAAAATAAATAAAACGAAAATTTTGTTGATATTTTAAACATTTTTAAAACATATTGTAATGTGGCTATTTACTTTTATGGTATTTTCTTTCATTTAAAGAGTACATTATTCATCGTATAATTTGTCACGCTCCGAAAAACAGGCAAACTAGTGGAAAATTATAAATAGGAAAATTATAAATTTTCCACTAACTGCTTAAACCGTAGCTTTTTTCGCCATATTGGCATTTGCGAAATAGATTGGCGTTGTGTTGCACAGAAATGTCTCAAATCATGTGGAAATAATTTAAAACATACAGTAAAAAGTAAAATTTTTGCTGATTTTATTTTAAAAAATATTTCCTAGCAAATTTTTCTAAACAACTTTAGTCTTATCTAAGTTTCCAATATTTTTTCTTTGTTATTTATAAACGAATATTTATATTTTTTGGTGTTTTGTCTTTTAACAAAAGTTTGGAACATTAAAAATAAGGCTGGTTAAAGATTAAACAGACAAAGGTATTGAATGATTTTGTGTTATAAGGATTTGCATGACTTTGTGATATGAACGTGATGTTGTTTTGGCCTAAAAGTGGTTTTTGATATTATTTTGGTGCGGGTTGATTGTTATTCTAAATTATACGCTCAGACAGTCGCATATGAGTAATGACTTCGGTGTTGTCTTTTTACTTTATTTTTTTAAATCAATTTAAAAAAGTAATTTTTCTTTATCTTTTGCGCGACGTAAAAATTGACATTATGTAAAAGTTAAAAGATACAAGAATATAATAAATACTTTTTTCAGACAATTTTCGATTATTGAACTTGAATCTAAGTTATTTAATCTACAATAATATCGCGAACTCTTTTTGTTTTTCACGGACTTTTTTGGTTTATTCAGCTGATCGGATCGCAAAAGGAGGACAGACAAGAGGTGAGTTTGTTGGGCTAATGAAATTTTGGGTGACACCGGCTGACCTCGGTACTAGACTCAAACCAGGGTATATATATTGATAATCTTTTGGGAAACTTTGTGATTCGTAAAAAAATTGATAGTAATTTTTTGCTGTTCTATTTTTTATGATTGTTAACAGCCTAAAAACCTTGAAGTTATTATTCTTACTCTAAACAACACGTTAAATAATGGCTCCAATTTGGTTAAGACAGCGTTATCAAAACATTTACAGTATTTTTATGGAGACCGAGTGTCCTGTGGACTCGTGTGCTTCAATAGAACGCAGTTTTAAATCCATTGTGCTGGATCACGGAGATACCAATCAGTGCATACCTGATTTTCCATCATACATTCGGAAGGTGATTGTTGTGGGAAAATTGGCCTTGTCCGAAGAAGATATACGAAAATTTTACTTGACTAGGGTTTATTTGGAGTAAGTTTTTGAACTATTTTTTTGAAGTTTAGGTTTGTCTTTGAAAGGATCTTAATTAAATATGAATGACGTGTTTGTTATAGCTAAAAAGATTTTTTTAAAATTTGAGTGGAATGTAGGACTTAAAGATGACATTTTTTAGCGATTGCGACCTTTACAATTTGTGTTTAAAGGAAAGCTCTAAGCCTACAGTGGTACAACCAACTTCAGAATCGTGTCAACGCTACGCAGGTTGGACTAATTATTATAAAGTAGCTAAACTTGACGATCCTGAGATAGTTGAAGACATGTCAGATGATGGTAAGTTTTTTGTCTTTGTCTTGTTCTAAAAAACATATTGTATGCTTGATGCTGCTAAGGTAAGGAATGTTATAGCGTACACTCTTCAGTTACGCCAATGTTATACATTTAAAAAAATGGCAGATGTAAAAATAATTATTATAAGTTTTTGTAACAGTAATTTTTTTTAAATTTTTTAATTTAGAAGATAATTTTTTAATTTAGAAGAAACAAAAGCAATGAAAGAGATGAATTTACCTCAAAATTTTGGAGGCAGCAATAAAATGGCATTAAAACAGAGGATAAAGAAGTTTTTAGTTGAAGTATGTTTATTAACTTTTTAAGTTAAGAAATGTTATTTATAAAATTAAATTTACGATTTTTTCATTTTTGTTATTTGGTCAATTTCTAGGCAGAATCAGCCGGATTTGCTCCGGGCTTTACTGTGCCTAATACTTCAACAGGAATTAAAAGAAACAGCGTGAAGGGAATTTCGACTAGAATGTTGGGCACATATTATTCACCGATGTACAAATTTCTCGAGACAAAATTGAAAACGGAAACGTCAGATTTCATGGAAAAAGAAACAGAAAACATTTCGGAAAAAGAAGCTACAGATTTATTAGAAGACTCAATTTTGGGAATTCATAATGATTTTGAATCTTCAAGTAATGTTTTTGATACTCAAGAACGCCAAAACTTTAATTTTGGATTCGATGCTGAAAAAGACGTTGAGTTGATTGCTTCTAAACAAGAAGAAAAATGTAAAAAAGATAAAGTGAGTAATGGTTTGAACTTTTACGGACGGCTACTTTATTTTTCTGACTTTAATTTTTTGGAATAAGATTTTAAACGATGATTTAAACATAAAGCAAAAAATTAGCATGTTTTTAAAATCTGTTGTACAAATACGATTGCAGGATCTTGTCAAGTTTTGGTTCCAGCGATATCGTTTGTTTTCTCGTCTCGACGAAGGCATTTTAATGGATCGGGAGGGGTGGTTTAGCGTAACTCCAGAAAGAATAGCCGAAAATATAGCACAAAGAATGATTTCAAATCCGGGCGATATTATTTTGGACGCTTTTACTGGTGTGGGAGGGAATGCCATTCAATTTGCGCTTCAAGGAGCTTACGGTAAGTTTTTATTTGAATAGAAAAACTAATTTTTTATCACTTTACTCAAAACGCCCGCATTCATAAATGTAAAGTCTATCTTAATCTTTTTGTTTATTTCAGTATATGCAATCGACTTGGACCCGATTCGCCTGAAGTGCGCAAGAAGAAATGCCGAAATTTACGGTGTAGCCGATTACATAACGTTTATTTGTGGAGATTTTTTTGATATTGCTAAGGCATTTTTGGGAAGCCGGAAACCATCGTCGGATGAAGGTTCATCATCATCACCACAATCAAGCGAAAACCTTTATTCAATCACGGCAGTCTTCTTATCACCACCATGGGGTGGGCCTAGCTACGGGGCCAAGACTTTTGACATAAAAGAAATGGGCGGCTTAGATGGCATTGAGATATTTAGGTTGGCTGAAAAGATATCTCCGAATATTGGGTATTTTTTGCCAAAGAATACACCAGTCGATCAGGTAAAACATTCCTTCTTAGTTTTAATGTTTTTAAATTTTAGATCGTGTCACTAGCTAACAACTACAAGAAAGTGGACATTGAGCAAAGTTATTTGAACGGAAAAAGAAAAGCAATAACAGCGTATTACGGGGATTTGGCTTCATCTCCAACACGACTGGAAACATCATCAGAACAATAGTGGAGAATTACCTCGTTTTTGATGTCTTTCTGTAAGCTAAATATGTCATAAATTTGAATTGCGCAGAAATTTGTTACATGTGCAAGGACTAGTGTAAAAATGTGAAAAAAAAATTATTTAAGTTGTTGATGAATTTTATGGTGTGAAAAAGTCAAACATGACAAAGCTTGGGTTTTGATATAAAATTAAGTTGATATATTAATTTGGATTCTCACTAAATTTTTTACCTGTTATTGCAAAAGCTAACTACGTCAAGTGTACATTTTATTTTATCTTAACACTGTGACATGTTCATTTTGGTTCATTGAGCGTTTTGTTTGCGCCGTGTTTTAAGTATAATATATGACGTCTGAGGATGGTTTGTAGGTCACATTTTCATCGTATTACAACTTTTTTTCTTACTTCCGAAATAAACAAACGTACTAATAGATTAATATACGTTATAAAGCAAAGAACATCGTTTTATAGAGTTTATTATTTTTTTAAGCTGGCTTTTTTTGAAAAAACGAATAAATTTTCCATACTTGCTTACAGCTAGTCTTTATTTAATGTTTTTTTGGACGTGGACATACAAACGGAAATTGAATATTGAACTATTTGTGGATTTGTTTTCTAAAAGCCGATTTTACAGAAAATTTTGTTGCTTATTTGAAATTTGCATAGCTAACTTATTTTACCGTTTGAAATAATCCTGAATAGCATGCGTAAAAGTTATATATCCAAATATTTTTTTTTCTCATCGTGCTTCCCAAAAACATTTTTTTGGAGAAGAATTCGTTTTGTCACTATAACATGTACTTGTTCACCTCTTTTCCCTTTTCCATTCCTTTGACGGCCGCCGTTCTACCCGTGGTTTTACTGTGGGTACGTGGGCCCAAGGGAAATTTTTCGGATTTCGGTCCATTTTAAAACTTTTTGATTTTATTTTTTATTGAAAAAATAATCCTGTTAGATGTTACAGGCTTTTCAGCTTGTTCTTAAGTTTAAATAAGAAGAGTTCAAATTTTCTAATTATCCGTAAAATTGAGAAAAAAAACTTCTTTATCATTAATTATGAACCTTACAATTACTATAGTACTCATGTGTTTTTGCATTCACATAAAGTTATATATATATATTTTGCCTGACTGTAAGTTTTGTGGGAAACGTGTCAATAACACGAGTTGTCGCCTTGTTTTTGTTTACATTTTTTCTCATTTACATTTTTGGTTATAATTACAGTGGAATTGATGTATAACGAACATCAATAACAAATTTCTGTATAACGGACAACTTTTAAAAACTCGAGCGATTCGTTATACAAAATTCCACTGTAATTATAAATCTTAAAGGTATAAATATTACTGATGAGACATTTGCTAAAAAAGAATAAAAATTTTTGGCATTATTTTAAAAAAAAATATTTTTATATTAAAAAATAATTTTTCTACTGTATCACAGTCGAAATTAAACTTTGATGCGCCAAAAAATCTTAATTTTAACAAAGTAAACATTTGAGTGTATCAAGAGGCCCATTATTTATTTTGGCATTCCTCTCGGCCATAGGCTTTTCGTAATTAGGCCTAAAGGCGTCAAACATTTCCAAAGGAAACATTTCTATTCCAAAAAAGTTTAGGTAACAAATTTAGTTGGGCTTTCAATTGGGTCAATTTTTGTTCATTTAACAGTTGCAAATATAATAGATATTTTGGCAATAAAAAATTGGCTGTTTGGCACTGCGAAAAGTTAGTCAGCGAAGGGGGGGGGGGGGAAGGGTGATGAATTTAGAATAATTTCGTGGTTACATTATAATATTTTTACTTAAAACCGTTTAGTAACACGTGCTCTTTTAAAGTTTTTTACTTAGCAATGTCGAATGCGTTCAATTATTAATAAGGAATATCTTGAGAGGACTACGTTCTCACAGTGTTCATTGCGGTCTTTATATTGGAATAATCCATTCAATCTGGACTAATCCAAGTGTTTGTCATCGTCTTAGGTTGAGACGGAAATGTAGGGGTTCTTTTGAATAAATTCTACATTTTGTTGTTACTTCGTTCTTTGTTGGTGATTAGATTGAAGGTTTGAAGAAATTTTGTGCTTTAGGGGAATGAGGAAGGAGACCAAAAACATTTTTTAAATTAAAAAAATGTTTTAACCAAAACTTTTGTGCGTAGTCAAAAATAGGCATATTTATTAAAAACAACGTTTATATGTATGTAATTATCTTGACATGGAAACCTGATTAATTGTAACCCAAATTTCTTTATTTTCACGGCCATTTGATACTGAATAAACACGAACATAGTGACCTCTTAACGCGAATAAATGTTTTTTGAGTATAAATCAGATTTTATGTAATGTAATTTAATTCAAGCACGAACGGAGAAGATGCTCTAAGGCTAGAAAAAGGGGTAAGATTAGGGGTGAAGAGGCGATATATAAAGATTTAGATAAAAATCAACTACGTACTATTGGTTTTTTGCTTTTAAGAACTAAAAATTTATAAATTTAGTTAGTGTATTTTACTGTTTTTTTAAATGTTTTAATTTTTAATTTCTTTTATTTGATTTTTTTATCATTGAAGGAACAAAAATAAGAATAAAATAGGCCGGAAATGAGATTGGCCAGAGTGGCTAGCGGGTTACAAATTCTCTTTACATGCAAATGTACATCTTTTTAAATAATTTTTCTGGTTTTTAACGCAGTAAATTGTAATTTTAGATAGTTTCTTCACAGATGTTTTTGATGTTGGTATAAAAAGACTGTGAAAATCTAAAATTAACATAAATGAGATAAATTGTGGTGAACATGCACTTCACTACCATTACTACTATTCTACTACAGCTAAAATTGGTTTGGTCACTAAAATGTTTTTACTGCCAACTACAAAGTAAGCATTTGTTTTAACACTTTTTGGTACAGGGTTTACCTGTGTTTCCAAAACTACCTAATGAAGTAACCGGTTAAAATAAAAATTTTGCTTTTTAATAATGGTTACTAATATAATACTAGTATATTTAAAAGGAATTCATTAGCTTAAATTTGTAGGTCAACACATAGCCCCACAGCTGTGGCTTCATACCGTGGAACAGTGCAGCCGGCGCAGAGTGACCGAATGCGAAAGTTCGTCAAAAGCTTGTGTTGTCGTATCTGTCCATCATGCTTATGCGAATTTCACCGTATCTGGATGTTCGGAGGACGATTTTGTGGGATGTGAAGAGTACAATGTGCCCACGGAATATGGTAGAACAAACGTGCAGGTGTGCCAATGCACTGAAGACCGATGTAACTCGGACTTTCATTTGGACTTTGGAAAAGATTTCAATCGGATGAATGGCAACAAAAGCGGTCAGAGGACATTGACCAAATTTTTGGGTATTGAGGAGCAGAATAGCGAAGAACGGGAAAAAGGGACTGAAGGGCGATCAAGGTAAAAGAAACTTATTACTGTAAATTGTGTTTTTAATAACCTACAATTTTCAAAATTTTATTTGAAAAACAAATTTAACTTTTAGACAAGACCGTCAACAGATTTCTTTAAAATACCAAGAAGTATCAACACCGGCTTTACAAAACAGCTCAACTTTGCTCCAGTATACTGCAATTTCTACAATATTTATTTGTTACATACTAATACGGTTTTTATTGTAATTTTTAGTTTTGTAAATTAAATTAAATTAATTTGTATTTGCTTTTGTCATCCTTTTTATAAAAATAGTTGTGAGACACATTACTGACTAGATTCTTATAAAGATGTACATAAAGGCTAACACTCTGTAAAACCCAACCTTATTTATGGTAATTAACCCAGCCGGAGTTCGGGATACACTTGATCTGTTTCACAAAGAATCCGCTCGTCTCATACCTTGTAATAATAACGAAAAAAGTACGCGAGGAGAAGAATAAGTAGAGCGACGTTCTAACTCATTTTCCTACAAATTCCAATCTTATACTTTGCGCATAAAGAACATGCTGGTAATAAGGAGAAAATGGGGAGGAGGGAAGGTAGAGAAAGAAGTAAAACAAAATATTATCGTTTTAAACATTACTTTTTGTAACTACATATTTATGAAATAATCTACTTTTAAACGCCTTTATTAGTCATATCTAATAAAGAGATCGTAATACAACTGCTTTTATGTATTCGCCGACTAAATGACGTTTACATGAAAAAGTTATATTTTTTAAACCTTCTTTTTTATTTCAATTTTAACTTACTGAAGCAATACATACTTTATATAAATTTATGTCATAATTTATAATATATTACATATATATTATCTAAAATAGTAGTATCATTTTTCGTCTTTAAATTCCATTAGTATTTTATTTGTTTGCCTTTAGACAATGATCAGACCAGCATGAGAGTGCGCTAAGCCGATCGCTTTTACGGCTAAAATAAAACTGTAAATACGAGAAGGAGTAATTGGTCAGTAATACCATCTACGCTCTTCAGATATACTATTTGTAAAACTTTTATATACATATTTTTTCGTTTTTTCAGTGATTTTTAAAACAACTTAACAGTTTTTTTTGTCTTTTATACGTACACGGTACTATAAAAAATGCCTGTAGGTTTTCCTGGTATACTAGCTCTTTCAACTTTACACTTATTTTATCATAACCTTAGCTCGTCTTAACAAATCACATCTCAAGTGGCTGAGTTTAAAACCCTCCGGCTCTACAAATACACTAATACGCTGTGCAGGTCACTATATGTCCAACGATTTTTTTATATTTATCGCGCACATTTCAAGTGGTTTTGCGCTTAATCAAGCGAGTTGGGAGAGTGCTTCCCCTCCTCCAAAATTTGTTGCATCAAAATTAACAAGTGGTATAACCGTGAGCTCTTTACGTGATTCATATACCTGCGTAGTTGGCAAAGGCGAGTGGTAAAGATGGGGAAAAGGGAGAGGTCATTTTATAAAAAAATATTTATTTAAGTGATTTGACCTGAGAGTTAAAAACTTTGTTTTATGGATTTAAGAAAAATTTTGTTAAAAAAATTCTAAACATTGTTAATTATGTTGAAAACTGCAAAAGTAGTATGACTTCTGCCATTATCTCAGCTGGTGGTTTTCTGATCCGCTGCGACGGATTCTGCGGCTTTTGTTTTAACGCACTTTAACGCCGCTTCAGAAGCAAATAATGGGAGGAATGGGGGTAGTGTAACGTCTTCTTATTGTGACAATCGTTGTATTACAAAAGAGGAAGTATATCATAAGAGGAGCTATATAGTTTTACAATTTGTTTTGTTCGTGATCAGGGCCTATAGGAATTTTTGGAATAAGCGATTTTTGAGTAAGAGGAAGGAGCGGTTGAGGTAAGAATTTATGTGTTAAAAAGATAGGGACACCTGTTTATTTTTGTCTCAACTTTGATCCGCTATTCAACATACCTTGTCCAATTTCTAATACGAAAAATCGCGATACATATCAAAATCCTAAGATTAATCCAATATCAAAAAAGATTTACAGTGCTTTTAATTACGGTTTACAACCGTCGTTGCTCTGGTCTTTATGATTACTTATGGTATTCGGCTGTTATAAATGCTTGGAAACAGTCACATAACTTTACATGAATGACTGGCGACCGGTTCGAATTGTTGCGGCCGCGGATCTACGCAATTTGCATCGAATTGAAGCAAATGGTTTAAACGATGACCAACCTACAACAGTATGTTTAGTAAAACTACTTTCATTGAACTTAAAAGCCTATATTATAGTGTTAATAACTAACCTATATTGTGATTTTAGAGTAACGATATTCCAATTAATTCTCAGTATTACAACGATTTCATCAATACATATAATAGCCACGCATATCACGGTGGGACTTTGGATGCTGGGCTAGAACGACGGCATAGCCGGTACAACTTGCAATTTTTATGTTAAACCTGCAGTTCAAAATTTTTACTTTAAATTTAAAGTTTTATAACAACTATGTTGTCTATTCAACGTTTTTAGTTTTTAAAATTTTACCAAGTGACACATTATACGTCGTTTATTAGTTTTAGATTTGGGTATCCGCTACAAACCGCTCACCGTCCCCGATATAATAACAGATCTCAAAGCCGTTTCTACAGGTCATTTTCCGGACCTTTTAAGTCGCCTGCTCCATTGTATAATAAACGGCGTGCTACCCGACCAGTCAGTTATATTGTAAGCTCGAACGTCAGTTTTGAAGATAAAAACATATTTTTTTTGCAACTTAAAGTTATTTAAGTAAGACATCTTTAATTTACTGCCATTTTAGCCTTCAAACCCTATTTACGTTGAAAATTTCTCACCTCGGGCTCCAATCTATCCAGTTTACACGGAAGCGTTTGTGCAAAGGAGTGGACTCTACCCTCAGTATTACCCGCCGTTCAAATACACACCGACGTATCAAAGCCAGAATGTGCCCGAGTATCAACGCAGCGACAAATACCCATTTTTTGTTAGAATTTTATTCAAGTTAATGCAAATTGTAAGTTTATTCAGCTAAGGAGTTGCGCCTTTTCAAAAACTTTAAAAAAATTATTTCCTGATGTAAATTATACTTATACATTCCACTTACACATGCCTTAAATCGTACCTAATGCCAGCCTCAAAAATCTCATGATTTCAGATTTTTGCAGTGATCTCATTAGTTTTAATAATTGGACCTTCACTAGACTACTCTTTAGCTGAATTTATGCGTCGAAGTAATACCGAATGGCAATCCCTAGTGTTGGCTATATTGGCTGTACTGGGCGCGGTTGCTTTTATTATGTTATTTGTAAACTGTTGCATATCGCAACATTCGATATGGCGTAAAATTGACGTTGTAATGTGTGCCGTCGGTGTGGTGTTAATGTTTATTGCAACGGGATTAGAAGCTTATTATGCCGCATGTTATCCACCAAACGGTCCGAAAATAGCGTTAGTGTGCTACAAAACTGAATGGATCTTTGCTGCGGTAAGAAGGGTGTACCTGTTTTTTTAGGTATTAAATGAAAACATACGTATTTAAAAAACAACAGGATTGCACTTTTCCAAAAAAAATTTTTAGGCTATCTGCTTCTTGGACACTTTGGTTTACGTAGCCGACTTGTGTTTTCAGCTGCGCAGCGGTGTTACCTTGCTATAGGTTGTGTAAATCCATAGTGGTAATCTTTTTAATAAGTTTATAAAATAAATTTCTATAAATGCTTATTTTATAGTACTGTGGCGTCTAATTTTTATATAAAAACTCAATATCTTTTAATATAACGCCTATAAATACGATCTTGAGGAAGCTCTTGAGAGAGTTGCAACAAATTCTTCGTCATCCGAGTCGACCGGTGGTCTTTGTGGCACGTTGCCAATGGGCTTTGGACGTTTTAAACGTATGGCTTTCGAGTTCTACAAAGTTGTTATTTTCTGTTTTTACGGTTTTAAAAAAAGAAAAACGTCAAAATCTAAGGAAAATTTTTCTTACTCTACGTTCTTTGGCTCCATCTTCAATATTATATGGTTTTAATGAAACGCCGCTCAAACTTTGATTTGTAATACTTTCACTGCTTCTCCTCGGGCCTAAAGCGTAGCGTTTAGCCAAGCTTTCTGGTCTATCCGGTGCCGAAGCAGCGTGGCTTGGCGCACGTTCTTCACTTGAAGCCTTGGAAGGGGAGGATGAACTGGGCGGTTCCATAACAACCATACTAAAAGAGTTGGCAAAGATTCTGTTCTTGTGCTTATCACTTCGTCTGTTCAATTTGTGTTTACTGATTCTGGATTCCGAAGACTGATAAGGCGGTGGTCCAAAGAGATTCAATGAGGTTGAAGGTGGGAAATTCTCTCCCAGATCTGCTTCATATTTTGCTATCGGTTTCGGTTCGTATTTTGTCAAAGGAGATTTTTTGACAGTTGGCCGACGAGGTTTCAAGCGTTCGTCACTGCCATCGTCAAAACCGTCCGAATCGCTGGTTGATATATTTCTTACGGTTTTTCTTTTAAATGAAGGTTTTTCGTTGATCATCACGTCTCTGAGACGGCCGGTGCGACGGCCGTATAGCGGTGGGCTTGACTTTACAGAAGAGCTGGATTTTGGAGTATCAGATGACTTTTCGTCTTCCTCTTGAATATCTGACGGTGGAAATGCGGGTTCTGTTGGCATATCAATCTTTGTTTCGACTTCTATAGACGATGCTAATGGTGGTGCTTCAAGTTGACGCACGGCTTCGTCGCGGCCACTACGTTCGGCCCAGATTCTGATGCGATCATGAGCACGTACATAGGCGTCCTCGTCAATTACGTTCAAGTCAACTTTATTGCGGGATTTTGTTGATGCTACTCGAGATATTGGGTCAATATACTACAAATATCAAAAAATTACTTTATACCTGAACTTAGAAATTAAACTTAACTGCCGAAATATAAAAACTTTAAGCCACTGTTATTAAACGATGAAAATACTTACCATATAGTCACTGTCAGTATCAACAGTATGACTTGGTTGTTTAGGTTGATTTTCTTTAGTGTGACGCCAGTTTTTGGTACTTATAATCGAAGACAATGGTCTTTTTCGTTTTTTGGCTTCGTATATTGAATATACAACAGTAATAGGTATTATACACAGTGGTCCAACCATAGCGATCCACGCCACAAATTCGTATCCCCATGACAATACAAAGTCATTAAATTGAACTCTCTCGTAGCTGAAGGCCGATGCTAGTAGAAGTGTCTGCAATCAATATGGTAAAAAATGATAAAATACAGTAAAAGTGAAAAAGCGGTAATTATTGTTATCGTTTTTTTTAAATTTTAAATTTGCAACCTACCGTGAGAATAAACGGTGCAAATCCGCACCAACTCAGCTTTATATAATCACCAGTGGGACCAAACACAAACTGAAGCTTTTTCCATCGATAGTACCATCGACTATTCAATGGACTCCATTCCAACTTAGGCTTAGTTACTCGCAACATCTCAGCCATGTCGTTGGTGAAATTGTTGATTCCGTATATATAACATACCACAATTACTTGTATTAACGACAAAGAAAAAGAATTCCAATTGGCATTCAACGATTCGATAGCGTGGAAAATGAAAATTCCACCCTAAAAATATCTTAATGGCCCCCGAATCTTGCTTACCCTAGTGCATAATGGTATGCCAAGAATAAAGAAACATAAGCATAATCCAACCAAAATTCGGGTTTCAATTAACTTTGTTTTATTTCCTAGCTGGTTCATCAAGGACGATGCTATCATTTCCAACCTGAAATCCGTTTCTCTAATTTTATCAAATGAATTAAACACAAGTCCTATGAATTTTTTCATTTAATGTGTGAAACTTTTTATCATTCCCCTACTCTACCATTCATCAGAATAATATTTCAAGTAGGATTATTTAAAACGTACCAAGCAAATTCAGCATCTATCGCCGAAAGAATGAGCATGAAAAAGAAAAGAGCAGACCAAAGAGCACCCCATTCTAGAAATTGTGTCACTCCAGGATAAACGGTAAAAGCCAAGTACAAAGGATCGTGTTCTGGAATTAAAAGTGTATGCTTGTAAATACTATTTATCCACCTCCTCCTGGTTTGCCAAAATACTTTTTATAAATATTTTTGAAAAAAGCGATTTCAAATAGTCTAAAACTTACTAAGAATGTCCTGTATTTCGCTATGCTGTACATGTGCCAAAAAGCCGACAAATGAAAAAATGACCAAACCACACAGAATGCTTGTTATTGTGTCCCTAAACAGTTTTAAATCATAAACTTTTCATTTACAAAATATATACAAAAATATTTTAAAATAAAAAATCTAGCAACATATAAGTTCCCTCCAACTACTTATAAATCGACTTGAGAAACTGAAACTTACAGTACAACTAATAATACGGCATCGCGATAAATGTTGTTGCGGTACCGAGAGAAACTGGCCATTGAAATTAATGGCCCAGCATCGATCCCCAATGAGTAAAAAACTTGTTCTGCTGCTGATTTCCATATCTTTATAAATATATTATTTCCATTTTAAAACTATTATAATTAGATTTTACATAAGTGTTTTTGCTAAATACAACATTTTATCATTAATAATTTTAGTAAAATAACTTTTAAAAAAATTTTAAAATAAGTCATACCCCTATTGACCATAGCTCTTTTACATTCGGCGTCAAAAAAAATTTGATACCTTCTCCAGCGCCAGTCAGGCTAAGACCTCGAATTAACAATATCAACAACTAAAATTATGTAAATTTTGGAAAAAAATATAAATTAAATATAATATAATACTAATGAAGATCTCAATACAAAAGGTAAAATATAAAAAGTTCAAACTACAACATTTTGAAAAATTCGTACCAACAAATATGGTAATGTAGCAGTTAAAGTAACAGCCCAACCAATTGATCCGATTCCTTTAAAAACACCCAAAAAAACCAATGCCCACGCTATGGCCAGTGCTACCACTAGATGAGTCTGAACTGGTCCCATAGCCATATCACGAACCAGTGTTCGGTTTAGTACTTGATAACTGTAAACATAAATTTTGTACAGTAAGACACTGAACATACTGAAAAAAAGCTTCTGGAGCTGTCATTGAATAAGGATTATCAAAGCAAGCTGGTCCAGCGTCCAATTCGCAACAATTGAATCTTGATACCCATTCTAAAGTTTAAAAAAATTCAAACATAAGTCATCAAAAAAGTTATTTGTAATCTTACACACGTAAAAATACTCGTTTTCCTATAAAAATTTACCCATTTTGCAATCACTCCACGGTAAACCTTCCGTAAAAAAACCGAGTATTGAATACCATAGATAGTACAATCCCCATGCCACAATAATATTATAGTAAATTGCAACTGGCACTGCCAGCAACACCAGAGCCCATCCGATACCAGAAGCAATTGGCATCATCTTCCAAAACGCTCCAGAAGCCGCTAGGCCAGTGTATTGACCAATACATAAGTGCATGTAAACCAACGGTAAACCAAATATAGCCAAAAATATGACATAAGGCACAAAGAATATACCTATAAACCGGTTTTGGTTTGAATAATGTTATCGTTTTAAAAAGTTAACCCTTTTTCCAAAATAAACTGCCTTAATTAATATTGTCTTACCTCCATGTTGATAAATCATAGACGGAAATCTTAACGTATTCCCAACTCCAACTATAAATCCTAAACACGATAGGAAAAATTCTATCTAAAAACTCTATGTTAGTTGGGTTATAACTAAACTCATCAAAAATCTTGCAAATGCATCGTATTATTGAAATATCATTTTTTAAATTGTAAAATATAAGCAAAAAAATACATATAAAAAACCAACCTGTGTTTTCCAAAGGTCCCTCACATCTTGATCTTGACCTTTGGCTTCTTTGCCACTATTAAAACACCAAAAATTCCACCATGTTGGCTTGTAATAACTATAATAATATTCGTCTTCTGGTTTTACAGGCTGAATAACATCAGCATGTGCCCAAATGTCAACTGTCTTTGGAATTACTGTATGGCTAAAGTCAACTGGTGCAACCTGAAATTATCAAAATAGAACAAGTAAAGTTAAAAGAGACAATTTGGCGTCAAACATACTAAAATATTTGACTTGATTACTGCTTATGACGAAAATCACTGTGCTTTAAAGTAATAAGCAAATATTGTAAACATTACATACCTTTGAAGTTAGACTAGGCTGTGACATGGAGGACTGCCGCCCTCCCGGTTGTTGATTTAAAATTCGTTCTGTTTCTTCAATTAATGCTAAACATTTGACATAAAGCAAAGCCCCATTAACTTCATCAACTGGCAAAGTGTTGCGGCACTTCTGTAGGCATAATTCTATCGCCTAGAATTTAAAAAAACTAACTGTATCAATTTGTGCTTCATTCCGATAAATTTACATAAAAATTAGATAACCTACCTTAGCCCTATCTTTAACCAAAGATATACGTTTGTGAATTGAATTTCGTTTATCAAGTTGGTCAACTTGTGCCAACAAAGATTCATCAGTTTCTAAAGTTGACGAAGCTTCCATACTTCCGTTTATACGTTTTTGTTTTGAATAATTACTCATAATTTTTCCATTTTTCAAAAAAAGTTGAGCAAATGATATTTTTAAATACTGTTTGTAAAATATGTAATATATAAAATAATAAATAACACAAATAGTAGTAGTATTTTGAACAATTAAATTTAAGTTTAAACAACAATAAGTTTAGAAGTTTAGTTTCTCACTTTTTTAAGACATAAGATACGACTTTTTTTGTGGCTTACGTCAAAAAAAGTTGAGCAAATCAATAGGAAGCAAGCGTTTTATGACTATTTTCTATCAAGGTACCCTTGAAGTTCTCAAAAAAGGTGTCTTCTTTTCTACGTCACGCGATTTCTCGAACAAAAACACCTTGTTTTAATACATTTACGTCAAAAGTTTGCTTGTTTATGGAATTTTATTGTGTTTTAAGCTTTAATACATTTAAATTTTTTTAACGTTTAAAATACAAATGATTTAATTCAAAAAATAAAGAAAATTATTTTTGAATGCTTTCAATTAAAATATCTCGAAGACTCAATTAATCTCCGGTTTTTTGCGGTTTTTATGCACTTCTGTTTGTGCACCACAAAAACTTCTGTTCCGAAGACAAAGAGAAGATTGATTGTCAATTCCCCAAAAAACGACTGGAATGCGGTTGGTAATTAATTGATAATAGGCAACGATTTGTGGCCACAACATGTTTTTCAAGCTTTCTTTTGTTTTTTTTTATTTTCTTAGCTAAAAATGCGTAAAATTTACGAAAAAATTAGTCTATTTTCCACAGGCAAAAGCTATTCGCTCTCACTGATTATAGGTTTATATGAGACCCGCAAAATCCTAAAACACAGAGCTGTTTAAGTGCGTAAAAACCATCATTAATCTTTGTGCACACATCAAGACACTCAGTGTTGATTGTCCAACGGCTTAGGCTTAGTACGCTTATGTTTACTAGTTAGTAGGCTTGGGATAAGTAGAATTAGGCTTTCGTAAGCTTGCGCAAGCTAACGTAATTACGCAATACGAAAATTTAATTTACTCAAAATCATTTTTTTTTGTTAAAAAACATAACTTGAAAAAAATAGAATAAGCGTTTAAATACTCTTGAAAAAGCCTTCTAAACTATTTATATCACGAAAATAACAGTCAAAAATTTATTATTGTGTCATATTCGATATGTAAGTCAATTAATTGGAAGAACGACAATTTTGTATACCATGCAATCAGAATTCTTAAGAGCACATAATAATAGCAACAATAACAGATTATGAAAGATTAGACGTAAAATAAAGGCCAAAATTGCAAAAAAATCAACTAAAATAGAAAACACATATTTTTAAAGTACAACTCGGTTTCATAATTTACAAACCATGTTCACAAACCTGTAAATCAAAAATTTCAAACTAATGCGGTTGTCCACCAGTAATCAAACTTCGCAACGTGCTTATTCTCTGAAGATATGAACGCGCTTTGGCCGCTGTTTTAAGTTCCCGCTCCGCCGATTCAGAATCGTATTCAACCTTGGCTGTTCCAACCAACGAGTTTTTGTTGATACGTCCTCTCAAACGACAACACACTCCGTTGAATATAAAGGAGCTTTCGAAGTGTGCATCACCACCATGCTCACGAACTTCTGAATGCAACGACAACTCCATGTTGACTCCATGCGACGGAAATGTCTAGAATTTTCAAAAGATTTGTTTGAGTCATATTATTGAGTCATAATTATGTCATGTTACCAAATTTACCTTTATGTGAATTTATTGCATTAATTTTAGTAAATGACACTTAACAAAATTTTTATATAAACTTAGTAAACCCTATTTAAAGAGACAGTGCAGCGTGGCCAATCGTTACCGACTCAATTTATGGCTTTCCGACAAGAGGACAGCAATGACATTAAAGAAACTTTTTATTAAAAAGACATCAAATAAAGTTTGTGTCAATTGAGACTCTTATGGTTAGCATATGGGTCGTGCTGTAATGTATTTTTAAAAGAAACATAAGGATAGAAAATATTAACTAAATTGTGTATTAGTTAATTTTAAATCTATTTTTATAATTTTGAAGTGTCACTAGATCGTACGCTAGAAAGCCGTAAAGATTAAAAGATCGGTCGCGCATCAAAAGTGACAAAAAAGAGATTTGGCCTCCAATTTCAGAACGTAAAGGTCGTGACATGTTATATGACACAAGATATGTGTAGCTATAGATAAGATCGGCAAATCGTTAGCTTTAAGTTATAACATGGTAATTATGCCACGATTTTGTAAAAAAATCTAGTATAGTTTATGTTCGGTAACAAAAAAAATCAAAACAAATAAAAAGTAGGCTAAAAATCCAAAATTAGCCTAAAATACAAATAAAAAGTCAAACAACCTACCACAGCAAGCCGCTTGCTTTTGCAACTTTGCAAAAACTTTTCTCTTCTTTCTGGTTCTGGAGCGTGTGGACATGCCCCGAAGCGTACGTTAGTGCCTTGGGCCAAATGAGATAATATAGGATCGGCACGGAACGTTTCTAACTGATTTTCCACGACGCACGGCATTTTTAACCCTTAAAAATAAAACTTTCAATTTTATAAATTTGTCAGCAATAAAAGCCTAAAATTTGAACAAAAAATTATAAAAGTAATCTGGCTAATTAGGCCTAAAAATCCGAGTTTACTCAATTTATTTATCTAGCAAATTAGCCTCGCTACAGTTTTAAAGTTGGTTCTACTTTTCCAGCAAAAACGAAGTAAAAGTTGGTGAAAAGCAAACGCCATTTTAATTTTTTTGTAGATAAAATCAGAAAAAAACTTAAAATTGAGTAGGAAATTCGAGTTTTTGAGCATTTTTAAGTATAAAAAAATTGCATTGTCAAAAAGATTAAATTAAATGACTCAAAAAATCTTGTAAATCGCATCACTACAAATATTTTGATTCATTAAATGCGCTAAAAACGTAAGCCAGCCGGGCTTAAGCAGCTGTCACGGCTCATTTAGTGAAAGTCATTCCTCATTAAAGGGACTTTTAAAATTTCACGAAATTTTAAAAATTTAGTATTACACAATATGCGACATTGAGCTTGTTAAACGTCTTTTATAGGATAACTCAACCATCTAAAAGTTATAAATTGTTTTTTTTTCAATGAGTAATAATAAAAAATTATCCTTATTAATCTAGTAGAAAACATTTTTTGCATAAATTACAAAAATAAAAAATTGATTTTAACTCTAGAAACGTTAAAGAAAAAGCTCTTTTGTGCATGCAAAAACATTTGGTATTAAAAAAACGAATAAAGAAGAAGGGCGGGGCTTTAACGTATCCAATCATAGAGCTTTCTATATCTAAAGCAAGATGTTATTAAAATGTCCTCCCAATACATGACCAATACAATAGGAATATCAAAAACAATTTATTAATGATAAAACGTAAAAATCATCAAATAAAATGCAAAAAAAACAAAATTGAAATAATAAGACGAAATGAAATAGAAATTAAGGAATCATAACAATATACCCGTCATTATTTAAAAAAGGCACTCATATACCAAAGCTAATGCAATGCTAAAAAATTTTTAAATGCACTATTAGGCTAAAAAATGCCAACTTAAAAAGTTTTAAAATTTAAAAATATTTCAACAATTTGCACATAAAATGCTTTGTTTGTCGTTAAAGGTACGACAAGGACATAACCGTATAATGTCAAGCGGCGGAACCGTGGCGCAACTAAACAAAAGTGGATCTTCTTGAATGGTACACTTTGATGGGGCATAAGGTTCGGCAATAGTGACAATTGATGATATATGACATCCGCGTCTGCAAAACTAGTTAGTAAAATTTTTAAATAAACGAAAAATAAAATACTAAAGCTCAATATAGTTTTTTATATCTTACCGTTTCAATTCAACCGGATGATTGACATATTTGAAAAACTCTGGTGCACAAAGCAAGTTCTTACTAGCACAAGCGTTATCACAACTTTGTCCGGCATCTCCTTCAATTATTTGGCCACTTTTTGCAAATGGCGGCCAATCCTGTTTTTTAGAAGAACAATAGTCCATATTGTTAACAATTAAAGACACTCGTTCTAACATGCCTTCAAATGTAAATTCGTATGGTAACTGAGGTGTTGATGTCAATGACAATGCAGTTCTAAAAGCTCTATGAATGTCGTCTTCATCTTCTATGTAGAAGTTGATAACATATGGTGGGCCAACAAAGCGATCCATATAAAAGTTTTGACTTGTTATCTGGAATATGCTTATTCTCAAAGACTCGAATCTTAAATTTTTGTTATTATTTATGTATACTTCTTCCTTAAAAGCTAAAAGTAAATATCACAAACATAACGTTTATGTTACACTTACATTTCTAAACGTTGGTTTATCAACAAAAAAAGGATAATTCAAACGATTTTTAGGCGTCTCAAAAACAGGGTTTAAATAGATAGCACCGTTAGCTACAGCTTCTAATGGTGCTGGGCCTTCAATCGGAAAACCCAAACCAAGAAGTATTTTGGAACGCTTCAGAAGACCATGATATTCTGGCGGCTTCAGATTTCCGTGATTTGTAAAATTTACGTTGACGTAATCTTTTGCAGGTTCTTCGTCTGCAACGGTAGCATGTAAACTTGTATATTGAGCAGCAACTTTCAATAAAGCATCTGCATTTTTCCACATGTACGCTTCTTTACCGTAGACCACAGTCCAATTATGACGCTTTGTTTCAGTTTGTTTGAAAGTTTGTACTACAAATCCCAAAAAAGTATTGTCGTTTGTATGTGGGTACAATGTTAAGAATTGTTTTAAATTTAAACCATTTGCACCCCATGGATTTTGTTTTATGCTTTTTGCTCCAAGTTTACGGTAGTTTTGACGAAAGTACTTGGGGTGATTAAATTCAGCATGCGTACCAAATGAATCCAAAACTCGAAATCGGCATCTTAAATTTATATACGATTTGTACATTATCTTCTTTTAATTGTTACTCTACATACAGCCTTAGATTCTAATTTTGACAAACTTACTTGTTTTGACTGTAGAAAGTCTTAAACTTAGTACGAATTTGGCGTAAACCCATAATGTCTATGAATATTGTCACGTCTTTAGATTCATTTGTTCTTTTTGGGCACGGCGAAACTTGATTTAATTCTGTTAATGCACTAAAAATTACAATATATATAAGACAAAAGTATCGTAAAGTCACGTCAAAGGCATACACGTAAACTTTGCGTTTCAGTAAGAATCCGCAATAAGAATTTAATTTTAATATAAGTCACCGTAAAGTTATGGCATACCTTTTAAACCTAGTCCAGCTACCAAAAATTTGTATATCGTGACCAAGAGTGGCCATTGCGGCTATCAAATCGCTCCATTGAACTAACTCACCAAGTGGTCCTCCTTTATTGGCCGCTTCAGCTAGATTGTTCTTTTTTACAGTTAAAAATCCCAAGTACAAGTATATCTAAAAGTTTAATTTGCAGATTATGCAATGAAAACCACATAATTATAATATGATTTTGCGTTTGTACATCATATTCATGACAATGTTAATTTAATTACTTGATATATGTACTTTACCTTTTCTGGCTTTTGAAACCGCTTGATGTCTACTAATAACCGAGCCTTCAACCAATTTGGGTATAATTCTTGAATACGATGTTTTAAGAAAGCGTAATTAGTAGGATGATCTGACATTCTCTCCATCAAATTGTCTATGGCTAACGGCGCCGGTCTTGATGGGATTACAGACTCTGTGGATCTGAATTTTTGAAGTGTTAAAAAAAAGCCCATGGTTTTAATTGTAAAGAGTTTCAATTAGGTACAAATGTTGTAGAAAAACGAATTTTTTTATTTTGCTTTGTTTAAAAAATTACCGTGTTGTATTACTTAACGACCGACAATGATTTTCTACATTAGCCATATACTCGTATGCAGTACAATCCGAACCGTCTACTCCGTAATCAGCATAGCATTTCTCTGTCTGCCAACCATTTTTCATCCATTTTAATTTTTGAAGACATTCGGGGTATTCCGTATCGTTGTATATTGCTTCAATCGATATTTGGCAAAAAACTTAAATAAAAAAATTATTTTTTGGAAAAAAAGATTCAAGCCCATAAGTTTGTGCCGGTATTTAACCTACAATTTTCTTGTCCAAAACAGTTTTGTAATCAAAAAGTTTATAAAAATGTTTTTGTAAACATAGAAAACATGCACTTCTTTCACGTTGTTATAAACAGAACGCATTTCCAAAACGTCTTTAATCACTTATTTGATCGTCAGCCTTTTTACAGTCATCGCTTTCCAAGATGTAACTTAAGATGCAAAGAATTTCTTAACAATAATTGTTACAATTTTTAACTATTAACTTTGACTGGGTTGCGTTATAGTTAATTTGATACGTTTTGATACACTTTGATATAAACAATGCATATTTTTGTTCCACTTATTAATGTCCAAGGTATGTGGGTTTAATGTGTCATTCTAAACCAACTCACTTTTTTGATGTGTTGTGTCGACGTCTAGTTGTGATGAATCAGTTGAAGAATTAAATGTCTGAAAATATTGGAATTATCATACATTTCCTTCCCAACTGCTAGTTTATATTTTCGTTTTTAAAAATTTTTTTGTTTTTTAATATCCTATTTTTTCGTTTTTAGTTGACTGTTTTACGAAAGTTGAATTGTATGTTTGCCTAAAGTAAAAGAAAAACGAGAACATAGCCTCTTCTTGCTCCGAAGGTCAGACTTTCTAGATTTTCAGATAAACTTTTTCGTTTCCGGAAGCCCTGCTATATCCATTTATCTCTTCCGCGCTCATTACGGGTTTTACTTTTAAAATTTTTTTATTTTTAAATTACTTTGTTTAAACAAGATATTAATTTCTAATTTTGAAATAATATTTTAAAAATTTAAGGCTGATCAATATTTTAAAAATAAATCAAATTCGATTTTTTTTCAAAAATTTACCTCATCCTCGACTTTCCGATAAGAGGCTAGGAGAAAAACGATCGGAATACAAATCAGTATATATATAATTTGGCGAAGTTTTCTATAACATATCATTGCTTTTGAACCCGTTTCATCCCTAAAAGTATTATAATTTGTTACGGCGATATAAAATACGATAATTTTTCAACGCGGATACTGTAATTATATGTTAAAACCCGGCGCATTTTAATTTATTTTACAATTTCGAAAGTTTCGGTTAAGCCTAGAAGTCCTACGGTTAAAAAATCAAAGCACGTTTTGAAATGGTTTATTAGAATTTTTCACGTTAATTAAATTAAGCTAAACATGCTTTCCTGCTTTCTTTGCTGGTGATTTCGCAAAAAATTTCGCAAAAGTTATTTTGAATCCCCAAAATGCCCGTTAGGTAAAATTTTTACTATTTTTAAGTTCCTTTTTTGGCCGCCGAAAGTGGCTTAATATAGTGCGGAAATTGCTTTTTAGACCATCGAATTCGATGTGTTTTTAAGGATGGTGCAACGGGAGAAAGCTTCATAAAATTGTAGTTTTGGAATTTTTAACTACGCCGGGCAGAAGGCTAGGGAATGGCTGGGGGGAGGGGGGGGGAGGCCTCAAAATTTAGCTTTATAATTCTACACGCAAACCTAAACCAAATAAAACATTTTAAAAAATTACGGCGTTATTTAAAAAAACTTCGTAAAACATTTTCCTAGAAAACACCCTAAGGGCATTCAGAATTGGCACTTCAATATCGGCTGAAGATTCGAGAACTCTTTCCCTTGTTTTTGGCTTGTAAACCGTGAAAAAAAGCGTCAAGCATGCGTTTCACAATAGCGGTAATAAGGACTTGTTCACTAGTACTCAATTTTCTTTAGGCTTCATCTTGTATACTTTAAACCTTGATTGATTTTTGGCTACTTAAATTCTAATATAGGCTTAGGCAGGATTTTAAGCGTAAGATTACTAAAAGTTAAAACTAGAATTGTAAACTACCATAATATTACGTTAACGCGAACACATGTAGCATATAATTTAATAACCGACACCTCCTCTCCCCCCTTCACGACTATATTAAAAAAATTCTTGCAACCCGATTTTACGGTATTATCAGGTCCCTAATGTAAAATTAGTGTGGTGATGCGTAGACAGTAACCGCTAAAATGGTTTATTTTAAGTAAAAACCCGCCAGGTTGGATTTTTGTTTATCCGCGTTTTCCAATTAAAGTGACAAGAATAGTCGTTTCGGCCGTTTTCCAACATACATAATTAAGTTTTTTTCCCCTTTCAGAACTGTTAATTAGCACATTGTTTGCGTTTGTCGTGAGAAACAACAATGCCAACTGGGATTTGCGCCGAAAATAACGTTACTATGAAAAACCCCAAAAATAACACAATTCAAAAAGTATTAGGGAAGACATAGAAGTAAATGGTCATTATATTGAAAATAGTATTTTTTAAAAATTTCTAAATTTTTAACCGTCTTTGGTAAAAGATATATTTAAAAGACCACAACCCTCGTCGCAAAACGTTAGCGTTCTGTGTCAAAAACTTTTATTAAAGTTTCCTGATTTCGACCCTTTTGCGACAGAATGCCACCGTTTTGCAAAGACGTTGTGTGATCTTTTAAAAACTCTAGGATAGTTTTTTGACATATTTTACAATGCTGCCATAGCTGCCAATTCAAATCCAAAACTTAATGCAAGATTTTAAAACAATAAAAAATTCCCCTCCAAAAAATTTTGAAAAAAGTTGAACCTGACCAAATCGGCACAAGCCTGTGCCAATGTTTTCGACCACCCCCTGTCCAAAAGCGCCCGTCCGGCCCTGATGACAATGCATTGTCATATTACTGTCTAAACGTGTTGCAATGTAATAAATTTCCATTTCTGTACCCAAATATAAAAAAATAAATTTTTGTTTAAATTTTAAAACTCGTCTATTATTTATTCAAAGCCTTTATCTAAGACGGCTTTTTTGTTTGAATTTGTAATATGCTTGAAGTTTAAACCCTTTAATGTTACACCGACAAATTTTTTATAATACTAAAAACTTGAACTTTAGAATTACTGTCATCCTCATTACTGTAAAATTATTAAAATAAATTTATGTTTGCTAGCATGCTAACTTACTATTACACTGACAGTTTCCTACGAACAACAATTTTTAAGAAAATCCGCCTTTGCAAAAAAAAGAACATAAAACTAGTCTTAAAAACTTTTTTAGCACTGAAAGTCTTACCAACTCGAACATATTTCTAGCCCAACATTTTTTATTCAAACTTTTGTGCATTTCCCACAAATAAAACAATTGGCTAACTTTTTGGCCAAAACTTAAGCGCTTTTTAATCGTTAAAAATAGGTCAGTACTACACACAGTGCGTAAAACATTTAAAAAGATAAAGTTTGGGTGACTATGTATGTAAATTGGCATAAAGACAACTAAAATTAATAAAATTTATGTAGTGTGTAAAAAAATTTATGCGGCTTCCATAAATAAATTTTTAAAATAATTCTTACTTTTTATAAAATATAGTTAAATTAAATCAATCCTTGTATTTTTTTTAAATTTTACACAATATAAAAATCGATTATTCAATTTTAACGCGTCGACACACCATATAAAAAATTTATTTATTTTTAAAAATAAACCTAATTAATTTTACAGTTGTTTCACTCCGACACCGGCCCCCAAACCGCGACTACATTGTTTACAGCGGATGCGCAAACGAATGGCCCGGGCGTTCGGGATCGAGAGATTGAAGCGATCGCATCGCAGGTCCGAGCCCGCGATCGTCGACTCCACCAATCTGCCGGAACGCAAAATCTCCAATTTCTCGCTCAAATCATTCGCATCAAAACGGTAATTTTTTCCATACTTGCATGCTATTGAATTTTAGAGCAATTAAATTTCAAAAATATGACGAATTGTAAAATTTTTCTTAAACCAGCATTAACTGTTAACACTAAACTGCAACTTAAATCTAAAAAAAATTAACGGATTCGTCTAAAAAGTAAATTTTAAATGTACGTTTTTTAATAAAATTGCCATTAAAAAGTGCTTTGTAAATAACTATAAAATTGAACACATTAAAATTACAAGTTAGGTTATCCACGAGTATGACACATAGATAACGAAAAAATATCACTGTTCGGGGACAAAGGAAACTTATAAAAGCAATTTAGAAAGCCTTACAAACAGAACCCCTCAACAGTTCATCACTTTTTGCTCTTTCTTTAAAAAATGTTTGCTTTTAACGTTGCGACACATATCGATTAATACCAAATGTCACAGAAATCCAGGTTATTATGTTTTGTGTTACAGTTGTTTAGTTTTCAAGAAGTATTTTCATAATTTTATTAATTTTGATCAAATCTGGGCCTTATTTCTGGCCAATTATTCCAAATATAGCGAAATATCACAAAAATGATCGATTACGACGAAGTGTCAAAAAACTTCTTTTTCGTTTTTCTTTCGAAAAGACTATTTTGTTTTTCTTCTAGCTTTTTCAGAAGTTTGATGCCAAAACAAATGGAATCGGTTCCGAAGAATCGAAAAGATGATTTGGAAGTAAATTTTTCTTTTCATCTCTATCTTATGGGTAATATAATTTCATCTCTATCTCTTGGGTAATATTGATATTTCTAGTTTCTTGTTTTTAGATCCAAACCAATTGTTATTGCTGAGTTGAAAACAAAATCTCAGATATCCCTTTAAAAATAAAATAGGTTCGTGAAATTAATACATTACAATTCCTCAACGCGAATGCTTAAAAGCACACTAGTTTTATGTTGCCATTTGGGGAGACGACTGAAGTTTTTTGGGCCTCATAAATCTTATATTGACTGCGAGTCTCAAAACAAGTATGAAAACGAAATTATAAATGCTTTGAAAACGTTTTAGGATTATGGTGAACCAGTGTCTTGAATAAAATATGGTCTTTTTTTAATTTTTTAGAGAAAAGACTATTACCCTTAAAAAAATTAAGTGATAGTTTGTTTAGTAGCACAAAAGTTAATTAAATTTTTATAGTATGTGCACCAACAACTATCAAAGTCGAGTTTTTAAAAGTAACATTGTCTTTTGGAGGGATTAGCAAACACTTTGCAAATTTGGTTGACCTTTAAAGCTGTAAAGGACGTTCTTTGACGTAAAAGCGGGCCAATTTATAAAACGATACTTTAAGCGGGCGTTGGCATGTTAATATCTAATTTTGCCAGTTTTAATGCCAGGTATTGTTATTGAAGAAGCTAAAAAAGTTTAAAAAACTTAAAGCGTTTGTTATTTAGTTTATTTTAAAGTTTTTTAGTAAGTTATAATATATATGTAGCTAAGTTCAAATCTTCAACTATGAACCCATAAAAACCTGTAAATCTTTTGTGCCATGCTTAATTTAATCTGTTAGTAGCACTTTGTCGAGTTAAAACGCATTCTGGGTTATTTGCTGGACGGCGAAGAAAGCATCAGCTAAACAGGAAACGCCACACTTTGACGGCCATTGCCGTCATGACTCGTGGAACGCCGAGAGCTACTTTTTTGGGTTTTTTCAGTAGATACTACGCTATTTTTTATGGGCAGATATGTTCAAAAGGTTAAATATTAAGAAGGGAGACTTTAAATTGAAACGAACAAGAATCTGGAGTTAAAAGAACGGAAATTTTGTTTCAGTTAAAGGATATTCGGGGCCGAATATGAAAGTAAATTATAAGTGCAGACTTTTTTGCGATACAAGGTTTTAAGTATAATTTAATCTAAAAACTGTCAATGACTAGTGATGATAACGAACAAATTTTCTTATAGATTTTTATTATACTTATTTATATGCCAGCATTTTTGTTAGATGTTTACTTCTATTTATAATGTGTTTATGCAGAGCTTAGAACAATTATTCGACAAGAGAATGTCAAAAACATGTTGGGACATTCCAACTCGCCGCAGGGCATGTGCAGTGGAACGGGGAGAATAGAGGGATGGACACGCTTTTTTACATCTCTTTTCGAATTGACTTTCCAGAAAATTATTTTGGTTTTTCTTAAACTAGGAAAATAAGTGTTTGCGTATGAACCGGTGATGGGCTCAATATAAAGAAGTATTGCTTTTGTGTTATTAACGGTTAAATTTAGTACGTTTGGGGTTTACAAGTTTCTGTGTTAATTTACACGATGGCGTTTAATTGAATAGAAATGATTTTAAAAATTTTCATGGTATTCTTGAATTGCGTAATATTAAAAAATATATTATTTTAGTAAAAATACTATTATACATTAAGCTGATAGTAAAACTGTTTTCAAACTAAAATTCGCGTTTTATTTGCAATTGAACCACGACTGAAATGGGTTTTTTTCAATCACGTATTCTGTTCAAAAATACTTTTTTTAATCCCGAGCGTTATTTTGGTATTTTTTTCCCCACTTTACTATCAATCTATCAAAATTTGTTCGAAATATTGCGCCAAGCTGGAGTGGGTTGGCCAGAAAATTGACCATTCCGTGAGGCTTTTGGCTAAACGAATGCGTCAAAAGCGACGAAAAAGGTTTTCAACCAAAAAGCGGCCACATTTCTGGACCAAACGCAAATCAAAGCTCAGGTAACATGTTTTACTTCGCTTGCTGTGTAAACATCACGTGTGGATACGGAGGGTTACGTGTGTGTATGTAAAAGGGATGGGACTAGGTGTGATGTGTAAGAATGTTTTGGGTGTTAATAGGATTTTATTAGAGATAAGAGTAAATTTTAAAGTACATAATATGCGCTACGGCACTAAAAATCACTTTTAATTTGTAATTCAGCTACCTAAATTTTCAAAAGTTAGCTGAATAGAATCGGGCAATAGTCAATGTGCTAAACAAACAAAAAATAATTAATTAGGGATTGGAAACAAGATAATTTTATTCTTACTTACAATTCTTAATAATACGATTGTTAATTTAAGATTATGCGGTGCGTATTATATTTTTTTCAGCTTTTAAATTTAAACTTTCCAAAAATAAATGCATCTTTCAAAGAAAATACTTAACGTTGTTAAACGTTGTAGGCTAGATGACATTAATTACTAGGTTCAACAGGTGAAATTGGCTTTTTTATAAACACGCAATTATTCCTTTACATTACATCTCTGTTGTGAAAATTTCAAGCAAAATATCTTCTTTTATTTTTTGAGGTAGCTTTGTTAGGAGTACAAACTATTAATTATTATACTTGGGTCAAACGCTAATTAGATATACAGTAAGCAATTTACGTTTACTTTAATAAGAACGACAGTCATACATGTATTGCTCATTATATATTAATATCCTGATGGTATAACGTCAGTTGTCGTTTTTAATCAAGGTGTTATGGTGCATTTTTTGCAAGATTTACGTTGTAACTAAATATATTTTTTCTTTTGATACATTTGATAAAAAGTAGTCGTAAATTCTATATATAGTAATATTTTATATATAATAAATTTTAAATTTGGTTTCAAAAGCTGATAAATGGTGATTTTTTTTATCAATTCTGCTTTTCTTGCCTTTATCACATATTTTGGGGTCATGTCTTCTCTTTAAAAATAGTTGTTTTGATAATCTAAAAATATTTTTTAGCTTTTCGTGGTCTAAATATCATGTATTCAGGCAGGCAATTGAGTAAATAACATATTTTAGGTCTCAAAAGTCTAACAAACAACGACACGAGGATAATATCGATAATTCAGTAGGATCAGCGAGGAATTCAATCTATTCCGAGCGTGTTACAGCTCTAACCGGTATGTTTTTTGTTGATCTTAGGTTGATGTTTGAGTATGAATCGTAATCTTTTTAATGGAAATAATTTGCGGGTAGTTGTTGTAACGCTTTTGTTGATATTAATGTATAATATTGTTTAGGTTCGAAGACAAATTATCTGAACTCAGATATGGAAGGGTCACTGTCCAAGTGGACAAACGTTGTCCAAGGATGGCAATACAGGTATTTTGTGCTTAATGAAGACTCTTTGTCTTATTATACAAGTCGGGAAAAGATGATTCGAGGCCAACAACGCGGATGTATCAGATTGAACGGTGCTACGATCGGCATAGACGGTGAAAATTCTGCTTTGTTTACAATTTCCGTCGATGGAAAGGTCTTTCATTTACAAGTAAGTTTATTTATCTATGAGTGTTTTTTATATTTAGGTATAAGTTAACATTAATATTTGTGATCTGAATTTTTTACAATTGTTTATGCTTTAATAAGAATACTATTTATTTTCTTTAAAATTTAGAAATGTGTTTACATAAATATGGTTAGAATTAAATTATTCTGAATCTTAAGCTTTGAATGAAAGTAAAGTGCTTTTTTGCATTATAATAAATATTGTTTTTAGGGTAAAGACATGAAAGAACGTGATATGTGGGTGAAGGAATTAGAGCGAGTTATTCACATGAAATCGGGCATTTACAAACCACGGCCTGGAGATCAGATTTTAGACTTGAACAACAGGGTTAAGCTTGCTGAAAGACAGCTAACAGACCTTTTGGACATTGTAAGTTTTTAATATATTTGGGATATTATGAAGTTTTTAAAATTTTGGAAGTCAAATGGTGTAAGACAAATTTAACTTTGACTTTTTTTAAAATATATTTTTATGTAGCTTTGGGTAATTTTAGGTTCAAAAGCTTGAAACCTTAAATACGCAATCGGAAAAAGCCGAAGAGAAACGAAAACGATATTTAAACGAAGTGTTATTGACGACAAGAAGGCTTCAGAACACTGTCGAGCATTCTCAAATCATTTTAAAGCAAGTCCAACAAAAATTTCATCCACTGGGCGGTGAAGGTCAAAACGGGCACAATGCCGAAGTAAAACCTTTGCAACACAATGGAGATCACGAAGAGGAGGTAGGATTTTTTCATTATTGACTTTTAAAATTAGTTTTGGAAATTTGTTAATATTCTAAAGATAGCTGAAAGAAAAATACAGCCAGTAGTTAGAGCAGAATGATATATGATATTGTCACATAAATTATTCAATATCATGTGAAACGTAGCGGAAAGTGGCAAAGGAGGAAGTGTGCTAACATCTGTAATTTTTTATTGTTCGAATTAATGCAATATTGTCTGTGTTAATGATGTAGATGTAAAGAGAGGAACATATCAAGAGCTTTGAACTAAAAAAATGTGTTACTTAGTTTGTTTAACGCTTTAATTTCTAACTGCCGTTTTTTAACACGGACAGGAAAGCTGGTTATGATCATGCCAGTTACCGTGCATACTCGTACAAACGCATTTTCTTAGTTTGTAAAGTGACAAAAATGGTGAAATAACTGTTTTTCTCGCGATGTAATCAACAACCTCAGAGTTGTGTTTCCATTTTTTTGTTTCTTTATCTTGCCTTCAGATCGCCGTTGGCTTCGTAATGAGCTTTTTCTTAATGTTGAACGCTGGTGCGCATCGTTTTTTGATTTTCGGTTTTTTCTAATGATTTTTTTGATAATTTTTTGGGAAAAATTGATTTTTAAGCTTATTCATAGAGAGATATTTAGGCCTATGTACTATATTTAGGCTAAGGTACATAATTGTAGGTTTAAATGAGGTATTTTGGATTGAGTACAGAGATTAGGCATACGTAAGATGTTTAGCCTTAGGCACGGAGAATTAGGTTTACTTAAAATCTTTAGGTTTACGTAAAATCTTTAGGCTTATGTAGAGCAATTTAGGCTTTGTGAATTTGCTTAACTTTACTGGACGTATATGTTAACAAGAAAACAAAAAGTTAAATGCGTTTTACAACTATATAATGCACTTGATTTGTTGTAAATATTACAGTAAATGAAAGTAAAGAGCGAACAAACTGTTCGTGAATAGGGTTGCGTGACCATTCATTCGATTTGTTAAGGTTCGAAGTGGAATGAGGAGGTTTGGAGCGCGATTTGATTAGGTTCTACACACAGGTTCCTGCTTCGTATTTTTGTAAATGGATATGTATTATAGAAATGAAAAAGGGGCCGGACCTGAAAATTGTCTCGGTTTTTAGATCATATCTAGTTTGTTATTTTCAATTAGGAACTTACGTTTATTGTTTTTTTTGTTTTTAACAATATTTCGTAGTTTTTTGAGTTATTACGGCTTGTTTAAACGAACTTAAAAATATAGCATTTTAATGATGGCATCGTTTTATGGTGGTATTAAGACTTAAGGGAGAAGACTGCTCTTCAAACAATGCTTTCAATTACAACAAGAACGTTTGCTTCTGGGACTTTTTTTTGCTCTTCAAGTAAAATTAAAGCTTATATAGTGGTGTAGCGCACTTTTTGTCGCAGAATTGACAATAAAAACGAATTTTTTAAATATAAAAACGCATGATTATATTCATTAAGGGGCGACAAATTAAAATTTACTAAGAATTGACACGAATTCCAGCGCATGCCTTTTGAGTTGTGTCGGAAATGTGACGTGAAAGAAATGTTGCACTCCTTGTCGAATCTGTTTTTTTATAAATTTGCAATTTTCTCATGTCCTTAAGGACTAAAGGCTAAAACAGGAGAAGATTCACCATTTTAAAAGGTTTTTGAAACGTACCGTTGGAGAGGGGGGGGGGAGGAATTTATATTATGTTGCTTTGAAAAGTGAATTCTTCAAACGGTTAATTATTGAGGTATTTTTAATTATATTATTAGACTCATAAAATTTTTAAGTTTTGTGTAGTATTTTTATTTGAACCTCTAAATGATGCGAGCATCAAGAAAGTCAAATTGGGTACAGTTTGCTCCATTGTTTTTCATGTGCAAGCATGATTGAGTTCTGCGTGTCTGTTTGGTTTCTAGACATGTGATAATCTTCTTGTTTCTTTATGTTTGAGGACGTTGAACTCGCCGGAAAACTTTTTGAATGGTTTAGAGGGTCATTTATAGTTGTCAACTGTTTTTTTTATTATTTCTAATATTTGTTTTTTTTTTTTTAAATTTTACATGGAATTTTTGTTATTTTTTAAAAAAGTTTTTGGTTAATACGCTAAGAATTTATGTTATGATATAACACATTGATGCTATCTTGGATTATAAAGAGACCGTGAGATTGATGTCTATTGTGAAAACAATTCAGAATTTTTAAAGCTTTTTGCATTATCTTAATGTAAAAGTTGAGCTTTGTCGTATTTATTGGTGTCATTCAAAAAGCATGACGAACAACTTTTTAAGTAGACCTTGCAAACGTTTTCGTCAAGCCAATTTTTTGAAACCAATCCCCACAGGGTCTCGAAACGTGTATTTTCTTCGTTTTGGCATTTTGAATTAAAACTCGGGATTTATTTATTTTCGGATCGAATTTCAACATGTCTAATGAAAGTTGAATGTGTTTATTTATATTTCTGATAGTGTAGTCATCGGCGGCAAAAATATTTATATGCTTGGTCGAATTTTGGCACTTAGTTTTTTATATAGACATTGACATCTACGTTTGACATCTTATGATTTTATTTTGATACCTTGATATTCAAGTTGACTATGTGGACTGCTTGCGCAAAGCTTCGTCATTGGTTTTGTAACATTTGTTTTGTTAAAATTTTGAAAATGGAAAAAGTAAATTTCTGAAAACTTGATTTTCCATAATTTACTGGTTGTTTTTTACTGTTTTGTACTGACTTTACTGGTTGTAAGATATTTCTAAGTTTTACGTTTCTTGTATTATGAGAATTGACAAAACTAGAGATATGCGACACATCCTTAAAAAAATTTTTATCGTACTTTTAATAAATTTTTTTGAAAAATTTATTTGGTTGTGAGGTTTTTGATGACTTTTAGACGTTTTTTAATGGTGACAAATATCCTATGTTTTAATTTTTGTTGTTTCAGCCTCCGGTTTTGCCACCGCAAATTACCTACTCAAGCAGCGAAGACGACGAGTTTTTTGACGCGACTTCAGGCGGCTACGCCGATTCTGACGAAGACACAGACGTTGAGGACGACTGCTCGGACTGCACTGAGACAGACCAAGTCTCCACTCAACCGTCGTCGGCCTTTCCTACACAGGAAGCCGCTCCATCGTTGAATCCACTCAAAAGTTCGCGACATCATCACGGGCATCACAAGAACCGTCGACACTACAAACAAAGTGTCAAGAGTGTGGCCGACCAAGGAGGCAAAGGCGAAGATATGGGTGGAAATGAGAACCGCAACCCCAGAAGTCGCCGTTCCTCATCAGTGTCGCGAAAGTTGGTTGTGAAGACTTCGGACGAACCTGACTGGGGAGATGACAATGAGGATTTCGACGCCATATATGAAAATACGGACGAATCTGAGTTAGGCAATGTTCAACAGCAGCATGGAAGTGTACTGATGCATCTTTTGAGCCAGGTATGAAAGTTTTTTTTTATTAGTTTAGACGTTGTATATTATTATGTTATGTGAAAACTTTTGCTTGTTTATTTTATTTTTGCTAAATTTTAGGTCAGCGTGGGCATGGATTTGACAAAAGTTACGCTTCCTACTTTTATCTTGGAGCGTCGGTCTCTTTTAGAGATGTACGCCGACTTTTTCACTCACCCAGAAGACTTTGTCCGTAGCTCAGATATCAATACGCCAGAAGAACGTTTTGTGGCTGTCGTACGTTACTACTTGAACGCTTTTTACCCTGCACGGAAGTCGGGAGTCGCCAAAAAGCCCTACAATCCGATTCTGGGAGAAACATTCCGATGCCGATGGACGGTGCCAGGCCAACCGAACTCGGGTCATAAAACTAAGGCTGGACCCTTTCCGGGCAGCGACGCGAATCAAGTCACTTTTATCGCGGAACAAGTGTCACATCATCCTCCAATCTCGGCATTCTATGCTGAACATCCAGGAAAGAAGATTTCATTGAATGCTCATATTTGGACGAAAAGTTCATTCTTGGGGTTGTCGATTGGTAAGGAGATAAAAATTTTTTAATTGTTGTTTTTTGTGTATTGTTTATTTCTATTTTTTAGTTTTTAAAGGTGCTTAACTATTTTTTAAATTTGTTGTTAAATGTATTTATTTTTTCTTTTCAGGTGTTGCTAACATTGGGCACGCTACCGTAACACTACACGAATATGACGAACAGTATGTGGTAACGTTCCCCAATGGCTACGGTCGCTCAATTATGGGTACACCGTGGGTCGAGCTTGGTGGAAAGGTGGAAGTGCGATGCGAGAAGACCGGCTTCCACGCTGAGATCGACTTTCTTACAAAGCCCATCTTTGGTGGAAAACCGCACAGAATTTCGGGTAACCTTTACAAGCACGGAATGAAGAAGCCTTTTATGACCTTACGCGGAGAATGGAACGGTTTGATGTACGCAAAACGCAGTGGAGGCGAAGAAACCTTGTTCATCGATGTGAAAGCCAAAGCTGAGGTGAAAAAGGTAACAATTTTTAAAACTATTCAAATTTTTTTTACGATTGAAAATAGAGAGCTACCTGTTTTTTTAATTTTATGTTTAAATTTAAAAATCACAGAAAACTTTTAATTTTCTATAAATACATTTTGTTTTTCAGGAATGTGAAGCAATCAGCTCACAAGGCGATCGTGAAAGTCGTCGTCTATGGCGGCACGTTACAGCTGCGTTGTTCCGTAACAAGATCAACATTGCTTCGAACGGAAAGCGCTGGATCGAACAACGTCAACGTGACGAAGCCAAGGAACGACAGGAAAAGGGTATCGAGCACAAACAGAAGTACTTCCAGAAGGTCGGCGAAGACTCATGGGCCTACCAAGAGCCATTAGGGAGCAGATCTGCTGTCTGAAAGCTGGGGTTTTTTCTACTAAATGTTTGAGTCTGGTTGATTTGTGATGCTAAAATCGGTTGATCTTTTGCTAAAAACTTATCGAATAAGCGTAAATTTGGCAGGTTTTTCGAAAGTTGGATGTCTTTTTGTACCACTAATGTGATAATTGTCTTTTTTTTGTTTTATATCGGTAGAGGTTTGTATGGCGGTTATACATATATCATTCGTCTAGTATTATTTAAATTTTTAGAAATTTTTTTCTTAAGTTTTAGTACTTGTCTCATTTTTGCTAAATGTCTTTTGACATACTAAAGTTGTATTATATTTTTATTTTTTTTTAATTTACTTTTTTTTTAAATTTGGTTTTTAATTGAATGTATTTCTTCATTATATTTTATCTGGTTTTATTTAAAGTTTGTTTGCACTGTGAAGTTTTCACTTAAGTGCATTGAGAAGTTTTATATTAGTTCTGTGCCAGCTCATTAGAAACTTCTGAAACTGCTTAATTCCTTATCTAAAGTTTTTATATTTATCTAAATCGATGCCAAAACTTACTTTATATTTGCTTACACATAGCCACCCAGTCTATAAATTGTTCAAGGTACCGGTCAATTTTAGCGTTACAGTACTCTTTTTGGTCGCTCTCTGTTTAACTAACAAGTAGAATTGTAGACAGGTTAATTTAAAGTGTAGTTCCGTACCTTTTGTTACGGTACAATTTCTATTATTATATCTTTTTACCCGTTCCTCGTCCCTGCATCCTTAACGGAGGAAAAAATTGAAACAAACGTGCACATGGGACTGTGAATAAAGAATTTTTTGCTGATCCCCCCTTCCCAGACAAAATTACTAAGGACTTCACTCGAAATACTCTACAATTCTACATACTGTCATACAATTATATGACTTGTTGTTTATATAATTTTCTATACTGGAATATTACGTAAGGGGTACTGTATTGTCGTCAGATTCCTTTGCTCTGGCTATCTTAACACTTGGCTGTATCACAATTTTTTGATCTTTATAATTGTGTAAACCTTGTACATAAAGACCGATTTATTATGAATACAGTCAATCATATATCGCATATTTGTAATATCTTTATAATTAGTAGTATAGTTGTAATATTATACATTTTTGTTATCATTAAATTAATCAAACAAAGTATTTTATGGTTCTTTTTTGAAGAAAAACACCGCCAAGTTTTTACGAAAAATGTCGACGAAGTTTTATGTATTTAACTTATAAAAAACAAGGGTCACTCAAGAGTTAAAAGGTACATATAGTAGTCAAGGGCAAATTTATGCCAGTTAAGTCAATTTGGATCTGTGAAGTTCAAAAATTTACTTTATATAAGAACCTAACAATTTTTTAACGAAAAAATGAAATTTCGGTCAGATATTCAAGGCCTACGAGCATTTGCTATGTTGGCCGTACTCATCTACCACATTTGGCCACAATTTTTACCGCTTGGTTATCTCGGCGTGGATGTGTAAGATTTTTGTCAAAAATATGTGTGAAAATTTTAGCCTAACATAAATAAGTGTAATTATAATATTATTTTAGCTTTTTGGTGATATCCGGCTATTTAATATGCACTTTACTAAATGATGTTACAAATTTTTCCACACAATTTTTTCTACAATTTTATTTTCGCCGCATACGGCGAATAGTTTTACCGTATTTAACTGTAACATTGATTTTTATACTATTTTCATTGTACTTCATTGCACAAACTGAGTATCCTCAGATTATCTGGGACACGTATACAGTCGTTTTCTACTGGGCCAATATTGCACCAATTTTTCTGGTTGAGGATTACTTTACATTGGTACGTAATTTACTTTTAATTTTCTTTTAATTGGCAACTTAAGTTACATCGTTGGAAGTTTCTTCTTCATTTATGGTCGGTTTGCTTGGAACTACAATTCTATGTGATTGCTCCTTTACTCGTACTATCCTTCAGAAAGTGTAACAATAAAGCTCGAGTCTTTTTGTGTCTATTACTTATATCTATGTCGTTTGTAGCGCAAACATTATCTACAGCTACTGTTTCACATGGCTTCTTGCATTGTAGATTATGGCAATTTTTAATTGGATTTTTTGTTTTTTACTATGGTAAGTTTACGTTTATAACCCATGTTGGAGAATTTAGACACACAACCAAGACACTACAACATTGTTTACTATACGTCATTAATGTCTGTAATATTTTCACTAATTTTTACTACAAATAAGTTATTCAATCGTGTTATTGTAACTGGTTTTACTGCGTTAATTATAAAATGTAACAATCAACAAAGTATTTTGTCGAATCTTGCATTAGGATACCTTGGCCAAGTATCGTATTCTGTTTATCTCGTACATTGGTCTTGGATATCTGGAGTAAAGTATTGGTTTAGTGAGGAAATTTCTGAAAATTATTTTTTATGTAAGTCATATATTAAAGAAGTCCAATTTTAATGTTGTAATCTCAAAATAAATACACTGCAAAGTCGAGATTTTATCATTTTTTGCCGATTGTATTACTTTTAGTTGGCTTATATTTATTATTATCATCACTTGTGCTGGGTGCAGTTTTGGATGAAATAACCTCAAAAGCTCTATCAAAATTAAACAGTTGGATTACTGTTGTTTCCATGATTTTAATACTCTACGCCAGCATTTTATCCACAGTATATTACATGTCTCAATTGGAAGTCGTCAAAATCTCAACTTTACAAATTGACAAGTTTAAAGTTCAAGAATATCAAGCTCTTCCTTTAAAATTGTACAATCAACCATTTAACGAGCCAAAAAGTCAAGATGTTATTGAAAAAGAGAATACTGTTTTGGAAATATTAACATTTTACAAAACAAAATGCGAAGACAAGCGAAAATGGTTTGACACAACAGAGAATATCGATGACATTGATCAGGTTAATTACATTTGTCATGAAAAAGTACGTCAATTTTTTAAAAATATGCATTCTGAATTTAGAGTAATGGAACAAAATCCATTTTGGTGATAGGAAATAGCCATGCCGCTGTTCTGTTTAACGGGATTCGGTACCATTTTCAAGACGTTTACAGTAACCTAGTACTAGTCTCACTGACATACTGTATGCCCTTTTTAAGCGAATTTGAAGTAAAACGAAGAGATGGTTGTATTGCACACGAAAAACGACTTCGAAAAATGATTTCCACATCTTACACTAGATATGATATTATTATACTAGCGATACAGTAAGTTTGAGCTTATTACAAATCTTCGCATAAATATCAGATATAAGAAGAACAATTAATTTTAATTTGCAGGTACAATGCTTTCGCAAATATTCCAGTGGTCGTGGATGACGTTAAAAACGACTTATATTATCAAAAGATACAAGATTTTGCAGATTTTTTAAATGAACATACGAATGAACTAGTAATGTTACCTCGTGTGCATGTTCAGTTTCCAGATAACAACTTATACTTCACCGTACAACGACATCTTTTTACTAACCGTGATTTTTCTAGTGCTATTATTGATCAAAAGGTAACATTAAAGAATAGAAAAGATTTAAAATAGTTTCCCTGTCTTTCAAGAATTAAACAAATCAACCACTTTTTAGCCAGTCGACGACCTTTTTAAGAATCTTCAAAAGCGTTTGAAGGCGGTAAAATGTTCTAAATGCATGTTTGTCAATTGGAAAAATGCGGTTTGTGTTAGTGAAAAGTGCTACGCTGTAAATGAGCGATCTAAAAACATGATTTTCTACGATTACACTCATATTAACGTACTTGGCAGCTTATACTACGGAAAAATGGTCCGAAACATGTACGATGAATTCTTGGTCACAGGAAATTTACAAATTGAAGACCATTACAAACAACAAAAAACACCTTTTTCTATATTTTGATTTTTTTTTTCTTTGCGTAAAATAAAATTATGCTTAAAAGTTCATTTTAATTTTCACATTACAAGCTAAAGTTGACACTTCGCATCGATACTTTTTGTGACATTGCGTCGTTTCACAAGTTTCTCTTGTCTGATTGCTTCCGATAAACGAGACCTTCTTTTTTCATGAAATCGACTTCCGAACTCTCGAGATTTTTTCCATGACCGCCTACGTCAAATTTTTACAAATTTTTTTCTAAATATTGTAGATTATCAGGGTTTGTTTGTTGTTTTAGACATAATTAAAGTTTCAAAATTTTAATCTGGGATAAAATCAATTCTTGAACATTCCGTGTTAGGCTGCAAAACAGTTTTTTTACCTTTCTTTTGGCTCTGGTATTTTTCGAGGCAAGACAGTATTGTTATTGATTGGAAACTGATAAGGGTGCGGATTTCAGATTTTTTAGCTATATCTTTAAGTTTATCTTTATAGACGCTTTGGATAGTATATATAGTGCAATATGTGTGACGTTTATCAAGCAAAAAATTGGTTTTTGTGATATTATTTTACATTTAAAGCCAAAAAAGAGCATAGAGATAACGCTTTAAATTGAAGTTTATGAGAATAATTCTAGTGATAGTTTGTTTTTGTCAATTTTTAGACGTATTTAATAATTTATTTTGAAAATTTAAGAGGATTGAGAAGTTTGTTAGACGTGTAATACACAGTAGTCGCGAGGTTTGGATGCAAATATGATGCTGAGAGGTTTGGAAATAAATTCGAATTTTATTGATTTCGGGAAGGTCAGAGAAGATCCTACGCATTGACAAAACTCGTGAGGCGTCTTCTTGGCTTTGAAAGTGATGCGGTTTTAGGTGGAAATGCGTTTAAACTTCAAAATCAATATGTTACTTGTTTTTAGGGTTTTACCGCAAGCTTTTGGCTCAAAATGTAAATTTTGTGAAACCCTTGTTCAAATGACAAAAAGAAGGGTTTATATACACAAACTTTGTGTGTTTATTTAACTCTTTTTGATCGATTTCTAATTTTCACGTTTCAATAGACTTGCAGGCTTTCATTGAAATTTTTCAAGGGTTCTTGATTAAATTTAACACCCCAAGTGTTTAGTTTAATTAAAGTAAGAGTTGATTATCGATATTTGCAACTTGTTTATATTATATCTGAGTGAATGGTCAAACTACAGGAATCAGATTTCTAAAAATTAAAGTATTTTTGTTATATTTTATGTTATATTTTTATCGTGTGGGAAAAGATATCCTTTTGCGTGAAAGCGGCTAATTTTTTCACATTTCCTATTTTTCAGTTTGACAAAGCGTACGCAAAAAACGGTTAGAAACAAGAACCGGTGAATCAATTCTTTCAGCAGAATTAGCTAGTCCAAAGGTGAGTCTTATGATATTTGTTTTTTTTTTTAGGCACAACAAGCTTAATATCGATTTTCGGGTTGAAATCGACGTAAATTGATATTTATAAGGGTTTTTTGTTTTATTTTGTGTTTAAAATTATTAAAAATAGCTGGATGTGTAAAAAAGGCATTTGTGGGTGAAGTTTTAGCATACACAAGTTTTAAATTGGGAAAAAGTTGAGAATATATTTTTAACCGTAATTTTTAACTTAACTTTTATAATATTTTTACGTTTTTGAGGATTTTTTAAATAAAATACAAGGTTTAGGATATTCTAATTTTCTACCTAATGGATCCTCGATCTTCTAACAACTCTGACGACGAACTCGACGACAATCTCTACAACGAGTTTGAGCAGGCATGTTCGTCTGTATCGGGATTGTTTAAAGCACCCACCTGGCGCACCTTTCAAACAGCCGCTGTCCACACTACTCAGTTGTATAAAGCCGGCTCCGAAGCCTCTAAAAGAGCGCTGGAGAAAGGGATTCAACAAGGGCGGCTTCAAATGGCCAAGGAGTTGCTGGCTTTAAAACGATATGGTGCCAAATTGGACGCTACTGATGTTTATAACATCCTGCAGAAGTATGCCTTACTTCCTAACGAATATTCGATCCCACAAAGACCTCGACGGTTTGCGTCGCCTGTCGATGGAGGTGTACATCAAGCTGTTACGTTGTTTCAACAGGTATATTTATATTTTAGAACTCTCTGTGAAAAGTAAAGATACAACTTTAACTACTGTTTACATTTAGGCTCTGAATCCGCCCAACGTTAGTCCGAACTCTCAGCATCGACCTCAAGAACTGAACGCATTCTTACATAACCAAGTACTCAGGCACCGAAAACGAACCCACTCTCCTATGGACACTAACATGAATAACCACTTTTCGAAAAGAAAGCGGTAATAAGAATATTGGGCCACACAACGAGGATGGAGATTGATACGACATTGTCTTTTTTAATCAATATTCTAATTGGAAGCTCAAATTCATATAAATCTCGCTTTTTCGAGAATCTTAGAAGTTTTCAGCACTACTAGAGACGTTGACTAGAAAAATACTGTCATTTATAATTTGGAAATTGTTACGTATTTTTAACTATGTTTTAATTTTTGGGTTTAGTTCAGAATTTCAAGAAATTGTAGTTTTTTTTAGGAATTGCAAATTTTATAGATTTTAATTTATATACGAATTTTTATGTTCAAAAAGTTTTATAGATTAACTCTAGACTTCAGTTAGATTGTTTTTTCTTGCATATCTTTGATATAATTCTTCAGTTTTTTAATTTTGCACTGTGTTGTGAATTCTGTTTTTCAATAGAGTATAGTATGATTAAAGAAACTTGTTTTTTTTAATAATTTGACACGGGTATAATCATGATGTATTGTAAGTCTAATAGTGGTCTAGGTCATGGTAGGAGCTTAGGCATTAAAACCGGTAGATGGTTGTTTTGGCCTTTTTTTAAATAATCTTTTTTGGCCAGATTTTTCCTTTTTGGTCGATCTTTACCAACGTTGTAATTTTTGGACATACTCAGGCCTTTTTGCATGATACCGGTATAATTAATGTCTAATAAGGTTTGTAAAGTTTTAAAAGTGGGGTTCGTTTTTTTTCAAATTTTACATTAACAGAATATTTCTAGTTCCTACTGTATCTTAATTTAAAATTTTTCTATAATACATGATTAGACTTTCAAAGTTATGTTTTTAGTTTCATTTGTCTTGTTTACCTGTGTTTTTATATTGTAGTTTTGTAGAGGTTTGAAATGTGTAATAAAGACTAAATTGCGGTATTTAACTGATGGTAGTTAATATGACAATAATTCTAATTTTTTGCTTCTGTATATAACACAGTCGTTCAAAAAAGTATTTTTGAGCAAAGATATTGCAAAATGAAACAAATTTTATTCGTAAATCGTCGGGTTCATGTGAAACTTTTTGTCGTATAACTTGTTCAGCGCAGTCTGCAGGGTGACTCACTGCGCCCATTCTTTAATATTTATAGCATAATTTTTGGAAAAATGTTCTGTGATAAATATTTTTCGTTTTAAACCTTTCTTTTACGTCATAAGTTTTGTTTGTGGAATACTTTTATACATTTTTTTCCGTTTGTTATAATTTATTTGCAGATGGTGCGGAAATTGAAGTTTCACGAGCAGAAGCTCCTTAAAAAGGTCGATTTTATCGACTGGAAGGATAATAACTTAAATGAAAACAAAATAATGGCAAGATATTCAATTCGGAAGCGAGAGGAGTATACCTATTACAACAAATTATCCAGAGAAGTATGCTTTGTTTGTTTTTTTTTAATTTTTAGGTATATAATGATCTTTGAATCGTCTTATTATAATTTTCGAAGGTGTTGGATGATAGAAGTTATTTAAAAGCGTAATTATGTTTTAGTATCTTCTGGCAATGTACTTTTCTTATTATATAATTTAGCAGAATTTAGGTCAGAGAATTGGCAAAGAAGATAAAAGAGATGCGAGACAAGAATCCAAACAAAAAAGTATTTATCAGGCAATTACTTGGGAAATTGAACGATGCTGGACTTATTGTTGCTGCGGACACATTGGAACGAGTAGATAAGATCACAGCGTCGACCTTTTGTCGGAGAAGACTTCCAACCATGATGACCAAGATTGGAATGATGAAAAGTGTAAGTTTCCGTGTTTAGTACACTGGCTGTCAAAGTCATATTTTTGTGATAAAATGTTTTGTGGAACAGCTGATTGATGTTTTATAGTACTTTTCTTTATAATAAAGTCTTGTTTTAGATACGCCAAGCTACACAAATGGTGGAAGAAGGTCATGTTCGAGTTGGTGCCAACTTGATAACGGACCCAGCGTATTTGGTAACGCGAGAACTGAGTGACTTCATTACATGGGCACCTGGATCTAAAGTCGGCAAACACGTTAAGGCTTACAATAACACTGTCGATGACTTTGACGACTAAATTCTTCTGCATTGGACTTTAATCAATTTAATGTTGTTGCCTGTTTCTTGTTATTTGTTATGACCTGTTTGAGTAAACTGTTTTAAATAACGTTTTGGATATATTGGGTAAATTAATTTCACAATACGCCAGAGGCTTAACGCATAGAAACTGACACAGATTCGTCTGCTTTTTCGTATAAATAAATAGAAAGGGCGCAGCTTGCGAAAAAATCTCAAAATATTTATGTAAAATTTGGAATGATAACACTAGAAGAGTTCAGAGATGGTCATCGGGAATCAGAAGAAAATCAGCGAAGCCAAAGATGTTTCTGTATGTTTTGAATTGGGTTATTTTTAATTTTTTGTCAATTTAAAAAAATCTCTTTTTCAAGCTAAATTGGGCCAAGGCTTTTAGACTTGACAATCGTGAATTAATTCAGATACTCTTAAATTTCACCCCGAAGTTAAAACACTTTAAAGAAAGTTTTTTTTTAATTTTCAGAGTGGATTATTGATCAATGTTATACGGACAATTGCCACAAGTGCATCAGACGATCAACGCGAATTGGCTCGAGAACGGCTACAGACTGGCTACCAAGACTCGGGTAAAGTAATAGACCGTTTGTTAACAGAACAAGAAGAAGATGTTAAGACAAGTGTGGAGTCGTTTAGAGATGTGGCTACAAATATTAGAGGTTAGCTGATTAAAGTTTGTTGTTTTATCTTTAGGTATTGCTGTGAAGGTGCTGTGGAAGTACTCAATGTTTTAAGTATGGTAAAAATGTGAAGCATGAATATACAGTTTGTTTATTACATAATATTTGTTTTTTGTAGAATGTCGAGAAAGAATAAATCGAGTCCAAAACGCTTTATCAGCCAGCAGAAACTTGCTACAAAGTCGTAGAGATGAACTAAAGAAGTTATGGATGGAAAATTTGGAACAAAAAAAGATTGGTCAGATCCTTGAACAAATGTAAGTATAATACAATATTCTTATCATTTTGTCGAGTTTAGATATTGGATTGCACTAATACTCAATATTTGAATTTTATTATTTAGAGAGGAAGTGAAGAATATGGAACGAATCGTTGACGGTTTAATGAAAGAAGAAAAATTCCGTGAAGCTGTTGATAAGCTGAAACGAGCTGATATTGCTCTAAATGGACCATTATCTGCTATCGAGGGGCTTCACCAACTTCGAACGAATATTATAGATACTAGTCAACACGTACTAAATGTTATAATTGAAAAGTTGCTGGAATGGTTGGTGGCTGAACCTTTTGAACGACAGGTAATTTTTTGGTTCGTGATAGGGCAAAGTATGGGAAGAGTTTGAAAATTCCAAAAAGTCAATTGTTACCAATTCTAATGAAATTATTTTAGCTTTTTGAAGTAATTCGAAAATTGTCTGAGTCAGCGATTGCCGAGTCAGCAGTTTGTGCCCGGCTCTTGGAGAAGAAGTACCCCGACTTTATCACCAATATCACTGGCACCCAAACTCAAATTGGTGTGGATTTGGCAAAAGACCGTAAAACTGAGCTGAATTTAAAAATTGTGGATGCGTTGGAGGCCTTAATGGTGTTTGATCAACTAGATACTGCTCTGGATCAATTGGCTCTAAGGACTCCGAAGTTGTGCAAAACTGCGTTGAGTGATACTGTGAATCTATTGAGTACGCTACATGCAAATGAAGGCTTGGATTCTAATCATCTGGTTCATTTCATCAATGTTGTAAGAAGTTGCGAATTTTCTACGAGAAGAAATTTTTTAAAATGATTTAACTTTTTGAACAGTATGCTTTGTTTAATACTGTTGTTTTTCAGCTGATCGCTGAAATGCGTGCCTGCTTTTATGGTCATAAAATTCTAGCCGATGAGGTGGGCCGACTTCGAATGAACGAGGAATGCAAAAAAGAAGTGATTTGGCGATATTGGGACGGAATGCAATCAGTGATGGAGACGGTGGTCAGTGACCATGTCGACATCTACCCCATGAAGTCGGACACGCAGGAGAAGACGGTGGACAAACGCAGAATTCTTTTCAGATTCTCGAATACTGCCGCTGTGTCCGGCTCTACTGGAATCGTCGCGAAACAGCAGGTGGGGGGAAACTTTAAGAATGGGAAGGGCAGTCTTATGCAAGGCTGTAATTTTTATATTAAAAAGATGTATTTTTCAGCCGTTTGCTCTAATATGTCCAGCAGATCCCTACAACATCATTCCGATCTTTCATCCTTTGAACCGGTTCTGTCATGAAATAGAGGCGAATATCGACCAGTCGCCGTGCAAGTTGCACACCTTCTTACACGCCTTTGTAATGGACATATTTATCGAGCGGATTCGCAAAGATATGGACCAAAAAATTGACTACGCTTTAAGTGGCAACGAGGTCTGGCAAACTCTTGCCACCGTTGGTGGGTCAAAAAATGTAAGTTTGTTTTAAAAGGATAACTTGAGGTATATTGCTGTAATCTTATTTTCGTATTTAGAAAATATTAGTATCATGCAAGCGAGTATTTGAGTTGTGCGAACAAATTGGACAATTCATTAACAGTATGGATGCCTATACTCAACGTTTTGCTTCTTTATGGGTATTGATCATGGAAGAATATACGAAAACTGCTACTGAAATGTATTCTAGGGTAAGGGTAACTTAATAAGACTTAAAATTTATTCTACAGTGCGCAGTCTTTTCAATAGCTTTTAGCTAAAATAGGCTTTACTTCTGCGTTAATGCTACATCGCGCTTTTTACAGATAACACACAGTCGTACTGTACAAGGTGACAAGATGACCGAACATTCGAAAACTTCGGCGAATTGGGCGGTTGACGAAGACATTAGTCGGCTTTTGAAGTCGTTACCATCGTGGCAAGTAGTTGTAAATCAAACTCCACTAACTGGCGACATGACTCCAGGCGGAATCTTGAGTTTGAACGAAAGCGAACAGGTAAAAAACGATTGTAATATGTATCAATATTTTTTAAATTTCAGGACATTCGTCTTAGGACCCAAAGAGAGTCAGAAATTCTGATCTCCAATCTCGGATCCCTTGCCAAAATAGACCACCACGCCGTAATCACCGATATTAACCATGCCAAAGCCATTATTTGTATGCACGAAAGTCTACAATGGTTCAGTCAAAATATGCGCCATCTGATTGCCACGATCCCGACAAAGGCTAAGCAAGCGATGAAGTGTCTTGTCCACATCCGCAGCCCAGACGGCCAAGTTGTGGAACAACTCCTCAGCGACGCACTGGAACAACGCCTGGCTTCCGTAGAACAAATGTCTGAAACCTGTCTTCTGATGCTCCACCTGGAGCTTCGAGTGCACTGCTTCTATCACCTACTGCCTTTGGCCAGAGGCAATGCTCAGGACGAAAACGATAGGGAAATCGAGAACTTCCGAAGGGATCTGACTCAATTCCATCTTCTTTTAACCCATCACATTGCGGCAAATAAGCTTAAGTATCTGTTTGACGGCTTGGGACATTTGTGTGCTAGCATTTTCATACATTGCAGGTACGGTCAACTATTAATAACGGAATGATTTTGGTTCAAAATGATTAAGTTTATTCCTTTTTTTATATGCTTTAAAATTTTAATAATGGTCTCAACTTTTAGCCAGTACATCCAGAAATTGACAGAAAACGGCCGAAAACGAGTATGTCGGACGATTTTCGCGGTTCAGAAGACCATCAGCAAATTGACAGCTCGTCCAGAAGCCGAACTTACTCGCGCACAGGTCTTTTTCGAGCTTTTGAACAAGTCGCCTGACCAACTTCTGGCTCAGATTCGCGAACGTGGCCGACAATTCACCGACTTGGAGTACCGCTACCTACTAGCGTTGGCCATTCGCTCACACCCTGTACTGTCCTCTCAACACGGTGTACTGGAACTCAAACTGAATCAACTCAACGAGATTCTGAGTCAAGCAAGGAAGTAGAGCTTCTTTATTATAACAAAGAGCTCGTAGTGTAATATATTCTACTTGTAAGTTTTCCCTTTTTTACATTGCTTAATTTATATATTGTCAGAGAATAAATTATTATGAAATTTTAATAATTTTTAAAAATCCAACAAACCGGTAATAGTAGCTTTATTCGTACCATTTTTTGTGGTCTCTTTTAGTAGGGCAACGGCTAGTTTCCTGTCCAAGCATGGTCTCGTACAGTTTTTGGGACACGGCCTTTTGTGTGGCACCTAAAAAATACTTTATTAGATGTGTTAATTTCCTGTGCGACAATTCATACCTCGAAACTTACGAATGTATAATTTTGTTTTTGGGTAAAAATTTTATTGATTTTTCAAAATTTATTGAAATTTCCGTAAAAGTTCAGAAGGAATAATCGAAAATAAGAGCATATTAATGTGGAACAGTCTGATTACCGTACAAAACTCGTAAATAGTGTAGTATACCTTACACAGTAATAAACTCCTGTGTATTATAAAGTAATTTATTACTGTATTTCTCACACTACACCGAAATTAACTGCGTTTGCAAAGTAAACCGATTTCCAAAAATAAGTCATTTGTGTGAGTGGAGTGATTTAGCTTGTTAACAACGGTTATTCTATTACTAATAGACCTAAAGGTTACAATTTGAAACAAAAAATAAAATCATATCTCTATTAGAAAAAAATTCCAAAACCTACTATTAAAAAGTAAATGAAATGAAAATAATTCAAAAATTTGTAGACCTTAACAACAATACTTAAAAAACGAATTAATAATGTGTCAAATAATTAAAATTTAAACACCTCCACCGGATCGGGTGACGTCTGGCGTGCTGAGTTCGTCCAGGTATCGTACCAGGCGGTTTTGCGTGATTTGACCGCCTTTCAGGCCAGAATAAAGCTGAAAAATAATAAATTACACCACGATTAAAAACCGGCGACATAAAACATGTCATCCATATATAATAATAACAGTAACTGTAAAAACATACCTGGAAGAATTCGGAAAGTTCGAGTTCACCGTTTTTGTTCATGTCAACTTCGTTTAGAAGATCGTGAAGTAGACGTTCATCAATTTTGCTGTTGTTCTCCTGAAATCAACAAATAAAATGTTAATGCATAACAATTAGTGCGTTTACTGACTACTAAAAGAGTAATAATACACTATGCAAGACAGTAACAAATAAAGAAACTGCGTGGGGGGGGGGAAGCAATCCCATGTACGACCCTGGATATAGTACTATTCAAAACATTACTAATAACAATTATCATAGTATACATATTAAGTATAAATATGACATACTCTAAAGTGTCGACGGATGTCATTGACAGTAATATGTCCTTTGCGGTCTCTGTCGAGTAAGTTGAATCGTTCTTTGGCCGCTTGCATCTCCTCTCTAGTCAAATTCAAGGTGATTTCGTTCATGGATTGGGCTCGAGCTTCTTGTCCCATTTCACGGTCAACAAAGTTGCGGGCTACATCCAGTTGACGCTAAAATTGTCAATTAATAAAAAGTTGTTATCAAACCTGTCAACTAACAACCAAATACAACACAGTACAAAACTAGCCTAAGACTTACTCTTTGTTCCGCACTGCTCCATTTCAGCTCTTCTCCCATGATGTGGACAACTCGGTCCAACACTTCGTGGGCGGCGTATGTGTTCAAGAAGGCTAACCGCAGCCGTCTGGCAATAACATCGACCGCCGTGCATGCGTACTCTTTCACGGCGTACCGTACTTCCGCATCCAGGTATGGGAATTCTTCGTGAAGTCGAGAGCCTACGATTGGCCATCGTTTACCGGTCATTTTGCACATTCTGGCCACGACGAATGCCCTGTCTCCGTAGGTGTTGGCCAAGTGCTGGGCAATGTCTGTGTCGATACCGTAATCCTGTACCAGATGAATGTAGAGAAGTGGGTCCCAGTTGTGAGCTCCTTCCAACATTAGACCTAAAATTCAGTTTTACACATAAAGACGATAAATATTTTATTTTTGCGCAAAAGTAAACCATACCTGGAGTAACACATCCATTCCTTGGAGTTAATCCATGAGTTTTGATTAATGTGTCAACCGTTTCTTCGGCCATATGTCTATAAGTTGTCCATTTTCCACCGGCAATCGTGATCAATCCGCTCTTTCCCACTTCAATAATATGATTACGGGCCAGTGTTGCGGTGCTGGTCTTGTTTGGATCACGGACGAGTGGCCGAAGACCGCTCCATGCTGACATAACGTCACCACGACGAATAGAGACATCTTTCGACAAGTATCGGCGGATTTCGCCCAAAATAAATTCAATATCTTGATTTTTGGGGGCAGGGTGGAAAGTTAGCTCGGCACTGGCGTCAGTGGTTCCAGCTACAGTCATTTTTTGCCATGGCAAGAAGAAGATAACACGGCCGTCACTAGTTTGAGGGTCCAGAAGTCCAAATCCGCTAGGACTAAAAGCAATGAAACGATAAATTCTTTCAAATTAAAAAATTTAATGTAAATCTAATTTATAAAAAATATAGCTACCCGAATGTTGACCAAATTAACTAAAACACTCACGTATAATAACCAGGTAGAACGACGTGAACACCGGCTGATGGTACACAAATAGGTTTGACCTCGGGGTCAGCCATCACTCTCATTGAATCCGTGAAGGGGCCTGTTGCATTTACGATAGTCTTAGCTTTTACGTCCCATTCAGCACCACTGATCTAAAAGTTTAAAAGTACGTATTATAGTTTTAAAATGTCATATTATCTATACGTTTCAACCGTACCTGATCCTTAACACGAGCTCCGACCAATTTCCCTTCCGAATTCTTAAGAAGTTGTTCAACTTTCACGTGGTTCACGGCCTTGGCTCCATGTCTGATGGCAGTCAAAATGATAGCCAAGTTCATACGAGCGTCATTGTGAGCACCATCGTAGTAAACCAGAGATCCTTTTAGTTGTTCTTTCTTTAACATAGGAAATCTTTCCAGTGAAGTGTCTTTTCCGATGAAATATGAATGCTTCAGAACTCGACGTCCTGATACCAAATCGTAGGCTTTAATTCCAGCGTAGTAGTAAGGTACCTGCCAGTATCTGAAAAAAAAAGGAAATTAAAGTAAATATGCAGGAGTTTCACATGTCGTAACAACAATAAAAAAGTTTAACATATTAAAAAACTATAATGCAACTTGCTTGTAAACAGGGATCATAATAGGCAAAGGATAGGAAAGATGTGGAGCAATCTCCAGTAAATTATGCCTTTCGAACAGAGCTTCCTTGACCATCCTGTACTGTTCCAAATCCAATCCAAAAATAGCTGCTTGAAGATAACGAACACCACCATGAATAAGTTTGGTCGATCTTGAACTGGTGCCAGACGAAAAGTCGTCCAACTCGACCAATGCGGTTTTCAAACCTCTTGTAGTCGCATCCAAAGCGACACCAGCACCGGTTGCACCGCCACCAATAACCAAGACATCAAATTCGTCTTCTTTCAAACCGGCCAACAACTCATTCCTGGTAGGCAACGCCCCAGATGGACGTTTATTGAGTTCGGCCCGGATTTGTGAATCAGCAAAGGCAATACGAAAGTACTTTTGCTAAAATATTAAAACATATACAAATTTCAGCAGTACAACAATAAAGACATCCAAAATTCCCTGCCGCTTTTTAGATAGCAAGTTCACGTTGTTACCTAAAAACAGAAAAAAACCAAAAATCACATACCATTTCATTCTTGAAGTTATTTTCATTCCAAAGGTCCAAATAATATAATCCGCCAAGAGTTGTGCCAACAATAGCTGTAACTTTTGTCGTTCGGCTTGTGCCAATCCTCCTGATTAAGCCAAACAGCTTGGAGCCGCCGAATCGAGACGCCATCGCCAGTTACGTGTATGGCACTGACCCTGAAAACGTTTGTAATAACATTAATTATTTTTCTTGAGACGGAGGATGAACGTACTTTAAAGTAAGAAATTCAAAAGAAAATTCGACGAGTACACTGAAAAATCCAAGAAGAAAATCACAAAAAGCCAAAGAATTCGAGAGCGCAGCGGCCGAAAATGTAAAAAAATAAATAAAAATAAGGTTAAAGCAAAAGCGTTCTATTACTTATGGCACGTACACGTTCTACGAATAATTTTTAAAATTGGTATACAAGAAGAAGCTTAAAAATTTCAATATTACATGAATTCCATTTTTTTCTTGTAGTAAAAAATTCTTGATAAAAAAAGACAATTTTTTTCAAAAAATTTTTGAATATATTATAATTTTTTTGAACAGGTTTAAATTTACTATAGTAATTACTATAAACCAACATCAAAATTTTTCTCAGTAAACTAAAACATCCGTTGAGATACAGATGATCTCATGCTTTTCTTACATGTTTTCATTTTTTAACATCAAAGAATATAAATAAAACTCAAAGAACAGAACGGAATGTTCGAACAAGTCAGATTAAAAATAGAAAATGTGGTGTGAAACAATAGAATGTTTTCAATGTGATCTAATAAAAACTCTTGAATTAAAAAAATGCTACTGTTAATTAAAATAACTAAACATTATCCAAAATTGTGTAAAATGAATTACTGTTTTACGACGAGTAACCTTTTTAAATTACTCTACTCAATTATGACAAGTAAAGAACCTTTTACAAAGTTGTTTTTCCAATCAAAACGCGGTGATGGACGGCGTTTTTTAGCAAACAACAAAAATAGAACAGTCGATGAGAGAAAAACAAGGTAGAAAGGCTATAAAATCGCTCTTAAAAGTCATCTGTTCAAAGTCTATGGAAGTATGACAGTTCAATAACCACATACTTTGTTCGTATTGAGAAATTTTGTGTTATCTTCGTATCTTTTAAAGACTCTAGCCTTACTAAAAATACTTTTCTTAATTTTTACAAGATTTATGCTTATTTAATTTGGATGATACTATGATCATACCAAAAATCTTTTCACAACATATTTTAGACTTTTATATCCAATAAAATAGCTTTTCGCTTTAAAAAAGCCCTGAGGAGATCCCAAAAGCTGGAAAGACAAAATGGTTTTGAAAGCGCGCAAAGCTAGGAAAAAGTCCAATAAGACAGTTCACGAAATTTTCATACTACCACTAGATATCAAACATTGAAATTACCGAAACTGTTTTAACTGTATCAATAAAATCGACCACCACAAATCGGTCTTGGTGCAACAAAAAACCCTTTTGTAAACACTTTAGGGTATTCTCTCAAAAAGCTTCGCAAGGTCATTCCAAATAAACAATCTCCTCGATCATAACTGATAACGACATAATTTTGAAACAAGCTCATTAAGCAGTGTTACAGACTACCAATTAGCAATTTATTAATTAAAAATGTCAAAAAAGTTTGTTTTTTCATTGCCACATGATTTTTTTATATCTGTTATAGTTTTAAAAAATTGCCAATAGCTCTAAAATTTTCATGAAAAATAACCAAAATATAGAAAGTTGACAGTTCAGACAAATCCCAATATAACGTTCAATCTCTCATAAACGACGTAAGGAAAGGAACAATGAACTAAATCACAAAAAAACCTAGTGCAGATTCGTTTCCTGACAAAGAAACGTGCTGTTCACGTGATCAAAACTTATGAATTGTCTAGACCCATGCGAAAAAAGCTGCTAAATTTAAAAAAAAAACAAACGTCATAAAACATTTTTATACATGAAATTACGGGAAGCGCTCATAACGGTAACATTACAATAAAATATCAAATCTTTTAAAATATTTTAATAATTATAACGCATAGCTATGTATACAATGTGAATAAATATTCAAACAAATAAGAAAAATAAATAGGAAAATAACCTGTGGCAAAACACACTTTAAAAATTTATCTTTTTAATAACAAAATAATATCAAAACGCTCCAACAACCTATTATACTAATTTCTACAAGTTCATCTTTGAATCTCAATTCTCTGAAAATCGAATCCAAGCATCAAGACTCCAAAGTACAAAATTTTAATCTGTGCTACACTTCCTCTCTTCTCCAGTTCTGCACGACTAATTCTTTGTCTACCTGCACTAAAATATGGTAATTGTCCGGTTTTATTTCGTAGTCCACAACTTCCACGTTATGAACCTTTGCCAGATCAACATTGTCCTGTAATGGAGCTAACCATAACTCAATAATGTCACCAGGTTCGACGTTGTAACTTTTTTTATTAAAAACTTCATAATTCACGCGAATCAAACCTCTAGATAGCGACTTTTCCAATGCACTAAAATGTTAATTATAAGAGGTATTGTGGGAATAAAATGAACTAGCTTTGTCATATAAACGAGAACTACAAAAATTCAATATTATCAAATATGTTTACGTAAACGAAGTTGATGTTAGATATGTTACCTAAACTTCAAATAAAATTTTTAAAAAATAAAAACTCACGTTGTGCCAATGTTTGATGTCCTTTTTAAAACTGTATCCAACCTTCTCGAAGGCACTTTGATAGTAATCTCCTTTGGAACAGAAAATTCGACTTCTTTGGCATAGTACCGAAACTTCGATGTTTGGGGCAAGAATAAATTACTTAGAAAACTCCTTGACATTAATCTATTCATGACTATTAAGAAACAGCTTGAACTGAATGTTGTTCTACAGCTTTATGAAAATAACGATGAAAAATAATTTATAAAAATAGTTTTAATTAAAACGCAATGCCAATTATGTTGGCGAGCCAATGTTTTCGTGGTGGGACTGCCGCATCGTAAATTAAAATGTACAGTAATAAATTTACAAACTTTAAAAGCAAATGCACGCAGAGCCAAGAATATTTGTTAACTAGACAATAAAAGACTGATCAAGAAATTACAAAATTTAAAAAAAAAAACTAGGGTTTGAAAGTAAGCTTTCATATGTAAAAGAGTTTAAACAGTAATTTAAAATACATTTAGTACAACATGTTTAATATATTCCCACAATGCATAAAGACCTACTTATAGTAAAAGAAAGGCCGTGTTTCATATTCTTTTTTCTTAAATTCTGCCGTTTTCATAAAGTTTTCGGCTTTGGACATCTTTTTTGCCCTCGAGCGAGTAGCTCTTTTTGACGATTTTTAAAGATTTTCTATAAAAATAACTTCTTCGCGCGTAAATTTTAATTATCTATGTTATGAATTTTTAGAACAGCTTGTTATATAAATAATGGATACTATCTACACCGTTGTTGAAAGTAAGTTTGCTCATTTTCAACAAAAAATACTTAAAATTTTGATTCTCACTAGTTAAAAAATTAAATAACTCAATATTTGTTGTTATAGGCATCCATCTGTTTCTTCCCATTGTAGCGATTCTGGTTGTAGCCGGCTCCATATTTCTCTTTCGATCGGCTCCAAATGAAGACGAAGTGCTACATTCAGCTGCTGCCCATGCTGAGCGTAAGTTTTTCAACTTTTAAAAAAATCAGGGCTAAACGATAGTTTAAAGAGCTATTGTGATGTCATTTAAAAAATCCTACTTCAGTTTAGATGATAAAGTAATTAAAAAATTTTATTTCCAGAAGAAACACAATCCAAAGCAAAAGCCAAAAAAGATTCATAACCTCAGTGCAGCTCTACAATTCCAATATTAAAAAGGTTAAAAGTTTGTAACAGATGATATTGTACATAATTACTTACATTTTATAATAAATCTTTTTTTTTTGATTACCTTAATAAGCGACATTACACAAAGCTCTATCCAAATTTTTGTGTCGTTATATAATAAAACTAGATATACACACAGCCTTAGAGAAATTGTAAGAAAGTTTGTTACGTAACTCTTCTTATGTAATATTCATGACTTTATATAACATTTGCCTCGTTGAAAAACGACTCAACAAATTACTGCGAGTGCTAAGATTTTTTGTACGGTACAAATTTTTATCTGCCGAATTATACGAGTATATAAACATTCACTTTATAGTTATAAGGCTTCATTTTTGATTGCTATATCTAAACAGAAGCCTAAGCCTAAGCCTAAGCATAAGCCTAAGCAAAAGCAAAAGCCTAAGCCTAAGCCTAAGCCTAAGCCTAAGCCTAAGCCTAAGCCTAAGCCTAAGCCTAAGCCTAAGCCTAAGCCTAAGCCTAAGCCTAAGCCTAAGCCTAAGCCTAAGCCTAAGCCTAAGCCTAAGCCTCAGCCTAAGCCTAAGCCTAAGCCTCAGCCTAAGCCTAAGCCTCAGCCTCAGCCTAAGCCTAGGCTGAGCACTGCACTTTTCTTGCGGCATGTTGCGTAACTTTTCTTATGTAATATTCATGACTTTATATAACGTTTGCCTCGTTGTAAAACGACCCAACAAAATTACTGCGAGTGCTAAGATTTTTAGTACAGTACAAATTTTTATCTGCCGTATTATATGAGTATATTTAAACATGCACTTCTAGTGAAAAGACGTCATTTTTGATCACTGTATCTGAACAAAAGCCGGAGACTAAACATAAACCTAAGCCTAAACCTAAGCCTAGGCTGAGCATTGCACTTTCCTGTGCGGCATGATTTTTTATCTGCCGTACTTTACTAGTATATAAACTTGTTGCCATACGAAACAAAAGTGTAAAGAAAGTTTTTGTGTGCGTTTGTTTTCTTGAAAAAGATATCAAATTGGCCTTAAGGCCAAAGAGGAAACAAATCGGCTTTGGGCCGGTTTTTTATTTATTCTTTTAGCCAACAAGTTAAAACATTGCCCAAGGGCACAGTGCCTGCGATTTTTTAACTAATTTTTGATTCGGAACGCTGGAAAGCTAATAGTTTTTTTATTTTATCATATTGAGTCGGTAAATGAGTGTTCAAAGTAAGCTTACAAACAAAACCGTCGTATAATATATTATATTACAATCTTACTTACTACTATTGAGTTTGCCATTTAATCACTTATATAAAATTATTTAGTATTTACCGATCCTCACGTTGTAGAATGCCTTGAAGGCAAACTATTCCTGGAAAGGTTTATCGACAAAGAACCCATCGAAGTTTCTGAGAACCTACAACAACTCACGTTAAGCGCATCTGTTCCAAATGACTTCCGGAGTCGTTCGATCAAGTCATACTACCAAGAATGTGTTCGAAATTTAATTTCTGTTGCTCCAAACTTGAAATTGGTCAAAATATTGGGTGGTGTCCAATATGCTCCTAAAAATCCGGTAATTGAGGCGATTAGAATATAATATACTACACTTACATATTTAAAGCTAAAGATATCATGACGTTCTTTTATTTTTCTAGTAACAAAAATAACATGGCCAATAAAAATTTAACTCTACATTAATGTATTCCAGTCCACATCCGAGCTGCGCAACGAATTTGTGTTTGTCAAAGAAACCGTCCAAAGCATTATCTCGGCCTTTAACAACAATAACATAACATTATTCGGAAGTTCAACACTTGATGTCCATCTTCTGATCCCGAAGCAACTGGCTCACGACACCGGCTTCCCGGATAGTGCAGAATCACTATTCGGAGTCGCAAACACAAAAGAAAAATCGGTCGAAAGCCTGATAACAACGTTTGACATGGATAATGGTGCGACGTTTACAGTCGAGTTAAGTATTGTTGAAGTTGCGTTCTTCTCTACCGAGTCTCAACATACTCCTTTCTACGTACCTGAAGATTATTGATCAACATTTTAAAACTCATATTTTTTATTTTTTTTGAAACCCAATAAATACTGTGACACTTCGTCGAAAACACGTCCGTTGCAAAATTTGATCCGTTTTTCGCGATTTTTTCGTTCGACGTACTGTCTAGACGCTAATTTAATTGTCAAAGTTGGTTTTGCTGAACGAAAAGCTTCAGCATGAACTCAGTAGAGCCAGATACCAAAAAAGAATGCCGTTCAATTGGGCGGAAAGTCGAGTTTTCAGGTAAAATAATTTTTTTTGTAAAAATTGCTGGGACCGTCGCTTTAAAGTTCTGCATGTTGTTTTTGCATGCATAATAGCTAAAAATTAAAAAAACACATTTTGTATTCTTATTTTAAACGTACTTTTCATGAATTATTTAGAAAATAGTTTTTTAGGTAATATCTAGTGAAAACTGACTGTTTTTTTTAACAAATGTAATGTTTAATGATACATTTTCATATTATTGTGATTTCAGATGATGTTAAAATCCGACAAATTGAATATACGTCTGATTCGGACACTGATTCCGATCCGCCAAAGGCCAAAAGATATCGTGGTTTGAAGCGTCCGTTCGCTACGAAATCCCTTGTGGATTGCTCGAGCAGCGACGATGAAAGAGAAGAAGATGATGTTTTTGTAAAAAAGGTTGAGACTTCTGATCAAGGAACAATTACTGATCCGGTGGTATGTTTTCGGTTTTTTTTGAGTTTTAGGTAATAACCAAGTACATTTTTGTTGTAAATGTGATGGCTATAAGCAGAGTTGACACGAAATACGTTAAGCGTTTTAATCCGCCGCAACGTTTTTAAAATTTTTGTTTACAGATAATTCTTTATGGACAAGAACAACGCCCTTATATGGAGACAATGCCTATTGGAAACGGGAAGTTCTACAAAATGACCCATTTTGGACATCAGTTTACTTTAATTCTTTGCGGAAAGTATCCCATGCCTGTTACGGAGTGGTACGATTGCATTCAGGTAATCTTTTAATTATTTTAAGCTGGCTTTAGGTGCTGAGTTCTTTTTTTACAAATAGTAGTACTCTGATCTGACTCATTGCTTTAAAATTTTAGTAATTTCAAAACGAACAATAAAAACTTATTTTTAGATCAGCGAAACTTTGTCCGTCGACTCTACATTCGATCTGATTGTTAAATTATTGCCTTATCAGCGGGCCGAAACGCTCGTCTTAATCCCGAATGGCCGTTGGTTAGACCATAAGATGCCATACTACGGTCCACCAAATTCTGTCTTTGAACGATTGCAGCATCTGCGGCGACAATGCTTGGAGGTGTACCAAGGAGAAAATTACCCAACACAATTTATGGTTCTCGGCCTTCCAAGACGGCCGTATGAATCCTTCAAAGCGTTCCACGAATTCTGCAGACTTCTGGAGAACAAATATTACGATACGATGCCATTGTTCGAGACCATTAACCAAAATCAGATCCAGCTTGACTACCCGTTATACGAGATCAACGACTATTTTGCTGCCTGCGTCTTGCACAATACTATGGTTCAGATCAGAGCCAGTATAGAGCGTGTGGTGCGAGTCGATCGTTCTCTGTGCTACAAAAGTCCTTTGTCTTCAAAAAGGTTCAAAGCGGGTATTTGAATGTCTTATGGGTATTTGTTGCTTTTTCGACTTGTTTTGTAAGTTTTTTACTTATTTTGATTTTTTCTGTTGTATTTGAAAAAATATTTGGTTTTTTAATTTCAGCTAATTTTATTTCGTATTTGAATTCATTTTTGACAAACTAATGTTTAAAAGCTGGAACAAAAAATCAATAATAATTTTGAAAAAACCGTTTCTATTTATGGATTTTGTCTCTAAACCTATATTGTTTTTGATTATTTCCTTATTCAAAATAACTTTTGAATATTATATTGTTTCGAAAAATGTCTAAATTTATATCATTATTCATTGAATAGCGGGTGTTAAAATACAATGCGTACCTCCAAGGAAAATTTAATAAACTTTTAATAAAATACGACGAATTATGGTGTGGTTACCTTTCAAACAACATAATTGTTCTTACCTTACATCGAAAATTTGAAAATTAAATTTTGTTTTACATGTTAAACACCAGAACAAAGGAGAAACGAGACCAATTCGTGTGTAGGTGGTGTGAATGTACCCGTGTTGAGTTAGTGAATATACAACGGATGGGGTTATGGAAGATTGATTAATGTGCAAAACAATTCAATCGAATGCTAATTACCACTTCGGTCAAAAATATAAGAAAGTAACAAAATAAGAAACGTTTTTAAAAATACCAAAAATCACTTCTACGAATGAAAATTAGTGTACTGCAAGAAAAATAACTTACAATTGACAGGATTTGAAGAAATAGAAAGAAAACATACAAATCATTAACTACAATTACAACGTTGGAATGGGGATCAGAGAAATTTGACCTTATAAAGGTTAAACGAAAGTTTTAGTAAAAACTCAAACCTAAACTAAAACCGTACTAACAAGACACAACAAATCCGTCTTCTTTAGTATCAGTAAACCAAAATTACATTTTATCAGTACCACAAACCCAAGTAATACTATTTAGTTTTTAAGCCGAAGACAAGGCTGTGTCTTTGAAGCCTTTCTCCAATGGTCGTGGAGTGTCAGTGAGTTCAGTGTGTTGTTGGGTGATGAGTATGATGGGATTGTCAATGTTTCGGGCCTCGATACCAGCGTCGCAGAGTGTCATATCGTTCAACAGTTCGGTCTCCTTCCAATACAGTAGCTGGTCCGCTGGAGTTTGGTTGGTTCTTTTGTACAGTTCGAGCTTTAATTTTTTTATCGTGTCCACGGAGCGCATCTGAAATCACAAAATAATTGTGCAATTGATCAAAGAACGTGGTTTTGCAGCTCATTAAATTTTTTTTAAAAGTTAGAAAAAAAGAGGTTGCTTATTTCTGCATAAAACGCCATACAAAAACATACCTTTATTTTGACCAAATTTTTGTTGGCGCCTCGTCTGGTAAGCGTGCCACTTCGATTCGACCGTTGCTGATCGTCTTCTTCATCTTGTTTCTAAAATAAATTAAATCATCTATTAAAAAACCATAGCTTTTTGTGTTACGCTTGTTCTAATCCCGACCTAGATATAAAGTAACTACTGTTAACAAATCTTTAATATCTAGCATAGTCTAAAACCAAAATTTTCAAAAATTCCTTACCAATTTTACGTAGACATCTGCTCCCATTGGATACGTGCATTTCTGTAAACGGATCATTTCAATTGCTTTTGTGCTGCACTCATCACAAAACTCTGTGAAATCTCCATTCTCTAACCGTATTTCTTTGGGCTCGGCGTTACCGTATTTCTCTACTGTCGCCTTTATCGTATTCCATTCCTCCTTCGTGATTGGTACGCCAGTGACCACTGGTGGAAAATCGGTGGAGCTCGACGGTAACGTCACATTGTATGAACGGAGTGTTCTTTGACCTGATATTTCGCACAAAACTTCGTCCATGAGATCCGGGTCGTGGTTATCGTGATTACGGAAGAAAGGCTTCTGGTGTTCTTTGCACAGTAAACATTTTTGGCACATTTCTGGCAGAATTTGTGGATTTTTTGCCCTGAAATTTGTCATATGATTACTAGTTGAAAAATGCGCAAATATATTGAGAAATCGTTAAAAACTTTAAGGATATTTTTCGTTAAAACTCACTTTGCCATAGCTTTAAGATGATGAATATATTTGGCGCATAATACCCGTTCGTATGTGGGATTAACGTCGATGAGTGTCCGTTTCTCCGCGTTACTGAACACTTTCCTCAGCGATGTTGTTATCGAGTTGATTTGTGATTGGATTTGGTTTCGGCGTTGAGAAGCTTCCTAAATTTTGTATTCAAAAGCTCCAGGTCAGTAACCTTTATAAACTTAATTTTATTCATTTTTAAATTAATCTTTACCTCCTGCTGAGTACAACAGTTGACACATTCTTCTTGGTCTACGGGAATGTGTCTCGATTCGGAAAAGTTGCTTTGTACCAGTAGATCCCATTCTTCTTGGTACATCCATGTCATTCTTTGTCGCTTAAACTGATTATGAGGACAAATCAAGTCGTCGTTGAAAACGACAGGCTTAACCGGGGTTCTGATGACTTCCCCGATAACTTCAATCTCCGGGTCGTCTGGGTCCTCAGGTTTGGTTGGGGGACTGAATTCTTCGTCCGATACCGAAGTTTTTCGGCCTTCTGATGTTTCGTGCGAGTTTCTGTCCATGTCCTGAGCCGGTTTTATGTTTTCCGCTGTCTCTGAACATATTTATATTAACAAAATCAATTTTTAAAATTATTAAAAATAAAAAACTGTTAAATGCTCATCGAATTTCAAAAACCTACCATCAAATTCTGACTTCTTAGATTCAAAAGACAACTTCTCTCCAACTGACTCTCGGTCTGTCAAGCCGCAAGGTCTGTTTTCTTCACATCTTCCGTTAGAATCTAATAAGTCTTCACGTTTTACAATCTCCTCTACTTCTTGAGAATTTTCCATAAATTCTTCTGGAACCATTCCATTTTTAGCTAGATCTAAATTGTTTTTAAACGTGTTTTTTCCACCTTCCGCATCTTTATTTTTCTCCTTCAGGGCGTTTCCGTTACATTTTTCCAATTTCAAGCCACTGTTCCCATTCCCACATATATTCTCGCATTCACTGTGTTCTTCCTCATCATGATTTTCCATTTTTATCTCATCATGATTTTCCATTTTTATTTCGTTTTTCAGTTCACCTGAATTTCCTACTCCATTTTTAGACAAGACAGGGTTGTTTTTGTCTCTTTCTATATCAACTTGCATGTCCTCATGAGTTAAATCTTGTTGAGTTTCTTTGTTTTCTTGTGGCTTCATTGGTTCATCTGTCTCCTTTTCATTTCCATTTGGAATATCGTCGATCTCCACATCTTCTGGAAAGTCGGTTTTCGTGTCCACACTTGAAATGCTAGCTAAAAAATGATTGCAAAATTTTTAATCTTTCAAACAATGCCAAACTGGCCTAAACAGTCAAAAATACTTTAACAATGTTTACCTTTTTCCATCTGCGTGCTGGGAATCTCCTCATCTGTATTATACCTCCGTTTCTTCTTGACCGGCTCGCTATTTTCAACGTGATCCACCTTAAAAATCAGGTCTACCGTTTCCTTTGGCGCTAGCGACTTTTGATAGTTCATTTCTTGGACTACCAACTTTCTGTAGCTTTGCAGCTGCTTCTTGGACACGTAACAACTGCCTGGAGGTGGGGGTTGGTTCACTCGGGCTAAGATTTGGTTCACAAGTTCGATATTTGATTCGACGGATTCTTTCCAGCTATATTCCTTCCGCATCAAAGTGATACATGGAATACAAAGGTCGGCTCTGTAAAAAGTTTTGTTCAAAATGGCTCTATAAAAACGTCATTATGTGTTGAAACCTGTGACACTAACTTACCCAGTCAATAACCCATGCTCGTCCATCCCAAATGTTCGGCCGTCGCTTGGTTTAACGCAAATATTGTATGCTTGCAACATTCGCACAGCCGGTTCTTTGTTCACTGCTTTCACCTCGCCTTTTAAGACCGAATCTACTGAAATTCGACCATGTGGACAAACAGGCATTCGGATATCATTTAACTGTTCAGTGATGTACAACATTTTGATTGTTTCCTCGTCTGACAACGATGCATTACTGTTGGTTCGTATTCGCTCTCGTTTTATAGCCGCTGTTTTTTCTTCAGCTAATTGCTCGGCAATCTCCTAAAAAATTATTTTCTAAACTATTTTTTCAAACTAACAACATTGTTTTAATAAGCCACTTGTCTAAATCCCAACTACAACATATATTATTATATTAACTTACCTGAAATCGTTCATCAAACTGTTCGTCCTCCGTTTCGTCCATGCTAGTGTCTCCAATCACTTTGATAGCTTCATTGATAATGTCGGCATCGCTGGGTGATGGCAACTTTTCGATTCCATTCTTGATCAAAAATTGATTTTCGACCAGTTGTGCCAAATCCTTCATGTTCTCTATAGACTTGAACTCTTTGGCGTGAATTTCTGATAAGAGTGCGGTAGGTAGGAAGACTACAGATGATGGTCGCTTCCGTACTACGTCACCGTTTTCTACCTAAAATTTCAAGTTCGATTATAACTTTTTATCGACTGTGGCCTAAATACTTTTCCGTCAAAATTTAGATTTGAAACGCTAATTTTAAGAAAAAATATAACAAAATCTTTAAAAAATTGAAAAATTTGTTAATGAGAAAAATTACCTCCATCGATACCCATAAGCGTTCCAAAAACTCGTGTTTTTCGTTGATGCACTTCTGCCAAAGTTCGTACGAACGATCACCGTCCCGGCTTTCCTTTTGAAACGTGTCATTTAACTAAAGCAATAAAAGATATTCAATTTTGCACCACTTTTATCATTTTAAAACTCCGCAAATCAAACCCTTTAAATAATAAAAAAAATTTTGACAACCATACCCCTCCCCTCTCGAAAAAAAGGTGAAATTCTAGTAAAACCAACATACCTTCGTCTGAACACGATCAAAAATTTCGGCATCTGGCAATTCCAGGTCGTCTACTGTTTTGGGAACGTTATCCGAATCCAAGTTAAGCAATGTTTCGTCTTCGACACGATAAATCAGAGCGTAGCACCCTTTCATATCCGTCGTTCCTTTGCTAGCCAAGCCTTTTTCCGGATTTACACCCGGTGTTTTTGTTATCGAAACCTCCTGAAATCCAAAGAATTTTTTAAAACTCTTAAAATCTGCATATTTTCGGCAAACAAAATTTGTCACAAATGTTACTCTGACAATATTCAAATACGAAATTCCCTCTAAAACTAACCTTGTCATTGTAAATAAACCATTTATCCGTATTCGGATCTTTGATAAGATCGTAATAATGTCCACAATTGGCCGATGTTCCTTCGTGTATCATAACAGCAGTCAAATCGTATTTTATCGAGGGTTCCTCTGAATCGTACCTCAAGTCCGCACTGTAAAGTTCTCTTGGATACTGTACGGGCGTCATAATCTTCTTGTTGCGGCCGTACCTAAAAAACATGTTTTATTTTGCACTAATAAAAATAAAAAAATTTTAAAATTTTTTAAAATTTTGCTAAATTTAAAAAATATTTACTTAAAAAAATGCAACTCACTGATCATAAGTGTAGCGATTCAATTGTAATAACAAAACCGGTGGAAGTTTAACGGTTTCATTAGATCGACTCGTATTTCCACTTTTCCCGCATCCAGAGCACTTGTAGTCACTTAACTCCTCAGGCGTGTAGTACCCATCTAAAGCCTTAGCTAATGTGTTACATCCATCGATTGTCAAAGTCAAAGACATAAACATGTCTTCTTTGATGCTTCTGTTTCCACACGAACATGAAATAATTTGTCGATTTTTGCCTTCGTAACGACTTCTTATGGCTTTTCGTACAGCTTCGCCATTTGGATGAGTTTGAAGATGTCGATCCAAGGCATCGAAAAACAATATTGTAAATTCTTGAACATCGTGTTGTTCATTGTCCAACTTTAGAAGACTAATAAATTCCAAAGCATTAGTGAATTCCTAAAATTTGACAACTACACTTCTTTATATTTTACCCTTAAATTTAAATCCAAAAATTCACGCTCAATGTAAAAAACTTAAACTTAATTTCCAGGATTTTGCCTTTTTCAATACCTAAAATTTAAATTTAAAACAAGATACTTACATATGGAGTTATCTGCATGGTTAAAAACAACTCTTGTAAACAGTTCATAACTGCTTGAATATCTAATTTTGTCCCTTCTACAAGACTCCATTCTGGATCCGACTTCCATTTGTAGACAATCTGTCTAAAGGATAAATCATTGAACCATATCTAAAACAAAATTGGAATGTAAAACCCCAAATTAAATTAACACATCTATTTAAAACAACCAAATATCTTTTAAAAACTACTTTCATGCTAATATTTACCTGTAAGAAGCTATTTACATAGCAAAAATTGCCAAAGTTTGAAAGCCCACACGGTTGTTGTTTTACATCCCGTTTGGTCATTTGAGGAGCTTGTTGATCAACAGTACCACGTTTAAACTTCTCCCATTTTTCATTTCCAACTCTGTGTATACAATATGGGTTCATGCGGCAGTTTTTAACTCTAAAATAGAGAAGTTAATATTACAACACAGTTTATATATCATACTAAAGCAGTTTTTCTATCAAATCAAAATTTATAACCCCAAAAAATCAAATTGATACCTAAAAACCAAAAAACGCCCAAATTTAATACCTAAAATAAAAAAATACAAAACAAAAGTTACTTACTTTGGACTTGGAACGCAGTGTTGATCACATTTTGCATTTAAAAGTCCGTAAATCTTTAAACAAGACTCAAAGTCCAGCTCCCTGGGTAAATTTCTTAAATCATGACCAATTTGATCCTTGTTGTCCTAAACATCAAAGATAAATACTAAAATAATACAACTTACTTTGTTTTTAGTTTTTCTTTGCTTCTTATAACCCGTTGGCAGCTTACCCATCACCAAACATATACTGATCACACAGGTCGCTGAAAAATGATCAAATATACATTATGGTCTCAAAAGCAGACGTCAGATTGTAAAACAACACAATTTTGAATAATACATGCAAAATGACATAAAAGACATTAAAAACGTTTAAAAAAATAAATAAAAGCGATTTATAGCAACATTTTAAGCCAAATACGTCATAAATACGATCTGAACTGTAAAACAACGTATTTTTACAAAACCTAACAAAAAACCAAATCTTTATAAACCCTGTTTCTAATGGTTTATATTTAAAAAAGCAATTCACAATATTCCCAAAGAAAAAAACAAACACAGAACACAAATTTTGTTATTTATGTATAAACCAAATTTCAATCAAATCTCAAAAATAAGATAAAATTAAGTAAAATAATATATACATCAGAAGCTCGTTGCCAATAAGCCTCTTTTTCGATATTTTACATAACATTGGCCACCAGTTAGAATTTGGAGGGAATAAAACGTCTTTCAAATCCAAAAAACGCGAGAAAAATAAAAGATTGGCGAAACGTTTGGAAAACCAGTCATTATGACGCGGGTTTTTGGTCGAAATAAAGGCCATAAACTAATATCTGTAGAAGGGATAAAGTAATTTTAAATATCCTTAATGCTCTTTGTGCTTATTGATTATTCCCTTGTAATATTGTACCAAAATCAACAATTTTGACGAAAATCTAGAAAAAGCGTCATTCAATAACAAGCAAATATGAAAAAAAGTCAGGAAAACTATGTTCTGGGCAAGGGACAAGTTAACTGAAAGGACTTGTTGAAGCTTTTGTATAGTCTTTTCAAAAAGTTTACTCCTAAGTGAGATTTGATAAGCCTGAAGATTTTAAAGCCTATTGAAAATTAAATGGGTACATTTAAAAATGCAAGAAGAAGATTAAGCGAAAGTTTGAACTGTAAATGAAATAATTATTTCGTTTTGTTTTCTCGTCGGTTCATCTTAGGTTCATTTATTATACATTTTAGTAAAACAATTTTAAGATTTTTTACTTTATAGACGTAACATTATTGTAAATGAATGTCTGCTATATATATGGAGAACCGTATGTGCCTGTCGTAGTACTGTACAATATATTTAGTAATTGCGCCATCAGCTAGCTCTTCGTTGTTTTGCCTCAGGGGGAGAGGATGAAGTGGGCTGATCGTTAGCGTGGCGGCGATGTGAAGGACCGGGTCTTGATGCAATGTCATCTTTGGACTAAAGTCAGTAAATTTAAAATTTAAAGTGGCAATTACTTTTCAAAAAGTTACGAAAATTACCGTTGACGGTTGTATTTTGCGATTCCAATTGTTTATCAGAGCGGTTAAAATGGCATCATCGCGTTCGTTGACAATTTTTCTTTCACGTGACGTGACTGGCGTATTCCACACCCGAATGTAACGAGTCTTCTAAAGGGTTAAAAAATAACAAAATTACGAAAAAATGCCGGGAAATTATAAGTATTATTGGTCAGAAAGTTCATGAAAACCCATCTAGACTCAGTAGAGGTAGACTAGACTTACCTTTCTACAGTTTGGGTCAAAATTACTGAATGCATTTGTACTACACGGCATATTTTTCAATAACTCTTTGTCGAATTCTGGCTGATCCATCTGTAAACCAGTGATTGTACTGACTATTAAAACTCCATTGCTAATGGTATAAGCTAACGTTCAGTAAGTAAGCATAAAAAGTACGAAAACAATACCTTTAATGTCTCTTTGGCTTATCAAAACATAACACTACGCTAATCAAATGACTTAAAAATGGTACGTTCGTGGGTTTCTGACCACAAGTAACAATAAAGAATTAACAAAAAATAAAGTTTATTGTGATTATACAAAAAATGCATAAAATAAAAATTAATAATAACTTTTGGTTCTACAAGTCGTCAATGTCATTGAGAAGCACTTTTTCACCAGGTTTGAATGGCGGAAGACCTTTGTAAGGACAGCTGGAACATCTGAACGCGTCTCCTAGTGCACACTAAATAAAATTTTTAGATTTTTAAAATTATAAGTAATATGAAAGGTTTTCGTGAAGTTTTGTAGAAAAAAATATTATAAAAATTTACATAAATATTAAAATAAAAACGCTTACATTTCCACAACTACTTTTAATATTACCACTCGCAGCAGCTTCTTCCGCTTCTTGTTCCGCCAATCCACAGGTACAATTCTTACAAGCCCTCTTCTTTTTGTCTGTGGGATTTGGGGTGCACATGGGATTGTTGGGTTTCTTCAAGTCTTCAGAAGTCAGGAGATCGTCCTCTTCCAAAGCGTCACCTTGCAAATTGTCCAAATCAATCTTCTTCTTCGACTTTAACTTCAAGGGCTGTGATTTAACGCTGAAATTGGCCTTTCGTGCTTTTGCCAAAGTTAATCCGCTCTTTTCGTCCACATTTATGTCATCAAATCCTGAGAATTCGAGATCCTTTTTGATCGTGCTCTTCCCACCCTCCTTCTCGATGACGAACAATTGGCCGCGAGGCTTCAGAAGTTGAAGAGCGTGACCAAGGTCGAATGAATCGGCGGTTTCACACACAATCACTAAAATATCGTACTCCTCATCCTGTAGATTCTGTAGAGACTTCAGAGTTGTGACTTCTAAGGAATTCTGAGAGAACTCTGCTTCCACTGGCTGGATCAATTCTGAAAAAATGAATGTAAATAAATATTGCTAAAATAATTGATTTAAAGGTTATATTAAAAAACATAGAAGTTCAAACTGAAGAAATAAATTATGAAATCTTACCTTTATCAGGTGTTTTGTCTAATAAAACCGTCTTTAAGCCATTAGTATTGTCAAGGCTGCTGAGGTCGAAAAATGATTTCATTCTAAAAATATATGTTATACAATAAATTTAAAGTTATTTTTAAACATGTTAAAACATATAAATTGTACCTTCTATTACGTTTAAAGCCTAGTTTTAGCGTAAACGTAATTTCATTAAAATTCAGAATTAAAAATACAACGAATTACAAATATAGAGTTGAATCAAACAAAAAACTGTAAAGCTACGTCGATATATCACAGAGTTTATTAACAGCTAAATTCTTTAAAAATATAAAAAATCGTCATTTTTATCAATTTCAAACGTTATAATCTTTAAAAATATAAATAAACAAAGTCTGTACATCACAATAGAATATAAAATCACATAACGAAATTTGGCCAAGAAATGCGAATATATAGACAAAAGCAAAGTCAAGAAGACAAAAATTAATCATTAGTAATCCAGAAATGCTAAAAATTTTATGATCTTTTCAGATTTTTACTAAAAACTTTCTAATTTGGTGGAAAATCAATTAAAAAGCATTAAAATTTGTCCAAAATTATGCATTAAAAGACTAAAATAATTATAAACCAGGTTTTTGCACATCCTTAAAAAGACCTCCATCTTGTTCGCTGTTTGTTTGCTCCTGCACACGAACTCTGGCACCTGGTTGAGCTTGGGGCGGTATTAAAACGGCATCAGCGGAAGGGTTTTGAGCAGAATCCAGAACTTGAGCTTGCACAGGTTTAGCGACTTCTTGGGGCTTCGGAGCGACGTTTTCCATAGCGTTTTGAATTGGTTTAAGAGAATTGGCATTGTTGATTATATTCTGTGCTTGACCGTTGCTCATGACTCCTCCATTCAAATTTTCGACCGGTCGCAGAACGACATTGATGTTTTCATTGAACTTAGTGGTTGTAACTTGACCAACAGCACGACTTGATTGTCCATTAAGAACATTAACAGAACTAGCTTGTCTATTGACATCATTAACAGAACTGAGTCGACCAATAGTACCAGCTTGACCATTCAATGATGACGAGGTAGCATCCAGACTTTTAGCTTGCCCATTATCAGTATTTAAAACAGGGTTAGCTTCGTTCTTCTGCAGTTTCTGTATTAACTCGTCCTTCAGGATCAAATCTCGTCTTAATAGGTCAATCGTTTCATTTTGTTTCGTCAAAATGGCTTCTTGATTTACGCCCACGGTCTTCATTGCTGCCATTTTTGATGTCATTTCATCCTCAATTGCTTTCTTTTCGATTTGTAATTCAGAATTTTGTTTCGTCAACGCTTCTACTTTTGTACGATCCGCAGATTTCTGGGTTGTACAACCTAAAAATATTAAGTTATAGTAATAATTATAATATGAGTTTTTACTGAATAACAAAGGCAAACAACCTAAATTACTTCTATTAACATCTTTATGATGTCTCGAGCGTGTTATTAAAAGCAAAAAAAAATATAAAAATAACTTACTTTCCAATTCTGAAGTCTTTTGTTTGATTTCCACATTGCAGGCAGTCAACTTGTTGTTTGAGCCTTCTAATTGACTATTTACATCTGAAAATACTCTTTTAATCTTCAAATTCACATAAGTAAAAAAAATCAATGCAATTTTTATAAATATTATATTATTAGACTTACTGAGCAAATCACTTTTGAGTTTTGAAATCTGATCGTTTAGGTAATGAACTTCGTCCCGTAGTGCAGTCAAATCACTTGAAGCAGATAGGTATAAGAAGAAGACAGAGAACAATACAACCAAAATCAATAAAACGCCAAAGAAAAATATATTTCGTGGTGGTGCCGATCTGTAAACATCTTATTAATTTTCTTGTCCAACATAACAGATTATGAAATTTTTGACTAAAATAAAATTTATAAAGCCATTATTCAATTCATTATCTAAAACTCAAAAAGAAAACTAAAAAACCTACCTTCCACCCATGCGACGATAACCGGAAGACGACGAGTCCATCATTTGACCTTCGACGTCTTCCCCACCAGATATCTTTGGCCAATAAATGTTGAAAGCTAAAAAATCAATAAAGATTAATTAAAACACATTAAAGCAACTGTTTACAACCACGGACACTTCAAAACGCAAGCTTTAAATGGGTCACATAACCAGGACGGGTGTATTTTCATTTTGTTGTAGACAATAAACGTAAAAAGAAAAACTGATTTATTACGCAGGCTGCGTCCTGGTTATGTTATACGATAAAACTAACTGGTCATTCTGCACCCGCTAAACAACTAGAAATTGCCATTCTCTCAATAAAAAATGTAGTATATTGATCTACGTCGGTAGTGAGAAAAATATTATACAGTGAAGCTCATGTATAACAAATTGCTCAGGAGTTCAAAATTTCGTTTTGAGATAGCTTCGTGATGTTTTAAATGTGCGCTGTGTAACGGTAGGGAGGAATTTTAATGTTTTTCGTTATACTGAAGTTTCGTTATAGAAAAATAAATTATACCAGAGTCCCAATGTATAATAAAAAAGTGAATATTTTGTCTTACTTCGGTACAGAGTTACATGGCTATCAGTGTTTAGCTTCTCTGCGTATCATTTGACTTCGATGTCCACACCAAAAGTTCCTGTTTTGTTGAATTTAAAAAAGATTCTAAAAATTTATGAATCAAGGAATACTACCAATCAAAACAGCAAAGGTCTTCAAGCTGAAGCTGGCAACTTTAGTCCTGCATCTTAAGTTGGCTGTTCCTACGCCATCAACTTACATAGCATTTTTTAACTTTTAAATACAGTGGAATTCGGAACTCCTGTATAACGAAGTCCTCTATAACTAAAATCCAGTATAATGAACAACTTTTGAATCTCCGTCTACCACTACACAGTGCATTTAAAACTCCTGTATAACGAAACTTCTTTGTAACGAAAAAATTTCAAGTTCTCGAGCAATTCGTTATGCAGCAGTTCCACTGTATCTACTTTATACAACATAAATTTATAAAAAATGTTTTTAAAAATCTGCTGTATGCTAGTCTAATATATAATAGTAAATAATTTTTTTCACGTTTTTAATTTTTTTTTATTTTTCAGACTCACTGAAATCCATAAAAGTTTTTTTCTCCCGGTAACTCCCGTTAAACAATGCCATTTTTGTTAATCGTTTAATCAAACAGTCGATTTCCGTTTTGAACAAGTGTTTATTTTTGCGCCAAACCGTAATTCAGTGGTTTCTCAGGAATAATTGACTGATTCGTATCGAATCAGCTTTGAAATCCGATCGGTGTAGACATACCTGTCGCTAATGGCTTCATACTGTAGTTGGTTTTTTAATTTTTTTATAATATTTTAAAACTGTGTTTATTTATGTCAAGTAAGAGATAAAAAGGGTAATATTTTAATTTTTGTGCAATAGCTATAAAAAAAATTTAAAAAATTTTTTTAAAATAAATTTTGTTTTAAAAAACCAAGAAAACTTGATAAGTAACCTTGTATTTCAAACGAATAGCAAAAACTTTCTTTCCAACCTCCGGTTTTTCCTCCGCTAATCAGATAAGTCTACCGTAATCTAATTAGTGATAAAGTCGAGCAAAACTCAGCTTAATTAGTTCATTCAAGGTTAATCAAGGTCATCAATGCATTGTTTACCACAATATTATTGTCCAGGTACTGTATTTTAAAAGGGGTGTTGTATGTTACGTTAGGTTTTTAATGTTTTTAGGCTTGTAAAGAGCTTTTAATAAAGAAAGAACTTTTAGGCTTATGATTTTATTTTTAAGCTTTATAACTAATAAAAGCTGTCCTAGGCTTATTATGGTTTTTTAACAAATTTTTAGACATTTAGGCTTATCAGTACAAATTTAAGTTTATAAATGAACTCTAGGCTTATAAACAAAAATTTTAAAGCGCAACTCGATTTCCATGACTTGCGTATTATCATTGTCCTCATACGACGTAATAATACGATTATGCCACTTAGTCATATTAACCTACTACCCCGGTGTCATGCTTGGGGAAATTAATGGCACCAACATTATATGCAACAATGTAAAAGTTAAACAACATGTAATAAAAAGGTCAGGTCTATGACAATATTTGTAAATAGTTACAATACGCTGTGGACAGGGCCGAGTGCTGATGGAGGGGGGGGGGAGGTGAACAGGGGGGGGGGACCCCTAGAAAAAAAAATTTAGGAATTTAAACGTGGCCTCCCACCCCTTTGTGGATCGGATTTTTTGGAAAAAATTTTTTCGACCTCCGCCCCCAGACCAAGAGTCCCCGCCCGGCCCTGGCTGTGGATTCTTCGATGTATATTTTAAAACGTGGCATTTCAGGTCTAATAAGTTTAAATTTCACTGTATGTTATATATGGCTCTTATGACAAATAGATTCTTTTTATAATCAGTCCTTTAAGCCTAACTTTTTACAATATTTTAATATTTTTTTTAAATGTTAAAAATTATTTTTAAAATTGATATAACCACAAGTAGCTTGTCACAATATGCAAATTAAGAAACAATAATTTCTCCTGTTACTTAATGTTTGTTTCCGTTCGCATTAGCCTCAAAGAACACGACAACGGTGGATTACTCAAAGCTATGAAGGTGGGAAAACATTCCCTCAACTACCGGATCTGCGCAACAATGCTGGGAAGGGTTGACAACGTGCGTACAAGTCTTGATTTTAAACCAACTGAGTCGTGTTAATGATGATGTACATATTATATAGTTTAGGTTTAGACTTATCTTTTTTGCATACTTACTCTCAATATGCTTAAAGCTTTACATTATTTCCATCGTTTAGATTTTATAGGCATATTAGGCGATAATATGCGTCTTTTAGGCTTTGGCTTTTTGGCTTTAATTAAATTAAGGCTTAAAAGTACATTAGGCCTAGGACTGTTTGAACTTTATTTGATATTTTTTATTGCCTTTTAGGGCTTAACTACGCGTTTCATGCATAAAAAATACGTTTTATGCTTAAATTTTATGATTTTAGCTGCTTTAGGCTTAAGCTTTATTATTACTTTATGATTTTAGCTGATTACGTTTTAGGCTTAAGCTTTATGATTTTACTTTAACGATCAATAGCGTTTGTTAAACTTAAGCTACCGCTATTTACATATATATTGCGTAAAATTTGAATTTGAAGCCTAAAAATTATCCAAGCCTATGTTTCATGCCAATTCTGCTTAGTAATTTGAATTTTACTCAAACGAAACACTTTCGAATCACTGTCTTAAAAATGAGTTGCCTCTCCTCGCGAATATTATAATTGTTTTGCATAAAAATTACCGCATTTCGGCTACTTAACTTGGGAAATGGGCGCCAATCGAAGATACCATCTTGTTAGGCCTAATCGACTGGCCAAATTTGGTTTTCAAAACATTTTTGAGTTTGTTTTGTCATTTACGGCATATGTTTTTGATAGTTTAAATTTATAATTTACTTTTAAGCCTAAAAGTTATTTTAAGCCTAAACTTTATTACTTTACTTTACTTAAGCCTAAAATTTTTAAAGCCAAAAATTTGTTGTCATGAAAAAAATAATTTTTATGATTAAACTTGTAGAAGCCTACACTTCATTTTTAAGCCTAATTTAAACATTTTTAAAGTTTTAAACTTAAAATTTACTTTTGAAGCCCAAGCCAATCAGATCTGATCAAAATTTTTTAATCGAATCAAATTCCCTGAGGCGTCAAGATAATTGTAACTGGTTTTATTGGTATACTGCCTTCTTCACACATTTCTACATCGCCTCGCCTATACGGTAATCAAATCCCGAGATTGAGATGCGAAAAATAGGCGGAGATTCGGCCAGAAGGGAGCGGCGTTCACTGGTTGGTTGTCACCTCGAAACGGAAGCCACACCCACTTTCAGGGGGCCTCGAACGGACTGACTCGCCCGGGGGTTGGGATTTGGGCAAAGCCATGAAAAACCGTTCTTTATCGATTCCTTCATCTGATTAAATTTTGTTTAATATTGAAATTTTGACTTTTATGGGTTATGAAATTTTGAAAGTAATGTTTTGAGTTTTTGCAATTTTTGAATTTATTTTCATTTTAAGGCTTATTATTTACGTTTAATCAAAATAAGAACCTTAGTATTTTTTGTTTTTTTTTATTTTTTAAATTTTTATTAGAAAAAAAATTGAAAAAGTTTAAAATTAGCCTGTTAATAACCAAAAAAATTAATGTTTTGTGAACATATTGTAACTTTTTTCATATACTAACAAAACTTTGTATTTTACTTTGTTTTTAGCGATGAGTACGCTCAGTGCCAATTTATGGCTGGAGAACGGGCATTGCGACGACTCGGGCGTGTGCAGCGACAAGAATTCACCACCCCGCTACACGAACTCATACGAAATAGGTGGAAGTAAGTGTTTTACATTCTGCTTTATTAGAAACCGGTTTAAGATTGTAGTGTAATGCGATTTTAAGCGGCTAAATTCGCTGTTATTCCGAGTTTTTGGCCTCTTTTTTGAATATAAACGGCTTCAAATTAATATTTCCAAAATGAAAAGTTTTGTAGTTTTGTCGTCATTAGGCTTAAAGTGTTTTTAATTTATTGGGTAATTAGTTTTTTTTAATTTTTTTGGCCTTGTTTTAAGAGTTTAAGTCTAAACGTTTTTTAATACTAAAATTGATTTTTTAACCTTAAAAGCCATCCTAAGCCTAAATTTATTCTTAAGCCTAAAAGTATTTTTTATTTTACTTCTTTTCGCCAAAACAATTTTTCGTATTTTAACGACTTGTTACTTAATTTCTCGACGAGTACGACCCATTAGTTTTTGACATAATGTCCTAATTAGGGATTTTTCGCATAACCAGTGTGTTTTACACAAAACGTTGCCAGAGGCTACAAAATGCGTTAATTTTTAAAAAAATAAAACAAAATTTCAAAAAAACAACAAATGAAATGTATGTTCGACTATCTTATGAACAATGTAATGTAATCTTGAAGTTTTAAAAATTGTAGTTTTGACGTTTTTTTAATTTTGGTTTTTTATTTTTTTGGCAAAGTTAAGGAGATTAGGTTAGGCTTTGGGATTGAATAGTTTTGGATTTAAAAAATGTTTTTAATGGGGGGGGGGGGTTGTATTTTTTTCAAGCAATCTTTATGACAATCATAGTCTTATCTACCCCAAATCTGTAAAAAATATAAAAAAACTCAGCCACAACCACACGATTCGAGATCAGAAGCCTCGAGGCCGCGTATCTTGCGAAACCGAGAATTTTGTTCGAATTTTGACGTAAGCGATAAGACGGGCCCTCGGCCTTATCGGCCCCGCTATTTTTGCACACAGCTTATCAGCGCGAAACTCCTGGAATTCCAATCTTATCAAGGGCGAGAAGAAGCACAGCGATCTGACCATTCCCCTCCCTCGCCGCCTTTTCGAAACATTTTCCGCTTTTCAACACGGTTTTTGGTGGGGCTGGGCCGGGCTATTTTGGGGTATTTTGGGCATAGTAGGGTGTTTTTTGGGTGGTTTTTAAAATTGCTGTGTTTTGGAACATACAATTTGATTTAGTGGTTTTTTTTGGCATAGGGGGGGGGGAGGTTTTGATTAAAATATCTGACATTGGTACGTCTAAATTTTTAAATTTTGGCTGAAAATTGAAAAATTAAGCTTTAAATTTGATGCTGGATGTAACATATTGCGTTTATGTTACAAATTTTAGTCTTACTTTTGAATATTAGGCTCTGAACGTAAATTTAGGCTTAAGACATTTTACGCTTAAAAGTTGACTAGTAGGTTTAAAATCTATGTTTAAGCTTAGAACCAAATTTACAAAATTTATTTAAATTTTAGGCTTTTTTAAATTATTTTAAAGCCTAAGGGTATATTTCAAGCTTTTAAATAAATTTTTAAAGCAAAAAAATTAAATTATTATTTGCCGACATAAAGAAACCGCCATTTTTTACAAGAAATTATAGGAAAAGTATGGCGGGTTCTTTATGTCGGCACCTAAAAATTAGGCACAAAAGTAACTTTTAGGTTTATATTGTTACCTAATTGTGATCTTTCAATCGTTTTTTCTTTTTTTAAACTATTTTTAATATTGTTTTCATAATTTGATCTATTTTCAGAAACCGAGCCTATGACGGCGCTGTGTGCGTTTTGCAATAAAAGTACGTTTTTCGCAAAGTTTTGCACTGATAAAAAGTTTATTGACATTTGGTTGAGTCTAGACTATGATTTGTTGTTTTTTCAGTTATCTCCGACCGGTATATTTTGCGAATCGAGCCCAACATCGAATTTCACATCAACTGTTTGAAGGTGGGTTTGGGCTTTGTTGGCTTAGCTTGTTAGGCTTAAAAGTAGGGTTATTCTGGAATAAGCAGGTTCAAGGGTAGGGTAGGGTAGGGTAGAGTAGGGTAGGGTAGGGTAGGGTAGGGTAGGGTAGGGTAGGGTAGGGTAGGGTAGGGTAGGGTAGGGTTGGGTAAAGTAGAGTAAAGTAGTGTAAAGACCGTAGTGATATAGTACTAATTTTAATCTTACAGTACTTTAAACCATTTCGTATAAAAATACCGTGGTTTTGTTAAAATTTTACAATTTTCCGGTTGTTTTTGGCCCGTTTTGACCCTCTGGAAAAACAATAAATAAACAATAAATTTGTGGTAGAGCCAAGTCATTCGACCGGAAATCCCGTTTCGAATCAGGCACGGTTCGGCGTTCGATAAAATTGCCCTGCCGTCTATGATTTTGCGTTTTATTTTCGTGCTAGGAAGGGATTTTGTTTACAGCATTTTTTACTAAATTCAAAAAAAATTATTTTTTGCAAAAACTTTCATTACAAAATTATTTTTGTGAACCGCAAGAACTTTCTTTACAAACTTGTTTTTATAACCGCAAGAAACTTTCTTTACAAGATTGTTTTATAAACTGCAAAAACTTTCTTTACAACGTTGTTTTTGTAAACCGCAAGAACTTTCTTTACAAAATAATCTTTTAATTTAGTGTTGTGAAGGTTTATATAATATAATAATATTGTAAATTTGCAGTGCGTGGAATGCCAACGCTCCTTGGACGAGAATTGCTCAGTGTTTGTACGAAACGGAAGGACGTACTGTCGCGATGACTATGTTAGGTAGGTTTACCTTAACTTTTTTGACATTTTTTGCTGATTTACTAGCCTAAACTTTAGTTTTTCATTCCTCCCTTCAGTAACTTACCTTTTCACCCCTACCAAAACACGTTTCTCTTTACTCTCTTAAAATTACCCACTATTTCCTACCTCTTTCTCTTCTGTTCTCAAAAACCCATGCTATTTCGGCCGAACGCGCGCAATTGGCCCAAACCACGAGAGGCTTTTAGAAAATTAAAACTGAAGAATCTGGGCACGAAAATCGGCTAAACCAAAGCGGATCATTTTTCAGGATGTCAGGGCGCGGTTAATCTCTTAAATACACCCCCACGAAAACTGTAGCACATCGTTTATGATAATATCAAATTATACATGGCATAAGACGGAGGGGGGGGATATAAATGGTGTAAGAAGGGGGGGGGGAGAACTGGTCGCAAGACATACGATATCTTAATAGTATATATGATGGTTTTTACAGGTTTACACCTATAGTTTATTCCGGGAGGGGTAATTTGTTCCTGGTAAAGGGAGGGGGGGGGGTAAAAATTTGAAAAAGAGAAAAAATTAAGGGTGGAGGGGGTGGAGGGGTGAATTTCATTTTAGGATAGCTGGGGGGAGGTAAAGCAAGTTTAATATATTTGTTTTTAAAATTTTGAAAAAAATGAATTTCCAAAACAAAATTCGGCAAACAGAAGATGTAAAATAAGCAAAAGTATTCAATTACAATGTCCGAATTAGAATTTCACAAAACATGTCGCAACTTTGAAATTTGAATTTTCATAGCGGCCAAAACGAAGTAAAAAATTAGGAAGCTGTAGCGCGACTTAAAACTTAATAATACAAATAATTTAAAAAGGGTAGTATCACTTAATATTATTCATGTCATTAAGTGTTGGAAAGTCACAAAAATTGTGATTCATAACCGACTGCACTAAAAGCTCAGTTTTAAGTGAAAGTAATCGATTCAGTAGCTTAAAATTAATTCATGGTCGTTAATGGCACTGTTTTGGCACATTCTGAACAGTAAGGAAAGTTTTAGCCAAATTTGCCTTTGTAAAGAAAGTTTTGGTCAAATTTGTCTTTGTAAAGAAAGTTTTAGTCAAATTTGCTTTTGTAAAGAAAGTTCAATCAAATTTTTGTCGAAACTCGTTGCCTTTCTTTCCCACATATAAAGCGGCAAAAGTTGTCGCGGCTCGAGTTTCGGCTGGGATTAGGCGCTAGGATTACAAGCGAAACCTGACGCTTCCCACGATGCCAAACACGACCTGCGGCCGAATTCCGGTGCGGATTTCCGGAGGTCAAATTTTGTTTGCTGGACTAGCCAACGGTCTTTGTGTGTTGTGCCTGTTTCTGCGGGTTCTCACGGATTGGCTTTGTATTTTTGAAGGCTAAAATGAAAAGTGTGCAAGAACTTTCTTTACAAAACAAAGATCAGCAAGAATTATTTTTACAAAATCAGAAATGACAAGAATTTTCTGTACAATACTAAAAATGGCAAGAACTTTCTTTACAAACTGCAAAATGGCAAGAACTTTGTTTACAGACCCTTTCTTTGTCGTATTGTTGTTTCGTCGACTCTTTTGGTCGTATAAATAAACAATTTTCCCGCGTGAAAGACCTTTGACCGGAAAGGTTACCCGCAAAAGGCCGAAAGTTATTGTATTCGACTGTTCGGTTCAGTTGACACAGCCTCGGATTTCACTTTTTTCGACCGACTTCAAGGCGAGGTCGATTTCACGCTTAAAAACGTCAAAATTACAGGTCCAAAAGTTTCGTATCTAAAACAAAAGGTTGCATTGATTTAGGCGAAAACAGAAAATTTTGAGCTGTAAACAAAGTTTTGCCATTTTTAAAGGTAAAAACACAAAATTCAGTTTTTACCAAAGCTACCGTATCATTTTATGATTAATGTTTGCCTACTATAAGATAAAAGAAAGGCTCGAGAAAGTTACGAAACGCATACGGTAGACTCCACAAAGACCAACGGAAGCGGCACAAGATACGATTGCATGTGTTAATGTAATGTCGGGAATGTGCTTTTGACCTTTGTCTTCTTTTATTATACTATGTGGAGCAAAAGTTTTTAAAATTAAAATAAAAAAAATAAGTTTTTTAAAAATTGGTTGTACTGTACAATTAAAGTTTAACCGCACTGTAAAATACGGTAAAAGTAAAAACAAATACTTTTAGGTCATTTCAACGGAAATGTCATCGATGTGACGCTACCTTAACACCGTCCGACATGGTAATGCGAGTGAGGGACAGTTTATACCATCAAAGTTGTTTCTCTTGCTTTCACTGCAACCAGCAACTGTTGCCGGGCACGCAATTTGTTGTCAAAGATGCTGGGAAAATTTTTTGTCCTAATGAGTGTTTTCGGGTAAGATAATTTAGCCTTCTTTTAAAAATCATTAATTTAATCGCAATTTAAATTTTTTTAAAAATTTTTTAAAAATTTTAAAAATTTTAAATTTTAAAAATCATAAAATGAACTTTCAGGCCAGTTGCAGTGAATCAGACGACTTTTACGTAGATCCGAAGCCATGCAAAGCCGAAGACGACCTTAGGCCACCTTCTTTCCCCTCAATGAATCAGCATACGGACTCATTATCATCGACCAGTAGTACCAGTTCAGTGAACGGATGCGCCAGAAAATCTTCGAATTCTAGGAAATCACGAAAAGACAAGCCTGTAGGTTACTGTGTGGCTTTAATCGATATTTATTTGAATTTTACCGTACAGTCGATATTTATATATGAACTGCACTGTGCAAAGTTTTAAAAAGTTATGCTGATTTATAAAAATTGCACTGTGCAATGAATAATACTTTAAAAACATCAAAAATGACATTATGATTTAGATTCAGCGTGTCAGGACAGTGTTAAGTGAAAAACAGCTACAAATTTTAAAACACATGTATCAACTGAACCAACGACCAGACACGTCGACCAAAGAAAAGCTTGTAGCCGAAACTGGACTGTCGCAACGAGTAATTCGAGTGTGGTTTCAAAACAAACGATGTAAAGACAAGAAGAAACAGAATGCGATTAGAGAACAACAACAGCATCAGGAAAAGGTTTGTTTTTGGAATATAGTTACCTAAAGATCAAAATTGTTACCTAAAAATCAAAATTCGAAAAAAAAAATTTTTAAATAAAAAAATTTCATTTAGTACTAAAAAAAACCTTGTTTGACATTTTTAATAAAGTTTTCTTTTTCCTGACCCCAGCATCTTACTGTAACATAATTTTGGGTTTATAAGTGGCCCCGCGATAATTATTGTATTCAAAATATGGGAGCTTGATTGAGAGCTAAATCAATAGCTCTCGAGTCAACGAGAGTGTCAAGACTTTACAAAAGCATTTTGTTTTTGTAAGGACATGCACTTGTATATTAACATTAACAAAATGGAGTGTATAGCGTTTAAAAACAATGTTTTTATTGATTTTGAAAGAGTTTTTTTGGAAAAAGTAACTTTTGATGGGTTGATTGAATATTTTTAAAAAATTTTGAAAAATATGCTTTCCCCTTTCTCCTTTTGCCCCCCCCCCTCATTAATTTTGCAAATTACGGCCTTAAAAATTTAAAATTTACAGAAGGTATAACACAACTTGCTAAATTTAACTTTCTTTTCACTCCCAAATGTTCTTTCACACCACAAGACATGTAGCCGTGAGCCTACCGTAACCCCCCGAATTGGCTCACATTAATCTAATTTATTTGCGCCCCACTCTCGGCTCATTTCGCTAAAATACCCCGCCCGAAGTGTATAATCATGTAAAGAAAAATGGGAAATGCCTCAGGGGACGAACGCATAACTAATGCCAACCGGATGCGAATTGTTTTGTACTGTAGCATCGTACTGTTTTGATACTGAGGAGGACTTGGAAGGTAAACATTAGTTGCACTGTGATGTCAAACAAGGCTTGCACCGTGCAATCAATGCAAAGCCAAAAAGATTTGTGAAAAAAATTTCATTTTCTTAGTTTTAACAGCAAAAAAATACAGTAACCAACTCGCAAAACCGATTACAATATGCCTTTTCGAAACACAAACGTTAAACTTTTCGAATTTTGAAAATTGAGCAATTTTCTTCAGCTCAACCGTGAATAAAATTTAATTTCCGAGGGGGGAATTGCGTGCCTCACCTGGCCTTTGTCTTCAACAAGTCGCTTGAATTTCGCGCACGGCAGATGGTAACATACGGCCATGTCGAGAGGGATCGTTTACAGAGTTTGTTTAAAGTCACTTTTGGCTGAGTGAATCGGTCGAAACAGTAAGAGGAAGGTCAATTTACATTAATGGTGGGCATGGTATGAAAGGAGGGTTAACAGTGTACTGGTTAAGGGGCAGTTTATGTACAAAAATTTTAAAATAGAAAAGAAAAGTTCAACCAAACATAGACAACATCGTGTAATACAAAAAAAACGGTTGAACTGATAAAAAACGACATAAAATCTAAAAAAAAATTTTTATGAAATTCTAAGTCACGTCATTTTATAGGAACAAGCTTTACATGGAGTGAGAATCAGTGGCGTTGGGCCAATAATGGCCACATCACCGACCACGATACTCGACAGTAATATGATGCATCCGATCGAAATTCAACAATATCAACAGTCCGCGAACTTATGGAACAATGGTACACCTACGCCTCCACAAGATCCAATGGCGTATCATCAAGGCAATGTTATGGTAAGATTACTGTAGTTTTGGTTTTTGGGGTAGGAATTATTGTGGTTTTGGGTTTTGGGGTTGGTTATCATTTCTTTTTATAGTACTGTTTGATTTCCATTTTTTACAGGAAATTACAGGAAAAGTATGGCGGGTTCTTTATGTCGGCACCTAATACTGTTTTCTTAACTGTTATTACAAAAACTACAAAAATTTTTGAAAACTACCGTATCCTATCCCAAATTTTTGAGCCATTGTATTTGATACGCGAATAACATGCAGCTGTGTAAATATTGAAATTTTTGAACTTGTTCGCACTCTAGCTAATCCCGTTGAACTCCTTGAAGGCCAAGCCGCGGCACACCTGGATGCCCTCCATAAACTGGCTTATATAAATATGATTTGAATAAGCGAGCCATGTAATATGACATTAAGCAAAATTTTAAAATTTTGATTTTAATTGAAATTTTTAAAATTTTTAAATTTTCCACATTTCAGGTAAACCCCTCCACATACGATTTGTCATCGTTAGAGGTCGCGCCATCAGATTACAGTCATTCCTTTGAGCCGTTTAACCCTCAATTCTTGCCCAATTCGTCGTTATCGTCGTCGCCGGCATGTAGCGACTAAGACGTGCTAAGATGGTACTGAATGCATGCTAGACTGTTACAGTAGTTTATGTTTTTAGTACTGTTACAGTAGTTTATGTTTTTAGTAATGGTAGTTTATTTGTTCTTAGTATGGTTACGGTACTCTACGTCTTATGTTAAAGTACTTATAAGTCAAAATGTCTGCTGCAGTACTACTATAGTACTAACGTGCACTGCACTAAGTTCTACCTTATACTAAAAGTATTTTATAGTACGAATACACTATGAAATATAGTTTAAATTTTCTACTGTACTATTAGGTTGAACTAAAAGTATCGGGATACTTTAGTTGAAACTAAATGAAACGTGTCCCGCTACTTTTGGTTCCTATTGTCCCGCTACTTGGTTCAGTATTATACTACTCTACTTAACGTCTTATGCAGTACTATTTTTCGTAATAGGAAACCAATCAGTACCAATTAGAGCCCTCTTAATACCATTTGTACAAAACGAAAAACTCAAGAAAACAAAGCCATTGATTGAGAGGCCGCGACGACCGCTCGAATGCATAATAAACTTGTCACAAATTTTATTTACAATAAAGGTTACAGACGTTTTTTGGTCGGATATTGAAGTTCAACTAGGTGGGTAAGGTATGGTATTGGCATGTTTAACAACGTGAAACATATGTCATAAAGCTGTTCAAAAAAAAAAAATTTCATGTCTTCGTGTCGGGACCAATAAAAGTCAAAAAAGACGATTTCATTTTTAATTTTCGCGCAGCCGGCCACCTAATCCAGTGCCTTCCAATTAGCCGCGACGCCATTAAAAATCAGGGCCCGGAAGGCAAGGTGCCATCTGTGGACATTAAATGTTCATCTGCTTGCGCAATTTACCGCCTAGTAATTTCTCAATTACTGCGCGTTATACGAAAAAATAAAGATTTCCTATGACGGATGGGGTTTTATTAAGTGCCGCGCTTTAAAGTCATTTTTTCTCACCTGGCCGGAAAATCAACTGAAAGGCGGCAATTACCTTTTACTGTGTAAGAATGATGAGGTGAAGGAAGTGATAGATGACGGCCAATGACACCTTTGGCCAAAACGTAAACTCTGGTGAACGGACAAAGTTATGATAAAAATTATTGATAGTGCGGAGGGGGGGGGGAATGTGAAGAAGAGGGGGAGGGGTATGGTCTGGAGAGAGAGGATATTTCTAGATGTAGATACAATATTTTTTAAAAATTTATAAAATAACTACTTAAAATACTGTAGAAAATTAAAAAAAACTTTACAGTAACCCTGGAGACAAAGTGGCACTTAAAAAAATGATCGGAAGGTGCTTTTAAGATTTACGACTTATTGCAATATTAAAAATGAAAATTCTCTCTTCAGAAAATAAAAAACGTCGAAAACTTTCTTTACAAACAACAATTTACATAGCCTTTACTAAGCCAAAAACTACTTGTTCTTTACTTGTTATATAAGATATAAATCTAATCAAAATAGTTTTTACCCCAATAAATTGCAAAAACTATATTAAAATTGTTGAATACGGCCAAAATTTTTTATCAAACACCTTTAAGCGGCAAGAATTTGGACCTCACAGGCCGAACTTTTCCTTAGGCTATGTTTTATCACAATTTAACGACCAGTTTAATTGGATTTAATATGTCTTGCTGATTACTTTTTAAACAAATGTTTATCTTTTCAGCTTTCTGTATGTTTTTTTGAAATATTCTTACTTTCCTTCTTTCAACGTTTTTATGTAAGTATTTAGTCTACTGACAGTATTAGTATTGATTTAATTCGAGAATTAGTATCATACTCAACAATCAATGTTTTGACAAATTTCAATAAGTTCAAGATAAGTTTAATTTTTAAAAATATCAAACTGAAATTAAATATATTTTCACGAATTTGGTCATTTGAGATATGCATACATTTCTGGCCTTTATTAAAAAGTGATTGATAATGAATTACGCTGATTTCATCCTTCAGCATACTGTAGCAAATTTTTGGCTATAAAAACCACATTCTTCTTTATAGCAAAACAGTACATTCAAGTAAACCAGTATGCTGCAGTTAAACTTCACGATAAAGTAAATGAATTGACCAGAAATTAATGACAATCTACAACAACATACAACTTATTATATTTTACAATATTTTGATAATTTATTCCAAGACCCGAGTGCAAGTTTAAGAATCTATCGTATCTACAATCCCGCTTCATTTGGCGGCTGGAGCATTCGGCGCCGCCGCTGGCTGATTGGGAACCAGCTCCACCAACGGTACCAGCTTCTGTTTGCCGCTTTCGTCGGTCAGGATTCGACAGCCCATCGCTGCGACCATCCGTGGTCCGTCGATGAACTGTGAACAGTTCTAAAATGTTAATATAATATAATAAAAGTACAAAATTAAAATTACAGGATGGTAGAACGTATTTTAGACAAAACTTACCTCCAAAATCTCCAGTAATCTCTGTTGATTCTCATGGCAATCGACACATAGTGCTCGTAACGTGCTCAAACCATGATGGAACTAAAAAAGATAACATAATTGCTAAAAATAGAAGGTACCAACCAAAATAATAAGGTAAAAAAAAACACAAAACTAAAAAAATTCTTACCACCGATGCTCTGTCCATGTCATTTTTCATTGTGCACTGAATTAACAAGTTGATAACGTCCAATTTTCCCGCTGCCACCTGATTCTTCGGCGACATTCGGCAAAGTCCGCCAATTGAGCGTAGCGTAGCCTGCTTTAAGGACATGAACAAGTGTTGTGGCAACGTTCGGTTGGCGATCATTTGGAACAGTCGCATATACGGTAGGTACGTTTGTTCTTCTTCTGGAATTGTGTCGGAAGGACGTTGAGCCAGGTATTGTGTGAAGAAAATGTCGGCACGAGGTGCGAAGATGCCTTCAATATGTTTTGGAATGTGTTCATTGTCCTCGTCGTCTTCTTCCTCGTCTTCATCGTCCAGCTCTTCTTCTTCCCCTTCATCTTCTTCATCGTCATCCACATCGTTCGCCAAATCGCCATTCTTTTCGGCCGCCAAAACTCCTAAAACATCTGTGTCAAAGCTATTAGTTTCATAATTCTTGCAAAATGTTTAGATAGCAGATAGTAACGTTAAATTTTTCAAAAAATTTTAATTACTCCATTAAACATAATCTTACCTTTGACCAATGCCAACTGTTGTTTCGCGTCTAAGCGTGGATGTTTTGATACAGGTTCATCGGCTGATTCCACCGACTTGATTGATGAAGCCTTTTGTCCTTCTTTCAGTTCATCTTCTTCCATCAATTCATCCTTTTTGTTTTCATCTGGTTCTTTTGTTGGTGTGTTATTGCCCTTTTCGTCTTTGGTCTTCTTCTTATACAACAGGCCTCGAATCGAATCCTTCATGTAGCGTTCCACAGAGAACTCTGAAACAGCAGAAATAACTATTCTGCCAAAAACCGATTAAAAACTACAAAAAAATAATAACTTTTACCAAAAATGCTTACTCTGCTTTTGTTTCGGAACACGATCTGCGCCATTTTCTTGATCTTCATCTTGCACCGGGCTTACTGGAATGTCCGACCGAGGTATTCTGTTAATGTGCGATGGAATTCGAGTTGATGTACCCGACACAATCGAAGCTTGGACTCGTTCTTTTTGAGCAAAAACAACCTAAACAGCATTTACGATAATTTTTTAAACATGATATGCCGCAGAACAGATAGAATTGTCCAAGTTAGTGAGTTATTGCCTAAAAACACAAAAGTTCAAAATAAAATAAAACTTACTGCTTTCAAAACACCACACAGAATTTTGACAGCTTTTTGGCTTTGGAAGAGGACACTGTCGTAACTGGCACGGAACAATGAGCAAAAATAAATAATATCGATAATCATTGGAAGACGAACGCCAATCTCGTAGCGGTTGTAGCTCCGGCCTTCATGAATTTCCTTATCCAAGATTTCAAACATATCCACAAGGAATTGAAGATTGGATCGGTGAAGGAAGAACTAAAATAAGATCGATATTTTTTAAGCTTACTAAGCCTAAAACCCTACCTTTCGATGAGCCAGAATGTTTTCCCGAATAGCACCGTTAATATCCATCAACTCGTTTTCAATTTCCCGACTTCTTGACATATTAACAGCTTGAACCAGATTGTCAGTAATAGCCAAAAGTTCCGAGAACGTCTCCCGTTCCAGTGCTTTGAAACAATCGTATAAGAAAGTAGGTTCATTCTCCAGTAGACTAACAAATATCTGCTGAACGGCGTGACGATTGTCGGCCATCAAAGCGGGATTACTCCAGATTATTATGAGGTCCGTCAGAAGGCGGAGGTAGAGATCGTCAGCGTTAAAAAACCCTGAAAAATCAAAATGTAGGTATAAAAATGTTATAAACAAATAAAAGATCGACAAAATCGATTATTTCCTTTTTAAAATTGTTTCAAATTTCATTTACAGATTTTTTCAAAACTTACATTTATGTAAATCTTTAATAGTAACAAAGATGCACAATATCATGTCGTGCCGTAGAAATTCAACCCTTAGCAAGCTAAGCCATTGAGGCAACTGATGTTTGTTTACCGTGTCTCGGAAACTAAAATCATAAGTTTTAATAAAAAATATTACAAATATTATGCTTCGTTGACACTATCCCAACTGCAAAGTACAAAATAACGTAACACTTACAACATAACCCTAGCAGCTGTATGGTAAAACGTTTGTAACGCCACACGGCTTCTTCTGAAGGCCAGATCACCGGTTTCAGTCGGATCTTCCATCACCCTCAATGCTGTTTCGACCAACCCAACCGAAAAATGAGCCAAAGTTTGTGGTTGTAAAGCCTGGAAAAACTCCACAACCCTCGTATCATTTGATACAAACGACCGGAAGCAACTCAGTGCTCTGAGTGGCACTTGACATAAGTCTTCAGCACAAACAACAGGTACAAACAACTCAAGATCCATGAGAAAAGTCTGATTTGGAAGCTTTGGAATTGAGATTTTTCCATTATTATCTCCGTTATATATAAATGTTTCATTTGTGTTAAGAACGTGTGGTGGGAATGTGCTCTTTTCGACGTACTGAATCATGGTACTGCGCCAGCCCGACCGTTCCTCGCTGTTCTTGATCATGTTGCTACTAGTCAGCGGGTTGCATGTGGTACAATGAGTTCGACCGTTACTGACCCAAGATTTACGTTGATTTTTGGCTGTAGGCGGTGCTGGATGACCACATGCCATTAAAGTTGGCGGCATTCGATGCGGTCTTAGTGGTCCCAGCCCAAGGCTGGAACAGCGTAGATTGTAGTGTAAAGCTTCTTCATCCATTTCTTCTTCTTCCTCTTTATCCGACACCTCTACAATACCGTGATCAGATGGCGACCGGTCAGGAGTACAGTTTTGGCCGACGCCCCCTTCAAGCCAAGAGCTAGCCGACGAGGGCGGTGGACTCGTACTGTGGTTCGAGCCGTCTGGACTGTGTTCTGGTTGAGATGAGGCTTCTGGAAAATCGTTTTTCAGTTTTTTTATCCAATGTTCTAGTTTTTTTGTTTCTACCAAAATTTAAAATTAACACCTAAAATTGAAAAACAGCCTAAAGTCCTTACCATTCGTATCCATTAAGCCTTGGCCATTCTCCTGCGACATTACATATATTCCAGTAACACAAAAACCAAACCTCCACTTTAAACTATGTTAGACAAAAGTGAAAACAACCTAAAATGTATAAACGGCTAACATAAACAAATTTAATACCATAAAACTGGCGGTACGTGAAACCCCTAACAAAAAACTAAAATTCCTTAATAATTTAGCTAAAAACAAAATGATAATAGCCACGTAACGCTCTAAAAATGTAAGAAACTGGTAAAAAATAACATTTCACTTGAATCATCAAAATAATAACAGGTATCAATCGTGTATAACAATATGAATATAAAAATTACTCGAACAACAAAAAATAAATCTTTATACATGAGTTAAATTTAAAAATACAGTAATAGAAGTTTAAAATGTACTCGTAGATTAAGGGGTCGCTAAGAATGAGAGGATCAGGTTCAATTCTGACGGCAAAAACCTCAGATTTTCCACCCCATCCAGCCGGGTTTTCTTTTGGAGCCGCTGAAATATTTTAAAATATTAAAATTCCACCTAACCTTCTTTTAAAACTAAAGTATTACCTAAAAACAATATCGAAAGTTCATTGAGATCAAATAAAAACTAAACACAATAAAATTTTTTATTATACTCCTTGTGTGTCCTTACCTTTAAAAACCCTGTAAACCAGCTCAGGTCAATTCTCGACTTGACCAGCTCCAATGCTTTTAGATTATGATCAATAATCATGATCAATGTCACCAGGATCGAGTAGCGCAAGTCTGGGGGTTGAAAGATTTTAGAGTTTAAGTCGGCTAAAATCGTTACAATACTGTTTTCTTGTCCTAAAACACAAAAAACTTTGTGTTTTTGGTCGACTGAGATCATGGCGGCTAGTCCAAAGCAAATTGCACGAAGTTCTAGGCCTAGGCTGGGTGAAAGTTCTTGAGAAAGAATGTGATTGAGAAGAGTTCGAAAGATGAAAGTCATTTTGAGAACAATGTTAGGATATTCTAGCATTTCCTGCAATGAAAAATGTAACCATAAATTTAAGTTTACAAAAATATATCTTCACATTTAAAAAAAACATCATTTTTACATTTTTTATAACCATTTTCAAAGACCAACCTTTGTAATTTGTTTTTCTAAACTTTCTTTAGTCCAAAAAGTGTTCCAAAAGTCGTCTACCATTAACAATCTTTGTTTTACTGCAACACTTAAAGACTCAGCTGAGACGATTGAACTGTACATAGTGGATATTAAGCAGTTCATAACTTCTGCATTGTTAATTGTTTCCCTAGAAATATTAAATTAATGTTTAATTTAAAAGTTCAGGCTCTATAGCGTACGTACAAAAAAATTTTCTCGCTGCAGAACCAACTTTCCCTATATATATTCAAAAAAAATTCAATACTCACTTTTGGCTGCTCTGAAGCAAAAATTGAAAGAATCGTGAACCCATCTTCATTGGAGTCACGACAACATTGTTAATGTCAACATCTTCTCTTGTATCACTTATACATTTACATATCACCGTCGATATTCCACATTGTATTGTAAGTTCATTAAAAACTTGAATTCTCTCGAATAGTTGTGCATCTTTTCGAACGTTTTTTAGTATCGTTCCCCATAATGAATCCATAAAGCACATTATAGTCAAGAGTCCATCTTTTAGGTCATTTTGAACAGTTCCTACTCTACATAAGATGAATATTGTGTCAACAATTCCATTCGAACATACAAAATCCAACTTTTGTTGTTCAGTAGCATACAATGCCATCATTAAGTTGAACATTTTGGCAATAAACCTGAAAGCGTAAAAATTTAAAATAGTAACGGTTAATTTAAGCATCATAAACCGAAAAGCCCCCAATTTCATAAAAAATACCTCAAATACAAAAATAAATTTAAATTACCTATCCATCGTCAGAATCCTTTCCGAATCCATCGTAGACAAACTCTTCAAACCTTTCTGTATTTCAATTCGAACATCTTCTGCCAGCCGGTTTTTCTCGGCCTCTCTCCTCTTTCTAAACGCTCTTTTCCATTCTGTAATTTCATTTTCGAAAAAATCCGAACTCTTGTCCAACTTATTCAAATTCTCCATGATCTGAGACAACTGCGATATTAGTGTGGACCTGCTACTGGAGGATACTTCCTTGTTTTTTAATTGTAGACATAATGCTTGTTTAGCTTCTTCATTATTTGCCTTGTAGACGTTGTTATTGTTAGTTGCTTCATCTATACTACACTCGAATATGCATTGCTCGACTTCTGATCTCAGGATATTGTAGTCGATATCCATCAAATTAAGTTTTCTTGCAATAAGGTGCTCTTTTGAAACAAAATGAGCAAATATGTCAAAATTTGAAGCCATCTAGAATATATTCATTTTCAAAAATTAAAAAATATTCAATAAACACGTTTTAAAATTTAAAATACGAACATACCACAGTCCCTGTTCCACATTGACACCTCCACTTGATGTTACTAACCGTATCGCTTGGTGCTTCTTGTTCTTTGAGCAGAAATGTAAGAATAGACGACCGATGAGTTTTAAGGTTAGGCTGGGTTAATTTTTCTTTTAGTTGTCTTTTCTTCTTCATATTTTTAGGCTTGTCTTTAGGCTTCTTCAAGGTCTAAACTGCCATTATAAATTAAAAAAAACAACTTTACTTTTTTTTATAATATTGCTGATACTTAAACTAAGTTAGCAAATAACATATTTGCGCTCTAATACGACACTACCTAAACCAAAGGCCCACCTCATTTGAACATCCAGCGACCGTGTTAATATTTTCTCCTTTCTTGTTATCCATAAGAGATTGAACTCGGTATTCTCTGCTCAATTCTTTCATTTGAAAACCAAACTTGACGTTTTCTGCTTCAAGTGAATTTATAAAATTCACTTCCAGTACTCGTTGGTCCGCGTCTTTAGCCTGTTTTACCACCAAATCAATGTTCTTCTGTCGATTTTCTGTAGCTTTTGCCATTTTACGTTCAAGATGAATCCGTTTCTTTTCTATTAGGTCCATACGTTTTCGACTGATTTCTTCAACCTGAACTTTTTTTAAATTATTTTTCCGCCTTCAACCTTGAATTTAAGCAAACCTAAAAATAGAAAAAAAATTAAAAAATAAGTTACTCTAAGATGAAGTTCCCGTAGACGTTCGGCCTTTCGATCCCGCAAAACTGCTCTCATTTCCTCAGCTTTCTGTTGCCGTTCTATCATAACATCCATATCGTACTTCCTTAAATTTATATTACTCAATGCGAATATGAAACAATACGATTACTCTATAAAAACTAACAAAAACGTTCTTACTTCTTCCTCAATGGTGACAGTAGCCTTTGATGTAATCTTGCAGTATCTCCAGGTTGTGGATACTTGGTTTCAGCCGTTTTAACTTCTGTTTCATTGTTAATATCCCACCTATCAACTACAGCCTTCCATCTTGTCCCCTGGCTTCGTTCCAAGTCGCTGAAATCCAATACCACATTCTGAATCTCGTCGTCAATCAAAATACTTTCTTCGTCTTCAATCTCCTTCTGTAAGCTGGCTTCTTCATGTGCCAAAGATTCTTCTTCTTCCGTCAATGCTTTCCATTCGTCATCTTCAAACATATTCAAGTCGACAATTCCCTGAGGCTCTGACTTTGAATAGTAGCCAACTTGAGTTTTCATTGAACAGGAATCAGAAGTGTTACGGTCTTCTTCATGAATAGATTCTAGGTTGGTCTCCATATTCTGCGTGATATTCGTCTTGTTACCAAGTACAGGCATGCTTTTTCGTCTTAAAATCACATCACGTTGTTGTCGACGCTTCACAGTCAACTTTTCAGTCAGCAACTTCTTGTGACGTTGCCATAAAAGTTGTCGAGAGTATGCAATCTTGGCCATGCTTGACTTAGTTTGTGGAATGTCCATGGCACTCTTAGGCTGAGCTACACGAAACCTTTCCTGATTTTCCTTGTTGTTTTTAGAGTACAAAACATTCGGTTTCTGAAAGATACAATGTTTAATTAATACGTCATTTTATTGTAGTCTAAAAACGTATATTTTCAGAAAGAAAATTCATGAAATATCAGTTATATCAAAAATCTTACATTTGAAATTCCGTTACTTAAGTCTTCGGCTTTTCCATTGATCTTCACTTCCCTAAAATTATAATAAAACCAAATCAGTACTACTTACTTTGTTTTTCTGTTAGGTACACCTTTTACTTCCCATGCCAATGCTTGTGGTCGACTAAAAAAGAAAATTTTAAGATAAGCCAGATAATTTTTAATAAATTTAAATATATATTTCCTAAAAAAGGTTATTTATGTAAAATTCACTTACTTTTCCAAGTTTTCCCATTCCGTTTCTACTTTGATGGTCGATATCAAAGCTTCGAAGTCTCGAACTGCATTTGTCAGGTACATTAAAGCTTCCTAAACAACACATTATAATATAAAAATATACTCCGCATAGTATTAATAGCAATATCACACCAGTTTAACAATTAAAAAACTGTGGCATGCAAGAAACGGTGAGCACGCAAAACATAAGCTTGCTGCGTAATCCGCCGTTTTAACGTGCAGAACGCTTTTACCGTTGTTTTCTTGTCATAGAAGATTGGATTTCAAAAGTTATTTATTTTCTTTATTGCCACGAAACCCACATTTTTGTTATTTTCTAAGGCAGTGTTAACAATGTCATATTTAACCGCTCCCATCAGAATCCGCTGTAAGATCAATTCTTATACTAAAAACAACCAAAATATTAAAGTTATCCACCTGACATCCAAACACATTCCTTCTAGCTGCACAAATCTCGTGCATCGAATCCGTCGTGTTCTTCAGAAGCTGCACGTACTCGGCCCATTGTTTGGCTTCATTTTCAACGTCTTGACCCAAATTTACTCCCATTTTGTGATGGATTTTAACCTCCATCCATCACACCTACAACAACATCAAATGTACAGTTTAGACATTTTAACAACAATCCATTTATAAAAAGACGGGTCGCAACAAACGATATAAACATTAAAAAACCTAATGAGTAAGTAAAGAATAAATTTGAGTCAATAAATACTTCAAAAATCCACCTGGTATTGAAGTTTCTAGTTAATCCCCTTAAAAACAAAACCCGAGTGACATAACTCCTAAACTCCAAAGTCCCAAAACTATTTACATGCCGAAATCTCCAAAAAATCTATACAAAAATACACACATCATCCATTTCTCAGAAACTGAAGCATGTTTTCCTTTATTCTCCAATGTTATTGAGACTTCTCCGTCTCGGAAGCATAGCTTAAACTTAAAATTTAATGCAAATTCAAAATATCCAAAGTAAACTAAAAAGTTTTTCATGTATCAAGTACGAAATTATGCCCGCGGTACGCGAGAAAGTGTCCACTAGCTGACCTTTCAATATTTTTTTCCGTCTTTTTTATATTTTTTTTGCGGCACGAGATTCTCCTTTTGAAAATTTTTTACGTCCCGCAACGATTTGCCTCATGTACTGCGTGTTAGCAGTTTGCACACTCTCTCTTCGTAAATTACGGTATCCAGCGAAAATTTTTTCACATTTTTCAGAATAAAATAACTTTTTTTAAAAATAGTATTGTAAGTTGACATGAATTTTAAATGTTACGATAAAATTTATTTTGATATGTTAACTTTGTAGGCGTTTTTCTGATTTTCAGTCGTAATTTTATTAATGTATATTGTTTCGCTGATGTCCGCTTTACCGTGATTTGTTTAGTGCTTAAAATCATAAAACATAAGTTTTCAGGGCAACCATGAAGATTGAAACCTGCTTTTACTCTGGTTACAAGATCCACCCCGGACATGGAAAGCGTCTTGTGCGCGCTGATGGTAAAGTAAGTTGGCTTTTCATAATACTATTTTAAATAGTTTGAAACAGGATTCTTGACATATATTTTATGCTGTGTAATACTTCAAATACATATTTTACGTTTTCTTGTTTAGTTTTCTTTCGTATTAAAGATTTTGTGTTGTTGAAAAGAATTTTATTTTCTTTTCAGATCAACATCTACATTAGCAAGAAGGCTGAGCGATCTACTGCCATGAAGAGAAACCCTCGTGACATTCCATGGACCGTATTGTACCGCAGAAAGCACAAGAAGGTATGTGGTTTATTAGATTTTCGTGTTTTTAGGTATTATAAGTTTTAAATATAGTTTCATCGTTTTTATGGAAACTATGAGGCATTGAATGGTATTACGCTAAGTTGCGAAGGTTTTTTATGTCTATTTAATTGTAATTGAGTAGTAATTTAGTGTATTAGCGTGTTGTAGCAGCATATTAGAGCCTGTATTGATGTTTTTATGTTAGTAAAGGTGTCGAATGACTGCAAAATCAAATTGGGTTGACGATCTCGGTTTTCATTGTGTGTGAGACTCGTTTTATACGCTCAAACATTCTTTACTTTTTTGCCTTTAACTCAAGCTTTATTTTATACTATTAAGTAGCAAGAAGTTGATGTAAACTTTAGAATTTTAGCTTATTTTCAATGTTTTCAGGGTCTTCACGCTGATGACAACACCACTAAAAAGCGTGTGAAGAGAACCGTTCAAGTTGCCAGCCGTGCTATCGGTGACTTCTCAGTTGAAGCTATCTTGGCCAAGAGAAACCAGAAGCCCGAGTTCAGAAAGGCCCAACGTGAACAAGCCGTGAAAGCCGCCAAGGACGCTGTTAAGGCCCAGAAAGCCAAGAAGGAAAAGACAAAGACGGTAAGTGTTTCAATGCTGTTATTGGAACAATATTTTACAAAAAATATGCTTTTCAGCATTTAATTTGGTATTAATTTTTTATTTTTTTGTGCCATTCAGAGGTTTTTAGTGTAACTTTGCAGCATATTAGAGCCTGCTTTAGCGTAGTACAGCTAAAGCAGGTGTCGATTGACTGCAAAATCGTATTGAGTTGACGATCCCGGCCATCATTTTATGTGTTGTCCGTTTTAAATATCTCAGACATTAATTTTTTTAAATTTAAAAGTAATTTTATAATACGAAAACGGGTTTTTTAAATAAATTATGTTTATTCAACGAATGTTTGCAATAATTTTATTGTGATCTTGTTTCAGGAAAAGACTAAGGCTCCAGCTGCTCAGAAAGTCAAGACCGCCAAGCCAGTGAAATCACAGGCTCCACGTGTTGGTGGAAAGCGTTAAGTTGTTTTATAAAATTTGTTTGTTTTGGCAAAGTAAATTTTAATTGTTTTGTCATGATATTTGTTGAAATGTTATTAAAGTCAAAATGAACGTAATCGGATTGTGTTGATCTCACTTGAAATACTGTAATTTGGTATAGTGTTGTGATCTTTTTGGTTTTTAATGGTAATGAGGGATATATGCGCATCGCTTTAAGACGTAAATATGATTTTTTGCAATGTATACTTGAAAGTAATTCTGTGCACATGTCTCCTAATAAAATGTGCTGGTAAGAAGTTGTCGTGGACGGTAGGAATGGATAAAATTCTTTAATTGACCTTATGTTTTCTTTTTAAGATCTATTCTAATCGGCTACAAATGTGAGGTAAAAATGCGAAACTACATACTGTTGAGCATTGGTGTTATGCTCTACCTGTACAGTAAGAACGTGTTTCATCAAATAACATTAAAATGTATTACTGGACAAGATTTAGTTAATTTAAAAGCCAACAAGTTAAATTCAATTCGAATACTGCCAAGTTTTTCTGTAGCTGACGATGCTAATAATTTGGATGCATTAAAAACTAAACGGGAATTGTACTACGTTGCTGGTGGTATGTTCGAATACTGATTTATTGCATTGTTTTAAAAATATTTATATTATTACATTTCAATTGAAATATTATCGAATTTAGAATTGGACTTTCGATTAGTTTACTCATGGATGGAAAACTTTGTAAATACGATATCACTGTCTAAAATAGAGTCGTATGTTTCATCTGAACTATCTTTCAACACTTTGATCAAAGAACTGTTTCGTCATTCAGATGTTGAGCTATTGTTTGGCAAATTTGAGACAAAATACGAAGTTTTTGGGTTATATTTGTTTACAATTGTTAGTATATTGTTGTTAATGGAAGCGAGGATGATGGATAACACGTTGGTATTATTTCCATGCTCAAGGTTTATAATTTGTGTCTATGGCATTGGTGACAAACTAATGTTCGATCCTCAAGTGGCGGGAGTTTTGCAAGAAAATGCGTTTTTTGTGGTTTGGTCTACTTTTATTGGGGGTTTATTGTTTGGATTGGAAATGTGGAACACTGTTTATACGGTATGTAAAATCAACTGTTTATTTTAATTTTTTTTAATTCAAAAACAAAATGTTACAGATGAATAATTGAAATTTCAGTGGACCAAAAAGCCTGGTAATGTTATTTATTTGGGCGTTGTGAATATAAGTTACACTGTATACATGACGGCCACTTTTCTACATATTTTCGCCTTGTTATCTTACGTTATTATACCCAAGGCTCATCAAGTTTTTCCAACTTATTTGATCATGTTGACAGCTGATGTAAGTTATGAGCACGTTCATCCATGTTTTTTGATTTGTAAAACAAGTTTTTGCCATTTTGAGGTTGTCAAATCAATTTAGAAAAAAAAATATAATTTTAGGCGCTACGAACTACCATGTTATATGCTCAACATGCATGTGTAACGTACAACCGAGAGAATCCGGGCTACGGAATCTCGGAAACAGCTCTAAAAATGGCTCAATTCTTTGGGCATTTTTTCGAATTTTTGTTTGTCTCATATGCTATTCAGCATGGTCTATTTGTTAGAAACCGCATATTCGTTCTCATTTTGTTGCCATACTGTGTACATATCGCTGTGAAAGCACGGGATACCATATGGGAGAATGTGGCCGGCGTTTAGGTATTTATATTGCACTGCCATTCTGTTTGGATCTTACTGTATATTGATGTTTTAGTATGTTTATAGTATTTATTATTCTTGTATTTATGTTTGTAGTTATAGTTTTTTTATAAAGTAGATATGACAGTCATTTTCTTTGAGAAAAATGATTTTAATAAGCGGTATTACATAAAGCTATACCTAATTTTCCGTGTCGTTACCTAATATGATGATATAAAAAGATAGCCTTAGAGAAATTGCAAGAAATTGTATTGAGCAACTTTTTCTTATGTAATATTGATGGTTTATATAATATTTGCTTCGGTGTAAAACGACCCAACAAATGACTGCGAGGGTTGGGGTTTGGACCATTTTTGTGACGGAACCATTTTTGTCTGCCATATTATACGAGTATATAAGCACCCACTATGATGTCATACGCACCATTTTTAACTTTGCTGATCCTAATCCTGCTAAGCGTAAAATTAAGCCTAAAGTTAAGCCTAAAAATAAGCCTAAGGCTAAGCATGAAGTTAAGCCTAAAATTTAGCATAAAGATAAGCCTAAATATAAGCCTAAAGCTAAGCCTAAAAATAAGGCTAAGCATAAAGTTAAGCCTAAAAATAAGCCTAAGGCTAAGCATAAGGGTAAGCCTAAACCTAAAGCTAAACCTATGTTTACTTAAGCGGTTTTTGCTGCAGTTTTAAAGCGTTATTATTAATCCTATTATGCCTAATGCTTTAGCCTTGTAAGCCTATACCCACTAAGGCTTTGCTCATTAATCTTTAGCCTACTAATTGTGAGCATACTAAGGTTAAACGTAATAAGGCTAAGTATACTAGGCACAAGCTTACTAATTTTCCTGAGGGTACTATTGATTATCGTTTCTTCAATGCTCCCAGCACTACCCATTATGAGAGGCTTACGTTTTGTTTTCAAAATCATTTAACACACCTTCATTTAACGTTAGTTTCATTTATTTAAAAATAAAAATAATTTTTAAATACGTATCACATCTCAAAAACAATGTAAAATAGCAGAACTGAGATCGTCGGCTTGAAATTGCAAAACCTATTATATGGTAAACTAACATAAGAAATGAAATCAGCGGAGATCAGTGTGGGGGGAAATGTGATTGATAAAGGCCGAGATAGAGACCCGTGACCAAACAATTTTGTCATTTATACGATACTAGTAATAGTTTACTAATACGGTCGAAAAATAGTTTCATAAGAAATTCCATACGATAAAATAGATTACTACGGTAAGACTACGTAAAAAATAGATATTAGCATCAAAAAATGGCTATAGTACTGTAGAACAATACGGTGTACGGTAGATCAGTAGGGTTTGGAGTACTGTAGAATAGCATCGGATGGTAAGTCATAACGAACTGGAGTAGTGTAAACCAACATGGCTTTGAATACTGCATATCGGCGAGGGTTAAGCTAATATAGCATAGCTTGGTTCACTTTAGAATAGAACGTACTGGAGTACTGTAAACCAGCATGGACTAAGGTACCGTAAATCAGACTAAATACTCTAGATCGATTGATCAGTACTGGCTGAAGTACTGTAGATTATATGAACCAGAATACCATCAAAACCTAGACCGTATGCAAATCCAATTCAACTCTCGATCCAGCCAATTAGACCCTCCGTCTAGCCAGCACGTTCTCCACAATATCAGTCAGCGTTTCATGCTGTAACCGTTGCAACCGCTTCCTTTGTGCCCTCAACTTCAAGTACTTCCTATCCCTTTCTTCGCCCAATGTCTGTAGCAGTCGTTCCAGCGTTCTGGTCGAAATATTCGACAGCTGGGCCTCTTCTGACTCCATCGGCTCTTCCAACGGCACTGATCGTCGTACCGTCGCCGTACAACATCTTGTACACTGTAGTGCTGAATCGTATTTCATACATCGCATCCCACAGCCACAGTCGGCGGCGGTTTGTAATAGTAGTGTTAACAGGAGTGTTGTGATCAACAACAATTTTGAACCCATCTGGAATTAGAGTTTTTATTAATTTACATTGTTACATAGCATGTTGTCATATATCATCACAAAGTTGGGGATATTTGATAAGGTAAAATGGGCTTGTATATAAATAAAGAACATAGCGATGTAGCGCGATCAACGCGAAAGTAAGATTTTATTTGCGGTCAATAAATTCGTAGAAAACAATGTTGAAACAGTTCAATTTTGTCAAAATATTAAACTCATAAGCAGTTGAAAATGAGAAAAATCAGCAGAAAGTCATGCGAATCTCGTGTTTCTTTTGTGATTAGGCATGAGTTACCGCAATGATTGATTTACAGTTTACAAAAATTTACAAAATACGGTAGATAAGGTGTTTAAAAACAAAAAAATCATGTGTTTTGGTACGATAAGGTACTGAAAAAGAAGGAATTAGTTTGACAATGTCCTATTAGGTGCCGACATAAAGAACCCGCCATACTTTGCCTGTAATTTCTTGTAAAAAATGGCGAGTTCTTTATGTCGGCACGTAATAGAACATTGTGTATTTGGCATAAAATCTTAAAAAATAAGCCTTTTCTAGATACTTTTTGACCAAAATTTCCATTAGGTGCCGACATAAAGAACCCGCCATAATTTGCCTGTAATTTCCTGTAAAAACTGGCGGGTTCTTTATGTCGGCACTTAATATGAACTTTTGGACAAAAAATATAAAAATTGGTTTTCCTATAATTTTTTTGACCCCGAAAGCTAAAAAGGGAGCTGCTAAGAGACTTTCTATGAACTTTTGGACCAAAAAACGCAAGCAATGGTTTTAAGCCTAGACTAATTGATATCAACGTTAATGAATGCTACGTATATCAACATATCACCCATTAACAAACCCCAAAAATGATACAGTAAATGTAACTGATGTCAACGATTTCAACGTCAAAATGTCAAGATAAACAAATTCGACGAGATAACATTACACGGTGACGCAATTTCGCGTTTCGAAACAACGTTCTGACCGGAACGTGAGAACTCACAAGTACAAAGAACGGCGGCTTCCCCGAAACGATCGCCTGCTTTAAACAACGCCCCATTGGGTCGGTAGTAAAGTAATTGAGTGTGGGTTATTAATTAAAAAAATTCGGCGAATTTTCAAAGATTTGGGTGTTGTCGATTGAGGGTACTGTAAGTTTTTGTTTGGATAAGTGAAAGTAAGGCTTTTTGGTTGTGAGGGTGACAAAGATGGTTTGAACGTTAACGCCATTACATCAATAATACGTATTTTACAAAAGAAACAAAAATTTTATGAAAAATTACAGTAAGTTCAATTTTAAAAATTTTGGTCGAAAAATTTTGAAAAGAAAACACTTCGTTTTTCAAGTTCCCTAAATGATTTCTAGGGCTGTAGAATTGTAAGTTAATGTAAGAGGATAAGCTATGGTACAGTTAAGAAACATCGCACAAAGCATACTGTAGCAAATCCACATATATACCGTAATCCAAATACAAAAAAAATTTTTAAAAATATTTTTAAAACTTCAAAATAATAGCACACCCAGGGACGGGCGCTGGGGAGGGGGGGGAAGAAGAGGGGAACTCCCCTCCCCCTAGAAAAAAATTTTTGAAAAAACGAACGTGGTCCCCCTGTGGATTTTTGGAAAAATGTTTTCGACCCCCGCCCCCAGACCAAAAGTCCCCGTGCTCAGCCCGGCCCTGAGCACACCCACCCACTGATGACAAGAAAATTATGATTTGTAGTTTGCAAACTAACAACGAAACTTTCCGCAAGGAATTTTTGTTTAATGTGATTACGAAATCGCACCCTGCTCCAGTCTAGTCATATTCTCACTGTTCTGTGATCGCTCCGTTCTTTAGCCTGCTTTTCGTTCCAAGCTTGTTTTGACCGGCGGCTTACGTTTTAGTGGAGCAATATTTTGTAACTTTTGCAAAAAAAGTTACAAAATATTGTTTTTTTTGTCAATAAATTTGTAGAAAATAGTTGTTTCGGTCAGTAAATTCATGGAAAAAATTTTTTTTTGGTCACAAAATTTTGAAGAAAAAAATTTTTTCGGTAATATTAGGTGCCGACATAAAGAATCCGCCATTTTTCGCAGGAAATTGCAGAAAAAGTACGGCGGGTTCTTTATGTCGGCTCCTAATAAAGTACGTAAAAAAAAGTTAAATTTTAGCCTTCCGGTCATAAAATTCGTAGAAAACAAAATTTATCAAATTTTTTAAAATTTCAAAAAAATATTTTCCTTTTGCCGTCAGTCCAGGTGGTCTAACTTATGAAAGTGCATTCTTCATTCTTTTTTAGAATTCCGACCGAAAAAATTTAGCAAAATCACTTCTCCGCAAACTGTCAACCACCCCATTTCAGGAATAACGTGAAACGCACATGGTACTTTAAAACATTTTCTTTTCCCAAAACTTTAGCCTTTTGTAATATAGCAATTTTTTAGGTTAGGACCATCCGTGAAAACTTGCTTCCTCCACTCTATGTTTGTGATTTATCACGTAAAAATCGAAAAGATTCACGGATTAGTAGACTTAGGCTTAGTAGGCTTAGATTTAGTAAGCTTAGACTTAGTAGGCTTAGGCGTAGTAGGTTTAGGCTTAGTAGGCTTAGGCTTAGTAGGCTTAGGCTTAGTAGGCTTAGGCTTAGTAGGCTTAGGCTTAGTAGACTTAAGCTTAGTAGGCTTAGGCTTAGCAGGCTTAGGCTTAGTAAGCGGGCAATTAGTAGGCTTAAGCTTAGTACGCTTAGGCTTATTAACCTTAGATAACTTAGGTTTACCACAAGAAGACCAAATAAAACACAGGCTATCTTAAAAACCCAAAATTAAGCCCAACTAACCAAAAAGCAACAGTAATCCATCCCAATAGACAATAAACATGTTAGCCTATGAACACGAAAAAAATTAGAGACAAATCGATTAATGTTTTAGTGTTACAATGACATAAAACAAAAAGTAATGTAACCGGTTCGAGAATGTTTGTTACGCCCTAAAACGCGTATTTACTTGAAACAAAAACAGATTACTGTAGAACACAACAAAAGTACATCAAATTTAGACTTCTCAAAGTTTCCTATAAACCAAAAAACGTTATTTCTACATACTTTTAGACCATAATAATAAAACTTAGCTCATAAATAATGTGAAAAAATTTAAGTGACAAAGTAGCGACACAAGTTGAAACGCGTCAAAACGAAGGAAACAAAGCAATCGAACTCAAAGGTCCTGAGGCGTTATCAGCTACTGACGGAAAAGATAATTAACTTAAGGATAGGCAACTTGTTAATAAAACTCTTGTAAATCAAGTCTACGTACAAAAGGCTTTACAGTATTTTTGGAAAAAAGTTAGTCATCATATTAAAAATGACGTAATAAATATTTAAGCTTACACGTTTTAAAAAAAAACTTAAGCCTAAATTTTCTAAACCTAAATATTAACATAAGTCAAAAATCCTCAAAGTATAATTTTTTAGCTAAGCCTAATAAGCCTAAGATTACTAATCCTAAACCTAAGCCTACTTAGCTTAAGCTTACTAAGCCTAAGCCTACTATGCCTAAGCCTACTAAGCCTACGCCTACTAAGCCTAAGCCTACTAAGCCTAAGCCTACTAAGCCTAAGTCTACTAAGCCTAAGCCTACTAAGCCTAAGCCTACTAAGCCTAAGCATACTAAGCCTATGCCTAAGCCTACTAAGCCTAAGCCAACTGAGCCTAAGCCAACTAAGCCTAAGCTTACTAAGCCTAAGCCTAGTAAGTATACGCCTAATAAAGCTAGACCTACTAATCTTAAAAACCCCAAAGCTATCAAAGAAGCCTAAAGACATTATTTTTCAATTTAAAAAAAAGTACAAAACAATATTAGTCCAAAAAGTGCAGAATTATCCCACCGCGCAAGTAATAACCTAGTGCAGCTTCCTCATGTGACGGTAATTATTTGTTATGACATCGTATATACGTCGCAAAAAGTTATTTTTCCAGCTTAATTTTCTATTTTCAAACAAAACCAATTAAAATATTTGCCGGAAGGCATGGGATTCGAACATTGAAATATCAAAACAACCATGTCATTTTATGTAATAACCTATTGTTGTTTCGTGAATTAAAAGTTTATTTTAGAATTATTAGGTTTCGAAATTTTAATTTGAAAATTGAAAAATCAAAAAAAATTCCATTTTACCACCCCTTAAAAAATAAAAAATAAATTTTAAAACTAAACAATCAAAAAAAATTTCTTAAAAATCCTTTCCACCCCCATAAAAAAAATTTTAAATTTTACCCCCCCCCCCCAAAATAAGAAAAAAAAATTTAAATCTAAAAAATCTAAAAAATAAATTTTAATTTAACCCCCCTCCCCCTTAAAATACGAAAAAAATCAAAATTTTAAAATTGTGACAATTTAATCCTATACATACATATATATAGCAACATATATATTTACTTTAGTTATTAGTCATAAAAACTTTTGGCTGGATTAGTTGAGTCAGTCGAGCGTGGGTTCCAACCAAACTCCCTTGCTCATAGTTTCGACCAAATTCTCTTGCTCATAGACAGTTCCATACAATACAAAGTACAAACAATGATACGGTAGCACAACGATGACGTAGATAAGAATGATGCATATTATGATGCTTATTACAAAGTGTAAAAATTATGTGATAAAGATGACAGTTTTTTTCTAATTTTTAGTGGCGTAAAATACAAAAAAAATACTTTTTAATAGACTATGATATTAAAAAAGCTTACAGACTATGATGTTGAATTCCACAGTACAATATTTGCTACAAAACACAAATTGTAACAAAAAAGGTCAATTTAAGAAAAATGCTACATACATGACCTTACCATGTAATAAATAGAAAATAAGTGTTTGAAACTACAAAAAACCATAATTGTGGACAGGGCCAGGCGGGAACTTTTGGTCTGGAAGCGGGGGTCGAAATTTCCAAAAATCCACAGGGGGGGGGGACCACGTTCAACTTTTTTCGAAAATTTTTTCTCTAAAGGGGTTCCCCCCTGTCCCCCCCCCTTCCCCCCAGCGCCCGGCGCTGATTTTGGTACAAACTTACTCTTATATTAACATAAAACTTCAATCTTAACAAAAAAATACAAAATTAGCTTTTCTGCAAACTTTTCGACCGAAAAAGTAAAAATCGTCTATTCTGAAGACTTTTTGACCAAAAAAGTTTAAGTTATTCTACCACCTACTAAACTAAATATAAAAAAAGTTATACAAGCTCGGAACTCATGGTAGAAACCGTAAAGTCGTCGGAATGCGACGTCATCGTTTAAGCTGAAAGACAAACGTTTTAGCTTTTATTTTGATTGGGAAACAAGAAACGATGACATTATCGTAATTCCGAATTAATTCCGAGAATTATACGATTCAACAATGGAATTATGTTATCATAGACGCGTAAGACGAATAAAGTTAACAAAAGTATGCCAGGAATGTGAAACTTAACAAAAACTTTAAGAATTTCAAAAACGAATTCATCAATGCTCCAAAACCTGCCATACTTATGAGGCTTTGTACTAGTGAATAATAACCTTTACTTGACGAGATGTATCGAAAGTGCTAATCTACATAATAATATGCTAATTCAACTGTCACTTTATACTGTTTTTGTAATGTACTAAGAATTGTTTATCGTTAAAAACAATCAATTAGAAGCTATATAACCAAAGTGGGAACTACTATGTTTACCAAGCACTATTTTTCTGTACGAGACCATTTTTTATCTGCCGTACTTTATGAGTATATAACGCAGCGCTGTAATAAAGTGCCATTACTAATTTAAGCCTAAGCATACGCCTAAGCCTAAGCACACGCCTAAGCCTAATCCTAAGCCTAAGCCTAAGCCTAAGCCTAAGCCTAAGCCTAAGCCTAAGCCTAAGCCTAAGCCTAAGCCTAAGCCTAAGCCTAATCCTTAGCCTAAGCCTAAGCCTAAGCCTAAGCCTCAGCCTAATTCTAAGCCTAAGTCTAAGCCTGAGCCTGAGCCTAAGCCTAATACAAACATCAAGCCTAATAAACAAAAGTCTAGGTATTATATAATTGAGCATATGACTACAACCATTTGTTTATAACATGTATATTGCAAAACAGATGTAACTGAAACTTTACACTGAAAAAAGACTTGTTTATTGTTATGTCTACAAGCAATCAATCGTTTTCTTCAGAATTTACAACAATCAAAGTTACGTTTACTATCATTAATTTTATTTTTACAAAAAATAATTCGGTATTTACAACTATTAGTTACATCTTGACTAAAATAAATCACCAACACCGTACAGAGTAGAAAGAGCATGCCTACCGTACACCCACATTTCCGTTAATATTTATCGTATTAGATGCCGACATAAAGAACCCGCCATTTTTTACAGGAAATTACAGAAAAAGTATGGCGGGTTCTTTATGTCGGCACCTAACATTTACACTTTTTTTGCTTTACTTTACCGTACTCCTTTCCTTCCGTCGGAATAAAGCTTGTTACCTAAACATTTCGAAAAAGCAAAGAATACGGGGAGAGTGGTCAGTCCAGACTGATAACAACACACCCCAGACCCGCGGGAATCCCAAGAATTACAAACCGTAACAGTGAATTTGACCGCTTCAACGAAACCGTTGCGACGAGGCGCCACCAACATTTCGTGAATAATAACCGTGTTACGGTATGTTTGTTGACGTGTGTTACAATGTGAATTAACCTTGCTTACAAGTTTTTTTATAAATTACTGTCTTTTGTCATAAAGTTATTTATTGTCAAATTTCGAAAAAACACCACATTATCATTTTTAGGTCAATAAGTTTGTAGAAAAGCCATTTTTTAGGTCAAAAAATCCATAGATAAGTCAAATTTTTACTTTTTGCTGTCAAGAAGTATATAAAAAATCAATTTTTCTTTTAAAAAACAATTTGTTAACCCTTTTGAAAAATTGAAAAAACTTTCTTTACAAAACCCAAACTTCACTTCAAAACACAAAGTTCAAACGCAAACCGGAAAGAATTTTGTTTACAATTTATCTCAAAATTTTCAAATTTCAAAAGTGTTCTTTGATTCGATCTTTGTTGTCTTTACACCAACTTTGTACCAATAAACCTGTTTTTATCGAAAAAGGTACAATAGTTCGAGGTACTGTAATGTCAGTCCTAACAATTTTTCAGCTAGTCTGTTAAAACATGTAACCTTATCATATAGCTTTATTAAACTAGATAAATACAAAGAATATACATATATCTACAAAATATACACAAAAAAGTACTTTACAATCAAAATTCAATCAATGGAAGCCAAAACATTGCAACCAAGATGATATTAGGTGCCAACGTAAAGAATCCGACATTTTTTACAGTAAAAGTATGGCGGGTTCTTTATGTCGGCAACTGCACTGTGCAAAATAATCAATAAATTGCACAGTGCCTTACATTGTAATCTCTTTCTCCAAACCGTCAAGATTTAGGCATCAAAACCGAGGAACTTTGGGCGCATCTTCTCGGCCTCCATGATAATTGCTAAAAGTCCCATGAAACACAACTCTTTGTCGATTCCGCAACTTTCAGGACAAAACTCTGTAGCAGTTCTACGAACAATTGAACGCATACTGCATTCCCGACCAAGGCCTTCATGGAATCGACCTGCTGTTCTGTTGTCGAAAACTTGAGGAATACCAATGAGACAATGTCGCCAAATCTGTCACGATAAAGCCATGATGACAATATGACTGGTAAGAAGAAGAGGAGATTATCACCGTCAATTTTTCGTCGTGCAACGCCGTTTGCACGGAGGATTTCTTCGGAGAGTTCGGTGCACAGGTACTTGTCGGCCATCTGAAGATAGATATTAAAATTTATAGTATATTTTTGAAAACCGCAAGAACTTTCTTTACAAAAAAAATTTTAAAAACCGCAAGAACCTTCTTTACAAAATCAACTCCAACCATCAGGTACTCGGTCATGATATTTAAAAAACTTACATATAACAAACTGACACAAGTCTTAGCGTCACTAATTTGTACACATTCTGAATCCCGACATCCCGTTAGGTAATGGATGAAAATTAAAAACTCTTTTTCATCATATTCATCCAAATTCACCTTAAAATTCATAGATTTTGTCGACTCATCAACAAAAGTAAAATCTACCAAGCCCTGAAAAAAGACATTACTACTAAAAATTAAAATACCTCTTAAAAATAAACCCCTAAAAACCAAAATATTACCTAAAAATAAAATTTAAATCTAAAAACCCGTTAAAAACTAAACAATACCTGAAAATAGCCTCTAGTGCTTTTTAAACAATCTGCTTTGACCTTCAATAGTGTTCTTCCATCTTGTGTTTCAAAAATAACCTGAGGTTCATCAGCTTCGGCTTCTTGAAACTGACAGTCGACTCGGTGGTCATGTGTTCCTTCTACTTTCCGGACGATTTTATGCAAATATCTTCTTGCAATTAGAAATCCCAACACGGCCATCATGTCCTTAATTAGTTGGTTTTGTTCCAGTTCGGCCTAAAAAATTTAATTAATAAACTTTATTAAAACGCTTACAAATAAATTTTTAAAAATATTAACGTACTTCAGAGCAATTTTCGAGTACGTCCTTAATGTACTCAAAAATACCTTCCAATGGCTTTGATCGCTCACAAAATCGATTCCTTCGGCTGGGACTTTTGATCAATAAAAGACCATTCAAAAGTCCGTAGAGGTGATTTTCTTTCTCCAATGAATTGATCTGACTGTTCAGTACACCTAGGCCAAACGGAGAGTCCACTTCTCCCACAAAATCGTTCAGGATTTCAAAGCCTATAAAATTAAAACATAGAAACTTACAGACGTATAAGCCTAACCATAAAAAACTCTAAAATTCGGTAATTCTAATCCTAAAAACACATAAGCCTACCGTTACGTGAGCCTAACCACAATTCTAAGCTAAACCAAAGCTTCTTCACAACTAAATTTACCTACCAGAACGTGCCTTTTCAGCACAATCCGAGCACGTCTGTACAAATCTTTTCGTCATGCAAGGTCGTTTGATCAATTCGAATATTAACATGTAAGGAAAACGCATCTCCAGTAAGCTGGTGATCTGGAGACGAGCTCGTGCCACTCCTTTCAAAGTATGAGCTAGTTTGTCATTGATTGATGGATACTTGGCCAAATAACTTATAAACCCGGATAGTATTTTAGGCTGCACTAGGCAGACAATTTGAGTATCGTCGTGAGAAATGAAGCGGTATAACCATATACAGTCGTTTATTATCTAAAATTTCAAAAACCCTTTATAAAAATTATTAAAAATTAAGTGTTACCTTTCATTTTAAAAATGACCATAACCAGCAAACTTATAAAAATCAACCCATAAAACCTACAGTAATCCGTTTGTCTTGTTCTTTAGGCAGTAAATCTTCGGCACCGCTGCCATAGCCAAAGTACGAACCGGCCGGACTTGGACTATGTTCGCGGCTACAGTATGGCGGCGATGATAACGGACTGAGTGACGAAGATCCAGCTGATAATGGACTAGTTGGATATCTGGGTGATATAGATGGACTGTAAGTTTGTGGTGGCGAATACGAGCTGTTACGGTAGTTTGAAAGAATGAACGCGCGTTTCTGAAAAAAAAACTTGATTATTTCGTCTGAACGTCCATAGCACATTCAAAACTTTAATAAAAATGTTTTAGTAGATCTACAGAAAAAAACTAAATTTCCTCAAAATATAGCCAAAATACAGTATCTCTCCTCATAACTTACAACTGGAGGCTCATAGCTGAACAGCCGGCTGTCCAGTTCGCCTCGAACCGCAGCTTCCAGTTGATCTTCTGGTTCGTTGTCTGCTCTATGTTCAATTTTCTTTTCTTTTAAAACTTGACCCATTAAATTTAGGCACAAATCCAGTAGTTGGCTTCTGTGACAGATCATTGATAAACCGGGTGCGTCATGAATAAAATTCCTAAAGCTAGTTACAATTTCGGCTTGTTCGTTTAGGCTTTTAGTCGCTGCCATTCTTTCTAGAATCAAAATTAAACCACCACTAGTTCGGAGAGTCGAGCGGCCGTAGGCGTCCTGAAAAATTTGAATTTTTACATTCGAATTCTTTTTAAATTAAAAAATTTTAAATTTAAAAAAATCACAAGAAAAAATGTAATTCGATCAACCTACTTCAGCAAAACAAATCAAAAAATTGCACAAGTAGCAATCAATTTGACCATTCTCAACCACTTGTTCAATAACTTTCTTGTTAAACATTTCCCTCAATGGAAATGAAACTTTAGTTAGGTGAACAATCAACAATTTCCACCTCTTCAAAAGTTCTTGATCTTCTGCTTCTTGGCAATATAATAGCTTGAGAAGAGCATCAGTGCAGTTACTGAAATAGATAACACAATATAATGATAGTAAACCTGTTTTTATCATTAAAAAATATATTTTCTTATATACATTAAAAACATTTAAAAAACCATTTTAAATCTAAAATATCACCTTCGAAAAAAGAAATCATACCTTTGAGACACTTGTCTACCAAAGTCTTTGGCATAACCCGTTTTGCTCATCAACTCCATAGCACCTAGTAATGTGGTATCATTGACCACTTCCAATACCTTATCATTAATCCTAACACCCATAAAGTACCCGCAGTTAGCCATCATGACAAATTTCGTATAGTTACGATGTTTTGAAAGTTGTCGTACCACCCGTATTGCTGCATCATATATGAGTTTGTCGCTGTCGTTGATCATGAAAGCCACTTTATCAAGAAGGGATGAACAACATGTTACTAAGCTAGCAGTTTCTTTGTAGTCGGCTAGATTGCCAAGCAGACGAAGCAATGCTGCCTTTATTATCGTATCGTTTTGAAAGCCTAGACCTGATTCAAGAAGTCGAAGGGAATTTGAAGGGAAAATTGTAGCATTCAACTTTCGAAGCTAAAAATAAACGTTAAAAGTAATTTACCTAAATACCTTTTGACTTAAAGAAATTAAATCAAGTAAATCCATATCGTGTTCATATAACTGTTCAAACTTACTTCAGTAGCAGCAGTGATGGTAAAATGACACAAATTGGCAATCAAACTGAGCAGCTCCTTAAACATGACAGTGCCTAAAGCATTGTCCTGAAGATCCCATTCTCCACCCATAAGCAAATCCATCGCTGTCAGAAGCCAATGATAACAGTTCATATCATCCATGAATAACTCCATCACCGCATGCTTTGACGCACACCTCTAAACATACACCGTATTATAATTTATCAAATCAATTTCTACATAGCATAAATTAAATAAAATTAGACACTTTTCCCAAAAATTAACAAAAAATTTAATTTTATACCTAAAATCCACAAAATCAGCCATAAGTTAAAAAATTAGCCATATCTTTCGAATGCCTACTTACTCTTTTCAATTTCATAATAACTTGATGTAGTTTAACAACATTTCGCGCCTCCAACTCATTTTGTAAGTGAGTTGTCAGTTGCCTCAATGTTGGAGCCTCGGTTCTTGCCATAATGATATTAAGAATAAGTTAAACTAAGACAGTTTAATACAACCAACAAAAAAAAACAATAAAAAATCCAAATCCCAATAAATTCAATACATTTTGGTAAAAAAATCCACTGTGTAACACTAGTAACTATGCAAAAATATCAATCTGATCTAATTTTCGCAAATTATTTTACTTGAAACCTTACGCCAAGCATTTTTAGCTGCCGAAGCTTTTCTCTGCGGGACGCAAGACAGTTGTTATGTAGCGTTCCTTCCACGAGAAATTCCCGTTCAATGCAGGCTTTTATGACTTGTTCACAATGTTTCCGCACATTTTTCCTTAATTTTGGCATCAAAAATTAAAAAATTGGCATTTTGTGTATTTTAAAAGTGTTTTAGGAGTTGCTCCCGCCGGTTTTTCGTATTTTTCTCGGCTTTTTAAACCTTTTCATGGAGTGCAAATTTTCAGAGAATAAAATTGCAAAGGAAAATTTTTCGATGGTTTTTTTCGAGTTTTCGTTTAATTGAACAAAGTTTTTGGGAATATTCATTAAGTTTAGGCTTGTAATTGATTTAATATTGATGTTTTTAGTTTGATACTATAATTTTTATATTTGTTTTATTGTATTTTTGTTATTAACTTGTGTTAAAATACGGTTTTTAATAAAAAATTATTATTATTACGTTTTTAATACAGTGTTATACAATCGAAAATAAAAAATTAATTTCAATTAAAATTTGTAAGAAAAATGGCAAAGGTAGGTTTTTCTATTTACTTTTTGACCGTTATGGCAAAATTAAGCTTTTATATGATTTTTTAAAGCAAATGTATAACTTGTATTTTACAATTAATTTTATATTTTAAAAATGCCATTGTCACTTCACTTTTTATTTAAATTTGTGATTTCGTTAACCGTATTTTATGTATTGTGATAAATTGAAATATTTACTTTAAAAGGTGATGAACTAGCTTTATTTTAATGGGTGTATTGGACATTATGCAGCATTTTAAATTTATAAAATTCAAACCTTTTTTGTTTAGTTCATGTTGCAGTTTAAAATTAAGCTTAAATAGTAGTTTAAAATATTCCAGGTTTTTTTTGAATAGGCTAGTTACATTTTGGCTTAATTTCAGTGGACAAGCTATATATTTGCTAGTAATAACTAAATTTTGGCTTGATTTGTATAGGCTATTTGAGTATGAGCCTTATTAACTTCAGATCGCTGAATCTTAACATTCCCTTGACTGACAGCTATAAAAGGACGGTTTTTCAGGACAGTCGGGTAATCGCTGGCTACAAGCGCAAAAATACTATGAGGGACCCCTAGAAAAGGCGAAAAAATACTATAAGGGACCCTCGGCGGGGGCGCGCGCAATTTCTGACCATCTCCCCTTTTTTTCTCTCTATCGCTCCCTCTGTTCGCTGTTTGAGCGCCATTTTTTTTTGCAAAGCGTTGAAAATTTTTATACGAAAACATTAGCTGGTTTAATATGTGATTCTATTTGGTTTTACAGTAATTGTTGTAATTTGTTTTTGCTCATTTTTTGCGTGTTTTATTTTTTTTTAAATATGACATTATTTTTTTGCTAATTTATGCTTTTTTAGTAATGAGTACCAAACGACGTAAACCCGAAGATTCAATAACGCCAGGCCGAAAGCGGGCAAGGCGGGAGCCCACGGTGGATCAGGTACGTTTATTTTAATTTGATTTTTGTGTTTTTAGGTAACAAATTAAATTATTTTAAGCAATTTGGGTAATAACTGTATAAATTTATTGAAAAGCTTTAAAACAGCAATTTAAATAGGTATGAATGGTTATTCTAAAACTTTTTTTGCTTAACTATTAGTTTGTCAATGTGAAGTTACCTTGTTTTAGTCTGGAATGTGTCAATCTCTTTTCAACGCCTTGAAGGCGGCGCGTGATGAGGAGGGCAGTCTCATATCAGAAACCTTCATGAGAGCACCATCACGAAGAGCTGATCCAGAGTTTCACTCTACTATTCAGAAGCCTATCGACATTGGGCGGATCTCACAAAAGCTAAACTCTGATGATTATGCCACTTTTGATGAGATTTGTGACGACTTCGAGTTGTTGATCAAGAATTCGTTGAGCTTCTACAAGGTATGAAAAGGACATACTTTTTTCTTTTTATTTAGTTAAAATTAGTGTTTTTTAATTGCGCTGTGTAATATATTATATAAAACGTTAGTAAAAACGTAGGTGATGTTTAAATGTAAAATTTAACATTTCAGGGTGATTCTCAAGAACGAAGACATGCTTTGGCCCTTCAGAAGGCATTAAGAGATGAAAAAGAAAAAATTTTGAATCCTGAAGAAGGGACACCTCTAAAAACGCCGAAAAGGTAATTTTTAACCTACATTTATTTGCAAAAAAAATAAATTTAAAACAAAAATTATTTTTAAAATTTAAATTTGACGAATTAAACTAAAAACCGTTTTTATAGCGAACCAGTCGATCCCTGGCGATTCCAAGCCGTCATTTGTGCCATTTTGGATCTCACAGACAAGCAAGGACGTCTGCTATGTCCGCCGTTCCGAATTCTGGCTCCAAATGACAAATTTCCCGAGTACTACGAAGCCATTCAGAATCCGATTGATTTGAAACGGATAGCTGAGAAGGTTGATGAGTACACAAGCTGGAAGGAATTTCAAGACGATCTCAAGTTACTATTTAAGAACGCCAAAACATTTAATGAACCTGGCAGTGTTATATACAAAGACGCAATCCAGCTGAACCAGTTCGCCAATGTGAAGTGCGCTGAGTTTAAAGAAGCTAAGAAGATCACGAATAAAGAGTAGGTTGTTGATTATTTAGCATTTAATCTTTTTTAGTAAACTTTGTGATTTCTGATGGGTTAGTGACTTTTTGATACCTAAAATAAGGTTTTTCTTCTCTTTACTAGAAGAAATTTTACATTACAGTGCAAATAAAAACAAGGAAATGATAGCTGAATTGCTATCACAAAGCTACGAAGAGGATGATGATGCGATCTCAGAGGATTCAGATGACGACAATCAAGAGTCGGTGTCAGATGAGATGAAAAAGCTTTATTGGAAAGTTCGAGATTTTAAAAAAGATGGTCGAGAACTGAGTGAGAACTTTATGAATCTACCGGAGAAGGTGTAAGTAGAAGTTAGTTAAAAAGGTTTTGAGCTTATAAATTCTGTTGCTGGTAAATAGGTAACAGATTTAGGCTTGATTTCTCAAAAATAACCATTTGATTTTTAAAAATATTGGTTTAATGTACCTTCTTTAGTCACTATCCGGACTATTACGAGGAGATCTCAGACCCAATGTCATTTTATTTGATCAATAAGAAGATGAAACAAGGAAAGTATGACAAAATTGACGAATTGGTACAGGATATTCACAAAATATTCTGTAACGCCATGTCTTACAATGTGCCGCAAAGTGACATATATGAAGATGCTGCCGAGTTGGAGGAGGTTCTGATCAACACGGTCAAGCAGATGGGCCTTCGTGTGGATATTAAGGTATTTTTTTTGTATTTGAGCTTTTTTTAGAATTTGATGATTATCGATACCTAAATTTCATAAATTTTGTTTGAAAATTCTAATCTACTTAAATTTAGCCATTTACGGATCCACCAGAAGAAGAGGAAGAACAGTCTTTCCAAGAACCAGCAGAACCTCCACGGAAACCACGCAAACCTAAAATCGAAGTAGTGGAAGCCTTATCCACAACGTCATCGAGTCCTCAGCCAGTTCGCGACCACCAGTTAAGCCTTACTTCAGATGACAACTCAAACCTTGAAGCTCCAGGGTCACCGAAAAAGAAGCGTGGCGTACCACCCAGCCGATTGCCAACCGCTATCGAAACCCGGAAGATGTTGATCCCAAAAAGATCAAAACGAGATCCAAATGGGCCGAGAATGAAACCAGGTCGAAAGTCCTTTAACGAAATCCGAGAACGATACAAGTTGAAGTTGATGGAAGTTATTGAAGGGATTCAGAATCTGAACGAAAACGGCCGAAAGTTGTGCAAGGAGTTTTTGTATCCACCGAACAGGAAAGCCTTCCCAGAATATTATGTCGAAATCGAGAATCCGATTGATTTGACCACGATTAAGCATAGGATTCAGAATGGAGATGTGAGTTTGAAAAATAAAATTTTTGGATAATATTTATAATTTTTTTGTTTTTAAAATTTTAAAAGATATGTTGATTACAATCTGCTTTTTTAGTACAAAACGTCGGACGAATTCTTGGAAGATATCAAATTAATGTGCAGAAATGCCCGCCAATTCAACGAACCTGGATCTCAAATCTACAAGGATGCGAACACAATCGAAAAACACGGTCAAAGTTTACTGGCAATGTTCACAAACAACACACCATTGTACTTCCCACCACCTAGCAAGTAAGTTTTTATTTTTAATGTTGTCGCTTTGAGGTGATTTTTTTAAAATTTTTGTTTGTTTTGCGTTAAAAAGTTGTCGTAAAGTGTATATTACATCAAACAAATGTTTTAAACTGTATGTCGCTTGAAAAACACCTTCTATTAATATGTTCAGAAATTCCAGAAGGCAGCCGACTTACTTTAATGGCGATTTGGACGAAGAAGGCTCATATGTATATAGACAATCGCCGAAAATCAAAAGGGAAAGACCTTTACCGCCAACACCACAACGTCTAAATGGACTTCAACATCATATGTTGTCCATACTGGATGCCATTTTGAGTTATCAAGGAGATGGAAATAGAATTTTATCTGAAAAGTTCTTACGGTTACCATCGAAAATGGTAAGGAATTAATTTTGTGGAGTTTTTTGCAAAAAATCAATTTTCGATTTGATTTTTTAAATAAACTTTGAATGGTTTTTACAGAAATTTCACGATTGCTTTAAATTTTATTTTTGTTATTTCAGGAGTACCCAGAATACTACGAAATTATCAAAAAACCCATGGACTTGAGCAGAATTCGCCAAAGAATTGTCTACAAACCCTACGAATCTCTGCGCCTTTTCCTGAACGAACTCAATTTGGTTTTCGAAAACGCCTGCAAATTCAACGAACCAGAATCCGAAATCTATCGTGATGCCATAACGCTACAAAAAGAACTCATGGAAATCAAAGCCGAACTTTTCGAAGAATCTACAGTACCGTCCGTACAAGTACAAGTCAAACGAATCCTCACGAATCTGCTGGTCTATGTGAATACATTTGCGGAAAACGACCGAATTCTAGCTCATTCATTTGCCGATATCAAGGATTTGTTTGCCAAGAATGGCATCAAAGTTGCGGATATGCCTTTCACGTTTGAACAAATGAAGATCAATGTTGATAAGGGGCGTTATCGACGATTGGACAGATTCCAAGATGATTTGTTTGCGTTCTTCACTAAGATCAGAGATATTACAGCGCCGACTAGCCAAATTTTTGAGGATTCAATCAAACTTCAGCAAGCTTTTATTCAGAAGAGAGATGAACTGTGTAAAACAGTCCTAGTTTCACCGGCTACAACGTTCAATGACAGCATGTTGAACGATGAAATTGAAGCACAAAAGAAGGAGCATCGGAACAAAGCAAAGGAGGAAAAGAACAAGGATGAAAAGGTTGCGGTGGCAAATGAGGAAAATGTTAGTTTTTAGGCTTATTGCATTATGTTGAAGCTTTTATTACTAATTTTTTTGAAATTTGGGTTAGAAATTTATAATAACCGTAATTTTTTCAGAAAGAGAAGGTGTTAGACAGCGTGAAAAAAGATGGCATCAAGTATCTTCCAGGCGATTATGTATATGTTACCTCTGACAAAGAACGGCATATAATTAAAATCCAGACTATCAAGGATGTGCCAGACGAAAAGGAGCTTTTGATCAGTGGAAAATGGGTCTACAAACCGTCACAAACCTTCCACTTGGCCACAAAGAAGTTTTATCCACATGTAAGGCTTTTATAAATCTATATGGCTACAAAAATACTTTTGAATTGCAATATTTTTTTACGAAAATTTTATTTTTATGCATTAATATTGAGTTTTAGGAAGTTTTCTTGACACCATTTACCGCCAACATCACTGTTGAACGTCTCGATGGAAAATGCGTAGTAATGTTTGTGGATGACTATGTTACCTCAAAACCAAAGGACTTTGACGAAAAGGACATTTACCTATGCCATCAAGAGTATCTCGGTCGTCGTCAACACTTCCGACGAATTCAAACTTGGCCATTTCCGGACGAAGCCGAAAAGTTCAACTTTGAAGCCAGACCAGAAGAACTTGAAGTTGAGAAAACAGAAACTAGCGAGTTCATCAGCTCTGAAGCCAACAAATCTACCAACGATGAGCCGTCAGAAGACGAAGAAGAAGAGGAGGAAGACGAACGAATGCGTGGTTTGCCTTATATTATTGAAATTCCACGTGAAGAGATCGTACTGAAACGACATGTCAGAGCGTTTGATGATGATGAAGATGCTGACAAGACTGGAGAAATAAAAATCGAAGGCTCTGAGCCAAATTCAAGCCAAACTGTTAACGGTGAAGTCAAGAATGAGGATAAGAAAGCCGAAAGTCAAACGTCAGAAAAGAGTCAAGAGAATAAAGATTCTACAAAAGATGTTCAAAAGTCTTCAGAAACCGAAACCAACGACGATGTGGTCTACTACGAACAAATATACAATGCTGGTCACTTTTACCGTCACGGCGACTTTGTTTTGGTCTACAATCCGAAGAAACCGTTCTGTGACGTGATGCGATTGGAGAAGATTTGGCAAACACCATCTGGCGAACGTTACTTCAGTGGACTTTGGTTCTGTAGGCCGTGCGAAACTACATATGAACCTTCGATCAAGTTTTACAAAAAGGAAGTCATTTTGGTAGAAGGTCGAGACCGTGTGGAACCAGTGGAGAGAATTCAAGCCAGATGTGCTGTTTTGAGCATGAAAGCTTGGCAAGCTAGTGAGTTTTTGGAAGGATTTTTATGATTTTGAAAATAATCTTTTATTTTTGAAAGTAAAAATATGAAGGATTGTGTTAGGACGTGTATTTTTCAATTTTAGGTATGAAATTTTGAAGAGGTTTGGATTTTTTAAACATTTTTTGTTTTAGCACGACCAACTGAGATTCCAGAGTGTGATGTGTTTGTGTTGGACCATAAAGTGTCAGGAGATCCAAGAGATCAAGAGAATTTTATGAGATACACGGCTTCAAAGAGCTTCAGAAAGATCAAGGTAGGTGGCTTTTGAAATTTTAACGTTTTTAAATGGGTTTTTGTGTTGCAAATGTGTAATGTTCTTACGCTTAAATGAATAGGTTTCTAGGCTTGTAATGATAAAACTTTTTGTCATTTCGCGGAGTAGTACTGTAATTTTTACGATTTTCGCATAAAAATTACATTTAAAAAAAGTAATATCATATTGAAATAGCGAACAAACATCAAAAACAGAATGATGTTGTTTGTGTGAAAGGCTTGTTCAGGTATATTGAATTTGAAATTCAAGATACCATAGCAACCCCAAGTGCAGTATGAGCTTTAGAATGACATGAGAAATTAAAAGCTTGCGAATATTTAAATTAATTTACGAAATTTAATATCTATTCACGAAGGAGACAACAAATCTTAAAATGCATTTGGTAGTATATATAGTTATAAAGGTCTCAATACAAAAATGTTGAGCTATATAACTTATTTATGATATTTAAAGTCAGTAACTTAAATGATAATATATAGTTGTATTACTATATATTCACTGGACAATTTTAAACTCACAAACCACCAAAAGCACACTGCATATAAAACACCTTTTGATTGGCGAAATAAGAGACAAATAAAGAAGCCACACATCATAATAATGTTTCACATACAAAGGCCGCAATTTCCAATTCGGTTCGAAATGGTCGAGAAGTAGTATTAGCTGATAGGAATTTATGTGGAATTTTAAACAACCCTTTACTTGACTTTCTATAGTTTCTTTTACTTATATTAACGTGGTTGTTATCATACGAAGTCACGTTGCTACAAGTGTTTTTTGCCTCTAGTATTGTGTTTTGGGATGGAGTTCCTCAAGTATTCAAAATAAGGTCTTGCCGAGTTTAGGTGGTTGTTTTTGCACTATCAATTTCTGAAATTACTGAATTTACGAGATTTGATGTGTAAAGTACGATAAATAATGCTCTGGTTTGCAATCTTTACTCATTCTTTGTAGTATTATTACTCTTGTTGCATATGGAAGCTTTCCTTCTTGGCACGCCCGCGAAGTACACGGATGCATCTGAATCTAAAATTACCGTTTCTTTCTCTCGCAATGTGTTTTGCGACTGTTTTTACGCAATGATCTCTCACATCGGCCGCCTCGGACCCTTTTAACGGTCCGTTTTCCCCCTTTTGCGTATCGGGCGGCCCCCATCCCCTTTGTGAATAAAGGTCTCCTCTTCCTACGTCTTATCGGATGGCTACCTTCTCTAAATTTCTTTTTTGTCAGCGCCTACTAAAAGTATTACGTTTCTGTCTTATGTTTCGTCCGATTCAACGTTCTTTCTTTCTCTTCTCTCAAAAACCCAAATTGCAGTCTTGTGCATAACAATTTCGCAGTTGACCCTTTCTGTTAAACGGCAGGCCTGGGTCTCTTTTCGGTTTACGATGAACTATAACTCTTCTAACCGTCTGCGCCTTACCCCCTTTCAATGAAAAAAGACCGATATTTGCGCTGTTGTAATGTCTACGCGTTGGGCGACAAACTCGAAGCACCACCGCGTCCCAATTTTTAAGACTGCACCGCGGCGCCCTGTGTGTGCTCTCTAAACCTACATGTTTCTATGCGCTCTCGTAACATTTGAGCGCTGTTTCGCTTCACTAACTGTTTTTCTCTCTTTCCCGAAATTTTTGACTCGACCCCGCCGCAGCCCACCAAAAGGCCAGCCAGTCGAAGCGGTCGCCACTGCCTCTCTTCTCTCAGCCACCTCTATCTCTGCGTTTCGGTTTTCCCTCTCCCCCACTACTCCGCAGCCCAGCTCGCCCCAGCCCCAGTCGCCTTTCACGCCCGTATTCAGTTGGTTTTCAGTCCGCTCGAAAAATTTTTGCGTTTCTCCCGCGGAAAAGCGAAGAAGAAGAAGAAGACCAAGTCGTTGAGACTGGGTGGTGCTGAGTGTGTGTGAAAGAAGGTTCACCACACCCGAGACCGGTCCCCCAACACCCGTCCGTCCGTTCAGCGGCGCGCTCGCCTTCCCCAACCACTTTTCGTCTTCGGTGTGTCTTCTGCCCCCTTTTTTGCGTCTTCCTCCCCCCAGCCAGCCCCATGCCCCAGCAGCGAACGCGAGCGGTTCCCGTTCGTTGCTCTTCGTTCTGCCTCCGCCACGGCGGAGCAGAATCAGCGCCGGCTGAGCGCGAATCGTCACCAATTTGAAGCCTTGCGGGGTCGGTACGGCGAGAGAAGAGGGGGCGCGACCGCACCCTGCTTATGGTACTGATACCGATTTTTTGAGGTTGGTTCTAACGGTAGGGTTTGATACTTGTTATACGTCAAGTACTGAGGGGTGTTACTTGTTGTTATCATTTGTTGGGCACGTATTTTCTTCAACCTTGAAATTTTGGCTAGTCAAATCTATTGATTTTTTCAATACGTTTATGTTTTGTTGTTCTAACGTTCGGCAGTATGTAATATATTATTTGTTAAGAATATGTTATTCAAAAAAAAAGTGTCAAAGGGTCTTTGTAATATGTTTTTTTTTCTATATATTGCCCAAAAAATTTAAACTTTTAGGTAGGAGGTAATTTTTTTTACGTAACTTGATATTTTTTACTGCAGAAAAACTTTCAGCACACATTTTTTAGCTAAAGTTTAGAATCATAGTGTTTCGAATTTTTTACAAGGTATAGTGAACAGTTTTTGTTTCTGGACAAGTCTTGCTCTTATCCGAGTCAAGTCTTTGCCGCGTTGAGATTGTGAAGTCAATGCATCCATTTGACATAAAGGCTCTTTTTGTTTTCTTCGCGGCCCGCTTTTTCTTCACGGAGCAGTTCTGAAGGCGATAGCAATTTTAGGTCTTTTGCACTCTCTTCTCTCTTGCCTTTTTATACCGTGATGACATCGTGTTTACATGATGCGCAAACGTGAGCAAAACATGTAAGGCAGTATGGAAAATAAAAATGCGAAGAATACATTTTTTCTTGATTTTGACATTGATTTTTTTAAATTTAGGTTGATTGAAATGTGTAGTCCAGTATATTTTAATGAGCCGTAGTATATTTTAAAGGCTTAGCAGCACGGATAAAACAGATTTTTAAAACTAAAAAAATCGCGCAGAAAAAAATTTTTAACGTTAGTGAGAGCATCTTTGATAACCAAAATCACCGTTCTTTCTGCATATACACTCAAGCAATTTTGCAAAATGTGAAAAAATTGTTTTGCTACACCACCCCCACTTAGCTCCTGCGCCAACAAGCAACAAGACCCCACTGGCTCCTTCTTGTTTAGGCTCTTCACCCCCTAATACTTACTTTCCTTCTCATCCTCCCACTACTGGTCTTCCCCCACCCGCTTTTTTTCGACCCGCGTGAGCTGCGTGGACGCCCCGATCCTGAACGGGGAGCCCCGCTCTTCAGCTTCCCCCGCCGCCTGCTTCTTCGTCCTGCCTTACCGCTTTTGTCATCGCCCCGGTCGGTTGGTCAATCCCGGGCGTGTTGAGTAATGACCAGCGGGAACGCTGCGAGAAAAGAGGAAATAAAAAATGTGTTTTCATGCGAAGTGTTCAGAAATTTGAACGAAATGTCAAAGAATTTATTGGAAAAATATTATTTTTGATTTTTTGGGGTACTAATGGTGGTTTTTAAAAAAATATGTTGAAAAATAAAAAAAAAAGAAATAAAATTTGTAGAAAATTCATAAGTTAAAAAATTTTTCAATTTACAAAATGTGCGCTGTCAAACACTATACATTTCACCTCTTTTTTAAATTTAATATGCGATTTCTTGATTTAAAATATTTTTTAAAATAAAAAATTACGAATTTTTAATTTCAGCAATATCCACTGTCGCCTGCGGTGCCGGATGACGAGATCTTTTATTTCAAAAACCCAATAACTATGGAACGTGTAAGTTATCTCAAATTTAAAATTTTTTCAAGGCTTTGTTTTAACTTGTTATTTTTAATTTTAAAATTTTTTTACACAAAATTTTTTAAATAAATAAAAATTTTATTTTAGGAACTCTCGTCCGAGGTGGCGAAGCCCGAAAACGCCCTCCCAATCGACCATCACGATTTGGAGAACGAGGATCGGCATGTCACGGAGCAGTTGGAGAGCACGCCCGCTCTCAAAGACATTGCTTGGCTTGCCAATCAACCCAAACTCAATGCCAAATCCAAGTCTGGCTACATTCTGTTTTCGGCCGAAATCCGCAAGCGAATCATGAACGAGAATCCGGAAGCCGGCTTCGGCGAGGTCAGCAAAATCGTGGGTGTGGAGTGGAAAAAGCTCACCGAAGAACAGAAACGGCAGTACGAAGAGCGGGCCAACATCATCGCTGATGCTCGGGCTAAGAACGATCTTTTAACACCAAACAGCAAGGTTTTACAGGTAGGGTAATATTGATTTTGGATAAAAGAGGGGGGGGGGGGGTTAAGGCCTTTTTTTAAAATTTTTATTGTTATTGGAAAACGTTTATGAAAAGACGTGAAAAATGATTTTTAAATGCTTTTAATTTGCATGAAAATTTTAATAATCAACTTTTTTTTAGCCCGGAGAAATCCGAGTTCACGTTTGTAAGTGGCACGGCTGCGACTTCCAGTTTGATCATCCGGACGGATGTTTCGAACACATCCGCGTGAGTCACGCATCGGCTGACGAAAACAAAGTAATCATCGATGGAGAAGCTCACTACGCGTGCTTGTGGATGACATGTGTTAAATATCGCCAAACTGGAAAACCCTTCCCATCATTGCCACGACTTTTGAGGCATATTCGAGAAAAACACATGCCCGCCTCGGGTAAAGTGATTCAGCCAAGTCAAAAGGGAAAGTAAGTGATTTTTGGATGTTATTAAAAATTAAAGTTTTTGTTAATTTTGATGGTAGAACTTCGGAAAACGCTATTTAACGTCAACAATTCATTCTCAAGTCTAAAATCTCAATTTTTCAGACACTTTTTCCATTATCTACCTCAATCCGAGCCCTCAAACAACTCGACCAAAGAACAATCTCATGGCTTGTTTATCAACCAACCCAATGGAGTAGTAACTCCTAACGCTGTTGCCCACAAAACCGCCCTCCCCTTGGACGGCCCGCCAACCGCCACCACTTCAGTAGCGTATGTATCCACCCCATCGACGTCGGCTGCCGCCCAAGCCCACACCCCTCAAGTCTACGTCCAACAATCTATCCCAGCCCAATCAACGGCCCATAATACACCACACACAAGTTCTCATGGCACTACTCAAGTGGTACAGGTCATAAACGGCTCCAATTTGACCATTAATGGTAATCAAGTGGCGTACCTAAATGGCTCTTCCACTCCTTACCAGGTAATAGTCAATCATCAGCCGCAAACCATCCAAGCTCAGCCAGGCCAACAAATTGTAGTCCAACATTCCATGCCTTCTCAACAACAACAGTCGCACATTGTCGTACATGGGAGTACGCCGGTACAACAGGGTCAGTACGCTTTACATCAGCCTCAAACCTCAACATTCCAAGCACCAGCGCCACCAAAACCCGAACCACTATTTGTACCGCCGCCAAATAGCATCAAAACCAAACGGGTACTACATTCGTTGACCTACTTCAAGTACGTCGAGAACATGAACAAGGTCAGGCAACGGGTGAACGGACATGAACGCCCACAGAAACTGAGGTCGGATCAGCGCAAAACGCTAATACAGTGGCTAGGAAGGGTAAGGAAATTGAGTTAAATTTTTTGGGGCGGGATGTCAATATTGATTTTGGGAGAGAAAAAAATTGCTGAAAGTTTACTTTTTCAATGTTATTTATGCAAATTTCTGAAAAATTTTAGTGTTTTATGTAACGAATGATATGTATTGATTGTGAAACGAAATGTCACTATTGATTTTCCATTTTTCAGGACGAAAATCAACGAGTTCGCGACGATGAATTGACCCGTGCCTTGAACCGACTACGTGATGACATGCTGGATAGCTCAGTTAACGTCAAAACTGTCGAGTTAAGCCTAAACGAGCTATAAGGCTTAAGCCTAACCTTGTTGTAAGCCTTTTCACTGCAGCTCACGGGTCCTCAACCAAACCCGTTGTATATGACTATAAATATGAATATTGAGTATTGCGTGTTATTGAACTTTACCTATTGAACAGTGGAGTTGCGGTTATCGTATTAAATTGTTCATAAGTTTGTCATTCTGTTCACTTTTCAGGCCTCATATCCTTGTTTTTTGTCGTCAAGACGTTTGTTTTCTCGATTCGTAGTGTTCCAAAGACTGTAAATTATGATCATCTTCTTATGCACTTGGTTATCATCTTTTAAATCCATTTATATCGACTTCTTTTGGTTTTGTCGGGGATCTCAATATTTTGTTAAAACAATTTTTAATTATTAATAATATTACAATAAATTACGTCTACTAACGATTGGGATTGACTGATTGAGGCCGAGAAAGGAAAAATTTTTTAAAAAATTTTAGAATTTTCACTGTGCGGTCAAAGAAGGATTGCACGGTGCAGTAAAATACGATTTTTAAAAAATTTTTTAGTTTTTTATCAAAAAATTTATTTTCAATCATATCACGTAGCATTAGATAAGGCACAATAATTACAACAGTAAATACAGTTAACAATAGTGAAAGGCTTTGTATTAAGGATACTGTAGTCAGACCCGTTTTGTGGCGTTTTGCCTGCGGCAAAACCTGGTTTTTTTGTTTTTAAAACGGCAAAAACTTGGTTTACAACAATATTAAAAACTTATTGGGGCGGTCGAAAAGTTTGTAGAATAGGATAAAATTTTTGACATTGAGATTTTGTTATTCTACGTTCTTTTTGACCGGTTGATTAAGAAAAATTTGAAAAAATTAAATTTTAGGTAACAATCTTGTGAAAAATCTTAAAAAATGTTGTTAAAGATAAAAAGCCAAAAAATTTTTAAAGAATTTTAAATCCGAAAAAACTTTGTTTACATTGTTCTTTCGCCAGTTTGAAGTTCGGGACCCCCAACAAAAACAATGGCATTTCGTTTCTCAGTTTTGGGCGATTCAGAATGCGAATAATTCAACGCTACTGACGATGAACTTGAACCACTAACCTTGATACCAGAATCCAGTCTAAGATCGTTTTGTTGTAGATGGTCGAGGAAGTGTTTGGCCATTGCAGCTTGCCAAATATTGTAGATAAGGAAAAGAGAAACAATAAGGACTAGGACAAAACATTTTAGGTAATATCCTGGGTTTTTTCCTGTGTCCAGGGCTGAAAATGGCGTTATTGAATGTTGTTTTCGGTAACAAATAAGTTGTTTTAGATCAAAATACCTTTATTTAGGTAATAAATAAGTTGTTAAGTTTTAGATCGATAATAATTATGTTTTTGGATAAAAATATATTATTTTAGGTAACAACTAAACTGTTTTACATCAAAACATATTTTTTTAGGTAATAAATAAGTTGTTAACACTTTTTAGGTAATAAACAAGTTGATAACACTTTCAAAGTAAAAACTATATTTTTATAGAATTTTAGGTAACAAATATGTTTGTTTTCGTCTGTTTTACAATTTAATTTACAAAAAACTTACTATCGAAAGCCCAGTTGAATACCATCAAGATGTACAAGGGTTTGAAGAAGAAGTAGAAGGCAAAGATGAGCAGGAAATGTGAAGCCAAGAATATGTGGAAGTACTAAAAATATTCCATGAACTTTTTGACCGAAAAATGAGGAAAAAATTATTTTTCTGCAAACTTTTTGACCAAAAAGTAAAAACAGGTTAATATAAACTACTATAGTAACAGAAGATTACTATAGTACTAAGGACATATGGGTTAGCAGAAGTAACCTTCTACTAATCCATTTGTCCATTATAAGTTTAAAAATGGCAGTGTAACATACCGAAACCCCGAGTAATGGGTACATAAAGCGATGATCACGTCGGAAAACGGCGCCGGCTGTCAATATCGTCACAATGTATGAAATGCTGAGTACAAAGATGGCTTTTCTAAAGTACACGGCCAATAGTGCTGTTAGAGCAAGCAGCACCGCTACTCCAACGGCTATAATCAGCTTGATTCCTGTCTGAAATTTAAGTTTTTAAACTTAAAATTTAAAAAAATTTTTTTTTTAATTTAAAATTTTTTTTTATTTTTGAGGTTTATCGTAACATTTTTCAATTTAAAATTAATTCTTTATTTAATTTTAAAAAATTTATTTATTTTTATTTCTCTGCACAGTGCAGTCAAAGAAAGCTTGCACTTTGCAACCAACAACTAAGACTGCACGGTGCAATCGATTAACCATTGCACTGTGCAATAAAAACCCTGCACAGTGCATTCCAATCCAAGTTTTTGAAACATTGACCTACCCTAATGTGTAACCGACCGTACAAACACCGTTCCGGGATGCTGGCGTCCATCGTCTGGAATGGGAAATTACAAAAATGGAATATTCATGAAACGGTGCGCGAGTGAAAGTTATCGAGGTCAAAAAGCCCTGCGGCGCTTTCCCGGAACACGTAATGAATGGATTTCCGTTTTTTATTGTAAAACAAATTCGAAAAACCGCTGTGACATCGAAACCGAAAAACAGCGTGATATCATCAAAGGGGGCATCCGAAAACAAATTTTGTTTTTTTTTAAATTTGAAATTTTTAAAATTTTAAAACAAAAAAATGTTTTAGCTATTAAATTTAAAATCTTACCGTAATCTTAAAATCTTACTGTAAGCTTAAAATATTACTGTAAGCTTAAATTGTTCACGCTTTTTAGGCTTAAAGTTTTTAATTTAAAGCCTTAGTTTTTAATTCAAATCTTAGGCTTAGCCTAAGGCTCTCATATCACTTTTCAGCATGAGAAAACTAAGCTTAAGGTCACTAAGCCCGCGGTCTATAATAATAAGGCTGTAAAGAATAAGCCCACTAAGCCTACTCAGCCTTAGCCTACTAAGCCTAAAGTTAATAACGCACACTAAGCCAAGCCAGACTTAACCAATATATAATAAGCTTAGGATAAGCCTAAAGCATTAAATCCTATAACTTTTAAGCTTAAGAGCACTAAGCTTGCCACCAATAGTATGACCTATACGCTTAAGGTGCTAAGAATAGAAAATTAAGCTTATGGTTACTATGTCCGCGGCCTATAACCTTAAGGCTGCTAAGAGTAAGCCCACTAAGCTAACCCCGCCTAGCCTATTAAGCCTAAAGTTAACAATTCCAAGGCCTTTAAGCCTAAGGCTTACATGCCTATATATTTTCAGCATAAGGGCACGAAAGTTAAGGTCACTAAGCCTAAGACTGCCAAACTTAAGCCTACTAAGCTTAAACCTAGCCAGAATTCGTCAACTAATCCTAAGGTTAATAAGCCTAAGTCTTCTAAGCCTAAAATGTTTTGCCATATCCTCCAGTAGCAAAGCTCCAACTCAGAATCATCATAAGAACCGATTCAACCAAAAAACAACAATGTAATGCCGCGAAACAGTCCGAAACGTCGCATATTCCGGATGACGGCGCTTTAATTAATTAAGAACATTGAAGAGAGCTTCATTGTACTTCTGAATCCATGTTACAAAATGACTATTATGTACGAATATACGATGAGAAGCCGGAACTTGAGAAACTATTTTAATAAAATGGCGGATCTTTTCACAAAAAAAATTTTTTTTTAATTTTAAAGAAATTTTAAAAAAACTAAAAAATAAAAATTTTTAAAAAACTTTTGGACCAAAAATTAATTTTTCAATAAACTTTTTGACCACAAAGATAAGAATTACATTTCCAACAATTTTTCGACCAAAAAATAAAATTTTCTACAAACTTTTTGACCGACATCACAAATTCAACTCAATATGAACATGCCCAGTCGGCGTACTAACAAGATTACTGAAACAAAACGAAAATGTCGCATTTGAAGCGGATTACAAAACAGACTTGATTCGATAACAATCGCCGGAGGATCTTGACGTCGTAAATAACTGGACTTTTTCGCTTTTTCCTCGAATTTTGAAGACGTTCTTATGGATAATATCAATATTTCAAAAAAGCAAAAATTTTTTTCTATTTTTGAAAGATTTTATGTTCATCACGCAAGAATAGGCTTTTAAAGTAATTCTTGACTTGCACGGTGCAGTCAAAGAAGTGGTTGCACGGTGCAGTTAAAGAAGTGGTTGCACAGTGCAGCTAAAAAATGATTGCACAGTGCATTCAAAAAAAAGTGATTGCACGGTGCAACCAAAAAAGTGATTGCACGGTGCAGTCAAAATAAATTGCACAGTTAATTTTAAAAAATTATATAAAATAAAAAGCGTCTAAAAACAAATAAAAAGGGTTAAAAATCCGAGTTAATCACCAAAACGTTTCCAAAAATGATCGGAAAGCGTATTTTTCATCAACAAAACGTTGATGAATCACAAAAAAGTGCAAAAATCAATCATTTTGTCACAAAAATGTGATGATTAGTCAGGTAATGTTACTTTAAAAGTTGGTGAAAGGTTAAAATCAAGTAAGCCCAAAAAGACTATAATAAGCCTAAAAAAATTTAAATAAGCTTAAAATATTTCTAAGAAAAAAGTTTCGATTTAAATTAAAATTTAATTTAAAATTTGATTTTTGTCATCATTTTATGACAAAAAAGCGTAATTTTATAAAAAGAAATTTAAACTAACTTTAAGCCTAAAATTAAAAAATTACTCCTAAAAATTTTTATTAACTTCCAAACTCCAAAAATTAAAAAAATAAAACCCCCTGCGGTCATTCCCCAAGGTTTTCAAATAAAATGGCCGCAGTTTCCGTTTCACTTGGTTTTTGGGAAAATAAATCAGTCTGCAAAGATCGATTTCAACGATGGTTGCGCAATTGCTTCATCAACTGAAGTCGATGGAATTCTCGGACAATCACGCTGTGACGTGAGCCAAAACCTTTTTTTGGGACGTTGGGAGAGGTTTTTAAAAATTTCTTATATAAAAAATTGCACTGTGCAGTGAAAATTTAGCGCACGGCGCAAAAAAAGTGATGCACGGTGCAGTCAAAAAATAACTGCACGGTGCAGTCAAAAAATGATTGCACAGTGCAGTGAAAATTTAGTGCACAGTGCAAAACAGTGCTTGCACAGTGTAGTCGAAAAATGATTGCACGGTGCAGTCAAAAATGGTTGCACGGTGCAGTCAAAAAAGAATGCCTTTTCGCTGCACCGTGCAAAAAATTAATAAACATACGTGAAAAAAACATTTTTAAAATAAAAAAAAATAAAATACATTTAAAGACGACTTAAAAAATCCGCAAAACTTCGCAAATCGCAAGCTCAACATCAGAAAAAGACCTTCCTCGCAGTGTAACTAATAAAGCAAACGACGTTTTCGAAAAAATCGAAGAGATGACGAGATTTATGATAGGTATCGTTTAAATCCAAACAATTTTTGTTATTACCTGCGCGCTGACGTAGCTCAGGGTTACAGGATGTGCGTGAAAAGATTAACGTCGAAAGGCGAACGGTTTGTCGTAACTAATGTAATCGTTTTGTAATGGCGCATAAAACAAGATTTTCAGCTTGTAAAAACATTTGTGCGACAAAATTAGTTGTAGCAGACCTCTCAAGTGGCTATTTTTATACATACAGTAAAAATGTACAGTAAAAACAATGTCTACAGTGAAAAAATACCGTAAAAACAAAGTCTGCAGGGCAAAATGGAGAAAACAACAAGTCTACAAGGTAAAAACCAAGTATTGAGTGCAAATTACTGTAGAAAAAACTTATTAAATATTGAACAGTGCAAGATTTTTTCGAATGCACCGTGCAATCTCTTTTTGACTGCACCGTGCAACCTCTTTTCGACTGCACCGTGCAACCTTTTGTTTGACTGCACCGTGCAACCCTTTGTTTGACTGCACCGTGCAATCTCTTTTTGACTGCACCGTGCAACCTCTTTTCGACTGCACCGTGCAACCTTTTGTTTGACTGCACAGTGCAAGCTTTTGTTTGCCTGCACCGTTCAATCTCTTTTTGACTGCACCGTGCAACTGCTTATACTTTAAAAATTAAAATTTTTCAGCCCAAAAAATAAAAAAAAGACTAAAAATATACAAGAACAAAGTCAATTTCATTAATAAACTCTAGAAAATCTGGAAATTGGTCAACGACAGAGTGAATAACAGCGGAAAGATACGAAATGACCGTTATAAATCAACTTTTTTATAATTGTAGCAACGGAATTGTAACGAAATAGTGGTGAACGGCTAGCCGACAATTTGTGTCAGGGCATCGCGGTGGGACTAATTAACTTTTCGCAATTTTATTAATTGAGAAACTGGAAAATACTTTAGAAGATCATTAAACAAAAACACCAAAAAAATTTTTTTTTTCAAAAAAAATATTTTTCTAAAAACTGGTGTAAGTTATAAAAAAATAATAAGCCTAAAGCCTCTAAGCCTAAAAGACGAAAGCTTAGTTCTCTAACCTAAGTCTAAGCCTAAGCCTAAGCCTAAGCCTTAACCTAAGCCTCTTAAGACTAAGCCTGTCTAAACTTAAGCATTTGCCAGAACCTCAATATCAGTAACGAAACATGAACACAAGAATACTTCTAAGCCTACACATAACAAATCTAATCCTAATACCCTAACCTAAAAGTTTAAATCAACTTAAACAATAGGCCATACAAAACAAATACAGTGGAACTCTTGTATAATGAACAACTTTAAAATCCCCGTCCACCACTACACTGACCATTCAAAACTCCTGTATAACGAAACTCCTTTATAACGAACAAATTTCAAGTCCCATAGCGATTCTTATACAGAAGTTCCACTGTCATACCTCAAATTTTTCGAGCAAAACAAGATTTTTCAAAAATTGACAAGTGTCATACCCAATAGCCCAATTCAACATCAAATCCAGTATTCCGCGTTTAATTACAAGATAAAATAACAGTAAAATGTGCGCCAATTTCGCGTTATATAAAAGTAATCGCCAAAACCGTGAAGATGAGAAAGAAAAGTAAAACAGTTTTCTTCCGCCCCAAGCCCCCCATCTCCTCATCTTCAGCGGACGGCGTGAACGGATTCCCGCTTCGAAACGTTTGGGTGTGGAACACTTGGCATCCGGCTACGCGGAAGTCGTACGCCAATGTTTATCGACTATTTTTTGATTCGACATGAGGAAGTTCTTTCACGCTATTGTACCGATTTTGGTTAAGTAAGCGCCTAATGAGAGCAGTTTCAAGGTTTCTCAGAATAGATTAAACAAACTGGATTTCAAAAGGGTAATAAACAAGATCTTCTTGATCAAACGTAAATCTGCAACGTAATTCGGAGCAAATTTTGAAATTTCAAAGAAAAAAAAAAGTTTTAGAAAGTTCAAATTTTAAACTTTTGATATAAACAAAATAAGCCTTAAAATATAATAATATATCTAAGCCTACTAACAAGAAATTCAAGCACGCAAGTGGCTTGTATGTCGAAATTGCTAAGCCTACTAGTGCTTCTGTACTTAACTTTATATAAAAATAAAAAGCCTAAAGCCTCTCACTAAGCCTAAAAGACGAAAACTTAGTTCTCTAACCTAAGTCTAAGCCTCAGCCTAAGCCTAAGCCTAAGCCTAAGCCTTAATCTAAACCTAAACCTAAACCCAAATCTAAAGCTAAACCTAAGCCTAATCAAAGCTTCCTTTTAAGTATAAAAGGTGTCCAGAGTACTCTGTTTTTCTGTAAAGAACCATTTTTATCTGCCTTATAATATGGGTACGTACTCTAATGCAATAAAACATCATTATAACACATAGTAAACATAATCTAAGTCAACATTAAATCTAATTAAAGTCTTAAACTAAGAATAGCCTAAGTCTAAGTTAAGGCTAATAATCCCTTTAGTCTAAAATAGCTATCTAAAAATAAAGAGCTTTAAAGCTTGAAGTTTGAAGGTATTAAAATTTTGCAAAATCACACTTGAAACACTGTGCAAAACCTTTTATATACAAAGTTCGTAGCGAGCAATCCCATAAACATCAATTTAAGTTTTTGCTAACTTTTGCGATATCGCAACATAAACACTGTTAATAAATCAATTTACGAATATAGAGGAAATACCTAATTACATCAATACGAAACGTCAGCTATTAAACCAGTAAATTATTAAAAACAAGTTGTAAAACCTTGATTAATATAAAAAAAAGTTTTTAAAAATAAAAATTATCAGAGAAAGTACCCTACCTTATACATGAGAAACGAGCCGGGCCTGAATGTTACCCCGGCCTGACCGAAATTTTGCTCAGGCCCGGCTCTTTTCTTATGTCTACCCTACCTGCTCCGCTCAGAATCAACTCAAAATTTTTAAATAAATTCCTTGTACCATCAACAGTACCCATAATTTAGCTCGCGCTTTTGGGTTTTAAATTTGAATTATTTCCGTTTCCCGCCAATTTGGCAAATTTGGCATTGTGTTTCAAGCACTTTTTTTTGACTTTCCAGACAAGCTACACTTATGAATTTAAAAATGTAGGTTCATTTAAGAGCATTCTACTAGTATATCAAAGAAAAATTTCTAAAAGTCAAAAAATGGCAAAGTTATAAGCTTGAAACACAATGCCAATTTGGCGGGAAATTCAAAACGTAATTTTTTAATCTTGATGTTTTCGAGATTTCCTGGAAAGCGCAATTTAGTACTTTGCTGAGGATCTTATTTCTTACAAGATCTTCCTATATAAAAAGTTTGAAGTCAATCAGAGTGGGGCAGGTCGGGTACTTTCATTGTAAGGCTAAACTGTCAATGTATAATCTTTTTCAAAAGTTATGACTTCATTTTACATTCGAAGTAACAATGAAAAATGAAAAAAATTGCTTTTATATTAATTTTTTTTATTGATCCAAGCAAATATTTTAATAATTAAAAATATAAAAAATAATAAATATGTACAAGGCCACGTTACAAAGCCTACTACAAGATGAGCTTGAGTTTTGTACAGTAAAAACGTGCATTTTAACTGATGGTACTTGAACCACACTGTTGATGTTTTTGATGGTCGGTCTGGCTTCAGGAATCATCATAGTTGGCACTGTGTCTTCTACTGGCTTGTCATAGTCGTATTCTCTGTTTTCTCTAAAAATATTTTACATTTGAACTTGTAGGGTAGGGTAGGGTAGGGTAGGGTAAGGTAGAGTATAGTAAGTACGATAGAGCAAGGTAGGGTGAAGTAGGGTACGTTTGTGTAGTGTAACATAGAGTAGGATGGAGTAGAGTTGGGCAGGGTAGGGTACGGTAGAGTACGGTAAGGTAGACTACGGTAGGGTAAGGTAGGGTAGGGTAGAGTAGGGTAGGGTAGGGTAGGGTAGGGTAGGGTAGAGTAGGGTAGGGTAGGGTAGGGTAGGGTAGAGTAGGTTAGGGTAGGGTAGGGTAGGGTAGAGTAGGGTAGGGTAGGGTAGGGTAGGGTAGGGTAGGGTAGGGTAGGGTAGGGTAGGGTAGAGTAGGGTAGAGTAGAGTAGGGTGGGTAGGGTAGGGCAAGACAATGTAAGGCCAAACATACGTTTGATCATTTTCTGAGCTGCCATCTCCATAGTACGTTTCTACAGTATCATGCCACCTTTCCACTTTTTGTGTTACAGTACTTTCTGTTGTCGTGTGTACTGTAAATGTTTGAAAACTTGTCGCAACGTCAGCTTGAGGTTCTGTAGTCCGCTCGGTTTCTGGTTCTGTAGTAAGTTCTTCGTCGGTTACTGTCGTATATTCAGTTACTGTCGTAACTTCATCATCGGCTACTGTACCTTTTTCATTGTCAAAATCCTGGTTAAGATTGTCGATTTCTTCATCAATTAGCATAAATCTTCTGGTCAAAAACACATCGTCACTCATTACAAATGGGTATTTCGTCAGCATTTCAGGGAAACTCATGTTGCTTATAGTTTGAGGTTCCGGCCCTTTAAAGGTACGGGTCTTACGGTTGATTCGGAAGCAGTGGCTGAAAATGGCAACATTTTAAAACCTTCAGTCAAACAATTATATCAAAATTAATATTCGCCTTACCCAGTAACATGATCTACAATATATTGTCCACCATAGAACTCGTTCCATTGGAAAATTGAAATGTCATGCCCAGAATAGTAAATCTGGTTGTATGATCCTTTCAGTTCACCCGTTACTTGATCTATTACACAGTAGAACTGAAAAGTAATTTTTTACTTAAAAAATAGTTTTTTATTTAAAATTTGCACGGTGCAATGGAGGTAAGATTGCACTGTGCAACGGGAATAAAGTTGCACGGTGCAACGGAAATAAGGTTGCACAGTGCAACGGGAATGAGGTTGCACGGTGCAATGGAAATAAGGTTGCACGGTGCAATAGAAATAAGATTGCACGGTGCAATGGAAATAAGATTGCACTAAAAATTTTTTTTTTCAGCAAAAAAAAAATTAATAGAAAAACATCAAAAGATGAGTACATACATCTCCATGAAAGCACTCTTTGCTCATAGTATCGCGTGTATCGGCTGTCAACATTGGATCCGGAAAATCCGGATAATACTCTTGTAGTAAATCGTCAAGTCCAGAAATGTTATCATAGTTATCAGAACGAGGGCCATTGTATATTACTTGATGATGTTCTTCCAATTCAAACAAATTGATATAATGTGAAGGGCTGATAAAGACGTAGGTCTTGAAAACAAACGCTTTGTCAGAAAATGGCACTTTTAGGTGAAGCACTAACTTTTGGAGGTCTCTGAAATTGAAAAAAATAAAATTTTAAAAGTACTTACCCTACCCTACTCTAAATTACCCTACCCTACCCCACTCTAAATTACCCTACCCTACCCTACCCTACCCTATCCTACTCTACCCTACCCTACCCTACCCTACCGGTCTCTTACTTTTTAAGAAGGACAACTTTGTTTTCTGTCACCCGCACCACGCCATATGGTCGATTCTGATGATATAGAGGAAGTATTTTCGGCCGGCTGGCTTCGAATCCATCAATATGGCCGCGATTCAAAGGGACACCGTACTCGGTGAAGAATAACCAGTCCATTATTTCTGCTTCTGGAAAGATTTTTCTTAGTTTAGGTATTAAAATATATACAAATGTTAAGACTTCCCATTTTAAGTACAAAATTCACTAAAAATTTTAAAAAAGTTTTTTTCTTTTACTTGATGTTAACATAATTACGAAAAATCAGTTTTTAATGAAAGGTTAAGCCTAAAAACTTTGCTTTATAGACTTACCTGGGCTAGGGTCTGAGAATATCTCCAAGAAATGTTCGAAATCTCCTTCATGAACATAACGCTCACATTCTGGTTCAGCTAAAATATAAAGCTATAGTTCATTTGACTAAAAACTCGAAATATTTTTTATGTCTAAAATAAACTTTTTAAAAGTCAATTTTTAAGCCTAAAATAACGTTATAAGCCTATTAAGCTGAACCAAAAGTAGCGAGACGTTTATTAGTTGAAAATTAAATGAAAAGTGTCCCGCTACTTTTGGTTCAACCTAAGATAATATCACAACAAACAAGATAAACATTGTAAAGATCTATTATAAACTTACGATTTGAAAATACTGTGAAATATGATAAACCAATAAGATAAACAATCAAAATCTGTCTTGAACACATTGTTTGAAGCAACAACATAAGTTTTTGTACCTAAAACTATATTTTATTTATTATATTAGGTTGTTCACTTAATCCTGCACCCCCTCTCCAAACAAATTTGTGGGATAAGGGGCGCAGAATTATGTGAATAACCTAATATTAGGTGCCGACATAAAGAACCCGCCATTTTTTACAGGAAATTACAAGCAAAGTATGGCGGGTTCTTTATGTCAGCACCTAATAGTTGTAAATCCCAACATTTTTCTCAAATTTCGACTTATCTTTCACTTAAAATAAAAAAAAATTTCAAAAAACATAAAATTTGTTACCTAAATTTCAAATTTTTCAAAAAATTTTGACATTTTTACCCAAATTTTGCTAAAAAACCCTAGCGGCCATAACATTTGTCTTGGCTTTTATCCTCGGATTAACTTAAAAGGACAAAAGAACGCTAAAAAATTCAGTCATGACCTCGTTTCTGACCTTAAACGGGATGGCGTGCTTGGAATGTCCAATCCGGTCCGGAGGTTCCGGCCATTTCTCCATTCGGGCTCAATTTAATTCTAGCCATTTGTTTTTTCGTGTTCTTGATATTCAAACCAAAAGTTGGGGACAAAGTCTACATTAAAATGGAAAAAATGAGTAATGTAATGCACTTTTGGTATAAGCAACATAATTATTTTTTGAAAATTGAAAAACACTTACCCTGCTTCTGAACTTTCTTACAAAGAAAGTACCCGACCTACCCCGCTCTGATTGACTTCAAACTTTTTACATAGGAAGATCATGTAAATATAAGATCTTCAGCAAGGTACTAAATCGCGCTTTCCAGGAAATCTCGAGAAAATCGAAATCAAAAAATTTCGTTTTGAATTTCCCGCCAAATTGGCATTGCGTTTTAAGCTTATAACTTTGCCATTTGTTGATTTTTAACAACTTTTCTTTGTTATACTAGTAGAATACCTTTAAGTGAACCTAAATTTTTAAATTTTTAAGCGTATTTTGTCTGGAAAGTCAAAAAAAGTGTTTGAAACACAATGTCAAACTTGCCAACTTGGCGGGAAACCAAAATAATCCAAATTTAAAACTCAAAAAAGTTTTTGTACCTAAAAAAATATTTTGCGCGAGTTAAAATTTTTTATGGGTACCATTGGTGGTACAAGGAGTTCATATAAAACATTTGAGCTGCTGTAGTAAATTGTGGTGCGAGATATTCACTGACGAAGCCCACTGACCTTACGCGAGTATAAACCAAGTATCTAAATAACCAATTACCAAATATACCAAAGTTATGATCTTTACGATCAACCAAATACTAACTACCAAATAAACCAAGTAATCCAAATAACTAACTACCAAGACTTTATTTACACCAAACTACAAACCAAATATATATTGACCAGAATTGAGCTGATCGCAACCAACCGCACTGCGGATTTGATGGCACCAGACTGCAGTGAAAACGACCAAAACGCGTTGAAACCAATTATTCAAAAATCGACAAGTTTGAAATGAAACCAAAGCGGTTACATCCGCTTACAGCTGCTTCCGAACGGGGCAGTTAGGGGTACTTTCCTTGTTAGTTTAACCTAATAAGAATAATCAATAACAACCTATACAACAGTGTAAAACAAGTTTTATTGTCAAAGATCAATTGGCCGGAGTGACGAGGATTTCGGCGCACGATGTCAGAGTGGCAGTGTTGGCGGCGGTCGGGTTGTCAGCGAATGGAACTTTGACGCGAATGTACTGTGGAGCTTCCACTACGCAATTGGCACCCATCATGTCCTGAAAATTACATCTTTTTTAGGTTTTTGAATTAAAAGGTCATTTTAGGTATAACATTTAATATTTAGGCTTAAACTAAAATTTATTCTTAAAAACGCTAGGCTAACTAAAATTTAGGCTTAAAAATGCTAGGCTTACATAAATTTAAGCCTTAAAAACGCTAGGCTTACTAAATCTTAGGCTTAAAAATGCTAGGCTTACATAAATTTAAGCCTTAAAAACGCTAGGCTTACTAAATCTTAAGCTTAACAATGCTAAGCTTACATACATTTAAGGCTTAAAAACGATAGGTTTACATAAATCTAGACTTAAAAAAGCTAGGCTTACACAAAATTTAGGCTTAAAAACGCTAGGCTTACACAAATTTCAGGCTCAAAAACGCTAGGCTTAAACTAAAATAAACGCTTAAAGACGCTAGGCTTACATAAATTTAAGGCTTAAAACGCTAGGTTTACACAAATTGTAAGCTTAAAAACGCTAGGCTTTTATAAAATTTAGGCTTAAAAACGCTAGGCTTACATAAATTTTTGGCTTAAAAATCAAAAAAGTTCAAAATAGAGTAAAAAGCTTCAAAATCCTCACCTGAAGCACTTGACGTTGTCCATTGACCTTCAGAACCGAAAACAGCGATGATTTGATCTGTCTGAAGTCGGCATCCTTCACGATTGATCCATCCCAGAGTTCGAAGATGTGCCGTACATTCCTGTCATTTTCGGCCGGAGTCTTGTTTTCGTCGTATTTCAACTTCATGTAGCGAACTTCAGTGGGCGAGAAACGAACTCGAACGTAGATCTTGACCCAGCCCTTCGGTGGCATCTTGTGCTTGGTGTTGATGGGGCTGAAATGGTGGTATTATTTGTGTTAATGACGTGTTATAGTAGAATAACTCGATGTAGAAGTAAAATGAAACCTTGTAGTACTATGACAAGACCTTGTAATGCTATGAAACCGTCTTACATTACCAAAACACAATTTTTAGCAATAAAAGAGTATTATATTTGATAGTACTAGTACTATAAATCATTTAAAAGCCAACAAAAAACCCTTATCAGTACTATTACAAAAACTGCCCCAAAAATCCTAAACCTAAGCCAAAACTAAACCTACGTTTCAATTCTCCAGTGTTTAGTCTTGTGGGTACCCTTGACAGTTTGCTTGGTCGATTCACCCTTACCCGAGTTGGAGGAGTCATCCTTGAGTTCGGTTTCCTGCGGCTTTTCCAAATCATTCTCCGGCATCTTGATACGAACAGTCGGTCTACCACCAAAACAACACAAAATGAGATTTTGAAATAAAAAACTTGGCTTTTATGCTGTGGTAGAAAAATTTGCATAAATGTTTTAAAATTCGTGAAAAATTGAAATAAAATTTTTTTCCAAAAATCCACATGGGGGACCACGTTCAATTTTTTTTCGAAAATTTTTTTCTGAGGGGGGGGGGAGGGTCGAAGTATAATATAAATTTATTTAAAATTTACAGAGACGCCTACATGCAAAGCTACTTTTACTTTGCTGGTATCACATTGACAAGTAGTTACGTACTAGCAACGTACCTTGGTATGTTGACAGTCAAAAAACTACGTCAAAACACACACATATACACAAAGAAAACGAGAAAAGTTCAAGAACAGTTAATCAAACCATTGAGCGTACAGGTAACGCATTTTTACTTTTTGAGGCAAGAACTTTGTTTACAAGGAAAAAAATGGTAAAAACTTTCTTTACACAACAAAAAATGGAAGAACTTTCTTTACAACACATAAAATAGCAAGAACTTTCTTTACAAAACAAAAAATGGCAAAAACTTTCTTTACAAAACAAAAAATGGCAAGAACTTTCTTTACAAAACAAAAAATAGCAAAAAATTTCTTTCCAACTTAAAAATTTTAAAACTTTCACTAAAAAACAAAAAATGCCAAACTTTGTTACCTAAACACCAATACTTCATATTACAGACCATTCTCCCTCTATGTGTATCAGTAGGACCAGCTCTTGGAATCGTGATTCTTTCATTCACACGGTTTGACACAGGTGTTGCCGACCTAATCATGAGTAATGTACTATCTTGGGTACCGGTGTTCAACCCATTATTCACCATAATGATGATTACGCCCTATCGTCGTCATGTCAAATGTATTTTATGTTGTCCTGTGAATGGGCTAAGTATTATAATGTTCAAGAAGCATAGAATGATCATTGACATATCATCAACTTCGATTGTTTCACAATCTAAAGTTTTATATTAAGATTTTCATAAAATTTTTAAAATAGGACTGTTTCACAAATTTTTTGTCAAACCTTTTGGCCAAAAAAATCGACTTTTTTATAAAATTGTAAACCAAATTTAAAAATGTTATGCTTCTATACATTTTTTGATCACTCACACAATTTTTTCAATCAACCATTACACCTATGGTAATATAACACCAATTTTTTTCATAAACAATTTGCAAATGCCATTCCACAACACGACTATCGTTAATTCGGATGATTTTACGGCATTCTGGAGTTGTTTTGACGGTTTTCTTTTTTTCTCTTCCAACTCGATGACTTTTATTTTCTGCCACGTCTCCGTGTTAAGCCCCCACTCTCGACGATCGCCAAGTCTCGACGGGCTCTATCGACCTTCTTTTCCCCCCAATTCGTCGTCGAATCGTCGGATTCTTCCCGTTTTTTATCCCAACGTTTTTTCGAAAAAAAAAATTATTACAAATTTCACCCAGCCTGTTTTTGATCGCAGTTTTGGGTTTTGTACGATAAATTTTTAAAATGATCATTTTACTACGTATTTTAGTGTTATAGGCCTAGATATGCTTTATATACAAAAAAACATTGAGCAAAATGTTTTGTAAACAAAGTTTTTGCGGTTCTGTAAACAAAGTTTTTGCAGCTTTTAAAAATTAATTTTTTAAAATTGTTTTGTTAGAATTTGAATTTTTAAACATTAGTTTTCTCAAATATAGCAAACATTGTAAGCTGCAGCCTGCGGGAGACAAGTTATACGATGAATAAATTTCCAATTTTGCAAAAAAAACCTTTTCAATATAAAAAAAATCGTTTTGTAAACAAAGTTTTTGCGGTTCTGTGAACAAAATTTTTTCGGTTTTTAAATATTAATTTTTTTAAAAATTATTGCTGAAATTTGAATTTTAAACATTATTTTTTTCAAAAAAGCAATTTTTTGAGCTGCAACCTGCAACCTGCAAGTGACATGTTATTATACGATGAATAAATTTCCAATTTTGCAAAAAAAGCCGTTTCAAATATAAAAATCGTTTTGTAAAGAAAGTTCTTGCGAGTTACAAAAATATTTTTTGTAAAGAAAGTTCTTGCAAGTTGCAAATGATTTTTTTGTAAAAAAGTGCCTGCGGCTGTTAGAAAAAGTTTACCAACAAACTTTTTATTTATATTGTTTCAAAAAAGCGATTTCGGATTTGATTCGTTATTTGAGAAGCGATGAAAATAGAAAAATCGCTTTAGCTTTATTAATTTTGACGCGATTATAGGTTGCTTGATATATATTTGGAATTAAACTTGTGTTAATGACTTTTTAATAATTTTGAAACTTTTAGTTAACTAATTTCGGTTTTTAGGCTTAGGTTACAAAACTTTAGGCTTAGCCACACATTTTAGGCTTACGCAATTTTAGGCTTAAGCACAAATTTTAGGATAACGCAATTTTAGGCTTAGGCACATATTTTAGGCTTGCGCAACTTTAGGCTTAATTACACGTTTTAGGCTTACGCAACTTTAGACATAGCCTCACATTTTAGGCTTATGCAATTTTAGGCTTAATTACACATTTTAAGCTTACGCAATTTTAGGCTTAAGCATATATCTTAGGCTTAGGAAAATCTTGTTAAGTATAAGCCTAGAAATCCTAGTTAACCCTAAGCTTAGCAAGACCAAAAACTAAGCCTGGTTTAGTTTTCGGTCCTAGCTGGGCTTAACTAGGATTGCTAGGCTTAGACTTAAACTCAGCTTGCGAAGATACGCCTACTATAAATCTATCACTGCGAGGCCTAGGTCTATGACTTGAATTGCCCACGCCAGAACCAGAGCTTACATAAATTTATATAAAAATTCGCGCCGTATTACCTAATCTTTTGATATAACAACATAGCCTCAGAGAAATTGCCAGAAATCGTATTGCGCAACTTTTTCTTATGTAATATTGATGGTTTATGTAACATTTGCCTCGATGTAATACGACCCAACAAATTACTGCGAGTACAGCCATGTAACCATGTGTTTCCGCGAGCACATACTATAATATAATTCATTACTTTTTAAAAGTTAGGCCATAATACTATTTTTAAAACATAGTACTATTCTCATTTTATAGTACTGTATCTACGTTACGGTACTTTCCTTACTTCATAGTGCTATTTTTACTTTAACAGGTTTTATGTTACAGTACCCCTTACACCAAAAAATTTCAGAATCCAACTATCTCTTACTATACAAACTTCCTCACGTACAAGTAAACACGAGTGCACGTTAGGCGGCTCGTCTGAAGGATGAGTGCGCGACGAAAGCGACATCCTCAGTGAGCAAAATTTTTACCTCAAACAAAATAATGCAATCAATGTCATGGTTCGTGTTTATGGTTATGTTATGGGAGCGGGCGGCCGCGTTCTCCGAGGCCTTCCCAACTCAGGTGTTAAGCGCGTATGGGGCCAGAGGTCGAGTCACGAATGGTGCTAGGGTCAACGACAATGAGATTCTGGCTGAACGGGTTAGCCAACTACAAACTGCGCCTCCGCACGGTAGGTTTTTATATGTAATTCCATATAGTAGTAATGGAAAACCTAAGCCTACTAATCCCAAGCCTACTAAGCCTAAGAATATTAAGCCTAAGACTACTAAGACTAAGACTACTAAACCTAACATAATAAGACTAAGCGTAAGCCTACAAAATCCTGTAAGCCTACCAAACTTAAATTTTCCATTACAGACTACAACATAGGAGTAATCCAAGTGCGCCTAAGTAACTGGACCACTACCCTACCACCTCGAGCCCCAATGACCTCAGCTTTACAATCCGGACCACAGAACGATGAAACAACACGTCGTACTCGAAGTCGTACCCAACCACGACGACGAAAACCCGCCGATAGTGCTGTACAGTACGACGACGATTATTTCGAAACCACAAACAAACCAAAAATGGCACCAATTGACAATACTTTCCTGTACATGTTAGCAGCCATCTTATTAGGATTGGTACTGATCACAACCACGATTTACAGTATCATGTGGTGCATGTCGTGCAGGCGGAGTCGTCCTGAAAGTGGGATGGATATGCCTACGATGCAATTCCCTTCGCGCTACCAATATTATGATAGTTCGCCGTGGCACGGCTCGGAACATCGCGGGTCTTCGGAAATGGAACGGTTGTACAGGTGGGCTAAAATTTTATTAAAATGAGTTTTCGGTCAAAAAGTCGAGAGAAAAGAGTGTGTTAAGTCAAAAAATTCATAGAAAACCTTATTTTAGGTAACAAAAACCTTATTTTAGGTAACAAAATTAATAAAAAACATTATTTTAGGTAACAAAAACCTTATTTTAGGTAACAAAATTAATAAAATACCTTATTTTAGGTAAAAAAATTAATAAAAAACCTTATTTTAAGTAACAAAACAAACAAAAACCTTACTTTAAGCCAAAAAATGAAAACAAAACTTCAGATCAGACCTCGAATTCAAGCGTCCGCCCCTAGTAGCTCCACCTCCGCCGCCACCCCGTGTACCACCACCGCCGGTACCACAACATCTTCGACCTCATCCATCTTGTAAGTGACACTTCCTATCAGTTTTATTCGTTTTCTTTTCCTTTGCTGCTTCAGGGCATGTCCAATCAGTCCGAGAAGTTGGAAGCGGGCTGTCGTTGAGTTCGCTGTCCCCCTAGGGCTTGTCGAGAGTGCAAATTCTTTTTTGTCTAAAAAATTTTGATGTTTAGGTTGTTTTTGAGATCTAAAATGATTTTTAAAATGATTTTTTTAAATTTTTGTATTTTTTGAAATTTAGGTAACAAAAATAACTTTTTGAAATTTTCAACTTTTTAAACAAAAATTTTAAAATTTAGGTAACAAACAATTAAAAAACAATTTCTCAGACCTAAATAGGTATAAACAAGACAATTTTACCAAAAAAATACTAAAATAACACAATTTTTTTAAAAAATGTGACTGTAATGGTACCGTTTTTCGCAGAGCCCTAGCCTATTTTCGCAACTCGCTTAAATTTGCATAAACTCGACTAAATATTCTGATTCATGGCGCTACAGATGAACGACGCCGGCCCCACTACACGCATCGCGACTCGCCGGTGGAGCGCGAGATTCGGCTTCAACTGTTGAAGCGACAAATCAGCGAATCCACACTGTCCACGCGGACTCGGACCAACTCGTTCTGAGGCGTTTGGTACCGTTTTTAGAGATTCATTTTATAAGGTTTAGAAATTTATGATTATATTACGTCTTCTTTTTGATTTTTTTTTAAATTTTGGTCAAAAAGTTTATAGAAACGACTGAACTTCAGTTTTCCGGTCGAAAACTTCATAGAAAATCAATTTTTGCCAAAAATTCTACAACAAAAACGTAAAATGAACCCTAATCTTTCGTTTTCTACAAACTTTTTGACCAACCATTAGTCCTACCACTTTTTTTGACTAAAAGCAAACTTTTCATGTACAAAAACACATGTCACTTTTCCAAACTTTTATATACACTTTATCGTATACCCTTCCTTCTTCATTCGCTTTTGCCACATATTGTTCATCTTTCTTGTACCTGAGCGCTTTAACCCGGTTTGAACGAGCCATGAGTATCGTTTTTATATCACTGTTTACACTTATAGTACCATAGGATTCAAAATATCCTATAAGTTTGAATTTTATATTAAAAACACTTGTTTTCATAACTTATTCTTTACAATTTTAAACAATAAATTAAAAAATGACATATGAAAAGAAATATTATAATACGAAAAATTAATGGATCTTACTACCATTGTCAAGCCCGAAAAAAAATCAAAATGCAAAAATACAACAGTATTCTTAGCAATCTATACTAAAGTACAGTACACAAATTTATTGTTCACAACAATAAACCACAGTAGTACTAGTAGTAAGTCTCGCGGAACACCCATCCAGTTGGGCTTCTTCTGATGGCCATTCTTCGCGTTTCGTCAAACAGTACCAAAAACCATCCGAATGGTACCGCGATCATAGTCCAGCGGAGACGAAGACCGGTCAGTTGGAAAATGTCCTGAATGCCTGGTACGTAGAGGAAAATGTAGGATAGTACGACGGTCGAGAGCATGCCCGTGGTTAGTACAATGTTGGAGAAGCGGTGCGAGAGCATTGATGCTGAACGAGTACGTGCTACGATCAAATCCGCCCATTGGACAATAACAATGGCAAAGAAGAAGGCACCGTGACAGCTGTGCTCCAGTTGCTTTCTTTGATGGTACGACTAAAATTACAGTATGACGCTATACAGTACAATACTATAAATTAAAAAAGTAAAAGCCCCTCCCCAACAAAAAATATAATAACCCACCCACTGTTGTCCATAACTGTCTAATACGTCATCAATTCCCTTATCTTCCCACACTTGTCGTATGTTGTAGATAGTGTGCGGTAAAAACCCATTTTCGGCCATAACCACAAAGTAGGTAGTGAAGCCGGCCAAGCTTTGAATTACACCAATTTGTAGATAGGTAAAACTCAGTAAACGGTAATTTACCAGTCGATCGTGCTCCGGGTTTCTTGGTGGACGCTTCATGATATTGTTTTCGGCTTCTTCGTAGGCCAACGAAATGGCTGGCCACTAAAATGATCAGATTATTACTTTCTGTCCATTTTTTATTGATACTAATGTTAAAAATTAACTTTCTACAAAATTATCGACCAAAAAATAATATTACATTCTCCTTCAAACTTTCAACCAATATCTTCTACTACAACACTTTCAAAACCCACCAAATCAGTTCCGACATCAATCAACAGAATCGCAACAATACTCAACGGCAGAGGGATTCCAAACACCGCATACAACAAAAATGGCATAAGTTCGGCCACATTCGACGTCAACACATAGGCAATGGCTTTTTTCAAGTTGTCAAAGATCAATCTCCCCTCCTCCACACCAGTAATGATAGAAGCAAAGTTATCGTTGAGTAAAATCATGTCGGCCGCTTGTTTCGATACCTCTGTTCCTGCAATTCCCATCGCAATACCAATATCGGCTTTTCGCAAGGCTGGAGCATCATTTACACCATCGCCGGTTACCGCGACGATTCGACCACAACGTTGGTAGGCTTCGACAATTTGGAGTTTCTGGGCGGGGGAAGTTCGAGAAAAGACAACTTGGGGGTAGATTCGTACCAGATGATCGAGTTGTTCGTTTGCCAGCTTTTTCAACTGTTCTCCATGCACAATTACGGCTTTTTCTCCTCTGAAAACATGTTTTTACAGAAAATTGTTAAAATAAATAATTTTAAGGACCAAAACAGTGTCATTATCTTAGTTTAAAAAAAATAAAATGATCTTTTTTATTTCTTTAAAATCCTACTCATAAGCATTGATAACATCGTCATAACTGTCCGAGTCTTCGATCAAATGAGCAACCTTGAAGTCCTTGTTGAAGATGTGTACTTGTTGAGCGATAGCTTTGGCTGTGATCGGGTGATCGCCAGTTACCATTACTACCTAAAATTTATCATTATTACCTAAAAATCACAGTTCAAAAATAAAAAACCCTAAATCTACAAAAAATTAAAATTTCAAAATATTAACCTTAATCCTGGCCGCCTGACACAATTGAACGGCTTCTGGAACGCCTGGTCTTGGAGGATCGATCATACTGATCAAGCCCAAAAACCTCAGTCCATCGACCGGGAAATTGACTGGTTCGGTCGAAAAGTCGTAGTCTTCCGGAAACTTTTCGGGGTCTAACTCAAGATCAGAGAAGCCCAGTACTCTTTCGCCCATTCCGCCAAGTTTGTCGTAGGCGTGGGTAAACTTGGTTTTGAAATCCTTGTCTAACTTGAGTGTTCTGTTCTCCATGAGCACGTCCGTGCACTTGGCCAAGATTTTTTCTGGGGCTCCTTTCATTACTAGGACGAAGCGATTGGCATCATTTTTGTGGACTGACAGCTGAAAAAAGTTAATTTTTATTAATTTTATGTAAAAAAATTATTTTTTATTTTTTATAGCAAGATTTTAATTTTTAACTTATCTATGATCCAAATAAACCAAAATATCATTAAACTCTGCCACAAAACCCACCTGATACTTATTCGAAGAATTAAACGGGATTTCCGCGACTTTCGGCCACTTTTGTCTAAAAGCCTCAACCCCATCGTTCGACCGAAGTGCACTGTATCTCAACAACGCAATTTCACTCGCATCTCCATTGGCTTCTCGCTTCGTAATTGGTTCACCGGCATTTTCCGTCCTCCATTCGGCTCTGGAGCACAATGTAGCACATCTCCACACCAAAAATTCCGTATCACCGTCTTTTGGTTGTTCCGGAAACACCTTGTCCGTGACATCATTCACATTGTTGTCGAACCATGTGTGAGTTACTGTCATGCGATTCTGAGTCAATGTGCCAGTTTTGTCGCTGCAAATTGTTGAAGTTGAGCCCAAGGTTTCTACACCGTGCAGATTCTTGACCAAGCAGTTTTTGGCACTCATTTTCTGAGCTGTTAGGGTTAAAGCGACGGTGATTGTGGCCACGATTCCTTCGGGGACGTTTGCTACTACAATTCCAATGAAGAAGATACAGGCTTCGACAAAACTTCCATTGAGCGATATGGAAATAGCAAAAAAGACCACGCCGATGACGACAGCTACAACACCGATCAGATGGACGAAATTGTCCATTTCTGTTGACAAAGGGGTCTTTCCTGAGTTTACCTGAAGTTTTACGTTTCAAAATTTTAAACAAAATTCAATTTTTTAAAAATTAAAATAAAAAAATCCAAAAACTCAAATATTCAAAAAAAATTTATAAAAGTAATACCTGTGACGTCAATGCCGCAATCCTACCCATGATAGTCCTGTCACCAGTCAAGATTACCACACCTCTGGCGGTTCCTTCAACCACATTCGTGGAAAAAAGGCCCACGTTTCTAGATTCCATAGGGTTATTGTGAGTAAATTCTGGGGTTTTCGTGATCGGATCATTTTCTCCCGTCAACGATGAATAGTCAAGCTTGAAACCTTGAGACTTGGTCACTCGGATATCGGCCGGACATCGATCTCCACCTTTACATTCCACTACATCGCCTATTACCAAATCAGCCGCAGGAACTTCTCTGTGCTTACCGTCCCGAATTACCTAAAATAACATTTTTAGGTAATAAATGACCTTGAACTACATTTTTAGGTAACAAAAATAATTTTTTATTGACATTTTATGCTGCACAAATCAAGTCTCTTCAACTTTAAGCCTTATCACAAAAAAAAACTACATAAAACCTCAAAGCCTAACATACCGTTGCCATAGGTGGTACCATGTTAGCAAAACCTTTCATGATAGTACTGCTTTTGTTTTCCTGGTAAAATTGGAACAAACTTGTGATCAATACCACCAAAAACAGAACTGTAGCCAAGTACAAGTTGTCTTTGTTTGGCGTCTGATTCGGTTTCGCCATCCATTCGACCACAAAACTGGTAAAGGAACCAATGGCTCCAAGCCATAACAACATGTTGAAGCCGGTCACCAATATCAATAGGAAGACCAGGAGTTTGCTCTTCTCCTTCGGCGGAGTCAGACGATTTGGGCCGTTCTTTTTGAGGCGTTCGGTCGCTTCGGCTTGTGTCAAACCCTAAAATTTAAATTTCAAAAATCTTAAAAATATTCACCTTCTCCAAGCTGGTGCCATGTCTTTTGAGGAACTCCTCCATTGGGATCTTGTGATCGTCCAACTCAACATCACGCTTCAGGTCATTCAACGAAATGCCAGTCTTTTCCTTCGGTTTGCGACAAAAAATCTCATCCCATATGTTGCGGTCAGGCTCGCGCTCCTGGCCGCTTGATTTTGTCATCCTCAACTTTCAATACTTTGATTACTGAAAGATATTAACTTAAAGATAACTTAACAAAACACCTTTGAAAATTTGTAGAACCCACAACCAATTCGTTTTAATACTCTTTCTGCAAAACTTATACCTAAAAAACAGTTTTTTACTAAAAACAATAGTTTTAGCTTTTAAAATACCAAAATTAAATAAGCACAACTTTAAAACTACCATAACATACTAAACAAGCTTTTTAATACCCTGAAATACAGTTAAAAAATCAAAAACACCAAACTTCCGTCATGAATAACATAAACCTTACCTTTTTGAGGCGACTAAAGACGACCGCTCCACTCCGTTTACAAAGGTGCACGACTGATTTGACATTGCTAAAATAAAAACTTGTGAAACTTCACAAAAATTTGCATAAAACTATCGAAAAATAACAAAATTAGAGAAAAAACTAAATTTTCGACCGGACACTGTGCGAACCGAACTTCTATTGCCGAAAATCCTCCTTTCTTCAATCGAGCCGAAATTCCTTTTTCCGTCTCGATCCAAAAGCTCAAAAAACAAAAAATCTTCCAAAATTGCAAGTTTTTATTTCCAACCTGCCAACCACATCCGCAGGCCGCAAAATCAGAAACGCCGCCAAAGAGGTCCCTTTAAAATCCCCATTTTACAAATCTCAAACACTCAAAACCCGCATTTCTTCCAATCGAGCCAAAATTCTTTTTTTTTAGTTCGACCAGAATCTCAAAAAAACAAAAATTCTTCCAAAAAATTCCAGGTTTTTATCTCCGACTTGCCAACAGACTCCGCAGGCCGCAATATCACAAAGCCCGCCAAAAGAAACCCTTTGAAATATCAATGGAAGCAAATCTCAATCGCTCAAAATCCTCCTTTTTTCGATCGAGCCAAAATTTCTTTTTTTGGTTCGATCCAAACCTCAAAAAACAAAAATTCTCCCAAAAATTCCAAGCTTTTATCTCCAAACTGCCAACAACACCTGCAGGCCGCAAAATCATAAAACCCGCCAAAAAGCGACCTTTAAAATTCAACCCTTGAAAATTTCAAAAACTCTTCGATTTTATCCCTTTCGATTTTCCTCAAAATCGAAAGGACCCCAAAAAAGGGATTTGGCCAAATATGGCCGGACCAGTGCGATCAAATTGGGAAGAGAGGGAGTAGAATATGACTGACAGTGAAAGGCAGAGAGAAACGAGAGAGCGCCGCGAGAAGGGAGCGTGTTCAGACAAGGTCAGAGAGACCCAAAAATGGCAGATTTTGAGAGATTTTCAGATCCTCAAATTTGTCGAAAATCCTTCAATCTTCGAAAGGAGGATTTTGGGCGATCAAGATTTGGCTTGCACAGTGCAGTGAAAATTTCAAAGTGTTCCTTTTGGCGGCGTTTATGGTTTTGCGGCCTGCGGGTGTTGTTGGCAGGTTGGAAATAAAAACTTGGGATTTTTGGAAGAATTTTTGTTTTTTGAGGTTTGGATCGAGTCGAAAAAAGGAATTTTGGTTCGATCGAAGAAAGGAGGATTTCGAGCGATTTGGGTTTGTGCATTGAGTTTTCAGAAAGGCTTCTTTTCCGGGTTTTGTGATTTTGCGGCCTGCGGATGTTGATGGCAGGTTGGGGATAAAGACTTGGAATTTTTGGAAGGATGTTCGTGAGGTTTGGATCGAGACGAAAAAAGGAATTTTGGCTCGATCAAGAAAAGGAGTTGTTTCGGAGATCAAAATTTGGCTTGCACGGTGCAGTGAAAATTTCAAACTGTCCGTAATGCCGGGTTCTGCGATTTCGCGGCCTGCGGATGTTGTTGGCAGGTTGGAGATAAAAATTTGGAATTTTTTTTTTTGCTTGCACGGTGCAGTAAAAGTTCAAAGAGGACTTTTTGACTGGTTTTGTGCTCTTTTTTAACTTTATTCACTTTTAGGTAACAAAATAAATGTAAATGATGAAAACCTTAATTTCAAACAATAATTTACTCGTACGTTTTCTTACCGTCGGAAAAGCTAAGTAGTTTCGTTGTTACATGGTCCACTTGAATATTGTTCGTGAGCGGGGGTGTTTTTGCTGTTTTCATACCTTTTTCGTAACTATTGTTGTTGTGTAAGCCTTATTAGAAGTAATTACGTCGTATACGGTTTGAGAAGAATAGAGAAGGTGGTTAATATCCGAGTTTTCTTATGTTGGAGTTTTGAATTAAAAAAGTGAATTTTTACTTTTTTGGTCAAAAAGTCTGCAGAACATCAAGGTTTTTAGGCTTAAAAGATGTTTTTAGGCTCATTATGTCATTTTGAATATTAAATCGTATTTTTAGGATTTTGATATTATTTTATGTTTTAAATTTAATTTTAGGCTTTTGATATTATTTTAGGCTTAAAATTGTATTTTTGGGCTTATCAAAAAGTTTTAGGCTTAAAAATATTTCTTTAGGCTTAAAAAGAAAGAAAATGTTTGTTGACAAAGATAGGTTTTGGGTTTAAAAATATGGCTGGTAAGCTTAAAAACAGCGTTTAGGCTTACAAAGGAATTTCACATTTTTAAATTATAAACCCATGAATAATATAAATTTCATATTATGGTTAAAAACAAGTAGTAGTCATTGTTATTTTGGACTAAACGCGGTTTGAATTGTTTTGCGCGCGGGATTATTGCGGTAATAACACGATTATTTATGAAATTACTTTTTTTTCGAATTGACGTGAGCAAAAAACAAACATACCATCTGGAAATGGTGGGAGAGCGCGAATGTTGTTTTATTGAAATGGTTTTTTATTTGTAAATTTTGAGTTTACACGGTAGTAAATGGTTTTTGGCGAATCTTTTGTATATTTTTCGGGTTTAGGGAGTTAGAGTTCACAAACTGAACGTTTGTACGGTTATTTGGTTGTGGGATAGTAGTAATGGTAAATATTTTACTGTGGGATAGTGTTAATGGTAGAAAGTTCACTGTGGGATAGTTAGAAGGCTAATTATTGTCGTGGGAGAGTGGATAGGGTAGACATTTCAATTTGAATATATATCCTCTCCCTCCCAAAATTTTTTTAAATGCCTCCTACCTTTTTTGTATCAAAATACGTGCCATATTACCTAATATCTTGATATAACAAGATAGCCTTAGAGAAATTGCAAAAAATTGTATTGCGCAACTTTTTCTTACGTAACATTGATGGTTTATATAACATTTGCCTCGATGTAAAACGACCCAACAAATGACTGCGAGGGTTGAGGTTTACACGATTTTTTTGTGCGGTACTATTTTTTACCTGCCATACTGCTTGAGTATATAAATAAGCTCTAGCTGTACAAAACGCCAATATTAATATTTCTGGTTTTAACGTAAGCTTAAAGCTAAGTTTAAAGCTAAGCCTAAGCTAAGCCTACGCTAAGCCTAAGCTAAGCCTAAGCTAAGCCTAAGCTAAGCCTAAGCTAAGCCTAAGCTAAGCCTAAGCTAAGCCTAAGTTAAGCCTAAGCTAAGCCTAAAGCTAAGCCTAAAGCTAAGTCTAAAGCTAAGCCTAAAGCTAAGTCTAAAGCTGATTGCCTAGGTGAAAAACAATCCAAGAAATGACTGCGAGGGCTGGGTTACATCACTTTTTGTGTGCGGTACTGCTTTTTATCTTCCGCATGTAATATAAAGCGTCATTATTAATGGTGCTATGTGTAAGCTTCGGCTTGATAAGCCATCATCTTAGGCTTAGTAGGATAAGGTTAATAAGCTTAAGACTTTCAAGCCTTTTTCAACTTTCTCAAGCTCATTAAAAGTATAAACGAATACGTTTGGTCGTAATATCCCCCACAGCGAAGTCACACATTTAACGCGGGTATTCATGTTTTCCAAGTTTACATGAATAGATATACGTTTAGTCATAAAGCTGTATACAGAACTCTTTTGTATATACAGTTATGAGTTTACCTCAACTTGGGAATAAGTCATTGTGTTCGAAAAATGGGTTAGAGTTTTAATATTGGAAGGGCGGATTATTTATTATTCATTGAGTTTTGGGTTAGGTGAGGTTTTAAATTAAGTAATAAAGGGTTTTATAGGTGCCGACATAAAGAACCCGCCATACTTTGCCTGTAATTTCTTATAACAAATGGCGGGTTCTTTATGTCGGCATCTAATAAGTAGAACTTTTCTACAAATTTTTTGAAAAAATCAATAAAAACTGATTTTCCATGAACTTTTTGACCGATGTTATAAAATTTGATCTTCCTATAAACTTTGAGATTGAAAAAACCCGACCTTCTATAAACTTCTTGACCAAAAAATTTTAATTTAAATTTTATGCGTTATAAAAATTTAAATAAGCTAATTCAATAGAAATAATATAGTAACACCAATTTACTCCCGAAACAATAGGTCATGGTGAAAGTGAGCTGCTGAAGTAATTGGCTCCAACAAGCTTTCATTTTTTATTTTTGTAGTAGACAATATTGAAGCGGGAACGACGTTTTATGGTTTTTTTGTGGAGTCAACCTTTTTTGGGTTGTAGTTTTAAGCAATTTATTGGAGCTGGGGGGGTAGGGATAAAAGGGAAGGGATGGTTAGATGTATAGGTCATGTGGTATATATTACATATTTTTTAATATAATATATGTTCTGATGATGAGTTTGGTCAAAAAGTTTATAGACAAACAATTTTTTGATTTTAAAGTTTCTAAAAAGTCAAACTTTTTACCTTTCCGGTCTAAAAGTTCATAGCAAAGTTAATTTTTAACACTTTCGGTCAATAACTTCATAGAAAAACTTTTTTTTTTCACAAATTTCTTTGCAACTTTACTTCCTAAAACAATGTTTTTCTTATAAATTTCCGTGTTAAAAGTTTGTTTTATTTAATTTTGACTTTTCTGTTCGCTTAATTAAGCTTCTTTGTTGAAGTTGAAAAAGTTACGACCATGGAGGAAAGTCGTTACAATACGTTTCTACTGAATTATTGTCACGGAACTTTGGAAACATTGTTCTTTAGGTAATAAATTTTTTAAAAATTTTTTAAGTTGCGGTAGATTAGCGCGTAAAAAAGTCTTGTCGTTTATTTTATAATGTTTTCACGGGTAAAAACGACAAAACTTTTTTGAAAGTCGTTTTTCTGTAAAATTTTCGACCAATAAAGTTCAATTTAATTATTTTACATATTTATTGACCTTTTAAGTGAAAAAAATTGACACTCATTAAGAATTTGTTGACTGCGAAGTTAAAATTCGATTTTTCTTTGAATTTTTTGACCGCCAATGTCAAATTTGATTTTTCTATGAATTTTTTGACCGCCAATGTCAAATTTGATTTTTCCTTGAAGTTTTTGACTAAAAGGCTAAAATCAGTGTTTTGCCGGACCGGTCCGGTCCGCGGACGGACCGAAACAAAATTTTTTGCGGACCGGACCCAAAATCCTGCGGACCCGGACCGAACATAAAGCTCCGGACCGGTCCGGAAAAATTTTTTTTAATTTTATTAAAACTGCTTTAAAAATTGCAAAGAAAACATATTTTTAAGTGTTTTTAAACGTAGAAAAAGCAATTTTAGCGCTCTTTGCTTTTTTTAAAAATAAAAAAAATTTTTTTGCGGACCGGACCGGACCCAAAAATTTTGGGTTTGGACCGGACCCAAAAATTTGAAGTTTGGACCGGACCGGCCCGGACCCGAAAATCGCCGGACCGGGCCGGTGAAAAACGCTCCGGTCCGGGCAAAACACTGGCTAAAATACTTCTGTTTACTTAAGCTTTAATAAAAAATTTAAAACTTGTCTTACCCTTTTTTAAACACCACAATTCATCAGTTTATAAAAACTTTTCCCAAAACAATCGGCGGAAAAAACAAAGTTTAATAATTTACAACAAGGTAATAAGCATTAGTTTGCAACCCATAAAGTTGACAAATTAAACAAATCATTTTTAAAAAATTGTGGTTTTCAGAGGTATTTCCAGCAATTAAGGGGGATGATTAATATTTGTCATTGTAGTGGTTACGCCAGCAATTTTTGAACATCAACGATTAAAAATTTTTAAATTGTGGAGCGTTGCTACGGCTTTTTTTCTGCGGGGGGGGGGAGATTCTAAATTTTTTTTGGTTTACATGTAGCTATGGAACAACTTAAAAAATTTTTAAATTATATTTTATATGTTCATAGTCTTAAAACTTTAGGCTTACGTTTTTTTCGGATTTTAAGACTTAAGCCTTTTTTGGCTTGCTATGACTTTTTAGGCTTTCTATAACATTTTTAGGCTGCTTACAATTTCTTTAGGCTTACTATAACTTTTTTAGCCTTGCTTTTATGTTTCTTCTAATATGATTGTATTAGATGCCGACATAAAGAACCCGCCATTTTTTACAGGAAATTACACGAAAAGTATGGCGGGTTCACCTAATATTTAAATAGGCCTCTGTACTTTCTTAGGTTTATCTTTAACATTTGAAACTTAAAAAAACTTTCTTAATAACACTCGATCACCTTGATACTGTAACATAATATCTCTATCCCTAATATCTTGTTTTTGTGCTCACCCAGAAACTTTTGGTTAAACGGCGCCGTTCAGACTCATTACGATTAACGCACGGCCTTTCCCCCTTCCTCCAACGTGATTAACGGCACGCCGTAGCCTTGGCATTTTCGATCTATTAGCCTTGGCATTTTTTTTCTTATTTTCCATCTGAAGGTCACAAAACTCAGCTCATTAAGCGCAAAAAACGATTCATTTTAAGCGGCGACGTTTTTGAGTTTTCGTTTTTCCAACCTCTGACAATTTTTATGGGCTTCGAATCGTCGAATTTCACTTTCTTTCGCGTTTTTCAGCGTTATGCTACGGTGAATACATTCGTGAAATGATCAATTACGTGTGTTTTGGATTGAGAAAAATTGCCAAAATAAACAATATAATACGAACGCTTTTTTATAGGGGTAGGGTAGGGTAGTGTAGGGTATAGTAAGATAAAGAAAAGTAGGGTAGGGTAGAGTAAGACAAAGAAAATTAGGGTAGGGTAGGGCAAGATAAAGAAAAGTAGGTTGGGGTAGGGTGGGGTAGACATGAGAAACGGACCGAACTTATTGTTCAGGTCTGGTCCGAATTTTTTTACGTGGAAACGGACCGGGCTTTGATTTCAGACTCGGCCCGATCTCAATTTTGCTCAAGGCCGGCCCGGCTCGTTTCTTATGGCTATGGTAGAGTAATATAGGGTAGGATAACATAAAGAGGGTAGGGTAATATAGGGCAGGGTAGGATAGAATAGGATGGATAGGGTAGGCTAGGGTAGGGTAGGGTTGGGTATGGTAGGGTAGGGTAGGGTAGGGTAGAGTAAGACAAAGAAGATTAGGGTAGGGTAGGGCAAGATAAAGAAAAGTAGGGTGTAGTAGGGTAGGGTAGGGTAGGGTAGGGTAGGGTAGGGGAGGGGAGGGGGGAGGGGAGGGGAGGGGAGGGCAGGGGGAGGGGAGGGGAGGGTAGGGTAGGGTGTTAATAACTCGTGATTACATTATTTATTCAATATTCCAACAACATTCATACAAAGATATGATTTTAGGTTCACCATGAAATTAAAAAATGGCAGGATATGTGTAATTACAATATGTGCAATATTACACTTATCAGTAAGTTTTTTGTTTTTAAAATGAAGCTATTAAAATTTTACGACAATTGTAAGAAAAAAAGCTTTGAACTAAAATTTTAGGTATATTCAAATACGTTAGAAGACTTTAACGAATGTCGAAAGTCGAAAGGATTCAGTTTGAGCGGCCAAACGCTGATTTGTGATTCTCGGAACGATTTGAAGCCAGAAACAGTGAAAAAATTGTCAGATATTCTAAAACATGTACAGGTAAGGTCATACTTACATTATTCATAAATTTTAAAATTTTAAAAATTTTTTGAAAAATTTAGCAAATTTTTTAAAAAAATTTTGAACTATGGTTATGAGCGCCCAAAAGCATATAAAGAAGTTATTTTAGACAAAACTACAATGTGAATGCACAGAGTTATGTGCTCGTGATACTGACCTTGATGGAAAATTTGTCGGTCTACTACAAGTTACTAATACAGCAGCGCTAAACGAAACAGGAAAGGCGTTTAACGATGTGGCTAGCGAGATTTATGAGTTGGCCGGGCTGGGAAATGCGGACTGCGACAATGGGATGTTGTTGTTTTATGTTAAGGATACGCAGGAGGTAATTTTCGAAATTTGAATTTTAAATATTCTTAAAAAATTTAAAATTAATATTTCTATAAATTTTTCGACCGGTAAATTGAAAAATTATTTTTTAAAATTGAATTATTGATCTCTATATCAAAAAAATAAGCCTATTTTCAGTTTTAACATTAAAAAAACCGTATTTTAGCTGGCATCAATGCGAGGACACAATAAGTTTATCCTTCTCAAGGACCAAGACTTGGACAGACTGCACCAAATTGCCAGCGGCAATAAAACCGATGACTTGAATGCAGTAGCAATGGAATTTTTGGTCGATAAAGATAATGCCACTTCTGGAGGGTCGATTCAAACTTTTTTAAAATCAGCCAGTAACACTTGGGCGGTGGGTTTTTAAAAATTTTTTAAATTTTAAATTTTTTTTTATTTTTAAATTAAAAAAATTGAATTTGTAGAAATTTTTGAAATATTTATGCAAATTAACAATAGAATTTTACATAAATCAAACCTAAACCACTACATTTTAGCCGATAGTAGGACTAGTAGTGGTAGGAGTTCTACTTTTGTTCATATTGGCATTGTTATTGGCCTGTTGCTTGGCCAAGTTGTGTGGTTGTTGTTCTCCAAAGCCAAACAAAAACAAGTACTATGTAACACCAATGCCAACCTACAAAACAGTAGACCCAATTTACATTGTAACACCGCCCAGCGACCGGCATGACTTAATATATTCAACTCCATACTCGGGCAGCCCGTTACCCCCACCTCCAACTATGTACATGACAACCCCACCTCCGCCTATTCACAGTAGTGGTTATAGTACGTATGGTAAGATCTTACTATTTATTTTAGTGGCTTTTAATTTGCGGTAAAGAAGCTGCACTGTGCAGAAAAAATGGAAGAAATAAAAAAATTTTAAAATTTAAAAAAAATTTTTAAATAAAAAAATTAACTGCAGGGTCTCCACGATCACCACGAAGCCCTCTACACACTCCAAACGCTAGAAAAAGCGACACATTGGGAAAAACTTCACCAATGAAAATTGACCGTGCTGGCACATCAAAATCAAATTACTCATTCCAAAACTCATCCTCCACTACACTGCCAATGTCCGACGGGATACACGAACTGCCCTACCTTGAGCCGAAACGAAAAATGGAAACTCAGACTAGGGAAGAATTGATTGAATAGGCCAAAATAGGAACGCACTGCACTGTGCAATGGTTGCACGGTGCAGTCAATAAAAGGATTGCACCGTGCAAACGAAATTGATTGCACTGTGCGTTCAGAGAAAGTTGATAAATTGTTTAGATGTAATTACTGTTTTCACTGTTAATGTATATAAATAAAGGTTTTAAAATATTGAAGTTTACGATATTTTGGTATAATTTAAAATTAAAAAATTTTTTTTGTAAATAAATTTTTTTTTAAAGTTTTTAAAACTTTAAAAGTTTTAAAAACTTAAAAAAAGAACCTCTTAAACCCTTTGAAATTCAATAAAAATAACAAAAATTACAAAAAATAACAATAAATTTAAAAAAACTTGAAAAATTAGTCAAAACACCTCCCCCTCCGCTCCCTCAAATATTAAAATGAATCAAAAGTAGCGGGACACTTTCCGTTGACTTTTTAATTAAAAAGTGTCCCGCTACTTGCGGTTCAAACAACACAAATAAATTAATCAAAAACATGTTTATTCTCTACTTGATACCCAAAAAGTCAGTAAAAAGAAACACGAAACAGACTATGTGTACCAAAACTCCAATAAGCGCGACGATGCCGATGGAAACAAATCCGGTTTTGCGGAATGACTTGGCCAACTCCTCCTGCAACTCCTCCAATTCGCTGTCTTCGGCTGTCACTTCGTTGGCTTCGGTCTGTTTCGAGAATGTCTGCATAGGGGGTTTGGCTGGAGCGCCGTGCGGCGGAGGTGGTGGAGGAGGCGGGGGTGGCGGAGGCATTGGTGGAGCTGGCGGTGGAGCGCCGAGTTCATTTGCTGAAAATTGGAATTTAAAAGTTTTAATAACATTTTAAAAATAGATTATGATAAAAAACTCAATTTGCATTTTTGCGGTCAAAAAGTTTATAGAAAAACATATTGTTTCTTTTTTTGGCCAAAAAGTTCATAGAAAAATAAATTTTTTAGTTCTTCGGCCGAAAATTTCATATAAAAATACTTTTTTTAGCCCTAAGGTCAAAAAATTCATAGAAAAACCAATAACTATTATACTAAAAGTAACTTACGTTGCATAATCTGCTCATAATTGTCTTGCATTTTATAAAAATCGACCGTCTATCTGGCTCAAAACTATCGAAAATGAACTTGAATTAAAATTTTTAAAAATTAAAAAAAATTTTTTAATTTTTCAAATTTTTTAAATTTTTTTGAAATTTTTGGTAACTTAAAGTGCTTGAAAGGTGAAGGGAATTGTTATAGAATAGAAGCCTAGGCTAATATGAAAATTTCCTTGCCAAGACATGTTGTTTCTCAACGATTGAGTTTTGAATCTTATGACTTTATGATGTTCAAATGGCCATAAAACTACTTTTTGTTTATTGCCTCCAGTTTTCAACTGATCTGTTTTGTTTATTTCGCTCAAAGAAACATACGACAGAGGTTTTAACGTACATTTGTATATTTTGTCAAATTTACATTTTAAAAACGCACGTTTTGGTAATTTAAAAGTTTACTCTTACACTCTTTAGTACTATTTTACAACTATAACTATGGTTAAGTATTGCTTTTTGTATTTTGCCATTCCAATATGCTACGGATTCTTTGGGATTTTTAAAACTGAAGAAAAGGAACAACTGGTCGATTGTGAGTTTACTTTTCTGTGGACTTTTTGACCAGAGTAGGGTGAGTAACTTAGGATGAGATAGTGCTGACAATATGTGAGTAAAGCTGGCTAGGTAGGGTAGATAGGGTAATTTCTATGGCAAGGTAGGGTAATATAGGGAAATTTCTATGGCAAGGTAGGGTAGTACAGCGAATTTTTTCTAAACTTTCTGACCAAATTGTTAAGACATGGCACTGATGCAAGAATACGATGGTAATGTTGACCATAGTGACATGAATTTGGCTGTTTTGGCACAAAATCGTACTTGGAAAGAAAATCGTGACACCACGTATGCCAAGCTCTTTTACCACGTTTATAAACAAAAAGATACGGTAAAAGCACCGTACGATCGGGATGTGTACCTTAATTCGATGCGGACGTTGAGAAAGATTGCTCCCTTCTTACGAGAGATTGAATTGGATGGTACTGATTTGTACGATGTTACTGGGTGGGATGAGAGGACGGTAAGGATACTGTAAAAAAGATGTTAGATGCCGACATAAAGAATCCGCCATACTTTTCATGTAATTTCCTGTAAAAAATGGCGGGTTCTTTATGTCGGCACCTAATAGTTGTCATAGAACTGATTAACTATGTATATCTTCCTACTGTGTACATAGTATGTATATGATTTAGATTCTAAACGCGATTCGCCAAAACTACACCGACACCCTACGTGAAGTCTACACGATCGTCTACGCGGCCCAAACTGCAGGTTACAAAGTCTACAAAGCCAGAGGGTCTTTCTTCTTCAAGTCCAATGATTGCACAATACACAATGCTACACGACTGTGCCGTGATCACGTTGGTGTGTTGGCGCAAGCTCTTGGTAGACTGAATGCGTCAATTTCACAAAATGGTGCAGTTTTGCGACAAAACGTGTATAATGTGCCATTTGAGTATGAAACTTCGTACATTTATAATTTAGTTTGACCGATAAATTTTTAAAAGGTGAAGTGGTTTTCAGAATTTAAAATGATTTTTAATACCCTACACTACCCTACCCTACCCTACCCTACCCTACACCACCCTACCCTACCCTACCCTACCCTACCCTACCCTACCCTACCCTACCCTACCCTACCCTACCCTACCCTACCTTTATATTTTCTATCGTATGCCATAAGGTTTAAAAGTACTAAAACGTTACTCTAATCACTTTATTGCCCTCTAAATTGAATAGAATTTGAACTGGAACTCTCATCCTCACTTTCTTCTCCAGATCGTTCTTCTTCACTCAAATGCCCTGAGTCTAATTGGCTTTTGTCATCAAGTAAAGCCAAAGTTTTTCGTCGAAAATCAAGTTTTGTGACTATATCTTGTAGTTGGACATTTGTTCTGAAAATGTAATTTTAAAAAAATTTAATTTTCGTTATTTATCGACATAAAGAACCCGCCATTTTTTACAAAAAATTACAGAAAAAGTATGGCTGGTTCTTTATGTCGGCACTTAATAAATCAAAGTAAACTTACTGATACTCCCTCCACAATGCCTCCAGCACTTCCTGAGTGTAAAGCTCATTCGACTGCAAACTTATCATCTCCAGCACAAACAAAACGTCAGGATGTATAACTCTGTCACAAAACTCCCTCATCAATATCTTATAATCATTGTCAGGCCGTATCAACCTTCGAACATACGATGTACGATGAGAACGAAACCGTAGTAACCATTGCCATTTGATAACATCGTATACTGTAACCATGAATACGAAGATTAACCAGCAGTACAAGAACAAAAATATTTTTTCATTAAACATGTTCAACATCAACACACACTGGATGCTGAATCTCTGCACGTTGGCCAATGTTCGAACGGTAAAATCACATAAAGCGACACGTGGAAAATTTCCGGACAATTCCCAATCCCTGCCAATTGTAATATCGTATAGTATGTGAAAACCCCACAAATGGTCGTTTTGGCCCAGGAATTGGTTCATCATTACGAATTGTCCTACCAAGTTTAGTAAGTATAGGATTTTGGTTGCTGTGTAAGTACTGAAAAGTAACGGTCAAAAAGTTTGTAGAAAAATTAATTTTCTAATTAAAAAATTCATAACAAACAAAATTTTGAGGTCAAAAAGTACATAGAAAAACCAATTTTAATCGTTTTAGTACCAAAACTTGTAGAAAAACATAATTTTTAAGCTTACTTTGACAGATATGTTCCAGCAAGTAGACCAAACCTTAGGCTTGCTCTCCAATGCTTTCCAGCATTTTGTCGTCGTACAAACATCAGCCTCAAACTCTCCTCAATCGTCCTTGTAATCGAAGCTACAGCGTTGCTTCGGTCTGCTTTCTGAAGTAAGTTTTAACAAGTCTTAAGGTAACTTCAGGTATAAACCTTTAATTAAGGTTTTATTGTCATATCTTGCTTTATTTTACTCTATTAGTGCATTGAAAAATTAATTAACAAGAACTATGAATTCAAAAATCCATTTCTAGATTCATAAACGATAAATTTCTAAAAAGATCCGCCCGATCAAAAGATCAAGCCTTCCAAAATTTGTTTTACCAGCCACGTAAAAACGAGCTGAATAAGATACCAACCTTGATTGGAACTTATAAGTTCGGACAATCATTAAAATAGCTTTTGGTTTACAGAAAGAGAGGCTTGCTTTTCGACTGGGTTATTCGCAAAACCAGAGAGAAGAGACCGAAAGGCTGTGAGAGAAAAGAAGTTTTTAGTTTAGGCTTAATTTACGATTTTAGAAATCAGAAATAAGGTCTTCAAGCTTATATTGAATGCCGACATAAAGAACCCGCCATTTTTTACAGGAAATTACAAAAAGAGTATGGCGGGTTGTTTATGTCGACACCTAATAACATTTTTAAAGAAAATGCGCAATATTTCTATCTACTTTTGGACCAAAGTTTGAAAAAAATTTTTTTAGTTTTGACTAAAATAACAAAACGTCATTTTTAAGTTTTAACTTATTATACAAATAAAAAGACTTACATTACTTTTGTCGACATCGTTCAGAGTTTTAATAATGTCAGCTACATCAACACCAGAACTTTTGTTCACTTTGCTGTAAAAAATTACTGGTAAGTAGAAGCAACCAGCTTGTAGAGCCATAATGAAAGGTACCCATTGGTAGTACAGTAATTGACGACTTACTCTGAAAATACCTAGCTTGTACTTCAAAAAAATTTTTTTCATTTAAAAAAATAATCAATTTGTAAAATTTTTTAAATAAAAAACTTTAAGTTTATAACAATTTAAAACGTAATATATATACTAAAGCGTCTTACCGTTCATCGACCCTGCTAGGAATGTCTTCGTCAGGGCTGACCCAATACGTATTGTACACAAAACTAAAATAAACAGACTTATTGGCTTTTAAAACGGCATATCATTACTACCATTTTACAATCGGTCAAAAAGTGTGTAGAAAAATGAATTTCTACGTTTTTTGATCTAAAAGTTCTTAAAATCGAAAAAAAAATTTTTTTTGATTAAAAAGTAAATGAAAAAATCTAAAAATACTGTAACTTACCAATAATTCTCTGCATATTGTTCCCATGCTTTTGAAAACTGAAAATAATGTTTTACACGGATTTCAAATACAAAGCTACAGACAATACTAATTATTGAATTTCTACTACCCTGTTAAACAATAAAAACCAAGAAATACAAAAAAGCAATAATATTAGGTGCCGACATAAAGCACCCGCCATTTTTTACAAGAAGTTACAGGCAAAGTATGGCAGGTTCTTTATGTCGGCAACTAATAGTGCCACTCACTTCAGCAGGAACCCAGCATTGCAACGGTTGGCCGACATATTGTCTAGCCGTTAATGTAATAGCCATTACTGTAATAATCAAAGTTGAGTAGTAGTAGTTTAACCGATCATAGACAGTGTCATCCAAGCGCGGCTTTATTGTTGTTAAAAAGTTGCCTAGTAAGTTCATTTTTAAATCGTATAATATTCGAATACTACTATTTAATTTGTATTAATATGCAGTTTTGCACTATGTTTAGTTGTAGGTACTGTAGCCGATAACCTTATATACAAAATACCAAATTTTTAAAATTTTAAAAATTATACTATCCAAAAGTTTAAAATATCATCAAATTAGCATGTAAACAATAACATGATCCTCACAGCCAACTGGTAATAACTGACATTGAGCAGGTTACCGTGATTATTTGCGCAGTCTCTTTAAGCGCGCGATTTTAAACAAAATTCCTCCTCGTTAAGAAGACTGACCCTCATGTCCACATATTAATAATCTCGAGTGGAACATAACACAAAGTTTTTCACTGAGTAAAAGTACATCTATTCTAATGTAACATAAGAAACCAAAATATCATTTACAATCAACAACATGATTTTCATTTAATAGTCTGAATGCGCCTCAAATTATACCTAAAAATCTTATTAGAAGTCTATCATCTAGCCTAAACCATAACTTAATACATCATTTTATACCTAATACCCAAGTTACATCTAAAACCTTTATTTTAAACATAAAATTCAGATTAAGCGGCAGTGATTTCGATGTGAATTTCGATTGGCAGACAGCCGGCTTTGAAAGGATCTTGAGGTTCTTCGTCTTCTCGAGTTTCCATCGATTGTACAATAATCTTGTCTTTCGATGCTGGACCAGGAATACGCACAACGTCTAATGTCTTCTTTTCCTTCGGTTTTATGACCTGGTACACGGGCTTCACACGGTAAAACTCATTGTTGCTGGTCTTGATCTGGAATGATGACAATAGTAAATAACAAAGTTTACTACATTGGTCCAAAAGTTAAAGAATTTTTTTTTAGATTTTTTTGATTTTAAATGTCGATAAAGCTCAAGCTTGTTGAAGTTTAAAATAATAAAAAGATTTTTTCTACGAACTTTTGCACCGAAAAAAATAAAAAAATGTTTTTTTTAAATTTGAAAAAATAAAAATTTTTTTATAAAAGTTAAAATTCCATACCCTAATCGCCGCCGGCTTATCCGCAATGCTGGTTAATTGGAGCTGAAAAGAGCCACCGGCTGCGGCGACTTTTTGCGATTTTGGAGACACATCGATCAAGGGCACCAGCTTCTCTTGGGTCGGAGCCTTTGGTGGCATCTTGTCAAAGTTTTCGGAATGCGACCGGCTGGTAAGAACGTTGTTAGACGGAATGATTTCGTATTTTTTGCAAATATTTATTACCCTTTTTTATTTTTAAATAAGTTTTAATATTATTTGTTTATATTTTATTTTATTTTATTACTTTATTTTTTTTTCTGTTTTATTTTATTTTATTTTAATATTTGTTTTATTTTATTTTTTTTTTTATTTTTATTTGTTTATATTTCATTTTATTTTATTTTATTTTATTTTACTTCATTTTATTTTATTTTATTTTGTTTTATTTTATTTTTTTTTAATTTAATTTTATTTTTTTTTATTTTATTTTATTTTATTTTATTTTACTTCATTTTATTTTATTTTACGTTTAATTTTTTTTTTATTTAAAAAAAAATTTTTTTAAACTTTATTTAACTATCTAACCTAAGCAAGCCTTACAAACAATATACTCGTATTGTGACACTAATGCAAACCCAGCCATTATCAAAGTACACATTGTAACAACGCTGCATGTTACCATCATTACATTGTGCTAAATACTCATGACAATCCATGGTGTCCGGTAAATCGAAAGTTTCCATAAGATACGACGGTAAACGTTGATAGCAAAAACTATTGAGATTAGCACGAGAGTTGAGATATGATAGTAGGTTTACACTGATATACGATTTTTGAGCTAATGTAGGATAAGATGATATAAGGTGGAGCCAGTTTGATACGTTGTCGGGTAATTGGTCGGTAATCTGGAAAAAAGAGTGTAAAGAAAGTTCTTGCGGTTTTTAAAAATAAATTCTGGAAAGAAAGTTATTGCAGTTTTTAAAAATTGATTCTGTAAAGAAAGTTATTGCGATTTTAAAAATAAATTTTGGAAAGAAAGTTCTTGCGGTGTTTAGAAAATAAAGTTTGGAAAGAAAGTTCTTGCGGTTTTTAAAAAATACATTTGAGCTAAAGTAATCACTAACCTTAAACCAAAAATAATCTGTAAAGAAAGTTCCTACCATTTCTCCATAAACTTGGACAGTTAATTTGTCCAAATTTAAGCGATGCACTGCCAATAGTTGTATCATTGGAAAATGAAGAGCTGTGCCATTTTTAATTACAACAGCTCGAAGGCTAGTGAAAAATTTTGATCTAGTGTTAATTCTGGTCTTTCTGGTACAATTAATATAAGCATCATTCAAAATTAAGCGCTTTATTCGATGCTTTTCAAACTCGGCGCTGTATTCTGAAATAAAAGTCATTTTAGGCTTGAAACTAGTGTTTAACAACTTTAATTAAATTTTAAACATTTTTAGGCTTAAGATATAGGCTGAAAGATAAAAAAAACAATTTTAGACTTAAAATACCAAATTTTTGCTTTTAGGCTTAAAGTTAGTGTTTAATGAATGTACTCTAATTTTAAACGTCTTTAGGCTTAAGATATAGAGTCAGCAATACTAAAAAACAATTTCAGGCTAAAAATACAGACTTTATGCTTTTAGGCTTAAAACTAGTGTTTAATTAATGTAGGTAAGTTTTAAACGTCTTTAGGCTTAAGATATAGGATCAGCAATACTAAATAACAATTTTAGGCTTAAAATACCAACTTTTTGTTTTTAGGCTTAAAACTAGTGTTTAATTAATGTAGGTAAGTTTTAAACGTCTTTAGGCTTAAGATATAGGATCAGCAATACTAAATAACAATTTTAGGCTTAAAATACCAACTTTTTGTTTTTAGGCTTAAAACTAGTGTTTAATTAATGTAGGTGAGTTTTAAACGTCTTTAGGCTTAAGATATAGGATCAGCAATACTAAATAACAATTTTAGGCTAAAAATACAGACTTTATGCTTTTAGGCTTAAAACTAGTGTTTAATTAATGTAGGTGAGTTTTAAACGTCTTTAGGCTTAAGATATAGAGTCAGCAATACTAAAAAACAATTTTAGGCTTAAAATATCAACTTTCTGCTTTTAGGCTTAAAATTAGTGTTTAATTAATGTAGGTGAGTTTTAAACGTCTTTAGGCTTAAGATATAGAGTCAGCAATACTAAAAAACAATTTTAGGCTAAAAATACAGACTTTATGCTTTTAGGCTTAAAACTAGTGTTTAATTACTGTGTTTAGGTTTTAAACGTCTTTAGGCTTAAGTTATAGGGTCAGAGATCCTAATAACAATTTTAGGCTTAAATTAACAAATTTTTGTTTTTAGGCTTAAAAATAATTTTTAAGGTACATGATGTAAAAAATTAAGAATACACCAAAAATCAATTTTAGGCTTAAATTTGTGTTCGTTTTATTTTAGGCTTAAAACTAGTGTTTAATTACTGTAGCTACGTTTTACACGTCTTTAGGCTTAAGATATAGGATCAGCAATACTAAATAACAATTTTAGGCTAAAAATACAGACTTTATGCTTTTAGGCTTAAAACTAGTGTTTAATTAATGTAGGTGAGTTTTAAACGTCTTTAGGCTTAAGATATAGAGTCAGCAATACTAAAAAACAATTTTAGGCTTAAAATATCAACTTTCTGCTTTTAGGCTTAAAATTAGTGTTTAATTAATGTAGGTGAGTTTTAAACGTCTTTAGGCTTAAGATATAGAGTCAGCAATACTAAAAAACAATTTTAGGCTAAAAATACAGACTTTATGCTTTTAGGCTTAAAACTAGTGTTTAATTACTGTGTTTAGGTTTTAAACGTCTTTAGGCTTAAGTTATAGGGTCAGAGATCCTAATAACAATTTTAGGCTTAAATTAACAAATTTTTGTTTTTAGGCTTAAAAATAATTTTTAAGGTACATGATGTAAAAAATTAAGAATACACCAAAAATCAATTTTAGGCTTAAATTTGTGTTCGTTTTATTTTAGGCTTAAAACTAGTGTTTAATTACTGTAGCTACGTTTTACACGTCTTTAGGCTTAAGATATAGACTCAGAGATGATAAAAAAAAATTTTAGGCTGAAACTACATACTTTTTGCTTTTAGGCTTAAAATCTTACTTTTTTACTTTTAGGCTTAATACAACTATTATTCTCTTTAAACCCACCAATTTGACCCTTCCCAATAGCAGTAAACGTATTCAATGTCAATGGAGGTATACCCATAAGAACGTCTGCTTCACCAGTCAAATCTTTCAAATAATTGTGCAAAACCTTAAAGATATCGTACTGTAGCAGATGTGCACGATTCGTTTCCGTACTGCAAACAACTTTTTGAGCTCCAGCAATGACCGATAGTATCATCTGGTGCATTGGTATTGTTATACAGTAATCACAGTCGATTTTAATATAGATTTCCTGAGGACGTGGGCGTATGTACCATAGTAGTACTAGTGATGAGTTGACACTTTTCGAAATTTTAAAAAATTTGCCATTTCCACTGGACCAGCCTATAAAATCTAAACTTTCGGTCGATTTTTCAGGCTTCCGCGCATTGTTTTGGTTACTGTAGTTTAAAGTTTTGCTGAGTTTGTCGTGGTTACGGTAGGGCACTGTACTTTTTAAATAACCAACTTTTTTATTATTGTAGGGTACTGTATCCCTAACATTGCTGTTGTTTAAAGTACTGTAAGTTTCACTATTGTAGAAATTATCAAACTTTGGATTACTGTAGCTTAAAATCTGGACATTCTTGCTATTATCCCTGTAAGACGTTTCTTTACTATCAGAGCCACAATTACTGTAGATTTCTGTACCACTTGGTACAGAGTCGTCATTGAGACCAGTTTGACTTGTACTTGCATGACTGTCAGTAGAGGTTACGGTAGGTGCAGCAAAATGAAGTTTTAGCTGATTTTTAGCACGTTGACTCCGTACAATCGAGCATGTGACTTGGAAAAACTTTTTCGACACTAGCTGAAATTATTTTTTAATTTTAAAATTATTTAAATTTTAAATATTCTAAAACAAGAAATAGTTGTTACCTAAAAACGTATTTGTTTATCACAGGCCTGTGCAAGGCTCTCTTTCTTCTTTTTTTCTCTACCCAGCCTTTCGGTCTCTTCTCTCTCGTTTTGTGGGTAACCCAGTCAAAAAGCAAGCCTCTTTTTTATGACCCGCAATTAAACATAACGTATATACGAACTATAAAGTTCCAATCAAGGTTGGTATCTTGTCCGGCTCGTTTTTACGTGGCTGGTAAAGTAAATTTTGGACTGTTTGATCAGTAATGAGCAAACGCATAATATTTTCTTACATTTCGGCTGCATTTTATTTACTCCATTCAAAACCTTTTCTACTATTAGATGCTGACATAAAGAACCCGCCATATTTTGCCTGTAATTTCCTGTAAAAAATGGCGGGTTCTAATACTTTCCACTTCATCTAAATCTTGTTCATCCAACTATAATATAAAAGAACAACATAAAATAAAACTCACCGCAATTTCAAGTGGCGACAGATTGATAAGATCCTTATTATCATATCGTTCGTTTTGGAAATCGGTACAGTATAAAAATATGTTGGCAATATACCTAGTGCACTCTGATGTTAAATGTCGCACTTTATTCTTGATTTTAAATTCTGCAAATGTGACATGTCTCAATTCACTTGTGACATGATGTTGGATACTTATGGTGCTCATAACCTGAAATTTAGGGAGTTATGTTGATGTAACTATAGTTTTTTGGTACAAGTATCAAAAAAATTAAACATTGGTCAACAAATCATTGAAAAACTTATTTATTAGGTGCCGGCATAAAGAACCCGCCATACTTTGCCTGTAATTTCGTGTAAAAATGGCGGGTTCTTTATTTCGGCACCTAAGATTTTTAAATAGATTGGTAAATTAGTGAAAAATCAATTAAAAAACGGTCAAAAAATACATAGAAAACTTTCATTTTTCTAACAATGGGTCAAAAAGTTCAAAGAAAATCCATTTTTAAAAAATTTGCGTGATAAATTTATAGCAAACCCTATATTTTAATCAAAAAGTTTGCCGAAAAGACCATTTTTCAACTTTACACAAAACTATGATAGCACGAAAAGAAAAGATGACATTGTGTGATGACAGCATAGTATTCGAAAACCAAAAAAAATCCTTTTTTCCACAAAAACTTTGTTTGGCGGCGTTCTTGCGCACTAATGTCCCAAGAACTTTTTTATGCCCTGAGGCGTTCCTCCTCTTTTGGCTTCAAAAAATAAGACGAAAATGGAGGAGGATTTGTTTTCCAACCAGTATATTAAATCTATTATTTTGTTTTCAAGTACCACACTACCATGATATCATTTTTGTTGTTTTGACCTCGGAAATTACTCTATAATTTACTGTTTTACTCTGCAAGTAAATTAATAGTTCTAAGTTATAAATAAAGTAAACGTGCTTAATTGTATAGTTCGGGACAGTGGTTGTTATAGGTTTGTGTTTGGGAACTTAACGTACAATATACAACATAGTATGACATTTTTTATATGGTGTGGCTTTATAACACAAAAAAAGTAAAAACCCCTACCCTAAGCTACCCTGCCCTACCACTCTCCATAGCAACGAATGACAAAATTAATCCAAAATAACAATCCACTTGTAGTTTTAGGAAAGAGGACATTTTCCCGACTTTGTTTTAGGTCGTAAATGTAGTATAATATATTAACAAAAGTATACCGAGCACGTGTCTTGGTTTAACATAGTAATCAGACATAGTATAACATATAAAAGTTTGTAAACCAAATTTTTGCAGTTTTTAAAAAAATTTCTGTAAAAAAGTTTTTGCCGTTTCAAAAATAACGCTGTAAACAAAGTTCTTTCATTAAAAAGCCTTATCCAAGCTCAAAATAAATATTATATTTATTCATATATTAACATAAATTTACTGTCGAAACATCTTCAGATCAAGCTGTAACCATCATCGATGACATTTGCAGCAAAAAACGGACTTGTATTGACAAAATTGGCACTCCTTTTGGCCAAGCAATCTTTGGTACGGCTTCGAAGTTGCTGAATATCTTGTGACAACACTCTCAGGTTAAGAACATCATCAGCCGTCATGTTGTTACTGAGTAAATCTATCCTGGAACAGAAATTATAAAACTTTTTTATAAATTAAAAAAAACGTTGGATTTGACATAAGTTTGTTACCTAAACATGATTTTTCTATTAATTTTTAGGTCCAAAAACATGTTTGTCTATCCTTGCAAGGATCCTTGAACCAAAAATACACTTTAAGTTATTCTTTAGCCAAAAATAAAGTTTACTATTTATTTTTAGACCTAAAATATGCTCTTCTATAAACCTCTTGACCTAAAAACAAAATTTTCTTATTAAATGACTTACATAAGCTGTTTTGTTATTAAATCATGACCAATCAAGGCATTTTCCTTCAGGGAAGCTTCTGATTTTCCTACGATTTTACTTAAAACTTCATCTGAAAATTTTTTATTACCTAAATTGTTTTTTGTTACCTAAAATGGAGCTAAAAAATATAAAATACTGTAAAGCTAACAAGGATAACATCGAAGAGTTTATTTTTTATATTGAAAATCCATTTTTCTATCAAATCCTTCATTTTTATATCTAAAAACCTACAAAACGTCTCCAATTGATTGTCAATGTTATTGTGCAGATCCGTAACTTCTTCCATTTTCTCTTCTTTTTTCATTTTCAATTCTTCCAGCTTCTGATCTTCATGATCGACAACGTTTTTGCACAGTTCTTTGAATTGTTCAGTCTCCAAGTTGATCTGATTCTTCTTGCATTGAAGTTGATATAGATCATGTTCTTGGCTTTCAGCTATTCTGAAGACTGAAAATGATTTTTATATTTGAATTTTTTATTTTTAATAATGAAAAATTGAATTTTCGACCAATTTTTTACCCAAATATTTAAAATAATTTTTTTCTATAAAGTTTTTGACCGAATAACATTGGCAATTGCTGCAAACAGTAGATCGAACGCACAGTGCACATTTCCGAAGATTTTTCTCTCTGTCAAAGCCTTTTGCTCTCTTCTCTCTCGCTGTCCAGCGCAACCCAGTCAAAAAGCAAGTTCTTCTTTCATGACTTGAAATCAATTTTGATACAGATTCGAACTGCAGAGTTCCAATTTAAGGTTGGTACTTCTTTCAGCTCGTTTTAGCGTGGCTGGATAGAAAAATTTTGGAATGCTCTATCTAATGGGGCGGATCTTCCTTATTTTTTTCTTCGGTTAGCAATTTTTTTTGAATTTTATTAAAAAAAAACTAAAATTTAGCGTCGTCTATAAATTTATCGACCGTTTTGTGTGGCGACCATGTTTTTTTCACAAACTTTTTGACCAAAAAAATCAAGCCACTTACAATAATATTGTTCTTGAACCAGTAGAAGATAATATTCGAAAAAGGCTGTAAAACGAGCTTCATATTGTTGATAAACTTCAATCAACTTTTCGTTGGAGTATGCATAGTACTCTGTTGGATAAACCTGCAATTTTATAAAATTATTATTAAGGTCTGCAACTTTATAAAGATATTAAAATCAGGGTCAAAAAGTTAATGGAATTATGACTGATTTAAGTTTTCTAAAAAATTTTTAACCCAAAAAGCAAAAAATTTAGTTGTCTATAAACTTTTTGACTTTAAAAAACTTATTTCGAATCAATTTTGATTAGAACGTATATTTATATTAACCATACCTGTTTGACAGCTTCTTTTTTTGCAATTTGAACTTCGATTTTGTCCTCCAATTTCCGTGTTTTTTCGACCAAAGCCTTAGAAACTACAGTAGCACTTTTCTTGGCTTTAACTTTAATCGCGACTCCTGCAACGATGGCTGTAGATCTGAAAAATGAATTATTTTGCTTTTTATGGTTAAAAAGGCAATTGAAAATCTATTTTTAGTCGAAAAGTTTGTAGAAAACCTTGATTTTACCGGTAAAACTTTTTTTTGAACAATTTTTTAGTGTTCTGGTCAGAAACTTTATGGAAAAACTCATTTTTAGTATAGTAAAAACGTATAGAAAAACTTACTTTATATTATTCCTAAGATTATTGGTAATATTGCCCAAAGCCCGAAATTTAGGTGCCAATGCCAATTTGACCGGTCGAACGACTCGAAAATTGATGACATCTTTCACATTCGCTTGTCTACCGTACCGCTCCATTTTGATGACAATATTAAAATGTTTTTGATTTTTTTTTCTTTGATAATGAGTTTTGAAGTTTGAAAAGTTGAATTTTTATGATTTTTTAAAGCTTAGTTTTTTTTAAATGACTAAATTATTGACTATTTTAAACGTTTGACCGTTCTTTGCTCCAAAACCTACACAGTTTATGTCAAAAACATGTGTGATAATTATAAATGTCTAATTCAGATACTGTGTACTATAAGTTTAGCTTAGGCTTAGGCTTAGGATTAGACTGGGCTTAGGCGTAGGCTTAGGCTTAGGCTTAGACTGGGCTTAGGCTTAGTATAAGTCAATAATGGCGTTTAATGACATCAGACTATGTATTTATATATTCAATTTATAAGGCAGGTAAAGTGTAGGTAGCCCCGTACAGAAAAATGGATTTGGTAGGTTACACTTTGCTCAAGCATGTTATGTACAGTATTTCGTCAGGCAATGATTGTAATTTACTGTGTGGCCAAAGAATAACTTCTACTTATATTGAATACTCAAATGTACTTTATTTTAACATGCATGAGTAGTTTTTAAATCCAGACAATTGTCATAAACCAAGTAAAATAAATCAAATTTCAATTTATGATGTAGCTTACGACTCGTAAATGACATAATATTTTTTGTTTATTATTTATGTCTTGTTCGAATTCAATTCTTTTCAGTATAAATCATAATGAAGTTAAATTACAAAGCTTGTGGTCGATGCTGACCGATTAACAGTATTTGTTGTATGTGTTTTTGTGAATTTTATATGTGCTATAGGTATTGATATGTAATAGGTATAGGGCTTGTAGAAGTAATTTTTCAAAAAATTTTTGATTATTTGGTCGAAAAGTCTGTAGAAAAGTCAAACTTTCAAAAATTTGGTCGATTTGGTCGAAAGGTTTGTAGAAATGTCATTTTTGCAAAATTTGGTTAAAAAGTTTGTAGAAAAGTCAATTTTTCAAATATTTGGTCAAAAACTTTGTAGATTTTTTAATTTTTCAATGTTTGGTCAAAAAGTTTGTAGAAAATAAAATTTCCGTTTTCCGGTCTAAAAGTTTATAGAATTTTTAATTTTTGCCATTTTTTGCATAATCTTAAGCCAAACAGTTAAAAACTGAACTTTCTATAAACTTTTAAACTAACAAAACTTTAAAATTAATTTTCCTATAAACTTTTTGACCATATTTTCATAAGTTCACGTTTTGAATAGTACTAACAAGCAAAAAAAGTCATAAAGTAACAAAATGCGGTCGTATTGCTTCGGATGTTGTAATCGGCCTAAAGTTTTTGAGACGGCCTAATTTGACTGTGCCCTAGTTTTGTCAACACGTATTTCATTTGTTTTTGTTTTGGCGTTTTGTGACAATGCTTTATTGAACCGGGCATGATCCGCGTTTTAAGTAGTTGGGTTGGAATTTGTTTAGAGGAATCTATACTGTTTTGGCCTAACTTTTAGGCTCATGTTTACCAAACATAGTTTTAATAGGCTTAGCTTTGGCACGCTTAGGCTTAGTAGACTTAGGATTAGTAGCGTTAGGCTTATTGGGCGTAGGCATAGAAGTCTAAAGATTAGTCTTAGTAGGTTTTTGATTTGCAGGCTTAAACTTAGTAGGCGTAGGCTTAGTATGTTTAGGCTTAGTAGCCTTATGTTGCTTCGGCACATTCATTAGCCTTAGGCTTAGTATGCTTAAGTTTGGCAGCCTTAGTAGGCTGAGGCTTATTTTAGGCGTAGTAAGTTTACGCTTCGGAGCTTTTGCCTTGGGAGACTATCTGACCAAAGCAGTAAAAATTCATTTTTCTATGAACTTTTTGACCATCCACGTCACAAAATATTTTATTTTGCGATTAATTATTTTTTATTTTTTACAAATTGCTATTTATTTTCGAACCCATTGACATCGTTTGTCGTAATTCAAATGTTTTTTGGTGATAGTTACAACGTAAGTTAAATTTACCCCGCCCCTTCCTTTTTCCTCTTTCTGCCATTTATTAGTAACGCAAAAGTAGGGGCAAGCGTACTTGTGAAAGCAATGCTTAATAAATTTCCTACTGTAACACGGGGGCTTTACAAGTTTCGAGGGTAATTAAATTTTATTTTTAAAAATTTTGAATTGTTTTATGACATCGTGTTGGTATTTTAGGTTAGTGTAATATAAGTTCTTGCCATTTCTGCCCTTGTAAAGAAAGTTCTTGCCATTTTTTATTTTGTAAAGAAAGTTCTTGCCATTTTTCGTTTTGGAAAGAAAGTTCTTGCCGTTTTTTGTTTTGTAAAGAAAGTTCTTGCCATTTTTCGTTTTGTAAAGAAAGTTCTTGCCATTTTTTGTTTTGTAAAGAAAGTTCTTGCCATTTTTTGTTTTGTAAAGAAAGTTCTTGCCTTTTTCTGTATTGTAAAGAAAGTTCTTGCTATTTTTTGTTTTGTAAAAAAAGTTCTTGCCATTTTTCGTTCTGTTAAGAAAGTTCTTGCCATATTATCCTTTCTAAACAAAGTTGTTGCCTATTTCCTTTTTGTATGCTATTATTTTTGAATCTTACGTCATTACTGTATAAAATACGACAATTATAATACTAAATGTTGCTATTTTTGCTGTATATTCGGATTATATAGTACTTGACTTTTTACAGGCTTGGTACAAGTTAATAAAAGAATGACGCCGAAGGCCGTGTACGTCATATTTGGAGGTGAGTTTGATGCAAAAAGAATGGCGGGGTTAAAAAATGATTTATTTTTGATTTTGCGGTCAAAAAGTTTGTAGAAAAATAAATTTCTACTTTTTTGGTCAAGAAGTTTATAGAAAATGCAATTTTTTGTCTTCCGGTCAAAAAGTTTACATACAATCTTTATTTTTGCCATTTCTACCTTTATAACCTTGTTATGTCCATATTGTAAATTCGGCCATAACAAGTTATATTGTACTTACTAATTGCGTATAACGAGTAAATATTATGGTATTATATTCTAATTGATGACCTAATCTGTTCGTTAAGCTCAATTCAGTATGAGATAAACAGTACGTTTGGTGTCAAATGGCAATGCTTTTAACACATGGCGAGGATTTGAGTAACAAAGTTCAAAATTAAAAAATTAGGCTTACTGTAACATTAAAATTACGGTGAAACTTAAGCTTTTTGTTTTAAAAAGCAAATTTTTTAAATTTAAAATTTTTTAAAAAATTTTTTTTTTATTTAAAATTTTTTTAGTTTTACTTATATCATCGATTGTCAGCGCTCAAAGATACCATACCTTGAGGAATTTGCGTGAAGCTGTGTTCGGGTTCGCTCCATCGTCAAGCAGTTCAGAATCTGTAAGTTATTAGTTTTATGTATTATATAAAATGTAAGTTAGGCTTACAAACAATTGTATAGGTTTAAACGTATTGGACATAAAGAACCCGCCATACTTTGCCTGTAATTTCCTGTAAAAATGGCGGGTTCTTTATGTTGGCACCTAATAGTAAGTTTAGACATTTGAATTAGGCGTAGGGGCTTAGACATCGTAGGGTCAGGCTTAGAAGGCTTAGGATTAGTAGGCTTAGTCCTAGTAGACTTAGGCTTAGTAGGCTTTTTAGGCTTAGGCTTAGTCGGCTTCGGCTTAGTAGGCTTAGGCTTAGTATGCTTAGAACTAGTAGGCTTAGGCTTGGTATGCTTAGGCTTAGAATTAGTGGGCTTAGGCTTAGCCACCTTAGGCTTTATAGGGTTAGTTTTATTGGGCTTAGGCTTATTAGACTCGCTTTACATATTCATTCAAAACACTTGTTTAACGCGTTAAAGCTATTAATGCGTCAAATTGTACAGACGTACGTATTCATGAAACACAGAGTAATTACTCACGGGTCATTGGAAGTCATGAATAACGTACGTTTCTGTGGGTTCAAAAGCTTAATATTTAGGGTTTTTTTTAATTTTACAGTGTATTTAAAGTCAAAAAATGCGTTTTCATGTAATTTTTTTTCTATAAATTTTGTGACCTGTGTAAAAATTTTACTTTTTTATTTTTTTTGGCCCTAAAAACCAATATTTTTTACTTTTTTTTACTTTTATTGGAGTAATATTATTATATGTCATCGTACTCTAAAATATAGTACATGGCATACTTCTTGTATATTATAGTAGTATGTTATAAAACGGTTGTAAATATTTATTGTTTATTACTATTTGCACAAAAAGAGATCAAAATGATGTGAAATGGCTAGTTATAACATTCTAATAATCTTTATTGCCATTTACAACGGATGTTTACTGTATATGACATAGTTTATGACATATATTGATATTAAAATATATTTTTACATTGACAATGTAAAAGCATATATTGACAATGTAAAAGCATATATTGACAATGTAAAAGCATATATTGACAATGTAACTTTTTATAAGGTGCCGACATAAAGAACCCGCCACGTTTTACAGGTAATTACAGGCAAAGTATGGCGGGTTCTTTATGTCGGCACCTAATATAAAGGTTCCAATGTTATGGACAATGTAACTTTGTAAAAAGGTCCCAATGTTAATATCCAAGACAATATTAATATACTTTGATGTCATCCCACGTTAGTCGTATGTCATAATTAGAAAAAACTACTCACGAAACAACCTTTTTCACACGATATTTACACCAAATGTTATAAATGTTGTAGTTGTCCTCACATAAATTAATTTAACATTGAACATGGTTAATATTGAAAGATATGTCACACGTATTTTAATCCGAAATACCATAAATCACATTCCCTGTCAAAAAATTGCTGGACTTAAAACGTATAAGCCTAAATTGTGTAAATTAAACATAATTTATGTTAAAAACTAAAAAAATCTTAAAAATGTGTGTCATTTTACCTAATCTCCTGATATAACAAGGTAGCCTGAGAGAAATTGTAAGAATCTGTGTTGCGCAACTTTTTCTTATGTAATATTGATGATTTATATAACATTTGCCTCGATGTAAAACGACCCAACAAATGACTGCGAGGGTTGGGATTTGCCAATTTTTCGTACCGCTTTTTATCTGCCATACAATATGAGTATATAAACATGAGCCAGCTGTTATAAACGCCATTATTAACTTTACTGATTCTAAGCCTAAGCTTAAACCTAAGCCTAAGCTAGGCCTAAGCTAAGCCTAAGCTAAGCCTAAGCTAAGCCTAAGCTAAGCCTAAGCTAAGCCTAAGCTAAGCCTAAGCTAAGCCTAAGCTAAGCCTAAGCTAAGCCTAAGCTAAGCCTAAAGCTAAGCCTAAGCTAAGCCTAAGCTAGGCCTAAGCTAAGCCTAAGCTAAGCCTAAGCTAAGCCTAAGCTAAGCCTAAGCTAAGCCTAAGCTAAGCCTAAGCTAAGTCTAAGCTAAGCCTAAGCTAAGTGCCTCGGTGTAAAATAACGCAACAAATGACTGCGAGGGCTAGGGTTTGCACGATTTTTCTGTGCGGTATTACTTTTTACCTACCATACCTTACGTATATAAAGGCGCACTTTGCTGTTATATAGCGTCATTATTAACTTTACTAAGCCTAAGCAAATCCATACAAAGCCTAAACCTACCAATTCTAGCCAAACGAAAAGAAGCCTAAGGATATAAAGCCAATGCCTATTATAAGATACAAGAATATGAATTTCAGACAGAATCAGATGTGACATCCTTTTTCGTACCCAAGCGTGAACTCATGCGAGATCCGTTGACCGGTCAAAGATATCCAGCCAGTCGTGCCGCGATTCGTCGAATGTTCAGATTCAGCTGATCCTGCTTAGCTACTAACTTAATATTATTATGTAATATCAGCCAACGTTTCCAAAGATCTTCAGAAGAGTAAAAAAAGGTGTGTAATATAATCTGTCGCATTCTTTAGAGATAAATACCGTCTTGTACCATTTGTCATCTCTTTATAGGTATAGTGTATTAAAATATTTAAAATTTGGCTAAAAATGTCATAGTTAAAAAACAATTTTTTAATTTATTGAACAACAAATTTAACAAAAAACCTAATATTTTTAAAAACACATGTAACCAGTGATGTTAGTACTAGTACTAATGAAACTATATTGTTATAGTGCTAGTATAACATGCAAAGTACCAATTTGATGATGTTATAGTAATAATAACCTTCCTTCTCTATATTATAGTACTACGAAGATTCCTCAACCTTTGTTTTTTGTTTCTCCACAGCATCTTTGCTCTTGACATCAGATTCTTGATCCGTTACAGTAGCATCTTCATCTTTTACATCACCATCTTTAACATCATGTTTACGACCTCTAACATCAGCACTCCTCATTTGCTGAGTGAAACCTAACGTTCTATCGTAAATTCGACCCTTCTGTCTTGTTGGAGTGCCAGTCTGATATTTGACTGGTTCTGGATCATAGTACTTGTCGCCCTTCAAGTTTATACAGTAATCGAATACTGTAGGCTTCTCCAGCGCGTCCAAAATTCGTTGTTCCAGGTTTTCTTTCGTAACGAAATTGGCTGACCGGTCCTGAAATGAGAATTTGAAGTTGATAATAAAATAACGTCAATAAGTATTTAGAAAAGTAAATTATTTTGTCAGATTAAGATTTACACATCTACCATTACATAAAGCACCTCTGTTTTCAAAACTAAACGTAAAGACAAAAAAATCAAATCCTTACAATCATAGCCAACACCTCCTTTGTTCTCATTTCAGCATCTTGATACTCTACATCCAATTTTTCTTCTACTTCTTCAAGAATTAGTTGTTTTACTTCAGCTTGTCGCTGTAAATCACGAATTTTTCTGAAAACATCCACAATATTATAACGTGCTCATTTCAGTCAGTTGAACAACTAAATCATCTACAGTTCCACAAAACTTCAAAACTCCAGCTATTTATTCAAAAAAGTTATAGCTATAACAACATCATCAAAAAGTCTTTGATGTTTGCTATAACATAGGTTCATTCATCAGCTTTTATTACCAAAATCCTAAGCCTAAAATCAAAACAATAAAAAAAATTATCTCACCTTTCCTCAGCAGCTTGTCGATTTCTTTCTTCGTTCTGAGCGATCAATTCATCAAGTTCAACTTGTTCTTGCTCCTTTAAAGCCTCAATACCCATTCCTTGCTCTTCTTTCATCTTAATCTCTTCTTTAAATACCTTTATCAAAGATACCATCGCATTGTTGTAGACATGACGTCTCCACAACAACTCTTCAACGTATTCTGGCTTTTGCCAAGGCACATGAACAACATGGTAACGCACTGTCTTCGATGGGGGCAAAACTGGAGGTTTTCTAAAACAAAAAAAGAATTAATTCCTTAAACAACACAAAAAAGAGTAAACAAACTTAAAACTTGGAGTAAAGTACTTCTTTTTAACAACAAAAGAACTTCAAAGTTAATTTTAGTTTGCCTAAAAATGAAAATAAAACAAAACCTTACCCTTGCTTCGGCTTTTGCCTCCTCATTGACCTTGTAAATATCAAGTTGAACGTATTCCCACCATTTCTACACAAACCAGAAGTCGAAGCCATGCTAAAAACCCAAATAATATAGTTTTACATGCTAAAAAATAATAATATTTTGACACTTCGTTACAAAACGCGTTGAAGTGTCACTATTGAGCGAAAAAAGCAATAAATCGGAGAATATTTTACGTACAAATAAGCTGTAGATAGCTCAAATCCTAGTATAAATGTCTAAGAATATTTAAATTTAATTGAATTATATTGTAACTAAGCTAAAAGTCATGGAACTGACTGAAGCAATTGAAAAAACGCGTGTGGATAAGGTGCAGTTGGTTCGAGGACCTCGACCTCGTCAATTTGGTTCGTTGGTACTCACAGGACATCATTTGATTTTTGCTCCAGAAATTGGAAATAATAAGCAAGAAGATGATCGTTCCGAATTTTGGGTAAGTGGTTTATATTTTTTTATAATTTTAGGTATAAAGATATATTTGAATGTAATTATTGTTTTAGCTGCTGCACCGGGCTGTTGATCGAGTGATGGTAGAACCAGGGTCGTTGCCAGAGTTTCCTTCAGTTTTACATTTAAAATGCAAGAACTTTCTGATTTGTTCGTTTATCGTGAAAAGTCAAAGTGATTGTCAAGCTGTTGCTCGATCTATTGAACGGCTTTCTAATTTGAGTAAGTTACTTGTCTTATTTTTTATAAGTTTAGGAGATGTTTGGAGATGTCAAAGAAGCCTAGAGACTTGATTTTCACATTTTATTTTAGGTAACATTGACTTTGAATACCCATTTTATCACCCTCAAACCTTTGAAATGCTTGATAATGGATGGACAGCGTTTGATATTACCCAGAACTTTGCCAAGCTATCAATGTTATGTAAAGACAGATGGAGAATATCGAATGTTAATGCTAACTTTGACGTTTGTCCTTCGTATCCAGCCCAAGTTATAGTACCAGAGGGCGTTGGCGATGATTATTTACGGATTTCAGCTACATATCGAGATGGTTCTAGGTTCCCAGTGCTTTCATATTACCATGCAGATACGCAGAGTTGTATTATTAGGTAGGAATTGGGGTTTGCCTGAGTTTTTGGATCTGATTTGTCTATGTTAAGTTAGTTTTTTACTTAAAATCTAAGTTATTTTGTTGTAGATGCTCCCAACCTCTAGTATCTCCAACCAATCGTCGTTGTAAAGAGGACGAATTTGTTTTAAATGACCTTTTATCTCCAAAAGCCCGAGGAGTGATTTTTGATACTCGAACAGAAGCCATAGCATCAGCAGCACGAGCCAAAGGTGGTGGTAAAGAACAACGATACCACTACAACCAATGGAGATACGTCCATGCTGACCTGCCTCAACGAAAAGATTTCAAAGATTCGCTGACAAAACTAATAGAAGCCTGTATTGATTATGGTCATACGGAGAAATGGCTCTATAAACTGGCATCGTCAAGGTGGCTACAATATGTTACTGATGCTCTGACCGCTGCTGGCACTATCGCACAATGGGTACATTGTACCGATACTGAGACACCGGTTGTGGTGCATGGGGGTGAGGGTACAGATACGACGTTGTTGGTGACGTCGTTGAGTCAAATGTTGTTGGATGCGGATGCTAGGACAGTTAGAGGGTAAGTTCATTGTTATATACTTTTTTTTATTTTTAGTGGGGCAAGAAAGTCTCGTCGTTTTTCACAATGAAAAGTAGTATAAATCGACGACAAAACTTTTTTTAAACTAATAGATACAAAATTTTAGTCTTATGTTAATATACAATATATTACGTTATATTTTCAGTTTCCAATCCCTAATAGAAGCCGAATGGATAACAGCCGGCCATCCCTTCCAAATGCGATGTGCACATTCAGCTTTCGGGCATGGTACTCTGACAGGACCTCAGGAATCTCCCATATTTTTGTGTTTTTTGGATTGTGTATGGCAACTAATGCGACAATATCCATCAGTTTTTGAATTTAATGAGCAGTTTTTGATATTAATTGCTGAACACGCATTTGCATCTGAGTTTGGAAGCTTTTTGGGTAATAATGAGAAGGTAGGGTGGAGTTTGGCATTTTAAAAATTATGTTTTGAACTAAAAGTTTATAGAAAGTTGATTTTTAATGTTGCTTGGTCTTTTATGAAACTTTTTTTTAAATTTATTTTTTTTGGTCCAAAACTTTATAGAAAAATCAATTACCATCAGGGGCGTCGCTACGGATTTTTTTCTGGGGGGAGGGGTGGGAGACCCAAAACCTGTGGAATTTTTTTCGGATCGGCTCTGGAGGGGGAGGGGTGGATCCACCCCCCCTCCACCCCCCCTAGCGACGCCCTTGATTACCATAACTTTTTTGCCATTTTCTCAACTCTTTTTGCGCACCTTGTATATGGAATTTAACAAAAATTTAGGAAAAATTCGAGCATAATGTAAAATCAAGAACAGCGTCCTTATGGTCATACGTGAATCACCCAAAAATATTATCAGACTACATCAATTCACTGTATCAACCCTACGAATCAGTATTATGGCCATCGGTTGCAGCACCCAGTATTGTAAGTAAATATTGAAGATTTGAAAAAGTTTTTAGGTTTTACCAGGTTTAGCTGATGTTTTTAAGGATATATTGGTTTTTAGCACTATGACATTGATTAGAAACGTCATCAATTTGAAAAAGACTTTAAATTTGGCCGAAAATAAAGGTTTTCGAACTGTTTCAGGTAAAATACGGCAATAGAATTGAAGCTTTTGGTAATTTTTAAGCTTATTTTGGTTTGAATGTTAACGTTTTTTCTGTTATTGCTTTACTGTTCGATCGAGAAAAGTCAGGCTTAAAATTTAATTTTATGAATTTTGGTATTTTAGGTATTATGGCTTTTAAAATTTTGATGTTTTAGGTGTTATGGTCTTAAAAAATTTTGATATTTGGGATAATTTGGCTTTTAAAATGTTGAGGTTTAGATGTTGTAGGCGTTAAAATGTTACTATGTTAGTTATTACGTCTTTTAAAATGTTGATTTTTTAGGTATTATGGGAACGATTCTACCTGAGATGGCAGAGGAATTGGACGAAAATGGATCAAGTCTGGGACGATTTGACTGAATGGAGCAAAAAAGAAAAGGATTTGAGGGCGAAGTTGATGTCTAGAAGGTAAAATTCGAAATTTTTGTTTTTTTCAAAATAATTTTTAAAAATCTTGAAATTAAAAAAAAATTTTTTTTTAGATTTAATTTTTTTTAAATAATGATTTTTCGGTTTTTTCTGAAAATAACGTATTTTAGCATGTCCGAAGCCAAAACCGATCACAAGAACGGCGACTTGACTAACTTAATCGAACAACTGGAGAACACAATCACCGCATAAGAATCTACTGTAACAGTACTTTATTTATTGACTCTTTTGTAATATTTATTAACTGTATTTATTAAAAATTTAAAAAATTAAAACTTTTTACCTAATTTTTGGAATTTTAGGCTTTTTTGGTACTTTAGGACTGTTTTTGGTATCCTAGACATTTTTGTGGTACCTTCCGGTCAAATTTGATACTCATTTTATTCAACCCTATTTTCTATTTCACAATAACAAAATTTACATTACAATAGACCGTTTGAGAGCTAGTCCACATTCCTTCGTAATAAGAGAACAATTACAGTTTTTTTTTTTGTATGAGGTACGAACTTTCCCACTGTTGATGGCGGCCATCGCTTTTACGGCTTCGATTTTTCTGGGTATAACGAAATTTAAAAAAAAAATTTTTTAATTTAAAAAAAATTTGAATTTAAAAAATTGAAATTGCCTTAAGGTGATATGACTAGGCAGTGTAAAATATGTCTACTAGTATTCATAACAACTATTTCTGTCATTTTTTAGCATTTACCTACTGTTTTAAAGGTTAAAATAAAGACTTGTCGTTTTTTAGCGTGCAAGTCAGTGCAAATTAACGCCAAAACTTTTCTAAAGCTCTAATGTTACATTTTTTTAGAAAAAACAAATTTTAATTAAAAAAATGAAAAAAATAGTTAATTTTTGAAAAAAATATTTAAAATTTAAATTCTACCGTAACCCCTACCGTACAGCAAAGGCGCCACCACAGTCGAGAAGAGAGTTTGTTTGAGAGCGAGAATGTTAAACATAATCGAACGTCGGATGGATTTAGATGATAATGATATAGTTTTACACATAATGAAATATGCAAAAGGTATAGAAGATTAGAGGGGGGGGGGATCTTCCCCACATCTAAAAATAATAGGAAAGGGGGGGAAGATCAAGCTGATAGAGAGAGGAGAAGGTAGGTTTATATAATTATAAGGACAGAGAAGATGAGGTGTTGACGATAATCTACAGGTCTTTTTCGGAGGATAGTATGAGTAATAGAAGCCCGTTTAGGTTGTGGAAATACGACTGGAAACCCTTTTTTATCAGATTTTAGGTGCCGACATAAAGAACCCGCCCTGTTTTACAGGAAATTACAGGCGAAGTATGGCGGGTTCTTTATGTCGGCACCTAATATTGATAGAGAAAAGCTATAATATGAAGGTTTTAGGGCCTATAACATGGGTTTTTGGGTTTAGTTAGGTCAAAAAGTTTGTAGAAAATCAAGTTTTTTGCCTTTTTCGGTCAAAAAGTTTATAGAAAGTCAATTTTTTACTTTTTTGGTCCAAAAGTTTGTAGAAGATTCAAAAACTAACCTTTAAAAGCCCTTTCTCATCAACTTTTGGACCAGTTTAGCCTAATACCCTCTATGTTATAGGCCCTGTTTTGACTTTATAACATGTAAGACATAATTGTCATTTGTGGAATGAAGATAACGTTACCTGGAGAGTTATGAAAAAGGTCATTTTAGGCTTAGAAAAGGTCATTTTAAGCTTTAAAAAGGTCATTTTAGGCTTGGAAAAGGTCATTTTAGGCTTTAAAAGGTCATTTTAGGCTTAAAAAAGGTCATTTTAGGCTTTGAAGCGCGACTTTGAAGCTCAAGAAACGACACTTTTAAGCTTAAAAGCCTTTAAAAACCTCATTCTAGCCAATAACCAATCAAGTTGACCTCTTTTGCGGCCGAAAACTTAAAACTTCGTCTTCATCTTCCTCATCGCTAGCGAAATCCTTCAACGGAACTCGTTCAAATCCATCCATTTCTGGATATAAGCTACGTTTTCGGTAGCATAACATGTACTGAAAAAATTTTTTTTTAAATTTTTTTTAAATTAAAATTTTTTTTTCAAAATAATTTTAAAAAATGGAAAAAAACTTTTTTTTACAATAACATAAAATAATTAAAAATTTTAAAAATAGCAAAAAATATCATTTTAGGTATAAAACTTACAAAAATGATAGCTAGTACAAACAACGATATGCCAGCAGCTAGTACTCGTCTAAACCGGATAGAGCCTTTTGGATATAACGTAATGTCAAGATACCGGTTGAATGATGGGGTAATCTGAAATATAGATTTTTCAATCTTGGTCTACCGTGCCTACCGTACTCTACGGTTTGTACCGTACCCTAACGTGCCTACCGTACCCTGCCGTGCCTACCGTACCCTACCCTACCCTACCTTACCCTACCCTACCCTACCCTACCCTACCCTACCCTATCCTACCCTACCCTACCCTGCCCTACCCTACCCTACCCTACCCTACCTTATCCTACTCTACCCTGTCTTACCGTACTTTACCCTGTCTTACCTACTCTATCATAATGTACTCAACCGTAATCTCTACTGCCCTACCCTACTCTACTTTGTTATATAACTACCGTACCTGAAACTCGTACTCATCCGAGTCGTCGCAGCCCTCGTGCGTAACGACCAGTCGATAATTTCCCAGCAACAAAGCACTATGAAAGTAGCCACTGCCAATCGTCGTCAATGACAGTTTTTTGTCGCCACCCAGTTCGACAAAGTTGATGTTTACGGTAGCGTTCGCCAAGGGGCCCGCGGCCCCTTTTACCACGCCGGTAACGCCTTGAACTCGCTGAAAATACACTTTTTATAACTGATTTTTAAAATTTTTTTGAATTTTTGAAATCACGGTAAAGTTTTTTTTTATTTTTTGCACTGTGCAATCAAAAAGCGGTGCACCGTGCGGTCAACAATTGTTGCACTGTGCAGTCAAAAAGTATTGCACCGTGCAAAGAAATAAAAATTCGTTTTTATATTATATACCGGTCAAAATATTGGTAGAAAACACAATAATTATTCTTTCCGGTTCAAAAGTTTATAGAAAAACTATTTTTTATTTTTCTGGTCAAAAAGTTCATAGAATTATAAGCTATAGAAATTTGTTGCACCGTGCAGTTAGAAAAAGCCTTTTTTGGTCAAAAAGTTAATAGAAAACGCTAAAATGAAGAGATAAATGAATAAAACTTGTTATTTCTATAAGTATTTATACTTAAAAAACTATTATATATATTAAAATTTTAAAATTTAAAATTTTTTTAAAAAATTAAAATTTTTTTTAAAATTCCAAAAATTATTTAATTTTTTTATTTAAGCCAAAAATCTTTCCCCAGGTACCTCAAAACCCGTCCAAACCATGCCAACCGACTGGCAGTGAACCCACAAAAACAAAACCAAGTTGGACCGCAGACTATTATAATTATGGGCCGAAGAATTCTGGTGGCCAGACAACCCAACCCCCCTTTTCTGAAAACAATGCGAAAAAACACAAATTCCATCTCTGCCAGCCTCTGCTGATTAGACGCTCTCTCCGCGTTTGATGTCTACTAATCCCCCCGCGGGGCGAAATCGAGAGACAAGTGTTCCTTTTTCAAAAAACATTTCGTCTGTCCGGTTTTTGAGACTTTTTCCGAGTGAAAAAACGCATTTTCAAGCGAAAAAACACACGAATTTCGAAAGACGGAAGAGGAAATATGCTGTATAATGTTGTGTTAGAAAAGAGAAAAAGAAACATAAGTATAACGTTAAGCACGATGTTCTAAATGATAAAAGATTAAGAATAGAACGTTATAATGTCACAAAGCTTGGTCAAAAAGTCTATGGAAAACCTAATATTTTAATTTTTTAACATACAAACAAAAAAAATTAGAAAAGTAGACATAAGTCTAGAATTAATTATAAGTCTAAACCCAATCATAAGCCAAAGTCTAAATAAGCCTAAGCCTAATCATAAGCCTAATTATGAGCTTAGGCCTAATCATAAGCCTAAGCCTAATCATAAGCCTAATCATGAGCCTAGGCCTAGTCATAAGCCTAGGCCTAATTATAAGCCTAAACCCCTACCTAACTCAAAATCTAAGCCTCAGGCTAAACCTAAACCAAAGCATAAGCGTATGTCTATCCCTAAGCCCAAGACTAAGTCTAACCCAAAACCAAAGAATAAGCTTATGTCTACCCTAAGCCTAAAACCAAGCCTAACCGCAAATGAAAGCATAAGCTCCTACCTCTATTGTTAAACCTAACCATTTCTATCGCAAAGCCTAACTCTAACCGCATAAGCTTATGTATGTTCATAAGCCTAATTTTAAAACTAAAAATAACACAAAAGAGCGGAGAACGTATTCGAATAATTTTAGTAACCTAGAAGGAAGACTGAATACGAGATATAATGAGAGTAAGAGAGAGCGGCAGAGAAATAGTTGGGAATACATAAAAACTAAAAAGGACTACGGAAATGAATAAAAAGTAAGAGAAATTGGATTGGGTTCACTTCAGTGAGTAGTCAAAGTAATGCACATAAGTAAGGAAATACACAGTGCTATAATGCACATTGGTCAAAAAGTTCGTAGAAACCTTATTTTTTAAATTTAAACATAATTTTTAGCATTTTGCGTCAAAAAGTACGTAGAAAACTAAATTTTCATTATTTAAAAAACAAAAAAAATTTTAAATTCAAAAAATGAGTATTCTATCAACTTTTCGGCCAAACAAACTCATAAAAATGAATTTTCTACAAACTTTTTGACCGAAAAACCAGGAATACGGTTTGCTAAGAACATTTTGACCGGCCGCTATCAAAAATCTATTCAAATTCCTTCTGATAAAACCAAAATAGATTAGTTTCAACACGATAACTTTTGAAATTTTATGGAACATATTGAAGCATTGAAGAAGCCGTCTCAGACTGACTCATACCGTCTTTTCACAGTTTTCCTCGTTCAATTGAGGAAGTGGAAGGGGGAGGGGAGGGAGAGATTAAAGTTCACAAAACGGTCATATCGAATAAAACCATAAAATTATTAAAAACTGGTCGAAAAGTTCATGGAACAACTCATTTTTACAAAAAATCACAGCTAAGCCTAAGGTAAGACTAAGGGAAGCCCAAACTCAAGCATAAGTTTAAGTGTAAGCTTAAACCAAACCTAAGCCTAAGCTTAAGTTTCAGTTAAAGTTTAAGCCCAAACTTAAGCTTAATTCTAAGCGTAAGCGTAAGCGTAAGCGTAAGCGTAAAGCGCTAGCGTGAGCCTAAGCCTAAGCCTGAGTCTGAGCCTAAGCCTAATTCTAAACCTAATCTTAAACTTAAGCCAAAGCATAAGCCTAAGCTTAAGCCTAAGCCTTATCCCAAACCTAAGCCTAAGCATAAGCTTAATTTAAACCGTAGTTTCAGCCTACGTCTAAGTTCTTAAACATACGTTGAGAAATCAAGCAAAAGCCTAAATCTCTGCCTACAACTAACAATAAAACATTCTTACCTTATCCAAGAACGTGAAAATGGCATTTTTGTTTTCATCAAACAAATGTTGAACACCTCGAGGTTCATAACAGCATGCCGTTTGAACCAACATAGCATCGAGAGGTCTCCATGAACTTGGTAACTTGATCTTTGGCCCCATTGTTGGTGCGGCCCAAGTGTGTGGTGCTAACACTGGACCTGGACGACGTTCACTGGCACAGACGTCTTGTTCGTTCTTAAAATAAGCAGAAATTAGCTAAGCTAGGACTAGGGATAGGGCTCTGGGCTAGGGCTCTAGGCTAGGGTCTTGGACTAGGGCTGGCTAAGCTAGGCTGAGCTGAGTTATGCTAGGGCTTTGGGCTAGAGCTGTGGGTTAGGACTCTGGGCTAGGGTTCTGGACTAAGGCTCTGGGCTAGAGCTCTGGGATAGGGCTCTGGACTAGGGCTAGGGCTAAGACTGAATCGGACTGGACTGGATTGGATTGGACTGGGTTGGTTGGACTGGATTAGACTAAACTGGATTTGCCTGAAGTGGATTAGAGCAGACTAGACTGAATTGAACTAGAGCGGACTGGAATAGACTAGGGTAGATTGGACCAGACTAAGGCTGGGGATGGAGCTAGCACTAAAGGCTGTAGACTTACTTGTTTCATAGCATCCTGATTCTCAACATACAAATGTGCCAACTCTTCTACAATCGACTCCTTTGTAAGCTTCTTCTGACTCTCAATATACCTGACTTTTACCCCGCCTGATGCCATTATTAGCACGTAGTCGATCTCTGGTATAACCTCCAGAACCTCCGAGAATAATGGTATAAATGGTGCTATCGTCGGGTAATCATGGCAGTTGATTTGAGTATGAGGAATTTCCGGCAAAATTACTACGGTAGAATGTTGTAGTATGTTGGAAACGTGGTGAGATTCTGGAGTTTGTGTAGCTTCTTCCGAGTCGTTACATAGTCGTGAGCCTAGCTGATACACTAGGGCTTCGGTTTTCTGTAATAAGGTGGTGGTCAAAAAGTTTATAGAAAAGATTTACCTACTGTAGTAAATAACTAATTAACTAAATTAAGTTGGGTTACTGTATTTACGGTTACAGTAGGGTTACTGTATTTAATGTTACTGTAAGATTACAATATCTAAAGTTACTGTAAGGTTACAGTAAGTAAGATTACAGAAAGATTACTTCATTCAAGATTACTGTGAGATTACTGTATTCAAGATTACATTAAGATTACAGTAAGATTACTGCATTCAAGAATACTGTAAGATTACTGTATTCAAGATTACAGTACTTGATTGCCTACCATTTCCACAGCCACAACCAGTGTATAAGGGCCTTTATGATTGCCAAATGATCGTAATGTAAGGTCATTATGCTTTATCACTTTAGGCTGGCAACCAGCATCTTCAGCTAGTCGGTCCAAGCCAACTGCGGTCGATAATTCAGCTTCTTGTGGAGAAAAGTGGTCGGTCGGGTTGTTTGAAGGAATTACTGAGTATTCATCTACACGGTCTTTCTTTAACGTGGCTCCAAGGTCCTGTAGGAACATTTATATTATAGTAGTTGGGTTGTAAATTTTAATTCTTAATTTTTAAAATTTTGAGTTTTTTGTTTTTTAACTAGGTATAGTAGATAGAGCTACAGATAGAATTAGTGTAAACTTAAAGTGTAGATAATTTAAGGCAATGGCGAGGCTGGGGTATGACTAGAGTAAAGCTAGAGACAGCTAGGGCACGGCTACCGTAGAGCTATGATAAGTGCTTTGCTGAACGGTCCAAATAAGGGTTTTTTGGACCGGTTTGCCCTAGCTCTGTTAGCTTTCACTTAACTCTGGTTCGGTCCCGTCTGGTCCGGAGATACAGCTAAGGCTAGGGTAAGACTAAGGTAGAGTAGATAATAATAGGGATAGAGTAAGAATAGGGAACGCTTATAATAAAGTTAGGACAGCCTACAACAAAGCTAAGGTATGGCCAAGTGAGTGTACATCTAAAGTAGAGACATTTTTTTGTCGTCTCATTAAATTTCTCCCCTCTCCCTTCTCTACAATTTTTGCCCAACCCTCTCCCCCTCCCAATATTAGTTTTTGATAGTAACAACTAATTCCTTTAATAATTGCTGTTTATTTTACTGTAACTTTAACTGTATCTTCAAGACTTATACTTTGAAAACTTACAGTAATCAGTGAGATGTTTATTGTCAGTAGAATGACTAAGTTAAAGCATGTAAAAATATATATACAATACTGTCGTTTCAACGGTTCTTAGACACTATATCATCAAGGACAGCATGGTAAACAACATTTGCTCATTATAGACCACACAGACCTTAGTAAAGCGTGGTAGACCTCATAGACTCCAGTAAAGCTTGACAGACCATATCGACCTCAGTAAAGCTCGATAAACCAAATCCAGTCCAATATAGGTTAGTTGAAGACATAGGTAACCAGATGAGTAAATAGTTAGTTGAAGATACTTAGTGACTTGAAGATATATACAGTACGATGCCCATGAGCTGATGTTAGACCTCGGTGAAAGAGCGTAGTCGAAGCAGTGGAAAGAAGGGCGTGGGCGGCTCCGGAATCAGACCAAGATGCTAGAAATAGACATGTTAATACAGTACTATAGTACTAATGGTACTTGTCAGTATTAGTAGTACTAGTTAGAAAAAATAGTGTTAGTACAACAATATAGTACTCTTGGTGTTAAAGTTTAGTTTTTTTGCTTTTTCTATAAACTTTTTGACCAAAAAACAAAAAAAAAATTTTTTGAAAAAATAGTACCAAGACCTATATTATAGCACATGTTAGCCTCCAAGTAGACCTACATTAAGTAAAGCATAGTAAAAGAAGAATGAACATTACACCACCACCACCAACAATATTGTTATATACACCATTATCGGCCGCCACCAAGAGTTTTGGCTCAACACCATTCATAGAATAGGCCTATATATGTGCGTTATCAACGTAATTTTAGGTATAAAAGTTGTTTTTTACAAAAAAAGGTCATTATGACTCAAATACTTTACAAAAAAAATGTCATTATGACTCATTTTACAGAAAAAATGTCATAATGACCCATTTTACAGAAAAAATGTCATTATGACTCATTTTACAGAAAAAATGTCATTATGACTCATTTTACATAAAAAATGTCATTATGACTCATTTTACATTAAAAATGTCATTATGACTCATTTTACAAAAAATGTAATGATGACTCATTTTACAGAAAAGATGTCATTATGACTCAAAATTTAGAGAAAAAAACTCATTTTAGCCTAATATTACCTAAACATCGATATTTTAAACCTAAAATTTTAAAAATTTTTAAAAAAATTTGTCATCTTCTACAAATATATTGACCTTACCTTAATTAGCGAGTACAAATTGTTTGAGAATTGCGCAGCCGACTGGTTGCAACTCACTCCAACTCCGATTTCGAAGGCATGTTCCAAGCCTAAGCCATTCAGTTCGGCCGCCAAATTTGAATCTGTCAGCTGGCTGGTCTCGCTTGGGCTACAGTCATTGTCACCGTACAGTCTAAAACTTTTTTTATAACACAAAAAATGGCAAAAACTTTCTTTACAGAAAATAAAATAGCAAGAACTTTCTTTACAATTCAAAAAATGGCAAAAACTTTCTTTACAGAAAATAAAATAGCAAGAACTTTCTTTACAATTCAAAAAAATGACAATTTTTTATATTTTATTACCTAAAATCACAAAAAACTCACTTTTCGACGTTCTGTTCAAACAACTTCTTATTGAAGCTCTTGGGTTGAGATTGTCCAGCATTAAACGTCACCAATTCAGCTGGTCCTTTTGCCAAAACTAATATGGCGTCCGGCTTCAGAGATTTTAGGTAACCAGCATGATCTGTTTTTGTAAAGCTTGGAACAATCACAATTTGGAGTCGTTGTTTTAATTCGACCGGTAAACCTTCGAGAAGTTTCTTTTTTTGACATGAAATTCCACTGAACTCCCGAAGTCCGTCCGCCGTCTGTGGGTCTCCGCCAACGCCGAGAATTGCCAGTTTTATGCTGCCATAACCGCGGACGTAGGTGCCTAACTTGAAGTTGTCTAAAAAAGGTACTGAATTAAAACTCACACAATGATTTAAACTCATACTTAAAGCCTAAACATAAGCCTTAGTCGCTAGACATACACTGAAACTTAACTCGCGGACTGTGTTGAACCAAAGCCTAAACGTAAGCCTAAGCCTATGCTTAAGCACAAGCAAAAGTCTATGTTAATGAAAAAGCCTAAGCCTAAACCTAATTCTAAGAATAAGCCTAAAAATAAGCCTAAGTCTATGCCTAAACCTAAGCCTAAGCCTAATCTTATGCCTAAGCCTAAGCTTCTACTACTGTCATAAACCAGACCCTTTGATATAAACTATGATGCTCTCTGAAGTAAAATAAAACAAAAAAAATATTTTCGGTGTTACCTAATCAATTGGTATAATAACATAGCCTTAGAGAAATTGCAAGGTGTTGCGCAACGATTTCTTATGTAATTTTATGGTTTTATATAACATTTGCCTCGATGTAAAACGACCCAACAAATTACTGCGAGTGCTGGGATTTGGCTCTAAGTTTCTGCGAGGCATTACCTATTGCGACTACCAATATTAACTATGAATTGTGTTGAGAAACGTAGGCTACAACTAAAAATAAAACTATACCTAACTTTAAGTCTAATGCTATGCTTATAACTCAGCCTAAAACACAGCCAAATTTTAAGCCGACTAAGCCTAAGCCTAAGCCTAAGCCTACTAAGCCTAAGCCTACTAAGCCTAAGCCTACTAAGCCTAAGCCTACTAAACCTAAGCCTACTAAGCCTCAGCCTACTAAGCCTAAGCCTAAGCCAAAGCCGAAGCATAAGCCTAAGCTTAAGCGTAAACCTAAACCTAAGACTAAGCTTAAGCGTAAAACTAAACCTAAGCCTAAGCCTAACCCAGCCCTAAGCCTGAGTCTGAGCCTAACACTAACCCATATGCCTAAGCCTAAACCTATTCTTAAACCTGGGCCTGAGCCTAATATTAACACTAAGCCTAAAAATGTGTCTAAGCCACAGAATAAGCCTAAGCCTACTTCTAATTTCATTTTATATATAATATCATACCTTCAGTATCACAACCAGCCGATTCCATAGTAACATTGTGTAGCTTGGCCTTGTTTGGGCTTACTGTAACATTGAATTCGTGAGGCTCATGATGGTCGTGAGTTATCCTGACCTAAATCAGCAATTTTTAATTTATTTAACTTAATCTAAGCCTAAACTTTCATAAAACTACAGTAGTAGCCCTACCGTAAAAATCCCAAAATAAAAGCTACAGTAACCCTTTCAAACTTACCGTATAGTTTCCCGGCACCAATACTCTCCAATACTCTCCCAGCCCCGTGGTCTGAACACTTTTACCCTGCCCTCCGCCGGAGATTTCGACTGTTGCATTGCCAACCGGCTGCCCGTCCTCATCTCTGACTACACCGTACACATTCTGATGCACCAGTTCCATGAAAGACAGTAGAGAATAGACATGATCGGCCCAATGCTTTGGCATCATTTCGTCGGTCGGGAACTTGTAACAGCCCATTTCAATTGTAATCTCCATACAGTTCGTGTGTTCGTACTGCCAGTCCTAAAATTAAAAAATTTGAGATTGCTAACTTTGAACTTTAAAATTATAACAAACTCCACAAATAAAAAATAAACTTTCTTTAGACAATAATCAACAAAAAACATTCATGAACTTAAGCGTAAAAAGCGTAAGCCTACTTGACCTAAGCCGAATTTTACTAAGTCTAAACCTAAGCCTATTACTAAATCTAAAACTAAACGTATAACTCCACCTACTTTTAAAAATGAGCTTAAGCCTAAATCTAAGCCTAATCATAATCCCAATCCTAACCCTCAACCCTTGCTTAAGCCTAAAACAAAACCTAAGTCCAAACCAAGGACTAAGTCAAAGCCTAACCGAAAGCCTGAGCGTGACCCTAAGCCTAAGCGTGAGTCTGAGTCTGAGCCTGAGCCTAAGCCCATGCCTAAACCTAATCCAAAGTGGAATCCTTAACCTCCGCTATACAATTAAATCCAACCAATTAAGGCTAAGCCTAAGAATAAGCCAAAACCAAAGCCTAAGTCTTATTCTCAGTCTAAGCTTAAGCCTAAGCCTAAGCCGAAACCTAAGCCTAAAGCATAACATGGCCTCAACCTCAATAGTCCAATCTTGAACCTAAACTTAATTCTAAACTTAAACTTAAACCTAAGCCTAAATTTTCGCCTAAATTACATCCAAAAACCTAAACCTAAGCCTCATCTTCAGCATGAACCTTACCTAGAATCTATACTCAAGCCTAACCTCACAGTATTACTTTCAAATTGCCTACCTGCATGCCTCCAGAGAGAACATACCAACCAGCACCATTCGTAATACCATGGTAGAAAGCATCGCCATACTCACTCAATCCACACCTCCTCCCAGTCTTGTACATGTTGCTATGAGCACGTGCATAATTGTACGACATTTCCACGAACAGTTTGTCATCCTTCGACGGTGTGTAGATTCCATCCTTGCCGGATTCGGAGTCATCGTACGGGTAGTTGGCTACGAGACTACCACCGTGAAGGTTGGCTGACAAGATGAATGGCTCCGACTTTAACCACGCCATTACAGCGACGGTTTCTGGTTGTAGTTCGGTACCACCTGAACCATCGGCGTGCTCGGGGTGTCTGGCGGGAAAATTGCGATTCAAATCCACGCCGTTGGCGTTGGCTCGGCCCTGAAAGAATAATGTAAAGTGACCAAAATTAAAAAGAAATTTGTTTTACAGCCTAGTGAGCCGCTTATTTTAAAATAAGCCTAAATCTGATTAAATACAAGCCTAAACTAAAACTTTAATCTAATCTTAGGATAGAACTTAAAGCTAGCTAGTATTATAAAAATGAAGCCTAAGCCTAACTAAAGCGCAAGTCTAAACTTAAATTTTAGCCTAACGGTCAGACTAGGCCTCAGTCTAATTCTAGATCGGTACTTAGGCCTAAGCCTAACCTTAAGTTTAAGCATAAGCTTAAACCTAAGACTAAGTCTAAGCCTAAACCTAAGCCTAAGCCTAAGCCTAAACCTAGACCTAGACCTAGACCTAGACCTAAGCCTAAACCTAGACCTAGACCTAAGCCTAAGTCTAAGCCTAGAAGCGTAAAATAGAAGCCTAAGCTTAGAAGCTTAATATTGAGCCTAACCCTAAACCTAAGCCCTTGAGCCAAATTAAACTTAAATATCACTTACCATATACCCGACCCGATCGCCCGGTCGGTCCATTTCATATCCATCCGGATTCATGCTCGGCATAATGTGAATTCGCGTCCGATTCACCATTTTCGTCAAGTAGTCGTTTTTACCGTAGTTTTCACACAATATATGTATCATATACATCAGCGCTTCTCGTCCCACGACCTCGTTTCCATGCATGTTACCTACGTACTTGAACTCCGGCTTCAGAAGTTCGTGCTCGCGCGGATTTGTACCAATTATCATAACCCACAGCTCACGACCTTGAACGCTTTGACCAATTGAATGGAGTTTTGTTATCATCGGGTACTTGTTGGCGTACTTGTTTAGCCATGACGTCATTTCTTTGTAGTTGTGGTTCTTTTGACTGAAATTTTGAAAATCAAACTCTTTACCATACTCTACTCTACTATACATTAAATTATACTACCCTACCCTACCCTACCCTACCCTACCCTACCCTACCCTGTTGTAGTACAGTGTGCTCTACCGTACCTTCTACTGCTCTGCCATACTTTGACCTACTCTCTCTATCGTACCCTATCGTTGCCAACTCTACCCTACCCTACTCTTATGTGCCTTACTCTGCTATACTTTGTCCTAACCTCCTCTACTTTACCCTACTCTACCTTAACTTACCGTAAACAATGCTTTATTGTAGTACCACCCTAATCCTGTCCTACCGTAAGATCTACTCTATTGTTTTCCAAAGTTCTACCTTCATCTATCATACCAAATGTTTACTGTACGTTACCACTCTAGCCTACCCTGCCTACTATAACCTTGCCTTACTTTTGATCTATTCTCACCCCAGACCTACCCCTATTCATACATACATTAGGTGCCGACATAAAGAACCCGCCATACTTTGCCTGTAATTTCCTGTAAAAATGGCGGGTTCTTTATGTCGGAACCTAATAACAGGCTTAGTACGCTCAAGCTTAATTGTAGGCTGCTTTAAGCTTAAACTTAGGCTTTGTAATAAGCTTAGACTTAATCTTAGGCTTAAACTTAGGCTCAGCTTTAAATTTTGAGTTAATAATAAGCCTAAAACATCAAAACTCAAAACAAGGTAACTCACTCTTTAATAGGTACATCTTGGAACTCGCCCACAACCTTCTTCATGTCCTGCCATCCTCTGAACAAGGTTTGATTCTCTTCAGCCTTAAGTCCAAAATACATTGACAGTGCATCCTTTTTGGCACTTTCCAACTCTTGCTGTGTTGGTATAATGTCACTGTCCCAGTTTATACCACTAACATTCAAAATGAATACTGTACCCGTGAATAGAATTAAGAATACTGTAGGTCGTAGAAATCTCATTTTAACCCGTTGGCTTACTGTAGAATTGGTCTTACTGTAGAATTGGTCTTACTGTAGAATTAGCCTTACTGTAGAATTGGGCTTACTGTAGAATTGGTCTTACTGTAGAATTAATCTTGCTGTAGAATTGTTCTTACTGTAGAAAAAGCCTTCAGTAGAAATAATCTTACTGTAGAATTCGTCTTACTGTAGAATGTAAAAATTTAAAAAAGTTGCAGTATAGTAAAGTATATATCTTCGAAGTGGTCGATTTGTCTTTGACACAAAACCGACCGGTAAAGCTTGCCAGTCCAGATTAAAATCAAATTTTGACAAATTTTATTAAAATTACGGTAGTCGCCTGAAAATCCGAATTGAGGTCAAAAAGTACGTAGAAAAATAAAATTTTGAGTATGCGGTCAAGAAGTACATAGAACAGTGGAATTTCGACGCGTTTTATAATAAAGGCCGAGTTTAATACACTAATGCAAAAAGAATGGCGCGTATTAAAAAATTTTTAAAAAAATTAAAATTTGGTCAAGAAGTGCATAGAAAAATAGCATTTTAAACCCTTTTTGACATAAATGCCGAGTAAAATGCTCTGATGCAAAAAGAATGGCGCGTAGTAAAAAAACTATAAAAAATTGAAATTTGGTCAAAAAGTTTATAGAAAAAAAAGGCATTTTAACGCGTTTTGACATAAATGCCAAGTAAAACTAGCTGATGCAAAAAGAATGGCGCGCAAAAAAAAATTTTTTTAAATTAAAGTTTGGTCAAAAAGTTTATAGAAATATAAATTTTTAGCATTTCGGTCAAAAAATTTATAGAAAAAACAATTTTTAAAATTTCAAAATCATGCCAAGTATTTTTAAAATTTAAAAACAGCGTAAATATTGCCTCTTAAACGTTCTTCTCCCCATTGAATATCCGCCGACCTTTGAAATGAGTTATATTTGCTGTGCAAATATTACAAAGTCGTCCCATTGTATCTATTAGTTTTTATACAAACGTCCAAAAAGTTTTGTCATTAATGCGATACATGGGGCGAGTTTAACACGTAATGAAGTAAAAGTAAGTCCTAAGGAAACAAAAATCACACTAAAACCTAAATTGTTACATAAAGTTTGGTCAAAAAGATCATGGATAAATCAACTTTTAGCTCTTTTGGTCAAAAAGTTTACAGAAAAAAAAACCCAATTTTTAAGCTTGTCTGTCCAAAAGGTCAAAAATAATTATACGTTTTTTTTTAAATTTTAAAAATATCAGGTGCCGACATAAAGAACCCGCCGTACTTTGCCTGTAACTCCCTGTAAAAAATGGCGGGTTCTTTATGTCGGCACCTAATATTTGGCAAGATTTTAAATTTAAAAAAAAAACCTTGCCAATTCAAACCAAACCCATATTGAATAATCAAAAATCGAATGCTTGAATAATATATTCTATAATATAATGTTAGGAAAGGGAAAAGCTCATCAGATTATGATCTATATTTGTGAACGTAACAAAGGAAACGCGCAGTAACTGATCGTCAGTTCAACCTGGGTTTAAAAAAGTCTTCGTTCAATTTGAAAAAAAAATGGTTTTGGTAAAAAAAATTTTAAAAAAATCGTTTTTATATGAACTTTTTGACCCAAGAAGTAAAATTTGTTTTTTCTATAAACTTTTGGACCGAAAAAAAACCACACAGTTGGTTTTTCTATGAACTTTTTGACCGAAAAAACTAAAAATTGGTTTTTCTATGAACATATTGACCAAAAAACAAAAATTTTGATTTTTTTGCTAACTTTTTGATCTAAGACATAAAAATTGACTTTTCTAAAAACTTTTTGACCAAAAAAGCTTAAAATTTGGTTTTTCTATAAACTTTTTGACCAAAATTCTAAAAATTCCTTTTTCTATAAACTTTTTGACCAAAGATATAAAATTTATTTTTTCTATGAACTTTTTGACCGAAAAAAGCCAAAAAATTGGTTTTTCTATAAACTTTTTGACCGAAGAAGTAAATTTTGATTTTTCTATAAACTTATTGACCGAAAGAACTAAAAATTGGTATTTCTATAAACTTTTTGACCAAAAAAATGTATTTTAAAAACTTAAAACCTTAAAGCCCAAAATTTCAAAAATTTAAAAATTTCGCAGTAAAAACATGTTTACCTTTTAAAAAATGTAGTTTTATTCAAATCCCTATCGAATATCAGTTCAGAAATCACTAGACGATACCCTTTTAAGCCACTTAATCTCCCAAACTGTTTATTTTTTTTAAAGTTCCAGCTCATCCCCCCCCCTTTCGTCTTTTTTCATGATTTTTTCAATTTGACCTTCAAATCGGCTCATTCCCTTTTTTTTACCGCACTTTTTGAAAATTCATTTAAATTTTTAAAAAAAAATAATTTTTGGTCATTTTTGGTCAAAAAGTTTATAGAAAAACGATTTTTTTTATATTTGGTCAAGAAGTTTATGGAAAACCAAATTTTAGCATATAGGTCAATAAGTTTATAGAAAAAACAATTTTTTCAAATTCAAAACGTCATTTTTAAAAAAATCCTTTTTACGCTACATCAAACCATATTTTACCCCGCTCAGCTTTGCCCACTCCAAAAAATCACAATTTTTAAAACCATATCACAAGTATACAAGTATTGTCATTCTACCCCCAATATTATTACATTCTACCCCAACTTTACTACCAAAACTTCAAAAAACGCCTGCAGTAACGAGAAACCTCGACTAAACGTTGAAAGTAACAAATCGTATAATATAATACAACGTCAATTACTGCTCTGATTCCTTTTTTCTTTTTGTGCGTTTGAAAAAGAAGCCTTCGATAGTTATATATAAAACAAATCATATAAAATCTCAACTGCAAATAACTGTTTTCTCGTGTATTTTGGAGGTTTGTAACGTTTTCTGTGATAAAGAATAACATTTTAACAAATAACACTGGCTTAGGCGTAGGCTTAGGCATAGGCTTAGGCTTAGGCTTAGGCTTAAGCTTAGGCTTAGGCTTAGGCTTAGGCTTAGGCTTTGGCTTAGGCTTAGGCTTAGGCTTAGGTTTAGGCTTAGGCTTAGGCTTAGGCTTAGGCTTAGGCTTAGGCTTAGGCTTAGGCTTAGGCTTAGGTTTAGGTTTAGGCTTAGGCTTAGGCTTAGGCTTAGGCTTAGGCTTAGGCTTAGGCTTAGGCTTAGGCTTAGGCTTAGACTTAGGCTTAGGCTTAGGCTTAGGCTTAGGCTTAGGCTTAGGCTTAAGCTTAGGCTTAGGCTTAGGCTTAGGCTTAGGCTTAGGCTTAGGCTTAGGATTAGGCTTAGGCTTAGGCTTAGGCTTAAGCTTAGGCTTAGGCTTAAACTTGAGCTTTAACTTAGGATTTGTCTTAGGTTTAAACGCAATCATAAACTTGGGCTTATCCATACAATCGGGCTTAAGCTGATGCTTAACCTTAATCTTAGGTTTAGGCTTATACTTAACGTCCTTCAACAGTACCAAAAATAAGAATAAAGGCTTAAAATTGTGTGAGTGTCATAATGCTATACCAAATTATGTATCAAAAACGACGCTAGATTATCTCAAACGTTAAAAAATGAAGTAGTACTCTGAATGATGTTAAAAACACCTTATATTGACATTACAGTTCAACTGTACAGAAACTACTAAAAAACGTTATAACCCCTAAAAAATGACAAAACAACTACAATCCCCTTACAGACCCTTATTTATGATTATAAGAACAAAAAGAAGTGTTTTCGAGATCTAAAATGTATTATTCCAAACTTCCCCCGCTCTCGTTTATACGTTTTTGTGCTCGGGAATCGCCGCAACATCACAAAGTGTCTCAAAACAAACAAAACGATTCTCTCGGAAAAACGTGTTGTTCTGTTATTATTAGGTGGTAACGTGAACTATCACATTGCATTGTGGGTAACACTTTGGGTCTGAAGGTTTACAGTGGAGTAAATTTGGTTTTGATGGTGAAAAAAGTAACAAACAAAGGTAAAAAGGTAACAAACAAGGTAAAAAGGTAAAAAATAATTCAAAATCTGAACTATTAGGTGCCGACATAAAGGACCCGCCATACTTTGCCTGTAATTTCCCGTAAAAAGTGGCGGGTTCTTTATGTCGGCATCTAATTATAAAAGGCGCCACAAGTTCTGTTACACGGTTTTTTAAACTTTTGTAACAGAACTTGTGGCGCATATAGCTGAAATGTTCAAGAAAAAGACGAATTTTAACGTTTTTGGTCCAAAAATTCATAGAAAGTATAATTTTTTAGTTCATTCTAACTAATTTTGAACCAATAAACAATAAAATAAAGTCCCAGGATTTAACTTCACATTTAAAACAAGTAACGTCTAAAAACTATTGACCAAAGCAAGCTTGAACTTTGTTTACCGAACTTGATGTTGTAATAGCAAAAGCATTAAACTTGTTCGGTAAATTTTAGGTATAGCAAGCCGAAACGCCGCTAGATATTGAAAAATATTTTTTATATCAAATAGATCTTCTAAAAAACTCTAAAATTATCTAAAACTACAACTTTTAACCATTTCAAACATCAAAACTCCAATTTTTCATTCAAAAATCTCATTATTCTTCCTTTCAAAAACGTAAAACCTGTATCAACACCCCAAAGCACACTGAATCACCATAAAAACAAAAAAAAACATTCAAAAATAGACTTGTATTTACTCGAGGGCAATAAACAATATAACAAATCCCTGTAAAACAATAAAATTCTTGACATTTTCAAATTATAGTTTTTCCGTCGATGTGAACATTGCCTCGTTGGGCGTCCATCTTCTTCTTCTCCTCCTTAAAAACTGTCTTATTGGCCTTCTTTTCGGCTCGTCTTATTCGTCGTTCCGCCTTTATGCCTTGTTTTCGTTCTCGCCGTTCTTCGGCCGTTTCGCCCTTTGGTCGATAAGTTGAGGTGGAAATGGCGGAGCGGATCGAGCGGGTATCGTCTTCCATTTCCTAAACATTGTAATCAGTAAAGAATGTAAGACAACAAAAACAAAACCTTTAAAATTATAAAAAAAATTTCATTTTAAAAATTTTTCATTTCAGTTCACTTTTTCACATTTTAAAACCTTACCACATCTTGCACTTTAACAGCCTTCCTAGTCAAATCCGTCTCTTTTCTTTTCGGCTCTTCCCTTATCAAAGTCGGATGATTATAGATATTAGAGTAGGTGGAAACAATCGATTCACAGTCCCATTTGGCTTTTTTTTGACGTACTGGTACCAAAATCTTCTCAGTCTTCTCTGGATTCAATTCTTGTTTCTCGAATGCTTCCAACGTCAACCTTTTGGATTCTGAATCTGGTTTTTCGTACATGATAGTCTCCTTCTTTCCTTCATATTCTTCAGCAAAATCATCCAACAATGCTTCATCTGCTTCTTCGTAGCCATCTTCCTCTTCGAAATCATCATCTTCATTATTCATATTCTCGTAGAATTCGGAAAATCGTTGATCTAGATCATTTTTGTCTGATTTTTTTATGATTGGTTTTGGTGGAGCTGGTGCCAAAAAGGTTCCATCTCCATTATCGTCCACAAAGTCTGTAAAACGAAATTAAATTTTATAAATCCAATTAAAGAGCATCTTTTAAAAGCCTACGGTCAACAGTGATAACACTTACCAGCATCCTCAGGATCAAAAAGATCTTCATCGTCAACTTCCGAATCAGATCCATATTGTTCCGACTGTCTGAACTGCTCATATACCTTCCTTTTCTCAGGTTCATCAACTCCACCAGCCAACTCCAAGAAGTTGTCATCCAATTCAAAATCTTCTTGTTCTTCCATCGCTTCTTTACCTTCCAATTCCTCCATTGCTGCCAGTAGATCTGGATCAATATTTGGGTCGATATCTGATTCCAAGACGCCTGGTTGTGGTTGAACTATTTCAATTTCATTTTTGCTCGAGGATTGAGGTAAAAATGTAATTTTGTCCTTTGGGATTTCCATTTCTGGCAGCTACAAACAAAATTTTTATAAATGAAAAGTAGCGTACGATAAAATTACAGTAACTTCAGCATTTTTAAAAAGTCCAAAATTCCGTTATACTCATAGCTAGGCAAAAAGCTAATGTAAACTATCACAAAGTTTCAAGTAACTAGACGAAAAACACTTGGTCTTATACCTTCATTTCTCAACTTCCTCTCTTTAACAATATCACTCAACAAAACCACTCTCAATCAACCTAAAAACATAAAAAAAACAAATATAAAAAGACTTACTTCATCTCTAGACTTCAAATGGCTGAGATAATTATAGTTGTCCGCATAATAAATACCAAATTTTTCTCTTTGTAGCAGCTCATCATCCGTGACATCCACAACATTCGTGATTTCAGCTTGAGGTCCCAGAATCGGTGGTCGATCTTCTGTGGTCCTGGTTTCTAGACGAAACGTTACAACTTTTTCGTTTTTATCAATGAAGTGCTTCTTTTTGCCCTAGAACAATAATATTAGAAACAAATCAGACAAAAAAGGTATAAAAATAGTTAAATAGATATGTTAAAAATAATATAAGCTTACCATTTTGTATTTTCTACTGTTAAATCAATATAGAAACAGCAGAATTTGATGTGATATCAAAAAATTGGCAAAAATACACAATTTTAGGGGTTAATGCGGAATGCCACACGTTTATTTTTCGTTGCGGGACCAATTTGATAGCCGAATGTCACTAGCCTCTAGACATGAGAAATGGGCCGGGCCGACCTTGAGCAAAATTTCGATCGGGCCGGGCCTAACATTCAGGCCGTTTCTCATGTCTACTAGCCTCCACCCCTAAATAACACAAAAAATATCAACCAACTCCAGCTAAATATAATTTATTCATAAAATATAATAATTTAGATTCCTCTCAGAGCGAAATGATTGACAAATGAGGTAGAGCTGTATTTCCTGGAGCGGGCAAAGGCGTTGGTCAAGTGTTCACGAAGGATTCTGATGTGATCCGGGATGGTAATGTCATAAATCGTGTCGTCTATGACCACAAAATCTGGGGAGTGTTGTTCTAGGTAGAAGATTAGTTCGCGTGACGTTGCTGGGGCCTAAAATAGTATTTTTATTAAGGAAAATTTAAACTATCGTTTTAACCTCAGATATTCCCTGTTTCCGCTTCAAAATTTTAAATTTTTTAAATTCTAAAGTGCTTTGCTGCTTACCTGAAATTCAGAATGACCGATAAAGGTAGATAGGCGTAACCTTAGGCTTAAGTAGACATTTAATGGGCCAAACTTCCTCATCATTGCCTTCATGTACTGGATGAAGGTTTCGACCGATTCGATCAGATCGACGCCGAACGGTTCCCATGTTTCTTGTGGTTGATATTGGCACACCTAAAAATGATTTTTAAAGTAAGTTAGCTATAAATTTAAGCCTGAAATCAAAAAAAAATATTTGGCAAATGGGGGGGGGGTGATTTTAGAGGGAGGGGGGGGGGATCAAATCTTTTTTCTAGAATCTGTAGAGTGTACACTTCCACGTAACTTTTCTCAAAAAAAAGTTTCAGCAGTAGAAACCTTCCCCCCCCTTTTACCTAGACCCACCCCACCCCTCTTCACTTCCCCTACCTCAATTTCCTTCCGTAATTCCGCGCTCATAGGTTTGTTACTGATCATTTTCAGCCATCCATTCTTTACATACTTGCCCTTCAAACAAGTTCCCATTAGAAATCGACCATACTCCTTCAGTGCCATTCTTATCACAACATGGGACTTGCATTGGGTTTTGCGGATGGCTCTGATGGCTGGTTCTATTGGTATGCCGGAGGAGAAATGGTACGGAAGCTTGTGGAAGTTCTGAAAAAAATGTTTTTAGTTCAGGCAGGGTAGTAATAGTAGGGTATTAAGGGTAGGTAGGGTAGAGTAGGGTACGGTAGTGAAGGGTACAGTAGGGTAAACTATGATAAGATCGACTACTGTAAACAGACTTCATATTCAAATTCCCTACCTCAAAGATCTCATTGAACCACTTCATTTGCTTCGGACTAAACTCCACGTACCCATTGTTCCTACGGGTTATGGTAGCCGAAGCGTTGTAATTTTTTTGTTCGATCAGTCGATTCACTTGGTTTACATGAAGTAAGGTGCCATTTGGATGCAAGTATCGTACACAAAGGACACCACCATGAAATACGAGCTTGTCCATTCTTAAAATGACTTCGGCCGCTTCAGCCAAAGTCTTGACATAGACATACCATCGATCTTCCAGTACGTCGACCCCCATCAGGCGAAAAGATTGGCCAAATTTTTTGTCGAATAAGGTCTAAACGTTTGTAGAAAGTTTTTAATTTGTTTTAAAAATGATAAGAAACTTGCCTTGATAGCTTCATATCGACACTTTAACACTCCAGTGAACAGCAATGGATAACCTGTGATTGGAGGCTAAAACAAGGTCATAACAACATCAAAACAATGTTAAAACCCGCAATAACTTTGTGTACAAACTCACAACAGAATAACTAACTTTACAAATCAAACCCACAAGATAACAACCAACTTTACAAATCAAACTCACCAGCGAATCCAGTACGTTCATGTTGATTTGATACCCATTCGGAGTATGAGCAGCATCTTCATCCATTTCTCTCGGATCCTTGTACATGACCGGATCTTGATTACCAACAACTCGAGCTGCTTGATCCAGATAGTCATTGATCAGGCGACGATTCTCGTACACAATCTTATGAGTATCACCGACGGAGGCGATTTTTCCCGCTGGTCTGGACATGATCTAAAGGATGTTGTTATTCTATAAATTTATCGACCGAAAACATGAAAATTTGGTTTTTTATAAACTTATTGAGTAAAATACTAAAAGCAGATGTCAGAAATTATAGGCTGAAGTGTAAAAAACTTACAAATATATTGTTTATGGCCGTTTACTCCAACAAATTTGTAAAAAATGACGTTTTTCATATTTTATCAAGTTTATGATTAAAATTTCGATATGCAAATTCCAGAAACATCCAATAATTCATGTCAAAATTCATTATTTCACTAATTTTCGATTGTTTATGCCAAAAAGATGATCTATTTTCTAGACAATTCATTTTTGGCGCGCAAACTAAATTCGTATTTCCTTTTCGATCTAGGTATCGCCTTACGCACTTTCCACGAAGCTTTTATAAAACAAAGCTGAAAACCTTGATTTTAACTAGATCAACCTGATTTGACTAGGTTTTACTGTTTTTATCTACTTTTTGTATTGAATTCGTCGTATAACATTTTCCCAACGAAAATGCGCGCTTTTCTCAAACCACTGGATAATGGTGTAGAAAACATGAAGAAAACAGAGAAGCGGCCTCCAAAAGTGACGGTAATCCCTCCAAAAGTGACGGTAGTTTCGGACCAACCAAGATTGAACTTGACTAAAGGACAAAAGTTGGATCAATGGGTTGATAAGTATAAACCAGTCGAGGTTTCGAAGATTGTTGGTCAACAAGGAACGAGTTCGAACGTTCAGAAGCTTGTAAAATGGCTGAAGAATTGGCCAAAACACAATATGGGGGCTGCTGGAGCTGTGAAGAAGGCTAAACCGACTGGTAAGAGTTTATTTATATTGTTTTTGTTTTAGGTATGAAGAAAACTGGAGAAGCTTGCTTTATTTTATTCAATGTGAGAATTCAAGTCTCAATGGCTATGAAACTAGTTACCTTATGGTTTAACGTGTCTAAAATGAATTGTTATAGGTTTTAATCAAGGCGACGGCAGTGCCTTTAAAGCTGTTTTAATCTCTGGCCCTCCGGGTATTGGCAAAACCACGATGGCAGTTTTGGCTTGCCAAGAGCTTGGACTAAAATACAAGGAGCTGAATGCTTCTCTAGCCAGAAGTAAGAAGCAGTTGGAGAAAGAAGTTGAGTTTTTACACTCAAAACATGTAGCCAACTTCTTTGGTGCTCAAAAAGTTAAATCAACTGTTGCTAACGGTGTATATAAGGTGGATCAAGCCTTGATTATGGATGAAGTTGATGGAATGAGTGGTAATCAGGACCGAGCTGGTGTAGGTTTTGTTTTAATATGTATTGGTTTTGATTTTAGGAAGCTTTATTCATCGATAAAGGCATGGAATTGCCTTGTTTTTAATTATATTTTACACGTTTAGATAGCCGAACTGATTCAAATGATAAAGAAATCTGAAGTACCGATCATCTGTATCTGCAACGATCGTCAATCACAGAAAATCCGATCTCTGGCCAATCATTGCTTTGACTTGAGGATTCAACGGCCGCGAAAAGAACAAGTTATGGCTTGTTTAATGACAATTGCTGCCAAAGAAAAGTTCAAAGTTGATAAAGCGATTGTGGAGAAGATTGTCCTTGCCGCTAATCATGATGTTCGTCAATCCATCTACTCGCTTCAGCTATTAGCTGCTGGTCAAGCTGATGTTCTTGATATTGATGCAAAGAACGTTGAATTGAACACGTTTGAAGCCGCGCATCAGTTGTTCAGCAAGAGTACGGACTTGATGAAGAAAAGGGAGATTTTCTTCAGCGACTACTCGTTAATGCCATTGTTTGTTCAAGAAAACTATTTGGGGGCAAGATCTGGCGATTATAAGTGAGTTTGAGTTTTATTTATATTGTTTATGTGTTTAGGTATTGGATTTGGAGAAAAAGGGGTAAGAGGTATAGCTTTTAAGCTTTGGCTAGCAAAAACTACAGAAAATGATATTAAAAATCGGTTTTTAGGTATCAAATATTTATGTTAGAGTACCTAAATATTCATTTTTTAGTTGTTGAGACTAGAATTTACAAAAGTTGATGTTAAATTTGAATTTTAAGGAGTAACTACCTATGTTAACATACCTAAATATCAATTTCTTGTTTTAAAACACAAGTTTCCATATTTTTACAACATTAATATAAACTTACATTCCAGTGCCGCAGAACAGCTAGCCGCTACCTCAAAAGCCGCCTATTCGATCATGTATGGAGATCAGATATCAAGATATATTAGGCAAAGCCAAAATTGGTCTCTATTACCAACAGCAGGCACGCTTGGATGTGCTTTACCTCCGATGTTTCTAGGATGTGGTAAAGGTGCGGAAGTGGATGGATTCTTGACTACACAGCTATCGTTTCCAGGATGGTTTGGCAAGAACTCTACACTGAATAAACGTAAAAGATTGGTTAAGGAACTGCAGAATCATATGGGATTGAAGTAGGGTTTTTTGGTTTTTTAAAATTTAAATTTTTTTTGAATTTATGACTTCGCAGAGGATTTTTGGAAAGAAAGTTCTTGTGGTTTTTAAGAAATGTTTTTTTTGTAAAGAAAGTTTTGTGAATTTAAAAAATGACTGTTGGAAAGAAAGTTTTTGCAGTTTTTTTGAAAATTTTTTTTGGAAAGAAAGTTTTTGCAATTTTTAAAGATCTTTGACATAAACTTTCACTTTTAGAGTATCAGGACCAGTACATGCGATTGCTACTGAGTATGTGCCGATCTTGAGGAACAAACTTCTTCAACCATTGGCCGAGGAACAAACTGATGGAATACCGTAAGGATTTTTTTTAAATATTCAAATTTTAGGTTTTTTGGATTTCAAAGTTACTTCTTGGTTAATTTCTTACTAAAAACTGGTTTTTACGAAATTTTTGACCAAAAGAAATTTTTTGCCCGAACTAGTAAATTTTGGTGTATTCTTAGATATTGTATCGTATTGTTGGTGTATTCTATTTTTAGCGAAGTCCTCGCAACATATCACGCATACGACCTGATCAAAGACGATATGGATGCCATCAACGAACTTGGCCTCTGGGATCCACAGAACGACATTGCCAAAAAGATTGAATCCAAAACCAAAGCCGCACTGACCAGAGCCCTGAACAAAGAACTAGGAAAACATCATTATGCCACCAAAAACGATATTGTAGTACCATCAAGAGCCAGAGGCACGAAACGCAAAGCTGCCACCGATGCAGACCTAAAACTCAAAAAGGCATTGATGTCGAATGAAGAAGAGGAGGAGGCAGAAGAGGATGTTAACATGGAAGAAGAGAACCCGGAAGCCGAGGCTGAGATTCTTGATGCTTTTTGATTAAACTGGCGATCTGATTTTGGCTTTAATTTATTTGGTTGTTCAAGTAATTCTGTGCCCTACGAAAATTTGTTTTGAATGGGGCACAGTTTTACTTGAACAACTTAATAGATCTAATTGGATCGAGAAGGATGGATATACATACGACTGTTTGTGTTTAATATTTATGGTATATTTGAAGAAAACCTTCTTCTGATGGTTGTACACGTGTAATATGTTCATGTTTATATACACTTTTTATAAATATATCAATAATATGAGTTGGATCGATTTTATCATTACAGGGTGCGCCAAAAGTCCCCGGACTAACTTTGCCGGTCGATTTCTTTATGTTGTACGCGATTTATATAATTTTTTTAAAGATTGTCCGATTCCCCATAGTTTTTTGTTATAAATAAGTAAAAACTGAGTTTTTTATATCTACCGTCTGTCTGTATTTAGATGTCAAACATGCGAGGAGCCATCATTAAGCTGCATAAAGAAGGAAGAAGGCAATGTGATATTGCGAAATTGTTAAATATCGCAAAATCTACAGTATCCGGCGTGGTCAGACGGTATGTAGAGCTTGGACATGATGGTGACAGACCTAGAAGTGGCCGTCCAGCAACTGTAAACACCCGCGCCAACAGACAGTGGATCAAGAAGCGATTCATGCGTAACCGAACGACTTCTGTACGCAAAATGGCACGAGAGACCGGACTGAAAGAAGCTTCACTTCGCCGTATAGTCAGAAAGCATTTGAAGATAAAGCCGTACAAACCCAAGAAAGTCCAGAAACTTACTTTAAAGAAAACGAAAAAGTACGGTTGAAAAGAAGCAAAAAGTAGTTGCTTTAAGTATTATATTAATTGTTTTAATAAATATGTGGCTAAAAAAATGCGTCCGGGGACTTTTGGCGCACCCTGTACCTTGTGTTTGGCATGCTGAACGGAATTTGTTGTATCTCAACGAATATTGCCTTTATTTATATGAGTTATAGCTTAAATTAAAGATTATAGTGTAGGCTAAGTATAAGTTATAATGTTTTCTATGAAAATTTTTATTTTTTGGGAAAACATCATTTTCTCTATATTACACTAGGTGTAGATGAAGAAGATTTAATTATTGATGAAATGTACATATTTATTTAAATTTTTAAAGATTCTATGTTAAAATTAAAGCTAATATGCTTATGTTAATGTCACACTTGTGTCACCGTGCTCATTTCGAAGTTGGGATCACTGGGGAAGTTGGGGTCTTCACCCAGGTACACACTCCAGTAGACAATGTTGAACATGACAAAGGCTGATGGGAACAGCACTCTGAAAGAAGATTTGTTAGTTTTTGAATCTAGAATGCTAAAAATGTCAATTTAAAATGACCTTTTACAAAAAAATGAGTTTTTAAAAGTTAAGAAAAGTCTTGTCTTCAATTTGTACTGATTTGCACGGGAAAAAACGACAAGACTTTTTTATAATGCTGAACAGTGATAATACCTCAAAAAACATTTTTTTAGTTTAAAAAAGTTTACCCCCATTCACAAAAAATCACCCCCCCCTCCAAAGTTTTAAACTATTAAGACAAAGCTCACCTAGCAATAATGTCAATCCGTTCAGCACGACCTCGTTCGCTTAACAGCGAGCACCATCTTATTAGTTCGACCCGCTTCCGCTGCCCTTGATACACTAGGTCACCAATGTCATGCATGGTCCAATCTGGTTCATTATTGTTGAGAATGTCACGTGATGTGGGACCATCCATCCGCCGAAGCTCGATATCCGAGTCCGAATCACCGTAGTGCATGTTCAGCTGGATTTTCCGGCGCTTTCGGAGAATGCTCTGAAAAATAAGGTTGGGTAGGGTAGGGTAGGGTAAGGTAGGGTAGGGTAAGGTAGGGTAGGGTAGGGTATGGTACGCTAAGGTAGTATAAGATAAAGTAAGGTAGAGGGTACGGTAAGGTAGGGTAGAGTAGGGTACAGTATGTAGAATACTGTAAGAAAGGGTAGTAACTCACCCTTTTGGCATTAACACCAAACAGTTTTTTCTTCTGAGGCGCAACATTTTGTATATTACTATCAACCACATTCGAAAGCCTTGTCTTATTCATAGTAACCTTGTGCATCTGCTTATTCTCATCCAAGATACCAAGGTAATTCACAAACGAATACTCAATTAAAGATGCAAAAATGAAAACGACACAGCCACCAATCCAGATATCAATACTCTTGGCATAGCTAACTGGGGGTAGGTTCGAATTGATGGCATGGGAGGTTGTTATCATTGTCAACAATGTTACAATAGCTAGAGGTACACGAGCTGCGGTCGATTTCCAGTCGATCCAGTACGATACCCATGATACTGCGACTAACATAGCTGACGGAATGTAAAGTTGTAGTAGGAAGAAGGAGAACACTCTTTTTAGGGTTAGTTGTACTCGTAAGCAGGAATAGGTACCTAAAATTTTGAAATTTAAAAATTTTTTAAAAAACTAAAAAAAAATTTAAATTCAAAAAAAAATTTTTTCAAAATTGAAAAAAAATCAAAAAACACCCCCCAAAACAATAATATTGACCTACCAGTATTGGTAACACTGTCACAAGTGGCATTTTTCACTTTGACAATCTCGAAATTGGGCAAAGCACCATTGGCCGTTGATGACAATGTAATGCCAATCTCACTCCAATCGTATATGATATCTTTGGTCGTGTAGGCATAACTGGCAAAATCTAGAGTAAAAAAATTAATAACCGGTCCAAAAGTTCATAGAAAATTAAAATATTCGATATTTCAATCCAAAAGTTTATAAGAAAAAAAAATATTAAGGGCCGACATAAAGAACCCGCCATACTTTTAATGTAATATAGTGTAAAAAATGGCGGGTTCTTTATGTCGGCACCTAATACTTTATATTTTGGTCAAAAAGTCAATGGAAAAAAATTTTTTAAAGCTTTTTTGACCTAAAAACTGAAAAAAATTTTGATTCTATAAGTTTTTCATCGTATTTTACAAAAAAAATAAAAATTTTTTAAAAGTTTTCAAGAATTAACATACCAATGAAGCACTCTTGTGTGTCCATGGGGTATCGTATCAAATTCATGTCGCAAGACAAAGTTAATGTCAGCCGTCGGTCGTATGTCACTAAACCGTCTTTGCGAACTTTTACAAATCGATTTTCCTGAAAATTTTAAAATGTTCTATTTACTTACTTGACCATCACAGAAAAAAAAATTTTTTTTGACCCCCCCCAGACCAAAAGTCCCTGCCCGGCCCTGCCCATACCCCTACCCCATTTAAAAATAAAAAAAAATTTTTTTAAATTTTTAAAAATGTGAAAATTGCAATGCCATTTTTAAAGATACCTGATCCAACATATGGTACCACCCATTCCGTTCATTTTGAAAAAAAGTGTCCGGAATCCAAGGCTGTTGATCCTGAGCAAAGTTGATCAACTCCAGATTTCGAAATTCGTGTCGTTGATCAAAACGAAGCCGCTCATCGTACCATCGTTGCTGGAAGCGGAATTGGACTACGTACTCCTGAAATTACTTAAACTTTAAAAAAATTTCTATGAACTTTTGGACCACAAAAAATTCATTTTCCTGCCCGGCCTTAGTCTTGGCCTTTCCTTGGCCTTGCCTTGGCTTGGCTGTTCTTGACCTGCTCATTTCTACCCAACTTTATTCTGCCCTGCCCCGTCTTGCCATACCCTATCTTACTCTACTTCACCTTATCCTGCCCTAACTTACTCTACCTCACCCTGCCTTATCCTACCTAACCCTACCCTTCCCTTAAAACATCAAACTTACCATATTCCGCACATTTACAGCACTGATCGATCGGATGTTGATGCCTGTTGCTACCACCACAGGACCATCTATAAAATGTACTAGTAACACAAAGGTATACTACCATAGTAAAAAATAAAGCAGAATCGAAAAATAATAATAAACAAAAAAATTTAAAGCCCAAGGGCAAAAGAATAAAAATTTTTTAAAAAACCTTACTTTTCTCCATATGTGGCACAGTACCAAACGGCCGAACGGCCGGATCATAGTTCTCTAACAGTTCACAGGCTGTCATCTGCTCCTTCCAGGCCAAGTAATTGGTGGTTCTGCGGTTGAAGGCTGTTCTTTTGCTAAAAAAATCGAAATTAAATTTTTTGAACACATTTTTAAGCCTAAAAGAGTAATAATTTGTAATTAAAACTAATTTTTAAAATTATTTTTTGCGCAGTAATTAAGCCTAAAAAGATGACGAGCTTAGAAATCAATATTAAGCATAAAAATTGTAATTTTGAAGCCTAAAAATAAAAAATCTGTATGTTAAAAATAATTTTTTTCTGGTATTTTTAACCTCGTAACTTAAGCCTAAAATTAAAAAAATCTGTATTTTAAGCCTAAAATTGTTTTCTTTTACGTTTCTAACTTCATAGCTTAAGCCTAATAAAGCTAAAAACCTTTAAAAAACTGATTATACGTCAATTTAAGCCTAAAATTATATTTTAACACGACATAGCTCATATCTTAAGCCTAATAACAATTAAAAGTTAATTACATCCTTCGAGGGTCATTTTTAAGCCTAAAAGTAAAAAATTCGTATTATAAGCCTAAAATTATTTTTTAATGTTACTTAGCTCATACCTTAAACCTAATAAAGTTAAAAACCTTAATAAAACTACTATACATCATTTTAAGCCTAAAAGTAAAAAATTCGTAGTATCAGCCTAAAATTTTTTTCTGATATTATTTAGTTCATATCTTAAGCCTAATAAAGTTAAAACTCATGATAAAACTACTATACATAATTTTTAAGCCTAAGAGTAATAAATTTGTATTATAAGCGTAAAATTATTTTTTGAGACTGTTGGACTCATATCTTAAGCCTAATAAATTTAAAAACCTTAATAAACCTATTAAACATCATTTTAAGCTTAAAAATAAAAAATTTGTATTATAAGCCTAAAATTGTTTTGTAGTACCTCTTAGCTCATATCTTAAGCCTAATAACAATTAAAAGTGAATTAAATTCCTAAAAGACCATTTTTAAGCCTAAAATTAAAATGTTAGTATTATACGCCTAAAATTGTATTTTGGTACCAATTAGCTCATATCTTAAGCCTAATAACGCTAAAATTGTTAAAGAGTATTTTTTAAACTTAAAATGCATTTTTAAGCCTAAAATGAAAAAAAACCTTACCACCCCAACTTTTTGTTCTTGGCAACAGTAGCATCGACAAAACTCAATATGTTAACAATGAATAACAATAAAACAAAACTTCTGCTTGGAGATTTTAAAAACGCAATTACTTTGTTTACAGTCCTCCATATCGGCTTCATTAACACTGAAAGTTAGTAGAAACTCAGTTGTCTATCATAACATGTAATAGCATATACTATGTATAATACACAGTGATATACATAATGACCAAAAAGACCTTGTTAATTGAATTTCAAATGTTAAACAATACACTTATCTAGTACTATATTGAATTAAAAATAGTTTGAGGGCGTAATAAATTGAAGATTATCTTATCAGATTAACCACGTATACACATTTGTAAATAATTTTTTTTAATAAGGAAAGACTTTGTAACATATTATAGTAGGTACACGACACTTAAGAAGCACTAAAAATACCCTACCCTACCCTACCCTACCCTACCCTACCCTACCCTACCCTACCCTACCCTACCCTACCCTACCCTACCCTACCCTACCCTACCCTACCCTACCCTAGAATGACAATTTAAAATTCATAATACGTGGCCAAGAGGTGCTTAATGCAGTTTCGGAACAATGAAAAGCCGTCGAGTTTTGTGCTTTCGTTACTGAGTGAAGCGGAAATGTCAAAAGTCCTTAGTTTTCTGCTTGAAGAAAGCCAAAACAACTAGTCCGCGGCCCAAAATTAGGCTTCAAAAACAACTTTTTGAATGCTTAAGCGATTATTAAGATGTTAGGGCAGGTTTGTGACTTAGAGATTATAGTTCTACGAAATTTTTGACCTAAAAAAGCAAAAATTTTTATTTTCTAGGAACTTATTGACCAAAAAGTATTGCACAATGCAGTCAAAAAGATACTCAAAAATTGAATACAATCAGAACCGGGCGCGAGGGGGGGGACGGGAATCCCCCCCCTCCTCATTGAAAGTGGTCCCCCCGTGGATTTTTTTGACCCCCCCCAGATCAAAAGTCCCCGCCCGGCACTGACTAAATCTTGTCCTGCCCTGCCATCTCCTACCCAGCCCTGCTAGAAATGAAGAACGGACCAAGCCTGGGCAAAGTTTGGACCGGGCCGCGCCTGAAAATCTCGAAAAAAGCCCGGCCCGTCTTGAAAAGCCCGAAACGCCCGGCCCGTAAGGTGAGAAGCGGGCCGCGCCCACTTTTAAAGCTTGGCTCGGGCCCAGGGCCCAAGATTGAGGCTCGGCCCGTCTTCATTTTTAACTCAGGCCGGCCCGGCCCAAAGTTTTTTTTACGTGCAACAAGCCGGGCTTTTTTCGTTCCGGGCCGGGCCTGATTTTTACTTTTTTTCAGCTTTTCAAGCCCGACCCGACCTAAGTTGAGCTCACGACCGATTCGGCCTACACGGCCCGTTTCTCACCATTACCGTCCCGTTTCCATTTAAAAAAATTGGGCCGGGCCTAACATTCAAGCTCGGCCCGTTCCCTATATCTGTCTTCCAGATAAAGTAAACCACCTCCCTCCCCCCCCTCCCCCTAGACATGAGAAACGGGCCGGGCCTGAATGTTAGACCTGGCCCGGTCAAAATTTTGCTCAGGGCCGGCCCGGCTCGAAAATTTTTTTTACGTGGAAGCGGCCCGGGCTCAACTCATTTTTCAGGCCCGGCCCGATCGGGATTTTGCTCAAGTCCGGCCCGTTTCTCATGTCTACCCCCCCCTTATGACAATACTTATTAGACATAAATTGTTCCGTAAACAAATTAAAATCTTGAAAAGTGCTATGGCGGCTGGACATTATTATTAAACAGACCTCTTAAAGCCAATTACATTAAACGAAAAACAAAACATAATGTAATCAAAGGAATTGTCAGTGCTATAGTAACATGAAATGGTGTCAGAACCCGCCCTTCTTTACAGGAAATTACAGGCAAAGTATGGCGGGTTCTTTATGTCGGCAGCTAATATAAGCCTAAAAAAAAGCGTAAATTAAGCCTAAAAGTAAAAAATTTAAAATTTAAGGCTAAAATCTTTAAAAAAATTTTGGCATTTTTTCAATTTTAAAGTTAAATTTAAAAAAATTAAAAATTTGTCTATTTTTTTATATCCCCCCCCATTTACGCCTCTAATATCATCTCCCCCCCTCTCTGCCTTCATCCTTCTATTTTCGCCCCTTTTATCCTCCAAATACCCCCGCTCCCTTCGTCCCTTTATCCTTCTAATATCCACCCTGCTCTCATAAAATATCCCTCCACCTTTATCAAAAAGACACCCCCCAATCAAAAGTGTAAAAAATAGGCAAACAATGCGTGGCCATAAAGCTCGGCTCTATTAAATAAAGGCCGGAAGAGTACTCTAAGTAAATCCGCGGCCATCCTCTCCTCGCTTGTGCACGTCTAATTTTCGGCCGTTTTTTGCGAATGTTTGCCAAGACACATCCGCCGCCAGCTGTTCCTATCTCGAAATGAAAAAAAAACGGTTTAAACATTTCTTCGCCTTACCTTTCGCGGCCGTTTCTTAAAACGTGCCAAAAGTTGAGGCGGCATGAGAACGGCCAAACTTAAAACGTCATATTACGGCCACTTTCTCATACATATTATAATCGGCATTATTATATGGCTTTATTATGACAAATTACAATTTAATATTTTTCTTGAAAAAAGCGCTTTATATATTGCACTGTGCAACCATTCTTTCTTGTTTGCACCGTGCAATCATTTCTTGCCTGCACTGTGCAATCATTTTTGTGACTGCACCGTGCATACATTTTTTGACTGCACCGTGCGGTTCTTTTTTGACTGTACAGTGCAGTCATTTTTTTTGACTGCACTGTGCTATCTTTTTTAACTGCACAGTGAAACAAATTCTTTACTGCACTGTGCAATCCTTTTCTTTTGACTGCACAGTGCAAGCTTTTTTTTAATTGCACCGTGCAAGCATTTCTTTAACAGCACCGTGCAAGTAGTTTTTTTGACTGCACCATGCAAAATCTGTTTTTAACTGCACTGTGCAATAATCATTGTTTTGCACCGTGCAATCATTTTTTGATTGCACTGTGCAATCTTACTTTGACTGCACTGTGCAATGTATTTTTGACTGCACCGTGCAATCATTTTTTGACTGCACCGTGCAATAAATTCTTGACTGCACCGTGCAAAATCAGTTTTTCACTGCACCGTGCAATCATCTTTGGCTTGACGCTTTACAAACCTTTATCAAAAATTATTTATGCAAATTTATTCGAATAAAATTAGGAAATTAGAACTCTGTAGGATACAAATGACTAGAATCATACAACACACAAAATACCTGTCATAAAATTATGCGTAGTAACAATGATATTGTACGAAAGATCGTACTGTAGTTTTTCAAAAGTTCTCAGACTAAAAATTAATTTTTATTAACTAAAAATCAACTTTAACTAAAACTGAATTTTTTTTCAAAATTTCAAAAAACTTCAAAAATTTTTAAAATTTTAAAAATAGTCCGAGAACTTTTGAAAAAACAAAAAAATAGAACCCCAAACATGTGTACATGAGACAAGAATCGTTTCGTATAAGGCATTCGATGAATAAGTAGCAGTAAAATGGTATTGGGTGCCGACATAAAGAACCCGCCATACTTTGCCTGTAATTTTGTGTAAAAAATGGCGGGTTCTTTATGTCGGCACCTAATAAAAACGTGATTATGAGCAGCAAATAACATAAAGGCACAGTAAAAAAGGCACAGTTAATATATTAATCATAGTACATTTCTACTGTAGTACCAGTAGAAGCCTACTGTGATAATACGTTGCCATTATTAATAAAAAAAATGGTCATAACATAATAAAAAACTTGTTAAAAACGGCAGAAAAACTGTAAAAATCTGATAAATTAATCAAAAAACGGTCGATTGATACCAAAAAATGTTGATACAGATAAACAAAATATTGTTACAGTATCCAACAATGTTGGAGAAACAATAACCATGAGTGTAAAGTTCAGTTATTGTGCCATTTTCGACTGCCAAATAAAGTTTGTTTCAGCCGGTTGCCAATTCCACTAGTCTTTTGATCCATCGATGAGTCTAAAATACAAAATTTATTAGTTTGGAAGGGTTAGAATTGACTTTTTTGTCCCTACCTTACCCTACCCTACCCTACCCTACCCTGTCCTACCCTACCCTACGCTACCATACCGTATTCGGCTCTACCGCACTTTACCGTTCTTTACCCTAGTTTACCTTATCCTACCTTACCCTACCCTACCCTACCCTACCGAGCCCTCCTTTACTCTACTTTAACCTACCCTACCTTAATGTACTCTGCCGTACTATCTACTGCTCTGTCCTACCCTCCTTACCGTACCCTATCGTTGTCAACCAAACCTTACCGTACGCTATCTTAGCCAACCTTATCACTGTAAAATTTTCTACCCTACAGTAGCCTGCTCTCAAGTGCATTACTATAATCGATTCTACTCTACCTTACCGTACCGTACCCAACCTACCCTACCCCACCCCACCCTACCCTACCCTACCCTACCCTACCCTACCCTACCCTACCCAACCTACCCTACCCTACCCTATCCTAATATACCCTAACTTGGCTTCAATTAAAAAATATTAAGCTCTCACCATCCTTCTCAATGGCATGAATTCTCCAAGGTTCATGACTCAACGAGTTGCTCTTCATCAACATCCCCGGCCGTTGTGCACCATCCTGCCCTACCCTATTCAATGACAATACCGAGGCTCCATGGTTATCGTGCAACGAGTTCTGATGCACGATTGGTCTTTCTGGTACACCGCCCAGCTTTCGGATCAATTGGCCGATTCGGCCGGCGTTCTTGGGCATGGGAGGTTGTGGAGATCGTGAGGTTTGGTATGGTGCTCCAATAGTACGTCGGCTTGTCACACTGTGTTCGTCCTCTTGACGGTGGGCGTCGGAACAGTGGGTTCGGATGTTGTCGTAAAAGTTCTCCTCTTCGTCGACGTTCTGGCTGTTCAGGGAGGCACGGTCGTACTGTGCTTGGGGTTTTTCGTACTGTGCTTGAGGCTTGTCGTACTGATGAGGTGTTCGAAGGCTTCCTTGACGTTGAACCGGCTTCTGGGTTGGAGAGAGGTAGGTACGATGGTTTGGAGGCTGTGTAGAAGGTAACGATGGTCGACTGTCAAACTGTACCCTTGAGGGATTCTTCAGGCTTCCGGAGCGATCTTTTCGAAATTCGTTGATCTCACTGTACACTGGCTCCGGTGGGTGTAGCACAATGTCTAGGTCGCGACCACTTTGACTTAGGTCACGATGTTGTACTTGATGTTGAAGCTGGTCGCTGCTCCTTTGTCTCTGAACCTTCTCTCGACTTCCTTGACGTTGAATCGGCTTCCGGTCGAAGATGTTGTGAATGGCTTCGACCTTCGATGGATTCAGTTTCTCATCGTTGATGATTTGAAAGTGGTTCGGGAGCTGAGCTTGTTGACCATGTTGATGTTGATGAACATGAACTACACCGACCGGTTGATTCCTGGGGCTATTATGAGGTGGGTTATGTTGTGGTTGTTGCAAATATTGATTGGATTGTTGAGTATAGGATGGTGCATGTTGAGTACCATGCTGTAGGGCAGTACTATGTTGAGTACCATGCTGCAAACCAGTACCAACTTGAGTACCATGCTGCAAACCAGTACCAACCTGAGTACCATGTTGCAAACCAACACCAACTTGTGTACCATGCTGTATACTAGTACTATGTTGAGTACCATACTGTACCTGTTGATGCACACTAGGATCCTGAAGATAAGCCTGTCCCATTACTGGTGCACCAGAGATTCCAGGACCAGTCTGAGCGATTCTTTGTTGCTTCTTCGCCATCATTTGTTGTTGCCAAGTGGGTACGGTAGTTTGGGATACTGTATTCTGAGCATAATGCTCCGTGGCCTTTGGTCTTTTTGGTGCATCTAAAGGATGAAGTTCTCCAATAACTGAGTCCAACAATGAAGCAGCGTCCTCTAACTTCTGTTTTGGAGCCATTTTTGGTACCATTTTCTGATTCGGTACCATTTTTGGTACTACTTCGGAATTTGGTACCACTTTTTGTCCCATTTTCTGAGCCAAAACATTCGACTTATCGACCGGTCGTTGTACTGCCATCTTCTCTTCGTACCTCCTCATCCCACGGTCCATCGACCCCGAGTAGTTGTGCTGCTGTGGTACACTCAAGCGTGGTACACTCTGTGGGTCCTGCACCTTGACCGTGGTGTTGGCAATCGGCCGTTGGCGTGGCGATGACTTTTGAGGATCATTGGGCATTATGGGGAAGGAACGGCGCTTTTCAAAATTCTGGAAAGAAAGTTCTTGCGGTTTTTAAAAATTAATTTTGGAAAGAAAGTTCTTGCAGTTTTTGAAAATTAATTTGGAAACAAAGTTCTTGCGGTTTTTAAAAATGATTTTGGAAAGAAATTTCTTGCGGTTACTCATTTTGCACAGTGCACCAATTTTATATTTATTTTGCACGGTGCAATCGACTTTTCAGTGCAAAAAGCAACTGCACGGTGCAACCAAATTTTCAGTGGAAAAAAGTGACTGCACGGTGCAATCGATTTTCCAGTGCAAAAAAGTGACTGTACAGTGCAAAACATAATTTTTTTTTAATTTTAAAATTTGAAAAAAATCTTACCGGATCATTGCTAAGCTCCAATTCAGCGACAAGAGCATTCATTTGATGCACAGGATCTGGCGGATGTAGATACTGTTGACTCGACGTACTACCATACCCACTAGTATTACTAGGCGGATACGGTAATGGAGTCCTAGTCGGACCATACATCGCATCAGGTAAACTTTGAATCGAACCACGCTGGAATTGAACAAACGCTCCAGAATTCGACCGTTGAAGCGAGTTGAATGTGACTTTTTCGGCCGAAAAGAGGACCTTTTCACAATTTTTCAGTTCGTGCGAATTCTGACTACCGTGACTGAATTCGGAAGCCGCGCGGTCCACACTGTCACTGGTCGATGGTCTTATGTTGTTGTAGGGGTTTTGGTCGTCGGTTATGACAAAGCCTGGGGCACCTTGTTCGTTCGGCCGGTAGGGGCGGGGCTTGATTGGGGCACCCATGTTTGGGGGGGGTTTTGGGTGACTGGCTGTTGGATTTGAGGAATTTGAGGGGGGGGTGGTTGGGGGACTGGTTCACTAAATTGAAAAAAAATTGTTTGTTGGTCCAAAAGTTTATAGAAAAAATTTTTTTTTTGGATTTCTGGTCAAAAGGTTCATAGAAAAATCTTTTTTTTGCTTTTTAAAATCCCAAAATTCAAAAAAAAAATTTTTAGCGTCCGGTCCAAAAGTTCATAGAAATTTTTTTTTTATTAAAAAAGGTCACAACCATCTCAAAATCACATACGTCTTGGTCTTCTTCTCCTTGGCCGGTTGTTTTTCGCGTTTCTCGCGTTTCGCCGCGTTTATGAACGCCACTTCGGCCGAACAACTGCCCAACGAGTGTTCTTCGTCCGACTCTCCGCTGCTGCCGACCCGGCGAAGCTGCAAAAAGGACTGTTAGAGACAAATTTCAATGTAAAATACGTTACTTTTTGCCATGTTAAACAAGTTTTAGAAGAGAAGTTAAAAAAAAATTGGGCGGGGTAAAAAAATTTTGGAGGGGGGGGGGCAAAAAAATTTTTTTTTTAATTTAAGAAACCCACAAAAAAACAAAAAATCAAGCCAATTAAAAATCAAAAAAAATTTGATTTTTACCCTGCCCATCAAATAACCCCTACTTGATTATTGACATTTCCCGGCTTGTCCACCCAGGTTTTAATGTCATCTTGTAACCACTTCCGAGTATAATCCAGCCGTTCCGAAGTATTTTTGGATGGTAGAACTATCGTCTCCGTTACTTCAACATCACCGGATTCTACCTGAAATTCACAAAAAATTGAGAAAATGTCTTTTTTTAAATTAAAAAAATATATTTTTATGGTCTGAATTAGTTTAAAAATTAATTTTTGGTCCAAAAATTGCTAAAAAAAATCAATTTTAGGCCTAAAGATAAGCAGAAACCCCACTTTCTAAACCCAATCTAACGTTAAAAACTTCATTTTTCAACTCTAAAATACAAAAAATATAAACTTTTAGTAAACAAATACTTGAAAAAAACATCTACTAGTTCATTCCGGTCCAACAGTTCATAGAAAAACCAAAATTTATTACCTAAATCAGTCCAAAAATAAGAAATATGGCCCCGCGTCAAAAAGAATTAATCACTTTTCAGTGCATTTATATAGCAAAAGGGATCAATTCTTTTTGGCGCGGATTGAAATGCCAATCTTTTTAAAATAAAAAAAATTTTTTTTAAACTGTGTTCAAAATGACATGTCAAGAACAGTAAAATAATTTGTCATAATAACCTCAAAAAACCCGTCATTATGACAAAAATAACTTGTCATGATGACATTATAAAATTTGTCATGATGACAAAAATAATTTATCATAATGACAAAAGATGACCAATTATAACAAATATAAAAACATACCTTTTGTGGTTTCTCCCGTTGGCCCTTAAACTGAGCATTGACAGCATGTTGTACTGGCTTCTGTGCCTGTGAGATCGGTTGTTGGAATCGAGCCGGCTGAAGCTGTTTTTGGGGGTGGATCCGTCTAAACGAGTCGATATAGATTACCATGGCCAGGAGTTGTCATTTTACTGCCAGAGTTGTCATTAGGCTTAGAATGAGCTTAGGTTTTTAAAGAATTTTAAAAAGTTTTAGGCTTAAAATAACTTTTAGGCTTAAATAGCGGTTTTTAGGTAACAAATATCAATTTTTAAACTTAATATTGATCTTTAGTTAACGAATAACAATGTTTAGGCTTAATTCCTCCTCCTAGGCTTATAACAAGCTTTTAGGCTTAAAAAATAACTTAGGACAACAAATATTAGGCTTATCAGCTTAAAACACTTTAGAACATAGAATTAAGACAAAAAAACGACTGATTAAAGGTAAAGGTCAGTTGACCTGAGGCCATTTGATAGTCTTTTTAAGAGACGACCTGATAAATGGCCCCTAAATATTTGTGACAGCCGGCTGCCCCGAAGGTTTTAACACTAAACAAAACTTTTTGTTAAGGCTTTAAAATTTTTGGGTCTTGTTGGTCATACAAATTTATGGAAAATCTAATTTTTAAAATTACAGTACTCCACTACAGTATCCCATCGATTTCTTCCTTAATTACAGTACTCTAATTACAATAAACCTTAATTACTAATTTTTCAATTACAGCAACGAAAATACAGTAACCTATATACTATGTACTCGATTTACAGTACTTTAGTTACAGTAACTCTGATATTATTTACCTAATTATAGTACTCTAACTACAGTAACCTAAACTATATGCTATATACTCCAAGTACAGTAATCCTAATACTACTTCCCCAGTACCATACCTACAGTAAACTAGGTGAAAATTTTGTATCTCCCGTACTCTAGCGACAGTAGCCTGCCCATTACAGTACCAAAAATACAGTAACCTCAATCTTTCTCCTTTATCGACCGTACTCTAACTACAGTACCCTAGCCCTAACTTTTGTACTACTCTTACTCTACCTCCGCTAGATTGTCCATTACAGTACTAAAAATACAGTAATCTAAACCTTTTTTCTGTACCTAAGGTACTCTACTTACAATACTCTGATCATTACGGTACAAAAACTACAGTAACTTACGCATTGCCTCCAGCATCCTGACTAACACTCTTGACCAACTGCGGCCGTTGTGGCGAAGTGGTACCCTTTGTCATAGTTTTGGTGATCTTGACCGGAAACTTGTCCGGTTTTTGTTTTTCCGGTCGATTCTGTGGTTCGACCGTTTCCTTCTTCAAGTCCTCGAATATCTGGTCTAAATAGTCGATAGCCTCTTTGAACTTGGTACGGTGTTGTTGATGTTTGTAACGGGCTTGGTCTATCATCTGGTCCAGTTTGTGCGACGCTTTGTCTAGGGCTACGCTGAAAACGGCAGAAATGACGTTTTTCAAATTTTTTTTTGAAATATTTGAACTTTAGGTCTAAAAAAAATCCATAGAACAACGGAATTTTTAAGTTTGCGGTCGAGAAGTTTATAGAAAAACTAAATTTTCAGGTTTTCGGTCAAAAAGTTCATAGAAAAATCAGTTTTTCGGTCAAAAAGTTCGTAGAAAAACTGATTTTTACATTTTCGGTCAAAAAGTTCGTAGAAAAAACAATTTTTACCATTTGCGGTCAAAAAGTGCATGAAAAAACTGATGTTTACATTTTCGGTCAAAAAGTTTATAGAAAAAATTGATTTTTAGAATTTGTGCCACAAGTTTAAAGAAAAAAGATCCGCCCGATCAAAAAAAATCAAGCCCTCCAAAATTTACTTTACCAGCCACGTAAAAACGAGCTGGATAAGATACCAACCTTGATTGGAACTTATTAGTTCGAATAAAACATAAGTTTGCTTTAAGGTCATGAAAGAGACGCTTGTTTTTTGACTGGGTTACCCTCAAAACGAGAGAGAAGAGAGTGGAAGGCAGTGAGAGAGAGGGAGAGAGGAAATGAGAGAATAGAGAGAGCATTTTTTAGTTATAAATGGGTCAAAAAGTTTATAGAAAAATAGATTTTTAAAGTCTACGGTCAAAAAGTTCATACAAAAATTGATTTTTAGGTCAAAAAGTGTGTAGAAAAGTCAAAAAGTTTATAGAAAAATTGATTTTTAGGTCAAAAAGCGGGTAGAAAAATTTTTTTTTGATTTTTAAGTTTTGAATAGTGAATAATATGCTACGGATTGTCTCTAAAAGGGTACTAATTCGATTATTCTATAGAAATAATAGATAATTCTTTAAACTTTTTGACCGCAATATTAAAAAAAGTCAGAAAAAAAAGAGATTGCTCCAAAAAAATTAAGTTTTGTCGTTTTTGACAGTGCAAGAGATTACAAATTACGACAAAACTTTTTTTCTTGTATAATATGTACCTAAATTAAACCAACAATCAAATTTTTTTCATTTTTAATAGATCAAAATCACATTTCCATAGTGTAGAATGACATACTTTTCCATTATAATACTGTAAAATCACATACTTTTTCATTATACAGCACTCACTCTATATAAGCAACCCGAAGGGACCGACATTTTGTGTTTACTATAGGGAGTGTTGTCTTTACAGAGTGATTTTTAGCGCAAATTGACTTGGCAAAACCAAATTTCTTGTTTACTATAAGGAGAGTTGCTTATACAGATGGTTCAGTATATAGAGAGACCACTGTAATACAGTAAAATCATATTTCCATAATGTAAAATCATATACTTTTCATTTTTATTACAGTAAAATCAAATTTTTACTGTTCTAATAAGGTAAAATAATATCTTTTACTTCCGTGTTAAAAAAATTATGGTGAAGTATTTGGGAACAACGGGTTAAAATTCAACTTCTGTTCGAAACAATAACAAAAAATATGATTTAGACCCTAATGAAAGGGTCAAAAGCCGAAGCTAAATCTGTCTTTGAGCTTGTCCACAATCTTAAGGGCTCTTAAGGCCGCTCCAAAGGTAACAAACTGAGAAAAGCGGAAGATATTGTAAACAAACATCGCTGTGGTCAATTCTGGTTGGGCGGGGTAAAAAAAATTTGATAAAACTTTCATTGGAACAAGAAAAAATTGAAATAGATGTAGATATAAGTATAGCAAAAATAAAAAAAAATTTTTTAAATAAAAAAAATTTTGAGGGCATGGTAAAAATAAATTTCGGCATGACAACTATAACAATATGCCCTAAATTTTAAAAAAAATTGAAATAGGTGTAGATATAGGTATAGCAAAACTAAAAACATTTTTTTTTCAAAAAAATTTTGAGGGGTGGTAAATATAAATTTCGGCATGGCAACTATAACAATATGCCCTAAAATGCCAAAAAAAGTTGCCAAAATGAAATGTCATCAAAGTACAAGCAAGTTCATAGCTATAAAACAAATTATCGAATATGAAAGACGTGAAGGCTTCTTTTTCCAAACACCTGTTCAAGAGATTTAAGGCTAAATGAGTAAGCCCTCAATCATATACCTTTTCAAATAACCCTTCAGCTTATTTTTAAACTATTTTTTAGGTCTGTGTCGGTGAAAAGGTTTGTTAAAAATGGCATTTTTGTCTGAAAAATTGAGTTTTTGGCTGAAAAATAAGAGGTTTTGAACCGAAATTGGCTAAAAAGTGCCATTTTAGGTATAAAAAGTGGAATTTGTTATCTAAAAAAGCAATCGTTTTGTCTGTAGAATAACAATGCAGACTTAGAAAAACAAAAATCTAAGCCTAGAAAGAAGTTATAGCTACTTTACCGCAGTAAATCCATCAAAATAACCCTCTTTTCACGCCTAGATCAAAATTTTTTTAAATTTTTAAAACTTCAAACTCAAAATTTTTTCCCAAAATTTCAAAAACATCTTCAAAAAACCCCTACCTTTGCACCGACTCCATACTCGTAGCACTTTGTCTCCCAGAAGGCACATTAATAGGGATATGAGCAGCGTACCGTTCCGCCGGTTTGTTCGAATGTTGGGCGGCCTGAGCTTGGAATCCCTGGGCCAAGTCCGAATCCATGGAACGACGCTTCCATTTGTTATCAGTTTTCGGTTCATTTTCATCGGTTTGTCTGAGGCGATTCGCTTGTTGTTGCATTTTTTCTTCGAACGGCGATTTTGGAGCATCGAAGACGGCTTTCATTGGCTGAAGCCGGTTGGCACCGGTTGGGTCTGAGGTCTTGCTGAAGAAGATTTTTTGTGGTTAACAAAATTTGTTTAAAAATGCATTTTAAAGCATAAAAACTTTTAAAATTTCAAAAAAATCATTTTCTTCAAGCTAAAAAAAGTCTTGTCGTCAAATTACATTATATTACATTGTAAAAAACGACAAAACTTTTTCTAGCACAAAATATTTTTTTTTCATTTTTTATTGTCATTAAACTTACAAAAAAAGTTTTGTCGTCAATTTACACTACACCCTATAATAAAAAACGACGAAACTTTTGTACCCAAAAAATTTTAAATTTTAAAATTTTGTTACCTAAAATCAAAAAACCAGCATCAAAACCCGTCTTACCGTAACATTGCTTTGAGTAGGTTTGCAGGCGCGGCTGGGGCGGCAGTGGTGATTTTCGGGGTGCTTGAACTTGGACTGGGTCATTTGGCCGCGGGGTCATATTGGAGTCGGCCCGTTGGGCCGCAATTTCGGATTCTGAAAATGAAAAAATTAGGTTTTCGGTCAAAAAGTTTATGGAAAATATGATTTTTGGGCTGTCGGTCAAAAAGTTCGTAGAAAATGAAAAAATTGGGCTTCCGGTCAAAAAGTTTATAGAAAAATATGATTTTTGATCTGCCGGTCAAAAAGTTCGTAGAAAATAAAAAAAATAGATTTTCGGTCAAAAAGTTCGTAGAAATTTAAAATTTTAGCTTATCGATCCAAAAATTTGCATAAAAGTTGATTTTTAATAACTCGGTCAAAAAGTTTAGAGAAAAAGTTAATTCTACGTACTTTTAGAACAATTTGTTACCTAAAAACAAAAAATTTCAAAATAAAAAAAAAATTAAAAAAATGTTAAAAATTACTCAAAAATGTCCATAATTCAAAGTTTTGGGAAAATTCGCAGAAACGACGGTTTTTGGGGCTTCAACCAAACAGTTCGGGACACTTTAAAATCAGAAAAATTATTAAAAAACGGTCAAAAAGTTGTGGTAAAAAACAAAAAAGTTGGTGAGGTTAGAGCACACAGTTGTTATAACTTATTTATTTATTATCAGTTAATAGATAATGTTAAAAATGTCCCAAAATAAGGTAGAAACTCACCGTGAATACCGTCAACAGGGCTATTGTAAGTTCGTATTGTTTCGAGGTGGTTACGCTTTCTGTAATTAGTAAGTTTAAAATTTTTTAAAGACCAAAGGAAGGTGACAACATTACTGCCTGGCTTGGCATAGCTTAGCTTAGCTTGGCTTGGCTGGCTCGGCTTGGTTTATTTTGGTTTGGCTTGGCTGAGCTCGGCTCGGCTGGGCTCAACTGAGCTTGATTTGCTTTGCCTTGCCTTGCCTTGCCTTGCCTTGCCTTGCCTTGCCCTACTCTATCCTACCATACCCTTTCCTACTAAACCCGATCCTATCCTACTCTACACTACTATGCCCTGCCCGATCCGGCCCTACCCTTAATTATCATATCCTACCCTACCTTAACCAAATTTACCTAACCCTGCTCCTACCCGTTAGTCATGAAAAACAAGCCGAGCCCATTTTTCAAGCGCGGCCTGGCCGAAATTTTGCTCAAGGCCGGCCCGGCCCGTTTCTCATGTCGTCATAGCCTATCCTACCCAACTGTACCCTAACCCCTCTTACGTTATCATTTTCTACCCTATTTTGGTACTATATAGTACTCAAACTATATTTTCAAAAAATGAATTTAAAACCCCCCTCCTCTGTCGCCCCAGCAGCTTGTCCCCTACCCTCAAAAATGACACTAGCAAGGCCGGGCGGAGACTTTTGGTCTCGGGGCAGGGGTCCGAAAAAAACGGCACAGAGCTACCTGTGCCGACTTTTTTGCAAAATTTTTTTTGAAAATCCCCCCCCAAACAACTTGCCCCTTACCCTCAAAAATGACACTAATAAAACTTTTTGAAAAATTAAGGTAGTCCAGTTTAAGAACGTATATAAATCAGGGAAAGAGTTGAAAACAATTGAACTCAAAACGTTTTTTAAAGTGCTGTTAAAGTCAGCTGAAACGATGATAAAACCTGACAAGATCACGTTCTTTCCGTCAAAAAAAAGCGAAAAAAAAGTTTGAAGCCTTCGAGACTATCGAATTTGTGCCAAAATGGAACTTTTTGAGTTGAAATTGTACCTATACTTCCTGATCTTGCCTAATAGCCGCTAAATAACTTTCATAAGCCTAAAACAAAATTTTTAAGCCTAAATTCTAATTGAAAAACCTGAACTAAAATTTCAAAGCCCAAACTCAACTTTCGAAGCCTGAAGAAATATTCTAAGCCTAAAAGCGATATTATAAGCCTAACATAGATTATGTAGACCTAGGCTTCGTTGATAAGCCTAAAATCAACTTCCTTGGCATAACGTCATCTTTCTAAGAACAAAAGACGTATTATAAGCCCAAAATAGATTAAGTAAGCCTAAGCTATCCTTGATAAGCCTAGAGTTTTTAAGTCTAAATTTTACTCAAAAAGCCTCAGCTATACATTCTATGCCTGAAATCAAATTTGTAAGCCTAAAAAATATTATAAGCCTAGAAAAATTTTAAATCCTAAATTTCACTTAAAAAGCCTAAACTCAACTTTTTAAGCCTAACACTGACTTTTTAAGCCAAAAAGACATGTTATAAGCCTAAAATAGATTTTGCAAACCTACGCTAAATTTGATAAGCCTAAAACAAATTTCCCAAATATTTCATAACAAGTTTAAGATAGCTTTAAAACCCTTACCGACGAACGTATTCTTCCAAAATCGACCGATCGGGCAACACCAGCGGTCCTCCAGCTTGGTGTTGAGGTGGTAGTGGAATGTGAAGTTCACGCTGAAAAATATAAAAATTAAATTTTTGGCTAATTTTTTAATACCTAAAAAACGTTTTGATGATTAAATATACAATAATGTTTAAAAATTTTAAAAAAAAAGTATACCCCCCCCTTCTCTCTCTTAGCCCCAGCTCTAATCACAACCCTTATTATAGTGTTACACCAGGTCCAAATTGTCCTCAAAAATAAAAAAAATTTTAAATTATGTCCTTTTTCGTCCTATCCTACCCTTTTCTACCCTACCCTACTCCGTTCTAACCTAAACCACGGCCGGGCGGGGACTTTTACTCTAAAGTGGGGGGGGGGCGAAATAATCGGCACAGGAATTCACAGGGGGGGGGGACCACGTTCAACTTTTTAAAAATTTTTTTGGAGGCCTTCGCTCCTCCCCCCCCTTCCCTCGCACCCGGCCCTGACCTCAACCCCTACTACAATATAAAAACAAATCACAATAGCCCTCAAAAACATAAAAATTTTTAAAAAATGTGCCAAATCCGTAAAAATATAAAGTCGCGTGAACAATTGGTCAAGAATTTCAGGCTGAGCCTTCATGAATCCCCCTCAAAAAACATTTTTCAAAACAGCCGCACTTTACAGCCGGAGGGAATATCAAGGAGTGATACGAGAAATGGCCTTTTTATCAATCTCATACAACTTCCATGAACCGAAAGTATTTGATTATAAAAAACGGCAATTATAAGAATGGGCTTAAGCCTAAAATGCGTACCTAATATAAAGTTACGTAAGCTTAAGCCTAAAATTCGAGCAGCAGCCTAAAGTCGTGTGATCGTAAGCCTAATCTGTGCGTAAGCCCAAATACGTGCCTAAGCTTAAAACGACGCAATAGTAAGCCTAAAATGACTGCTTAAGCCTAAAATATGTGGTTAAGCCTAAAATAAGTCCTCAAGCCTAAAATTACGAAATCTTAACCGTGAATTGCGTACCTAAGCCTAAAATGTGTGCTTAAACCTAACATTACGTAGTCATAAGCCTCAATGTGTGCGTAAGCCTAAAATATGTGTTTGAACATAAAATGTGTACCTAAGCCTAAAATGGCGTAAGCGTGATCCTAAAATAAGTGCCTAAACCTAAAATGTGTGTTTAAGCCTAAAATAACGTAATCTTAAGCTTAAAATGTATGCGTCATCTAAAGTTGCGTAACCTTAAGCCTAAAATACGCCTTTAAGCCTAGAATTACGTAATCTTAAGCCTAAAATACATCCCTACACCTAAAATGTGTGCTTAAGCCTAGCATATGTCATTAAGCCTGAAACTAGATAACCTTAAGCCCGAAATGCGTAGCTAAGCCTAAAAAGACGCAAGCATCAGTTGAAACCTAATTTTAAAAAATATCAACCATAGACAATATTAGCCCGAACTATATCAAGTCAAATGATATCAAAAAGAGAGAAAGGGGAATGTCAGCGGATAAAAGAGAGCCTTTGCAAAAGCAAATCGCCCTCTGGCGGTCTTAAAATAACAAGAATTCGTGTGATTTATGGCCAAACTTTGCTAATACTCTAATTGACACAAATTACAAATTGAAACCATCAATTTTTAAACCTATGTTATTAAGCCTAAAAACAAGTTATATATACTTTTTGACCGATAGTAAAATCAGTCTTCTTTTCACAAACCTATAACTATATTCAAACACATGTCCCGAGGGCAGTTATACCTAAAACAAGCCTAATGTCGTTTGATAAGCTATTGGGTTGGACAACAGATGGTCGTATGTTTACGCTTTCATGACCTTTTTAAAACTCGCTAATCGTTTTTTGAGCTGAACTAGGGATATGAATGGTTTGCTCAGATGCATAGCCTAGCCTGTGACTTGGCCTACCTACCTTACAGTACACTTTTGTACCGTATCCTAGCATACTCTATTGTACCAAACACTACCCTGCTCTACCCTACCGTACCCTACTCTACCCTACCCTACCCTACCCTACCCTACCCTACCCTACCCTACCCTACCCTACCCTACCCTACCCTACCCTACCCTACCCTAGGACCTCACCTTGGTTTGGGCTCTGGTCCACAAAGTTACGTCTATCATACCCTTACCCATCCTACCCTGCCGTACCATGCTCTACAATAACTATCTTACCCTAACATGCTTTACTTTATTATACCATACCCCCTACCCTACCTTACACTCTGTATCTATTAGTATCAGATAGACCCAACAAAAAGCTTACAGTCCGTCGACCGAGCCAGACAATTGGGCCTGGCCTCTTTATAAGTCTATATTAACATCATATTCAACTCAACCATACCTCATAAAGCTCTGGTGATGAGAAACCGTCAGACCATTCGATTCGTTCAGGTGAAAGAATCTTTGGAGGTTGGGCCAGAATCACATCGATCGTCATTGGTATTGATACTGTCAATTTAGCCGAAGCACTGGTTTTAACAGCTGGTAATCGTACTGTGCCCTGAAATTTTTAAAATCATTAGTGCCAATTTTTTATTTTAAAGTTTTTCAAATTTCAAACTAAAAATTAGAAACTCGGTAACTGTAACACAGTGGTACTCCTGTATAACGAATCGCTTGGGGACTTGAAATTTGTTTGTTATAAAGGAGTTTCGTTATACAGGAGTTTTAAAAGCACGGTGTAGTGGTAGACGGGGATTGAAAAGTTGTTCGTTATACGGGATTTTCGTTATCGTTCGTTATACAAGAGTTCCACTGCAGAATATGTTCAAAACTTACATTACAACTCTTTTCTTCTGGCTTTCTGTGAATGTTCATGTTCACTGTCTTCACCTTTTCTCCAATTGCCTTGCATCTTAACGTTGCCTTTTGTGTTATCGTACTAAAGTATCTTATATATATATATATATATAACTACGACTCAAGCGGAAGTTCTATTTGACTTGTCTGTTACCGACGATATATATAAATTTAAAATTCCAAAATTTATTTTTTAAAACTAAGCTGACAAAGGTAAGCACAGTAACCCTACCGTTTCTTTTCGACCCACTTCTTCTCCACATTCAGCTTCATCTGCTTGTTCTTGACAATATGCTCATTGATGTTCTTTTCCACTGATTTTATCGCCTTTTTCGGTTCCTTTAGGCTTAGCTTGGCTACGGACTTTTGGACCGCACTAAATTATTTTTTAAGCCAAGCTTACACAAATTTTTAAAAATTTTAAATTTCAAAACATTAAAAATTTTGAAGTAACACACTGCTTATCCTTAAGAGTAATCAAAGCAGTCTGGTTATGCATTTTCGGCTTCATGAAGGTGGCATTGACAATCTTATTCCTACTCATAACCACAATTCGCTTCTTTTTCTGAGCTTTGAAGTAAGCGTTGGCCGCTTTGGCATGTGGAATATGCTTCATCACTATTTCGATATGCACTTTGGGTTCTTTTCTAAAACAATATTGGTCAGGGTATTATATTATAAGGTAGGATATAACAGTATAAATTAGTATAAGGTAGTATAATGTAGAGTAAGGTAGTATAAGGTAAGATAATGTAGTAAAAGGTAAGGTAGAGTAAGGTAGTATACGGTAGTGTAGTATAAGGTAATATACGGTAGTGTAGTATAAGATAGACTAGGGTGGGGTAGGGTAGGGTAGGGTAGGGTAAGGTAGGGTAGGGTAGGGTAGGGTAGGGTAGGGTAGGGTAGGGTAGGGTAGGGTACAGTAGGGTAGGATAGGGTAGGGTAGGGTAGGGTAGGGTAGGGTAGGGTAAGGTAGGGTAGGGTAGGGTAGGGTAGGGTAGGGTAGGGTAGGGTAGGGTAGGGTAGGGTAGGGTAGGGTAGGGTAGGGTAGGGTAGGGTAGGGTAGGGTAGGGTAGGGTAGGGTAGGGTAGGGTAGGGTAGGGTAGGGTAGGGTAGGGTAGGGTAGGGTAGGGTAGGGTAGGGTAGGGTAGGGTAGGGTAGGGTAGGGTTCAATTTTCAGCTTTCTGATTGAACACCTACCTAATCAAGCTCTTATTGCAGCTGATATTAACCTCGTTATCATTATTCCACGATCCTGGTACCGGTTTGTTTGAAGTCTCTTCTAGAACCTTCTTTTTCTTTAATACTGTAGCTGGTTTGAAGGTGGTTACAGCGTGAAATTCTCCGTTAGTTTTCTGAAAAATTGAAATTTTTAAACTTTTTTAAATTTTAAATTTTTAAAAATTTTTAAAGAAAATGCAGTACAGATTAAGCAGTACAAAATTTTTAGGCTAAAACTTGACTCAAACCTAGGCTTTTTTATTATGAACCTAAAAATTTGCATAAATTTTAAGCTAAGCTTATTTTAAGACAACCAAAGCAACAGAGGGAAGTAAGCAACTAAAGCAACAATGGCAACAAAACCAGACAAACACAAGACAATCAACGTTTTCACACCGTGTCTAACCTCTAATTTCAAGACAAAACGGAATAAATTGAACAGTTTTGGGTGGTTTTAGCTGCCGACACTTCCAGCCGCTCTGTAAATCAAAGCATAGTAAGTTTTTACAAAGTCAAGTCTGATATTAAGGATGTTAGTCAGTTTTGAGTTCATAATTTCATGTTTTAGTAGCCTGGTGCTTCATACTTTACCCTGCCCCCCTAGCCTAAAATACCTTACCCTACCGAACCCTACCGTAACCTACCCTACCCTACGCTATCGCATCCTACATTACCCTACCCTACTATACAATATCCTACCCTACCTTTCCTTACCTAACCAATCGTATCGCATCCTACCCTGCCCTACCCTAAAATACCGAACCCTACCGCACCCTTCCCTATCCTATCCTACTATATTCTACCCTATCCTGCCATATCCAATTTTGATTCATCTCTTTCCACAGCCCTGCCCTAATTAAAAAAAAGGCTTTTTACGCTACCCTACCTTCCCCTTGACTACCGTCCCCTACCCCACCCTACCCTACCGTGCACATTTCAAAGAGTACTATTATATTAGTATTACCAAGTCACCATCACAAATACAAAAACTTACATTAGGCGCATCAGCTTGTACCAATGGTACTGTCTTAGCAGTAATCGTTTCTGGCTTGTCGTTCAATGAATTTTGAACTGATCCTTCGAAATTGGCTGGCATTTTAACTTTAGTTTTTTGATTTGAAACAGGCTTGGGCGTCGTTTTGGTCGCAAATGTTGGGGCTGAAAGTACAGTAATATTTCAGTAACCATAAAAATTTAATTTTTTGTGATTTTGCATTTTTTAAATAGTTTTTTTTAGTTTTTTAAATTTTGCACCGTGCAGTCACTTTTTTTTATTGAAAAGCCGATTGCACCGTGCAGTCAGTTTTTTCTATTGGAAAGCCGATTGGACCGTGCAGTCACTTTTTTCCACTGAAAAGCTGATTGCACAGTGCAAAAAAAATAAAATGCATTGCACAGTGCGAAACAAATAACCGCAAAAACTTTCTTCACAAAATCATTTTGAGAATCCGTAAGAACTTTATTTACAATATCATTTTTAGAACCCGCAAGAACTTTCTTTCCAAAATCATTTATCAAAAACAGCAAGAACTTTCTATAAAAAATCATTTTTCAAAAACAGCAAGAACTTTATTTACAAATCATTTTGAAAAACCGCAAGAACTTTCTTTCCAAAAATCATTTTTAAAAACCGCAAGAACTTTCTTTCCAAAATCGTTTTTAAAGCCCGCAAGAACTTTCTTTACAAAATCATTTTTTAAAAACAGCAATAACTTTCTTTCCATAACAATTGTCATAAACTGAAAAAACTTTCTTTACAAACAAAGTTTTAAAAGCTGTGCCATTTTAAAGCAAAACTACTTGTTCTGCCAGAATTAATGGCCCAAAACCAAAAGCAAATCCATCTTTTCGAATCGAAAAGTGTCAAAACTTCTTTTTTCAAAACTAAATAAAAGCCTTGTGTCCATCGTTTGGCCAATCGTCACCACACGGCACGACCAAAAACATCTGCCATTACAAAGTAATGAATATTTATTACGGCATAAATAGATGCGTGAATCAATTATCATATTATGTATTGTTTTGGAAAGAAAGTTCTTGCAGTTTTTGAAAATGATTTTGGAAAGAAAGTTATTGCGGTTTTTGAAAATAATTTTTGTAAAGAAAATTCTTGCAGTTTTTGAAAATGATTTTTGTAAAGAAAGTTCTTGCAATTTTAAAAATAATTCTGGAAAGAAAGTTCTTGCGGTTTTTAAAAATTATTTTGGAAAGAAAGTTCTTGCGGTTTTTCAAAATGATTTGTAAATAAAGTTCTTGCTGTTTTTGAAAAATGATTTTTTATAGAAAGTTCTTGCTGTTTTTGATAAATGATTTTGGAAAGAAAGTTCTTGCAATTTTGAAAATGATTTTAAAAAGAAAGTTCTTGCGGTTTTAAAAAATTATTTTGGAAAGAAAGTTCTTGCGGTTTTTGAAATCGTAAAGAAAATTATTGCCATTTTCACACAAACTTCTCAATAATTTGTGTTTCGCAGCCTGCGAATGCCAAGTTATACGATGGATCCGTTTAAGAGTCTTGTAAAGAAAGTTTTTTAAGGGGGAGGGCGGGGGGATTTTAAAAAAGGTTTGCATAGAAAAATTTTTAAAATTTCGTACTTTAAAATTTTTTTATTTTTTAAAAATTTACCTTTCCGAACAGTGACAGAATAATACTGTCGAGTCATTTTTGCAGCTTCAAAATAGACAAAGTAAGAAAAATTTGAATATCTTGCTCATAACGTTCATCAAAACCCGAATTTATGTCATTTCGGTCAATAAGTTCGTATAAAAATCTTAATAATCTACTAGCTAGTTCAATATACACCTGTCTGTATTTTTCCTTCTTTCTCTATCACACCCTTTCACTCTCTCCTCTCTCGTTTTGCGGGTAACCCAGTCAAAAAACAAGCGCCTCTTTCATGACCTTAAAGCAAACTGTACGTTTCCTTCGAACTTTAAAGTTCCAATCAAGGTTGGTATCTTATCCAGCTCGTTTATACGTGGCCGGTAACGTAAATTTTGGAAGGCTTGATCTCTTGGTCGGGCGAATACTTTTAAGTTTTTTAAAAAATATTTAACCAAAGCTATAAGAACAATAAAAAGTAACGTTCCTACAAACTTTTTGACGAATTTAGAGTTACATAACAAGCCGTTTAGGCCAAGCGCTACGATCATAGCAGCCTTGCCAAATTTAGGCCGGGCTTAAAAATCAATGCCAGGTTTGTTGCACGTACAAAAATTCAAGCTGGGCCTCAAAACTGGGCCGTTTCTCACCCCTAGAACAATGCAGTTAAAAATGAAAATAAATTTTTTTTCAAAATTTTTAAACATTCTGCGAAATTTTTGACCGAAAAAACTAACATAATTTCACCATCTAACTAATTGAAATATTAAAAAAGTAAAACCAGATCAATGCCCCTGAATACCAAGTATAATATCAAGCAATAGTTGAACTAAAAAAGTCGTTTTCCAGCTTCCCATGATAATAAAAGATTGAAACAAAGGAAAAACCGGGGCGTTTCCTTTTGACCTGTGGCCAGCCCGCTCTTCAACCTGTGGCCACGTTCTCGGCCTGATTAACGATTACTATCAGGTCCAATCAAGCCATTTGTTTTTGCGATAATTAAAAAATTGATTTTTGAAATTTTAAACTTTTTCAAAAATTTTACATCTTGGCTTTAGACATGAGAAATGGACCGGCCCGGCCCGGCCCTGAACAAAATTTGGTCAAGAAACTTTAAAAACAGATTTAAAATTGACTAGCCCAGCCTTCTTTACGCTATATTGTCATTCTCTGTTCTATCCTGCCCTACTAAACCAAAATTCAATAAAAAATCGATTTTTCTATAAACTTATTGACCAAAATGCCAAAAATCACTTTTTCTGCAAACTTTTTGACCGGTATGATAAAAAAACCGCATGTGTCAAAAAATGATGATTTTTTCAATATCATAACCAAATCCTATTATAATATGATAATAAAAAGACATTTAACTTTGGAAAAGAGCCAGATGACACATAAAACAATGTTATTCGTATTCGAAAAACTTTTTATAAACTGTCAATCAGAGGCCTCAAAAATGACTTTTTTTTACTTTCAACAAGTTTTGGCATGCAATTTTAAATTTTAAAAACATTTAAAAAAATATTTTAATATTTAAATTTCAAAAAAAATTTTAAAAATTTTAAAACTTTAAAATTAAAAAAAATTAAAATCATACCTAAATTAGTGGCCGACGGCTTCCTCCGCAGCTTTTTTCGTCGCATCGGCTTCCCTTTTTCTCCTTCTGAATCGGATGATGTAGCTGGAGGAGGTTCGTTGGCTACCGACCGGCTTCGAGATCTTCGCTTCTTTGACACACTTCGACTTCTGGCTAAAACAAATTTTATTGATTTTTTGAGCGAAAAAGTATGCTTTTTTTACAAACTTTTTGACCAAATAAATGTTTTTTCTACGAAATTTTTGATCGGAAAAAAATACTTTTTCTACAAACTTTTTGACCAAAAAGTAAAAATGTAAAAAATTAGTTTTGGAAAAAAATTTTAGGCCTAAAATACATTATATAAAACCATAATAAGTAACGCTCACGTTTAGGTGTCTTCTCCGGATCTCGACTCATCCGTTCTTCAACGATTGGTTTCGGTTCAACTGGAGTCCATTTTGTTCCTTCGCCCATTCGTTTAAAGTCACTAAAATTTAAAAAAAATAAAATTTTTCTTTTAATACTATAAAATTTTAAAGCAATCTAAAATGTAGACCTTACCAAGATATACACCTAACTTTTTTATATTATAGTAGCAGCTATAAGGTGCCGACATAAAGAACTCGTCATTTTTTACAGGAAAAGAAAAGTATGATGGGTTCTTTATGCCAGCATCTAATACTAGAACAGAGATTATCAGCCCAACCTAAAAGATCAAGCTTTCTAAAATTTATTTTACTAGCCACGTATAAACGAGCTGGATAAGTTACCAACCTTTATTGGAACTTTCAAGTTCGAATAAACGTAAAATTTGCGGTAAAGCCATAAAAGAGAGAGTTGTTTTTCGACTGGGTTACGCGCAAAGCGAGAGAGAAGAGAGCGAAAGCGTAGCGTAGAGAAACAAAGAATAGGACTTGGTAAGGCTAACTATAAGGTAAGGTAGGACTAGGGTAGGGCGAGGATACGGCTAGGGTAGATCTAGGATAAGACTAGGGTAGGGTGTGGTAAGAAAAACGTTTTTGACCAAAAAAACAAATTTTTCTAAAAATAATTGTTAAAATCACAACAAATGTTAAGCTTTTTACCTTGCAGTATAAGATTGGGTCATTCGAGAAGATGGACGATAGGTAGAGGTAAAAGAAGTTGGGGTATACAAACTTCTAAAACAAAAAAAAATAAAAAGGGAAAACGGGATAAATTTCAAAAAAGCAAAATAAAATTTAAAAAAAAGCAAAAAATTATAAAATTACAGTAACCCATAATTAGGTTAAAGCTACAGTAACTTTCATAAACCTCAAAAGCAGGGACGTCGCTACGATTTTTCTCTGGGGGGGGGGGAGGTGGACTGTGGACCAATTATTCGAAAATTTTTTTTTCGTTTTTTCACGTACAGGCCCCTACCTTTTCCTGATTGGCTCTGGGGGGAGTCACCCCAAACCCCCCCCCCCAAACGACGTCCCTGCTCAGAAGCTACAGTACATTCCATAAACATGAGAAGCTACAGTAATCCCAAACACAATCTATATTTTTAAACTACAGTAACCCCAAACTGAATGTATTTATATTTTAAAGCTACAGTACCTTCCATCAATCTCAAAAGCTAAAGTAACCAAAAAACCTTACCGTGTCATAGCCGAATTCGCCCTAGCCGTACCAACAGTACCATGACCAAACGTTGGTGACAAATATCGAGGCGACGTGACTTGGGACAATAGCGACAGGGTTGAAGAAGCAGTAGATGAATTTCGCGACAATCGACCAACCGGTACACTATGACGGTACCTGGTCGGTGAATACGATGATGCTATTGATGATACTGGGGAGGCTGAGTAGCGGTTGCAAAACTAAAAATATAAGTTTACAGTATGTTACTGTAAGACATCGTACTGTTGTATATAGACATGAGAAACGGGCCGGGCCGCCCTTGAGCAAAATTCCGATCGGGCCGGGCCTAAAATTCAGGCCCGGTCCATTTCTCATGTCTAGTTGTATAAGGCTATACTAAAGGTAGGGCTAGGACTAGGATTAGAGCTAAGCTAAAGATAGTGCAAGGGCTGGTCTTCAAGCTAGGCTAAAGGTAAGGCTAGTGCTAAGGTTCAGGCTAGACTAAAGGTAAGGCTAAGACTAGGGTTCAGGCTAGGCTAAAGGAAAGGTTAGGACTAGAATTCAGGCTAGACTGAAGGTAGTGCTAGAGCTAGTCTTCAGGCTAGGCTAAAGGTAAGGTTAAGATTAGGGTCCAGGCTAGGTAGAACTAGTACTAGGCTTAAGACCTGCCATGGCTTTAAAGTTAACTTAACCTTACCTTGCTCTCATAGTTCCTGAGCCCAATACTTGATACTGGAGTACTTTCTTTCACTGCAGTCTTGGCTATCTCAGTATTAGTAGGTCTAGTCCTTGTCACGATGCTAGTTGCACCACCAGCTGTCGTAAATGATATTGTTGGTGCGTCCAAGTTCCTTAGCCGACTAGACTCTGCCATTCTGACACGCCATGGTCGTTCCTCTTTCCTCGTAGTACCAGTGGTGTAATTAGTACCAGATCCATAACTGGTACTAGTAGTACTTCTGAAATTCGTATTTGTCTTGGCGGTGCCCGTAGGTGATACAGTACTACTCAACCTTCCAGATCTAGTACTGTAAGATGGTGCACTAGCTCTGACTACTCCACCAGCTAAAAAAGCCGGGCTTCTGGAGCCGAACCTGGATATGACTTCTGGTACTCCAGCTGATTTTGTGGTAAGTGAACGAGGGTTTGTGGATGATGATATGTCATCTGGTTTTCGACGTGCTGAAATTAAAAAATGAAATTTTGAAAGTTGTAAAGAAAGTTTTTGCCATTTTTTGTTCTGTAAAGAAAGTTTTTGCCATTTTTAGTCTTGTAGAGAAAGTTCTTGCCATTTTTTGTTTTGTAAAGTAAGTTCTTGCTATTTTTTGTTTTGTAAAGAAAGTTCTTGCAATTTTTTGTCATGTAAAGAAAGTTTTTGTCATTTTTCGTTTTAAAAACAAAATTTTTGCATTTTTATCTAAACTTACATCTCAAATAATCACTAGCCGAACTCCCAACAATAGTCCTACTAGTACTAGTAGTACCGATCCTACTAGAGCTTAACGGGTCTGAAGATTTAAAGTTTGTCGTCAGTGTACCAGTCGCTTTTCTAGGACTTTCGGGTAACTTATTCGTGAAAGAGATGCTTAAAGTCGAAGCTCGTGAAGATGGTCGAGTCGATTCTGATATTGAGCGGCTCTGAAATTAAAAATAAAATTTATTGATTTAAAAAAACCTCCCTATAAACTTTTTGACCTAAATTTAAAAAAAATTCAAAAATTTCAAAAAGTACAGTAATCCTACCGCACTCCCATAGTCCTTATTAGTACCATAACTCGATGTGGAAGGCTTATTAGTGTCTCGTGCAGCGAATTTCGAAGCCAGCGAAGATCGTGGTGTATATGATGACGTTGTTGGCTTTGATGAAGCCGCCGCCAATAATCGACTGGATCTAAAGGCGATCCCCGAGCCGGTCGGTCGATTGAAACTCACTGAGGAGTAACTAAAAAAAGTTTCAAAATTTAAAAACAATTATTTTTAAATTTAAAGAAATTTAATTTTTAAAATTTCAAAAAAAACTTAACTTTTAAATTTTTAAAAAATTTAAAAACCATATCGTCTTACACAAAATATTTAATTTTCTAAAAAGTTTTGTCGCTTTATACCCTGAAAAACAATATAAATTGACGACAAGACTTTTCTGTCCACGGGATTCTTAGGAAACAAACCTCATTTTGATGCCATTTTTGATACAATGTTATTTCAAAATTGTGAAATTATGATTGTACAATAATTCACAAGATAATACCGCTTTTAATCTTGTAAGAATTAGGCTTAATAGCTATAAAATATTCGAAATATAAGCCTAAAAGTGGAAAAATCGCCAAATTTTCCAAAATTTTAGGTATAAAAAATCAAAAAATTTAAATATCGCCTTTGATTACAGAAAGAAATCCAGTAAAATATCTCTAGAACAATATAAAAATATAAAAAAAAGCTCAATTACAATGTATTTAATAAAAAACGCTTCTAGAACAACATCAATGTCCCTAGTATAATATAAATTCGCTGCAATCATAAAAAGAATGCCAATCCACGTTCAAGCTCTTTTTTATGTTTTTTGTGGACCGAAAAATCAGCTGTCGTTTTTTCGAGAAATCGGAGAAGCTTCTTTACCTGAGGGCTTTTGGTGACTTTTTTCGTCCACCTTTTCTTGTGATAAAACAATTGGCTCGGCCGGAAGTTAAAAAGACTTTTGGTAAAAAATTTTGTATTATCTTGTTTAGATTGGCTCTTGAGTTGGTTACCTATGTTTAGCTCAAAGAAAAGCCAGAGATAGGGGAGGTAGGAGAACTAAGAGGACCAAGAGAGCTATAGATACAAAGACTATTGCTAGGAGAGCTAGAAGAACTAGATATAGGAAAGTTAAAACTACGAGACCTAAGGCTAAGGCTCAGGCTCAGGCTAAGACTAAGGCTAAGGCTAAAGCTAAGGCCAAGTCTAAGCTTAAAATGAGTGCCTAAGCCTAAAGTTACGTAAGCCTAAACCTAAAACGTGTGCTTAAGCCTAAAGTGAAATAGCCTAAGGCTAAAGATCAGGCTAAGGCTAAAAAACAAACAGAAATTTCAAAATTAAAAAAAATTTTTAAGGCTTACCCTTGTGATGTTGCATTTTTGGGTTCAGATCGAGTGGTGGCGGCGGCATTGGCCATACCCAGAAGCCCTTAAATCAAAAAAAAATTTTAAATTGGATTTAAATTAGTACAAAAATTTAAAGAATCTTCACGAATATTATACAATTTCATTTTCTATTCCCCCCCCCCCCTCCCCCCTCTTTTCGCTTCCTCCTCTTCTTACTACCAACTGCTATACAAAAGTCTTGTCGTTTTTTAACAGACAGAACAATATAAATTAACGACAAGACTTTTCCAAGAAGTTTTTACAGTCTATCTATATAGTGAACCTATAAGCAACTCTACTTATAGTAAACAAGATATTTGGCCCCGCCAAGTCAACTTGCACTAAAAAGCCTCTCTGAAAAGACGACACTCCTTATAGTGAACACAAAATGTCGGTCCCTTCGGGTTGTTTATATAGAGAAAGTACTGTATTAGGTTGAACCAAAAGTAGCGGGACACTTTTTAGTTGAAAAATAAATGGAAAGTGTCCCACTACTTTTGGTTCAACCTAATAATAGAAAAATTAAACGTTTTTTAGAAGTTTAGGTACTAAAAGAACTATTTTATCTAATTTAATACAATTTCCACATTGATAAAAGTATATAAAATAGCTCAAGGCCTTTGCGCGTTAAAATTTATTCGAATTCAAAGAAAAAAAGCAAAAAATTCAGAACAAGCAAATACATTACGATTACCTTTCGTTTCACTGATTTTGACGCAAAATAAGTAAAAATTTCAAAAATGAAGAAAAAATTATAAGCGAAACCTTTATCTTTGTTTTTAAAATAGCAAAATTAGTAAATCAATCAAGTTTACAAAAAGTGATAGAGGCATTAAACTACTTTTTAAACTAATTTAGGAAGTAAACCTTGTCAATGTAATTAATTAACGGACCAAAAGATTAAAAATTTAGAGAAGAGGAAGAGGAGGGGATGGTAGGAGAGAGATAAAAAGGAGGGGGGAAGAAGACAGTACAACAATTTTTTTTTAATTTTTGATCAAATAGCTTGTGAAAGAAGGAAAAAATTTATTTTAGGTCAATAAATTTATAGAAAAATTAATTTTTTCTTTTTATGGTCAAAAAGTTCATCGAAAAAGCATTTTTACAATTTTAAAGTATGCCTTTGAATAAATTTTGACCACCCCCTCCCCCCAAAATTTTACCCAACCCATTTTTACCAGCTCCAGAATTTTACCCCGCCCAATTTTATCCCTTTCAAAATTTTACCCTACCCATTTTTACCAGCCCAAAAATTTTAGCCCGCCCAATATTATCCCCTTCAAAATTTTACCCTACCCATTTTTACCACCCCCAACAATTATAGCCACCCATTTTTTATCACCCCCCAAAATTTTACCCTACCCATTTCTACCATCCCTAAAACTTTACCCTACACAATTTTACCAACCTCAAATTTTATCCTACTCATTTTTTACCACGCCCAACAATTTTACCCCGTTCAATAAAAAATATTCCCCAATTACAAATATATACCCTTCCCATTACTACTCGTACCAAAACTTGACGTACATCTTATATAAACCTTAAAAACCATAGGAAAAGTTTAAAAAGAAGCCCTCCGGCTATCAGGGCGATTTATTCGAATCCGTTCGCACTTTTAAAATATTTTTGGCGGCCACTCTCAAATTAATCAGGGAAGGCAATTGTCGTTTGGACCGAGTGGAATGGCATTTGACTAACCAATTTTCACTATTTTGATCAGTTTGATTGTTAAGCGGCGTTAATCATATAAACTGTCAGATTAAGCGAAATGTTTGATAGTTCTTTATAGTATATAGTAAGCCTAAAGCACAAAATATCAAAAAATGAACGTTACTAGGCCAACACTTACTAAGCTTATTAAGGCCAAGCTTACTAAACTAAAGCCTATTTAGCTTAAAGATGCTAAGCCTAAGACTAATAAGCCTAAGTCTATCAAGCCTAAATCTACAAGACCTAAGCCCACTAAGCATAAGCCAACTATGAATAAAGCTAATAAGCTAATCCTAATAAACCTAAGCCTACTAATTGTAAGTCTAAGCCTACAAAGCCTAAGCCTACTAAGCTTAATTGTAAGCCTAAGCCTACAAAGCCTAAGCCTACTAAGCTTAATTGTAAGCCTAAGCCTACTAAGCCTAAGCCTACTAAGCCTAAGCCTACTAAGCCTAAGCCTACTAAGCCTAAGCCTACTAAGCCTAAGCCTACTAAGCCTAAGCCTACTAAGCCTAAGCCTACTAAGCCTAAGCCTACTAAGCCTAAGCCTACTAAGCCTAAGCCTACTAAGCCTAAGCCTAAGCCTACTAAGCCTAAGCCTACTAAGCCTAAGCCTACTAAGCCTAAGCCTATTAAGCCTAAGCCTACTAAGCCTAAGCCTACTAAGCCTAAGCTTACTAAGCCTAAGTCAACTAAGCCTAAGCCTACTAAGCCTAAGCTTACTAAGCCTAAGTCAACTAAGCCTAAGCTTCACCCTTCACAAAACATAAAATTAAAAAAACTAATCCTTGGACTTGGATGCAAAGGTTATGCAGGCTCTCCAATGTCTGGCTAAAATTGAAAGCTCTCTTCTCCAGATGTTCAAGTTATAAAGGTGAGTGATACATTCAGAAAAAAAAGGTTAAAAAAGTAAAATACGTCAGAGACGAATGCTACTGAACAGAAATTTATTAGAATGGGATTTTCTAATAAGCCTAGGGTTACATATGCCTAAAATAGTGCCATAAACAGTTACGTACGCCTAAAACGTGTGAATAAGCCTAAAGTTACGTAAGTCTAAGCCTAAAATAAAAGCGTAAGTCTAAGCCTAAAATAAAAGCGTAAGTCTAAGCCTAAAATGTCTGCGTAAGCCTAAAATTACGTAAGCCTAATACGTGTGCCTAAGCCCAATATAATTTCATAAGCCTAACGTTACGTAAGCCTAAGCCTAAAATTATGTAAAACTGAGCCTAAAATAATTGCGAAAGCCTAAAGTTGTGCAATTCTAAAATGGGCGCTTAAGCCTATGATCTTTCTCAGCATAAAGTAGCAATACTCAAATAAAAACGAAAAATTATGTTTGTGCCAAAAATACGTAGAACGTGAAAGAAAAAAGCCCATAACTATACAAAAAAAGAATTGGACAGCTCGTAAAAATGATGAGCTTATCAGTTTTACGTTGAAAATCATAAAAAAACTGACTAAGCGCCAACAGCACAACGAAACATGACTCGAAAAGCTATTAAATCGGTGGCCAGACCGACAGTTGGCCGAGGGAACGGCCGCTTATCACCTCCCACTGAATTCTGATTAGGCTTACAGCGGGTGATGGTCAAGATAACACAAAGAAACGATAAACTAAACAAGATACGTTAAAACTAAGCCTAAAAAATAAGGAAACAAAGCTATTAGAATAAAGAAGCTAACAAAGCAAGATATAAAGCAAGCTAAACCAGATGATAACTTTAAAAAATATTTCAAAATACAGTGAAATATTTTCAAAAAATATTAAAATTAATTTAATCTTTACTGTAATAGCACGTCAGATCATTAAATTTGAGTTTTTTCTTGATTAATTGTCCACTTGCATATCGTTGTTCTGCATAGCGTCGGGTAAAGGCGGTGGGATCGATAAAGGCGTGATTCTGACTTCGTTCTGGTCTTCTGAAGAGGACAATTATAGTAATTTACAAAACAAGGCAAAAATTTCATCCCTTTAAACCTTGAAATCAAACAACAATTTCCCACTTACCAGGCAGTAAAAACGCCAAAATGCTCGGCTCATCGGGCTTCGAAGTTTTGGGAGTGTAGCCCAAATCCCTGACAACTTGTTTATCATCCAACGTCTCCCACACAGTCAATTCCACGTTTTTCGGCCGTTTTAGGATAATATCCGATAAGGGCCGTTCGATTACACCAGCTATGATCTGCTTGATTTGGGAAACCGTGTCTGCTTCTTCCAAATCCACTAGAACGTGGGTTTTTTCGCGCAGTACCTCAAAAAACACTTCCATCTGAAGAAGAATATCATTTTTAATAGTTTTTACTCAAAAAATTGTTAAAAAATGACTTTTTAGCTCAAAAAAAGCACACAATTTTTAAAAAATTATTTAAAAAATTCAATTACAAAAATAAACTTCAAACCTCACAAAAGCCCAGTAAAGTAAATAGTAGATAAATACAGTAATCGAAAAACAGTAACTCCAGTATAATTGTGTAATTTATTTCGCATAAAAGACAAGGCATATTCAATAAAAAACACTGATTTCAAATTTTATTAACCACGACTCAAAATTACTTTAACATTTTTAGTTGCAAAACACTAAAAATGCTATCCATACCAAGACAAAAAAAATAAATTCACCAACAAAAAAAAACAGGAATATATTCTACACACAACTAAATTAAACACCAAAATTAATATTGTTAACATCAATACATCCACATAGTCAACACAGACATTTCCATAGTGTCAATATGGAACGGACAATATACTTTTATAAAATACGAAAAAATCCATGTTTAATTTAGGAAATCCGTATTTTAAATATGAAAATTAACATAAAACCAAAATGAAAATTTCGACAGTCGAGAAAATTTCATTAAAATCAATGTCGAGTAGAAAAAAGACCAAAAATCAAGAAGAATATTAGCCAATGAGCATTTTTAGAAAGTAGTGCCCTCTGGCGGTTGGGACAACTTGGCATTCTCTTTGCTAGCCATCATGTGCCGGCGGATATCGTCCAGGATGGTTTTGATGTAGCATGTGTTGGTCCATTGGCGGAGTGATGGTACGTAGCGTTTGTCAATCTACAACAATATAAATTTAACAAAGATCAAAAAATAGAAATCAAGCCAGAATATAAAGTTTTACATCAAGAATATAAAAATCGTTTTTTCTACAAACACACATGGTGTTAAAATAAATTCTTTTCCGAATAAATGAATTAAACTTACAACTCCAGTTTGTGGATTTACTCCATTGATGTTGATTTTAGTGGTGAAGCGTACAGTTGGTGGCTCTTTTGGATAATTTGGCCCGCATTCAATTCGCAAATTGTATATCCTCGTTTCAAACGGAGTCTAAAACAATAAATTACATCAAAATGTCATAACGATATAAAATCGACAAGTTTCCAATAGTATTTAACATTAATGAATCTATAACAATCCAGTCAGTACACCTAACAGCACAAAAAATAGCATACATGTAATGACCAAATATAAAACTTACTCTTGGTGGACCCAACACCATGCCGCTCCAGCGAGTCAAAGTCATATCATCATCATCTTCAAGGCCCCATGAAATATTGCTGTCTTTGTTGCCTTTCTGACCTTCTTCCAGCTCTTCTAACAGACGAAAATTGCGTGGAATATCAACTAAAACATTCTTATTTAAAAGACCTTACTGAATCCTTAAAATTTCGGTTAGAAAAAGTTGAATTGACAGCCAAAATATTAATTTATACGCCTAGATAAAACATAAACAAAAAACAACAACTCTCTTGAATGAAGCAATACTTTACTATGCTTTAGATTTTAAAAACTTCTTAACATACCTAAAATTACAAAAATAAAGATAAAACAACTTACCAGTCGCCATGCTTCTTGATAACGAGTTAAAACCTCAAGTTAGATATCTGAAAAATGCACAAAATAAAATATTCATTTTTTACACAAATTTAAAATTCTAATAAATTAACAACACGCTATATAGCTATAAAATGCCAATTTTTAAACCATTGACACATTTATTCATCTAACCAAACAGCCGCCTTCAAAAGTAAAAAACAAAAAACGAGAAAGTCTTGGCGTTCCGTTACAACGTGAATCGATCTAGACAATTATACAACCTTTGTGGATGGCCTGCTACATCTAATGAAAGCAAGATAGCCGCTTGAGGTGTTCGAGCGAGCACTGATATTGCGGCCTTCCGAAAGCAGCTTCTTCCGTGAAATTACACCAATCGAGTGTCTAGGTCCCGCCGCGAAAACAAACACTCTGGCCTTAAAGCTCTTATTTTGTCTCCGTTTTTTCTCGGCCTTTTGCTTGCTTGGCCATAAAGTTTTGGGTCGATAGCGAGATTTTTATCATAAGTTAAAAATTGCAACAATTTTATTTCTTTTGGAATTTCTGGTTTTTTAATGTAGGTCATGGTGAATATTGTTTTTAAAATTTTGTTGTTGTTGAGTGGATGATTGTTTTGACGTTACTACTTGAGTAATTGGACTTTGGTTATTTTGTAGTTGAACAGAATACATTTTTAGAAAGTGTTGTAGTTTTACGTGCTGAAACTTACATTTTACTCGCTCATATGTTATAAAATGATACAATTTCTATTTTTAGAGGGTTTGTTGACAAAATGCTGAAGCGGGGATTTCAAGCGATTCGCAGCCCGCTGAGATGCTATTCATCAGAACCCGTCAGACGGGTGGTTATGATTCCGGGCGACGGTATTGGACCCGAAATCTCGGACGCAGTTCAGAAGATCTTCTCTGCCGCAAAGACTCCAATCGAATGGGACCCAGTCGATGTGACACCGGTAAAAGGACGTGATGGTGTTTTCAGAATCCCTAACAGAGTTATTGAGCTCATGCACGAGAACAAAGTTGGTTTGAAAGGTCCTCTAGAGACGCCAATCGGAAAAGGTCACAGATCTTTGAATTTGGCCGTAAGAAGGTATGTTTTTGAGCTTAATTTTTGGATTTTAGGTAACACTTATGTTAAAATCGAGTGAACAAGACAAACTCTAAGTCTTCCTTTTTAGAGAATTCAACTTGTACGCTAACGTACGTCCCTGCCGATCGTTGGAAGGACACAAGACGCTCTATGACAATGTTGATGTAGTCACCATCAGAGAAAACACGGAAGGAGAATATTCCGGAATTGAGCACGAAATTGTTGATGGTGTAGTACAGTCGATCAAGTTGATTACCGAGAATGCATCTCGTCGTGTTGCCAGATATGCTTTTGAATATGCCAGAAATAATGGCCGTAAAATGGTAACCGCCGTACACAAAGCCAATATCATGAGAATGAGTGATGGTTTGTTCTTGAACATGTGCAGAGAACAAGCTAACGAGTTCCCGGAGATTAAGTTCAAGGAAGCCTACTTGGATACAGTCTGTTTGAACGTAAGTTGTGGGTTATGCAGCTAATTTTAGGTAATTTTGGCGGTGTTTGTAGCCTTATAATTCATTTTAAAACTTCAGAAGCCTTTTTTTAAGTTTTGAGCCTCTATATCAAGTTATCTTTATGTTTTTCAGATGGTCCAAGACCCATCCCAATACGACGTTCTAGTCATGCCCAACTTGTACGGTGATATCTTGTCTGATTTGTGCGCCGGTTTGATCGGAGGTCTCGGAGTCACGCCATCAGGTAACATTGGAGAAGGAGCCGCCGTATTCGAGTCGGTTCACGGTACCGCCCCAGACATAGCAGGACAAGACAAAGCCAACCCCACTGCCTTGTTGTTGTCGGCCGTGATGATGCTCAGATACATGAATTTGGACACTTACGCAAACAAGATTGAAAAGGTAAGATTCTTTGTTGATTAGAACAAGAAAATTCAGTTTTTCTCTTAACTTTTTGGACGAAAAATTTCTTTTTCATGTAATTTAGCACTAAAACGTGTTTTTTTCCATAAATTCATAAACAAAATTGGATTTCTAATGGATGTATTGACCTAAAACTTCATTAACTTCTTATTTTCAGGCCTGTTTTGATGCCATCGCTCACGGCGACCAAAAGACCGGCGATTTGGGCGGAAAAGGCACTTGCTCCTCTTTCACCGAAGATATCTGCGCTAGGATCAGGAACTCGGATTAAAAACATAATACACATCTAGGAGTATATCTAGCATCGTATATTTTGTTACTTCACCCTCATTTCTTTTGTTTGTCTCACTCCCCGTGCCTATAACTCGATTCTCCCCCTGTTAAAAGGTCTTTGATATCCTACCCTGAGGTCCATTATTTTGGTCTTTTCTTCAAATGATATACATGCTAACGTATGTCGGATTTGTTTAGGAATAAATACAATTTTCATTGAGATACTTTATTAGAAATTACGTAAAAACGGTATAAATTTTCAGAAAAATATTACAATCATTAATATTCAAAAGAAACGACCAAAAAAAGAAAAACGTTATCATATGAAAATATCTTGTCGAATATAAATAAAGTTCGATCCAACAACCAATGATCAACTACATATTATTTATTAGTAAAAATTGTGAAAACTACAATAAAGGAGAATGAGAGATCAAACAATATATATTAACTATAAAGTGATAATTTATACGTTATTTATTTAATCGGTAATACAAATGTTTAAGCTGTTGGTGCGAAGGAAGGATGAGCCGAGACGTCCACCCAGTCGCCAGTGACGATTCCCTAAAATTGAAAAATTATTTTAAATGACAAAACAATATCTAAAACAGGCACGTCTAAATATTTTACAATTTCCAAATTGATATGAGCTGCTCAAAATTATTTTATAGTGTAAAAAACACTCTACAAAGTCAATTCAACTTCTCTCACAAAACTCTAACTTACATGAATGACCAGGTTCGAGCTGACCAATGGAATTCCAGCTTCCTCCACAACTTTGGCCAAATCAGGAGAGCATGTTTTGTCAGTAAGTACAAAGTCGAATTGGTTTTCAGCCATAAATGCTTTAAAGTTCTCAACATCTGTTTCCGCCGTCGATGTTACTTTAGCTCCAAGGGTTAACAGCATGGGCCGCCAGATCTCCGCAAACTGGATCAAATTTTCAGCCGCCTCCTGAGCCGAATAAACCAAAACGTTTTGATCTTTCAGAAGTTTTCCTTTCAGCGGTTGGCACGGGTGCTCTTCGTCGTCCAGGGAGGAAATCCCGGCCGGTAGGAGGAAGTCTTTGTAGGCGAGGATTTTGCTCTGATCAACACACTTCTGAATCCAGCTGTAGTGAACGCATGGAATGTCTGCGGCCAAGGCGAAAAGGTACTTGTGAGTTCTGTAATAGGTGTCAGCCACGAGAAAAGCGGTAGCATTCTCTGGTAAGTCAGTGATTTCTTCCAATACAGTTCCTCCTCTGGCTTCGATCATGGCTTTGAACTCTCGTTTGTTGAAGTCTGTCACTAAAAATATCTTTTATAAAAAAATTCAGTCAAACTCTGATGTTAATATTGTATTTAATTTATAACAATGTTATTTATACCAAAAACTAAACTTACAATTGGCTCTTCTGGCCGACGAAGTCAACAAGTAGTAATTTCCTTTGAACAACTCATCTTCATTGACCACTTCCATTGCTTCCTCTTCTGATCCTTTGTCTGCTACAACTTCGGAAGCCTTAGATCGTCGTCCTCGTTTAGGTTTGGTGACTTCTGGAGTCGCTTCTTCTGGTTGTTTTCTCTTCCTCGACGCTGACTTTGGCTCCTCTTTCAGAGTGTTGAAAGTTGCAGCGTGACTTCTTCTAGATCTTGGCACCACATTATCCTCTCCTACAACTACGGACTTGTTCGCTGGTACTCCAATGGCTTTTTGTTGTGCCAGACTTAAATATAGTTGTCCCCATGGTGCGCTGAAACGATTTTATATAAATTTTGCTTAGCTACAACCAGGGACGTCGCTACGGATTTTCTCTGGGGGGGAGGTCGAAAATTTTTTTTGGTCCACAGGCGGACCAATTTTTCAAAAATTTTTTTTTTCGTTTTTTCACGTACCTGTGGAATTTTTTTTCGGATCGGCTCTGGGGGAGGGGGGGGGGAAGAGTCGCCCCGAACCACCCCCCCCTCCCCCAAACGACGTCACTGGCTACAAAAATAATTCAAAAACACTTCATTTACAATTGTTATAGCTTTTCAAGTAAAATATAAACCTACGTGCTATACTTCTCACTACCATCCTTTAATTCAAAGATGGCTTCATTCCATACATCAACATTATCTGAATCCGGTACGTTTGTAACCTCGCCAACCACTTCAATGCCTTCATCGTCAGTCGTTGTGACTTTAGTACCTTCCTTAAGCCATGCCAACGGTACTATGCCGGTCGGTGGGATATCTCTGTGTAGACTGTCCTCCACGAAGAATACCTTGTATCTGCCCAAGCCATCTCGGTCCACAACAATGGCTGGGTATAGTTGTCTCCCCCATAGAGCAAAGACACGCATGCCCGTTGGGAATGGTTCGTGGGCAAAATCAATCTCTTTTTGGTCCTTCTTGTCCACTTCTGGCGCCGTAATCTCTGGTTCTTGTTTCTGTTCGACCACTTTTGGGGTTGCTTTCTTTTCTCGTGGAGTTTTGACTACTTTTGGTGTTTTCTGTTCTGGAGTTTTGGCTTTCCGGGTCCTTGGCTGACTAGTTTTCGGTGTGATGGATTTCAAAGCAGCCTTGGCACTCGGGGTTGAAGTGCTGAGTTCGGTGATTGAAAGTTGTTTTCTCACTGGTTCGTCCGCATCTTCTCGTTGAGATTGAAGGCGTTCGGCTGCTGCTTTTTCGGTATTTGCGTAGCGTGATCTAAAAAAGACAAAATTATCCCAAAATTTTAAAATGAAAATATCATAAGTATCTTAACCACCGTCTACCTCAGTAAATAATAAAATTCAACCATTCTTCCACTTTAACTACTAATTATAACGCTATCAAAAGTATGAACTTACTCAGCAGTCTTCTGGTTTCTTGGTGACAAAGTAAACTTGATGTTGCTGAACCCAGCCTTGCTCACATTAAACAATGGTTGTGGATGATTATCACTTTGTTCATCAAAATCGAATGGGTCATCCGAAGTTTTATTCGCGTTCGCAGCCTTTTTGGTCGATTTCCTCGGTTCAGTCGCTGCTTTTTGACCTCGTCGTGAAGTTTCTTTGACCTTTTCGGCCGTTTTCGGTGTGGTTTTAGCTTGACGACCTCTTTTAGGTGTTGGTTCTTCTATCTCTTCTTCTGACGACTTTTCTTCTTCATCTACTTCCATTGGCTCTTCTGGTTCCTCTTCTTTCTTCGCTTGTCGTTTGCGTTTTGGTGTCTCTTTCGGCTTTTCGACCGTTTTTGGAGTTGATTTAGCTGTAGTTCGTGCTGAAGTTCTTGGTTTATCCTCAACTGGTGCCTTAGGAGTTCTTGTAGATCGCGCTGGAGTTTTCTCTTCTGTTTTTGTTGCTTTAGCTGGTGTTTTAGCAACAGCTTTTGGAGTTTCAGCTGGTCTACGGCGGCTAGAGCGTCTTCCTGAAGCTGGCTCTTCGTCCAGTTTGATTCCGGATTCTTCGAGGTCTTCCTTCAAAGCGTCTGCTTCAGATCTCTTTGACTTTTTGGCCGATGATGGCTTCTTCGTTTGGTTTGCTGGTTTTTCTAAAAAAATTAAAATGACGTTAAATAAAAATTTAAAATTTATTTTTTTTTAGCCATCAGGTTGATAAAAATAGCAAAAATCAAAATGAACGCATAAAAAGGTCAAATCTACTTTTTTAAAAACATAATTTTTCCAACTTTATCACCTAAAATTTACAAAAGTTAGTAAAATAAAACTCACCAACAACTTTATGCTCCTCAACTTCCTCTTCTTGTTGCTCTTCAACCTCTTCTTTCTTTTCTTCCTGTTCTTCTGCAACTTCCTCAACCGGTTCTGGCTCTGATTTTCGGCCTCTTCTGGCTCGGCCAGTCGATTTTGGAGCTTCCACTGGAGTTTGTTGAGTAGAACGACGACCTCGGGTGGCTCTTGGGGTTTTTTCTAAAAATATCACAATCACCACTATAATACACGTAAAAAGTACTTTTAAAAATTTTTAAACCAAAAAAATAAATCTTACCTTCAACTTCCTCTTTTTCCTTTGTTTCTTCTTCCTTTGGTTCTTCAGCTGGTGTTTCCGTCTTTCTTGTTCTTCTTGAAGACCTTGGAGTGACTTGCTCCATGTTGGCAGCAGCTGACAGCCGGCTTCTTCGCGCTGGACGTTTAGATTCAGATTCTTCAGTCAACGGTTGCACTGTAACCTTTTCTATTTTACCCTCAACGTCATCTTCCTCAGCTGGTTTGACAGCATCTACTTTTTCCTTGTTATCTTTTTCATCCTTCTTATCGACATCTTGATTTTTATCATCAACAGCAGCATCTCCAACTTCGGCAATGGAATCATCGTCGATTTGAACTTGGCCAGCCTTCTTTAGAGATTCATTATGTTGTTCACCAGTTGTGTCTTCAATTTCGCCAACAACATCATCGTTACCAGCAGCAGCTCTTTCCGTATCTTCAGTAACATCATCAGAAACATTCAACTTTTCGCTCTCAATCTTTTCTGGCAAGTCTGGTTCTTCAGTGGCTTCAAGTGGCACTTTGTCTTTCTCGCCTTCTTCAGCTGGTTCTATAACTTCCTTCTCTTGTTCCACTTGTTCTCCTTCTGGTTTTTGTGCCCAAACTGATACCAAATCAGAAGATTCGTCGTTTTTGTTTGAAGATTCTTGGATTTCAGCTGCATTCTGAAGATCTTCCTCAACATTCTGCTGGCCTCCTTCGTCTTGGCCCACATTTTCGGTCTCAGTGCTGTCCTTTATAGCCAAATCCTCTGCACTTTCGCCTTGTTCCAAAAATTGGAAGTCCTGTGAATCATCTGTAGCCCGCCCTTCTGCAGTAACTTGTTGACCAACAGTTTCTGAATCCGAAAACGGATGGTTAGCGTTATTCTCATCGTTATCGTCCAACACCCCACCTTGCACACCAATCAAACTGTCTTCGAACTGACGATTTTGAGCCCCGGAACCTTGTTCATCATCATCTTCCATTAATGCGGCCAACGAGTCATCGACCATTTGCGATTCCTCCTTTTCACCCAAAAACTGTTGAGCTTGAACGTTGATTTCTGGAACTTCCTGTGGTTTCTCAGACTGCTTCTGCGATACTTGAGGGTCTTCGGGCACTTCCTGAGTACTACCATTACCATTAGTACCATTTCTATTAGAGACGGTTGGCTGAGACTCCATGTTTTCGGATTCTTCGTAAACGGTACTTAATTCACCGTTTCGTGCCTAAAAATACCCAAAATTAACCATATTACACAAAAAACGATTGCCACTGCCTAAATAACACAAAATAAAGTAATATAACTTACTGTATTGCCGTTGTTTCCTTGCGAGGCTTCAGATTCAGCGTCCCCTTGGCTTTCTGCTTTCAACGCTGCGAGTTCGGCCGCTTTCAAGACTTCCGCACTACCGCCAAATAACAATCGCATAGAATTGGATCTAAAAATAAGAAAATTAAAATTTGAACCTGTTAGTATACTTGTTTATTCAAAGTTAACCCAAATATTTAAAAACACCCTTTAAAACTCCAAAATATAGTAACATTTTACAAAAAAAAGTTTTTTATTCTCTCTGACGCACTTTAATAAACGTTTAGGTAGTGCATTTCCAAATAAACAACAAAAAAAGACTCTTAAAAGATAAAAAAAATTGTAAACATCTTACCCTTCAGATCCTAGGTCACTACTCGAGCCTGAAAACAGTCAAACATACAATAAATTTTAGTACAAAGTTATAACAAAAAACGAAAATAACTTTAAAATTTTATAATTAACTAACCTTGAGACATTTTTCATCTAATTTATAAATAAGAACGTCGAGAGTGTGTATAAGGCGTTCTTTTTTCCCGTCTTTTTTCTAAAAAACAGCCATAAATTAGCCGGAACGCGCCCTATAAGTGTTCGTTTCGCGAACGGCAGGATGCGGCCTGCCAGAACATTTTATACGATAGTATATATAAAAATGATTTTGGCAAACTTAAAGATAAAATATTCATAATTAAAACACACATACTAATGATTAAATTAACGACAAAAAACTCATTTTAGTTTTTTAACGTTTTACGCAGAAAAAATTTACAAAAGCCCAAAGTACAATTTTTTCGTAAAAAGTTTTACAAATCTTATTTTAAGACTAATAACCAACATTTTAAAAGTTTCATAGGAATTTAAAATGTAACATAAAAAAAAATCCACTTTCTATTATTCTATAAAGCCATAATGGCATAAGTGCAATATAAAGCCTTCTTTACGTTTTCTCCTTATTACATAACCATTAATTTGGCCGCAGCCTGCAGACCGCCCATCCAACAGGGTCAAACGCGCCCAAGTTCTTCTTTTTCGCGGGCTTTTGAAAAATACGACTTCAAATTTGCGCCTGGCATTTTCAGTCCCGAAACGAAATCGCTACGGTACTGGAAACTCCTATCTCTTGGAAGATTTTCTTTTTCCAAAGGGTTTTTTGAATAAAAATACAAATTTTGATGGAATTAAAATTATATTTTGGGTTTATATAGATTTAGAATGATTTTTAGGAGTTTTTACAGCTTTCACTATATTTTTTAATCGGTTTCGTATGTTTTCTTTAAATTTTTGAAACGTTTTAATTGCCGACTTTTAGCCGAATATTTTTTTTAAATGTGTTAGAGCTTACAGATTTTTTTGTTAATTTATTTACGCGCATTAACGTTCTATATGTCTCTAACTACCTATTATGTATGTTTTATTGTTTCAGAAAACCATGGGACGCCCAATCAGTGTTAAGGATGTTGATCAAACCGATGTTGTCGAGAAGATCGCCGACTTCTTGAAGAAGTCCGGCAAGGTAAAGGTTCCAGAATGGGCCGACCTCGTCAAGTTGGCTTCCCACAAGGAATTGGCTCCAGTTGACCCAGACTGGTACTTCACCCGCACCGCTTCTATTGCTCGTCGTCTGTACATCCGCAACCCAGCTGGTATGTTATTTTAGTTTGCTTTGCTTGGTTTTTAGGTGGTAAGAGAGAAGCGAATGTTATATAAAGAGTTATAGAAGCTACTTGAAGGTTTTAGTTGGTAAATTTTAAAGAAATTCAAATTACGGATTAAGAGTTATGCTATAATCGTCGTATTTTTGTGATAAAACGCTTAAAAGTTATCTAAAGACCTTGAGCAGCTTCTTCACTATTTTTATCAAAGGTAGAAAATTTTAGCTATGATCTATTTCTACTTATTTTTCGGTGTCTTTAACATTATAGTATATTTTTTAACTTTCTTAATATTTCAGGTGTTGGAGCTCTCCGCAAGGTTTATGGAGGTAACAAGCGCCGTGGTAGCAGACCAAACCACTTCAACAAGGCTTCCGGATCCGTATTGAGAAAAGCTCTACAGACTTTGGAAGGAATCAAATGGGTTGAAAAGCACCCAGCCGGTGGCCGAGTATTGACCAAGCAAGGCCGCCAAGACTTGGACCGTATTGCCTCTCACATCGTCAACGGAGATAAGCAGTAATTTCTTTTTGTTTGTTATTTGTTGAAAGTAAACGGTTATATAATATCTACTTGGTCTGTTAGTTGAACATTGTATTTTTTTATTTCATTAATTTGATCATAAATTTACGTATTGGCCAACGTTGGCTTTTAAAATTACAAAATCGAATACATATATCCAAGTTATTTTCCTCCAGAAAACAGCGTAAATTTTACACCTCTGTAAAACTAATCTTTCAAATTTGGATCTTTTCAACAAGAAACAGTGCGACATTTTTTATCAAAGTTTAACTTCATAATCATTAATTTAACATTAAACCCACGTAAAATATCAAAGAAAGATCTGTAAGTGATACCCAGATGTGATAAAGAATTTATTGTCGTCGATTCAGTTCCCGTTGCTGTTTTTCCTTTTCAAATCGACTTTGATCCACTGACGACATGAATCGTTGTTTGTCCAAATAACTGTCCTTACTTTTGGTGTGCTTTTCCAAATCTGCCTCAATGTTCTCTTCCACGACAAACTTCCCCCAATCGTGTTTAGATTTGTCCAAAACTGACATCTTTTTAGGTTTTTTTAAAGCTGACAAAACTGAATCCAAACCAGATTTTGTGGAGTTACGTTTGAAAGGATTCGAGGCCGGCTTCGGTTTCACTTCAACTCTAAAAAATAAATTTTAGTAATTAAAACAACGATGAAATATTCTCCTTGTTTTAAAATATTATTCTTGAAGAAAATCCTTGCGGGTCACGAAAAAAGTCGTTAAAAAATTTCAACTTACTCAACTCGTTCACCAGCAAAGTCGTATACTTTCTTCACCACATTTTCTTCTTCTTTTGGTTTATCCTCCTTTTTCTCACTTGTCGAAGCATCGTCATCGGCCAAGAAATCGGCCCATAAAGAGTCGGCATCTCTGAAATAAGCCGCGAGGGTCACAAGTAAAAAAAAGTTGAAATGTGAACGTTTGGGAGATTACAAAGCAAATATAGACCAAAAAGTCCATGATTCTCTGTATAATAACTTTTGTTACCTAAAAATTCAAACGAACACATCTACAAATAAATTTGGCGTGCAAACATACGAAAAACTTACTTTGTTGGCTCATCTTCCGTGTTTTTCTCTTTGGCTTCGGCAATTGCAATCAAAGCGGCATTTACATCCTTTGGAGCATCAGCTGGCTCTACATAATCCTCATCTTCATCACTGTTGTAACTATCTTCAACGTCCAGCAAACTCATGATCCTTGCAAAGCAACGAAGAAATTCTAAAATTCCAATGTTTACTTTTTCGAGAGGGAAAAAAAGCGGAAGACTTGACTCGTCTGAAGAAATTCAAGAATTATATTATTTTTGTGGATAAAACTAGATTTATTGTCAACTAAATGGCTGAATCTTCAACTTCATCTGATGCCCAGCCTTCTGGAGCACCATGTGTGTTGGTTTTGGGTATGGCTGGGTCTGGAAAGAGTTCCTTTGTTCAAGTAAGTACTATTTAACTACAAGATGTTGTTTAGGTAGTTTCTGTCAATAGCTTTCTAGCTTTAGGTTTCTTTATGGTTTTTAAAGTTAAAATTGAGTTTTTACCATTTTACTATATGCTAGTTTTAGCGACTGACAGCGTTTCTTCACGCTCGGAACAGTTTCCCGTATGTTGTGAACCTGGACCCGGCTGTGAACCAAGTCCATTATCCGGCCAATATTGATATTCGTGACACAGTTGACTACAAAGCAATCATGAAGGAATACGGATTGGGCCCTAATGGTGCTATTATGACTTGCCTCAACCTGATCTGCACTAAATTCAACCAGGTACGAGCTTTTTGAGTGTTTTATATTTAGGTGATGGTACAATATTTGAAATATCGTTACACCAGGAAGCAGTTTGTAGTAGTTCTATCGTAGACTAATTTTTTACATATTAGTACATCTTTTGCGTAGAATTATGACTTTTTAAAGCTTAGTCTTTTAAGGTATTGGAACTACTATCAAAACGCTCCGACCAAGTACCATACTTCCTGTTTGACACGCCAGGTCAGATTGAAGCTTTCACGTGGAGTGCCAGTGGCTCCATTATCACTGACACTTTAGCCTCAACACATCCCACTGTAATTGCGTATGTTGTGGACACAGCCAGAGCTACAAATCCAACTACCTTCATGTCCAACATGCTATATGCATGTTCGATATTGTTCAGAACGAAATTGCCATTCTTTGTGGTATTCAACAAGGTAAACTACAAATTTTGGGTTTATTTTGGAATAGAATAAATTTTTTACCAAATTTTCCAAATTTTTGTGTTTTTAAATTGCCATTGATAACATGAACTTTTATAGGCAGATATTATCCACCCTGATTTCGCCAAGAAATGGATGACGGATTTTGAAGCTTTGCACGATGATATTCACAAAAACAATCCAACTTATATGGGCGACTTCACGAGAAGCTTGAGCTTGGTATTGGACACGTTCTACAGTAATCTCAACACAGCTACAGTATCCAGTCTGACCGGCGAGGGAATGGAGGAGGTACGACTTTTAAAAATTTTAAAACTATTTTCAAAATTAAAATTGTTTTTTAATTTTGAAGTTTTTCCTTAAACTTTTAAGCCCTGGCGATTTCAGGTTTTGACAGTAATTGACAAATGTAAAAAGGAGTATTTTGACGAATATCTGCCAATGTACAACAAGTTGAAGAAGGAAAAGCAACAGAAAATGGCAACGACCGAATCCGTGGAGAAAATGGGCGGTTTGACGTTAAAGGAGAAGGACCAACCAATGGAATAGTACTGCACTGTTACACTTTTTTATGATTTCAATTTGTTGATGTTATTTCACTTTGTACTCTTGCATTGCTTCTTGTTGAATTAAAGTGATATTTGTCTAGGTTTGGAAAGATTTGTTTTTAAAATTGGTTTTAAGCCGAAAATGTGCCATTTTTAAATAGTAACCTTAGCTAAAAGCGGAGTAGAGTATTGAAAATTGAACTAAAGCTAGGTTATTCATTTGATCATCTATTAAAAAAAGAAATACTCGACGTATTTTAAAAGTTACAGTAATTATAACCGCACCATCTCCACTTTTATCAAATTTTATCGTTCAACTTTGATTAAACATCACCCCCTTGCCGATATTTTTCACTGTATCATCATAAAAACGTCACTTTTGCAGATGGTAAACCAGTAAACAGTTCAGTCAAGCATAAATCCCGTTTTTTTCTCGAAGATCCTTGATTCTGATTTCAGATAGCGGATGTTTTCGATGGATTTTATTATTCCCGAAAACAAAACCGTTTGATCCGCTTTTTTTGCGAATCGGAATCGTTTTTTAATGCATCCAAGTGGAAACAACAAAAATTAATTGAAACATTGAGAAAGGCAACTGAATCACGTCATTTTTCATGCCATTTCCGGCATCAAAGTTATTTTTCCTTTTTTGCTGTTAAACTATGCTTATATTAAGCGTACCAAATGCTAAATTAATATACATAAGTCATGAAAATTATAATAAACATAACTTTTCAACTTCAAAATGACATATTTTCCACACATTTGGACAAAAAAAAAACGCCTAAAAAACGATAAAACCGTTGTATGCTGGCCGGAATCGAACTTTTTTAGTTATTAGACATTTTCAAATAAATTTATCTCTGCCATAGACAAGGTATCAACATGAAATTTCGAAAACAGAAACCAGTGTTCATGCTTTATCAAACTTATTTTTGATCAAAAAAATTTAAATTAGTTTTGAAAGATTACGGTAAAAAATTACTGTATTCCGTAACGAAAAAAAACAAGTTCATTTAGCTTTGTGAGTCATAAATTCGCCGAAAATTTAAAACCCTTAACAGCTGGTTGTTTATTCCATATATCTCCCGCCTTCAAAAACATTTTATCCCAAAGTGGCAGAAGAACCCCCCTACCCCAAAAAGCCATCAAAAATAGGGTTTAACCCTATAAAAAGATTCAGAACTTCATTCTGACTAATCAGATCTGAAATTTTACAATTCAGACTCTGAATCCTTTCATTCTTGGTCAGATTCTGAATCCTTTCATTCTTGGTCAGATTCTGAAATCTTTACCATGAAGGTTCAGACGGCGACATTTACCGCTTCTGCCTTGAGCGGCATCGTGCTGGCAGTATGTATGGTGTTCATGTATAACATTCATGTTGACTTGAGGACTACTTGGGACCAATTTGAAGTGGAAATGGACTACTTCAAAGTGACAACCGATGACTTGTGGAAAGACATGATTTTGGTTGGCAAAAAGAACAATTTCAACAGACATAGAAGACAAGCTGAGTATGAAGGTGCTGCTCCAAAAGCGCCATCTTCATCTTCCCAAGCTGGGTAACATTTAAAAATTTTTTTTAAATTTTAAGCAAAAATCAAAAATTTTGGTTCTTTATATCCATTTCTTGACCAAAAAAATTCAAATTCTATTTTTAGGTACGAATCAGGTGGAAAAAGCCCATCATCTCGCCCAGGTGGTTCTCCACCAGCTACGCCAAGCGGTGCCCCACCAGCTGGTCCTACACCGAGCGACCAATGTGGCTGTAAGTCCGGCGGCGACAACAAATGCCCACCCGGACCTCCAGGACCAAAAGGTGTACCAGGTGCACCAGGAGTACCAGGCATTGACGGTATTGATGGTGTGAGCGGTAAAGACGCTGATGATGTCACCCCTGAAAGCCAAGATACTGGATCTTGCTTCAACTGCCCAGCTGGACCACAAGGATCACCTGGCCCAATTGGCCGCCCTGGAATGCGCGGTATGAAAGGCGCTGATGGACAACTGGGACAGCCTGGAAAAGATGGTCAACCTGGATCTCCTGGTGAACAGGGACCACCAGGACCACCCGGCCGTGACGGACCGCCTGGACCAATTGGAGAGAAAGGACTTGACGGCCGAAAACCAATTGGCAGACCCGGACCCAAGGGACCAAGAGGACCACGTGGTGAACCAGGCCCAGCCGGCGCCAATGGACACGATGCTGGACCAGGACCAGCTGGACCTCAAGGACCACCAGGTGGCCCAGGACCAGTGGGACCAGTCGGAGGAGTTGGACCTGCAGGAGGTGAGGGACCAGAAGGAAGACCTGGAAAAGACGCCGAATATTGTCCATGCCCACCAAAGAGTGGTGCAGCTGGAGGCTTCGGAGACAATGCTAGAGACGGATACGGTAACAACAACAATGGCGCTGGAAATAATGGCTATCGTCGTCGTTACCACTTCTAAGCCTTGTACACGACATTTTTGAAAAGAAAACAATTTTATTATTGATCAATAAAGTTTTGGCAACAGAATTTTTTCTATCCGGTCAAAAAGTTCATAGAAAAGCGTAAAAACTGATTTAGATTAGTGATCGACTGGTTCGTTGACCTTTCTAGACCTATAAACTACGTAAAAAGATCATTTTGGGTTGTTAAACAGCTGAAAAATGACCAAGCAGTTTGTTTACGGCGTCCTCGTAAACAAGAAGACCCAATATAAGAGCCGAAAACGTCTATTTTTACTTTTTTTTGTTGATCTATACTAAAGTTTGCGTAAAGGAATATTTTTATTTGAACAGTTAGTGACAAAGCTTATGATAATTTTGGTTAAAAGCTTATAAAAGTCTAAAATTTAAGCTAAATTTTACTTTTTAAGCTTTAATGCATTTTTATGCAACAATTTTGATGTTCGTGAATATAACCATTAGCTTTTTAAAACTAAAACAACTTTTCAGACCCCCTCTTTCAAAATTTTTGTCACACCGCTTATATTCATCGTACTGTACGTCTATCATAACCAACTACGTATAGAAGAATTAATACTAAATTTAATTTGTTGGTGCGTTGGAGTACGTCCATATTGGGGCCCTTAATACCGCGGTGGTATATAAATCGGAAGAAAAACTCAATTTTTACTGTTGCGGCCCAAAAAACTATTGAAGAATAAAATTACGACCAAAGAATCTCTTTTAACGCGATAGATACAAAAGAAGATTCTACATACTTTTTGACCTGATATGTGAGCAACATATCAAAATGGCAAATTCACTTAAACAAGCCAAGAAGATGTTGAGAAAGGAGATGGCAGAAAAATTGGCCAAGATCAGCCAAGAAGAAATTGATCGAAAAAGCAAAATCGTCTTTGAAAAGGTAAGTCTACCCCAATATATCTTGTGATACACTATTTAAAACAAATTTCAAGTTAGCTTTTAGAAACAAAAACCTAAAACAAGTATCATTGTTACCCAAAGTTACTTTTTAAAAACCCGGGAAACTACTATTTCAGAATGAAAATTTAAATTGACTCTTTTTGTTACCTAAAAGAACAAAACCCAAAAAACTTCGACTCAAAAGCTAAATAAAACATATTTTTTACACAAAAACAAACGTTGTTACCTAAAATTTACAACACGTATAGTTTTACAACAAAACTATATTTTTTGGCTAAAATTTACAAAACTACGAAATCACGTAGGTACTAGATCCAAAATTACAGAAAAAAAAATATTTGTTACCTAAAAATCCAAACAACTTTTACAACCCCGGTCTCCAAAACACCTCTCGCGCAGTGCAAACCAGATCATGGCCGCCGACAATTATCTTTCTGATTCGATTGAAAACAAAAATGTTTCTAGACTCCACAGTTATTAGTCGCAATATGCCAACCATATCCGCAGGCCGCAAGAGGCAAAAACCCGCAAAAACGGCTTCTTTGAAATTTCAATGTTATCAAATCTCAATTGCTCAAAACCCTCATTTTCTGAATCGAGCCAAAATTCCTTTTTTTGCTTCGATCCAAACCTCAAAAAACAAAAATTCTTCCACAAATTCCAAGTTTTTATCTCCAACCTGCCCACAATACTCGCAGGCCGCGAAATCAGAAACGCCGCCAAAAGGCACCCTTTGAAATTATCAGTGAACAAACCTCAATCACTCAAAACCCGCATTTCTTCAATCGAGCCAAAATTCCTTTTTTTGGTTCGATCCAAACCTCAAAAAACAAAAATTCTTCCAAAAATTCCAAGTTTTTATCTCCAACCTGCCAACCACATCCGCAGGCCGCAGATCATAAAACCCGCTAAAAGGAGTACTTTGAAACATCAATGGAAACAAATCTCAATCGCAAAATCCTTCTTTTTTTGATCGAGCCAAAATTCCTTTTTTCGACTCGATCCAAACCTCAAAAATTCCTCTAAAAATTCCAAGTTTTTATCTCCATCCTGCCAACAACATCCGCAGGCCGCAGATCACAAAACCCGCTAAAAGGGGCCTTTTGAAATTCTTACTGCACAGTGCAGAGGTTTTGTTTGGCTCTCCAAAATTCCTCGATTTTCTCCTTTTCGATTTTCGCCCAAAATTTGGAGAAAATCGGAGAAGGAAAATCTGGCCAAATATCGCGCTTGCACAGTGCAATCAAGAAGAAATAGAGAGTGTGGGATTTGGAGAGAGGGACAGAGAAAAGCAAAGAGAAAAGAAAGAGTGTTTTGAGTAGAGAGCGTGTTCAGACAAAGTCAGAGGAACCCAAAAATGGCCGATTTCGGGAGATTTTGAGATCTCCAAATTTGTCGAAAATCCTTCAATCTTCGAAAAGGGATTTTCGGCGATTGGAATTGGCTTGCACGGTGCAGTGAGGATTTCAAAAGGGTTTTTTCCGCTGGTTTTGTGATCTTGCGGCCTGCGGGTGTTGTTGGCAGGTTGGGGATAAAAACTTGGAATTTTCAGAAGAATTTTTGTTTTTTTGAGGTTTGGATCGAGACGAAAAAAGGAATTTTAGCTCGGTCGAAGAAAATAGGATTTTGAGCGATTTGGATTTATGCATTGAGTTTTCAAAAGAGGCTTTTTGGCGGGTATTGTGAAATTGCGGTCTGCGGGTGTTGTTGGCAGGTTGGGGATAAAAACTTGGAATTTTTGGAAGAATTCTTGTTTTTTGAGATTCGGATCGAGTCGAAAAAAGGAATTTTGGCTCGATCGAAGAAATGCGGGTTTTGAGTGTTTGAGGTTTGTCAAATGGGGATTTCAAAAAGGACTGTTTTGTGGGTTTTTGCCTTTTGCGACCTGCGAGTGCTGTTGGCAGACTGGAGTTAAAAACTTGGAATTTTTGGAAGAATTTTTGTTTTTTGAGATTCAGATCGAGTCGAAAAAAGGAATTTTGGCTCGATTGAAGAAATGCGGGTTTTGAGTGTTTGAGGTTTGTATTTACAATGGGGATTTCAACTTGTTTTTTTGGCGTCGTTTCTGCTTTTACGGCCTGCGGGTGGTGTTGGCAGGCCGGGGATAATACGTTTAAGGTCATTTGTTATCTAAAATTAACAATTCGTTAACTATTTGTTACCTAAAATTAAATTAAAGAAAAGTTTTAAAGATTTAAACTTACAAGTTTAGGTAAAGTCTTCGGAATGGTTCATAAGAAGTCAACGTATCTCAGTTTTTGTTAACACAGCTGGTGAAATCAAAACAGACGAAATAATAAAGTTGGCGTTGTTACAGAATAAAGAAGTATTCATACCATGGTAAGGTCAATAAATGTTTGACAAAATCCTTGACAAATGCTTTTTTTTCAGGTTTGAAAAGGGAAACCCTCGAATGTTTATGGTACAATTGGATACTGTAAAAGACTTTGACAATCTCAAACCAACCTTATGGGACATTCGACAATTTGAATCGATCGATGGCAAAACTACATACGATAATACTGGCAATTTTTAATTTTTTTAAAAGTTTTTGCTTATATTATTTTACTTATTTCTTACTATTATATTACTACATTATAGGACCACTTCACTTGATCTTAGCACCGGGTGTCGCATTTACTACTGCAGGAGATCGCTGTGGTCATGGAATGGGTTTTTACGACAAGTTCTTTGTTGAACACACAGGGAAATCGTATCCAAATGCTCCAGCTCCATATAAAGTTGCATTAGCTCTTTCAGAACAAATTATCGATAAGGTACCAGTCGACGAAACTGACGTCAAAATGGATATTGTTCTTGCAGCTGACTAATTTTTATTTGTTTTTACATTTAATAAAGCATTTTAACGACAATTTATAATAGTATTACAATATTAATCAATTATCAAAGGCTATTTATTGCAGAAACGTTTCTTCGTATAAAATGGTGCTTTCGTGGCTTTTCGTCTCAATAAACTTTTCGCTTTTTTGTTGATCAAAACAGAGGTGTTTCCATCAAATAATAGATAGATAGTAAAGCCAAATGTATATTTTATGTTTTTAAAGTTGTTTTATAATCTTATCGATCTTATTAGCAACGAGTTTTCTCCTTTTTAAGCAGTTGTTTTATTTAAACTCATGATATTATTTTAGTGGTCGAGATGGGTCAGGGGATGTCCATCTCGGTTCGAGATTACTTTAATCCTTTGGAGTCGCCAAGGAACGACCGTCCTTCAACTTTCGATCCATTGGCCGGTTTTCCTAAAGGCCGCAAACAACGTGAAATGATAGCGACTTGGGAAGAGATGGACGAGTGGAAATTGTCGCCGGGACAGCGTGATTACTGCGCTCATAGACTCATTGATGTCATGAGATGTCAAGTAAGTTTTTTTTGTGTTTGTTGAATTTTAGGCTTTGAATTTCTAGTGGAAATATGGTTTATAATGGCCATTTTGATGGTCTTAAAGTAGGGATTGTAATATCAACATAGTTTTTAACATAACTTTTTTTAAAGGGCGGATGGATTCTTGAAGCTTTTTGGAATGTTAGTTTACTTTATTAGTAAGCTATTAAGATTGAAATTTTAAGTTTGAAGCTTCTTTTTTATATTGCTTTAGATAGGTTTAAAAATGTCGTCGAAATTAAGTGAAGACATTGTTTTTATTTTAAGTTGTTTTAAGAGTAAAACTTGAAAGTTTGCAAACATTTGGAATATTATTTTATAATTCAATTTTTTAGCGTGAATGGGCACCATTGGCTGCTCACTCTTGCGCAGACATCAGACACAAATACGACCTGTGCGAATACGAAGATTACCTCCTGAGGATGAAGGAATACGAACGTGAACGTCGCTTGTTGATGCGCAAACGAAGAAAGGAAAAAGCTGCCGGAATTTCACCTGAAACTGAATGAATTGTTTGTAATTTTTATTAGGTATACAGTGAGATGATCAAAATAAATTTGATGGTATATAATGAAGTTTTTTAAAACTTGAGTGGTTAAAAATGATTTTGCGGGATAATTACTTGGTGGTTGAATAAGGTTTTGTAAAAAATATTTTGATTTTCATTATGATTTTTGAAATATTTTTGTAAAATTGACAAAGTGAAAAATTTTAAAGATTGAAATAATTGTCATTCTTTTTTTGTAAAGTTAGGACCGGTTGACAATGTCGACTATGCAGAATGTTGAACTAACAGCTATTGATGATTACGTCCAAGAGTTTTCGCCCCAAGTGGACCCGAAACCGAGATCTTGGCCACCGCTACAAGGAATTGCTCTAGTTGAAGTTCGACATGAGTTGTTAATGTACGGAGAGGTAAATTTATTTGTTATTTATAAAATCATAATAGTAGTTCCAATTATTATAGTTCTGGTTATTTTGAAAATTCAAAACTGTATTGTTTATTTTGAAAAACACTTTAAAAACTGTTTTGCACCGTGCAAGTTTTAAAAGGACGATTGCACGGTGCAGAATTTAATTTACTATTAGCAGCATGGTGCAATTGGTAGTTCAAGCGCCAATTTAAAGGTAAAGTCTGGTTAAAAGACCTTTTTTAGGTTTTGGCAATTGTATTCTTATTAGTGGGTTTAGTCAACGTTGCTTTATACCCATGGGTACGATTTGGCCATGTCAACGTGCTTCATAATTATGAAAATGTCCTGAATTTCGATGTCGATAAGTTCGATGAGGTGAGTTTTAACGAAAGGCTTTGCGATTTTGAAAATCATTTTGTAAAAAAAAGTTATTGCAGTTTTTAAAAATGCATATGTAAACAAATTGCTTTCGTTTTTTAACTTCCTTTTCAGGTTTACGGTAATCTGACAGAATTAATTTCTTTTCCGACAGAAGGTGTGTCACCGGCAGAAATGTTGGAATCGGTGACATATAAATCTCCAGGTTGTGCAGTTTCCACTGATCTGCCGGTAATGATAAGTGAAAGATCACATTTTTTGAAATTTTTTAAAAGTTAGAATTGAAAAAAAATTTCATTTTAGCCAAACCAAACAGCTGAACATAAAGTAAAATGCGAAACCGCTACCCATCTCCGTAATGGATTTATGTATTTTGCCAAACAAGCATCCTATGACCAATATAAAGAGTTGGTCGCGGCCAAGTCATTTCAGAAGTTCCACAAATACGAATGTTGCCATCATAACCGACTCAAGCTTTGTCCATGTGGATTTGTGGTTGAGAACGCGACACATTGTTTTGGACCGTAAGTTTGTAGTCATTTTACAGAAGGTTATAGTCTTTTTAGGCTGGAATGATAGACAATTACTTATAATAATACTTTTAGTGCTCCATTAGAAGAAACTTGTGACGATTTCGCAAACGGCACCCACTTTGTCAGCATGGTTGAATCTGACCCAATGTGTAAAGAATTTGTGGAAATGTTTGAAAACAAAGGGTGTAAGTGTTTTACGAACTTTTGGACCAAATTTATGAAAAATTGACGTTTTTTCGAAAAAATTGCACAGTGCAATACTGAACAGCAAAATGCTGTAAAAAACGCTTAATAAAAACTGTACGATGCAATAATATAGTACACTTTCAGACCCCGAAACCAAGGTAGAATCAGGACTGGATTACTGTGCAGTATTGGTGAGATCATCTTATGGAAATATGTGGGATAATGGGTACGGATTCTGCGTTTACAAGAAACCTCCATACACACCGTATTACATGCTTTGAAGTATCATATGTACCGTAGTAAATGTTGAACAATAAAAACAACTTCATATATACCTTGTTGAATCCTTTGGGCTTGCGTACGTAATAGTATTACGTTTTGTATTAGGTTGTTCACATAATTTTGCGCCCCCTTACCCACAAATTTGCTTTGAGAGGGGGCGCAGAATTAAGTGAACAACCTAATATTACCATATGTACCGCATCATATACTTGTACCATATATGCACCGTACCACGTCTCCCACAGTAAAAATAGCATGTTCTCAACAATAAAACCCCGACCCACCACGTTACAACTATTTATTCCACTTGTTATATAATAAAACCGGTAAGTATAAATAACAATACAATTTGTATACAAGGATACAGACTGACAAAACAAACAACAATAAAGCAGTAACATAAACTGATATAAACCATTTTAAATATGAATGCTATAAAAAATAAATAGGTTGTCAAATCTTTAGACCTTAAAGGCTACAAATTTAAAAACTTGAAGTTAATACAAAGTTAAAAAAGAACAACGTCACAGACAAAAATATTAAGGTACAGACGTGATAAATATATAAATATAGTTATATCAAAGAATTTCGTTACATAAAATGTCAAAAACTTTCTTTACAAAACAAAATTGCCAAATATGACGTTATTTACAGCCGCGTCAAAAAGAATTGGACAATTTTACAATGCGAATACACAAAAAATGTCCGATTCTTTTTGGCGCGCCTCAAAAAATGTCATTTTTGACATTTTTATAAAATAAAACTACTTTTGCAAGTTATATACATTATGTTAGTAAATTACCTCAAACTTCAAGTCGGGATTTTATAATGGATCGTGTTTAAATTGACATTTCCATCCATACGCACAATGGCCATGGTTAACAAAATTCCGACAGATCTTGGTCTTGTATTTCGGGTGGGTCTGAAAATTAAAAATAAGTTTGCAATGTTCGTAAATGTAATCGTAGTAGAGCTACACTTGCATTTTTCAAAAAATTTTTTTTTTAAAAACTTCACAATGGGGCCAAGTTCAATATATTTTCGAGAAAAATAGTAAATAAACCATTTTAAACCCCTTCCTCTACAGTAAAAACACCAAACCCACCTCAATTGGTCTCAACTCGGCCTTGTCGTGCGCAAATCGACAGTTATTTCCATATCGGCATTCGCCTTTGGTCGTAAAATCGTGACACATCGACGTCCTCGCCTTGACTTGCAGCCGTTGTTCCCTCAGGCACTTCTCTTCGGCACTCAAAAGCTCCAAAGGTTTTCGATGGTTTTTTGGTTGTACCAGAGGGATTGGTCGGATTGTGGCTAGAGGGGTTGGTGCCGTACCATATGGACTTGAGGCCCTGGTTGATGAGGTCGACGACGAGCAAGTTGAGGATTGCACCATATGAGTAACGGAAGTGCCAAAAACTGGAGAAGTCCGGAAGTGAGATGGACATGTTTCTTGTTGTGTTGACTCTAAAATAGCGTTTAAATCCACCAGGCTTCAAAGTCTTTAAAAACGTACCTAAAAATGTAAAAAATTCAACGAAAAACATACCATTTGACGCAAATTTGTCTAGGGAAGTACCAATTGACCCAAAGTTGGAATTTGAACAAAGGTTGCTTAAAGATGCACCAATCGAACCAAAATTAGCTGGAGAAGTACCAAATTTGTCTGAAAATGTACCAATGCTTTAAAATTTCTCAAAATGGCCAGAAAATATTAAAGCTTACAAAACTAAGCAAAACGTACCATTAGATCCAAATTTGTCCATACATGCACCAATTGACCCAAAGTTACACTGCGAAGTCCCAATAGCACCAAAATTTCCAGGAGCAAACATGGTCGGACTGGTACTCTTGGAGCATCCAGAAAGGCCAGAGTCAATCGAATCTCGGCGTTTTTTGACCGGCATAACCAGTGGCAATGGTACCATCTTCTTTAGTTGATCCTTCTTCTTAGCTGGTCCCGTTTTCGCGACTGGTGCACCCACGGCCTTGTTCAGATGGCTTTGGTCCGCTGACATGTCGTCCAATCGAGTACGTTGCTCTTCGAACACTTTTCTTATCACCGACTCAAACACAGCTTGTTGTGGATCCTCCACCATGCGGCAACCTCCGTTGTTAAAGTCAAACTCCAGCAGACCGTCGAAAATATTGTACACCATTGTTAGTATAGATGAAATATGTCAAAATAAAACTGAAAAGGTTTAAATTAAAACACAGTTACAGCAGAACGCCTCAAAAACGACAGAAAACAATAAATATCATCAATAAGCAACCAATAAATAGCTGAAACTACAAAGAAGAGCTTGAAAAATTGTCAAAACTAACACAAACTCAAGTCAAAATTCACCGACGACAGTTTAAAAACATCAATAAAACCTATTATAACCAATAAACATCATTTGCCTTAACAAATAACATCAAGAATAGAACTAAAACAGCACGAACACAAAGGAAAATTGCCAAAAACCAAGCGAAATTACCCAAACTAATAAGAAAACAATTGAAGTGTGACTGAATCAGTTCAAATCAAGCCTAAAATTACCAAAAACATAAAAAATCATTCGAACTAGAACAAAACGAACCTTCCCCGAACCTGGCGGACGAAGGAAATGACTACAACCCGCTAATTTGCCGGAAGGAGAGAAAATCGGCCAACGACACGCCAATATCATCGAATTTGGCGGCAAACCGCGGTTCAAAATTTATCATTGAAAGAAATAAAAATTGAAAATGGAACAGGAGACATGGGATGAAAATAATGTTTTTCTCTCGAAACCTTTCAAAAAAAATTGTAAAAATGAAAATTTCTATGGAATTTTAGACCAAAATCACAATAATAAACATTTCTATGAACTTTTGGACCACCTAAAACCTACAAAAAATATTTTCCTGCAAAAAAATATAACAAACATTAATTTATTATACAAAAACCTATATCAATATTCCTTTTACGCTTTGTACTAATATTAACCATCAAGGACACAACCCGTCCAATTTGCAATCCAATGTAACATTGTACTTGCCCCTCAACGCTTCTCGGTACATTCTGGTTTTGGCTCGAAGAGTTTCGTACTCCTTCTTGGTGCACTTTTTGTCGTTCACGCAATTCCCGACCATCTGAAACATTCTTTTCAATAAAATCAGAGCTTTGAAAACAGTGGACATATGGTTTGGTAAAAGTGCAATATCTTTAAAAATTATATAAATTTTGAAGGTTAAAATGGGTAGATTTTAGTGATTAGTTAGCCAAATATATTATTTCGAACCTCAAAAAGTTTGAGCTTTCTAACCATTTTTAAAAAAAAGTTATAATAAAAACAGCATGATATTATCATGAAAACATTTGTAATTATTGTTAAAACTAACCTTTTCGGTAGAGTCCAAATACATTTCAAATATTTCCTTCAGCATCTGTTTCGGCATATTTTTAAGCTCTGTTCTACCTTCTATACAATTCGCACATTGCATCTTTTTTAAAACTTCGTCTTCACAACGCACCATAGCAAAAAATAACAGAAAAAACGCAGTTTTCCGCCACATTTTTACAAAAATGATCAAATAAAATCAAATATTTAAAATTTTGGAACATTTCTCGGCTTTCTAGAATGTTCAAGAATACAGCAATATGTAAATTTAAATAAAAAATGAATATTTTACTATTCAAAATATGTAAAACTAGTTTCTGACACTTCGTTTGAAAACCCGATAGATTTTGCGACGAAATGCAAACTATATTTATTTTTCATTTTATTTTCCTTACAAGATCTTTGGTTGTTTAGCTACGTCAGGTTTGTGAAATAAGGAAAACACGAGCACAATGAGCGAGTTTTCTGATGAAGAAGAGTTGGAACGGCAATTGGCAGCGCTCAACATGAACAATACGGCTGGAAAAGGTAAATTATTGTTATTGTGTTACGTTTTTAGGTTTAAAATCTATCTTATCTTCAATATTCTCGACAAAATGAATGATGGAACATGTGAAAAACGTTCTTACGTAGTTTATGTCACGATTTTAACTATGTATTATTTGGTGTGGAGTAATATGTTAACAATGTTTGTAAAATAATGTTTTATGACATGGTTTTTGTTAGAACTTTTTTCGAAAATTAGATACAGACTTTAAATTTTTAGCAAAGCTAGTTTTTTATGTTACTAATGTAATAAAGAATGTTTTAAAAACTTTTGTAATTTTAAAAGAATGTTTTAAAAACGTTTGTAATTAATGTTAAACTAGGCTAATTTTACTAGTTTTAGGTAAGAGGAAAAAAGGAAAAGCCAGTGAAACCAACGGCCAATTACGATGATTTGGACTGTGACGATGATGAGCTATTGGTAAGTGTCTTTTTACAGTTTTTACTAGGTTTTTAGTGTCTATGTTTCAATACCAGGCCGGTGATAGAGAAGATTATGTTGTTTTTAAAAACCTTTGAATGATTCACTTCTTTTTATGGATTATGTTGGGCGATAAGAATAAATTCAGCATTTATTTTCGTGAAAACTTTTGGAAAGATTCTTATCTTCTTCGAATTATACATAAATAGTAAGGTTTTACATATTTTAGGCAGAACTGAATGAGTTGATCGGAGAAGATGAACCCGTATCCGCCATGTTGCCAAAAAGAAGTGCTCAAAGTGCAGCAGGTAAAGTCTTTAAAAAGATTTGCTGTTCAAAACCTTGAATTGAAGAACTAATGTCAATGTCATTACCTTGAATTATATGAATAATATCATCTTTTTTAGAAGCTAGATCAGCTTTTAACGAAAGAAGGATTAGTATGGAGCTAAGTGAAGCTGAAGATGAGCCTGGAGGTGAAGAAGAAGCCGAATTGGCAGCATTAATGGCTTCAGATGCTAAGCCCAAGGTACAGCAAATGACCGGTACTACACAAAGTTCAACTACAACTAGTACTCAGTCTAGAAGCAATATAACTTCTGAGGTTCCAAAGCCGAACCGGGCCCAAGCTGGAGCTGATATGGAGAGAGCAACACCCCCAGCAGTACCACAACATCACGCAGTACAGAGTGGTACCATTCAAAATAGGCAAGACGAACCAAATAGGACTGGTCAGGAGCAAGAACAAGATCCAAAAGCTTTAGCAAAGAAGATCATCACAAGACGACTGGCCGCGTTTACAACTAATGGTTTAGCGGCCAATAAGGACGGAAATTCACGGTATGCGGCGGAATGTGCTGAAAATGTGCAATTGTTTCAACAAGCCCTTCAGATGTGTGACACCGCCGATATAACAATGGCTGATTTGGAAGGAATCCCAAAAACTCCTCCTCCATATAAGGTAAGATGAGTTTTTGATGCGTGGTCTAAAAGTAGATGAAAAATGATCATATATCGATGTTTTTGACATTTGAATATAAATATTGTTCCATTTTCTAGAGCAAAGCTCCAGCACCACTCCCGGCCTTCCCAACGGGTCCACTGTCTCTGGAGGACGAATTGAACGCACGTTTGGCTAAATTTAAATGGCTAGCCGGAGACTTTGAATCAAAAGGAGAAAACATCAAAATGAAAATGAATCAAAGGCTTGGAACTCAGATCAGTTCAGCCCTGATCCGGCTGAAGAAAGGGCATCCCATTCAGCCGGAGAAATTGCCAGTACCACCTGGGTTCAGCGAGCTAAAACCAATGGCAGAGTGGTCCCAATTGACGAATTCAACTCAAACTGCGCCTAAAAGTGCGCCGAAGACTGAGGAACAGAGTAGGTGAAAAAATTTATGTATTTTGGTTTTGTATTTTGATTTTTGGTCTAAATTTGTTTCTACCTATACTTATTTCTGGCCTGAAAATTTAATTTTCTTTATTTTAAGCTATTCCAAATGATCCAAAGCCAAATGCGCCAAAGGCTGCAATCCCGGGCGTTTCTGTGCAAACCGCCCCAAAACCGGTCGATAAGCCAGTAGAAAAAGAAGAGCCGGAAGATATGAAGAAGGTTTTAGAAGAAAAACAGCAAAAATTCAAGAAAGCGGCTTTAATGTACAAGAAGAATGGTGATATGCCGGCTGCTGCAAGATGCCTTAAGGCTGCACGGGTAAGAGGCTGAAAATTTTAGGGAATAGTTGAATTTTGGTCGAAAATTCATTAAATATTTAAAATTTTTATGGTAAAAAATTTCAAAAAAAATTTTTTATTTAAATTTTTTGATTTTTAGTTATGATAAATAGCTTTAAAAAAGCTTTTCAGGAGCTCGAAAAAGAAATAAAACAATTATCAGCAAAGAAACCTCATCCAGCATCCTCCCCAAGCCAAACCGTCAGTTCAGCACTGCCAGCCGTTGTTACAGGTTAGTTTTGGCATAAAAATGACTGTTTTGAGTATAAATAGTTATTAGGTTGTTCAAGTAATTCTGTGCTCTTTTTCGATTCAATTTGTTGGGGTTAGAGGGCACAAGATTATTTGAACAATCAAATATTTTTAAAAAATTTTGTTTTAATAAATTTTTGTTTTCAGCGACAAGCGTATCGCCAGCCTCAATTCTACTACAGGATTTGAAAAAGCAACTCGAATTCGCCGTGAAAATGCGAACCAAATTGGCAGCGGCGAAACAAGCGACCTCGGTTCAATTGTATGATCGACTGATACAAAAGGTCCGCATTGATCTTCAAGTTTGCTCAAGAACGGCTCAAGGGAACGACGCTAATGTGGCGTAGGTTATTTTTTTGAAAATTTTAGAACCTACTAAGCTTATTTCTACTATGTCTCAGTATGCTAAGCCTAAGTCTGCTAGGCCTAAGTCTGCTAAGCCTAAGCTTGCTAAGCCTAAGTTTGCTAAGCCTAAGCCTGCTAAGCCTAATTTTGCCAAGCCTAAGCTTGCTAAGCCTAAGCCTGCTAAGCCTAAGCCTGCTAAGCCTAAGCCTGCTAAGTTTAAGTCTGCTAAGCCTAAGCCTGCTAAGCCTAAGTTTGCTAAGCCTAAGCCTGCTAAGCCTAAGCCTGCTAAGCCTAAGCCTGCTAAGCCTAAGCCTGCTAAGCCTAAGCCTGCTAAGCCTAAGTCTGCTAAGCCTAAGCCTGCTAAGCCTAAGTTTGCTAAGCCTAAGCCTGCTATGCCTAATTTGCTAAGCTTAAGCTTCCTAAGCCTAAGCCTGCTAAGCCTGCTAAGCCTAAGCCTGCTAAGCCTAAGCCTGCTAAGCCTAAGCTTCTAAGCCTAGTAATAATGAGCGTAAGCGTATTTCTATCAAGCGTGTTACATAAACATAGTAAAAATTTGCGCGGTGTTACCTAATCTTTTGATATAACAAGATAGCCTTAGAGAAATTGCAAGAAATCGTATTGCGCAACTTTTTCTTACATAATTTTTATGGTTTATATAATATTTGCCTCGGTGTAAAACGTCCCAACAAATTACTGCGAGTACGGCAATTTTACTCGGGATGTTTTCGAGGCATTTGGTCATTATTGTCTGCCTTTTTTATTCTATACTGCCACTTTGTACATGATGTGATAATTTTTTTCAGTTTTAAAGCGACAGAAATGCGGCTTCCGTTCCTTGAAGCCAATTTGGACGTTCCAACCGACGTTCTGGAGCTGAAAATCGACAGGATTGAGAGTTTGAAGTTGCCTGACGGGTGGAAGGAATCAGATGCCAGCACTTTTGTAACATACGAATTCCCATTTCCTCACGATGCACGACAAAAAGGCAAAACAGCAACGGTTTATGGTACAATAGAGCCGAGTAGGTTGCTTAGGGACGGGAAATTTAAGGCAATCTGAATTATTATTTGGTTTTTAGGCCTAAAAATGTTGAGGAAAATATTTTTTTTAATTAAAAAATTTTTTTAATTTTGTAATTTTTTTTAATTTCAGCATTTGACGAAGTGTTCCAACTCCAAATCAACCGAAAAGGCAAACAACTTCAGCGAATCCTCTGTAGATACCCAATGAAATTGAATGTATTCCAAAAAGGAGGCTTCTTAAGGTCGGACAAGCCTTGCGGGGAAGTGGATGTTGTTCTAGATGCACTAGACGAAGCAGCTAGTTTCAGCGACAGCAGGGATTTGCTACTGGGAAGACGAAAAACTGGAGGGAAATTGAGCTTTTCGGTAAGTTTTTTTGAGGTTTTAGGCTTATCTATTGGAGGTTTAGGTTTGTTTTAAAATTTTAGGCTTATTACTAAAGTTTGGGCTTATTACTAGGTGCCGACATAAAGAACCCGCCATTTTTTGCAGTAAACTACAGGAAAAGTATGGTGGGTTCTTTTTGTCGGCAACTAATATGAAAGTTTAGGCTTACTAAGTCAATTTAGGCTTGCATTTTGTCTTTTAGGCTTAAATTAAGTTTTGTAAGCTTTTTTTTAAATTCAGACAAGTTTAAAGAATATGACGTTCATCTTTTAGGTAAGAATCCAAAAACCGATAAATGAGAAGAAAATGCTGACTATCAAGCCACAAGCTTGGACTTGCCTCGTCAATCAAGCCTAACAATTTTCAAAACGGGACTATGTACAGTTTTAAAATAAAATGATTTAGATGTTTTATGGAATAAATTTCGGAATTGCTAAACGTGAAAGTTTATTGCTCGTGGCAATTAGGAATGGCAGCCAGGTTTGGAAGGTTTTAAAATATTTTTTTTGGGTTGGGGGAGGGGAGAAGATAGGGTTACCAATAGAAAAGGTGAGGCTTGGATGTAGGACAGGATGGTTTCCCCTTAGGGCATGATTGGAAAATGAGTTACAAGTTGGACATACAGTGGCGGCAAGAAAAGATGGGACAATTGGTTTTTCCCCCCCCCCTCCTGAAAAAAAATTCCGAAAAAAGTTTAACGTGCCCCCCCCCCTGTGGATTTTTGGAAAAAATTTTTCGCGAAAAATTGGGACAGGTAGCTTGTGCCGATTTTTTCGACCCCCGCCCCCACACCAAAAGTCCCCGCCCGCCCCTGGACATAGCCCTTTATGTTGATATTAAAAATGTTTTGGGAAGATCGGCAAAGGTTGGACTTTACCCTATTCTGCCCTACTTTACTCTATTTTACCCTACTCTAATTTACTCTACCTTGTTTTACCCTATAGTGTCCACTCTACCCTATCACATCTTACTCTATCATGCCGTTGAGTTTGTTTTTATAACATAAACTCTTACAAAAATGAAAATTTTATGCAAAATTCTAACTCGAACAGGAATCTCATCCTCATTTCCCTCATTCTTTTTTACAATCGGTTGTTTCGACGGCCATTTTCGAAGCAAAAACCCAGTAATCTAAACATGGAAGAAGTGGAGTTTGCAGAGGGCGTTCCTCATGCTCATTATATCTGGATGATCTTCACTTTCTTCGTCGCTACCATCTTTATATGCTTTAGTGGATGTGTGGCGACCGTGATATTACGATGGGTAAGTTATTTTTTAAAACTTTTTTTTGAAAAGTTGTTCTGCCTTGGTCCAAAAGTTTATAGAAACTATGAAGAAGTATCATACTGAAGTTTAAAGGCTTTTCTTTATATTTTTTGACCGAATGTGTAAAAATGTTATTTTAGGCGTACAAAAACGCGACCAGACAACGTTTGCAAGCTCTGGACGATGAGGCACGTCAAGAAGCGGCAGCAAAAGGCCAAGCTGAAATGTATTTGATTGTGGCAGCATTACTTCAAAAGCTGACAAATGTGAATACCAACGTCGCTCAAAAAGTCACCAGTAAGTTATTTTACAGTCTTTTGAAAGTAGTTTATAAGAAAAATACTGTGGTATTTCCAGCTGCCGAAGAGATACATCCGGTACCAAAACAGATTGTAGAAAGCCAGAGCATAGAGCAAGTTAAGGTTCAGCCCCAAACTGTAAGTTTTTTATTGTGAAAGCATATACCCAGCTTTAGTTTTAGTTCTGGCCCTAGTCCTAGCCCTAGCCCTAGCCCTAGTCCTAGTCCTAGCCCTAGCCCTAGCCCTAGCCCTAGCCCTAGCCCTAGCCCTGGCCCTAGTCTTAGCCTTAACCGTAGCCTTAGACAGTCTTACTTTACTTATAACTAAAAAATGTTTTTCAGGCCCTACCAGTAACAGTACCCCAAGATTTGATGTCGAAGATCTTGGAGAATCTTACTCAAGCCATCACGGCCAAAGACAACGCCAAAACTGCGAAAGAAATTGAAAAACCGGCCGGTAAAGGTGATGAAAAGTCTGTGCATAGTGAAAGTAACATTGAGGTAAGTCTCTAATTTTATTTTAAGACAATTTTTTGGTCAAAAAGTACGTAGAAATTTGAGTTTTACCAATATTTTTCAGTGCGTCAAAAAGAATAGGGAACTTTTCAATGCATTTATATAGAAAAATAGATCAATTCTTTTTGACGCGCATTTCAAAATTGTTTTAGTTTGGTCAAAAAGTTTATAGAAAACTTAAAATATCAAAAACTTTGTTTACAGCTAACTTTTTAGAGTGAAACCGGCTCAGAAAGTCCTATTACAGCATCATCTGTGAAAGCTCATAAGAAGTTACCATATACAAAGAAGAAGGAGAAGTCACAGTATTCGGACTTGAGTTCATCGGATGCTACAACTACTACTACGCAAGGGGTATGTTCTGTAACTTTTTGCGTTATAGGATAGGGTAGGGCAGAGTAGGGTGGGGTAGGGTATGTTAGGTTAGGTAAAAGTACGATACGGTAGGGAATGATAAAGTTGGGTGGGTAAATGTATTTTTCTAAAGTTTTTTAAATGAAAAACGTCATTTTAGGTACCAATTCACCAAGACGTAATGGCTGGTATATTAGGAACAATGTCAGAACAGCACGTACCACGAAAGATGCCAACAAAACCACATAATAAGAAGATATTACTCACTAAGAAATATAACCAAAGGCCTTCGACAACAACATCTGAAGTAAGTTTTTCAGTAAAAAGTACAAAAACTTTCTTTACAATCTGAAAAACGATAGTTTTAAAGTCGCGTCAAAAAGAATCGACCTTTTTTGTTATATAAATACACAGAAAACTACCCAATTCTTTTTGACGCTTTAAGTTTATAGAGAAGGAAGATTTTGAAAAATATGGTCAAAAACTAAATAAAGCAGTCTTTTAGCTTTAGTTTGATTCATTTTTTGGTTTTTCTATAAACTTTGTGACCGAAATAAAACAATTTTAAGCCGCGCGTCAAAAAGAATTGATCCTTTTTGCTATATAAATATACTAAAAACTGATCAATTCTTTTTGACGCGCTTGACGTTTTGTAATTTTTCATCATAAGAAAGTGGAAAATGGTAAAAACTTTGTTTCCAGATTAAAATTAAATTTAATTTTGATCAATAAAAGCTGGGTTTTCAGAGCCATTTCACCACCACCTCATCCGGTGTACGTTCGTCAAGTAGTCCAGTTGTGTATTCACCTCAAGAAGCTAATGGATCCCAAGTTGATGAAAACACGTTGAATTCGTGGAAATCGAAGCAGATTTCGAATACAACTATCTCTGATGATTTTGACAAAAGTTCGGTTTTAAACACAAAAGAATTTGAGGATTATACGGATTGTGAAGAAGATATCAACTTGCCAATTACTGTACCGGACAAGAAGGACAATTTGGATCCAAATGAGGTAAGTTTTAAAAGTTGGTAATTTTTGTGGGTATAGGTAATTTTGGCCTTGGATAGAGCTATAGTAGAGTGGAAAATGGCACGGTGGGACTATTACTATGTTAAGTTCGAATAGTGTTATGGTAGGTTTGTGTTGTGTAGAGTAGGATAAGGTGTGATAAAGTACAGTACGGTAAGGAGGTGGTGTAGGGCTGCATAGGATTGTGTAGAATTGGGACAGGGGCGGGGGTGGAGTGAGGTACGGTAAACCAGGATAGAGCAGTATAGGGTAGAGTAGGGCAGGGAAGGGTATGTTAAGGTAAGGTACGTTAAGGTACGGCAGGGCACGAATGGGTAGGGTAGGGCTGCAGTGGGACTAACACGGTAAAGTAGGGAAAGCTAGGGTAGGGAAAGGAAGAGTAGGGTAGGGTAGGGTAGGGTAGGGTAGAGTAAGGTAGGGTAGGGTAGGGTAGGGTAGGGTAAGGTAAGGTAGGGTAGGGTAGGGTAGGGTAGGGTAGGGTAGGGTAGGGTAGGGTAGGGTAGGGTAAGGTAGGGTAGGGTAGGGTAGGGTAGGGTAGGGTAGGGTAGGGTAGGGTAGGGTAGGGTAAGGTAGGGTAGGGTAGGGTAGGGTAGGGTAGGGTAGGGTAGGGTAGGGTAGGGTAGGGTAGGGTAGGGTAGGGTAGGGTAGGGTAGGGTAGGGTAAAGTAGGGTAGGGTAGGGTAGGTCGGGTAGGTAGGGGGCTGTATAATATTATACTGTATCTTATAAATTGGGTAATAGGCTGTTAATTTCAAAATGGCAAGAACTTTCTTTACAGTGTTAAAAAACTTTTTTAGATTTACTTTTGCGCACGAGACATGGCCGGCATCGTACATAATATTGGAATTGATGGTGGAAAACAGCCGAATATGATAAGACCACCACGAAAAGACTTGAAATTGGTACCTAAAGTACCACCAGGACTAAAGCTGGCACCGCTTAAAATGTCGTCATATTATCCACAATATTCAGCAAAACCAAAGTTTGGTACTCAGGGAGCTGTTACTACGGTAAGATTGGGTTATTTTAAAATAGCAAGGACTTGAATACGGTAATGTTGAGTTACTGTAAATAAAAAAATGTCATTTTAGACACAAATGCACTCAAATGTAATGGCAGATGTGTTGCAAAGTGTTTCGATGTCACGAGATGCTAGGCTGTTCCCAGCCAAACCTCATCAAACCAACATCCTGATTAATAAACAAGAGGAGCAAAAGTATTCGGACGGTCAGAAAAATGGGGTAGGTTCATACTTAATATACTTGTTTTAATGTTAAGGAGGGGGTATGGTAAGTCAGGAGTTAGAGAAGGTAAAGTAGGGGTGGTTAAAGTAAGTAGGACAAAGTTATGCCTGAGGACTAGTTGAGGTAAGGCCAGTATAGCGCTAGAGTAAGGTAGGGTAAGATAATGTAGGACATGGGTGTGCAATAAAGCTACCGTAAGACTGGGGTAGGGTAGAAGAGTAGAGATTAGGTAGGGTAGGGTAGGGTAGGGTAGGGCAAGGTAGGGTAAGGTAGGGTAGGGTAGGGTAGGGCAAGGTAGGGTACGGTACGGTACGGTAAAGCAGGGTAGGGTAATGTAGGGTAGGGTAAAATAAACTACAATAATGTTACTTTCAGATGCAGAACCGGTCAAATGCTGCCGCTGATTCCCCGTTTGCCATGCCTCAGAAGTACAAAGCCAAACTGTGTAATTTGTTGTCTAAGTAGATAGATTTCTACTGCTATTTATAATTGACATTGTTGGCTTTTAAATAAATAATTATTATTTTGGCTTGATTTATTGTGTATTGTATTATTAAAAATGGATTTTTTTCAAAATAAAAAGTTTTTTTCTAATTTTTTTATTTCAAAAAATTTAAATTTTTAAAACTTTAAATATTTAAATATTGTGACATTCTCGACCTTTCCTTGAATTTAAAAATGCTATTTTTTAAAATTAAAATTTTTTTTTAATTTTTAAAAAATTTAAAAATTTTTAAATATTGTGACGTTCCTCACCTTTTTAATGGATTTGAAAATGCGTCAAACCTTTATCAAGTCTGTTCTGTGACAAACCTTTATCAGGTCACATCCATGACAAACCTTTTATCAGGTCACTGAGGCGATAAAACAAAGAAATCGCTGATGAAAGGGCGTTGACCTGAATTCGAACGTTATCTTCTGAATTAAAACGAAAATCTTTTACTTTTACTTTATTTTAGGTTCAGGTGAACTATATTTTACTATCAACTTTATTTTTACTTTACTTCAACCATTAAAAAGCCATAAAGTGCAAGCTAATTAAGATGTTGTACAAGGCCATTGGTGGGGCCACGATCATGATCGCCTCGGCGACCATGATCATTCAACTCGTTTTGATGCCATTGGTTTTGCAACAAACTGAGAAGATGCACTTGATGTTTGAAAGTCGACTGAAGAGGTTTCATGTGAGTATAATGTTATGCAGTGATATTATATTGTAGTAGATGGGTGTAGATCAAAATTTTTGATTTTTTTGATTTGGGAAGAAAGGTATTGCAATTTTTTGTTTTGTAAAGGAAGTTCTTGCCATTTTTTGTTTTGTAAAGAAAGTTCTTGCCATTTTTTGTTTTGTAAAGAAAGTTCTTGCCATTTTTTGTTTTGTAAACAAAGTTCTTGCCATTTTTTGTTTTGTAAACAAAGTTCTTGCCATTTTTTGTTGTGTAAAGAAAGTTTTTGCTATTTTTTAGCTTGTAAACAAAGTTTCTTCCATTTCAGCACGATGCCCGAGCCTTTGATGAGCAACTGAACCAACTTCGAAGCATCATACCAAATTCGAATGACAGAGTACGTCGTCAGTTGAATAATTGTCCACCGCCTACCCCTGGCCCACCTGGACTACCTGGATTGCCTGGAGAAGATGGCGAAGAAGGGAATGCTGGGTTTGATGGTCCTGCTGGGCTTGATGCTCAAGGCAAGTTTTAAAAATTTTTTATGGTTGTCGGTCAAAAAGTTCGTAGAAAAACAACTTTTCTTTTGATTACCGGTCAAAAAGTTTATAGAAAAATCAATTTTCACTACCTCCACATATTAACCATCCCCCTTTTCAGCCTTACTAATGGAAGAAGCCAGAAAATGTGTCATCTGTCCAGCCGGTCCACCTGGTCCAACTGGTCCACCTGGACCTCAAGGATACCAAGGCCGCGCCGGAAACAAAGGAAAAGTCGGTGAAGCCGGAAAAGACGGCTTCGACGGTGAACCTGGCCCAGAAGGCTTCAACGGACATCCAGGACAGCCTGGCAAAACCGGTAAAAAAGGTACCGATGGTCGCCCAGCTCAAGGTGGTACCGGTCCACCTGGACCAAAAGGTGGTAAAGGACCTATTGGTCCTACTGGTGCACAAGGACCACGAGGAAAGAGGAACTACGTGTACGGTCCACCTGGTCCCGAAGGTAAACATGGACCACGCGGCTACGATGGTCTTGAGGGTAAACCTGGAAGTCGAGGTGAGAAGGGCCCTAAGGGTGAGGCTGGTCTCAACGCCAAGTTCTGTCCTTGTCCTGGAGAACTTAAAAATGGCAAGCCTAAAAGTGGACTGGTACCGCAGGCTCAGTTTAGTCGAGAGACGGCTTCGAAAGAGCACCAAAGTCAAGAAAGAAGTGGTACTGGACAGATTAGTGGTACTAGTGGGCTAGAAGCACAAAATGTTGGTACTAGTAATGAAAATCAGTACCAAAATGAGCAAAAACAGTACCAAAACGAGCAAAAACAGCCCCAACTACCCCAACAACCACAAGAAGAATCTACCCTCCACGACAGTGATGCACCACCAGCACCATCTGCACCAACAAAACGCACCTTCGCTGCACCAATGGCTGAGCAAATTCTGGCCGCAGCTCCACCTGCTGATGCGGCACCACCAGCACCACGCAAGGACTACGAAGACTTCTACCCAAACTACGACCAAAACAAACGCAACGACTATGATGAAGATCATGTACAAGGTCAGAATGATGGTGCTGGTAGTCATAATGGTGCTGATAACGTACAACAAGATCAGGTTGTTGATGACCAACAACTCGAAGAGGTCGTGACGGAATCTCCAGAAGTCGACCAAACTTCACCAACTCAACGACGCTTCGTCTATGTTACCAAGAGGCCGCGGGCTGCTTAAATCTTGAAATTTGATTTGTAAAAATATTTTTTTAAAATTAAATAATAGTTCAGTAGAAATTGGCTTTGGTGAATACCCTAGGTTTTGCTTAGTAGCCTTAGGCTTAGCAGGCTTATATTCGTTAAGATTAAGCTTGGTAGGCTTAGCGTTCGTAGCCTTAGACTCAGTAATTTCAGGTTTAGTAGGTTTAGGCTTAGTAACCTTAAGGTTAGCAGGCTTAGGCTTACTAGACTTGGACTTAATAGGCTTAGGCTTAGTAAGCTTAGGCTTAGTAGGCTTAGGCTTAGTAGGCTTAGGCTTAGTAGGCTTAAGCTTAGTAGGCTTAGGCTTAGTAGGCTTAGGCTTAGTAAACTTAGGCTTAGTAGGCTTAGGCTTAGTAGGCTTAGGCTTAGTAGGCTTAGGCTTAGTAGGCTTAGGCTTAGTAGGCTTAGGCTTAGTAGGCTTAGGCTTAGGCTTAGGCTTAGTAGGCTTAGGCTTAGTAGGCTTAGGCTTAGTAGGCTTAGGCTTAGTAGGCTTAGGCTTAGTAGGCTTAGGCTTAGTAGGCTTAGGCTTAGTAGGCTTAGGCTTAGTAGGCTTAGGCTTAGTAGGCTTAGGCTTAGTAGGCTTAGGCTTAGTAGGCTTAGGCTTAGTAGGCTTAGGCTTAGTAGGCTTAGGCTTAGTAGGCTTAGGCTTAGTAGGCTTAGACTTAGTAGGCTTAGGCTTAGTAGGCTTAGGCTTAGTAGGCTTAGGCTTAGTAGGCTTAGGCTTAGTAGGCTTAGGCTTAGTAGGCTTAGGCTTAGTAGGCTTAGGCTTAGTAGGCTTAGGCTTAGTGAGGCTTAGGCTTAGTAAAGCTTAGGCTTAGTAGGCTTAGGCTTAGTAGGCTTAGGCTTAGTAGGCTTAGGCTTAGTAGGCTTAGGCTTAGTAGGCTTAGGCTTAGGCTTAGTAGGCTTAGGCTTAGTAGGCTTAGGCTTAGTAGGCTTAGGCTTAGTAGGCTTAGGCTTAGTAGGGCTTAGGCTTAGTAGGCTTAGGCTTAGTAGGCTTAGGCTTAGTAGGGCTTAGGCTTAGTAGGCTTAGGCTTAGTAGGCTTAGGCTTAGTAGGGCTTAGGCTTAGTAGGCTTAGGCTTAGTAGGCTTAGGGCTTAGTAGGCTTAGGCTTAGTGGGCTTAGGCTTAGTAGGCTTAGGCTTAGTAGGCTTAGACTTAGTAGGCTTAGGCTTAGTAGGCTTAGGCTTAGTAAACTTAGGCTTAGTAGGCTTAGGCTTAGTAGGCTTAGGCTTAGTAGGCTTAGGCTTAGGCTAGGCTTAGGCTTAGGCTTAGTAGGCTTAGGCTTAGTAGGGCTTAGGCTTAGTAGGCTTAGGCTTAGTAGGCTTAGGCTTAGTAGGCTTAGGCTTAGTAGGCTTAGGCTTAGTAGGCTTAGGCTTAGTAGGCTTAGGCTTAGTAGGCTTAGGCTTAGTAGGCTTAGGCTTAGTAGGCTTAGGCTTAGTAGGCTTAGGCTTAGTAGGCTTAGGCTTAGTAGGCTTAGGCTTAGTAGGCTTAGGCTTAGTAGGCTTAGGCTTAGTAGGCTTAGGCTTAGTAGGCTTAGGCTTAGTAGGCTTAGGCTTAGTAGGCTTAGGCTTAGTAGGCTTAGGCTTAGTAGGCTTAGGCTTAGTGAGGCTTAGGCTTAGTGAGGCTTAGGCTTAGTAGGCTTAGGCTTAGTAGGCTTAGGCTTAGTAGGCTTAGGCTTAGTAGGCTTAGGCTTAGTAGGCTTAGGCTTAGTAGGCTTAGGCTTAGTAGGCTTAGGCTTAGTAGGCTTAGACTTAGTAGGCTTAGGCTTAGTAGGCTTAGGCTTATTAGGCTTAGGCTTAGTAGGCTTAGGCTTAGTAGGCTTAGGCTTAGTAGGCTTAGGCTTAGTAGGCTTAGGCTTAGTAGACTTAGCCTTAGTAGGCTTAGGCTTAGTAGACTTAGGCTTAGTAGGCTTAGACTTAGTAGGCTTAGTCTTAGTAGGCTTAGGCTTAGTAGACTTAGGCTTAGTAAGCTTAGGCTTAAACGTCTTAGGCTTAGTAGGCGTAGATTTAATAGGCTTAAGCTTAGTATGCTTAGACTTAGTAGTCTTAGGCTTAGTAATGTTAGGTTTAGTAGGCTTAAGCTTAGCATGCTAAGACTTAATAGGTTTAAGTTAAGTAAACTTGGGTTTGATTGCCTATAGTTTTTTAGGATTAGGTTTAGTAGCCTTAATTAAAAAATATAATAACAAAAATTTTAAAATTTGAAAAATGCCATTTTTAACATTAAAAAAAATTAAAATTTCAAAATGAAATAAAGATTTCATTTTGTTTGGTATTGTCACATTTCTCAAGCGTAGACCGGTCGGTTTTTTGATAAACCATAAAGAAAACGTAAGTCCTTTGACTAATTTATGTGATTTTTCCTCTCTATATACTTTTTGACCTTTGATGTCAAAAATCTATTTGTCTATGAACTTTTGGACCTAAACATGATAAATTTTTAATTTCTATAAACTTATTGACCACTACTTTTCAGCCGAATGGCTTCGCCAGCTGAAATACCGCAAATGCAAGCGGAATTAAAATGGGAATTGAAGGAAAGGTTCTGGACTAGTGATAATGTAACCGTACACATTTATTACTCACAGATTGATCCGGTAAGGCTTTTATTTTTATTGTTTTTTAATTTTAAAGTTAGGCTTAGACTTGGAGTTAAGCTTAGTTTAGGCTTAGCTTAGCTTAGACTTGAAATTAAGCTTAGTTTAGGCTTAGCTTAGGCTTAGAGTAAGCTTAGCTTAGGCTTATCTTGGGCTTAGTTTAGGCTTAGCTGATGCTTAGGCTTATTTTAGGCTTAGCGGCTTAGGCTTAGCTTAGGCTTGGCTTAGGCTTAACTTAAGCTTAGCTTAGGCTTAGCTTAGGCCTAGCTTAGACTTAGCTTAGGCTTAGCTTAGGCTTAGAGTAAGCTTAGCTTAGGCTTATCTTAGGCTTAGTTTAGGCTTAGCTTATGCTTAGGCTTACTTTAGGCTTAGCGGCTTAGGCTTAGCTTAGGCTTGGCTTAGGCTTAACTTAAGCTTAGCTTAGGCTTAGCTTAGGCCTAGCTTAGACTTAGCTTAGGCTTAGCTTAGGCTTAGGCTTAGCTCAGGCTTAGCTTAGGCTTAGCTTAGGCATAGCTTAGGCTTAGCTTATGCTTAGCTTAAGCTTAGTTTAGGCTTAGCTTAGGCTTAGCTTTCTTAAGCTTAACTCTGTTTTATAACTTTCATACTTTCAGAACGCCGTCTTGTACAATATCAAGTCCGATACCATCCGTGTCCTACTGAAACGCACCAACACTACCGCGTCGCTGATCCTCAGAGATCGATCCAAAAACACAATTATCCATTACTTGCACGCTGAATTGTAATTTTATTCGTTTTTCGAAATGGAACAATGTATAAATGGCATTAAGTGAAAAATCACGGGTTTTGATGACAAAAAATTGGATATCTCGGTCAATAAGTTTATAGATAATTTGAAAAATATATCAAACTGAAGATTAAAGACTGTTTTAACTACTTCTTGACCAAAATTGTAAAATTTCATTTTTCTACAAACTTTATGACCAAAAAACCCAAGCGCGTCAAAAAGAATTGGTCGTTTTTCAATGTATTTATATAACAAAAGTGATCAATTCTTTTTGACGCAGCCAAGTTTTTTGTCATAAATTTCGTAAAACTGTCATTTTTAGCTTGACTGGCAGAAAAGTATGTAGAACAGTCTTTTAGCTCACGAGTGGTGTATACCTCGCTTTTTCTATAAACTTTTGCACCGAGATATGAAAGGTTTTGACGCAAGACAGTAATGCAAGGTAATATAAAACAGTATAATAAGTGATGATAAAGAATGGCATAGGTTGACTAAAATGTTTTAAAAAAATCGTTTTAAAGTGAACTTTTAAAATTTAAATTTTGAAAAATGACTAAATTTACATAATTTTCGGTATAAAGATAACAAATATTGTAGTACATTAGCTAAAACACTGAAATAAAGCTCTAATCTACAACAATATCCCCTTCCATTTTAACGTTGTTCAAACAAAATCCACCTCCAAAGTCGGAGATCAAGGATTCTGGTGATTGTGACAGTTTCCTTCGTACACAAACCTGCTCCTTGTGTTTGTTTAGGTAGCTTTTCAAGGCGAAACTCTTGTGGCAGTTGTTACATTTGAACTTTTTTTCACCTGGAAATTGAAAATGTTTTAAATTTGAAATAATTTTTCGTAAAATGCATTTTTCTAAGAATTTTTTTGACTGAAAATCCATGTTTCTACGAACTTTTTGACCTAAACACATAAAATCCATTTTTCTACAAATTTTTTGACCGCAAATCAAAAAAATCTATTTTTCTACAAATTTTTTGACCGCAAATCAAAAAAATCAATTTTTCTACGAATTTTTCGACCAAAAATCACAAAACTCATTTTTCTACAAACTTCTTGACCAAACATCATAAAATGCATTTTTCTATGAACTTTCTGACCAAAAAACATAAAATGCACTTTTCTACGAATTTTTTGACCAAAAATCCTAAAATACATTTTTCTACGTACTTTTTGACCAAAAATCATAAAACTCATTTTTCTACAAACTTCTTGACCAAACATCATAAAATGCATTTTTCTATAAACTTTTTGACCGAAAGTCATAAAACGCATTTTTCAAAAATATCAAACCAAAAATGGTCATAACTCATTCTACAAGTCCCTAATACCACGGTTATTGATCACGGCTTAGCATCAACAATGTCAAAATGCGCGTTTTTATGTCAAAAGGATTAAAATCTCGTATTTTGCGGCAATTTCAAGAAAAAACGCGTCTATAGGGCATGTTTGAAATTGGCAGTTGTACTCTTATTTATTAACGTAACTGTTTTGGGATTAACGTGACAACAACGACATAGACATCATGACAGTTTTGAGTTCGGTCAAATTTTTTAGGCTGAGGTCAAAAACTTTATGGAAAAATCATTTTTTACTGTTTTCGGTCAAAAAGCTTATAGAAAAATCAATTTTTATTAATTTCCGGTCAAAAATTTTATAGAAGTTTTATAGGAAAATAATTTTTTTTTAAATCTCATTTTTCATTTTAAAAACCCACCAGTATGAGTGTGCATGTGTGCCCTCAAATTCGACCGGTCGGCGAACGCTTTCCCACAATGCGCACATCGATAGGGCTTTTGGCCGGTATGAGAGCGCATATGGTTCTTCAAAAGCCATCGACGACTGAACAACTTGCCACAATCTTCACATTTATGTTGAGCGTCGTGGGTTAGGAGGTGCATGCTGAAAAGAAATGGCATTAAAAAAAATTTCAAAATTTTTTTTGATTTTGATAAAAATAATTTAAAATTTTTAAATAATAAGGTCTTTCAAATAATTCTGTGCTCCCAACTTTAAAAATTTGCTTTGAATGGAGGCTCAGAATTATTTGAACAAAATAATGAAAAATTTGAAGAAAAACCGTCATTTTTTAAAAACTAAAAAAAATTTTAAAAAACCAGAAAATGAATTTTAAAAAGCATTGAAATAAACATATTTTCCCAAAGTTTCAAGTCAATGTTGTAATGCATAGCAAAGTTACATTCATTTGAAAATGTCAAAAATCAAAAAAAGTTCGAATCCTTCCAGAAAATAGAATTTTTAAAATAGTATTTCCCTCCTTACTCTGCCCTACTGCCATGCCCAATCAAAAAGTCATATCATAACTTATTAGTATGTATACATAATAGGTATTAGCCCAATCCTAAAAGATCAAGCATTTCAAAATTTAATTTAGCCAGCCACGCGAAAACGAGCTAGATAAAATACCAACCTTGGTTGGAACTTATAAGCTCGATCGAACGACAAGTTTGAGTTCAAGTCAATCAAGAGGAAGTTGCTTTTTAATTGGGTTTCCCTTAAAACGAGAGAAAAGAGACGGAAAGGTAATAGGAGAGAAAGAGAGAGAGAAAAAAGAAAGGCAGATTAGTATTGTAGGTCACAGTGGAGACAAAATGGCTAATATCTTGACGGATCCTTGATAAAAAAAGCTGATTTTTTGTGTGATGGTGTAGAAGTACAGTGTGAACAATATATATAAGCCCATATTTTGATTTTTCAAACCTAACTTTTTAAATTCAAAAAAGAAACTTGAGTCCCTGGTGAACAAGATGCAGGAAAAATAGTCGATATCTTGGCCAATTTTTAAGTAAAACGGTCGATTTTTCAAAGATATATATGTCAATTTATCAGACAATATACTGCTTTTTATGCTCTATAGAACCAACAACACGATTTCTCAAAAAAACTTATATTATAGTAGATACACCCACATTAACCTACCCAAGTGCCGCGTTAGAAACATAAACTCTTCCACAGAATTTGCAAGGCTTGGCGTAGGGTGAATCCAGCGGCCGATGAGTTTGTTTATGCCGTGACAAGTTACTACTGGTCGCATAACTTCTACCACATTCCGAGCAAACGTGTCGACTGGTCGATTCTGTGTCGGGAGATCTTTTGCACCGCCCGTCCGAAATGTGCAAGTCTTCGGCGGTGTAGTTTTTGAAAACGTCATTTTCGATCGATTTCTCTTTTGGCGATGAAGATGGCACGGATTTGAGGAGCTCGTCAATTGAAAATGAGGTTGGTGAGCGAGTGTTGACGTTTTCTACCTAAAATATTTTTCTTAAATTAATTTTTTTTTCATTTTGAATTGTTTTTAGCTTTAATTCTACCATAACATTCATTTTTTCATCAACTTTTTCAATCTGAACTTCAAAATTCAATACAATTTGAAAGTTACAGTAGTTTTATATGCAAATTTCAACCTAATTTTGTCCCTTTCATTTTTTCATTTTCTCACTTATTTTTTATAAAAAATTTGTGTTTACTCCACAAGCTTTTGGCAAGTTTGTTTTGTAAACACAAACCTATGATAATCCTTTTGCGGCACGACGGAACCGGCTCATAACTCGTACTCAAAAAGGAAATGGACCATTTCTTCGTCAAAAAACGCAACAATTAGGTCTTCAGGACGTTGGTACAACAAAATAAGCCGCGGCAGACTAATTTTGGCAAAAAAATTTTAAGTTTAAAAAAAATTTTTAAATTTAAATTACTATAATTTTTAAATTTTTTGAAAGTTCAACAAATTTTTCAAGCCTCCAAACTCATTTTTAAAAAGTTATATTCAAAAAACCTTTAATTTTTAAACCGCGTCAAAAAGAATTGCTCTTTTTTGCTATATAAATACACTGAAAATCGCCCAATTCTTTTTGACGCGCTTTGCTTTTTTGGTCAAAAAGTTTGTAGAAAAAGGAAAAATTATAAATACGGTCAAAAAATAAATAGATATAGCCTTTAGCTTTAATTTGGCACATTTTTAAATTTTTCTATAAACTTTTTGACCAAAATAAAAACTTTTTCTTTTGACGACAAAGATGGAACTTTTTGACCAATATAAAAATCAAAAAAATTTTTTTTTAAATGTTACGGTTTATTATGTCAAAGAATACTTACCTTGATTGACTGGTGTATTTTACAGCTAGGAGATAGTGGTTGGATTTGTAACAATGGTAGGGCTCCAGGTGAAAATACTTTACTTTTTTGTTGTAGTAGCCATTGTAAAGCTTCAGAGTTAAAAATTTTAAATTTATGACTTTTTTATGCCTAATTTGTGAAAATTTTAAAAACTTTTTAAGTTTGGTCAAAAAGTTTGTAGAATTTTGATCTATTAAAAGCTTGGACGTTATGCCAGTTTTAAATCAACTTTTTACCCAAAAGCGTAAAACTTAAAATTTCTACGAATTTTTTGACCGATACTCATCATAATTTTTAAAAAAAATAATTTTTTTTTTCATTTTAAAGTGCCAAAACTTGTTCGAAATCACTTGAGCACGAGAAATAAAATTGATTTCGTGCCGACTGCCACTTCATAGCTGAATGACTTACAATACAAAGTGTTGAGCTGTTGCTGGAAGTTCGCTGGATTGGCCAAGTTTTTCATTAATTCGCCCAGAGGGTACTCCATCTTTTAAAAATTTCTGAAATTTTAAAATTTAAAACTAATAACATGAAGTGTAAAGAAAGTTATTCCGGATTATGAAAAAAAAATGCGTTTGTAAAGAAAGTTATTGCGGATTTGAACAAATTTTTGAAAAGAAAGTTTTTGCGATTTTTCAAAAAGTATTTTTGTAAAGAAAGTTCTTGCGTTTTTTCAAAAACTATTTTGTAAAGAAAGTCCTTGCGTTTTTTCAAAAATTATTTTCGTAAAGAAACTTCTTGCGGTTTTTGCACTGTGCAATGAATTTTATCATTTTGCACTGTGCAAGCGACTTTTTAGTGGAAAAAAGTGGCTGCACGGTGCAATCAGCTTTACAGTGCGAAAAAGTGGCTGCACGGCGCAATACTACATTTATATGAAAACACAAAATAATTTTGTAAAAAAAGTTCTTGCAGTTAAAAAAATAATTTCAAAACTCCCCTTCCTTCTTCCCTAAGCCAGAAAAGTCCTTAAAATATGGCCCAAAGTTTATAAAAGACCATATGACAATCGGATGACAATCTGGAGACTGTCAACTCATTTCGACCCTGAGGGAATATGCTTCAAAATCAAAATCTATTATGATCTGGTAATGTCAAGATCCCAAACTTTTTTAGGAAGATAAAGTGGTGTTGATATTATCATAAACTTTAAAAAAATTGGGCGGGGTAAAAAAATTTTATTTTTTTGGAGGGGGGGATACTTTTTTTATTTTTTAAAATGAACCAAAAACTAAAACCCAAAAAAAAATAATAAAAAACTTAAAAAAACGACCCCCCCCACACTTCTTAAAAAAATTACCCCACCTAAACATTTTTTTTGCCATGCCCGATTAAAAAATAAAAAACCATAACTACAGTACCCCCAAAACCACCACCGGATGGATGAGAAGCAGGCAATTTTTGTTTCAGATTTGTCTCGACCGGTCAATCTCGGGCCGCTTATGCAATCTCGACCTCTCGACTCCGCCCACTATTTTGAAAAGCTTATGGACATGACAACAAGCATTGACGGTGGTGGCGTAACAAATGGCTTCAGGAAAGGAGAGGAAGAGTACTGTACTTATAAGCAAGGTTTTGGTTGGAGTTTTTTAATATTTAAATAAGTTTCAATTAATTTTTTTTTGACATTTTTAAAGAGATGGAACTTTGCCAAACCTTTAGATATGAGTACAAAATTGACAGGATATATACACAATGATGCGTTTTACAAATGTGATATAACAACTGTTTTAAAAAAATCAAAAAAAAATTTTAAAATTTAAAAAAAAGGCTGTTAAAGTTCAGTCGGATTCGAACTTTTTTGGATTTTCGACGTTTTCAAACAGATGTTACTCAGCCAAACCTTGAAATAATAGTATAAAATTTTTAGGATACATACAGTTGCACACGCTTTACAAAGTTTGTTCAACAAATTGGTAAACTATTTTAAAAAAGTTTGAAAAAATTAAAAAATGTTACAAGTGCCTAGCCGGATCTGAACTTTTTTGGATTTTTGACATTTTCAAACAGATGTAACTCAGCTAAACCTTAAGATATTAGTATAAAATTCACAGAATGCATACAGTGTGGTATGCTATACAAAATTTTTTCAAAATTTTTTAAAAATTTGCATAATTTTTTTAAAAATGAGATAATACGGTAAAGTTGCTATATCCTTTTTATCAATTTTCTACCTCCTACCCTATTAAATTGTAAAAAATTTAAACTAATTAATTAAATAACAATTTCAATGACAAAATTTAAAAACACAAATTTTGACCCAAGATATAAAAATTTATATTCGATATACATGTATAATATAACTCAGAATTAAGTGTAATTCGTTCTAATCCGATTTGATATTCATGTAATCTCCTTCGTTTCATCGTTTTGCGCACTCTCTTCTCCGATCCGATGACCTGTTGACCAGGGTATTGGCAATACACTTGTAATTGAGAACACTTGAAGATACGAACATACCGTGTAAGAGGCTACTGCAGTGAGAACATGGCGGATGAATGCTGATGAGGCGGAGTGGTGGGGGGGGAAGGGGGGGGGGTAGTAAATTAAAGAAAGGAAAGAAGGCGAGGAGAGTGATGAAAAGTGTAGGAGAGGAGCAGAGGGGGGGGGGGGGTGGTAGAATTGCATAGTATATATAAGGGTAGGGTAGGGTAGAGCTTTGTAGTGTACGGTAGGGTACGGTAGAGCGATGTAGTATACGGTAGGGTACGATAGAGCGATGTATTATACGGTAGGGTAAGGTAGGGTAAGGTAGGGTAGGTTAGGGTAGGGTAGGATATGTTAGGGTAGGGTAGGGGAAGGTAGGGTAGGTTAGGGTAGGGTACGGTAGGGTACGGTAGAGCTTTGTAGTGTACGGTAGGGTACGGTAGAGCAATGTAGTATACGGTAGGGTAAGGTAGGGTAGGGTAGAGTAGAGTAAGCAAGAACTTTCTTTCCACTCTGTTTGAGAAACTCATTAAGGCCACTTGACTCAATATTGACCGAGCATCTCGGCCTTATTTGACACCTTGTTGAAGCTAATGTACACACCGTAATAAGGTTTAACAGATGGTTTGAGTTGGATTACGCAAACAAATTGGATTTTCATTTTTTGGTCAAGAATTACATAGAAAAAAAATTTTAAATTTCAAAAAAAAATTTTTTTATGAAAATTTGAATTTTTTCCCCATCTTCAATATAAAATGTCATTTTGAATAAATGGTGCGCATTTAATGTCATGCTCACGATAAGCCTTTTAATGCTTTGTCATAAGTTAAAACAAGGGATTAAAATTTTACGCCAAAAATTTACGACAATGTCAATTTTGGGCTTGTCTGAAAAGAGTTTAAAAATGTCAAAAAATTTTTTAAAAAATTAACAACATTTTTGATGTTCAGCCTGCTAGTGACATGTTATACAACGAAATATGCTAAAGGAGACATAAATCTAGCAAATTTTTACATTGCAGCCTCATCTTATACGATGAGTAAACACCGAATTTGGTGAAAACATTTTTTTTGGATCTAAAAGTTAAAAAATAAAGAAGTGACAAAGTAAATTGACATTAGCACTTCAAACCCATCCTGAACTCCTCTCTTCTATTATGTTATGTTATAGTGGCACTTAACGGACGGATCCTAATTACTTCACGTTGTGCCAATCGAAATAGCTCTTAGCCTAACAAAAAGACATTTACTGGTCAAAAAGTTTGTAGAAATTGAAATTTTTTAACTGACAAGCATATAAAGAAGCATCTAGCTATCTTAGAAAGCATCAAATTACTGTAGGATTCACGAAGATGGCCATGGAAGGACAGGTGCGCCATATAACGCAACATTCAGTTATGTCCGGGTCACAATAGCAATAAATCATAGCCAATTAAGCGAATGGAAATGGCAACATTAGCTCCAATTTGTCATTAAATTGTTTCTATAATTTATTTCACCTAGCCTTAGTCCTGATCCTAGCGATAGCCTTGCACTTAGTCTTAACTAGTTTTTTTTAAATTGAGCTTGAGCCTGACGTTGACCTTGAGCTTGAACTAGAGCTTGAATCTTAGCCTTAACTTTATCTTTAGCTTGAATTGATTCTGAACTTAAGCCTAAGCCTGAACTTAAGCCTGAGCCGGAGCCTAAGCCTGAACTTAAGCCTGAGCCGAAGCCTAAGCCTGAGCTTGAGCCTAAGCCTAAGAGCCTAAGAGCCTAAGAGCCTGAGCCTGAGCCTGAGCCTGAGCCTGAGCTTGAGCCTGAGTCTGAGCCTGGGCCTAAGTCTGAGCTTGACCCTGAGTCTGAGCTTGAGCCTGAGCCGAAGTGAGCTTGAGATTGTGTTAGAGCCTGTGTCGGAGTCTGTAAACTTGACTCAAACTTTAATCTTAACCAATCATTTTTTTACAGTAAAATCTTTAAAACCCAACATAAAATACAGTAACCGCTTCTCCAAAACTCTTTGTTTTTTACTTTATTAATACGATTATTTGTTTATTCAGTGCCAAAACATGATACGACAAAGATTTGTCGAAGCGGAACCCCGAATCAAAAGAATATTAATTAAGATGGCCATAAGGACAGGCCGCGCGGCTTGCGCAACCAATCGCTGTGGGAGTTCGAGGCGGTTCATTTGAGGTCATTCTAATGAGATTCATGACATTTCAAAGAAAATCTGTTATGTAATCGTTGTGCCTACAAAAGGCGGTACGGTAAATATGAGTTTTGTGGATTAGCTTCTGCTTTTTTGTTGACCGGTCGGTTGATAGAAAGTGAAGGTACGGTTAAAGCTGAGGCTATAAGTAAGGCTGGAGATAAGGCTGAAGTTGAGGCTAGAGTTAAGGATTTGGAGCTAGGGCTTTGGAACGAGAGCTCTGGGGCTAGGCTTAGACTTAGGCTTAAGCTTAGGCTTAGACTTAGGTTTGGGCTTAGGCTTAGGCTTATCCTTAAGCTCCAGCGTAGACTTCGGCTTAGACTCAGGCTTACACTTAGGCTTTAGCTTTGGCTTTGGCTTAGGTTCAAGCTCAGGCTTAACTGAAACTCAAATTTAACTTCAGGCTCAGGTGCAGGCTAAGAATAAAGTAATGGTTATGACTGTGGATAAGGCTAGCGTGCTAGCATTAGAACCAAAGATACGGCTAGAGTTATGGCTATCATAGAGCAGTTGAGTGAAGTAGCCCTAGCGTAAGTTTAAAACTTGAGCTAGTCCTAATTCAAACTTTACCTACTCTCCACCTGCACTGTACATAACAAGTGCATGTTGTGTATCAACACGCTCTAATAGCAGGTTTCATTTCTAATCCCTGCTCATCCAACGTCTCAATTTGGCACAAGTGACCGTTGCGCAACATGACGTAATTCGTGCCAAAATGAGCGAACATCTGCCCCAAACCGAAGAATCATGCGCAGCGGAGAGAAATCAGTTTGTAAAGAAAATTATTGCACGGCGATCAAATTTTGGTGTATTGTTTGTCATTCTTTATTGAATTATCCCACCAAGCTTTACGACTATTATATTACCATGGCATCGTATGGTGCCATTCAATTTCTTGTTGAGTTAAGAAGGTCATGAGGCGTTGATTGGGCAGGAAAGAATAAAAATTTTTTAGTTTTAAAGTTTATTAAATTGACTTTATATACATACAATAATGACCAGAGGGGTGAAACTAAGAGGGGGGGGGAAGAAGAGTAAAAAAAAAGGTGATAAGGGAACAGGACGAGGAGATAAGAAAGGGGAGTAGGGAGGATGAAAAAGAAAAGAAAAAATGGGGGGTGAGAAAGAATGGGGAGGGGGGTTAAAAAAACGAAGGGAGGGGGGGGGGTGAAAAAGAAGAGAAAGGTGGGGGATAAGAAATACTGGGGAAGGAATTAAAAAAAAGGGGGGGGGGAGGGCGAATAAGGTCTGGCGGGGTAAGAAAGGGGAGGGGAAGATGGGGGCGGGGGTAAAAAAGAAATAGGGCGGGGGGGGGGAGGAAGGGGAGGGGAGACATCTTTATTTTAAAAAATTTTTTTTTAGTTTGGGCCTACTGAGTGTTTTGCCTAGACTTTGTTTCAAGCCTAGTCCAGCTATTTTTAAGCCCTAGTCCAGCCTGGCCAAATCTCGCGCGGGCTTAGTCCGGACAATGGTTCGGACTGTACTGTCCTAGGCAGGCAAAAACACTGGGTCTAGCCTCCTCTTCTGTTAATTGTCAAAAAAAATGTTACCCCCCCCTCTCGCCTCTTCTACTCTCTGCTTCTCCCCCTCCCCCTCCCTTTCTTTCTCTCCTTCTTGCCCTCTCTATCTCTCTCTTATCCTCCCTCTCTATCTCTCACTCTCTTGAACTCTCTCCTTCCTCCTCAAACCAAAATCACATGACCGGCAGTACATACAATACAATAAATAAGCTACAGTAAAGTTACAGTAATAAAAAAAATTTTTGGTCTACTTTCCAATAGCGAACGGATTGGTACGTTGATTCATTCTCATTTCACGTTGTTTCCGCGACGAAACTTCCTCGTTCATCAATGGAATGGCATCGCTTTGGACGGCTTGGACTTGTGGGTATTTACTCACTAAATTTATATTATATGACAGTATTATTTGGTACTAAGTTGATTTTTTTACAATATTTAAACTAGACTTACATTCCTTTTGGCAAGCCGAAGTTCTCTTCAAGTATATGTTGGTATAGGGCACGTAAATTGGCTTTTGAACATCAATTAGATCATAATATTCACAGGAAAACACAGATCGACCGCCGACAAAGCCATAAACTGCCATTTTACAAGCCTAAAGATAACATCGTATTTTAAGAAAAAATTTAAAAAAATCTCACCCTAGCCCTAGCCCAGAGCCCTAGCCCAGAGCCCTAGCCCAGAGCCCTAGCCCAGAGCCCTAGCCTTAGCCAGAGCCCTAGCGCAGAGCCTTAGCCTTAGCCTTCGCCTTAGCCTTAGCTTATCTCTAACCTAAAGCCGTAGCCTAAAGCACCAGCCCAAAGCCCTAGCCAGAACCCTAGCTTAGAGCCCTAGCTCAGAGCCTAGCCCCTGTCCTAGTTCAGAATGCTAACCCAAAGCCTTAACCCAGAGTTCTAGCTCAAAGCCCTAGCCTTAGCCTTCTTTGTCCTCTCTACCCCGTCCCTCGCTTAGCCCTCTGTAGACTTATCTAGCTCCCCTTAGCCTTCCCTAACCTTCCCTAGCTCTAGCTTCAGGCCTAGCTATAACCCTACATCCTACCTTTACGTTAGTCTTCTTTAAACCGGACCTTGTCTCAGTCCCAGCCTAGTCTTTAATAAAAAGATTTAAAATTTAAAAAAGACTTACCGAGTCCTGCAAACACCCAGCAAGACATTTGTCTTCAGTTATGTCGTATGAATGGGAAGCTACTTTGAATGGCATTCTGCCCATACCAACATCTCTGTCAGTATATTCAATAAAGCAGCCACAAAGGGCACAAGGCTCTCCGAAGTGGTCTGAAATGGCAAAAATTTTTAAAAAAATGTCAAATGGCCTACAGGGTTAGGTATAAACATCAAAATGCAAAAACTTTGTTTACAAAAAAAATTATTTTTACAAAACGCAAAAACTTTCTTTACAAAAAAAGACTTACTTTCTCTGCTGACTGCTCCATTTACAGACAAGGCTGTTAGAAGTACCAATAAGACCAGTTTCATCTAAAAAATTTTAGAAAATCATTTATAAAATTATTAAGAGCCGACATAAAGAACCCGCCATTTTTTACAGGAAATTACAGGAAAATGGCGGGTTCTTTATGTCGGCATCTAATGACCCAAAACATAAAAAAATTGTTTTTCTATAAACTTTTTGACCGTAATCAAAATTTTTTTAAAATTATTTTTAAAAATTAAAGAGTTTTTTTTTGAAATTGAAATATTACGTCTCGACATAAAGAACCCGCCATTTTTTACAAGAAGTTGCAGAGAAATTATGGCGGGTTCTTTATGTCAGCGCCTAATATTTCAAAAAAAATTTTTTTAAAATATTTTGACCTAAAACATAAAAAAATGTTTTTCTATTTAAACTTTGCAAAATAATTTTTAAAATCTAAAAAAAAACTTTTTCTATAAACTTTTAGACCAAAAAACTGCATTTCTATAAACTTTTGGGCTACCCGACTTAACGAACCCGCCATTTTTTACAGGAAATTACAGGGAAAGTATGGCGGGTTCTTTACGTCGGCCTCTAATATTTCAAAAAAAAATTTTTCATTTGAACATTATGACCCAAAACCTTAAAAAATAGTTTCTCTATAAATTTTTTGACCGTAAGTAAATTTTTTTACAAAAATTAAAAAATTTTTAAAAAATTAAAAAAAATTTTTTTTTCTACAAACTTTTAGACCAAAAACCCAAAAAAATAGCATTTCTATAAACTTTTAGACCATATTCAAATTTTTTTAAAAAATTAAAAAAAAATTTTTTTTTAACTAAATTTAAAAATTTTTTCTACAAACTTTTAGCCCAAACATTCCAAAAAATTAAATAAATCACCGTGCCCAATTAAAAAGATGACAAACTTACCTCAAATCAACCAGAAAACGTTATCACAGCGGTCGACAAGCTTACAATGGCGCCGCTTTTAAACCGATACCGGATCCGAATCAGGGTCATTACGCGTTTCGAAAAGATCGAGTTTGAAACAAAAAACACGTTTGTGGCATGGCTTTTGACGTTATGTCAAGGTTCACGGCTTTTGAAGGCATGTCAAGGTTCGAAATACGAAATTTTTTATTTAAAAACAGTTATTATTACTGTAGCTTTTATTAGGTGCCCTGCCCTGCTCTACCCTACCCTAGCCTACCCTACCCTACCCTACCCTACCCTACCCTACCCTACCCTACCCTACCCTACCCTACCCTACCCTACCCTACCCTACCCTACCCTACCCTACCCTACCCTACCCTACCCTACCCTATCCTACCCTACCCTACCCTACCCTATTTTTAATTTAAAAACAGTTATTATTATTGTAGCTTTTATTAGGTGCCGACATTAAGAGCCTGCCATACTTTTCCTGTAATTTCAAGTAAAAAATGGCGGGTTCTTTATGTCGGCACCCAATAAAAGCGGGTAAAGCTAAACTAGGATAAATTTCAGGTATAATCCACATCATTTTATTAATTTTAATTTTAGCAGTTTCTTTTGTTGGATTACAATAGATTATTTTTCATTATTAGATTTATATAATGTTAAAGTATGTTTCACACCATATATAACTTTTTTATAACATTCTAAACCTTTTAATAAAGATGCCATACCAGGATTATTAATATTTTCTACTAAATTACCATTTAAAGCATACGAAGCTCTTTCAAATAAAAACATAGGACTATTATTAGTTAAAGTTGAATCTTGGAGACACTGTTATGGATAAGGTTTGAGGTTTTTGATATTGTAGTAGGGCTATGAGTTAGGTGAGGTCAGAAGAGTTAATATTGAGATTTTGAGCTTATTTATATTGCTAATGGGTCTTTTGGAGCTAGGGGGTCAAAAGTTGGACAATATAAGAGAAATGCCTATGCGACAATAATGTTTATATGTAAAACACGATGTTTTGGTACAAAGATGGTACAGAAAAATTTTATTTCAAAACAGAAACAATAAGAATTGGTCAGTCGAGCATCACTTTTAGACGAGTACAAGGCCATGTAGCGGTCAGATTCCCAATTCCTCGTCCGGCTTCCCTTGTTTCTGAAACAGGATAATATAAGTTTCTGATTAAAAAAAAAAGGAACCAATAAAATAAAATTTTCGGAGTCATCTCCTTATGACTTAAATAAAAAATAGCTTAAGATTATCAAAATTTTACCTTTACTGATTGTCATAACTAATTGACTTGACATTGGTATATGAAGTGTTTTTGTTGGAAATTAAGCGAGGTGCAAAATCCGCAGTATACTTCTTCACATTGTACTGAAATTTGTTTGTAAGTAAGTAAAAATGTGATAATTATGCTTATCTTGGGGTGAGGGTTTGTTAACTTACCTTTTGCCTGGATTCGTTGACTTGGCAGTTGTTGGAGAAGGTGAGCGATCTTTCGAATTCTTCGTTTTCTCTTCTATGTTCAAAACGCGCCAGTAGTAAAACGACGTTACAAAATATAAGTTGACCGATCGGGACGAGAATGTTTGAGAAATGAAATTCGGATTCAGACGGTTCAATTTATGCAACTTGAATTTTGGGAAAATTGGAACTTTTTCGGTCTAAAAGTTCTTTTGGTCAAAAAGTTTATAGGAAAAATTGATTTTCGTTTTTATTGGTCAAAAAATTTATAGAAAAACCGGTTTTTTTGTCGGTAAGTTTGTAGAAAAATAAATTTTTGCTTTTATCGGTCAATAATTTTAAAGAAAAATGCAGTTTTTGGCTTCATAGGTCAAAAAGTTTATAGAAAAATCATTTATTTGATTTGCTGGTCAATAAGTTCATAGAAAATAAATTTTTATTAATTTTGAGATAATTCTATACACTTTTGGACCAGAAAACTAATTTATTTATCCAATTTTTTAATTTTAAAATTTATATTTTTCAGAAAAAACGCTAGCAGAAGGCCCAAAGCACGTTGACATCCTGAATGAACGTGAACGAAAGCTGTACTTGGCCATTCTACAACCATCAAGGGTGACAGACTTAAAAAGGCCTCTGCCAACAAGAAAATCAAGGGAATGTCCTTCGAGGCGATAAGAGTGGTACTGAAAGAGCACGGTGTTAGTCCTTTGGCCGCTGACTTCATGGGCACGGTAAGATTTTTGATTTTTTTTGGTTTTCCAGGATGTGGGTGACATGTTATACGAAGGACCGTGTTTTCTGTTTTGTAAAGAAAGTTCTTGCCATTTTTGACTTGTAAAGAAAGTTCTTGTCATTTAGGTATACGAAGTGAGTAAATCAGCCGAGGTCAAGGAAGACCCACAATACTTTGTGCCATTTGTCGTTGGATCCTTCATGTTATTGGAAGCTTCAGAAACGGAATTGGTAGCCAAAGATGATCCAGACCTTATCAAGAAGCTACAAGGAGTGGCTAACAAAGATGAGCAAGTCACTGAACTGTTAACTACCTTAGTGGCTTAGAAAAGTAGTTAACCTTAATACCCTCTATATAGTACGTAAAAATCACAGTAATTAGAATTTTAAAAATAAATGACAATATTACAGTAACCTAGCTTCAGCTTTATCCCAGAGCCCTAGCCCAGAGTCCTAGCCCAGAGCTCTAATCCAGAGCCGTAGCTCAGAGCCGTAGCCCAAAGCCCTAAACCAGAGCCTGAGTCTTAGAGTTAGTCCTAATTCTAGCTCAACGCCCCAGTCCAGAGGCTTAGCCCTGAGCCTTAGCCCCGAGTTCTAGCCTAGAGCCTTTTCCCAGAGCCCTAGCTTTAATGCTAGTTCTAGTCCTAATCCTTTCTAGCCTTCCTTACCCCTAGCTTTAGTCTTATCCATTACCCTAGTCTCTACCCTTACGTTGACCTATTAAAGCTTGCCTTAGCCCAAACAGACCAAAGCTTCGTGTTTGCTTTTTATTTGCTTAAGCCTAAGCATAAGCTTAAGCCTGGGTTAAAGCCTAAGTTTAAACCTAAGCATACGCCTAAGCTAAAGCATAAGTCTAAGCTCAAGCTTAAACTTAAGCCAAAGTCTAAACTTAAGCTTAAGTTTAAATTTAAGCCTAAGCCTAAACTTATGTTTTAGCCTTAGATTGAGTAGCCTACTTTAAGTTACTAGTTTAGCTGTTTTTGTAACAGCCCACGTAATATCCTGTTAAGTTTGGTTTTCAGCTGTAAAGTCTTGGGTAGGATAGGGTAGGGTAGGGTAAGATAAGGTAAGGTAGAGTATGGTAGGGTAGGGTAGAATAATAACTAAAAAATAAAAATCAGTTTATTCTACATAAATAGTACCAGTTTTTTGTACAAATTGCAACGATTAATCCTATATATATAATATAACAAAGAGTACCAGTCATAACGTATACCACGTGTTAGGTGCAACATAATACGAAGATGTGTCCAGCTTGAGAGCACAAAAGTAGATGGAGCCACAAATCGACCGCAAGTTGTAGTTCAGGCTTTTGCGACACTTCTCGACCTCGGCCATGTTACTATAGGGCGCAGTTGATGTGTCGCCGGTGTAGTTTTGAATATGACTTCTGAAAGAGCGTTCCCATTTGATAGCCTGAGGGCGAAGTGACCTGTTTGGAGCCATTTGCTTCAGTTTGAACAAGTTGTCACGAGATCTTCTGAAAAAAAAATTACGTAAAGAAAGTTATTGCGGTTTTTCAAAAAAAAATTAAAAAATAGGCTTAAAGGTGAAATTTTAGGCTTAAAGATGAAATTTAGGCTTAAAGATGAAATTTTAGGCTTAAAAATGATATTGTAAGCTTACAAATGACATTTTAAGATAAAACTAAAAGTTTAAGCTTAAAAATAAAAGTTTATGCTTAAAAATGACACTTTAGGCATAAAAATAACATTTAGGCTTCAAAATGATATTTAGGCTTAAAAATGAAACTTTAGGCTTAAAAATGAAAGTTTAGGCTTAAAAATAAAATTTTAGGCTTAGAAATGAACGTTTAGGTTTAAATTAAAATTTTAGGCTTAAAAATGACATTTTAAGCTTAAAAAAGACTTTTAGGCATAAAAATAACATTTAGGCTTCAAAATGATATTTAGGCTTAAAAATGAAACTTTAGGCTTAAAAATGAAAGTTTAGGCTTAAAAATGAAATTTTAAGCTTAGAAATGAACGTTTAGATATAAATTAAAATTTTAGGCTTAAAAATGACAGTTTAAGCTTAAAAAAGACTTTTAGGCTTAAAAATATAATTTTTGTTTTGTAAAGAATGTTCTTGCCATTTTGAGTCTTGTAAAGAAAGTGTTTGCCATTTTTTGTTTTGTAAGGAAAGTTCCTGCCATTTTTTGATTTGGAAAGAAAGTCCTTACCATTTTTTGTTTTTTAAAGAAAGTTCTTGCCATTTTTCCTCAAAATCTTACCTTAAATGAATAATACTTAATGTCCTTTGATTAATAACTGTCATACCATACTTCTCAGTCGTATTTCCAATATATTCACCTTCAGTTAGCAGATGATGATGTCCAGTTAGAACTCGTTCTGGTCGATGAATCAATTTTGAATAGGCAGGGGGTGGAAAAAACTTATTTTCGACTGCCAAGGTGTAAAATGGTTTGAAGGAAATGCCACGGAAATCTCTTATTGAGTCGAAACTTTGGTCCTAAAATACGATTTTTTTATTTTAAATTTTAAATAAAATTTTGAACTAAAAAAAAATTTCTAATAAGTACATGAAAAAGCAAAAAATTCAAGAAAAATGCCATTTTATACCTCATACCCTTCTAAAAACAAAAATTTATTCAACCGCGTCAAAAAGAATTGGTCCCTTTTCTATGTATTTATATAGCAAAAGCGCCCAATTCTTTTCGACGCGCGAGTAAAAACTGTTATATCTCGGTCAAAAAGTTTATAGAAAACCTGAAAATCAAACTAAACATAAGCTAAAAGACTTTTCTATCTACTTTTTGACCGGATTTGTTAATTTTCACTTTTCTACAAACTTTATGAACAAATACCTAAAGCGCGTCAATAAACAGTTGTAACTCGGTCAAAAAATTTATAGAAAATCTAAAAAATGGTCCAAACATAAGCTAATGGATTGTTCTATTTAATTTTTGACCAATTTTGTGAAATTTCAATTTTCTACAAACTTTGTGACCAAAAAACTAAAGCGCGCCAAAAAGAATTGGTCGCTTTTCAGTGTATTTATATAGCAAAAGGGACCAATTCTTTTTGGCGCGGGAGTATAAATAGTGTTTTTAGGGTTAGGTATGGTATTAAATGGCATTTTTTAAAGATTTTAAAGGGAGGCGTGATCTAAAATGGCATTTTTTTCAAATTTTAATTTTTCAATTTTCAAATTTAAAAATTTTTTGAGATTTCAAAAAACTCACAGTAAACTCCCCTTTCCGGCTTTTCAATTGAATTGTTGCCAACTTTGAATTTCTCCCAAAAGCACCTTCAACTATGTTCAACAATGTGTCATTCTCTCGTACAACTACGGTTTCGTCTAGATCCATTTGAGCGACGTACTTGGCTGTGTATCGCGCACGATGAAGGCAATCAAACACATTCATGTAGACTTCGGTTCTGGAAAGAAAGTTATTGCGGTTTTTTGTTTTGTAAAGAAAGTTCTTGTCATTTTTTGTATTGTAAAGAAAGTTCTTGCAGTTTTGTACTTTGCACTGTGCAATGAATTTCTATTTTTGTTTGCACGGTGCAGTCGACTTTTTTAGTGAAAAATAGCGTCTGCACAGTGCAATCACTTTTTCAGTGCAAAATACTGACTGCACAGTGCAGCCACCTTTTCAGTGCAAAAAAGCGACTGCACAGTGCAACAACAACCACATCTTCAATAAACCTTTTGAAAACAAAGTGCTTACCTAAAAATCAGTTCATTTGGATTAGGCTGGTCTTTGTAAGGTAGTTCAGACCAGTTCACGTATTCCACATCAATGCCCATTCTATTAGCATAAAAATCTAAGACATTTTGAATTTGAGCGGCGTAGTTCTGACGATAAATGTAGAATTTGGTAGCACCGTGCGCAATCCAATGTTCGAAGAATTGAATAAATACTGAGGTTTCATCGTGCAGAAAAATCGACTGTAAACAAACGGCTAGATTGTGTATTGGTGGGCGTGAGCGCACGTCGCTAAAAATGGAAAAAATTAGGTGTTATAGCTTAAGCCTAAACCTACTAAGCCTAAACCTACTAAGCCTAAGCCTACTAAGCCTAAGCCTACTAAGCCTAAGCCTACTAAGCCTAAGCCTACTAAGCCTAAGTCTAAGCTTAAACCTAAGCCCAAGCCTACCAAAGTTAAACTTACATAATAGGCATATCGATGCTCTCACTGCCCACTGACCATAACTTCAATATCTTATCATTAACACTGGAGTCCACAAGCTCAATTGTACCAATAATACCAATAATCCGACATGAAGGAGCATAAGCATTACGACAGCCTTTTAGGTTACAAACCTGCTTCACCGTACCCGTATTATTACTAAATGTAAACTGTAGGGTTCTTCTGAAAAAAGTTAGAATAGGGTAGGGTGGAGAAGTGTAGAGCAAGGAAGGGTAGAAAAGAGTAGGGTAGTCTCAAACGCGTCAAAAAGAATTGGTCTCTTTTCAATGTATTTATATAGCAAAAGCGCCCAATTCTTTTTGACGCGCGGCTTAAAACTGTCATATATCGGTCAAAAAGTTCGTAGAAAATTTAAACAACAAACTAAACATAAGCTAAAAGACTGTTCTATCTATTTTTTGACCAAATTTGTAAAATTTGGCTTTTCTACAAACTTTATGAACAAAAAACTAAACCGCGTCAAAAAGAGTTGGTCGCTTTTCCGTGTATTTATATAGCAAAAGTGACCAACTATTTTTGACGCGATTAAATAAATTATGATTATAGAGTAAGGTAGGGTATAAAATGGCATTTTTTAAAGATTTTAAGGTGAGGCAAGGTTTAAAATGGCATTTTTTTAAAATAAAATTATCATTTTAAGGTGGGGTAGGCTATAAAATGGCATTTATAACCTTAACCTTGGCTTTAAAAAAAATTTTTAAATTAAATTTACTATAAACTTTTTAACCAAAAATAGTTATTTTAGTAAGAGACCTACCGATTTTGTAAATGTCGAAGAATGGTCAATCTAATGGTACTGTTTGATACTCGAAAGGCACTTCTAATGTAGAACTGGTCCTTGACCTTCTTTGGATTGGTAAAAGAGACGTTTCCAATGTGAAAATTTTTTAAATTTTCAATTTTAAGCCCATTTTTGTCATCTTTTAGGCCTGTTTCATCTACTGCATGGTTCGTTATGTTGTCCATGGCTGTGCTAGATTGGTTGGTACTATTGGTATTCGTACTAGGTCCCATAGTCATAAGCATTGTAGTTGAAATGGCACTTTTATCAAGAATTTCATTCGAAATGGCATTTTCACTTGCGATTTCATCAGAAATGACAGTCTCCACCGGTATGTTATTAGAAATGGCATTTTCGACCGGTATGTTATCAGAAGCCGCATTTTTGTCCATTATGTCAATAGAAATGGCATTTTTGTCTAGTATGTCATCAGAAATGACATTTTTGTCCACTATGTCATCAGAAATGGCATTTTTATCAATATTGTCACCAGAAGTCCCATTGGCACTAGAATCAATCTTCCGGTCGATAAAAACCGCCAATTCGGTATAAATGGTATTATTAGCGTTGTGAAGCGGCCTAGTGACATTTATAGCAATAGCAGGCTTTGTGTTGTAGTCAATATCTAAAGAAATGGCATTGAAACTAAAAATTCACTCTTTTCCTTAAACCGCGTCAAAAGGAATTGGTCACTTTTCAATGTGTTTATATAGCAAAAGTGACCAATTCTTTTTGACGCACGGCTTAAAGCTGTTATATCTTGGTCAAAAAGTTTGTAGAAAATCTAAGCGACAGTCTAAACATAAGCTAAAAAACAGTTCTATCTATTTCTTGACCAATTTAATAAAATTTCATTTTTCTACAAACTTTATGACCAAAAAACTAAAGCTCGTCAATAAACTGTTATATCTCTGTCAAAAAGTTTGTAGAAAATCTAAAAAATTAAACTAAGCTTAATTTAAAAGACTGTTCTATCTCCTTCTTGACCCAATTTGTCAAATTTCATTTTTCTATAAACTTTATGACCAAAAAACTTAAAGCGCATCAATGAATTGTTATCTCTCGGTCAAAAAGTTGAAAAACAGACTAAGTTTAAGCTAAAGATCTGTTCTATTCACTTTTTGACCAAATCTGTAAAATTTCATTTTTCTACAAACTTTATGACCAAAAAACTAAAGCGCGCCAAAAAGAATTTATCGCTTTTCAGTGTACTTATATAGCAAAAGTGACGAATTCTTTTTGACGCGACTAAATAAATTTTGATTTTAGAGTGAAATAGAGTATAAAATGACATTTATAACCTTTGAGTTTTGAAAAATTTTAAAAAATTCCATTTTCTATGAATTTTTTGACCAAAAAACCGAACTTTTTAACAAAAAAATTTTTTTTTGAAAATTTTAAAATTTTTTAAAAAATGAAAAATGATAAACCCACTCTGCTGAAACTGCTGATAGATGTAGGTAACGCTGATAAAGCAAATCGCAATCAGAAGTGATCTTTTGATGTAGTACAGTCGCATTGCTCACAGACGCTCCACAACATACGATGAACACCATTAATAACTAAACATTTTGAATCAAAAAGCGGTTTTAAACTTTAAAAAATAACATTTTTGACCTTTTATTTACGAACTAATATCATAAAATGGCATTTTACGCGTTTTAAAAGGTTATTTTATCTAAAACACATAATTTTATAACCCCAAAACTTGAAAAATGCCATTTTATACTTTATCTAATACTACAAACTTAAAAAATGCCATTTTTAACCCTACCTAAATCTAATCTTTAATCAAAATGGCAATAAGACCTATATTTCTACGTACTTTTTTACCAAAAATTACAATTCGTTCCATCGCGTCAAAAAGAACTGATCCTTTTTGTTATATGAATACACTTAAAACAGACCAATTCTTTTTGACGCGACTTAGTTTTTTGGTTATAAAGTTTGTAGAAAGATGAAATTTTACAAATTTAGTCCAAAAATGGATAGAACAGTCTTGTAGCTTATGTTTAGCTTCTTTTTAAGATTTTCTACAAACTCTTTGACCGAGATATATCATTTTTAAGCCGTGCGTCAAAAAGAATTAGGCGCATTTGCTATATAAATACATTAAAAAGTGACCCATTCTTTTTGACGCGATTGAAACTATAATACTCTGCCTTATCCCACCCTACCTTACTCTACCCTCTCCTTCGAAAAAAGTTATAATATAGTATAGTAAAATAGACTTACTTTGATATCACTCTCACTGAAACATGTCATTCCGGTAGTAATGTACTCATTGCCATCCATAAATAATGACCATTTGTACACTAAAACAGTGTACATAATCACTGGAAATGACAAAAAAAATAGAGAAAAAAAAACAAAGCAATCTGCGTTATTACCTAATATAATGATATAACAAGTTAGCCTCAGAGAAATTGTCAGAAATGGTATTGCGCAACTTTTTATTATGTAACGTTGATGGTTTATATAACATTTGCCTCGGTGTAAAACGACCCAACATATTACTGCGAGTACGGCAATTTTACTCCATATTTCTTCGAGTACATCATAAAATGTTACATCTGTAAAGGCCAGTATTGTACTGCCAAACCTAAAACAAAGCCTAAGCATGCAGCTAGCCGTAAGTCTAAACTTAACTCTAAGCCTAAGCTTAAGCCTAAGCCTAAGCCTAAGCCTAAAACTAAGCCTAAGCATACAGCTAGGCGTAAGTCTAAACTTGACTCTAAGCCTAAGCCTAAGCCTAAAACTAAGCCTAAGCATACAGCTAGGCGTAAGTTTAAACTTGACTCTAAGCCTAAGCCTAAGCCTAAGTCTAAGCCTAAACCTAAACCTAAACCTAAACCTAAACCTAAACCTAAGCCTAAGCCTAAGCCTAATCCTAAGCCTAAGCCTAAGCCTAAGCCTAAAACTAAGCCTAAGCATACAGCTAGGCGTAAGTCTAAACTTGACTCTAAGCCTAAGCCTAAGTCTAAGCCTAAACCTAAACCTAAGCCTAAGCCTAAGCCTAAGCCTAAGCCTAATCCTAATCCTAAGCCTAAGCCTAAGACTAAGCCTAAGCCCTATCCTAAGTCTAAGACTAAGCCCAAACCTAAGCCTACGACTAAAAATGGAACTTAACCCTAAGCCTAAGCTAAGCCTAAACCTGAACCAAAGCCAAAAACAACACTTAACCTCAAGTCAAGCCTACTGTAGCTTACTACAGCTAAACCTAAACATACTAAAACTAATTTTAATAAGCCTAAATCTATCTCGTCTAACACCAAGCCTAATAAAACATAGTAAGAAAGGAATTGACTTGAGACACCTTGCAAAATATAAAGAGAAGTAAAGAGCATAATAACGTTGTCTTTCCTTTGATCAACACAAAAGGTAGTTTAATAAAATTCACAAAACGTTGATTCACTACAGTTTTTTTTTGTAATTCTGTTTTTCTCTTTCTGGAAGGAGCATCTTGAACAGTTTTCTATTAAAAAACGTTTCAAAATTTCATAGAAAAACGAATTTTGCAGTCAAAAAGTTTATAGAAACATAATTTTTTAATAATTTTTTATTTTTTCGGCCGAACAGTTCATTTAAAAAATTTTTTTAAAATGGTCAAAAAGTTTATAGAAAACATAATTTTTTTAATTTTTTGGTCATAAAGTAAATAGAATTTACTTTAAAATAGCTTAACAAGGAACACGTCTAAGATATTGCAAAACTACCCCACCCTACCTTGCACTACCCTACCCTTTCTTATTCTACCCTACCCTACTTTTTTTAAATTTTTTGGTCAAAATGTTTATAGAACAATAAATTTCTTTTATTTTATTTAAAAAATTGACCAAAAAAATTTTTTTTTGATTTTTCGGTCAAAAAGTTTATAGAAAAGCATTTTTTGAACACAAGTTAACAAAGAACACGCTTAAGACATGGTAAGCATACAAGACTACCCCGACCTATCCTGCCCTACCGTACCCTACTCTACTCTATCCTATACTACCCTGTCCTACCCTACCCTACCCTGCTTTTTTGATTTTTCGGTCAATAAGTTCATAGAAAAACATTTTTTGATAACAACTTAACAAAGAACACGCCTAAGACATCGTAACCATATAAGACAAAAATCTTCAGTTAAAGACTGTTTTAAAAAGTGCTCTTTGTTGTAACTTGGCAACAACTACGACCACGCAAAGTCCGAACTACGAAAACCAAAAAAAAATCGAAAAAAGTTTTAAAAAGCTGACGTTCATGTCACAAAACAGAGCATTTTGTACTGTACGTACTATTATGTGATCAAAAAATAAGATTTTTTTTAAATCGCAGGGATTTACTTTACAAAAACTATTTTTGAGTTAACAAAATCGTTGTTGCACCGTGCGGACGCTTTTTTCCCACTGAAAATTTGACTGCACCGTGCAGTCACTTTTTTACACTGTAAAACCCATTGCACAGTGCAAACACAATTTTTTGCACTGTAAAATTGACTGCACCGTGCAATCAACTCTTTTATTAAAAAACCTGACTGCACTGTGCAAGTCTTTCCTTCCACTGAAAAACCTATTGCACGGTGCAATCACTTCCTTCCACTGAAAAACCCATTGCACTGTGCAGTCACTTCTTTGCGCTGTAAAATTGACTGCACCGTGCAATCAACTCTTTTATTAAAAAACCTGACTGCACTGTGCAAGTCTTTCCTTCCACTGAAAAACCTATTGCACGGTGCAATCACTTCCTTCCACTGAAAAACCCATTGCACTGTGCAGTCACTTCTTTGCGCTGTAAAATTGACTGCACCGTGCAAAACAAACAAAACGAAAAAACTTTCTTTACATATGAAAAAATTGGCCGACTTCTTCATATATAAGATAATTAAAGAAAATAGGATTTCGAGATTAAAGAGCGGCTCAAAAAGAATTGGCATTTGTTCCTAGCCGGCGATTGTTTTCCGAAAATCATAAATTTGATCGAATGCCACACTTTTTCAGCATTAAAAAAGAATGAAAAAAGAGAATGTTCTAAAAATACTATTTTTTAAGAATGTTTTTGCGGTCACAAATTTCATAGAAAAAAATTTCAAAAGCTTTCAATAAGCTTTAGCTCAAGCTAATTCAGCCCAAGTCTAAGCTTAAGCCTGAGAGCATGCTCAAAGCTAAGTTTGAGCCTAAAAATAAGCCTAAGCCTTCGCTCAAAAGTAAGCTTACATCTAATTCTAAGCTTGGGCCAGAGCCTAAACCTAAGCAACTTGATTCTGAGATTGAGCTTTAACCTGAGCCTAAGTTTGAGCTTAAGTCTAATTCTAAGCCTGAGCCTAAAGTTAAACCTATGCCTAAGTTACAGTTTGAGCCTGAAATTGAGTTTGATCAATGTGTGCCTCAGACCGAGCTTTAACCTGAGCTTGAGCTTGAGCCTAAGCCTAAGCCTAAGCCTAAGCCTAAGCCTAAGCCTAAGCCTAAGCCTAAGCCTAAGCCTAAGCCTAAGCCTAAGCCTAAGCCTAAGCCTAAGCCTAAGCATAAACCTAAGCCTAAGCCTAAGCCCAAGCCTAAGCCTAAGCCCAAGCCTAAGCCTAAGACTTAGCCTCAACATAAGCCTAAACCTTATTTCAGCCTGAGCCTGATACTACGCCTAAATTTAAGCCCGACCTAAGTTTTAGCCTAAGTCTACAACACGACCTAAGCCTAAAATTACGTCTAAACTTACCTCTAAGTCTAAGATTAAGCTTTTTAGAACAAAGCAAGCTGCAAAAACATTTAAATTTTCTAAAAATAAACACAACAACTAGAATGGCAACCTTAATGTGACCCCGAAGCGTTTGGTTTTGAATAGGATTGGCGGTCTCCTACTGTGACATTCAGAAAACTTCAGTTTAAAATGTGATTCATAAAAGATGATTTACATAAAATTAAACGTTTTTAATTAAAATCTCAATAATTGAGTCATCATTACAATTTTTTGTACATATTTAATGAATTATATTACTTTAGGGTGCGTCAAAAGTTCTGTTACAAATAAAGCTGCAAAAAAATTCTTGTCGTCGATTTCAATGGGTTTGCACGTGGTAAAACGACAAAACTATTTTGATCTTTTAAAAGATATAAAATTTTATCTTTATATAAAGTTTTTTATCCTACCGTAACCTACCCTAGCCTATCCTACTGAAGGTTAAACTTGTTAAACGTACAGTTATAATCATTTATGTATTCTTTTGACAAAAAGGACTTTAACGGTTTATGTTGACATGACTACGAACCCTGTTTTAATTTTTATGTTTGTTTGACGTTTTTTTATAAATAGTTATAAAAGTTTTTAAAACATAAAAAAAGTAAATAAAAATGGCTTTACAGGTGAAAACCAAACTTAATCAAGATATACGTTGGCTGTTAAAGAAACAGCTAACGGTAACTTAAAGTAAGCTACCCAACCTAAGGCTAAAGCTTAAGTTTAGGCATAGACTTAGGCTTACACTTAGGCTTAGACTTAAGCTGAGGCTTAACTTTAGGCTTAAGCTCAGGCAAATACAAAAGTATTGGTCTGTTTGGGCTAAGGCTAGCTTTAATAAGGCCAACGTAAGAGTAGACGCTAGGGTAATGGTTAGTACTAAAGCTAGAGGTAAGGAAGGCTAGAAAAGATTAGGGCTAGAACTAGGATTAAAGCTAGGGCTCTGGGCTAGGGCTCTGGGCTAGGGCTCTGGGCTAGGGCTCTGGGCTAGGGCTAGGGCTCTGGGCTAGGCCTCTGGGCTAGGGCTCTGGGCTAGGGCTTTGGGCTAAGGATCGGTTACTGTATGTAATATTTTCGTTTATTTTTTAAATTAAAACTACTTTGATTATTACGTATTATATACAGGGTATTAAGGTTAACTACTTTTCTAGGCCACTAAGGTAGTTAACAGTTCAGTGACTTGTTCATCTTTGTTAGCCACTTCTTGTAGCTTCTTGATTAGCTCAGGATCACCTTTGGCTACCAATTCCTTTTCTGAATCTTCCAATAACATGAAGGATCCAACGACAAATGGCACAAAGTATTGTGGGTCTTCCTTGGCCTTGGCCGATTTACTCACTTCGTATACCTGAAAATAGCAAGAACTTTCTTTACAGAACAGAAATTAACAAGAACTTTCTATACAAAACACAAAATAGCAAGGACTTTCTTTACAAAACAAAAAATGACAAAAACTTTCTTTACAAATCAAGAAATGGCAAAAACTTTATTTACAGAACTAAAAATAGCAATAACTTTGTTTAAAAAACAAAAACTGCAAGAACTTTCTTTACAAAACAAAAAATGTTGGCCATCGTATAACATGTCACCCACAGCCTGGAAAACCCAAAAAAATCAAAAATCTTACCGTGCCCAAGAAGTCAGCGGCCAAAGGACTAACACCGTGCTCCTTCAGCACCACTCTCATGGCCTCGAAGAACATTCCTTTGATTTTCTTGTTGGCAAAGGCCTTTTTAAGTCTGTCACCCTTGACTTTTGGTCGTAGAATGGCCAAGTACAGCTTTCTTTCGCGTTCGTTGAGGATGTCAACGTGCTTTGGGCCTTCTGCTAGCGTTTTTTCTGAAAATTTTGAATTTTAAAATTTTAACAAAAAAATAAATAACTTGGCTTGCTGGTCGAAAAGTTTATAGAATCATCTAGACATTAATAAAAATTGGTTTTCTATCAACTTCTTGACCGCTGCAAACAAAAATAGCTTTTTCTATAAACTTTTTGACCAATGAAGCCAAAAGTTGAGTTTTCTGTAAACTTATTGACTGATGAAGCCAAAAAATGAATCTTCTACAAACTTATTGACTAATAAAGCCGAAAACCAATTTTTCTATGAACTTTTCGACCGATGAAGCCAAAAAATTAATTTTCCATAAACTTATTGATCAATAAAGCAGAAAATTAATTTTTCTTTGAATTTTTTGACCGATCAGAACCAAAATCAATTTTCTACAAACTTATTGACCGATAAAGGCAAAATTGTTTTTTCTGTAAACTTTTTGACCACAATACAATTTTTTATTATAACGAACTTTTCGACCGAAAACTACAAATCTTCCCAAAAAATCAATAAACGTACCAATAAGCCCAGGCAGTACCAAATCAAAGTCGTACGAGTAGACCACTCCAATTACACTGACTAACAACAACAACAACTTCATTTCGATTGTTTTGGTCAATGAAACGTATTGCGCTTTATATAGCGACATTAGTTTTTTGGCTTGTCATGACAAGGTAAAAAGTAAAGTAACCCCGCCTTACTTTGTAAAAAAAAGTCTACTTTAGTGGCGAATTAAGCCTTAGCTTACTTACTGACTGTTATAACAGCTTGAAATTTGGTTTTCTATCAAATTTTTGACCTATCTTTGAATATTCTCTGAAATTTTTGATCGATAATTAAATATTCTATAAATTTTTTGAACAAATTTGTATAACTATGTCATTTTTAATTAAAACTAAAGTCGCGTCAAAAAGAATTGCTCCCCTTTGCTATATAAACACATTAAAAGTCGTCCAATTCTTTTTGACGCGCTCTTGTTTTTTGGTCCTAAACTTTGTAGAAAGCAAAAATTTTACAAATTTGATCAAAAACTAAATAGAGCAAGCCTTTAGCTTTAGTTCAAGCCATTTTTCAAATTTTCTATAAACTTTTTGACCAAGATATAACGATTTCAAAGCGTCGCCGAATTAAGATTTCTAAAACCGCCGGATTCTTTTTGATGCGCTCTTATTTTTTGTTCATAAAGTTTGTGGAAAAAGGAGAATTTACAAGCTTGGTCAAAAAGTACACAGAACAACCCTTAGCTTTAATTTAAGCTATTCTTTGATTTTTTCTACAAACTTTTTGACCGAGCTATAGCGATTTCCAAGCGGCGCATTAAGATTCGTATCCTTTGGTCAAAAAGTTTGTAGAATTATATAAAATTTGTCAAAAACTAAATAGAACGATATTCAAGCTCAATTTTGATCTATTTTCAACTTTTCTACAAACTTTTTGACCGAGATACAACAATTTTAAACCGCGCGTCAAAAAGAATTGGTCGGTTTTGCTATATAAATCCGTTAAAAACTGACCAATTCTTTTTGACGTGATATTGTAAAAAATCTATCAAAAAATGATTGAGGATAACATATCCCAGCTCTTGTTACTTCCATTCAAACTTTTTTGATTATAAACCGGTTTTCAAATGATAATGTTTAGATTGCGCAATTTCGAAGATTTCACTTTTCAACTGACCGATATGGTTTCACACAATGAAATTTATACTTCTGAAGTGATAAAAACTAAAACTTTCTAGAGTGAGATCGAAGATAATCTAAAAACCTACTTTATGATATCAACATGAACAAAATACCTATTCAAAATTGGGTAAATAGTAAGTAAAATACACAATATAACCTAGTTAAACGTTTGACAATGTAAAAAAGTGAAAGACATTCCGATAACAGCTATTATCGACTGTTATGACAAGATTTTGACATTTTAGTCTAGTATTGTCCAAAAAACTCTGCGCCACCTCCCAAAGCAAACTTTCAAAGTTCAATGGCTCAGAATTATTTGAACAAGATAATACTAGACTAGAATGTCATAATCCTTAATAAAAAGTCTTGGAAAGACAACGTGAATAAAATACAAGCTAAAAGTTAGTATCAGTTCAGCAGCATCATTTGAAGTTTGATCCATGAAGTGAGTGCGTGAACTCGCGTATATACACCTGGATGTCCTGGTTCGGCACAACCAATCCCCCAACTCACCACGCCCTGAAAACATCACAAAATTAAAAATTTTATAAATTGTGTCATGATGACATTAATTCCAAAAAATTCGTCATGATGACATTAATTCCAAAAAATTCGTCATAATGAAAAATTTTAAAAAATAACCTATTAAGCCTAAAATCATTGTTTTTGTTATTTTAAAACCATGTCTCAAGTTTAAAAAATTTTAATCAAATTCGATGACAGCTAACGTTACTTTAAGCCTAAAAAATCCGTCATACTGACATATTTAACAATAATTTTTAAAAATTTTAAACCAAAAAAAGTAGCCATTGACTGCCTCAAAAACGCAAAAAATATCACAAATGCTTCCAACCCTACCTGCAACTCCCACTTCCCATTGTTCCAACACATCAGCGGTCCTCCCGAATCGCCTTGGCAAGCATCAATCTTCCCATCCGCATACCCAGCACAGATCATAGTGGGTTGAAAGATGCGTCCTTGATAATGTCTATGGTCGTTGCATGTGATCGAAGATACGATTGGTACATGGGCTTCTCGCAAAGTTGGTGCAGCTGGTCCATCTTCCTTGGTTCGACCCCAGCCTGTCACGACACACATCTGATGTGTTGCTGGAGGTGCGACACTTGGTAGACAGACCTTGTTGATCGTGGAGTTCATTTTTACTGGTGGCCAGATTCTGTAAATGATTAGAAATGGCATTTTGAGTGTTGTAAATGGTTAGAAATGGCATTTTTTGTTTAAAAACAATCAGCACTAACGCTTTAGGCTTAGAAATGGGCAGAAGTCGCGCATTAAGCTTAAAAATGGTCAGAAATAGAGCCTTAGGCTTAAAAATGATAAAAAATATCGTCTTAGGCACCAAAGTGAGCAGAAATAGCGCCTTAGGCTTAAAAAGGGCCAAAAATACCACCTTAAGCCTAAAAATGACCAGAAATAGGACGTTATGCTTTAAATGACCAGATTTAGCTCCTTAGGCTTAAAAATGGCTATAATAGCGCCTTAGGCTGAAAAATGCCATGTGTCGGACTCCAATTTAATATCTAAAATTACGAAAAACAAAAGAATAATAAACTTACTTCATGATAGCAATATCATACGCGGATTCCCTGATGTGATATAGATTGTGAAGAGTAATATTCACCACTCGATACCTTTTACCACTGAAAATCTCGTGTCCGCCAAGGAGAATCGTATAATGCTTTGGATTTTCACTTAAACAATGTTGTTTAGACAAATTTATACAGCAATCGGTGAAGAAAAGTTATTTTTAGGCTTCGATAAACATTTTAGGCTCATAATTTCATTTCTAGACTTAAATTTTCTTTTTTAAGCTTATATTCACTTCTTTAGGCTTATATTTCCTTTTTCAGGCTTACATTCATCTAGCCTACAGTATTTCCTTCAAGATCCAAAAGATTACCCTTTCAAGAAGCAATGAGCGGCTGTGATAACGTATTGACTGTCGATTAGAGCTCCACCACATTGATGGTTTCGGCCGCGCAAGATTTCGGCCATCCATGGCCAAGCATTCTGTTTCGTTTCGAATCCACCTACAATACGATGGGCACTGCTCTGAAATTGCCAAAATTGAATAAACAGAGGAACAACTAAACTTTATGGTCAATTTTTGAACGAAATAAGATGAATATTACCTATTTTTTGGTCTAAAATAAGGTTATTTCAATTGGCATAGATTTTAATGTTCATTCTTACGTTAAAATTTAAAAAACATTTCGTTTTCGATGAAAAACTACTCAAACTTTGATGAAAAAAACATCTAAAATGCCGTAAAAGCCACAATTTATTACCTAAACATCTAAATCTCAAGCCAAAACTCAAATTCCTCTCAAAACCGCTCACTTTCTCGTCAATAACACCTAAATTAATATAAAAACATCAACAAATCATAAACTTACACCAAGAAGAACTCGGGAGAACGAATCGCTGTACTTGGTTTCTCCGCATTCCAATCCATGAGCAATATTAGTTGATCTGATCAAAACAAGCACAAGCAAAAGTTTACTCACAACACCATAAAGTCCGACATTGAACCAGGACGAGCATGTGCGCGACATTTACAAATAAAGGAAGTTAAAAGTGAGGACAAGAAATGGCGGAGGAGGGAGAGCAACGAGTTGCAGGAATTATGTCACTCTGACTGAATTTTTAGAGAAATGCAGAAAATGTGTTGTGATGACTTCGATTTTAGAGATCTACAGAAAAAAGGTTGTAAATCTACTTTGAAAGCCTGAAAAAATGTCATTATGACAAATTCTTGTAAATTTTTAAAACCCGTCAAAGCAACGCCTGGCATGATCATGTCCGCGGCAAAAATGTTTGTTTTTTAAATTTACAGTAATCCCTTAATTAAAGCCTTGTTTTAATGCTCTTTTGACGCCATCTAGAAGTTTAGATCAATCACGACGTTGTTTACTGAAAACATCAAAGATTCCGCTCATTTCCAACGAAATACTTTAGTTTATTTGTGTTTATTGTAACTTGGTTGTACATACAAAATATTCATCACATATTTTATTCGTGGCCGCTGGCTTTCTTCCGATGTCAAACACACAATCAATATTCAGGTGGCCTACAAAGCGTTCACTTTGTAGCTTTTGAAGAATTTGAAAAACAAAAATACGCCGAAAAAGACGACAATCAAGGATCCGATGACAAAAACGAAATTCGATGGTGATTTTAGTGAATTGTCATTCCCGGGCTTCGTGACGTTTTGTACGTTGGGTTGAGGAGTGGCTTGGACGTTCGTTTTTGGAGCAATTGAATCGCCCGAGGCTTCTACACGGCTTGCTGATGGTTTCGAAAGGAAGTAGTAGGATTGTTGAAGCGTTTTTGTGGCCAGTTCGCGGCCCAATCGTTCAAATTCTTGCCGATTCTCTCGCCACATCTTGGCCGCGTCTACGTTGGCCGGACTTGCATCATTGGGCTCTGAAAATATATTTTAGATAATAAAAACCGTTAGTTTCTTCAAAATTTTTAAGAATATTGTACTAACAGTTATTTTCACCCCAAAAAAGACATGGAGACCTCATATAAAACTGAACCTTTCTATAAGACTTCATTTTAACCCTAAATCTCCCTCAAAATCCTTACCAGCCAACATTGAAACCACAGATATCAACACCTTTTCCACCGACAATACTGGCGACCATCGCTCGGATGAGCTTTCATACCCGGTAGGATCATCCCCAGGCGTATGTAAAATTGATATACATACTTTACCATCAGCATATATGTTAGGGTGAAACAGCTCGCAGGTAAACCTCATTTTTGGCGGACTTAGCGGGTAGTCCTGGAAGATTTTTTTTTATTTTAAGCTTGATTTTTTTAAAAATGGCATGAAATGCTAAATTGCTTGTTCAGAGAGCTACTTTTTCAAGTATTCAAAAGAAAAAAGTGAATATAACCCTGTTTTTATAAAAATTTATCTAAAAATATAAAATTAAACAAAAAACATACTTCAGGAAAACTTAGTCTAGCTGGAAACACGCCATTCTCAAAACACGTATCTGGTGGACCAGTTATCAAACAATTCCATTCAAAAAAATTGTCCTCACTTGAAGGACCAGCCGTTATTCCTTCCGGAGGGTTTGAGTTCAGTTCTGAAATATACATTTTTAAAAATAGGGCATGATAAAACTACTGTAACTTTACAATCTTTGTGAGTTTCAAAACTTTGTTTTCTAGGTTAATTGAAGAAGTAAACAAGCTAAAATTATACCAAAGTTCAAGGCTTTAGCTAAAGTTTGACAAAAGTTATAATAAAAACTATATGTTCACTATGTTTTGATCTTGAGCTATGTTTATTTTGCTCGTAATTCATTTTAAAACAAAAAATAAATCTCATATTGTGAAAAACTTAAAAATCAGCTTAAGAACTTACGTTTATATTCTGCCATAAGCCGCTTCAACGCAAACCCAGCCATTTTGCCTGCAAAACCTTATTTTAGTCAACTTGATATTGATAACAAGATAACAACAAATTGTCATTTTAAAACATAACGAGACCGCAAATTCAATAAAAACTTCAATTGCAATAAAACAAAAAACCGTTTTTCGAAAAACAAGTCTATTATACTAAAAAACCCATGTGATTGTTATGAAAACGGAACGAAGTCTTTACAACAATATAAAGATTACTGCAAACGTCAATTCACCTCGTTCACATTATTAAACTACTATACTACTATCATTTCACCGTAATCTACAAGGAGGAAATCAAAATTCACTAAAGTTTAGTTCAAAATCGACAAAAATATCAATATTGATATTTTAGGTAACGAAACCATTAAAAACACAAAACAATTAACAAGAAAATCAGATGTTTTTAAGGCGATCAGAATATCAACTGATAAAAAATAACTGATTGTTGCGATTTCACTTTTAAGAACAGTTTTACAAAATTAGCGCGCAAGACGTCAAAAACAATGGCTGCTTCGGGAAGCCAAACAAAAAATTAATTAGCAAAGAGTTGTTTTCGCTGTGGGACCGACTTTTGTTAAGTATTATTATCCATGCTGCGCATGAATAATTAATTTACAGATAAACAGGGTAAGAATAACAATATTTTTACATAAATTTTAAAATTTTGATTTTGAGTTACATATATTTTTATTTTATACTGGTAGTTATTTTAATTTAGGCATAAGTTTTCAACCAGCTTTTTAATTATTTATTTTTTAGTTATGGCCAAAAGTCGGAGAATAAGATCTCGTACAAATACAAATGCTTCAACGATCTCATCTCGTGTTGAAAATATCAAAAATGCGTTGACAACAAATGGAATTGGACATTGTGATGAACATGGCTCCATTACTTCTTCGAATTCCGAAACTGTAAGTTGTTTTTGTAAAGAGCTTTTCCGTTTTTAGATAAAGAAGTAGATTTTCTTTATGATCTGATGGAGAATAATATTTTCTTAATGTTTAGATTGAATATCATGAGAACGTCACGAATAATGACGCTAAAATATATAGTCAATTAGTGGCACAGCTAATTGTCAGCCGGCTGCTGTTGTTTGCTACACAATGCGTTCTTGGGCTGTTGCCTGATGCTGCTACTGACGCCTTTAAGGTCAAGGAATCTGAAGGTACGTAAATTTTGAATATGAAGTGTTATTCGATACTAAATTTTAATAAAAACTTAATAAAAAACGTTATTTTAGTCTGTTCATATCTTTAGATTACATGCACAGTAGATTTGTTCGACCAATGTTTGGTGGCTTGACAAGATGGGATGGGATGCATTACCTTCATATTGCTGAACATGGTTACACCTGGGAGAGTACATTGGCGTTCTTCCCATTATTTCCAATGATTCTGAGGTTCTTGGGGACATTGATATCGACAGGGATATCTTCGCTTAGTTTTTACAGTGCAATGGTTGTTGGTGGAGTGTTGTTTAACAATGTAAGTTATTCTGTTTTGTTGTCGTTATGTTTTTAGGTAACAAAGCTCCAAAATGAGAATTAAAAGCTGAAGAATACCTAAATTAACCTTGTTTTATACCTAAAACAATGTTTTCAGACCATCTTCGTGCTAAACGGCCTATTATTGTACCAGCTGTGTTTAAAACTGACCAAATCTGAAAAAGATTCAATCCTTGCCGTCTACGTCTACTGTTTCAACCCATCATCAGTGTTCTTCTCAGCAGTTTACTCCGAGAGCTTATTTATGTTGTTCACTTTGTTAGGCTTAAAGTGTTTGTATAATGACAAAAAGACCTCGTACGACTATGTTTTTGATCTCTTAATGGCATCAGTGGCATTTGCTTTGTCATTTTTCACACGATCTAATGGATGGTTGAACTTTGGTTATGTTGGATATCAAATTATGTTATCATTGCTTACTAATAATGGCAAATGGGAACGAAAAAGAAGAGTTTTTGTTAAAGTAAGTTGGGGTAGGCTTAAAAATAGTAATTAGAAGATGTGTTTTGTTTTTTTAACATTATTAGGCTTATTTATGGGTTTTGAGGTAACAAATAAAAAATTTTAGGCTTATAACACTAATTTTTTACTTTTAGGCTTATAACTTGTGTTTAAGGTATTTAATCAAATTTTTAACTTTATTAGGCTTAGGTTATTGGTCTAAGGATGTCAGAAAACAATTTTTGGTTAGAAATTTGAATTTTTTTTATTTCATAAGCCTAAAATTAAAAAATTAATATTTCAAGCTCAAATTTCTTTTCTGAGATCTTTGGACCCATAACTTAAGCCTAATAAGGTTTAAAATCAAATTAAAGTTCTTAGAAGTCGTTTATAAGCCTAAAAATAAAAAAATTGGTACTTAAGCCTAAAATTAAAAACTTAATATTTCAAGCTCAAATTTCTTTTCTGCGTTCTTTGGGCCCATAACTTAAGCCTACTAAGGTTTAAAATCAAATTAAAGTTCTTAGAAGTAGTTTATAAGCCTAAAAGTAAAAAATCGGTATTTAAGCCTAAAATTATTTTTTGGTGTCTTTGTGTCTTTGAGCCTACAACTTAAGCCTAATAAGGTTTAAAATCAAATTAAAGTTCTTAGAAGTCGTTTATAAGCCTAAAAGTAAAAAAATCGGTATTTAAGCCTAAAATTATTTTTTGGTGTCTTTGTGTCTTTGAGCCTACAACTTAAGCCTAATAAGGTTTAAAATCAAATTAAAGTTCTTAGAAGTCGTTTATAAGCCTAAAAGTAAAAAAATCGGTATTTAAGCCTAAAATTATTTTTTGGTGTCTTTGTGTCTTTAAGCCTACAACTTAAGCCTAATAAGGTTTAAAATCAAATTAAAGTTCTTAGAAGTCGTTTATAAGCCTAAAAGTAAAAAAATCGGTATTTAAGCCTAAAATTATTTTTTGGTTTTTTTGAGCCTATAGCCTAAGCCTAATGGCGTTTAAAATCGGTTTTATGAACGTTTGCTTCATTTTTAATTAAAAAAAAGATTAAAAAGTTCATTTTTCAGGGTATCAAATACTTCCCACTGTTATTAATATGCTTTGTCATCGTAATCGCCCCTCTAAGATCTTTTTCCGCAACACAAGAAGAAAGATTTTGCCGCTCAACAACAATATTCGCATTCGATGAAACCGAAGAACCATATTCAAATCCGTTTCATGATGAATATATGTCAGGCCGAGTGCTGCCAGGAGATATACCAAAGCTAAAATGGTGTCACAAAAGGAACGACCTCTCAATATTACCGGTATATTACTCTTCATTACAGCGATCCTACTGGGATGTAGGATTTTTACAGTATTGGCAGTTGAAGAAGATCCCCATGTTCATAATGGCATTACCTACATTGACTATATTATTGTATGGAGTCGCGGATATTGTACTGGATATTACACTGGATTCGAGGAATGGAGCTGTTATTCTGCATGAAAATAACTATTTGATACCTTTTGCTATCCATTCGACAGTTTTAGGCTTAGGAGCAGTGTTTTTCTATAATGTTGAGGTAGGCTTTGAATTTTTGTTTTTATTTATTTATTTAACAAAAGAAGGTTTTTGAGAAAGGTGTAGGCAGGTAGTAGAGTAAAAGCCTAAGCTTAATAACTTTAAACCTATTGAGCGTAATCTTGCTATGAGTAAGTCTTCTAAGTCCAAGCCTATTAAGGTTAAGCTTACTAAGCTTAAGCATACTAAGCGTAAGCCTAGTAAGATTAAGGTTTTTAATTCTAAGCCTACTAAGATCAAGCTTAACAAGCCTAAGCCTACTAAGATTAAGTCTACCAAGCACAAGCCTTCTGAGCCTAAGCCTACTAAGCCTAAATTTAAAGCCTAGTCCTAATTTTATTAAGCCTAAACCCACTGAAACTAAACCTAATAACCCACAGTTCATTTTCAGGTAGTGACACGCATCCTCTTCTCCACCTCCCCCTTCATGTACATTACTATCGCCCGCATCATGTCCCAACACTGCCCCCGCATCAAGTGTCCCGATGATCTCATGGAACCGCCGGTATTTCCTTTCTTCGCCAACTACTTTTTTGTTCGAACCACGAGCAAAGTCCTTATCATCTACTTGCTCGGATACTGTTTCTTCGGTACTGTGGCTTTTGTCAATTGGCTGCCATATTGTTAATATAGGTTTTGGTCGATAATTTGATTGTTTTTTGGTCGATAAGCTTATGAAAAAATGAATTTTTGGTGACCTGGTCAAAAAGTTTATGGAAATGGGTTTTTTCGGTGACTTGGTCAATAAGTTTATGGAACAATGACATTTTAATGAGCTGGTAAACAATTTTATAGAATGTCCTATTAAATTGACCATAACTTTAAGTTACAGTGCTAATCAGTACCTATATATCGTTCTTCATTTCAAAATGTCGCGTTAACTAATCTAAAAACCAAACCCTTAATTTAAACGGTCTGAGCTTAACTGAAAAGCTTCAAAATGTATCTCATAAGTCAGTGAATGTCATATTCAGCTAGTCATAACTTATTGTAAAGTTATCTTCAATTAACTTATTATAGTGTTTACTAGTATATCATATTTCTTTGATCTCATAACTATTAGAACGGTCGTTAACGTAATAAAGCTATGATTCTTTGGTTGTTATTGATGGAATTCTAACTATACTTCTATCTAGTTAATGAGTTTTTAGTTTTGACGAGTTACGGAACTTTAGCTTCTTAATCTATATTACACTAGAGAGAGTGGTCTTCAACTCAATATTTCGGGAGAACCTGTGAATCTTTGCATGCCAATAAGTAACCTACGTGTAGCTGAGATTATCCGCTTTCATTTGAACTATATCTTGAAAAAAATTATATTGGATTCTTAGAGTTACAATGTTCTGAAGTGAATTTACCCAAAATAGATTTGGAGTGGCCGAGGAGTCTCATTGAAGCCAAAAAACGGAACGTGCTTTTTGCGGGAGAACGCTTCAAAAAAGAAAATGTTCTTTTTCAAAGTGTTCCGTGTTAACTCTGTCCATAAACATTGTGGCCAAGCCATCGTGAACGGTATGAGGAGGACGGTAGACAATATCTTCGGTTTTCTTTAGTTTTTGTTTAGTTTGAACTTTTGGGTAACATTTTGTTGTAATCTTGTTAAGAAGAGTTGCTTTAGGTTGTTACGTTAACAAAATTAGCTAAAATTAACTTTGAAAAGCGAAAATGAGTTCAAAAGACCTAAAACAACATAACATGACTTCATTTTTGTGGCTTCTCCCTATTTTAACATCTGAAACAACGTAGAATATTTAATTATTGTTTTTCATTCCTAAAACAGTGTGAAACCATTCAGTTTTCTTTGCTTTTTCTAGTTCAAAACCTAAAACAATATGAAAACATTACTTTTTAGCCTTCTCCCTCTTCGAACTCTTAAAACAATGTGAGAACGTTAGATTAGCGTTCTTTTTTCCCCCAATGTTTCGCCTTTCCCACTTCAAATCACCTTATAATCGACTCACGAACCAAAATAAACCATGGTTCGACTTTTTGTGCTCGGAACGGCCGTTTCCCGAACCCGCAAAAAGGCTGTTCCGAAGCGGCAAAAACAATTTTTTTCAGCAAAAATGATGAAACTCGACGAGAAATTTTTATCTCCGCGTTATTGAACTTGTTTGTTGTAGTCTTATTTGTACACAACATAAGGAAATCATCGTGGTTCTTGTTGTTTTAGATTGAAAATTAAATTTTGGGGAAGAAATACTAAGATTTTGGCTTGTAAATAAGTTTTTTGGACTGAACGTTGAGGTAAACAAAGGTTTCTGTGATAAAAGCATGAAAGAACTATTAGTTTAGGTAACATAAAAGTTTATCTGACAAGTTTAAAGCATTTTAAAATTCACAACAACGTTTTAAGTCTTATAATTTTAAAGTCTCATCAATTTTACCGTTACCTATATCGCTATTTTCTTATTCTTCCTGTTTCTTGGAAGCTTATTCATTGCCCAAACTTTCAGAACGATGCCACTTTTCACTGAAACCGCGGAGTACAAGAAACTGAAGGAGCTGTTCGATTCAGGAGCAAAAGACTTGAACTTGAACACCTTGTTCTCAAAGGATTCCGATCGTTACAACAAGTATCACACCACCTTGCCGACTCAAGATGGTGACATTTTGGTCGATTACTCTAAGAACTTGTTCAATGAGGAAGTGTTGAAGACTCTCTTTGATTTGGTAAGCCTTTTATTTGTTTATTTTGTGATTTTTAGGCAAAGATACGGTCTTATATTGTGGTAGACGTAAAGCTAGTGGAGGTTTTGATTTTTGGTTATAACTTTTTTTAAAGATTAGCTGGAGATTTGAAATTGTCAGGGATTGTAGATCATTGTGTTTTCCAACTACCTCTTAATAGAGACTTTCAATTTCAGTTTTATTTCAAAAATTACAGTAGTTTAACTGTACCATACTTTTTGAATTTTTCTCTTATTTTGATGAAAGGTTTTTGAGCTTAAGAACGATTTGATTAATACGATTTTGTAATTTTAGAGTGTGTAATGTAAAATATAATGTATTTTATATTCTTTTTTTTATTTTAAGGCCCGTGCTTGTGATGTTGAAGGTTTCCGTGACAAGATGTTCAATGGAACTCCAATCAACTTTACCGAAAACCGTGCCGTGCTTCACATTGCTTTAAGAAACCGCTCCAACAAGCCAATTCAAGTTGATGGAAAGGATGTGAGTTGATTTTTAAATTTTTTTTCAAAAATTTTTAAATTTTAAATAAAACTTGAAATTTTTAAAATTTTATAATTTAGGTTATGCCAAATGTCAACGCGGTGCTAGAACACATGAAGGCCTTCTCCAACGAGATTATCTCAGGCCAATGGAAGGGCTACACTGGCCAGAAGATCACAGACGTTGTCAACATTGGTATTGGTGGATCGGATTTAGGACCATTGATGGTTACCGAAGCTCTAAAGCACTATCAAGTTGGGCCAAACGTGCATTTCGTGTCGAATGTTGATGGTACTCATTTGGCTGAAGTTGTGAAGAGATTGAATCCCGAAACGACCTTGTTCATCATCGCTTCCAAGACCTTCACTACTCAGGAGACCATCACCAACGCTGAATCGGCCAAGAAATGGTTTTTGGAGAAGGCTAAGGTAATTTTTGGGTTAATTAGGTTAATTATGGGTTTGGAAAGAAAGTTCTTGCGTTTTTAAAGTTTTTTTTGTAGTTTGGAGTGAAGTATAAATTTTTGCACGGTGCAATCGGCCTTTTAGTGGGAAAAAGGGCTTGCACGGTGCAAAATTATATTTTTTCATTTTGATTAAATTTTCTTTAGAAAAATGTAAATTTTTTACTTGTATCGGTTGAGAATTTCATGGAAAAACTAATTTTTATTAATTTGGTCAAAAAATTCGTAGAAAAAAAATTTTTTGCTGGTTTTTAAAAATTTAATTTTTCAGGACCAAGCCGCTGTAGCCAAGCACTTTGTAGCTCTATCGACCAACACCAAGAAGGTCGAAGAGTTCGGCATCGACTCGAACAACATGTTCCAGTTCTGGGATTGGGTTGGCGGCCGATACTCCCTATGGTCAGCCATTGGACTAAGCATTTCAGTCCACATTGGCTTTGAAAACTTTGAAAAACTCTTGGAAGGTGCCCACTTGGTCGATCAACACTTTTGCCAAACTCCTCTCGAGAAGAACATCCCAGTTATCTTGGCTCTGCTTGGAGTATGGTACATTAACTTCCACGGCTCGGAAACTCAGACTTTGTTACCTTATGATCAATATCTGCATCGATTCGCTGCTTACTTCCAACAAGGAGACATGGAAAGTAATGGAAAGTACATTACTCGGTATGTTTTATAATTTGGGTTGACATTTGATATGGTGGTGGAAGTATTAAGCTGAGAAATAAGTCTTGTCGTCAATTTGTATTGGTTTTGCATTAAAAAAACGACAAGACTTGTTTGCTACCCAAATGTTTGTTAATGTGTAAATACTTATGTTTTTTAAATATGGGCGGGGTAATTTTCTTTATTCTTGTGTAGGGGGTGGTAATTTTTTTTTATTTTAGGGAGTGTTTTTTTTTAAATTGCAAGAACTTTGTTTACAAAACGATTGTTTTAGTGACGGACGTCGTGTGAACTACCAAACCGGTCCAATTGTGTGGGGAGAGCCCGGCACCAACGGCCAACACGCCTTTTATCAGCTGATTCATCAAGGTACAAGGCTGATTCCTTCTGACTTCATCGCACCAGTCAAGACCTTGAACCCAGTTCAAGATGGACTTCATCATAAGGTGAGATATTTTAAGGCTTGGCTCAGTAAATTGAACTATTGTGATGTTAAATGGTCAAAAAGTTTGTGGAAAGGTCAGTTTTGATCATTTTGGTCAAAAAATTCGTAGAAAAATTTAAAAAAACTTTCAGATCCTGCTAGCCAACTTCCTAGCCCAAACCGAAGCCCTGATGAAGGGTAAATCAGCGGCCGAAGCCGAGGCCGAACTCAAAGCGGCTGGAGCGTCGGCCGATCAGATCTCCCAGATCCTGCCTCATAAGGTATTCGAGGGAAATCGACCAACCAACTCGATCGTTCTGCCAAAATTGACCCCAAGTGTGCTGGGATCACTGATCGCCATCTACGAACACAAGATTTTTGTTCAGGGTGTCATCTGGAACATCAACTCGTTCGATCAGTGGGGGTAAGAGTGGTTTTTATAATCGTTGTTCAAATAGTTCTGTGCCCCCTTAGGCTTAAAGTCTAAAGCAACAAAAGAAATTTGTGAGGGGGCGCAGAATTATTTGAACAAATTAATAGTCTTGCACAGTGCGAAATGGGCAGCAAAACCGCAAGAACTTTGTTCACAATTTTTTTTGAAAATTCAAGTAATTTTTTAAAACTTAAAATGTTCATCTTAAAATTTTAAAATTTCAGAGTGGAACTGGGCAAACAATTGGCCAAAGTGATTTTGAGCGAACTTCAAGCCTCTGGCGAAGTCTCAAGCCACGATCCATCAACCAACGGCCTTATCAACTATGTAAAAGCAAAGTTCTAAATAATATGTCACTTTTATAGCAATTTTTAGATAGGATATCCTGTAAAATATTAGAATAGTCAGCTCAGACATAATTTTTAATGTCGCTAATATACTTGTAATAAACTTATATAATAATATCTTCTTACTTATTAATAAGAGTTTGCTTCTAGTTGTATATACGAATGTTCTTCTACTTGTTTGATTACTGGACTTCATATAGAGTTAGTAGATTAAAAAATTTTATTTTGTTGAAAAATTAACAGGGGGGACCACGTTCATATTTTTTGAAGGTAAAGTAACAGTAATTACTGTATAACTTTTCTTGTAAACAAGATAACAAAACATGGGCATACTTAGATTGTTTCTATTTCAATTGTACATCTTTTGTTAAAAAATCAGCTGTTTTGATGAAGAATCGACCGAGATATTGAGCATTCTTCCAGCACCTTGTCCATCAGGGAGACTAATTCTTTTTTCAATATTTTAAAAACCTTAAGGCAAATTTACGAAAAACGAGTACAATTAGGCTCTTCCTATTTCATTTTTACCACTTCTGTGAAAAAATCAACTGTTTTAATCAAGAATCGACCGAGATATTGACCATTCTTTCTGCACCTTATCCATCAAGGCGCCTAGCTATTTTTTCAGTTATTTAAAAATTTTAAAGCAAAATTATAAAAAGATTAGCACACTCAGGTTTTCTATTTGTCTTTGGCACGATCACTCAAACAATCGACCATTTTCAACATAATTCGACCGAGATATGGGCAATTTTGCCCGCCCTTACCAGGAGCCTCTATAACAAATTTTAAAACTATATAGTTTGAAATAATAACATTTTATTCAAATAACAAATACAAACAATGCAGTTTTCTTCTTTCTTTTTGAGATCTTACCAAAAATGTTTTTGCAATAATAATATCTTGTTAAGTAATGCTCGAGACAGGCAGTATGACTAGGATTACAACAATAAAATGCCATAAATTAAGTAGTGGACGTTTGGTGTTGGTGTAGTCGGAAATTTCATAGAAAAACGCATTTTTAAAATTTCTGCCGACAATTTTCTAAAAAAATTCCGTTTTGGTCGATAAGTTCATAGAAAAACTGAATTTTGAGATATCGGGCGAAAAGTTAGCGAAAAATGGACTTTTATCCTTTACCGGTCAAAAAATAAATCGAATTTTCACCAAAAACCATTTAAAATTCCAAAAAACCAAATTTTCCAAAATTAAACGAAATGTCACAAATTTTATCGATTTTGACGAAATGCCACAAAAATTATTGATTTTCAAAAAACGACCATACCAGCGTTTAAAGCTTAAAATTTCAAAGTTTTAAAGCCGAAAAACAAAATTTAAAGCCAAAATTAACAATAAAAAACGAAAAATTTGTCCTAAAACATGTGGGGCTTAACAGCATTGGGGCCGTTGATTGGGGCTTCGCCTTTTCGGCCCACCAGTAAATATGTGTCCATACCACCATCAACACCTTTTACGTCGATATGTGCACGATACTCAAAGTCGTATCGGTCTACAAGCAAGAGTTTCGTCTCTTCTGATACCTAAAATGATTTTGTTTTGAGGGTGGAAAGAAAGTTTCTGCGGTTTTTATTAAAATAATGTTGTAAAGAAAGTTTCTTCGGTTTTTTTCAAAATTATTTCGTAAAGAAAATTCTTGCGGTTTTTTCCAAAATGATGTTGTAAAGAAAGTTTTTGCGGTTTTTTAAAAATTATTTTTGTAAAGAAAGTTTCTTCGTTTTTTCAAAAAAGAATTGTAAACAAAGTTTCTGCAGTCTAAAAAAACCATTTTGCCATCCAAAAGCTACCTGAATTCTGTCCTCCACCCCGGTACTGTACATTCGACTGGCGATATTGACCGTATCGCCCCAAATGTCGTAGTACAACTTGGTGGTACCGATAACACCGGCCGTGACGGGACCAATGTTGATGCCGATTTTGCAGACAAAGTCGAAATTGAGCAGATCCTGATTGAAGTAGTCGAGGGCGTTCTGTAAGGCTATGGCAAATTCGATGAGCTGATAAACGTGTTCGTAGGGGTGGAGCGCCAATCGTCGGCGGTCCGGATTCAAGCCTGAGGCGGCCATGTATGTCGCACCGATGGTCTTGATCTTCTCGACGTGACAGAACTCGGGTCGGTCCAAAAGTTCGTCAAAGTCGCCAATGACTTCGTTCAGGACGCGCAGGAACTCTCGGCCGCCTTCGAAGTTCTCCTCGTACATCTCGTTCCAGTTCGTGATCGAAGCGAACATCACCGCCGTCATCTGATGGTTCTCGGAGTACTTGGTGTTAGTTTTGAGAGATTCGACCGCATGTTGGGGAATAATGTTGGTCAGAAGCCAGTCGGCCTGATCTCGGACTACTCGCATCTTGGCCGTGTCGCGGCGGGCCTAAAATACGAAAAATTAGGTAATAAAAGACTATTTTTTACTATTTGAAATGCGGAAACCCAAATGTTGAGTAGTTTAGGTAACAAAACTACATTTTTTGATGATTTTCAGTAATAAAACACCATTTTTTAAGCGTTTTAGGTAACAAAACACTATTTTTTGATAATTTTAGGTAACAAAACAAAATTTTTTGAGGATTTTAGGTAACAAAACACTATTTTCATATTAGTTTAGGTATATTTTAGGTAACAAAACACAAGTTGTTAATGATTTTGGGTAACAAAACGATACTTTTTGATTATTTTAGGGACAAAACACTACTTTTTTGTTATTTTAGGTAACAAAACTTCATTTTTTGATAATTTTAAGTAACAAAACATCATTTTTTGATTATTTTAGTTAACAAAACACCATTTTTTGAAAATTTTAGGTAACAAAACACCATTTTTCGCTTATTTTAGGTAACAAACCACCATAAACCTACCTGAACATCTCCGAAGAAGCTCATTCTGAACGAGGCTTCGAACTGATAATTCAAAAATGCAACGAGTATTACAGCCAAAACGACATCCACACACAGTTCGTGCAGGTAAAACGGGTCTTCGAACTGGGAACTGGCCCAAGTACTGTAGATTACTGTACAATTGGCTTCGTTCGTGAAGCCGTCTTCTTTGATTTGGGTCGCTATCTTGTTGCGACATACACTGAAACACGTTTGGTACTATGATATATATATTTGGTACTATGAAAAAATATGTCATGATGACAAATTTTTTGGAATCTTCAAAAATAGGTGTGATAAGCTTTGTAATGTTAAAAAACGTCACCATAGTGTTTAAAATGACATTTTTAATCAAAATAAATTATGTCATCATGACACATTTTTAAAAATATTCTGTCATCAAGACGGAATTTTAAAAATTTTCGCACAAATCTTAAAACCTTATCAAAATCATTTCTAAAATTTAATTTTTGAATAAAAAATACGTCATCATGACACATTTTAAATAAAAAACTCACAAATTGCTGGCCAAGAACAATATGGCCACAACGATGGCTTGGCCGCTTTTTGGCCACGCTCTGAGCTGACTAAAGTTGCAATGAGCGTAGATGATGATCAAGGTCATGTAGCAAAACACCAGTCGTTGATTTAACACACTTTGCGTGGCACACTGACCGATTTTATGGAAGTCGGTCAGCTCGGCCAAATTCACGGCACAGTCCGGCATATGGAAAACGGCCGCTCCGAATGGTAGTCCAATCATCAGAAGGCCGAAAAAGTGGCGTGGGCCCCAGCGATTCAGCCAGATGCTCACCTTCTTCCTCGTGATCAGCGGCAGGCCGATCAGGATGAGGAAGATCAGGAAGAATAGGGCCGAGATGGAGACGAAGACGAAGAATGAAGCCGTCAGATGACGTAGAGTGGCGAAGGCTATGGCTACGACTATTGACCAGAAGCCAATGGCTACGAGGATGTCGATAAAGACTCCGGAATAGCGGTATCGTGGGTGGCGGAGAAGCTGATGTTCGATCGAGTCGGCATTGCTTCGGACTCCGAGGTCTGAAATTGGATATCAATCTAGGTATGAATCAATCAAAACTACTCTAAAAACGGCTTTCATAGTCACAAACCTCCAAAAAATAGCCCAAAATGCCAAAATATTAAGTTTTGTCATATTTCAAAAATATGTCATCATGACACATTTTTTTGTGTTTTTATGACGTATTTTAAAATAACAAAATTTTTTTTTTAAACCGCAAAATACTAAACAAATTACTTTATTTAAAAAAATTCAAATTTTAATTTTATTAAAACTATGTCATCATGACAGATTTTTTGCGGCATAGTGACACATTTTTTTGAAGCTTTAATGACGTTTTTTTAAATAAAAATCTTTTTGAGTCTTAAATATGTATTAAATATTTTTTTTAAATCCATTTAAAATATGTCATCACGACACATTTTTTGAATTTTTGATAAAACATTTTTTAAATAAAATTTTTTTGCCCCACAAAATACGTCATTAAAATTGTAAAATACTAAATAATCTTTTTTAAATTAAAATTTCGATTTCATTTAATATATGTCGTCATGACATATTAAAAATATGTCATCATGACGTGTTTTTTAAAAATTTTCCAACTAAACCTAATGACACATAACTTGGGTCTGATAAGGTTAAAAATCAAATTGACTACCCTTAACACCAATTTTCACCCCATATTTTTCCTTTTTTTCTAAATTATTACCTAAAATCTCCTCCTCATCCTCGTCCATATTCCTCTTCGATCCGCTCTTCAACTGTTGATGCTTCGCAATGGGGTTCTTCAGATTCTTCTGAACCTGTGAATTGTGATCTCCACTTTCCGCAAAATGATTTCGATACTCATTCTCGATCTCAGCTTCATTGAAGGTTAATGTCCAGCGATTCAAGGATCCCTCGTGCATCCAGAAGCCCTGAGCGAAGGAGGATTCGCCGCTCTGTAGAATCTGTGCCAGTCTTTGATCGAAATCGCGATTATCCGTGTCGAAGCGGGTTAGTGAACCAGCGTTGTGGTGATGAGAAATGGCAGTGTCTAGGCCGCCTACTGAATGCGTTTCGGAGGCTAGTTCCTGAAATTTGAAGTTTTATAATTTTGAAATTTCATAAATTTTAAATTCGAAATTTGAAAAACTTTCAAAGCAAAAACCAAAAAAAAATTCTTGCAACTATTCGGGGGTACAGTAAGATATTTTTCTATCAATTATAGTATTTTTACCAAGTTTTATACAAATTCATCATGACACATTTTTATAAAATCTGTCATCCAAAAAACGTAGAATTTGCAAAAATTAACAAAATTTTAAAACTTTTTAGGTAACTACAAGCCTGTACGACTGTTTTTCTGAATTTTTTTCTATTTTTAAGCTTTTTTTTAAATTGTGTCATCATGACATATTTTTTAAAATTAACAAAAAATAACAAAATTAATAAATTTTTTAGATAACAAAATGTCAGTATAACTCTTCTTCTGTACTTTTTTCTATTTTTAAGCTTTTTTAAAATTGTGTCATCATGACTTATTTTTTAAAATTGAAAAAAATGACAAATTTTCTCAAGCTTTCAGGGTGAAATAAACAAAGAACTCCACAAAAACGTGAAACCTGCATAGAAACCCACGATACTACAGTAAGCAACACAGTAAACAACATACGCTTACATGAAGACCACTGCTTCTGGAGCCTTTGGCACTATTGTTGGTGCTGCTGTTCTGTGCCAGTTCAATCGAAATTTGTCCGCCAATCTTTTCCGGCTCTGTTGCCGGCTCTCGGGTCGAGTTTGGAGCCGATTTTGGAGTATTGTCTTCAATTCGGCCGGCCGCCGAAACGGTCGAATTGGCCACTTCTTTGTCGGCTAGTCCGACCATCGATTCGCTTATGTCTTTCTGAGCGGTTTGGAGCATTGGATTGGTGATGGTACACATGGATTGGGACTGAAAATTGTTTTTTTATAAGTAAAAGTCGATTTGAAATGTCAAAAAAAGTCTTGTCGCAAAATTACATTAGTTTCTGTGGTGAAAAACGACAAGACTTTTTTGAAGGCCGTGTATGCCATTTTTAATGATATATGCATTTTTACTAACATATATGCCATTTTCAATCACATTTCACTCAAAAAACAGTTGAAAATTGAAAAATCAATCTTTTTTTAGTCAGCGTCAAAAAGAATTGATCACTTTTCAATGTATTTATATAGCAAAAAAGTACAATTCTTTTTGACGCAGCCTAGAAAAACATTGTTTTGATAAAATTTAAAGTGGAAAAAAGGTAAAATCACATCAGAAATGACTAACAAAAACCAAACAAAACTTTAAATTTTTTTTTCAAAATTTTAAAATTTCAAAAAATTTTAACAAATTTTAAAACCAGTTAAAATCGAAAACCAGAAGATTAGTAATATTACTTTCAAGTTAGCCGGGTCTTCATTAAGCAACTCAGTCGAAATGTTAATGTCATTCGAACTTGGCGTGTCTTGTTGTACTGAAATAGCACGTGCTGGTAGATTGGTACTGTTCGAAGCCACTCGATGTGAACTACTTCGATCCAACAACCTCATGCGCAACGATCCACCCCCGGTCGAGTTGGTGGTGTTTCGACTGATCGGCAGCGACGCGCTGTCCATGGTTTTTTTGCGGTCGAATTTGGCGGTGATTTGGGTTGAAAACTGCACAAAAAACGGTTAAAATTTGAAAAAAAATTTCAAAATGTTAAAATTGTTACATGTAAAATGGCAGGAACTGACTAAATTCATCTCGTTTTATCTAAAAATGGCAGAAAATCAAATTGTTTTGGCTTAAAAATGGCAAAAAACGGCCAAAAAACCTGCGCGTCAAAAAGAATTGATCTATTTTCAAAGTATTTATAAAGTAAAAAGTGCAATTCTTTTTGACGCGGCTTATTTTGGCCGTTTTTTAAAAAAAATTTGTAAAGAAAGTTTCTGCGCTTTTAAAAATGACTCTTCTAGCCCGTTCCTATTATAAACAAGCGTTGCAAGCATAGAAGCAGAGTAAAGTAAGCAAAGAGGTCTTTGTTATTATAGGCTTAGAATTCTAAAAAAAGTGTCATGATGACGTTTTTAGATGTTCCAAAAATCAATATTAAACATTCGGGGTTCATTTTTTGTGACTTATGTTTGTCTCCAAAAAATGTGTCATCAGGACAAAAATATTCAAAAAATGTGTCATCATGACAAAAATTTTCAAAAAATGTGTCAGCATGACAAAAATTTTCAAAAAAACCGGCATCATGAAAAAATATCCAAAAAAACCGTCAGCATGAAAAAAATATCCAAAAAAATCCGTCATCATGACAAAAATTTGCAAAAAAACCGTCATCATGACAAAATTAAAATAAATCATCATAACAAAATTCCAAGTCCTACAATACGGGAAATGTTAGGCGGTATTAGTAAGCGAAAGCAACTCACTTTACGAAAACTACTCGCCTTTTGCCCGTCGCTGATGGGCTCGGATTTGGATTCGGTGTCGGACATTGCCACTTTATTACTCACGGACTCCAACTCCTTCAGTCGGCCGGAGATGAAGTAGGTTTTCATGTCTGAAAAGGTTCGAACATGATAAGATACTATCGACCAGTTATGACTTGTATTAGGTGCCGACATAAAGAACCCGCCATTTTTTACAGGAAATTACAGGCAAAATGTGGCGGGTTCTTTATGTCGGCACCTAATATTTGGTTGTTCAAATAATTTTGAGCCCCTTTCAAAGAATTTTTTTAATTTGAGACCCTTTCAAAACAAAGTTTTAGAGTTAGGGGCTCAGAATTATTTGAACAACCCTATTCTTCAAAAAAAACCTGAATATTAGACAAAAATTTAAATTTTTAAAAATTTTAAAAATATTTTTCAACTTTTTTTTAAAAACTAGTTAATACCTAATCCAGACTATCCATCCTCAAAATCACATGCCAATATATTGATTTAAAAAACAGTTACATCACTTTAAAAATGCCAAATGGCAAAAAAAGTTCGAATCCGCTTGGAAACATTCACCTTTTTTGCCATAATTTAAATATAAAATCAACAAAAAATCAGTATCTTATTACCTAAAATGACAAAATAAACATCCACCTACCTTTGTGATCATCCCCCGGCTCCAGCATGTAATGATTGTCCAGGAATTGTGCCGTTTTCTCGCTGATATGTACCCGTCCAGCGATCCCAGTACTTTCCATTTCGTTGGCCAGAGTTACATCGTTGGAAAAGACATCGAATTTGAAGCGTTTTGTGCCTACCATACCACACATGACCTGACAAAAACATATTTTTAAAGTTTTTATACCTAAATTTTGAAAAAGAAATCGCGTCATATTATACTTGATGCTTTGGTTTGAAATCGCTATATCTCGGTCAAAAAGTTTGTAGAAAAATTGAAAAATAGCTCAAATTAAAGCAAAAGGACTGATCTATTTACTTTTTGACCAAACTTATAAATTTTCATTTTTCTACAAACTTTATGACCAAAAAACCAAAGCGCGTCAAAAAGAATTGGGTGCTTTTCAATGTATTTATATAGCAAAATAAACCAATTCTTTTTGACGCGAGCAAAACTTTTGGCCAAAAAGGTTATAAAAATTTTTTTATCGGTCAAAAAGTTTGTAGAACTATCACAACAAGTCTATAACTCACCTTTCCAGTATGAATCCCCACTCTCATATTGACCTCCTGACCTCGATCCAGATCAAATTGTCTGATCGCAATGATCATAGCCAAGCCCATTTCAACGCAATTTTTAGCGTGATCAGCCACCGGCTCCGGACAACCGGCTACGCAATAATAGCAATCACCCAACGTGCTAATCTTCTCCAATCCGCAACGGCCGCAGAGATAGTCGAAGCGGCCGAACAGGTCATTCAACAGGTTGACCAGCTCGTCGGCCGTCTTGTTCGATGACATTTTGGTGAAGCCGGCAATGTCAGCGAACAAGATACTCACGTCCTGCATCAGATTCATCGTGAACGGCCGGAATTTGCGCACATTTGGCACGGATATTTGGGCCGAATCGCCGGAAAACCGCTGATCCGTGGCTAGTTTTTGGTTGTTCGGCGAGTTGTTGGCCTGGCCGTAGCTGTTAGCCTGACCGTAGCTGTTGGCCTGGCCCGAGTTGCGTGGCTGATTCTGTTGGTTTTTGCCGTTCGATGCATTACTGTTTCGTGTGGCTACAAATTAGGCAGTTTTATGACAAAACACAAACAGTTGTGCCAAGTGCAAACGAACACTATCTTGCTGAGTGGAAAAGGTTCAGACGCGAACGGTTCGATGACATTTCTGTCATTTTTTGGTATTTTTTTCGATTTCATAGGTTGTACAGTAATCTTTGTGTCAAAAAATGATAAAAAATATCCTATGGGGCCTTCTCAACAAAATTCAATAAAATTTAAAAATTTCAAAGCGAGTTTAATAATGTCATCATGACATCTTTTAGGATGACATATTTTGTAAAATTCATTAAAAAATTTTTTTAAAGCTTGCAAACACTGGAAAAAGCCATTTCAGTAATCCAAAACTAAATTTAGCCTAAAATAAAATATGTCATCATGATACATTTAAAATATGTCCTGATGACATTTTTTGGATGACATATTTTGTAAAATTCATTAAAACATTTTTTAAAGCTTGTAAAAGCTGAAAAAAACCATTTTAGTAATCCAAAACTAATTTTAGCCTAAAACAAAATATGTCATCATGACACACTTAAAAAATGTCACCATGACATATTATTTGAAATTTTAAAAATGACTTTTTTAAAGTGCCGTAGGTATACAAAAAGCAAAAATTGATAACAAAAACTAAATTATATTGATCTATAACATATGTCATGATGACATTTTTTTGACCCCCTGTACAGCCCAAATCTCCAAAGCTAGGTGATAGCAAAAAGAAACCGTCGGTCATAAACAAAAACGTCGTCACTATGGCACAATACGAACATAAAAACAGTAGAAAAGTGTTGTCCAAAACCAGAGCGTAAAACAGCAAAAATAATAAGTTCGAATCTAAAATACGATTGGGGGTATACCTAAAAATAAAAAGCCACTTCCACAAAATGGAACATAACCCTTATAGCAGAAAGCCCATCATAATATATTGACCGTTGAGCTCTTGAGACCGAGTCGAGTGGTGGCTAGATATGAGGACCGGGCCGAGCCTGACTCAAATTTAGATCAGGCCGGGTCTGACCAAAATGTAGATCAGGCCGGGTCTGAGCAATATTTTTACCGGGCCAGGCCTAACATTCAGGCCAGGCTCGTCCCTCATGTCTACCGCCGAGTTGTACATTGGAACCTACTCTTGGAACGGCGGAATTTAAGCGTTGAAACTGTGGAACGATCATAACGTTCCGTTTAAAATGTGAAACAAGTAAAGAACGTGCTGTTCCAGCTATGGTACAACATTATTTTAACAAAAAATCATTAAAAATAACTAAAAGTGATATCAGGTTGTCCGAATATGAATGAGCCATTCAAAGCGCCCGACTTTTGGAATTTTGGCTCATCCATATTCGGACAACTTAATAAAATATCATCAAAATCAATCAAATTCGGACAAAAAAAGCCAAATTTCGAAAAGACCAATTCTTTTTGACGCGCGGTTGAAAAACGTTATATCTCGGTCAAAAAGTTCATAGAAAAACTAAGAATAAATCAAACTAAAGTTAAAGGATTGCTCTAGCTACTTTTTGATCAAGTTTGTAAGATTTCACTTTTCTGCAATCTTTATCAAAAAAAAACAAATTTTGACACGGCCTAAGACTAGGCTTTTTCGCTATAACTTTGTCGACAAAGTAGATATAAACTTGAAAACTTGTGTCATGATAGGTTATTCAGTTTGTCAACAAACTGTAAAAACAGAATTCCAAAATTAAAAAAAATGCAAAAGTTACAGTAATTTTACCACATGTTTTTCTCCGAACGTATTGACCGCCCCAAGATCTCAACAGCACCGAATCCACAAAACAGTCCAAAAATGATACGAAAAATAATGAAATAAATGCCAATTTTGGACAACACCAAACTCTACCTATTGAACAAAAGTAGGAGAACCAACTTGATTCTTGAAGAAGCTCGTCCGCCACCTGAAATTACATGATGCATCAGCTTAGAAATGTGTAAAATGTTTGTTTGGTAATAAGATTAGACCTACTAAACTACATGTTAAGCTTGCAAGCTCAAGCCTACTAAGCTTTGACTCTAAGGCTTAGCTTAAGTCTATGGCTAGGCGTAAAGAAAGCCCATCCTAAGCCCGAACTAAGCCTCAGAAATCTCAGTAAGTTTAACCCTAAGCTCAAACTTAGCCCAATCCTAAGCCTAAACCCAAGCCTGAGCCTAATGCTAAGCCTAATACTAAGCCTAAGCCCAAGCTTAAGCCTGAGCCTAAACCTAAGTCTAAGCTCAATCCTAAGCTCAAGCCTAAGCCTAATGCTAGCCTAAGCCTAATGCTAGTCTAAGCCTACGCCTAAGCCTAAGCCTAAGCCTAAGCCTACGCCTAAGCCTAAGCCTAAGCCTAAACCTAAGCCTAATCCTGAGCTTAATGCTAAGCCTAATCTTATGCCTAAGCTTCTACTACTGTCATAAAACAGACCCATTGACATAAACTATGACGCTCTCTGAAGTAAAATAAAACAAAAAAAAATATTTTCGGTGTTACCTAATCAATTGGTATAATAACATAGCCTTAGAGAAATTGCAAGGACTCGTGTTGCGCAACGTTTTCTTATGTAATTTTATGGTTTTATATAACATTTGCCTCGATGTAAAACGACCCAACAAATTACTGCAAGTGCTGGGATTTGGCTCTAAGTTTCTGCGAGGCATTACCTATTGCGACAACCAATATTAACTATGAATTGTGTTGAGAAACGTAGGCTACAACTAAAAATAAAACTATACCTAACTTTAAGTCTAATGCTATGCTTATAACTCAGCCTAAAACATAGCCAAATCTTAAGCCTACTAAGCCTAAGCCTACTAAGCCTAAGCATACTAAGCCTAAACCTACTAAGCCTAAGCCTAGTAAGCCTAAGCCTAGTAAGCCTAAGCCTACTAAGCCTAAGCCTAAGCCTACTAAGCCTAAGCCTAGTAAGCCTAAGCCTACTAAGCCTGAGCTCACTAAGCCTAGGCTTTGTCAGCTTGCTGTACCTTATTTCATACCTAAACTTCAAAGCAAAAACCAACAAAACCCTTACCTTCTTGGGCATCACAGACTGGATCATGTGATCCTTGAACTGTGTCTCCAACTCCAAGTCCTTCCTCGCCAACAAACTCTGTCCCACCTTCAGGAACGTCTTCCGCTGCCGCACCTGCGTCAGTATATACAAATGCACACCCAAAAAGTGGATGCAGATGTGCAGAATCAGCTTCGTACCCCAGTACGCTGAAGAAATGTCGAGGATGTTCTCGTAGAACGTCGAGTCCTGCGTACTTTGGGTAATAACTTGAAACAACGCGGTGTACGCCAAACAAATACTAATGCACAGGTACAATGGCAGCGGGACGACAGTGTAAATTAGCAGAATTACCTAAAAATACAGGTTTTTGGCTGGATTTTCAAATATTAAGTGCCGACATAAAGAACCCGCCATACTTTGCCTGTAATTTCTTGTAAAAAATGGCGGGTTCTTTATGTCGGCACCTAAAATTTCAAAATAATTTTTTGTGATAACGGCTTTTTTGGAAAAGTGTAAAAATATTTTTTATAGTTTTAGAATAGCCCTAAAAATTATATTGGCATGTCAAATTTAAAATTTTAACTTTTTTTAAAATAGTAATCGTGACATATTTTTTTCGTCACAATGACACATTTATTTGATATTCAAAAATTTGAAAAGCAGTTTCCTGGTTCATAAAAAACCTCATTTTAAAGTCTTTTTCTTTTATCTTGTGTCACGATGACATTTTTTTAAGAAAAAAAATTTTTTTTCAAATAATTTTTTTTTCCCTGAAAACTACCAAAATGGAGTTTCTTAACGTCAGAATTGTTTTAAAAAAGCATGTTATCATGACTCCTCTTATGTATTTTTGCTAAAATTACTTGATTTCTATTTACTAGCTTGTTCAAATAACCACGTAACATAAGAATTTGCTTTGAGAAATGGCTCAGGATTATTGAACAACGTATAATAATACTAATTCCTCCAAAAAATGAATGGATCACTCTTGATAGCATAACTTTATAAACCGTTTCGGCCAGGGGCATCGCTAGGAAGGGAGGGGGGAGTGAAGGAGTGGAAAAAATTCCACAGGTAGGACCAGTTGGCAAAAAAAATTTTTTTTTGAAAAGTTGGTCCCCAGGTACCTTTAAAAAAATTTAAACCCCCCCCTCCCACCAAAGAAAACCTGTAACAACGCCCCAGGTTTCGGCCAACATCTACCGCTCCATACACCGATACCTACTTGTATACTCGTAGCCATTCGTGCCACCGGGCCCATAAACGAGTCCGGGCTGGAGAATATCAACAACGTGATCAAACAAATCAGAAATGTGCAGAGAAAGGAGGTCGGCAAGTAGAAGCGCTGATAACGATTTGAATGTTTTGTGAACCAGTACATTAACGTGCACAGAAATACAATAACTGTCGTAGAGACCTGGAAATAATTATTGTAAAGAAAGTTTTTGCGATTTTTTTATTTGTAAAGAAAGTTCTTGCCATTTTTTGTTTTGTAAAGAAAGTTCTTGTCATTTTTTGTTTTGTAAAGAAAGTTCCTGCCATTTTCTGTATTGTAAAGAAAGTTCTTGCCATTTTTTGTTTTGTAAAGAAAGTTCTTGCCATTTTCTGTATTGTAAAGAAAGTTCTTGCCAATTCCACCCCAAAAACTTACAAAATGTGCGATTTTGACACTACCAAAGAACACCAGGTACGCCAGCCATGAAAGACAGGTAACGGCGATATAAATAAGGCCCGACCGGAAGCGATCCCTCAAAATCGGAAAACTGCACTTCCAGTATTGTTGTTCCAGCGTGGGCGACGCGAATTGTGGATTCCACCAACGTGCCGACGCGCGCTCGAACAGTGGGATGCGACGTGGACTGGCTCTGGACTGAAATTGTGAATAATATTAGGCTTATCTTTTAATTAAAAAATTAGAACAATGACAGATTTTTTAAATTTTTTTCATAATAACACATTTTTTAAATTTTTCGTCATAATGACACATTTTTTAGATTTTTTGTCATGATGACATATTTTTTGAAGATAAAATTTTTATTTCAGTTTTGAAAACGCTAATTTAATTTTGAAAAAATTTTTCTCATTTAAATTTAAAAAATTTTTTCTCATTTAATGTCATCATGACACATTTTTAAAAATTTGGATGACGCATTTTTTAAAAAGTGTCACAATGAGTTTTCAAAATATTTCAAGCTATCAAAAACGTCATTTTAACCTATAATAACAAAATTTTAATTTTTATAAGAAAAATATGTCATGATGACACATTTTTCATTTCATGATGACGCATTTTTTTTAAATTAAAAAATTTTCATAGCAAAAAAAACATTTTTAAATTGATAAAACGCATTTTAGCCTTTCCAAAATCTGTTACGATGACACATTTTAACTGTCAACATGACACTTTTTTTTAAATACTTTAATAACCTTAAAACAGTCAAACCCACATCGTTGCCGCCGGTGCCGTTCCCCACGCCATTGCTCTGATTGTTGCTTTGGCGGCGGGGCGGGTCGGCGGGGTCGTCGGGGGATGGTAACATGCCCGCATCCTCGCCCAACTCCTCAGCTCCACCGTCCTCCGCCATCGCGGTTATGTTGCGGCGCCGGTTCTCGGGAATCTTTACGAATGTTGGTGCTGAAAATAGGTGGTACTGAATAGTATTTACGCCGTACTCGATAGTATGTACTTCGTACTCGATTGGTATGTATGTCGTACTCGATAGTATGTATGTCGTACTGGATAGTACGTACAACACTGATTACAGTATAGACGTTAAACCAAAAATAACAAAGAGTAACGAAAGTTTTGTCGCTTTTTAACGTGTAAAACAATGTAAACTAACGACAAGACTTTTTTCAGGCCTTATATAACCATAAACCGCAGTAAAATCGATAGTAATAGCAAAATAATCAACCGTAACACAAATAAATGAGTAATATTGTCAATACCGACACATGTGTAATATAATGGCAGTAAAGGAAGTCATGTTTGTGTTATTTACAAATACGTTATTAGCCTGCCAAAACCCGATTAACACGACATGAGATACAGTTTAACGAGCCAAAAATAATATACATTTGGCCAAACTAGTGGGTATAACTTCCAAAACGAAGATTATTTATAAAGAGTAGTCTTAGGCTTAGTAGGCTTAAGGTTAGACTTAAATTTAGTAGAATTAAACCTAGTGCTATTAGGCTTAGTGTTAACTGGCTTAGAGTTGTTAGGCTTAAGATATAGTAGGCTTAGGTTTAGCAGCCTTTAAGCTTAGAATACTTAATCTTGGTAAGCGTAGGCTTAACATGCTTAGCAAGCTTTGTCTGAATAGGCTTAGGCTTAGTATTATTAAGCTTAAACTTAGTAGGCTTATGCTTTGTAATCTTAGGCTTAGACTTAGTATGCTTAGGCTTATTAAGGTTGGGCTTTAGAAACCTTACACCCAGTAGGTTACGGCTCACCAGGCGCAGGCGTAAGCTAAGTCGCCTTAAATTTAGGTTTAGTAGGCTTAACATGCTTGTGCTTATCAAAGAAAGCTCATAGTAAACTCAAATGTAGACCTAGGCTTACATTATAAACTCAAACCAATTTATAGGCTTAGCATACATAAATTCTTCACCATCCTAACAAAACATACCGGCTATCAAAAACAAATTTGGCCCTACCCCAATCCGTCAAAATTAAAAAACCAGTTCAAACCGGCCGAAACCCCCGGGCAATAAATATCTAACAATCTTCAAACATAACCCCGACTCCTTAATTTCGCTTTCGCTTTAATTCCACTGCCTTAATCCCTTCATTATGGAATCTCGTTACATTTCGGTCGGTCTTGTTCTCATACGCGCCTCATTTTCCCCTCGAGGCAAACAAACCCCTCAAAAAAATTTTTTTTTCAACCAAACTGCTTTCAGGACGAAAAAAAAATATTCTGGAGACGAGGAAATTGATTTCATTGGGAGATTACCATAGTAGTATACTCGGCTTTTAAGGAGGGTTTCGGCGAGAAATGATAGAGAAGGTCGGTGAGGAAGGATGAGGTTTTTGGTAGGGTATGGTAAGACAGGGTAAGGTCGAGTAGTGTATGGTAAAGTGGAGTATGGTGAGGTAGAGTAGCGCATGGTAGGGTAAAGTAGGGTATGGTAAGGCATGTTAAGGTCGAGTAGTATGTGGTACATCAGGGTATAGTACGGTAAAGTAAGGTATAGTAAGGTCGAGTAGTGTATGGTACAGTAGGGTAAGGTAAGGTATGGTAAGATAAAGTATAGTAAAATAGATTTTTAGAGCGAGAGAAAAGGGAAAGCTGATCTACCCCATCCTACCCTACCCGTCCTGTTATGTCCTCTCCTACACCACCTTAACATGCAACGCCCTATTCTACCTTTCCCTACTCTATCCCATCTTCCCATACTTTACTCTACCCTGTCAAACCCTGATATGTCCAACCTTACCCAGCCTTATCCTACCCATCTTACTCTACCTAACCCTAATATGCCCTAACATACCGTACCATACAATACCATACCATAACCTACATTACTCCCCCCCCCTACTCAAAGTTACTCTTTACCTCTCCTCCATTCCTCTCATACCAAGACACTACCCTACCCCAAAAATGATCCATAACGTTTTGATCAAAGACCCAAACCATAAAAGTTTAGGCTAAAATACCAAGGCATTTTATAAAAAAATCAAATTTTAAAATCCAGATCAACTTTCGAAACATAAATTCAAATTTTAAAAACAACTAAAAAAAGTAAAAAAGCAAAACAAAAACCCAGCCCCGCCGCTTATTGAGAATTTTTATAATATCAGCATTACGGAACAGAACAATCTCGGAGAAGTGAAAACAATTGAAAACAAAAACAGTTGTCTTCCAGGTACGATCCAGCAAGAGTTATATGCCAAGACGAGGAAACATGGGTTGGTATCACTAACAACAAAACATTAATTAGAGGCAAGGGTAAAGAAGATTTTAGGGGTTGTATCAGGAATATTATAAGAGTAGTATCAGAGTGGGGGGGGGGGAGGGGTGTAGAAGGTAGGAATAAAGGCAAGTGTAGAAGTAAGGGTAGGGGTAAGAAAAGGAAAAGGCAGAAAAGAGAGAGGGGTAGTTGTAAGGATATGGGTTAAGGTAGGCGTAGGGGTAGGGATAAGGGTAAAGATAGGGATAGAGGTAAGGGTAGGGGTAGGGGTAGGGGTAGGGGTAGGGGTAGGGGTAGTGGTATGAATAAACGTAGAGGAAAGGCATGGGTAAAGCTCATAAAAGTAAAAAAAGACAAATCTAGGGCATGTTAACATTAAAAGTAAAGTAAAATCCTACTCCCGGTCAAAAAATCCCTAGAAAACCCAAAAAAACCTCGCGAAACCAAACAAAACCCTTCGAAATGTATAGTCAAATTAAAAGACCAGTTCACTTTAACGAAAAAAAGTTATAAAAGTCTTTGGCAAAGTATTCCCCGGAGGGTTTGAGGAATGATGAAGTAATCAAAAACTTTTTGGCTTTCACATATATCCATATTAAATAAAGCACGTGGGTTGACATGACACATACTCCATTATAATAGTGTAAAAATTCATATGGCAATGAAATTTTATAAATTCGGTCAATTTTTAAAAAATTTTGAGTTTTGGTTGAAAGTTTGAAAAAAAATGAAACTTTTGGTCAAAAAGTCCATCGAAAAACGAACATTTTATAGTTCGGGTCAAAAAATTAAAAGAAAAATTAAATTTTGAAAAATCGGTCAATAATTTCATAGAAAATCTAATATTTTAATTTTTTATTAAAATTTTGCTTTTTTCGGTCAAAAAGTCCATCGAATAATGGAAATTTTTGTTTCTACGGTCGAAAAATTTATAAAAATAAAATTTCAAAAATTCGGTCAGAAAGTTTATCGAAAAATTAACATTTTATAATTCCGTTCAAAAAATTTAAAGGAAAATAAAATTTTGAAAAACCAATCAAGAATTCTATATATAGAAAAATAAAAATTTTAATTTTTAAACAAAAAATAAAAAAAAAATTTGTTCGGTCAAAAAGTCTATCGAGAAAATTTTACTTCTTAGGTCAAAAAATTCATAGAATAATGAAATTTTCCACTTTCGGCTAAAAAAGCTGAAAATTTTGCAAAAAAAATTTTTTTAAAAATACCCCCTTCATCAAAAAAAAATCAAAACCTCCCTCCACTTTTAAGTATACAACCATTTTCAGTCCCCTACCTTCAATAATCAAACATATTTTTAAACTTAAACATCACCCCTGCACCCCCACGCTTATTTTCACCCAAACCACTGCCCGATTCCCTACGTAACAAAAAAATTTTCTCTCCCTGCCCCATCTACTCATATACAAAATTTTTCTCCCCTACCCTATCCTCTCCATGTAAAAGTTTTCACCCCTGCCAAGTCTCCCCCATCTTAAAACTTTTTACCCCTGCCCCAGCTACTCATGTACAAAATTTTTTCTCCCCTCCCCTATCCTCCTCATGTAAAATTTTTTTTACCCCTGCCCAATCTCACCATCTTAAAATTTTTTTTTCGAACTGTAACATGTAACATGTTATTTATCGTCGTGCTTTCGCCAAATTAAATAAAAAAATTTGAGCGCACATAAAATTGAAGGCAAGGAGGGGTGGGGGCAGTAAAGAGGGAAAAAAAAGAAAAAGGGACGGGGGGGGTCTGAAGACGGACAAGTTGAATGAAAACGACAAGTTGAGGACGGAAAAGGAAAACGCCGTTGTTTCCGTTTTCTTTTCCATATCTTTGGCGGTTATTTTTAGCCATTCCCCCCGTGCTTCATGTGGCCATAACCCCCCGCTTTTGACTAGCTGTTCACTCTTTATTGAGCCAGGCGTAGCCTTCTTTCTGTAACTATTACCCCTTTCTTTATAGAGCAATACCCTCTTCTTTATGAAGCCATTCCCACTTTTAAAAAGCTACTACCCCCTGCTCTATGGAACTACTGCCCCCTTCTTGATGAAGCAATTGCCCCCTTCTTTGTGGTGCAATAGCTCTTCCTCATAGAGCCATTACTGGCAATACCCTTTCTTTCTAGAGCCATTACTCCTTCTTTTTGAAGCTACTACCCCCTGCCTCATGAATCTGTTATCCCCGTCCTAATAGAGTTATTACACCCTGCTTTATAGAGCTATTACCCCCTTCTTCATAGAGCAACTACCACCCCCCCCTCTTCATCGAGCTACTACCCCCTTCTTTATGGATATTACTCCTCTTTTGACTAGCTGTTCACTCCTTATTGAACCAGCCATACCCCGTTTTTTAAGGAGCCATTACCCTCTTCTTTATAGAGCAATCATTCATCCACCCCTTCCCCTCTTCACCATCTAGTCATGTCACCCTCCTTGACGTAGCCAATAACCCCTCCTTCATCTAGCCATTCCCCCTCTGCTTCATCTAGCCGTTCCCCTCTCTTTCATCTAGCCATTCCTCCTCTCCTTCATCTAGCCATTCCCCCATCTCCTTCATCTGTCTTTTTCCCCCCGCCCGACAGCTTAACGATACTATTTTTGTTTTCAAAAAGGTTTTAAAAACTCGAAAAAACAACATTTTCATGATGAAAAACACGGGCAAAAG